CATCGCGCGACGGCACGGAAAGCTATAACAGCAGCTAAAATGGCTGAGCTTGCAAGCATTCAAGTAGGCAAGTTAGAGTTGTATGCACGTTGAAGGAGGGCGGTGGCATGGCTGCAGCATGGCAGCAGCAAACAGGTGAGTTGAGGTTGAGGTCACAGCCGAACCTTGCTCGGGACTTGGCGGCTGGATATAGCAACGCTTCGGTGCATTAGCGCTCGAGCTCCCGTTAGATTCCCGCCTGCCATCCGCAAGTTTCTTTGTAAGTTTCTTACGGCCCATGACGGTTGAGATTTCCAATACTCGAGAAAAGCCAAAAAACAATCAGAGACATTTCTGCGCTTCCAGAAAGATTGCCACGCATCTTCGGTGCCAAGGGTTGAACAGCATGTCTGAGTCTATAGGTGAAGTCCGAGAGCTTCTGGACGCGTGAATTCAGCTCTTCATGAACGCGCTCGAGGTGCTGCCAGACAAGCGAATCCTTCTGCGAGGTGCCTGGTTTGCCGAGTACGTACTATTACGTATCACGGCACCCTGGCCGTACCTTGCAGGTTGACAGAACCTTGACAATATGACCGCAGTTTCTAAAGAAAGAACTTTGCATGGGACATGTGTACATGCAATGCGATTTTCCGATACATACGATTGCGTCCGCGGACAGCAAGGAGACACAGAGATGTATGACGATGGTATACAATAGCAATACTTGGGTTTTCGCATGACCTTATACACATCATAGCCCGACACGGTTCGAGTATTGGCGCTCCTGCCCGTTTGGGCCTTGGGGTCGCCCTAGCCCTCGCTACGCTCAGACCTAGCCACCGCATCTCCAGAAAGAGGTCGATCAGTGAGCGCACTTGTCTCAGTTGCCGTTTCTTGACTCGGCGCCGTTCGACAAGCGCGATGCAAACTCATATCTGCTTCCAGCCCATGTGCCTTACCTTGGAACTAACCGAAGCCACAACGTGCCCGTTGAGCATTCGATTCCAGACCCGCATCTCAGATCAGTCTGTCTCCCACGGTCCTGCGGCGTGCTCAGCTCTGTGCCAGAATAGCATTTGGGCCGAATACAGTAGTGCACTACCGTTTTCGTCAGCATTCAACGCCTTTCTGCTTTATCATGTATCCAGTCTCCCGGTCACCGTTCCAGGTCTGTTCATCTGGAGCTTTTCATATACACCAGCTTTTCCTCCCACTTCTCCCTTCCTCTTTCTCATCCCTTCATTAATTCGCAACCGCCATTCGCTTCCTATCTCCACACTATCAAGACTATCTTGACTAGGAACAACGATCCTCCACCCCGGATCTAAGTACGACTATCTACTGCCTGACACTCGTTTCCACAAGGTCTACTAGAGGCCACAACCCACAATGGGTCTCAAGAACTACTTCAAGGCTGGCAAGGGTGACGCAGAGAAGAAGAATGCCACACCAGCCAACGAGATGAGCGAGATCAACGAGAAGCCTCTCGCTCCTCCTACACCAGCATTTGCCAGTGCCACACCCTCTGGCCTTTCCACACCCAGAAATGGACTCCTCTCATCAGGTGCATCAATTGCACCTTCAGCGAGATCCGGATTCATGGACGACATCAAGCACGAGGTCATGGTTAACTACCTCTTCCAACAACAATGTGCTAGACTATGGGTTGGTGATGGTAGCGGTGAGGTTGAGGGTGTTCTTCTCAGAAAGTTCAAGGGCAGCTACCTGGCTTGCCCTCCCTCTCTCAGCACATCCACTTTCGCCATGGCATGCGCAGCACTTAACGTGCAGGTAAGCACCTCGAATTTCCAACCATATCAGATCTAGCCTAACATCTTTCCAGTGTGCCATGACTGTCAACTCCCGTATCATCAAGACTTTCCTTGCCTGGTCGCCAGACGCCGTCGATGTGCCGCTCATGAACGGTCTGAGAGTACAGATTCTTCCTACAATGGAGGATCTTCCTAGAGCACGCAAGCATCAGTTCGCTGCCTTCATCGCCTCAGAGGCACTTCTTGTCGTCTGGGACGATGATGCCAACAACCTTGTCAACCGTGCCAAGTTGATCGAGGGCGAGCTCATGGAGCTCGTCTGGAAGACTGGCGAGCCCGAAGAGGTTACCGACGAGCCCGCAGCCAAGAAGGGCCCTGCAGTCGTCGCCGAGGAGATTGATGAGGAGAGTGGTGAGGTTCTTCCCGAGAACCGCCCCACGCATCTCATGAACACCGTCCTCGTCACAATCACCCTTATCATCATTATCACTCTTCTCGGCGCTGGTTACAGACAATTGGCCATTGAGGTCAAGATCGATGGCAGCTATACCCGCATTGCGTTCGTCGCCCTGTCTCCGGTCCAAATCTTCTTCACTCTCTTCTTCGCCCAGGTCATTGTCGGTTGTATTGCCCAGATGATTGGTCCCGTTCGCCAAATGACCATGAACTCCCGCTTCTACTCTGCTCTGCTTCCTCGCCGTATCCAGGGCCGCAACCTGCCTCACGTCACCATCCAGTGCCCTGTCTACAAGGAGGGTCTCGCATCCGTTATCGCTCCTACTGTCAAGTCTATCAAGCAAGCCATCTCGACCTACGAGCTCCAGGGTGGTTCCGCCAACATCTTCATCAACGATGACGGTCTTCAGCTTCTCGACGAGGAGGAGCGTGAGGCCAGAATCGAGTTCTACGCCGACAACAGCATTGGTTGGACTGCCCGTCCCAAGCACGGTCTCGATGGCTTCGTCCGTCGTGGAAAGTTCAAGAAGGCTTCCAACATGAACTTCGGTCTGATGGTTTCCTGCAATGTCGAGGAGAAGCTCCTCGCCATCTCTCGTGGTAACGACTGGACTCAGGCCGACGAGGCTCAGGCTTACGAGCGCTGCCTCAGTGAAGTCCTCGAGGAGCACGGTCGTGCCTGGGCTGATGGTAACATCCGTATTGGCGACTACATCCTTCTCATCGACTCCGACACCCGTGTTCCTTCCGACTGTCTTCTCGACGCTGCCTCCGAGATGGAGCAGGGCCCCGAAGTTGGTATCATGCAATTCAGCTCCGGTGTCATGCAGGTCGTCCACACCTACTTCGAGAACGGTATCACCTTCTTCACCAACCTCATCTACACTGCTATTCGTTACACTGTCTCCAACGGTGACGTTGCCCCCTTCGTCGGTCACAACGCCATCCTTCGCTGGGCTGCCATCCAACAGGTTTCTTACTTCGATGAGGACGGTTACGAGAAGTTCTGGTCCGAGTCTCACGTGTCTGAGGACTTCGATATGTCTCTTCGTCTCCAATGTAACGGCTACATCATCCGTATGGGTGCCTGGGCTGGTGAAGGCTTTAAGGAGGGTGTGTCTCTTACTGTCTACGACGAGCTGGCCCGTTGGGAGAAATACGCCTACGGTTGTAACGAGCTCCTCTTCAACCCTCTCCGCCAGTGGTTCTACAGAGGTCCCTTCACTCCTCTGTTCCGCCAGTTCCTCTTCTCCAACATTCGTATGACCTCCAAGATCACCATCGTCTCCTACATCGGTACCTACTACGCCATTGGCGCCGCCTGGATCCTTACCACTGTCAACTACTTCGTCATGGGTTGGTTCAACGGTTACCTGGACAAGTACTACCTCGACTCGTGGCAGGTTTGGTTCTCTCTCGTTATTGTCTTCAACGGTCTTGGTAACATCTCGCTCGCCATCATGCGTTACCGTATCGGCGACAAGTCCTTCTTCGGTGCTCTTTTCGAGAACTTCAAGTGGATTCTCATGCTCGCCATCTTCCTCGGTGGTCTGTCTCTCCACGTCTCCCAGGCTCTTCTTGCTCACATGTTCGAAATCGACATGACATGGGGTGCCACCGGAAAGGAAGCCGAGTTCTCCAACTTCTTCATTGAGGTGCCCAAGGTGCTCAAGAGCTTCAAGTACTCGCTTTCCTTCTGTATTGTCGCCACTGTTGGTATGATCGTCCTCGCCACTGCCGACTTCATCCCTTACGATTGGATGATTACCGATTTCGTCGCCATCTTGCCCATGGCAACAATAGTGGCATCGCATTTCCTGCTACCCATCGCCCTCAACCCTGCTCTCATGACCTTCTCATGGTAGAGAGCTCGGTTTTCTTTTCCTTTTCCTGTTTACAAATTCTTTTCTTATGTTCAAGCTCTATAACGCTGTCATTTTTTTTCTTGATATCAGGTTGTGGATAGAGGGATACCTTCACACGAGCGGGCGTTTTTTTACCCATATGACTTTCTTAGTAATCTTCTCGACCATATCATACCACCAGACCTCTTATAGATTATCTTTATTATCTTGATACCAAAAATCTCATACGATCGCTTCAAAACATTTACTTCTATCTTCTCTTCTTGATTGTTCAAGTGACGACCTGTTGGCAACAGATTTCTTTCCCCGAGTCGGATGTACGCCAGAAGTACACGATCCGACAAGCGACCCTGTCTTCGAGGCTTCAGCTACACTTGACTATTCCTGGCACTGCTCTTTCTGCATATTCTATCTTCTCCTCGACTCACTCCTTTCCATCTCACTCTCAAATCCGAAGCCCAGACTCGGACCAAAAATAAAAGAACTATTTCGATCTACGGACTTCTTCCATCCACTCAGACAAGAAAGCCATCGTTTCACCAAGACACCAAAGCCAAGCATCTTTCTCAGCTTTTCCCCTTCCCGGTCCCTGACTCTGCATAGGTATTTCCCGAAATAATACCTTTGCAAACATGTCTCGAGCTGTTACAAAGGAGGCAGCGCCTCCGACCACCATATGGAGAGAGAGAAATCGATATGGCGTTCGCCGCTCGAGCGGTAGGTCGTCGTGGGAGAAGATGACGCCCAAAGCGCCTCTATTTTCCAAACAGTTTTTGGTTGTCGCAGCACGCGGCCGCACGGACATGTGCACTTGTTGGTCTCTGTGGAAATTATCACCCCAGCTCGCGATGGCCGACGACGACGACCCTGCTCGGGTTCCTTGAACAATTTGGTTGTTACTCAAATACTTTTCTTGTTCTGTTTCTTTGTGTTGCTAAAAGCTAAATTCACATTCGGTGGCACGAGTAAGGTCTGTATGCAGGGTAGTCCGTGTGGCTGCTCCGTCGAAAATCTGCAGCCAGCTCGTGTCCGCTTTGACCGTGTTGAAAAGCAAACGCAAGCGACATCACAAGTTTATGCTCCACCTAGCTGAAAGGGCGAAGAAAAGGAGGTGGAAGCCTCTTTACACCTTGTCCTCGACACCGAGACGACGCCTTCCCCTGGCGCTGAGTGATCTGATCCTCGACTTTGAACGAGGCTTGCTGTTGTTGCGCCTGTGATGGCTCTGACGAGCTGCGTGCTGACGAGGCAAGCTCGGGGCTCGAATGGGTATGACACGAGGGACATCTGCCGACGATGGCAGCTCCTCTCCCAGCAACGTAAAGCTGTTCTTCGGTAATTTGACATTGTTTTTGCTGGCCGGATACCATATTTTCTGGAAGCGACTGATGGCCCATGGGAAGAAGACAGTGAAGAACAGACTGACGACCAATAACGGAATCGAGATATACAGACAAAGAATTGCTGGTGCCGTCAGAGTGCTTATACCGAAGATGCTCTGTGACTGTCAGAAATGGCTCGTCGTGAACGATCGGACCAGTCAAGAAACTTACGGTGAGATATGTGATTGGGAGATACAGGGCCGCGAGAATTGATAAGTAGCGTGAATAGTCGGACTGGTTAGCGTTCTCAATGTTGAACTCCTATCGTAATGTAAGCTCTTGTCTTGGAGTTGGCAAGCATGTTCACTGACCAGCTCGATCAGGTTGAGGAAACGCTCCTTCAAAGTGTCCATATAGTAGGCGTATTGGTCCAGATCTTCGACAGCATCGTCCATCTCATCCCAGACGGGATCATTGTCATCGTCGGGTGACTTGTGCATTGTATCCTTCAGCTTGAGCAGCTTCTTGAATGATCTCGAGTGGAAGCGCATGTACTCGCTGAGTTCGTAGATGCGATCAATCTGTTTGTGCATGATGCGTGTCCGCAGCTTGACTGGAAACTTCCTTCCACGGCTGTTGAGTTCCTGTGCAGGGACAATCAGTAAGTTATAGGAAGGATAATCGACCAGAAACTCACGGCTTCCTCCAACTCTCTCTCAATCTCACGGATAATGTTCTGCCAGTCGGTAAGAAGCCAGTACAAGCGTAAGAAAGTCCAGCAAACGGTCTCCTCATCCCTGCGCGGTCTATCGTATTCTTCATCTTCGTAGAAGTATGGGAAGAAGAGGTCGTGCATGACATTCTCGGCTGGAATCTTGGATTGAGTGAAGATGAGGACCACAGGAACCCTCTCGTCGAAACGACAGGCGCGACGACCACAACTCCAGGCAGCAATACGGAAACGATAGTCGTCGACTGAAGATGGTAAAAGAAAGTCAGCTTCCTTAGAGACAATTCGGTTTCGAGAATGGTTACCGACTTTCATCAATGCCCTGTGGATGGTCTGGAGGTGGGTCTTTGCCAAAAGTCCACCAGTACACATCCGGAACGTTCATCTGATCAACAAGGAAGGACCAAGGGATTTGCATGCTTCGCTTGTTACTTCGCTCTGGAAATTTGACCGTGTCGTCGAACTGCAGTGCTCTGTTCAGATCTGTGAGTTCATCATAGCGATCATCGATACAGGTCGAAATGACTTGTTCAAGCCATGGTTGGTAGCCATTGAAAGTTCTGAGGCGAAGCACAGTCAGTCTCCGGCAGTGATGGGAAGATCGCACACCTACATCAGCAATGGATCATGTGGATTCATCGAAAGGGTCTCATGAACGAGAGCGGCGAATCTATCGCCATCTGCGCTGGTGACCTGGATCGAACTGTGGTAGTTTGGCGAGCGACGATTGCCGATGTGGATCTTGACAGGCACGCCTTCTTGATACCACGATTTGTGCCTTGGAGAGCGTCGTTTTCGATGATGGCGATTGGCGCGAGGCGAGTCTCCCATATTTGTTTGATAAGTTGATGGAGTGTATCTGGTTTGTTTATGCAGATCCACATCTGAGCGTCTAGGGTACGGGTTCATCGTGCCTTCCTCGACCTTGACACCTGGGGCAAGTCTGCGCAGCTATTAGGAGTTTGGACGTCTTCATGGTTCCTTCCCAAGTCCTTATTAAGGAGTTCGTAAGAAGATGCAAAGGGTAGTCATGAAGGATGCCCAGGCTCAAATATGGGTTGCCTGGTCGAATCGCGTGATGGATCCATCAACAACCCCACGTGAACAGCTGCATATGAGGATGACCTTCTCCCAACACCAACACGCTTCAGCAATTTATCGATCTTGGCTTCCTACTTTCAATCACACATGTAGCACCTATTAAAAACTCTCGTAAACCATTTTCATACAATGTATCCAAATAAACCACAGCTTTGCTACAGAAGTGCGCTGGACGAGAAGAAGAGAAGAAACCGCCATAGAAGTGAGGCCAAACAAGAAGATTAACAATATGCGACTCAAACAGGTCGGGGGTATAGCGCTGAAGGGTAAAAAACATCGAGAAGAACAAAAAGGGGACATGAATGTGCTCTGAAGGGTATGCTTGTTAGTCGTAATAAACAGGGACAACGTCGTTCTACGGGCTGTTAGGCCGGTCGTCTATCGTGCCCATGTCGGTTGAATCGCCTTCGATGGTTCGACGCCAGTGCTGAGGCAGGCATACACATACCAGTGGGAAGGCTTTGACGGGACCGTATTCTTCGGGACTTTGTTCGCCACTGCTCATACCGCTGTCGCGTTGCAGCTTGCCCTTGCTTTTCCAATCTTCTGCACGCATGCTAACGCGCACACCTGTTGCCCAGCCATCATCCCATATACCAACAACTTTGACCATATCGCCTCGTTCGAGGTCGAATTCATCAGCAGCACGAGGTTGGTAGGCCCAAAGCGAGGAGACGAGATCGCCGGGGTGTATGTCATCTTCCGAGTAATAGTCCTTGAAAAAGCTGAGCTGTTCCGATTCGGATGTGCCTTCCGGTGAGGAGACACCGTCACGGGCAGGACTGTCGTACGTGCCAAAAGCGAGAAGTGATCCACTAGAAAGAGATCCGTTTCGTCTGGGGGGAGGATCAAGGCCAGCAGTGCGTGAGTGTGGCGTTCTCTGCGTGTCTGGAGGAGAATCGATTGCGCTTGGTGGCGAGCGCGTGTTACGTTCTGAGCTGCTTGAGACAGCCTCCAAGGCAGTCATGCGAGCAACACGACCACCTGGAAGAGCTTCAATTTTGTCGCTTTGGCTCCTACTAGCGCCATCATGACGGTATGCCATGGCCGGGGGCGCAGGGCCTTGTCGAGACCTTACAGGCTGGTTGAAAACACTGGCTGCTGGACTTGCCTGTTTTCGACGACGGAGGAAGATGCATGCCAGGATCAGAAGCGCAAGAAGGATAAAAGCGCCAAGTAAAGATCCGATCACAATACCAGCGATCGCACCACCAGAAAGCCCCTTCCTTTTGTTTGTGTTTGGAGATGCGGTAAAAGAAGGAGATCTTGTAGCAGTTGAAGATGGACCAGATGAAGTTGATGTGAAAAGAGGCTGCATGGATGAAGTAGCGACGATAGGCAGAACGACATTGTCGCATCGAGACGTGGTATTGGAATAGACGCAGCAAGAGTCGGTGGCATTCGGCGAGCTTGCAGCACAGTAGGAGCAAAGATTGACTAGATTTGAAGAGAAGCCGCAATTGTTGGGTTCATTAGTAACACCTGCAATGCATGAGCCGGACAACGAGTTCGCAGGCAATGCACAGTTGGTGAAATCAGCGCGAATCTGGCTGATAGCATTCGAGCTTGCTTGGCCACAAATGTCACTTGCAGCAATGGCTTGCTCACTCTCTGCGTACTCGGCCTGGGTAGAGAGTTAGTAACCAGATATCAGGCTTCCAGAGGTCAGTATCTTACACAGGTGTTGGCACACAGAGGGCGAGTCGCATCGCCAGTCAAATCGCATGCGGAGATGGAGTTTTGAACAATGGCATTGCAGAGCACGCTCGATGTGTAGCGTGCATAGTAGTCGGACGAATTCGACAAGTCGAAACTTGAGCAGCCGATCAGGTCAGAATATCTCTGCTGAATGAAGCCATTGGAAATGTATTGTTGTAGTTGTGTGTCGAAAGAAGAAGTGTCGGTAACATTGGCAAGGAATGGGAATAGCCCAGTAAGGGTGCTGTCGGTTGAGATAGAGGCCGTGTTGAAAGCACGGCACTCGGACGAGTCTGTCAGAGGAATGCAGCTCTGAGCCAGGGCGGACGGGAGCGTCGCGGCCGTTACGGCGAGAGTGTAGAGCGATAGGAAACGTCCCGCTACTGTCTTCTCCCCGGACCGCCGATGTCTTGTCGCCGTCTCTTTTCCCGGGCTCTTTGCGCGTGGCGCACGCTCAGTGTTGCCGTTGCCCCTGGGTGCGCGCCGCGTAGGGGCATTGTTGGTCATTGTCTAGACGCTCGACTATTGCATAAAGAAGATGTATTCGAAGACTGCGAGTGGAGGAATTGGGTCGTCTCAGTTGAGAAAGGATTCGAGTTTGACCGAGGGTAGTATTATCGTTGTAAAGTAATCGGAGAGGTCGTGTTGGTTAACGTTAGGTCGAAGAAGAGAATCGTTCAGGAGGCAGGCCAATGAGCGACAGAATGAAGTACAAAGCAGGAAATAGAAGGGCAGAAAGATTAACGAAAGACAGTGGACGAGGCAACCGCGCCTCTGCTACTCCAAAACAGCAGTCGCACCCAAGACGTCAAGGCGAGCTGACCGAAGACACCGGGCCCAGCCAAAGTCGAAGATGTGCGACGCTGAACTCCCGGCGCGGCATGCCACCTCCCGCTGCAAACTTGATCTGCTCCATTCCACTTTCGGCTTTGGCTCGTCTATTATTCCTGGTTCGCTTGACAGCCAGCGTGCACCATGATTTGTAGCAGTCGATGAATTGTCATGTTTCTGGTGGCATAGAGTCAGGACTGCTGGTACCCTTGCGGCAACTAGAGTCTCCAGCCCGTGATTGGAATACTACAGCATGCCTCTAGGAACATGTGTTCCTCGACTGACAGGCACTGACAGCGATGACTGCCCATCGGCATGTTGGCGCTGAGTCTTGATCCACGTTCTCATCTTTCACCGCTGAAGATGACTTACATTGGGGCTATCGTCTTGTCGGACAAACGACATCCGACGGAGAGCTCGCGCGAGAGTGGGTGTAGATCATCTGAGTATAAACTTCTTGTCCGGAGGAATCGATCGGCTGTGTCAAAAAGTCCGTTTGCTTTTCTTGTGGAATAGAAGCCACATGGTCAGAAAGACAAGTTCTTGAATAACCGGGACGTGCTACTACAGGTGCGTGAAGCTTTCAGGACGTGTCGCGGCACGTCACACAGGGCCACGTTTGACCCGGTTCAAAAAGTACAGCATATGAAAGAAGCTCTCATTGACCAACGGACATACAGATATGAATAATTGACTGCTTCTAAACTAAACCCATACTGTCATCTTAGGTATGTGCATGCAGCAATCATGCGCTGTAGAATGTCGCCGGACTTCAGTCTTGGTGGTCGTTAAATCATGAGTGCTTGGAAGCTGTGGTAGTGTCTGAAGCCTTGGGGCCGGCAGCAATCTCAGCAGCGATCTGGTCTTCGGTCTTCTTGTTGCCGTGCGAGATGAGACGGTTCAGGAAAGAGCCGGGTCTGCCCTGAGGGTACTTGGAGTCTTCGGCCTCGGCCTCCTCGAGCTGCTTGTGAAGGTGGCCGGTGGTCTCCTCATCGAGTTCCTCATGCTCATCGAAGTTGGCTGTCGCAAGTGGGGTCAGCGGGGTCCAACGAAAGACGGCTGCGTTGGGATGTTACTCACTCTCCTTGTCGTGCATGCTGAGAGCTCTCTTGATCTTCTGTCTGACGGCCTGCATTTTGGCGATTGGTGTAACGGTAGATCTCTTGAGGTGGTTGTTGGTGGGTGACCTAAGACGAGTGGTCTGTCAGTCATCGACAGCGCCGACGGGGTGCCACGGAAGCCTTTCGTACCTGTGATATAGGAGTGCAATTCAGGTTCTCTCAGTGAAGGTAGACTCAGGTGCGATGATGAAGGAGGGAAGAAAGAGGAAAGCGAAGCTGTTTGAACGTCAAAGGCAGAAGTTAGAACAAAGATAGACGTGATCCAGGGCAGGCAAGTGCGGCGTGCCCTCGTCCAATGCCCAGTGACCCAGTCAACCCGTCGTCATTACCCCACATGAGAGCCGATGGCGCTGCTGATGGACCGTGATGGTCCAAAGTTGGAAACGCTTCTATTCCCGCAGAAGGCTGATGTGGTCTGGACCAAGCACATTCATGCACAGCTTGCGTGTCTCTGACTTTCGGATCTTGTGTTCTGTGAATCCATCAGATGCCAGCAGTTCGTGATGCACTTCAAGGATGCCACTCTGATGAACTATCGTGTTTCCCCAGACGGATCGCTGATCCAAACCGAGGCTCTTTCGGTCCCATGCGGTCTGTGCGAAACAGCTCCAACCTGCTTTCTGGGCACGCGTCGCGAGTTGATTTTCCTTCTAGAAAAAGTAAATAATATCCAACTGCTTCCAAGCATCAGCATCAGCATGATTGCGACGCTTCGTGGGTGATCATCCCGAAACCAGAGCTCATGTGTCGCTTTGAGTTGTTGGGTCTGCTCATTCTCTCGCTTCACACGCGCAAGGCCAAGTCCGGTCGGCACGGTGCAGATACCACCACCAACAACAACAACCATCATCTGGCTTCTCGAACTGTGCAGCTGCAATGCTCCACGAGGTCCTGCTCGCCCTCAGCGGCCATCCCTCGCCGCTGTTCCCTGCGACTGGACCGTCCGGCCGATCCGGTGACGCCCTTGTAGACAAAGACTTTCCACTGTTGTCATCATCAGAAGCGGCTTTATTGGCGACGGTTGGCAAGCTCGCCAGTCTGCATCGTCAAATTCGAGACCATGCAAGTCGAATTGTATCGCAGCATCCTTCGACCATCTGTCGTGCTATAGCTGCTTCATTACTGCGAACCCATCTTGCCCGCTTCCGAGAGAAGATCCTTGATGTTGAAAGGCAGATTTTGACCAAGGACACTGCCATAGTCGGTGCATACAACATCGTACCTCTCTCTGCAGTTGTTGGCGAATTTGATGATTGGAGTCGCCGCATGGAATGGTATTGGAATCTTGCATGTTTCATTCAACCTCTAGATTCACGAGACGCAACTAAACCTGACCAAGCGACTGGAGCTGGGGTTATTGATCATCTGAGATCAGAACTGCAAACAGGTTTTCCGGACATCGAAACTGCAGCAACCGAGTTGAGTTGTGTTGCTGACAAGGCATGGCTGAAACAGGTGTCTGTGTGGCTGCTGTACGGCTTGCTTCCTAGTCACGGTGCTGAAGACTTCTTCGTCACGGTGCAAGAATCTTCCGAGGGACCTCCATCGTACGTCCTGAGACGTGAATTGCTCCCCAAATTCGTTTCACGACAGACCGGAAGCTCTTTGCTGTTCGTCGGAAAATCATTACATCAAGTCAAACAGCACACGCAAGCTTCATCAGCATCACAAATTGCGCATGGTAATGAGGATGCTGCTCTTCTGAATGCACATCTTCAGTCTCTTACATCGCTATCATTTCCCCTAATTCCTGCTGCATTCTCTACCACCATATCCTCAATACGCTCATCCCTATCACAAAAGGTATTGCAGCGCCTGCTTCCACCAGATGATATCAAGCTTGTGCTTAGCACCTTCCGTCAAATTCTGCTCCTGGACCGAGGTGAATTTGCAGTCTTCTTGATATCCGAAGCTCAAGAAAGACTTGATGCCAGACGAGTTGAGCATGGCCGATACATGCAAGAACCATCAGGAAGAGATCTTCGTGGTGTCATGATGAAAGAAGGCGAAGTCAACGAATCGCTATCACGGACATGGAAGGCTTTGACATCATTACAAACTGAGGACCTTGAAGACGATGTGCTAGATTTTGCACGCGAGAACATGCGACTGGAGATTGACAAGGGACGAGCTGCTGCAAGACCATCAACCTCAGATGGTACAGCCTTGGATGCGGCGAGCCTGTCCAGCACATCTTTCAACGATCTTCTATTTCCTGTGCCGACTTCACTCACAATGCATATTCGCTCACCATTGGATCTCTTCATCTCACGCGCCGACATGGACCGGTACGCAGCGCTCAACGCCTATCTCCTGAGTCTCCGACGTGCACACATGCGTCTGTCCAATTTATGGCGAGAATCTGGCTCTAGACGTGCAGCCGCAAATCCTCCTCGTCTGAGTGCTGAAGCCAAACAACTAGCACATTCTCGCAGTACCTCCCAACGCAAAGTCTGGGCCACATGCAGTGCAGCTGTCTTTCTGTTATCAGAGACCACAGCATACTTCGAAGGCGAGCTAATCACAAGCTCTTGGGATACCTTCTATTCATGGGCTACATCACAGCATCACGATCCCGAAACGCTAGGACGAGCTCATCGCTCATTCCTTGCTGCGCTATCATATGTCATCCTACTCACGGATGCAGCATACACACGCGCTCTTCGCGACCTGCTCACCCACATTGACGCCCTAGTTGCTCTATTTGGCCAATTACAACGACTGCAACAATCATCCAGCCTCGGCGTCGGTGGAACAGATTTTCTCGACGACGAAGAAGCAGAAGTAGCACGCGAGTTGGACCGTTCCCGCAAGCGTGTAGACACGGCACTCAAAGACGTGGTTGCAAGGCTACGTCAACTGGACCACGAGCGTCTGGGTGCAGCTAGATACCTCCAACTTGATACTCAAGAATCAGGCTTCGAGGTGTGGCGTGGCGGTGGTGTGGATAGACTGCTGATGAAATTGGACTTTGGCAGGATGGCTGGCGGGGAGGAGTATATCGTTTAGCTCGCATGATGCGGGAGAAGAGTCCCTGTGGTACCAAAACCCATTGCAATGCAAAGAAGCTTTATCAATGCGAAAACTGATCGTTGTACATTTTCTATTTGTGGTGCAAAGACTTGTTGGGTAAGAAGCAGCGAGTATACCACTATGGAGGAGCTCAAGTTTACGTTGTGTAATATGTCATGGCCAGCTGGTTGAAATGCAATCATGTATGATAGCACGACTTTAACACGTCTTGTAAGGTGCAGGAGAAACAGAGCAGAGACACTTCATAACGTACAATTGCATATACTCATCGACTACACCCGCCCTCCTTGTCCTCAGCGTCTTCCCTATTCTACCAAATACCCAACCACTTCTTAATAGGCTTCCTCCTACCTTCAAAATCGGTATATGCCTCACCATCAGCAGGAGCAGCCTCCTTCTCACTAACGGCCTCAAGCACCTCCTTCTCCTTCTGTCCCTGCCTCTCAACCACCTCCCCGCCCTCCTTCGCCCCCGTCCCCATAACTTCCCCATCCCCTCTAGCCGTCCACCCACCGAAAATGCCCTCTCCCTCGTTCAACCCATGCGCCTTTCTAAATTCTGCTCTCTTTCTCACATCTTCCACTTTTTGGCGTCGGTGTTCTGCGGTTTGGGCGCTGATGTATTCGGTGTGCAGTTTATAGACATCTGCGTAGCGGGAGAGGAAAGCGATCGGGTGGGAGAAGAACATGTTGTTTGCGGGCAGTTGGTCGAGGTATGGTGTATTGGCGAGGAAATTGTTCAGCCAGGTGAAAAAGGCCAGGGATATGAGGATGGACTGGACAATGCAGTGAGTTTCTGTTCAATGACAGAGTGTGTGATGAGGTCGGACTTACCATGGTGATCCAAACGTGAATGTTGCGATTCGTGAGGAACCAGTGGAAGAAGGTGCCCTCTGGTGGCATCATGTGCGGGTACTGCTTCTTCTTCTGTTGGTCGCGTTCCTTTGCACTCAAGGGGACTTGGAAGGCAGGTTGTCTGTTTCGGCGAGGCAGACGTGCAGGATGGGACGGGGGATTGAAGCGTGTGGGCTTCTCGAGTAGGCGGCCTTTGGGTGCTGGCTTGGAACTGCTGCTGGCGGGGCGGGAGAGTAGGAGTGACCGGGTGAGAAGGGAGGTTTGGGGTGAGCGCATTGTGCGCAGTGTAAGCTGGCGTGATAGCTGAAGTGCTGCCATTGTCGACATGATGTGCTGAGACGGTCGATGGTATAGTGAGAAGGTGGGACCTTGTGGGTGGTGGAAAACTAAATGCGATCATGGGTGACCCTCGGCAAAAACTTCCCTCTCGAATGCGGCCAAACCGTCCACCTCCGAGGCCAGCAGCGACAAGACTGATCGACGGGACCCTTGAACCTTTAGGAACCCTGCATGTCACTAGAGTTTAATAACTTCGACCGCACGACAAGTCCTTGCGGAATACTTTCATATCTTTTCTATATCATGTTCTCATCTACGCTGTTGAGCTTGAGCAGAAACTACTAGTTCTGCTTCTTTTCGCTCGCATTGATCTTTACAACCGAAGGCAGCGATGTGAAGACGCTGGGCCAGACTAGCTTGAACTCGTCTTGACGTCCGTTCAAGCAATGACGGAGCCACACTCCCCAAACAATGTAGAAGTATGCTCCGGTTCCAGTCATGAGATGCCACCATCCATGTCCCTCAAGGAAGATACCCCAAGGCAAGCCAACCTCGTGGCGCCACTTGCGCAGACGGGAGCAGTAGACATTGTCCAAAGTCCAGATACCAAAGCCGCCCAGAAAGATAGACAATCCCATGGCAATCATGAGCCACATGGTCTTGAGGATCTTGCGGTCTCTGTCGTCCTGGCGCTGTTGTTCCTGCTCACTGAGAAGACTCTGCTTGCCCATGCTCTTGCGTGCTGCCTCTCTGGCCTTCGGGTTCGGGCGGATGTCGCGCTCCATGACGTACATAGATCTGAACAGGACAACTGCTGTCAAGAGTGCGTACATGTTCTGGTGGAAGACGGGATCACCAAGATAGTGGTAATAGCCTGTAATAAAGATTGACAGGGCGACCAGAAACAGGGCGAGGAAGATGCGGACTGAGCGGCTCTGCTTGTGCGAGAAGGTTGCATAGAACATTAGGCACGTTGTGTAGATCATCGAGAGTTCGTCGACAAGTTGCATCGGGTCTACAAAGAGTTAGCAAGCCTGTGACGTAGTTGGTCCAGAAGACTGACATTTCAGGGTCGAGTGGAAGAGAAAGCTGCCAGTTCCAACGACCAGGTATCCGATGAAGGTGACGAGGAAGATCTGGTCATGACCATTCTGAATGCAGTTGTTGATACCACGGAAGGCCAGCCAGACAAAGAGGAGGTTGGTCAGGGTGTTGACAATCTCGGCCGAGTAGATAGTGGCATAGTAGTCCTGGGCCTTGTCAGACTCGAGGATCGAGTTTTCAAGGATAGATACGACGAACCTCCTCACACCAATTAAGTGTAGAGGTTACGGGGCTCCAGTAGCCATCTCTGGAGGGAGGGTACGGTATTGATGGTAACATGGAAGCCATGACGGAAGCTTCGGAAGCTGTTCGAGCGAATGTGTCCAAGTCGAGTGGGTTCAGAAACTCCAAACCAACAGAAAGCAAAGAGAGCGACTCGGGAAGTTTAAGAATAAAGGAAGGAGAGAAGGAGCAGCAAACCTGGGACAAACAAGGAAGTCGACAGACTTTCCTGCGACGAACTCGCTCATCGACCAAAAGTGCCAAGCCGCGTGTCGTCAACCGGCCGCCGGGCAATCACATGCTGAACTTCTGTAAGCCGACTGGGACAGGAAGGCATTGTCCATACAACAAACACACGTCCACCCAACATGTCGCAAATGCGCCCGGAAGAGCTGCAGAAGGTTGATACAACTCTCTGCCACATACGACATGGCATGCGCTGACTTGTCCTGTCCAGCTCCTGATCGAGATTGAGCAAAAGGCCCAATTCTGCCAGCAACAAATGGTCATTGTCAAGACCCAAATGAACAGCAAAAACCGCGAGACCCGTATGCTGCAATTGACTGCCGCCGAGCTTGACGGTCTGCCATCTGACGCCAACGTCTATGAGGGTGTCGGAAAGATGTGAGCCTGCACACACTACCTTCCACGAGGGACTGCTCTTCTGACTTTGCATTCCCAGGTTCGTCGCAAGCCCGAAGACCGACGTCAAGGTCCGCTTGACAAAGGACCAAGACGCAATCAAGAAGGATATGGAGGGCCTGGACAAGAAGATGCACTACCTGGAGACGACCTACAAGAACAGCAAGGACCACTTGGATGCCATCTTCAAGAACGGTGGAAGGTGAAAGCTTTGACAGAACATCCCTCGCTCAAAGAAGATCATCGAACTCGAGTGCAGCCAGCAGAGTCGTTGATGAAAAGGCGCTTCCACGCTTCAAGGCATGCTCTGCCCCGAACTGTCATGAACGATTTACGAACAAAAGTCGAGACGGGAGACGCTTCAAAGAGGTAATCTCGAACATGCAGCCCTCGTCAAGGTGGCTTCGAGAGCGTACCTCTCGCGCTGGGGCGACAAGTCCTCAAGGACATGCCTGAATGTCAGATCGCACAACTTGAGTTATACAGAACTCTGTTTTGTGCAGACTGAAGCTTAGAAGATGTGCACCCCTCAAAATTACACCATCTTGATCATTCTCCTAACTCGTCTTATCGCATCCTGCGGCTATTATAGCAATCTATATATGCATCCTACTGCAGTCTATTGCTGCACTTTGACGCCCGATGATCCTTCAGCTCCAACTCTAACCTCCGTGTGTTGTTCCGAAAATCAGCTCGCTCGAATACCTTTCTCAGATTGAGAATTGTCCCAACACGACAAAATTATCTTTGCAGCTGAGAATAACCATACTAAGCATCAAGACATGATTGACAGTGCAGCAAGACGCGCCAGTTTCAAGACATGAATTGAACACACGCGCGCGGCACATGCGAGAGGAGCTCAGATCGCCAACCGCCGTCTGCAGCAGCTGGCAGCTGCAGTAGTCAGCGGGGTGAACACCATCCCTCCCCCTCCTGCCAACAAAATATTTACAATCTGACCGGTTGGTCACAAACGAGACAGGGCAAGAAGCTGCAAGCCGTAGTCATGTCTTCCTTTTCGTAAGCACCTTGACCGAATTCTAAGTCGGCCTATACCCAAGCCCCTGGGGCTTAACAGGCGGTAAGGCGTTCCATCCGCGACAGGCATCATGTCCTTTGGCATGCAGCAGCCATGGACTCTATTGGTGAGCTCGCGGCTTGTATACAGCACTATAAGCGGGCGGTCACGCGCGATCCTTCGCTTGTAGCCTTTTCTCCTTTGATTGTCAGCAGCCCTGATTCTCATCTTCTTCGCCCGATCATACGGTAGGCTGAGACTCTGTGTCATTGTCTTTAGAGGGTGTCGTGTGTTTCTGCCTGGTCTCTGTTGAGCGGATTGACGAATCTCCCTTCCTACGTTCTCCTCCTTCCTTCATTCTTCGAGCAAGATCGATACATTCTTATCGCATTCCTCCCGCCTATCTCAACCCTGCTGAATAGTGGCTTGCACACGCATCTTACCTCTCTCTCGCCGCAAGTTCGACGACAAAACACCTGCGTCTCAGTCCAGAGCCTGCGAAGATGCCTTATCCGTACGAACATTGGGAACATGATTCCTGGGAAGGTCGTGGCTGGGGCCCTCCTTCCCCTCCGCCTCAAGCCCGCTATTACAAAAACACATATCGACACAGTGGTCATCTCACACCCGAACCACAATACTCCAACCTTCACCGCTCGCACTCGCAAGGCCACAATACAGCGCATCCCACCAACATCCATATTCACAACAAGATTCCTATCACCCAAGAGACGACCAGTGCTCAACGAACGGACTCACGACTGCCCATGCCTGCACCCATGCCTCCTCCACCGCAGTTCCAGCAGCAGATGCCCATGATGCAACCACCCATTTTCGTTCATCAACAAGTCCCCATGATGGCGCCTCCCCCAATGGTCGATCACCACGCTCTACGAGCTCAACGCCTAGGCGAACAACTCCTCGCCGAACAAATAGCAGACATGCACCTGCACCGTCACCGCTCCCACTCACGAGGTCGCTCAACCGAAGACCAATCCGCTCGCCTTCGCTGGGAATTAGAACAACAACGCCGAGACGCAGCAGCAGCGGAAGCTCGTCGCCGCCACGATGAAGAGACCGCTGCTCTGAAGCAACAGATCGAGCTTGAACGTCGCAAAGAAGAAGCCTCTGCAGCAGAAGCAAAACGTATCCGCGAGGAAGAAGCCAATGCCCTGAAGCTCAAGCTCGAAGTCGAAGCAGAGCGCGAAGCCATAAAACGCAAACAAGCAGAAGAAGACGCAGCAGCAGACCGTCAACGTGTGATCGACGACTACGAACGCAAACGTGTCGCCGATGCTCAGGCCGCCAAAGATGCCGAAGTAGCTTTCAAACTCAAGCTGGACTTGCAAGCTCGTGAGGAGCAGGAGCGTGAGAAGAGAGCCTATGAAGATTTTCTCCATCGCCAACGTGAAAAGGAAGCAGAAGAGGAACGAGCCTACCGTGAAGCCCTTCGGAAGCAAAAGGAAAAGGAAGAAGCCAAAGAGAGGGAATATCAAGCTTTCTTACGCGAGCAAAAGGAAAAACAAGAAGCAGAGGACCAAGCAAAGAAGGAGGAACAAGCTCGTATTGATTCTGTCATGAGAGCTCGCCTCGAAAAACTGGGATACTCACAACATGAGATTGAACTCGCGTTGGATCCTGAAAAGGCGGAAAAGGAAAAGAAGAAAAAGAAGAAGCATCGATATTCGGGCGATGGCGACATAATCATGGTACCACCCAGTTTGCCTGATGCAACTCCCATGATGTCGGTCGGTTTCGCTCAAGGTAACGGACATGTGCCTGTCTATCCTCGCATCAATCGCAAGTTCTTGGACATCGAAACGCTGGAGCATTACCATGTGCCGTGGGAATGGGATCGTGTAAGTCTTGTGCCTATCACTTGCCGCAATCTAGTACTGATCTGACCTTCTTCCAGGCAAACTCGGAATACATCATTCTCCTCCGCGAACTTGACAAGTATGAGACGGACGTCCTCTTTGAACACACCCGTCGCCGTCGTCAAGGTCTATCTGCTCCTTTGCTTATTGAAAAGTCCAAGGACAAGGCGCCGAACTTTGCTTGGGTCAGAAGGAAGAGCAAGGACAGAAGCAAGAGTAGAGGTAGGGACATAAGGGTCACGGAGATTGTGAGAAGAGGATAGATGTCGTTTGATTAGATTGAGTAGTACGAGGTCTCGAAAGCTTCTTGGAAAGTGAGGCTCTGGGATGAAAATGGCAGATTGGAACACTCTCGGCAGAATGACGTGCAGGTGATATGCTTGAAATGTAGATTACTGCCCATTAAATGTGAAAGCGAATCAGCTATACGTCAAATGCATATTTGGATAGGTGTTTTGTGACTTTGGCCGCTTTATATTTGCCCGTTACGATGTTGGTTTGACAGCCGGAACACAGCTGACTGTGGTGAAAAGCCGTATCAATCATCATGAGTCTGTCGTGTACAAGATGGACGCTCCACAACATCTCAGCATAGAAACAAAGTCTTAAATGATTCGGAATGTTCAATGTTCCGTGTTTGAGTGGTCAACAATGCTTCCATGTCCAGAACAGGGTTGCACCACCCACATTGAGGACTTGATCGGAAAGGGTGAACGAAGTCCACGCGCGTCTATACTTCACAATTCGATCAAAGCGCAGCAAGCGTCCGCAGAACGGATTGGACTGAAGGAAAGCTTCAATTTCAAGTGTTTGCGTGAAGCTGTGCAATACAAACCTATCGTGCGAGACATCGAGTTGAACATGCTGCTCGAAGCAAGCGTGATTGACCAATCGGGGATTCTCCGTCGGCAAAAGACTTGGCAAAAGCTCTGCGTTGCAAAGAAGGAAGCAGCTCTGGGTGTGCGGGATTCGACGACGCGAAGGAAAAAAAAGTTATATCCAGCTGCCCTTCTACAACTACACCACCAGCCCACCCAAAACATCACAAAAATGGCCAAGGACAGAAGCGAAAAGAAGGAGAAGAAGGAGAAGCGCAAGAGCGTCGACGCATCCGGCGTCAAGAAGGAGAAGAAGGAGAAGCGCAAGAGCGACGCTACCGCCGTGCTCAACGCCATTGAGGACGCCGCCCCCGGCGCCGTCGCTGTCGATGCCGACGGTGATGTTATCGTCGATGCCGACGTTGTTGCCGACGAGTCATCCGCCTCGATTCCCCTCGGCGCTCTGGTTCCTTTCGCCAACCCTCTGTGCGACGAGAAGGCCACCAAGAAGGTCCTCAAGACCGTTAAGAAGGGTGAGTCCATGAAGCCTTTTTCTTTGCTCGATTCACAAGTCGAGATCGAACAAACACCCAATCCCATGGGGACAAATTGCTAACAAATCTCACTTCCAGCCGCAAAGCAAAAGTGCCTTAAGCGTGGTGTAAAAGAGGTCGTCAAGGCCGTCCGCAAGACCACACCCGCCGACCCTGCCACAGCTCAGGTCGCAGCACCAGCAATTGTCATCCTTGCCGCCGACATCAGCCCCATGGACGTCATCTCCCACATCCCCGTCCTCTGCGAGGACCACAACATCCCCTACGTCTTCCTTCCGTCGCGCGCCGAGCTCGGTGCTGCCGGCAGCACCAAGCGCCCCACTTCCGTCGTCATGGTCACCCCTACCGCCGGCAAGAAGGGTGAGGAGAAGGATGACGAGTGGGACGAGGCTTACAAGGAGCTCAACAAGTTGGTCGTCAAGCAGGGCCAGCACGTCAAGGTTTAGAAGACCGAGACCGGTCTAGCCAAGCAGAGGAAGATCAAGGTCAAGCGAGAGCCATGAAGACCTTCTTCTTGATCTCTTGAATCCCCCCATCATGCCGACTGGTGTCCTCTTTTGCTTCCCCTTCTGGTGTCTCTCTAAGCGCTCAGACAGGGAGGCTTGAGCCGTGGACTTCAGCAAGGTGTCGGATGGTGGGGTTACTTGTTTGTCCCACTTTTTTCTCGCCGAAAGTCATGCATACAAAGGAAAAATGGGGCCAGGTTGTACTACGGCGGCGTTCAGAGGTGTTGGGTCCAAAAAGGCATGCAATTTTCTCAGTTCCTCGTTTTCTTTTGGTCATCGATACGCGTAAGCAAGAAGCAAAAAACGGTGGACCCGTCCAATTGAAAGTTGTTGGATTGGGTTCCACCGAGTACATACTTCAAAAAAGATGAATACTATGTACCTTTTCAAAAACGAACTTGAATGAATCAATGAAAACATGAAAAAAGTGTACAAGAAAACTGTCATCATGGTGGTAATATGGAAAAAGCTATACAAAAAGGCTCCAGCTGTGGTATGCTTGCTTCGTATCCGTCAAAAGAGGTATCAAAATGCAGAGAAGGAAAGTCGCCAAATCAATCCTATTAGGTCGACACAAAAATCCATGACCTCCCAAAGCAGTGTCTGCGCCAAATGCTCCTGACAAACGCCATAAATGCATCTTCTTACTAAGGTGATGACGAGGAGGAGATGCTTCCTTGCTCCACATGCGGTTCGTCGACCTGCATCTTGTCGAGTATCTTTCGGATCGCTTCGCCTTCGTTACGATCTCGGTCCAGTTCGTCAACCAGTGCAAGGGCCTTCTTCGCCAGACCACGAAGCACTTGACGGGTATACAAGAAACTACCCGTCTTCTCCATGTACTTGACGGCATATCTCTTGATTTCTTCGTCTTGCGGCTTCTGTTTGAGGATGTTGATGAGGACGAGGTTTTGCGGATCCGAGCGGATGCTGTGGATGACAGGGAAGGAGAACTTGCCCTCGGTCAAATCCTCACATAGGCCTTTGTTTTGAGTGTAGATGGTGTCGGAGAGGTTCTTGTAGTCGTCACGGATTTGGTAGAGGAGACCGATGGTATTGCACAGAGGAACGCAATCGATAGCGACGCTGCTCTCGGCTTGCATGAGTTTGATAGCCAGACGGAACAGACCGCCAGTCTTGTTACCGACCATCTCCAGGTAGTCGTGTTCGGAAGGGCATGTCAGCGAGTCTCGCCAGAAGAGATCCATGCCTTGACCTCGGTGTAGGTTGAGAAGCTCGTCGTTATAGATCTCGATGGCCAGGGGGTTGTTCAGCTTCATAAGCTCGCGAAGTGCGCAGAAATACACGTAGTTGGCTGAGTTGATGGTCTGAGCTGTGCCAAAGATGCTGTGTGCAACAGGTACGCCCCGACGTAAGACAGACGAGTCCTCCACGTCGTCTATGAGCAGTGAGGCCGTATGCAGCATACCGACTACTTTCGTAATAATGTCGAGGCTGGGTTTGGGCACATGCAACCAGGCGTTGAAGGCACCGATCAGGAGAGAGCGTATGTCCTTGCCCGGATGTCCGTCTAGGTAGTCATACGGTGCCAGCAGTATGCGATCCTTCTCTTGCGACCATTTTATCGTGCCCTGGAAGATGAGGTCGTCGCAGATGTTGTGCATGGGGTCTTCTGGCGGAGGGGATAGTCGTGGTGGGTAGGTGTGTGCTTGCGGATGCATCTTGGGTGACTTGGAAGAGTCGTGGTACTTGAGTCCATTCTGTTGTGAAGTGTTCGTAGTCGTGGCATTGCTGGAACTGGTTCGTGGTGGGATTGGCATTGCGCCGGGAAGAGCGTCGAGGGCCATGATGACTTTCAAGGCATGCGTATGTGTACGGATCGGGGTATCAAAAGAGAAGGAACGAGATGTGAGGGAAAGTGCAGTCGTCCGAGGTCACGCATACGAGTACTTCAATGATCAGGCAGCTGCGGGGCAGTCATCAATACATGAATCGATCGTCATAATTGAGACCCTTTGGTCTTTTGTGCCCGCAGTGGCACGAGGCACGAGGGCATATCCGTCCGCTCCGGGCCCAGCGGAGCATGTGAAAGCCCGTTGTCCGCCGAGTCTTGTGCGCCAAGCCCGATCCTTTGGGTAATCGATTGCTGTCGTCGAAATCGACAACTTCTCCAACAACTCCGTCGCCGGTAGCTCTCCTTTTCCCAAAACAACATGCCGCGACCTGCCATCGACCTTTCGGCCCATCGTCAGACCATCACATGGTGGATCACTCAGGAAAAATGGCACATGGATCGAGTCATGCAAGCTCTCGAGACCGAGCATGGTATCTCGCTCTCTGCAAACACCCTGAAACGCAACTTGAATGCTTGGGGTATCACCATTCGACCACGAATAAAAGTGACTCCGGAGCTGAGACAACGTATATACGATCTTTACTACCAAGAGCGCTACTATACCGATCAGCAAATGGCCAAAATCCTCAAGCGTGATGGCTTTACTGTTTCATTTCGTAAATTGGCAAAACTGCGCAAGGAGATGGGTTTGTCCAAGAGAAAGGACACCATAATGCCTACACATCCTGTCATTCCTGGTCAAGTCATTCAAGTGGAGGACGACAGCCCAGCTTCCGGTGATGACTCGGATTCAGATGATGATGATGCTGAAGCTGCCGCCGAAGACAACATAGAGGTTGATCCAATGGCTGCATTGGAAAATGTTATAAGAAGACTTCAAGAGCCTCATCCATCAAATCCACGACCTCAAGAACCAGCCGCACAGCCTAGAGAACCTGCTTGGCGGAAGAAGCGATTAACCGCTTCTTCTCAACCTATTCACCACGCACCTAGAATCTCAGCAACCTTTACCGACAGCAGACATTCTCCGCCAGCCCCTGCTAACAACGTCCGATCACCCACACCTCCTCTCATTGACGACTCGATTGCACCTGCTGGCACGGAAATCTACTCCGAGCCACCCGCAGGTGGTCAAGGCCTTGCAAGACGAGTTACCACGCTCGCCACACGGATCGAGGTTATAGAGACCGAAAACACTGGTTTAAGACAGCAGGCCGAGCAGCAGAAGACCGAAAACCTGGAACTTCGTCAATTGGTCCAGCAACAGAGGATCGAGATGGATCTGATGAGGGGCTCTCTCAACGAGCTGATTGCGAGGTTCAATTCTGCTCACTACTGATCGAAGTGTTCATCTGCTTTCTTGTCCTTGTGTTCAGAGATACCCTATCGTTCATGCAATTTTGCTCACAGCTGTTTCCTGTTTTGCATTATGGTACTCTTGATCAGCATGCTTTTAAATTTGGCGCACTTGATTGATTGTTGGCCCGGAACATTCTTGTGATCTACTGCACATGTTGGTCACTCCCGCCTTCTCAACTTGCTGTTTCGCGTAAGCAGGAACACACAATTTGCACGTGAGACTTGTCAGAAAGGAGAGGATAAAATAGTGTTTTGGTAGGTGAAGAAGGGAAGCTTCATGTCTATGTCTATATTATGATTGGAGTCGTGATCATCGTGACTGGGATGCGCACATCCTTCCCTCTATAAATAACGGGGCGGTACGACAAAATAATACATTAATGAATGATAGAAAAACGAAAAAAGACCATGCCTTAAACAATCAACTCCAAGCAATGCTCGTCTCGCAGGAAATAGCCAGGGTGCATGGGAAAAACGGAGAATCGAAAATCGAAAATCGAAGAAGAGGAATTCGCTGGCCATGCAGAGCTCATCTGAAGAAGACTCGGACAAGGACGAAACGCTGACGCCAGAAGACAGATAATGAAATTAGGGAAACGGTGTGTTGGAAGAGAGCAAGCCGAGAGTGTCTGCATCAGAGACTGAAAAGACCACTGCGTCTCTTGCCGAACGGGTAGACAATCAACGTCGAAGCGAAAAGTCCGACCGTGATACCAATGGCGATTTGCACAACGGAGTATCCGACGTTGAAAGCGACGGAGTTGACGCTACCGCCAGACTCAAGTGTGGCAGCGTCGGTAACGGTACTACCATTTGTGATCTTTCCAGCAATTTGGTCGGCGGCCGATACACCAGCCAGCAGGCTTCCACTGACAGCGAGACCACTAGGCACCTGTACTAGAATGGCAGGCAACATGGACGCAGCCGCAAGACCATAGCCCACACGTCTTATGCGCGGCGTAAAAATGCTTTCGTTGTCGTATGCATTTCCAGACTCCATTGCTTCCATCCTCTTCTTAGAAAGTATGTTGCGCCTTGCTGTTGATTTGCCACGGATCCATTTGTGAAATTTTCTGACTTGCGGTCGCAAGTGTGCCTCCCAGATATCCAGAGCTTTGTTCTCGACCTTGGTGCCGAAACGTGAATGCAAATTTGCAACAAGACCGATGGCCAAAGCACTAATTGTAGCGCTAATCTGTGTGTTTCCAGGGAACCTGTTCTTGAAGCCACTGTTGACCAGATAGCCTATTATGGCAATTGCCATCATAATTGGCATTTGTCTCCACTTCGCTTGGTTCAACACACACAAGCAAAAGGAAAAGACGATAACAGCAACGTACTGCAAATGGACATCTATCGCGGATGGGCGGTTATCTAAACACTTAGTGGTTGAGACGGCATTGTGGTCAACGGCGCCGTATAAGACGGTCCCAATTGTGATTCCGAAGCCAAGAAGTAACGAATAGATGATAGCGTACACCATTCTTGTACTTCCGGAAACAAGACTTTTGGATTGGAGTTCCAGCGAAGCGCGAAGAACTATCCAACCAGGCAATATCAAGGCAATCGACGACTGGACGAGAGCGGAGAAGCAAAAGTACTTGCCATGCCCTATGGAAGCAAAGGCTCGTGCCAGGAATGAGGTGATGATGGTCGCCAGAATTTCGAACATGTTGCTGATTCCTTCGCTTCTGAAGGCTATCACCTGAAGATAGCCAACAATGCAACCAAGAAGGCAGCAGATGGGCAGATCGATCCACGCAGCGTTGAATGCGAATGGTGCAACAGAGGCGCATCCAAGACCGCTCATGGCGACTAACCATCGATTGTTAAAAGGTGGCTCCTTGTTGAAGATATCTTCAATGCGTTGGGTCGCATCTTGGACTCCCATACGATCATGGAGAACGTCTTTGTAAACATCGTGAGCATCTCTGAGCTTCCCAAGATCTAGAGCCTCGCCAGCGCGGACCATCTGAACTTCCGTTGTGTGGGTCGTGAGGTCGTCGAATGAACATATCATGCAACCGGGAATGTAAAGGAACTGACAATCGACCTCGAGGACTCTAGCACTCATACGCATATAAGTTTCCATACGGTGCGTCGGAGCACCGTAGGTAATCAACGCTCTGCAAAGCTTCAGAAGATACTTTTGTCGGGCAAGAGTTTCTGCAATATGTTTGGTGATGCGTATTTCCTCCTCGAGTCGCGGCCGACCAATACGCCCAAGCACATTGCTGCTCCGAGCCTTCTTAATTCTCTTCTCGGCCTCATGACGCTGACGTAGATTCTCGGTGACTTGTTCACCCAAGGGCAGACCAGAGATTGGAGTACCTCCGCTCACAGAGGAACCGACCAAGTAAGCTAGAGAGGAGGTTGAGTTGCTGTGACTTTTTGAGTGCCACAGTTTTGAATGTCTGCCACCAGGAGTGCTGTAGCCGGAAACAGGTCTACTGATCGGAGTGTTGTAACCAGAGGAAGGAGGTGAGTGCTGCGGGGTGTTGAAGCCACTGCTTCCATCACGGAAGTGAGCAGGGCGTGGCAGACTGGAGGAGCGGTCATGGCCCAAGTCGGACGGCCCATCGTGGTTATAAAGCTTGAGCAAAGCACCCAAGACGCCGGCGCGATGACGTTCTGGCTTAGGGACATAGTCAAGATAGGCTTCGCGTTCGTAATTGGGTGTGGCCGCGGCGGATACCAAGCCAGAGGAAGGGCCAATGTGTAGAGCTGGTTGAGTCATAGCGGCGTGAGCACGCACAAGCTTGTGTGCCGATGCGTGGAGGTTTTCTGACGCCGAATCGTCAAGATGGCGAAGAGGATCGCGTTCGTGAGCGTCTTCCTCAACGTTGACCTGGCTGAAGTCTTGGAGGGGGATGTCACTGAGGTTTAACTTGAGCTTAGGCAGAGCGAGTTTCCGAGCGGGTGAAGTAGCTCTCGAAGCCGGAGCGGATGAGATACGCTCGTCCAATTCCAGTCTTTTCCCGCGCTCGTGGGCCTCTCGTGCTCGTCGACCTTGCACCGTGTTCTCGTGGTCGTTGTCTGAAACTGTCGAAAGCGCGGAATCGCCACGTCGTAATACAGGGCGTGGAGGGATACGTGGAATGGTAGGCGAGGAAGCCGTCGGCGAGGACGATGATGCGAAAGCAGCCTTGATCTGGTCCGAGACCTCAGACGATACCTCAGGAGCGTGGCTTCGATACGACGATAGTAAGGCCTCGCCAGTTCCACTAGAGTCCCGAGAATGTGAAATGAAAGGACTCTCAGAGGATGCAAATCCAGGGCTCAGTCCGCTGGGCGGCGTTAGGGTAATTCTCGTAGGAAGTGTGATGCTAGCAGGGCGGTGTTTCCTGAACAAGGGCGGTTCTTCAGCATCTGGATGGAAGCCGACCTTCTTCTTGTCCTTTGCCCTGATGCCTCCAGCACTACCTGGTCGACTCGGTTCCATGCTGCTCAGGTAATCGCTGGACTGATTCGAATTGAAGTAGGGTCCATGTTCCAGGGCCTCAGGAGGATCCTCGAACGGGTTGAGCTCGATTCGTGGTGTGTTTGCTGAACTCATCGCTGGAATTACTCACTGAGCAGAGGCTTGATGCCTCGCTCGATTAGAAACAAAGAATATTCAAACGTGAGTTTTGGGATGCGAGTGGCTGTGACTGAAAGCGTGAGGTTTGGCTGCCCCACCTTTGAAAAGTCGACGAAAGCAACGAACAAAGATGCAATAGCAAAGTCGAAAGGAAAGACCGGACGACCGACGCGTCTTTCCACCCCGGATTAAAAATGGGAATCAAGAGAAAATATGGGGAGAAAACAAGATGCGCCGCCACTGAACTGGGGTGTTGAGGTCCACCGTTATTGCAGAATTTTGGGTAGCAGACGTGTGCAATAAGGACCGATACAGGTCGGGAATAAAACGGACTTAACACGCAGTGTGTGTATTTGACTGGGCGACAAGAGACAAATATTCTGGAAAAGGGGTCAGGATGTTCAGAGGAAAAAAAAGCGGTAGTTTATGGAAGCGCTTCTTGGGAAAAATCCTGACATCTCCCAGATGAAGTAGTAGTTCTAGCCGTCCCACGGTGTCTCCTGAGGATTGTGCCCCAAGGGGATAGTGGGACCATGATGGCATTTGGGTTCAGCAAAGACCTCCTTCTCCATATCAAGAGCGACGTCGTGATGGACGAAACGGGGCGAGACCAGTTATCAGTGACCCACAATTGCTGCTTGGAAGTTTGGAGACTGCTGAGCGAGGGAGGATCCGAACGATACGAGCATGCAGACGTACGGGTAAAGAGTGTCGGTACGGCTTTTGAGATCTATTCACAGGAAACGCGCACGAATAGCTACGAATAGATGTCGACAATTTCCCATCTATGGAAGGGACCACAAGCTGAACATTGAATGAGCACGACTTGCGACAAGGAGTATCGACAGATCGTCAAGGAGGCTGATCGGTCTCGGTAAAAGCACCGAGTCAGGCGGCGATAAAGATTATGCAAAGACGCAGGGTTCAACTTTCTGCTAGCTTATTGGGACGACTTGCGATCGTCGAGACTCCATCCATACAAGGCCGTTCCTCTAGACACGAGAAACAGCCAAGCTGTACTCCGTACTCCTTGCATGAACATGGCGACAGCGCGCACATAGGTATGCAGCTTTCGTCATTTCTTACTCGCCAGGTCTATAATCTTGCCCTGCCTGCCGGCCGTTGATATCTCGCTACGACGTTGATGGCGTGGCTGAAGCCCGCCGCGTGGTTCTCAAAGGACCGATAGGAACTCCATGTCGAGCCGGTTGCTGGGTACGTGTACATATCTTGCTCGTCGCTGTCAAAAGCTCCAGAAACAAAGAGAACAGTTTGCGTGTGACTGCGCCCGGAAACAAGAGGCCGGGGTCAATAAACAAGACTTGGCAAGGGAACCCGGCGCAGATCCTTTTCTCTTTCGCTCGGAAGACTAGAATGGGAAACACTGATCCGGTTCACCACCCCGAGGAACGATTCCTGCAAGTGCAAGATTTGCTGTGAGATCAAACAGTTGCAGGACCACCAAAGCTAGGCGGTCGAGTGTGTTGTTTGTTTGGACTTAAATTTCTCTCATCCTCTTTGCCTCTAGCCACTTCTATCTCTGTATCAACTCATGATGTGTATGCAAGTCATCAGAAAAACAAAAACTCCCCTTCGTCACGTCATTCTTGCTCCGCTATGGTATCTGCATCGTTGCGCAAAACAGCTAAAAATAAGAGAAAGAATCGCATGCTTTGCTTCAAGCCACCAATGTTCTTGATGCTAAGTACCTCAAAGTGTCCGTGAGAATATGTTCTTGATGCTAGGTACCTCAAAGTGTCCAGAACTGACTGCATGCTCTGAATTGACAAGTCAGAAGAATTATTCAGGCGGTGCTGCTTGATCCAGAGTATCCAGAGTCCCGAACACTGTCCATTTCGTCCTCAAAGTCTATGTCGAACTCGGGTTCTTTGCTGCCCTTAGCAGCACCATCCTCATCGAATTCATCGTCTTTGTCGTCAGCATCTCTGCCTGCCCAATCCTTCTGATCAGCAGCCCTGGTGTTCCATCGCAAGGTACGGCTGATGGCATCAAACCACTCCATCGGTTGGCTGAGCACGGTCGGGAAGGGGTATTTGCTCGCTCTAACGACGACCTCATCTCCTAGACCAAGCTGTATTCGTCCCTTGCCATCGAAGCTGACAAAGCCACCGCCTCGGCCTTTCGTGGGGACGGAGACCTTCAATTCCATAGAGTCATTCAAGATCATTGGGCGGAAAGATAAGGTATGAGGACAGATGGGTGTGAGCAAGATGGCAGGGATTTCTGGGTGTACCAGACTTCCACCCGCTGAGAGCGAGTAGGCAGTCGAACCAGTTGGTGTGCTGAGAATGATGCCATCGGCAGAAATACGGGTGACGAGAGAGTCATTGGCGTAAAGGTCTAGCGATGAGATGTAGGAAGACGGTCCCCGGTCAATGACTAGCTCATTGAGCACTTCATGAGTCTCGCCCTCAATTTTGGTTGGATTTGATGTGACAGGGCATACTGAATCCGAGGTGTTGGCCGCGTTCAACGAAGATGATGAATTTGATGCAGCAGCGCGGTAGACTGTGCAGGTAAACCGCATACGCATCGTTACCCTCATACCTGCATCACCCATGATACGATCTAACTGATGCTTGTACTGGTTGAACTGGAAATTTGTGAGGAAGCCCAAGGAGCCCAGGGAGAAGGACATGACGGGCGGGACAATGCGCTGGAATAGCCACGATGTGAAGAGGACAGTGCCATCTCCTCCTAGAGTTATGACGAGGTCAAAAAGCTCAGGAGAGGCCCAACACAGGGCTGGGGTCCAAAAGCGAAGCATGCTTTCGAAGCGACTGTCTTTGGCAGTCAACGAGTCAGCATCGAAGCGCTTTGATCGGCGCAGCTTCGAGTCGACATAGACATTGACACCAACATCGCTGCCATAACGCGGTTTGACGAGCAGCCACTCGGCCAATTCGCGAGTCAGATCAACCAAAGCATTATCGCGAGCCTTTGTGACTATCATGACATTGCGTACGGCTTGCTTTGTGGATCTTCGTTGTAATTGGCGTGAGACCTCGCGAACACTGGCAGCCGTCTGCATAAGACGACTGTGAGACAGTTGGTCATCTTCCTTTATCTCGTCCAGCACTTTTTCTATGTTGACGGCGTCTCCGAAACGGCGGTGGAAGAAGCAAGGGCTCGTCAGGGCAGCCAGCTGGACCATAGACGGGGTACCGGTTCGTGAGAGTTCGGATATGGCGGCCGAGAGTTCTGAGGCGGAAGGACCATTTCGTGAATTGATCTCTGGTGTAGGAATACCCAGCCCTTGGTTGGAAGGACTAGATGCGACGGCTGTGGGCAGACTGTTGCGGCGGCGGTACGAATCCCGCCTCGACGGTCCGTTGAGCAAATTTGGCGACATTGAGTGAAAATGGTTGGCGGAGTCTGGCGGACTGAATTGAAAGCGGTAGTCGTCCATTTGCGAGTAGGTCGAGGAGTTATGCGATTAAATCAGGCTAAGTTGTGACGATTAGAAAGACTGCGGCTTTCGGCTTTAAGAGATGGACCGATCCCGCGTGGAGAAGAAACCCTGGACGGAAGATATCCAGCAAACATCAATTGATACAAACAGTGGCTGGAAGAATCTAGTCAGGTAGAGATCATGAAGCAGACGAAGACATATCCTTTGGAGAAGACAGGAGACGAAGAGTGAATCGAAACCATCTCCATGACCCTTGCTCGCGAGTTGCGAGACGGAGCCGACGACGGCACCCCCACGCCGAAGCTCGGGCTAACCAAGTCTCCGGCCCACGCGACCAAGGACGAAGCCCGCGAGTCGAAAGGCTATTTTTGTTCAACTGCTTGACCGAGTGGACTTGTCCCTGTGCTCTCAATTCGACTCGCGATGCACTCGTGATGTCTGCGACTCTGCGTCTTGAGCTTGCTTGCCTTTCTGGCCTCGTTTGGCTGTCGGCTTCTTGGCTATTATGCAAGTCATCCTGTGCCGACCGTGTCCCAGCCCTCTGATACCGGCAATTCATACCGTTGTCCTAGCCGACACCTTTACTCGGACACGGCTCGAGAGAAGAAGTCATCCACCAAAGACAAAAGACTAGAAAGGCGCACCACAAAATCAACTGATTCTACTTGAGGATCGATCTACCCTTACAACATCGTGATGCGGTACGAGCACATTCCCTTCCTGCAAAGAATGTCCATCGCCATTGCCATTGCCATTACCATGTCCACCAAGTCCACCAAGTCGAACCACAATCCTTACTTCGATGGAAGGTTTGAGACTCGCCGAAGCGACACTCGGTCAGGTTTGGAACACCATTGTTCAAGTGTATGAGCGCTTGTGGCTGTCATCAGGTGGCCGGTTCATCCCACCACGACTTGTTTGGTCATTGGCGAGCTGCAAGCCTCTGCCAGCGCAAAGTGCATTGCAGATTGCATTGACCACTTTGTCAGCGTGGAACAGCTGGGAATTACTTGTGAGTACAATCAAATCCAACCTCGATTCCTGACGATGCGATGCACTTTGCTGTACGCAATACTGCACGTTTGGTGAGTGTGCAACATCCTTAGCAGCGAATCACCAGGACCAAACCATTGCCCAAGTTAAGGACACGAAACAAGCCTGTTGAGTTTCCCGGATTCTGGAAGAGCTGCAGACATCTCGTCGCGCAGTTGTGTCCTGAGCCTCCCGTGCTTCGAATTTCTGCTCGGTTCGGCCATGTGTTCACGCCTTGGACATTGACTTGTGACCACGATATGGCTCATCCCGTTCTTAGTTTCTAGATTCAGTGCCGAAAGTGTAAAGGCCGCATCATCCAATACCTGCTTCAGGAAATGGTCATGCTTGAGTTGAGTGGGTGTCCTCATAAGAGCCAAGTTTTGGCATTACCAGCGGTCGCACTGAGACAGGCAACCACCTACCCCGTGGTCATTCTAAACAGCTATCAGAGACGACAGCCTTTGAGCCAATCTTGATTGTAAATGTAGCAGCAAGATACGAACAGTCGTACAGTGATTGGGTTCCGTATTTCAGAAGCCGCTTCTGGTATCGCGGGTGCCTGGTTATGTAGGAAGGAAGTCGCGATGGCCGCACTTGTATACATGACAAGCAAAACTTCGCATCCACCTTCTCCACACCGATTCTTCCCAGTACCAACCTCGATGCAGGGCACAAAGTCATGCGATAGGAACTGGCGTTCAAGACACTCATGTTGCTCAAGCAGGGGAATATAAGGATAAGAATGTTTCTCTCCAACTCTGCATCGACTGGTTTTGTGCACTTCCAATACAGCAAAATTTCCAATATCTGCTCCTCGCTTCCGAGCCACTATTTAACTAGCCGCCATGGCCCAAAGGACGCCTGTATCTCACGTAGACACGTACTCAAGCCACGATATGCAGTCCCATCACCCACGTACCGCTGGCGATGTCTTAGTCAATGTCGTTGAAGGCTCCGGATCCGAAAATGAGTTCCAAACTCGCAGCAAGATGGAAGTAAAGCATCGAAAGAAACAAGTCGCTCCGATCCAGACAACGTTCTATTGCTGGAAATTCACAAAGGCGGCCCCGAGCAAAGATAAAGACGCCCCAAACTGGAAACGAGCAGAACGAGTTCAGATGACGCTGCCCTCCGACGAACTTGCAGCGCAAGTCAAGAAGCAGTGCAAAACGAGGTCGCTCACCGAAATGTACGAAGCACTGTCGACAGATCAGCGTCAACAGGTTGAGGTGCTTGTTCAGAAGAAAAGACGCGAAGAGACCAGTCGGTATGCAAATTGGGAAATTGCTGCAATACACCGCGAGACCTTCAACAACCTAAGAACAAGAGTCAGAGAGACCACCTTCATCCGCGTGATCTTGAGACGAGAAGACAGTCGAAGAGTCGCCAGTCTACCCCAACCGCCGAAGGCGCTTGATACAATAAGCAATATCTCTGATCTCAATGATTTGTCCAGTCTGCGGTCGAAGCAGGTGGGCTCGGGGGAAGACCTAATTTTTCGTTCTGACAGAGCAAGCTTCGAGACAATCCCAAAAGATAGGAGAAGTCGTGAGGATGTGATCGAAGTCGTATCTGTCCCCGACATCTTTCAAGGTCCCTCCACTCCTCCAATGCCACCACCAGTACCAAGCGCTCTGATTTCACGACAAAACCAGGCCTGGGAGGATAGAATCAAAGATCCAAGTGCATTCCAGGAGGACCAAGAGCTATCGATACCTTATTATCAACCAAGTCTCTGGCGACCGCAACAATTTTCGACTGCTCAACAGGCCCAGCAGACTAAGCATTGCTCTCATGAGCAGGGTGCCCTTGCATACATAGCCGGAATGAAGCAAGATGCTTACGGCGGAATCGAAGGCCAACAACATGATCAACAGAGGCAATTATCACGTCAGCCACAAGCGCCCAACCTTGCGGTTGGTCCTAGACCCTTGGCTATGCAACCAATACCACAGATGCAGTGGCGACCAGGACCACAGCGGTACCAGTCATACCCACAGCACTCTGATCTGAATGGAGATCAATATCAAGACTACGATGCCAAACGGCAACAACCACACCCAAGCACACAGCGTGGAGGCCTCGGCGAGTTCGAAGCAATCGTCATACAGCAGCCGACAGAAAAACTCAGACGACACCAGACTGATCAGATACCGCCGCGATCTAGCCTCCCGGGAATATGGTCAGAGCAACTTTTACCAGCACCATGGAACTTTGAACATAGCGCTCATGAAATCTCTACTGAGACGCCACCCTCTCTTGAACCACAACTGATCGAAAGGCAAACAAATTACTTCGGACCACGGATTGACAATCATTTTGAGGTAGTGGAGCCGCTCTCCACTACAAGACCTCCATACATGAATGCTGATGCACCAATGCCGACCACCAATCACTACTCTGAAGGACTTGAGAATCGGAGGGAGACTTTGTACAACGATGAAGCTCCCACGCAATCTGAGTGGCCCAGCTACAACCCTGTCGCTGAAGAGGCAGATCTTCCAGTGTCACATCTCCAGCCACAGCAGCAGGCGAAACGCACCAACCAAAGTGCCGAAAGAATGAGACGAGAAGATATATTGTTCTGGAGAACTCAAGCTCAGCTTAGCCACTCTCGATCTTCCTCAAGTTTAGACGACCAGTCATCGACCTTGGCGTCTCCTGAACAGAGTACGCCACCCACGTCCATATCAGGAGAAAGAAGACCTTTGGATCGCAGAAATACGGACAGACCGACCTACGACCCACCAGAACAATTTGGACAGCAGCTATCAGCACACGAGTTCCTGCGTCCGAGCAGTAACCGACAGCACGAAAAGCCGTCCGTGAACCGAACGCAGAATGAATATAGACCACAAAATCGCCGAGGTGTCAGTTTTGAGGATCAACAACCCTCAAACCTATACGCTCCCAGCCCCAACCATCAGAATGCCTATCAGCGACCATTGGCACCAGAACCTCCGGCACCTCAAGCAAACTATGTTTCACAACACTCAAGCCAGCATTCCCGACCTCAGCACCTAGAGACAGATAACGCATCCATGCTCGAACGTTTGAACGAACGCCTAGATCACATGGAACTTCGACAAGCAGAAGGAGCAACCAGGAAGGCCGTGGAAGCGGTACAGAAGAGGAGGGATCTAGAGAGGAAAGAAGCATATGACCGAGGCGTCGAAGATGCGATGAAGTGGACTCAACCACGCCCGAGTGGATTTGGTCGGTTTGATTGAAGATTTATGATTGTCTTGATGTGGATTGTGTGTGCGTAGCGACACGGGAGCTCGTGAGGCGACTGAGCTCTCTACGGCAAACGATGTGTGCCTTCTAGCAGTCATGGACTAAGACACGAAGGAGGAAGAGCCAACGTTTATATTGTTTGGTGATATTGATGAAATGATTTATGAGGAGTAAAAGATGCCTCTGGAAGGGCTTTTGAAATGATTTGTTTATAAGTTGTATGCTACTTGATTACTCTGCTGTCTCTGTGGTAGTACTATTTCATTATTCTGTTACACTTATTTCTGTCGTCCAAATTTCTGGTTCATCAAGGCATGAGCTTGCTGGCAGACTCAGCCTTCTTGCGGTAGACATCCAAAGCCACTGGTAAGTCACCACTGTATCCGATGTCTCCTTGCATCGTTTCGAGCTTCTTGGTCACCTTACCAACCAACTTAGCAATCCACTTGTCGTTGGCAGCAGCGTCAACAGCGACTCTTCTCATCTTGTCGTTGAGGTCGGTCTTGACTGCCTTGGTGAACTCTCTAAAGCCGTGGATCTCCTTGTCCAAGCTCTTTTCGCCCCTGTCCATTTCAACAATCTTGGTGGCTTTGACAAGGGCTGCGACAAAGTCCAGGAGGTTCTGGTCAAAGCAAGCAGGAAGGCGCACGTGAGCAGAGACGTTGACGTTAGTTTCGTCTTTGCGTAGCTGGGCCAGTTCCTGTTCGGCTTGGATAGTCTTGGGCTGACTGTCGGCATTGTCGATCTTTTCTTGTCCGGCTGCTTCGTCTTCTGAGGTCGGAACAGGTGGAAGAATGTGTTCGTGGTGGGGCAGCAGGAAAGATGGCACGCTGATACGTGCATCTGCACCTCCAAGACGAACAATCTGGTTGTAGTCGACCTGTTCCTTTACTGTGCGGTAGACCATGATGTCGTCGAACAGGAGGTCGGAGAGGATGTTGAAGACAGGGTTGATGGGGACAGAGGCCATGCCAGTGATCTTCTCGGCCTCAAACACAAAGTTGGCATCTTTGAGCCACGCTGAGATACGCCTCTTGAGGTTCTTAACGTCTGAGGCCTCTTCAGGGTGATCTTTGAAGATGTGTTGGTGTAGCATACTCTCAATCAGAGCACCCGAGCCACCAGCTGTGATAGACTTGATGTAGACTGGATGGAAGTATGCGATAGGATTCAAAAGACATCTGAGAAGCAGAGGAAGTCTGTGAAGGAACTTGCGCATGGGCATATCTTGCTGCAAGGTTGATACACGAATAGATCGCTTGCTGCAGTGAGGAACCGTGGGCTTTTCGTGTAATTGAGAACAGATGGCAGAGCGGTAGTCTTTCTTGTTGTCGAGAAGGTCGCCGTCAACATGCTTCTTTCTCAATGCCTCTTCAACTTCCTTCTGACTGACGGAAATGACGCTACTCTCGTGGATGTAGTTGATGATATTCTTGTAAGTTTCCCTTGCGTGGTCGTCATCAGGAGATAGCTGTTTGACGCCCTTGAGCCCGACGCTGGGTGAGATGTGCTCGGGAGCGGAACCATTGGTCATCTTTTCTGTCATGGCAATCATGGGAGAACGTGTATCGCCAGTCATTGCGGCAGTAGCAAGTAGAGGGGTGTCAGATGACATGAAAGATTCACCGGTCGGCGTTCTGCCATTCTCTGCAAGCTTTCTAAGCGACATCTCAAGCTCGCCGCCCTTGACATTTGCATAGACATCAGAAATATCAATTCTTCTGAAGAGGCGGATTCGGACCTCGTCCACAGCAATCGCAACCTCCATGTCTTCAGAGAACTTGATGCCCACCTCAACGCCATGTGCGATGATCATGAGTGAGGACAGAGAGAAAGTCATACCACGGATGTTCATCAGTCCATTGACATCAACATCAATCTCCAGAGCCGGAAGGTCAAAGAAGGCGATCTGGTCATCGATGAATTGGAGCTGCTTGAGGACATTTCTGACACGCCTTCTGACGAAGCGTCCGACGGGATCAAACTGGAAGAGGCATGTCAAGAAGATTCCCGGGTAACATGTTGCGACGAATACGCCATGTAGGAGCCAGGAGGTTGCAGCAACACCGTACGAGAGGTTGATCAACAGAAGTAAAGACCAGATATTAAAGAAGGGCAAGATTCTATGACCATTGGCGGCGCCGGAGAGAATGGCGTAAGTCAGAATGGCTGCGCCAGAAGCAATCCATCTCAAGGGCCAGGTAAAGAGAGCGACAGATAGGACTGATGTCGCGGCAAAGAGATACGGTACAGGGATACCCAAGATCGGCTGGAGTTTCTTCTGTCGTTCCGGCAGCTCGCGTGGGGTAATGTTGGCATTCATCTTCGGATAATTGATGAATCGAGTACTGTTGGGTCCCCTGCTTCCGGAAAATGAAGAAGCCAGTCACTTGTGATTGTGCATGCGGAAAAATCCTCAGGTAGGGAAGAACGAAGGACGAGCTGCTTTGAGTTTGTTCGAATGTTTGCCCTTACTTCACTAAATTTCCACGTTTCCAGCAATTATGCTTGACGTCATATTCAGCGGCTCCGCTGGAGCTTCTACCGAGCGTCGGGGCTTTTTGTTAAAGCACATCTAACACTCTTGATCTCTTTCGGGATCTAGCTAAGAGACTGCAAAAGATTGACATATACGGCGGGAGCAGTAATACCCTGGTGTCACGAGTAGCATCTCGTCTGTATCCAGATTGACAGAACCTTGGATGTTGCCATGCCATGAACAGGATACACGTCTGCTCTTTATGAAAGCCCTGGTGTTCGATACCAGTTGTCGGCTAACCGTGGAAAGCATGGTACTTCAACGACAGCCACCTTCCAACAACGGCCATCATCATCATCACCATCAAAGACATCCAACCACATGAGTCTGTTCAGCGTAGCCAGACAGACAATCCGCAAGCCCTTCTTCAAACCTGCTTTCGTATGTGTCGTTGTTTCCTGCATTTGGTTCTACCTTCGATTGACCCCACCTCAGCCTGCCATCTCTCGCGCCATGCATATTCAGTCGATTCCCATGTGTTAGTATATACTTAGCAGTGCTTGCATATCCGAAGCTTATTTGCAACGCAGGGGAGGGTAGTGGTAACAACTATGCCTATCTCGTCGTCGATGACAACTCCAAGGATGCTGTTATCATCGACCCCGCAAACCCATCCGAGTAAGCAAGACTCTGGCATCATCTTATGGCAAGAAGAGTACCGACTGATATTGGAAAAGAGTACTTCCTGTTCTCAAGAAGCAGGTAGACAGTGGAGCCATCAACCTCAAGAACATCATCAACACCCACCAGTGAGTACATCATCACGACAACGTGTAAAGATCCGTGTTGACAGCTCCAAGCCACCACGACCATGCAGGCGGTAACGTTGAGATGGTATGTGCTGCATTTCCATTCGCTACTGGAATGCCTCTAGCAGCATAGAATGAAAGGAACAACACCATTAACATCAGTCTAGCTCAAAACATACCCTCTGCCCATCATTGGCGGAAAGGATTGCACAAAAGTGACCAAGACACCCGCACACGGCGAGACCTTCAATGTCGGAAGCATCAAGGTCAAGGCTCTCCACACTCCTTGCCACACCCAAGACAGCATTTGTTACTTGTTCGAAGACGGCGAGGATAAGGCCGTCTTTACCGGAGACACTCTGTTCATTGGAGGTAAGCGTTGACTCACCCACTTGGCTCCGAGCCAGTAGCTGACGCTGAAACAGGTTGCGGTCGCTTCTTTGAGGGTACCGCTGAGGAGATGCACAAAGCTCTGAACAAGACTCTTGCTGCTTTGCCTGACGAGACCAAGGTCTACGTAAGCAGACAAACCTATTGCTATCCATTGAAGTCACGCTGACATGTTATGTTCACAGCCTGGCCATGAGTACACCAAGGGCAACGTCAAGTTCGGTATCCAAGTCTTGCAGAGCGAGCCTGTCAAGAAGCTCGAGGCTTTTGCCAACGCCAACAAGCAGACCCAAGGCAAATTCACCATTGGTGATGAGAAGGTTGGTCTTCAATCGCTCGCACCCGTTTTTGCTACATGACTAACAATTCGATAATAGCTCCACAATGTCTTCATGAGACTTGATGTAAGTTTTCCTGAAGTTAATACAGTCTGCTTGATACTAACTAGCAGTAGGACCCCACAGTCCAGAAGGCAACCGGAAAGACAAGCCCAGTGGATGTCATGGCTGCCTTGAGAGAGATGAAGAATAACTCATAAGCTCGATCGAGACTATCCTTGAGGTCCGAAAGAACAAATTGGAAACACAGATGAAGCTGTCCTCACACGAATGAAGTGATGGATGTACGTGAACTCATGACTGTCATTAAGTAATTTGGTATTGGTCAAAGAATCAGCGTATCCAACGCTTGCCTGATTAGAATATGTGCGCGCCGAACATCTCGTGAATCCGTTCGTACAGCGGAGTCCCGCCCAGCTCAAGGTCAGCTTCATTCAGCTTTTGACCGTACTCTTCGATGCAACAATAGAACGGAAGATTTGACAACTCCATGCCTTCAACAGGAGCAGACGAGTGCGGTGGATATGGCTGCTGTTTCGCGACGGCAGCACTCTTCAACTCTTCCAGATTGCCCCAGAGGACTGCCATTTGTTCTCGTAGTTTTGCTAGTGTCTCTGAATCGCTCCTTAAGCTAGTACAATCAGTAAAGGATCAGGCTGTGTCAGTGATTAATCGATTGACTTACTCGGTAGCATCTTCCTCCATGCCGATGAGAAACTCCGCATATGTGTGATTCACATGCACCCATTGTTGAGCTGGTGAGTGGCCTGCGCGGTGCGACTTGATGTCTTCCAGAAGTAAGAAAAAATCCCAAACCCATCTCTGGCTGGGAAGACTGAGCATGTCCGTGTCACATTCTGATGCTCCTCCGTCTTCCAATGTTTTTCCGATCTCGTTAGGTTGTGCAAGTTTTGCAAAGTCTTCAAGCGCTGGCGGCCAAAAGTCGACAACTCTTACCCTGACCCGGTTCCGCACGTTGAGAAATGGTAGCGCCAACTCTTGTCCGGATTTGCTGTTATAAGTATAGTTTCTGGACTGTATCTCTCCGAGGGTGCTCATGTCAACTCCGCTGATGTGCATGCAAGTAACTGAGCGGAGTCAGCAGGTCATACGAGAAGCCGAGGCGTCATCAACATACCATGCTTGTTGCTGAGGATCGCGTCTGAGGCAGAGACCGACGCGGTATTATCGGGATTCCGTTTTCTGAGTTTGGCCTCCTTTCTCTTCTGGGTCTTAGTCTTTTTACTCTCAGTTTTCTCCTGGTTCTCCGGTTTGTTGAGCTCCGTTGCAATCTTCTTGTTGTGGTAGCCCCAGTAGTTACTTCGGCGATTGAGTAGAGTCTTTAACTCTGGGTGCGCATCCCTTTCAAGCCTATGTACGCAGACTTTGTCCGGATAACTGCTATCGGTCCAAAGATTACCCTCCATCTTACCTCCATTGCCAAGCTTGATTCGAACGTTTTGAAGCAGGACATAGTCGCCTTCTCTCACTCTGTCGCGTGCAAATCCTGCGTGGGGGGGTAAAAGCTCGACTTTGAGGGTATGTTTGCCAGAAGGCCCAGTCCAGTCTTTTCGCTTTCCCGATACGTTTGGAAGATAACCGTAGAAATCGCCATCCCTGACTAGGTTATCAATCTCTTCCTGATCACTGCTGCAGTCATTCTCGACATACCTGCTGAAAACATCGTCCACGCTCGATTCGCTAGGAGAAGGATAGTCGTACAACGAATCATTCGGCGTGTAGTCGGTGACATACAACTCCATGTGACCATTGACATCTGGGAACTTCTTGACGACCTCAACGATGAGATCGCAATATTCGTTGAATGCAACACCCTGTATCAAGCGCAACTTGTTATTTCGCAGTTGTGGAGGGCCAGTGGCTCTACCAGCGGCGGGTCGAGTGGATATCGAAGTGATGTTGGAGGGACCAAGGGGACCCAAAGCGGAAGGAATCAACTCCTTGAGACCGATCGCATATCCTTGCTCAGCCATGGAGGCTTTTGCATCGGGTCCTTGACTCAAGCATTCGAGCTCCTTCTGGCCACCGGCGAAAGTTTGAATGAATCCGGGCTCTGGAATATTGTGGGCTTGGAAAACCATCGTGCTAGTCAGTCTCTTCATGTTGCCTATCATCGGCGTGCCATAAACGGACGTGACCTGTACACAAGATCAGAGTGGGTCAACCCAATTAGAAGGCATCAGTGCTACCTTGCAACTACGTATCAAGATGATGTCGCCCACAGATCGAATCTGAGGAAGCTCGCTTTGATGTTGAACGAAAAATCTAGCTTTCAGACCTTTTGTTCGAGAAGGGATCTTCATCATCTCCGCGTCTTGAATTGTAAAAGTCATTTGCCAGTCTGCGCTCAGGTCAGCGACGGGGTTGGTGAAAACTGCAACTGCCCCTTTGCCATACCTTTGCTCTTCTGATTGATCGTTGGAGGTAAGATATCTACCACGATGCCCATGAGATTGATAACTGGTGGAGACTGGGCTTGGAAGTTGTTGTAGGCATCGGCCAAGCTGGTGAGTGTGTTGGGGCGAGGTGGAGCCATTTTGACTACAAGCAAGGCAGAGTAGAGATTGCATTTAGCAGTCTAGGAAATGAGAAAATAACCATGCTATTTTTCGACTTCAACAACAGTCGCAAGCATTTGTGCAGCTTCCTCTGAGAGGATGACGCGTTTGGTTTGGCGACAGCGCGACGCCAAGTCACGGGGTCAATTATACGAGTGAGAGTGAAGGCACGAGACAGAGATTGTCAGGCCAGAAAAGATGGGAAGGTGCAGAGTGACGGAGTTAAACGATTGTGGCCAAGACTTCTGGCGCCTTCCTAAACGTTTGATGTGGGTTTGCGCAGAGCTTGGGCACTTTGTTTTGTTAAAGTCGAGCAAAAGAGGGCCCCTCACAATAATCAAATAAATCACGGTCTCTCTACAAAGTCTTGGTTTTCTTTCACCCATTACCTTCTCTCCCTCTGTTTACCACTTCCCACCCCGCTCCTCAACGCCTCAGTCTAATCACTATGGCGGACCGCTACATCCCCGAGCACCGCCGCACCACCTTCAAGGCAAAGAACCTGTTGAAGCCCGATGAGCTCCGTCGCCGTCGTGAGGAACAGCAAGTCGAGATCAGAAAGCAAAAGCGTGAGGAGAACCTCGCAAAGAGAAGAGGAATTACCCGTGGCGAGACTCTTGGTGCCTCGCTGGGCGCCGCTCCCGACAGTGATGATGAGTCGACAACCATCGAGAGCCAGGTAAGCACAATGTACAACGCATGTGTATGACTTTGGGCTGACACAATGTGCGCAGTTGAACGAAGAGCTCCCCCAGATGGTGCAGGGTGTTTTCTCAGAGAAGATCGAAGACCAGATTGCCGCCACGACAAAGTTCCGCAAGCTCCTCTCAAAAGAGCGCAACCCTCCGATTGAGAAGGTCATCGATACCGGCGTCGTTGGCCGTTTCGTCGAATTCCTCCGCTCTCCCCACACCCTGGTGCAGTTCGAGGCTGCCTGGGCCTTGACCAACATCGCCTCTGGTTCCGCTCAACAGACACAGGTCGTTATTAACGCTGGCGCCGTGCCCATCTTTGTCGAGCTGCTTAAGAGCCCCGAGCCCGATGTGCGCGAGCAGGCCGTCTGGGCCCTTGGTAACATTGCTGGTGACAGCCCGCAATGCAGAGACTTTGTCCTCTCGTGCGGCGCTCTCCAGCCCCTGGTCGCCCTTCTTGGTGACAGCCGCAAGCTTAGCATGCTCCGTAACGCCACCTGGACTCTGAGCAACTTCTGCCGTGGCAAGACTCCCCAGCCTCACTGGGACACTGTACGTTCTGCCACTCTCTTTGCTCGTCTCGCGCTTCCTGCTGACCACGTGCTCTTACAGATTGCCCCTGCTCTCCCCGTCCTCGCCAAGCTCGTCTACTCTCTCGACGACGAGGTCCTCATCGATGCCTGCTGGGCCATCTCTTATCTCTCGGATGGTTCCAACGACAAGATCCAAGCCGTCATCGAGGCTAACATCCCCCGTCGTCTCGTTGAGCTGCTCATGCACGCATCTACCTCGGTCCAAACCCCCGCTCTCCGTTCAGTCGGCAACATTGTTACTGGAGACGACGTCCAGACCCAGGTCATCATCAACTGCGGCTCTCTGCCCGCTCTGCTTTCTCTCCTGAGCTCTACCAAGGATGGTATCCGCAAGGAGGCTTGCTGGACTATCAGCAATATCACTGCTGGTAACTCCACGCAGATTCAGGCCGTCATTGACGCCAACCTGATGAGCCCCCTCATCCATCTTCTCTCTAACGGAGACTTCAAGACTCGCAAGGAGGCTTGCTGGGCCATCTCCAACGCCACTTCCGGTGGTCTCCAGAAGCCTGACCAGATCCGCTACCTTGTCCACCAAGGCGCCATCCGTCCCCTATGCGACTTGCTCTCATGCCCTGATAACAAGATTATCCAGGTCGCTCTTGACGGTCTGGAGAACATCCTCAAGGTCGGTGACATGGACAAGGAGGCTGCTGAGGGTACCAATGAGCCCCCTGTCAACCGCTACGCCCTCTTCATTGAGGAGTGCGGTGGTATGGAGAAGATTCACGACTGCCAGAACAACGCCAACGAGGAGATCTACATGAAGGCCTACAACATCATCGAGAAGTACTTCTCCGATGAGGAGGCTGAGGGTGACATGAACGAGCTTGCTCCTCAGGCTGGTCAAGATGGTCAGTTCGGCTTTGGTGCTCAGCAGCAACAGCAGAACTTCAACTTTGCCAACGGTGGTGACTCAATGGACATGTAAGCTTTTCTCACACCTTGAGTACGACCTCGCTGCTGGTTGGAAAGGTTTCCGCCGATGCAGTCCAGACCTCATCAAGCCCAGGCGCAGCTTTTGCTCTCAACGATGAGTCTGGTCCGGCATGAGCATATCGCAGTTCGCATTGCATCTTAACTTTGCAACGCCAGTGGCGGTTATAGCTACAGCTTGGGGAACTCAACAAGTTCCACGATCACCGCCATCCTTCGTTCCGTGAGCGTATTACCCGTCACCAGTGCTTGTATAGCTACGGAACTTTCGTTCACCAAGCACCATCACAACCCCTTTCCCTTCCCCCAAGTTCAACGATCTGTCATGAAATGGATCACGAAAGAGGAGAAAAACAATCATCACCAAATGCCCCGTCATGTAACCAACCCCAATCACATCTCCACACAATCCACCCCTCCCCCAAACATCTTCCTCGGCGCAAATGGTCTGTCTTATGGGTCTTTTTCATATCACACAACATGGGGAAAGGAGGTCACAAAGACCGAGGACCTGGTCCCCTACCATTTCGTATTCTATCGTCTTCTTTAACTTCCTTCTTGTTTTCTCAACACGGATCAAAGGGGAAAATGGTTCAGGGTTGATATCGCAAATCACAATTACACACGTCCCCAATTCGAGATTCCCAATCGTCGTTGCTTTATAGATCCCCTTTATGCTACTGAGCTCAATCCTTTTACTTGATGTTTTGGTCGATATGTTGTTTCTATTCTTAAATCCTTTGGCTGATATGTTTGCATGCGGTTTTCGAGTGTAAAAAGTACCAACCCACAGACAGTTCCGACATTGTCATAGAATGGATGAGGAACATCAAGCAACGTGTACATCGTTGTTTGGCGGCAGAAGAGTCTGACGCGAAAATGTATGTTTATGATCGATTAGCAAGTGCGTCTCTCGCGACACGAGTAAGATCAACGAGAGAGCAGGACCAACATCTAGCCTCCCCATGTGTTAGAATCTGTCACTTCCAGCCATCTCCTGCGGCCACGTCTGGAGCCGTCTGGCCTGTAAAAATGCACAATGTTTTTCAGATCGGTATAGTCGTCCGCAGAGAGGCGCTAACTACCACGCTCTCAGTGGAGGCTACCCCTAACAATGCTGAACTTGTGCTGTTCTATAGTTGTACGCGTGACAAAGTTTAGCACACGGGGAGGAGGCACTACTGCTATTGTGAACTCTCATGCACGCTGCTAAAGCTGGCCGGAATGAAGCACTTGACAGCATCCCCATCCTCTTCGCAAGATCCCAAACCCTCGAATCCACGATCCAGATCATCTTCCTGAGGATCATCACCCGCAAACTCGAAACTCTCGGATTTCACATCTTCATCTTCCTCGTAAGCAAATGGGTCCCCAATGCTATACATGGCACCCTTGACGAAATCTTTATGAGTGAGGCCGGTCTTTACTTTGTACCGAATCTCTCTCACTCGAAAAGCAAAGACAAAGTCGGAAGTCGCATCTGCAGATTCTTTCTCTGTCTGTTTCTTCGAAATGTCCACTTCAGGACCGAAATTGATCGGGATGCCAGATATACTGGCATTAACCCCCAATTGAAACCGAAACCCACGTTCCTTTGCCATTTCTGTCAGAAATCTTGCTCCGCTGGCGATTTTCACACCGGTGATCATGTAAAGGGGTTCATTCTTGTTGTATTTCAACCAGCTTTTGACATCCTTGTCGTTGATGGCTTGTTCCAGATATTTGGTAGTGGGCACGAAGTAAGTGGTGGTGAGTTTGTCGAATTCGTACGCGTCGGTTTGGGAGTTGTTTCGGGTGATGTTGAGTTCTCCGCCCACTCCAAGGACTTGCAGGAACCCCGCCCAGACACTTCCTTTTCTATCTCGCGAACGTGATTTTTCGCTCCTCCAGTTTGTGGCGATGCTTGTGTATATTGCGTTTGATGGCAATGTGGGCGGGCTGCATTCGTTGATGCTGTTCTCGGGCTCAGATATGTCTGCAATGATATTGCCGAGAGCAATTCTTCCGTTGGGTGGCGCGTCGCGTGTGGGCGCGAGAAAGTAGGTCTTCATGGTGGAAGCGTGAATTGGGTATGAACTTTGATGCTAACACAGGCTGGGTATGGAACTAATAGATAACACGTGTGCTCACTGTATATACGGAGTATGGCTGCGGATGATAGCTGATGCAAGTGCAAAATAGGTTACCGAAAGTGGCTGGCATTAATATGCGCATGGCTTTTAACATGCATGTAATGCTTACTAGTGGCGCGATCATCGACACCATAATATCGAGCATGCCTGGCGCGATGACGATCCCACGAATTGCACAAAAGCCTGGCTATTCGCCTGGATTTCTTTGATGGCCTGATCATGCATTGACAGTGTTAGCCTGCCACTTGTAGCGAAGAAAGTCCAAAGACCTACTCGTGGATGGCTGATCACACTGGTGCTCATCAAGGGGCCCGCTGAGCCGAACGACCCAGTCGCTGCAAAATCGATCACAGCATTTGTTCATTCAGGAGGCGGGTCCCATCCAGCTGGCGGCAGAACCCTATTTGGTCTCTTTGGTCTTGTCTTCACCCAGGCCTTCTTATTGGCAATCGCTACTGCTGTTCCGGGCTCTCTTCGCATCAGATCTCTCCTATCTTTTGCAGGCAGCTCCAGAATAATCGGCTCCTTGGGAACCTTCGGTAGCCACAACGGTATCGATTTGATCTTCTTGCCGGAAGATCTCGGGGGTCGGTCTCCAAAAGGATGAGCTGTCGATGGAGGTGGTAACGGTATCGAAAAATCTTGAGGTGTTTGGATATTCGGTTGCGAGGAGATGAGTCCAGCTTGTGTTTGCGGTTGCAGCTTGATGAGAGATGATGTGGAGCTTCGCGAGGACGACGAAGTCTCACTCCGATAGTGTCTCCTTCGAGGGATGCAGCAATAATACACCAGAAACACGACTAGGAACGAACCTCCTAAGAAGGCCCCGAGGAAGGCGCCGGCTGCGCGAGGAGAAAGACCACCTGGACCAGAGCGTTTGTAGTGGATCACAACATCTGTGTTGGCTGGAGGTATAGCTGGAGCAGTCACCAGCACCGCTTCGCCTTGAATGGTGTTGACGGATGCGTCCCTGTAGATCGGTGCAAGCGTGGTCTTTGGTGAGATGATCACGGTGAACGTTGTCATAGAGTCAACAGCAGAGCTGCATTGTGCGGGAGAAGAGAAATCCCGTAGACTCAGACATGAACAGCGCGGTACCCAGCGAATGTGGAAATATTGATCTTTAAGAAAGAGCAGACTCAGGGCAAGGTCATGGCGGGACACCCGCCTCCCGCCTGCCTCTTTTAATTATGCATACTCTATCCACGTACTCTTATCGGGTAAGTGCGGGGCACAAACGAGTGTCTAGGATCTCAACAAATCAAGAGCTGCAATGCATTGGGAATAAGCGATTTCTCAGTCACATGCTCGTGTCGAGAGCAGAGCTTAGTCACAGCGTGATGAAGGACGATGATCTGTAATCCTGGATAATCGGACCAAAGGGCTTGTTGATCACATAGCTTTCCCACTACAGAGCTTCTGTCAGATCCTTCTCTGGTCTGAGGATGAAGTCATCCACGGATGAACACCTCAGCCAGCAAGACGCGGAGGCACTTCTTGCCGAAGCATACCGCCTCGAGAAAGCGAAGTCACCGAAGTCATTCGAAGCTGCCCTCGCGTTGTACAAAAAACTGGACGGTGCAGAGGGTGTGCTGTGTGATTCTGATGGACGCGACAGCGTACTCGAAGGTCTTGCGTACTGTCATTTTCAACTCGAAAAGTACCCAAAGGCTGCCCAAGATTACCGTCGTCTTCTAGAGTTTCGTGAGCAGCAATCAAAGTCCGATCTGGAAGCAATCAGCCAAAGCCGCTACGAACTTGCTCGTGCAATAGCGCGGACTCAGAAATCAAAATCAGGAGAGGCTCTGAAGTTGTACCGGATGGTGATATCGGAACGGACATCAAAGTTCGGCGAGGAGAGCACCGAAGTGCTTGAGTGCTCATGCGATCTTGCCAATGCCCTTTGCCGCCTTCTAGAGTACCGAGAAGCACTGGACATTAATCGGAAGGTCCTGAGGATCCGTGAAAAGCTCCATAGTCCTGAGAGCATCGAGCTTTGCACAAGCAGATACCAGACAGCAATCAACCTATACTACCTAGGAGAATACGGGCGGGCTCTGTTCTATATCAAACCAAACAGCTTGATAGCTGCTGCTCCTCATAGTGACAATCTCACGAAGATATTGAAGGACTCGGTGACGCTCGCAAAGAGATGTCGGGAAAAACGCGACCAGAGTCAAAAGGCAGTCGCCCCTGTCAAATCGCCTTTGAAGAAACCTATAAGTCCCTCGCCAGAAAACTCTAGTGTCGAAGTCTGGAAGGCTCCTAAGGAACCACCACGTTCGACTACCGACATGACCGGACGCAAGAATGATGTGCCTCTGAAGACCACCAAGGTCAAAGTTGAGAAAACCAGTCCATCTCGAGCGGTACCAGGCACACCCAAGACATCCCATGCCAAAACCAAATCAGAAGCTGTCATTCAGAAATCGACACTTAGTCCACCACCGCATGACCGACCAGCTAGTCGCAACGTGGATGCCTCTTTGAAGTCTGCAGAGGAGATCAGAAACCCGCGCCGAAGAGCGAGTTCTTACTCGGCCCCAGGAGTTTCATCAAAGCCTACTGAGAAGACTTCCATCGATACTTCAGCTCGTAGGGCCAGTGACAACGACGTTCCCAAATCAAGTGCGAAAGTACAAAAGTCAGATAAACCCGTTATAGAGGCAAGAGAGACCAAAAAGAGCAAACCCGACAATATTCTGCCGTCTACACAGCCCACTGCGACACGACCCGATGCTTCACCGAAGATAAGCATCAAGATTCACAAGGCCAAAAGCGAGAGAAGCGATGATTCTGAAGATTCTGGAGGTACTAGAGGTAGAAGGAAGAACTTGGACAACGATGCACAACAAGGCTCATCGAGATCGTCTGGAAGTTCGAGAGGAAGGACTGGCAAAAAGTCCAGTCGGCTTGAAATCGCTAACTCCTCAGTCGAAAGCTTTGTCAGCGCATCGGAGGGCCGAGCAGCCTCAAATTCACCGTCCAGCCCCACGGGTCATAGCCTTGGGGAACTTTATGGCCTATTGGATACACAGAAGTCTTCTGCTTCAACCATCGAGTTCGTGCAATTCTTTAAACTACTTTATGCAAACCTAACTTGATTTAGCACCGGACCAGCCGAGACTTGGTTTACCTTATTCGAGACGCGAACGAAGGAAGTACTTCAGCCTGGGAAAAACCGACGCGTCTTACCAGTTGGAAATGAGGAAGTTCGCATTGCAATATTAGATACTGGAGTGGATGCCAGTCACGAGGCGATTGCGAGGCAGAGAACACAGTTGAGAGACATAAGATCTTTTGTTCAAGGCAGCGATGAGACCGACGACACTCACGGACATGGAACGCATGGTACCGCATTGATGCTGCGCCTTGTTCCTCGTGCCAGGATTTATGTTGGTCGTATCACTGTCAACTCCAAGCCTGATCCTGACGCAGTCGTGAAAGTATGTTCGATGTTCGGCAATGCTTGACGAAATGACTGACTTTGAAATCCAGGCCATAGAACATGCACACAGAAAATGGAAAGTCGACATAGTCAGTATGGCATTTGGCTTCAAGAAAAGCGACAAGCATGACCGTGAGAAACATCGACAAAGCATGGAGAGGATAGAAGAAGTCATCAAAGCTGCTGCATCCGACAACATCCTTTTCTTCGGCGCTGCTTGCAACTCGGGCATTTTGAACGGAACTGCCTTCCCCGCCAGATTGTCGCAAGTCATCTGTATTCATTCGGCCAACCACGGAGGCAGAACATCGAATCACTCACCACCAGCTAGGGACAACACTTACAACTTCTCCGTGCTCGGCGAGGACGTACGTTCAGCATGGCCAGTGTCTCTGGGAGGCCCGACAGAACTGATGACTGGAACTTCAACCGCTGTCATGATAGCTGCAGCTGTCAGCGCAGTCATCTTGTACCTGGTACGCTTCGAAGACAAAGACTTCATACCGAGAAAAACACTCTCCGCGATTAGAGAGCGACTCAAGACGCAGGACGCCATGTGCAAACTCTTGAAAGAGATGAGTGTTCCCACAGAGGGGTACGACTTTCTCAAGCCTTGGGAGCTGATTGACATGGAAGGCTATGATGAGCCGGAGAAAGCTAGGCAGGACGCCCTGGCTAACATTGCGAGATTCTTGAAGAAGCATTATTATACCATACCGTAAACAAGGATCGGTGCGATGATGTTTTCAATCTTCGTTCCGAGGACTTCGAGATTCCTACGGCGTTTTCTGTGTCAATCGTATGAGACCTGCCTCAGATTGATCATCAAGAGATCTCTCCTACAAGAATGTGTGATGAAAGAGCGCGTCCGGGAGGCTCTTTACGTCTCAATAGCATTGAACGTCGATTTTCAAGACACTATAACAACCATCTACACAATACGTTCAGGTCGACTGCGCATCTACGTGTATCATGTTGAGAGGCACACGACATGTCGTTCAGCATCATCCAAAGGTCTTACTCAAGGACAAGCGGAAGAAGTCGGGCACCTCGGCTCCACATTTTCCCCAAAGTGCCATCTCTCACTTCCGAAACTTTGCGGGACCATCAACACAACTCCTCAACCTCTCCAATCATTAACCGGGTTCTTGTCACTCTTGTACACACATCAGGTACATGCAACATCACGGAATAACTCGAGGAGGATACGAAACAGGTGAGTGAGTTCAAAAAAATTGAAAGAATTGAGAAAATATTTCTACAACATAAAAGAAAAAAAGGACGCCGTCCACCCCAATTGCACTCCTGCCCCCCAAGTCTATTGTTTTTGGTTTACAAGAAAGAGAAGTTTTGGTTTTGTGTTGCTTCATCTTCCGCTCTCTTCTTGTCCTTCTCTTTTCCTTCTCAATCTGTCGATCGTTGGTGGGTGCGTTTCATGAGATGTGGGGATCAGGTGAGAGGTCGTATGAGAGATGCATGATGAAGAATGCATGATGTGAAAAAGGAAAAGAGGTGGGTATTTGGGCGCTTATTCGCGGGAGACGTCGCGGCCAAAGGTCTTTGCCTTGATCCAGTCCATGAGGACGAGGACACGGTTGCGAGCTGTTTTCACATTTCGTTAGCTCGGTTGTTTCTTCTCTTGTTTTCTTTCCTTCTTCCATCCACGCCATGCTAATCTTGGGACAGGAAAAGACGTATCGGGGAACAACTTACTGCTGAAGCACATGCTGAGGTAGGCACTACGCCAGAAGAAGTATGTGAGGGTACCACCGGTAGCAAGGTTACCGGTCAACCAGGAGATATCGGCAACGGCCTTCTCGCTACCAATGTATGCGAGCGAGCCCTGGTGAGAGTACTCGAAAGGACCCATCTGGTTGGCGCGGCGAAGACGCTTCTGGAGATCCTTGATGTTGGCAAAGATCTGGTCACGGGCATCCTTGGGGGCGGTCTCCTGGGCAGCGGAAAGGCTCTTGAGCTCCTGCTCAATCTCGTCGGACTTGGCCATCTGGTTGAAGAGGCGGGCGAGGAAAGCACCCTCCTGGGCGGCGACCTGGGCAGTGGGGGCGTAGTTGGCAACAGCACAGTCACCGACGGCCCAGATGTTCTCGGCGCCCTTGACGACAAGGTACTCGTTGACGTTCAAACCACGACGGGCATCGGCCTGAGCGGGGATCTGGGACATCAAATCCTTGACAACGGGACGGACAGCGTTACCGGTGGCCCAGACGAGCAGACCGTAGGGAATCTTCTCCATGACCTTCTTGCCATCGGGACCAACAAACTCAGCCTCGATGTATTCCTTGGTAACGTTCTTGACCATGGTCTTGGTACGGATGTCAATGGTCTCCTCCTTGAAGGTTTGCTCGGTGTAGTCAATCAACTGCTTGGAGAACATGGGAAGAACCTATCGTGGATAGTCAGCAAATCTGCACACGACCAATCTGGGATAACCATGACATACACTGGGAAGGGCCTCAACGAGAGTGACACGGAACTGATCGGCAATTTCGGGCATCCAGGTCTTGAGGTCGTTCTCGAAGAAGTCTTGGAGCTCACCAGCGAACTCGACACCGGTAGGGCCACCACCAACGACGACCATGTGGAGAAGACGCTTGCGCTCCTCAGGGCTCTGGTCCTTGAAAGTGGCGGTTTCACAGCAGTCCATAATACGCTTGCGGATACGTTGAGCGTCGGCAACCTCCTTCAGGAAGCAAGAGTGCTCGCGGACACCAGGGATACCTAACCAAGACATGTCAGCACTACCTCCCGGCTATCTTTTGTTTTTCCCAACATACCGAAAGTAGCATTCTCGGCGCCGACACCGACGACGAGCATATCGAAAGGAACCTCGGACAAGGAAGTAGCACCCTTGACCTCGGACTCGTCGTTGATGTAGACGATCTTCTTGGTGTAGTCAATCTTGGTGGCTTCGGCTTCGTAGAACTTGACGGCGGCTTTCTTGTGACGGAGGAAGTTGCGAACAGGCTCCATGATGGAGCGGTGCTCGATGGTACCGGTTGTGCAAGAGGGCAGAAGAGGCGTGAAGAGGAAGTAGTTGCGAGGAGAGATGACAATGACGTTGTAGTTTTCGGTGTCGAGCTTCTTGAGAAGGGAGACGGCACCCCAGCCGGTACCTGCACGCTGCTGTCAGCTCAGAGCTCAAGGTTATGTCGTCGCACGCCTGCAAGACACATACCGAGAATGACGAGGGTCTTCTTGGTCGGGTCGGGCTCGGGTTGGTCGCCAGGAGTTCTGTTCTCGTAGATGGAGTAGCCGGTGTAGACAAGGCCAGCAATGGCCGAGAGGTAGGTTGCTCTCCATGCCCAGCGGAAGACACGGAAGCCGCTCTTCTTGGGCTTGACGACGTCGGCGTATGAGCGTCTGAAGGACTGGCGCAGCTGCTGCTGGCTCAGGGTGGCACGCGGCGAGGGCTGGGCGCGCGAAGCGAAGCTCTGCTTGTTGGCGGTCGCAAAGGTGCGCTTGGAGGCACCAATTGCAGCGCGCATCGAGGCGACTACGGGCCTCATAGCTGATGCGGCAGCCATCAGAGGAGGGACGGGGGTGAGGCGAGGGGAGTTGGGGTGGTTGAGCGGAGAGAAGATGGTGCTCAGCAGCTTCCAGTAATAACAAAATCAACCCCCGATGCGATAAGCAACATTTTTTGAGCCCCGACCCTGCGCATGAGCTAAGAAAACGCTCGGGCTTATCCCGAACGAATGAACCTTCCAAGCCAGATCTTACTTCGATCTTCTTGCTGCAACATGCACCACCTCCTTCTGCCCGCTATCCATGTTTCCACTACATGCTCTATCTTGCCTCAGGTCCGGATTGACCTTCACTCATTGTACACATTGTCGCGTTGTACCTTGTGAAGTCCTACTGGACCTTGCTTTTTGCTGACCAGGAGCCCTGTGCTTCTCTTAAGTCCGACGATAAACATTTCTCAGCGGGTGATTCCATTGAATACGTTTTAGCCGTGTTTTGTAGTCAACAATTTTGACCTCGTTGAACTTATCAAACTTGTTTTAACCCGCCGTCGGCCCTCGCAATTGCGTGCCCAGAGTTGCTCGGTAGAAGGCGCCGCCGACTGCCTGATCCATCTTGTGTGCACTTTACTCAGTAGATTTGGTTCCAATCGGTGACTGTTCGAAGCTCTACTCCGAAGTTCTTCATGCAACTTTTCTCCCCACGTGTAGTGTCATCAAGAGAGTTCCATTGAAATGGTTGCTCAGATCGCTGCAGCAGATCTTGGTTTCAACGTGTGGCGTGCTGTCATACTCGATGAGTCGGCCCTTTATCGATGTGTACCGGTACCGGCGGAAGCGACGTTCTCCCGAGACTGCTGTCTTGTGAAACGTCAACACCAGACACATCGTTGCCAGTCGGCGACTGCTCGCCATCGGCAACAACTACGCTTACGCGACGAACCACCTCATTGTTATCGTATTGAGCTTTGCAGTCGGCGTCTCGATTTTTAGACTCATCTGTGACAAAACCCGGTCCTACAGCCAGTAAGTTCTATGTAGTGTGAGACCCTACATCGACATCACAGAAGAGAGCAATTATACATGATTGTATCTGAGGATCATCCCGATTATCCTGAGTCTCGTTGTGTGGCACTGTCTGATGTCTACGCCTCTTACAGTATGCTTCCAAGATGGGCCATCTCCGACTGCCTCCGGAACTTCTGCTTCTGGTGATGAAGCACGTCAACCACGGCGAAAAATATGAAGCCGCGCAGAACTCGCTCCGCAATGCCATACTGGTCAACCACGAATGGGCTGAAGCTGGTACTCACATACTATGGCAGAGTGTACCAGTACCGATGTTGGCCCGTGTATCAGAAGATCGGAGACAGTATTATGCAAACAAGATGACTGAGCTCTTCATCGAGAACGAAGAGGAATCAAAGTACCACGAGATTTTCAAGGATCTCATATTTCCGCGCTTGAAAACTGCATACATCGACAGGATCAAGCTCAAACGAGGGGAGAAGGTACACCTCACCCAGTACATGCAACCACGGCTGAAAAACTTCCACTTCCGGGGAGGTGCTTTGTGCGAAAATGCTCTTGCAACTCTAGGATCAAATTGCCCCCACCTCGAGGAAGTTTCTCTAGAAGAGCCGATTGACGGTTCTGGCGAGGACCGCTATCTTCAGCTCTTTACAGGTTGCAAAGCGTTGGAGCTCATCGACCTCGGCGATGGCTGGGCGGGCTCAATCACCCCCGAACTGTTCGCAGGGTTGGCCGGTCACGAGCAACTTGTCAAAATCGAGATCAAACCCCTCATTTCAGACTCTACAATTCTCGGAGGTCTTCGTATGGTTTCCAACCCTTTCAGTAATATCCAGTCGCTTCACTTGACTCTGAAATCGGTGTCTGTTGCACGTTTGGCATCAGCTGCTCCATCCGTACGCACACTGTTCCTCGTTATTGAAGACTCTGAACACGATGCCCTTGCGTCTCTCGCACTGATGACAAGTTTGGTGCACCTCGAATTGACTTATCTCGATGAAACAGAACTTTCACCAGAGGGATTTCATGCCTTGGAGAAGATGAAGAATCTCGAAGTCCTCTTGTTGGAGTCGAGAGTAGAGTCACTGTCAGCAATGTGGTTGGACGATGCTTCGTTCGCGCAGTTCATCTCAAAGCTGCCAAAGATAACCAACTTCGAGTTCAAAGTGGACAGCGACCTCACTGTCTCGGCTCTCACCTCACTCGCCAGCAAGTGCTGACATTTTGTAGATCCTCCAATGCTACAACCGCCGAAAGGGCTACACAAATCGCCGATCTCATACTTCGACACTGCCCGGTGGTCGAACAGCTGAAATTCCATGATTACTATGAGAACAGGCTTGCAAAGCTTGCACTCAGGGCCTTTGAGTCGAAAGTTGACGGTCATTTCTGCACACCTATATTGACTTCGTTCCGATCTCTTGAGAATTCCTCCTTCATCAAGTTTCACCCAAGCGAGACCAGGATCTATTACGATAGCGACGACGATCGTTACTAGTTATCATGTAGCATGTGTTCTCATATAACGTAGACGTAGCCGCAAAGAAATTGACCCGGCACCGAACTCCCTCCTACAGGCCTTGCATTTTCTTGGCTGCAAAGATGCAGGATGCTTTTAATGATTAAGTACATGTCCATTGAGAGCGATACTGCCTCTTGATCTCTTCGGACCTCTATCAAAAACCGAAAATCATTGTGCCTTTTGACTATCGTGTTGCAAGGAGCCTTTGCCAGGCTAATAGCTCAGTTCTGGAGTTCCTGTGCCCCTATATCCACGTTACTACATCCAGGATACTAATGGCCAACAGAAGAGTGCTTAAAACCAGCAATATACCACGTTGATGATGTATCTATGATCGACGAAAACAAAGTCAGCAGTCATGCTATCACTCAACTAGTATACTCTTTATATAAGAAAATGATAACATCTTGCACGAAATCATTGTTACAATAGTTCCCACGGAATGGTTGACCAGCGACGATAACGGGGCTCGCCGAAGAAACGAGATACGGGGCAGGGTTACTCACAACCACCAACGTACCTTCCTACATATCCATACCCAAAAAGTCAACACAATGTCAAAAGCATCGGCAGATATCCCCGTAATCGACATTTCACCCTCGAATTCGGAAGCCGCGAAGCAGATTCTCGCTGCTGCGGAAAACAATGGCTTCCTGTTCATCGAGAACAATGCGGCCGCGGGAATGCCACCGGCCAAAGTTGACGAGATGTTTGATCTGGTAAGGAAATACTGATGGATTAGCTAGAGCTTAGATGCTAAAGAAACGATCAGAGTAAAAAGTTCTTCCAAGGCCCAGTGGAGAATAAGAAAGAATGTCCCACGCAGAATAATCGGGGATGGGTCTCCATGCAGCAGGAGACATTGGATCCTGGTAATCAGAAAGTAAGACCATAGAACACAGATGCTTTAAACGATTCCCAAGCTAACATCAGTACTAGCGAGGCGATTTCAAAGAGTACATCCAATCGCGCCTCCTTCCTACTTGTGTCACTGACCACACAGCACAGAGCCTTCAACCTCGGCGAATTCGCCAACAACAAACCCAACCAACCACTACCCAAACCATTCTCAAACAATGTGAACACAGTCGCGGACTTCAGTAAATCTTGCCATGCCCTCTGCAATAGAATACTCGAACTTTTCGCAGAAGCCTTGGATATCCCATCTGATTGGTTTAGCTCACGACATGATCAGTCAAATGGAGCTTCAGGAACCATCATGAGATTGCTCTATTATCCTTCCGTCTCAGATAATTTGGCACCAGAAGAAGACGACATACGCGCCGGTGTACGCTTTTGCTTCCTCGCATCCTCTTATCTCCACTGACACATCAACACAGGCCCACAGCGACTACGGCACCCTAACCCTTCTCTTCCAACTTCCCTCCCAGCCAGGCCTAGAAATTCTCACACCCTCTGGTACTTGGTCTAGCGTCCCCGTTGACCCAAAGAACACTCTTCCCATCGACCCTTCTGCACCTCTGCCTATTCTAGTAAACATAGGCGACCTAATGTCATATTGGACGAACGGGTTGTTGAAGAGTACTGTGCACAGGGTCATCTTCCCAAAGGAGGCGAGAAAAGGTGGAGAGGATAGGTACAGCATGGCTTACTTCTGTCATCCGTTGGATGAGGCCGAATTGGTGGCTGTGCCTAGTAAGCGCATTGAGCAATACAAGGGTCAAGGCGGAGTGGAGAAAGGTGGGAAAGTGTTGACGGCGAAGGATCATTTGCTCGAGAGATTGGCTGCAACTTATGGTACAAAGGCGTAGGTAGGGTTGTAAATAAACGGCAGCAGCGAATGGTAGCTCGACAGCATAGAAGCACTTTCTCGAACGCAGAAGTAATAAACGATGGAGAAACAGTTGCTAGGAGCGGGAAAAGAGTGTATGAATATCTATGCGAATGCTTGTGCTAAGATGCGGGTACAGGTAAAGACAGACAATGCTAGCAAGTACTTGGTCTATGATCCAAGAAAGCGCTCTCCTAAATCAGACAACATTCAACACACCGAAACCGGGGGGAAAACAAATAAATCAGAAGGTCCGAAAAGGGGGGTATCTCTTATGCTTTGGAACGCCATGAGGGTGCGAAGGAAACTTTTTTCTTTCTTGCTTTTTCAATGGAGTCTTAGCTCCTTCGAGGTCGTAGGGCCCCTTGTGTCTGTTCGATGAATTGCTTCAGACGCTCGGGTGACTTGCGTACAATGTGATATTCGCCAGGCGCATCGGTCCAGCTTACACACTTGGAGTAAAATGGCAGTTTACGTTCGTCTACGAGTAGATGTCGAGGGTCGTGTTGGTTACGATCACTGATTTCGTAGCCTTCTTGCTTGAATGGTTTGAGACTGATGATGCGGCATCCATCCTTGAGGTCCAGGAAGCGATCCATAATCTTGCTGTTGAGATCTGGGCTAAAAGCTTGATTGTTGACGAGGACAACGTCGGCGCGCTTGAGGACTTCGCCAATCTTCTGGTTTGCAAGAAAGTCGCCCTTAAGCAGGTGTACCTTGCCTACAGAAAGGCCCCACATGCGCGCGCGAGCAGGGAACTCTTTGGCTTGTAGGTCAGCAAGCTTGCATGGGTTGTCCATGACTTCGCAACCCCAGCTCTCGCAGCCAGTCTCGAGAGCAGCCTGTAGACAGACATTGCCGACGCCAGAACCCAGATCAACAAATACGTGGTCGGATTTGAGTTCGGCCATGTTGAGCATTTCCGAGACGAGCGGTGGTAACAATTCGCCATAGACGTTGTCGGTGCCGTTTTGATAGGCCTTGAGACTGTCGACTTGAGGCGAGACTGTACGAGTGTAGATTTGATCAAGAATGCGCTGAATCCATTCGAGAGTCAAACTATGCTTTGTGGACAGCTCATTGCTGATTGTTCCGTCTCTTTTCGCCTTTACAAGCATCGTGTTGAAGTCTTGTATGGTGCTAACGTAGTCTTCCTTGGAACCCTTGCTTGCTGCGCGGAGCAGGCGGCGTTCGAAACCATGTTCATCATCAAGATGTTTTTGGGCGAGGTTTTCGGGGAAGTAATTCTGGCAGATGTACTTGATTGTCTCTCTGATGTCATCCAGGGGTTGGTAGTCTTGCTGTACACCGTTCTTGACCAGAGTGAATTTTTCAGGTATGCATAAACCAGGATATTGCAGTTTGACTGCGGTCGGAGTGCTTCCAGGAAAGACGGGCTTGTACGACTTGGCTAGATCTCCAGCGACCAGAGAAGCGCCAGAGACATAGTCGAAGCGGCCTTCATCCTTGCGCAGTCTGGAGTCCTCGAGCTTGCGATTGGGGTCCTCGGAGGTGGCACGCGACTTGATGCGCTTCCTTGCATCGACCGAGGAAGCACTACTTTCCAGGCCGCTATCGTCGTCATCGTCGCTGAAGACTTGTGTGGGTGTCGATGCCTTGCGCTTGACGACCCTCCTGACCCTGTCTTTGGGCTCTTTCGGTGCTGATAGCCTATCTCTTGTCGTCGACTGTTGCGAAGGACGCTTCGGAAGTGGTGAAGGCCGTGACGGGGCAGCAGCAGGTTTCACGATCCTCTTGACGGGTACAGAGACGGTAACGGTTTTGATGACAGGCTTGTTCTTCGGGCCTGCAGTGCCGAAGAAATTCATGCTGGGCGGTCAAGAGAGTCGGGGTGGAGGGGGAGGAGATGGAAGAGATGCAGCGAGCGCGGGGCGTAAGAATGTGGCTGTCGACAGAGCAATTGGTGGTGGGAGAGTACGAGATACAAGGTTGACACAGGTCACGGAAACAAAGAATTGGATGGCAAACGAATACGAAACGACGCGGCTCGGATCAGGTCGCGTGCACGCTCCCCGTAAATGCCTAAAGTGCTTACAGCTCTTGGCAACCTCCTCTCCTTCCATAGCTAAGGTAAACATTGTTTGCTCTTTCCCGCATGCCATCAGATGCCTCTTGCCAGATGCTTCGAGATTGGCCACCCATGCCCTCGGCTTCGAACCTGTTTGCTTCACCTCGGTCTCTGATTAGCATGTCGGCGACTTCCTTCCTGACTGAGGGAAGTCGGCGTCTTTTGTAAACTTGACAAACGTCATCGTGCGCTCGACAGCACGTAGCTCCTTCCTCGATATAAGTATTCCTGTTCGTCCTCTTTCCATCCCTCGAACAAACATCTTGAAAGAACCCTGCCTTCGTCAACGACCATGGACAACATTCCGACCACCAACGAGACCAAAGGCCAGCCCGAGTCGCTCACAAACAAGGTCCTCGAGACTGGAGCTGGCGCAACACAGAACTTCGCCCCACCAAAGCGTATCTGCGCCCATCTGAATGCTTTCCACGCCTACGCCAATGATCTTACTCGTTGTGTCGAGACCAACCACTACTGTGCTCACTTGAACGATGGTACCATGCCTCCGCCGTCTTGTCTGCCAGCTCACTAACCCGACTTCCAGAGGTGCGACAATGCCTCCTCTACGACTCGCCAGAACCAAACGCCCGTCTCATCGGCATCGAGTACATGATCAGCGCCCGTCTCTACGAAACTCTTGAGCACGAAGAGCACAAATACTGGCACTCGCACGTCTTCGAAGTCAAGTCTGGCATGCTCCTTATGCCCCGCCCCACTGGTATTCCTGCAGCTGTCTGGGAGGTTGCAGAGAACAAAGAGATGGAAGACGTTGTCACACTGTACGGCAAGATCTTCCACTTGTGGCAGACAGACAAGGGTCACAAGCTTCCTCTGGGCGAGCCTCAGCTCATGACCAGCTACACCGACTATAACCAGTTCGACTTTGATGAGAAGGTCGGAGACAGAGACAGAAGGTTTGGCGAAGACCACCGTCACAAGCGTGAGGTTCGCGAGTACATCAAGGAGCCCACCATCCACCCAGGTTAGTATTCTTCGGCACCAATTTCACAGACAGAACTGACATTATTTAAGACGCTGATGCTGCATGGCACGGAACTTCTGACGGCAAACAACAGGCACACCCTTCCGTCAAGCAGGACAGTCACAGCGCTGCCTAACTGCTGTCTGCATGACACACTTTTAATGAATATCACGAAATAATCATTCCCTTCCCTCTCTGTGCAGGAACTCCTTGACTTCATTGAAACTGCGATCTCCTGGATCTGTCCGCCGTTGACCTAATGTATAGTCGTGGTTCTTTCCTCGTTGGTCGGGGCGGACGTCGAAGTCGAAGCAGTTCATTCATCACCAAACCGAGCTCTCAGCCGACCGAGGTGTCTTTGTAAGATGCCATCGAATCACGAGACGATTTTCCATGTAGGTACCATCTCGAGAGAGCACAAGAGGTTATCCGCTCTCAGTGAACACGTATGTGATTGCCAAACCCATCCTGCCTTTTGATAGCTGCCTCGACTCTCAATCTGTGCACGGAGATCTTGGTTTCCTAGATTTCCTGTCCTCGTGTATGTACATCATTGCGTTGGTCGTACTCACCATTGTGCTTGATTTAACTTGTGAGTCGTAACCAACCTGAACCACTTTCTGCCTTTTGATAGTCCGCTCTACATGGCTCAAGCGTGATAGGAGCGGAGCAGTCACAGGCTTTTGGAACAAAATCAGGCATGTTTTGGTAGGAGTTTGCTGTTTTGACAAGACGAAATTGATATTACTTCGATCGTCAATTCAAATCATTGATATGTCCTTGCTGTAGCGATCCCATCTACTTCTTCCAATACAAGGCCATGTTCTCGAAAACGTCGGATGGCTTGCACGATGGCACACAGGGACATATGGGAAGCACGACTTCGTGCATGTCCACACTCTCCCTGCCCTCCATGAAGGCTTTCACAACACCAAGGACGTCTGTGCTGTCTCTGATTCCACCGGCATGGCCTTTACACTCCAGAGCCCCTTCAATCGACTTTTCAATCTTCTAAGCAGAGCAATTTTATTAGTGTCAAGTTCGCTGAGGTCTGTTTGGCTGGAGACGACTTACGTTGATCAGGCACATTGCAGGAGAGCTTGGGTAGATGCCATAATAGGCGATGACATGAGGTGCGTTGAGAGCAACCACAAAGGTCTTGTCGCCGGTGTGTTTGATGGTGAAGGCTTCAGGGCTCTGCACCACTTCTCCTCCCAGATCGGTCAGGAGACGGTCGTCGGCGGTGCAGAATATCGGGTCCTGGAAGATGAGTTTGGGGTTGGGAGTCTTGTTGCGCTGTGCGTGTCGTTTGACTGTTTTCACATTTTCTCGTCAGTTATCTGTATCTTCGAATGGGGAAGCACTGGAACACCTTACCGAGGTGGAAGATGGCCAGGATCAAGCCGAGTTCGTGTTCCCAGATGGTGTTGTTGATGTCGCAGTCGAAGATGCTGCCCAGGGCAAGGACGACGACCTTTTCAATGCATTGAGTCTGCAGTACACAAAGGATCTGCGCGCGCGCTCCGCTCTTGGCCATCAAGTCGAGGCAGTATCTGGAAAGGAGAGCATGGTCAGCTAAGAAACTCATAGTATCAGATCGAACTTACTCCTTGCGCTGCTCAAGATGCTGCTTGAATTCGTCGGAAAGGACACCAGGTGTTTCCTTACAAACGGGAAACTGCTTTCCCTCTTCCTCTGTGTGATGTGTTAGCATTGATCAGAACAACTGAGTTTAGATGGAATGGGAGCCTACCAATGGCCTTGTAGGCATCGAACTTCTCGGTGTCGTACTCATTGTTCTCCAGCATGTGCGTGTAAGGCATCATACCGTATGATTTGAGCCATGTCTCCCTTTCGGCGATTGAGTGGAGTAGAAGGTCCCATGCGGCGTCGCTACTATTACCGCTGCTGCTGCTATCGCTGCCACTACTGCTAGCACTGTCGCTGTTGGAGCTCATGATGGAAGTGTATAGTTTGTGCGTTGTTGTGATGATGAAAGCCGGCTTATGTTACGCCCAGCAGCTACGAATGTCAAAAGTGTCAAGGGTTTCTGACATGCGGGAAGTGAACAGAATGATGTCTCGAATAAAATCACTTCAGATACTTGTTGTTTGTACACCATGTTTGACATAGATTACTGGTCGCAGACGACAAAGAATGGCAAGAAGTGGTGTTGGGCTGTTGCCTATTTTCCTATCCAGAACAGCACTTCGAGGGATGACTATCTATGACACGAAGCCTAGATAGCGATTGACATTTGAGACTTCTTCTACACCACAGTCAGCACAGAGTGCAAGCGTGTGATCAAGGCAGCTTCCAATGGTTCGAGACATGGTCGCAAGCAAGGATGATAAGACGGACGACATGTTCAATGCATTATCGAGACATGGAAAGTATTCACTCCACCAACCCGACCCAATGATTTGCAAGCAAAGGGTGTACCATCGTCTCCCTTCACAAAGATTCCAGCCACTTCTTCGCCTTGTTTCCGAGCTTTCCCACCTTCTTTGCCTCGCGCGTGGCATCCACCTTTTCACCCTGCCAGTACACCCACATGTTGACGAGAAAGTTGTCTAGTCCACGATCAGGGATGGAAGGATACAGATGATGCATGGCCTGATGGAGTTCGGCCTTCTGTCTACCAATCATGAATGATTCGGCGGTACCACGGACGTCGAAGTTGGGTGGGAAGTCGCTGTACTTGGATTGGAGATATAGTGCACCATCGATGGTTTGCTTGAGGTCCTGTGGATTCTGTCAGGCTCGTGTCTGAGTTGAGGAACGGATGTCAGGGCTTACTGTTGAGATACAGACGGCAGGCCGGGTCTGGAGGAGGTCTTGAAAGTACATGGTCAGAGGCGGGCATTTGGCAAACACCAGGGTTTTCTCGTCAATGTAACGCATAAATGCCTCTGGGTCTTGAATCACTTGACCACCAAGGTCTTGCAGCAAGCGATGGTCGGCGGCACAGAAGCTGGGGTCTTGGAAGTAAAGCTTGGGTGTACGAGTCTTCTTGCTCTGGGCTTGCTGTTTGGCTACCTCTCGTCAGTGTCTTGGTTGTTGCTGAGACGGATCCCCGAGCGATTGAACTCACCTAGCTCGAAGATGGCGAGCACGAAGCCCATCTCATGTTGCCAGAAGACATACTCGCCCGTGTGGCTGAAGATGCTGGCCGAGCCGAGGATGACAACCTTGTCGATAGTATGCTGCTTGATAGCATGAGAGACTTGAGAGCAAGCACCACTCCAGTTGACTGAAGTCAGGCACTCTCTGGGACATTGTGTTAGCAGGGTCGAAGGAAGCGGTAAATCAGTACCCACTGCTTGAGACCCTCAAGGTGCTGTTTAAATCCGGCAGACAGCACACCAGGTACCTTTTCGCAGGCTGGAAGGGTTTGGGCTGCGTCTTCTATCAGTACAATCCTGGCTGCTGGTGGGCTAGCAAACAGACTGTTCGTCTTCTTGAGAGATTCGGCTCTCTTCTTGTTGACCTTAGAGGTGTTGTAGTCGCTTGGAGATGTATAGGGCGCCATGCCGAAAGATCTGAGCCATGCTTCCTTCTCGACGATGTCTTGAGCAACCCGGTCTTCATCCTTGCCGCCGGTGAATGGTCCATCATACATGCTGTGTTTTGTCATTGTAGGTCGTGATGTGCGATCAAGAATTCACTCAAGAACAAATCAAGATGAAGGGGAAGTCGGGTTCATAATCAAGAGTTTCTAGGTCGTTTGGTGCTGTTTGTGCATTGCGTTTGTCGGAATTGATCGTCCTGAATTGTCCGGGAGCGGGAGTTTGGGAGCCTGGACTATGGTTTCTGTCGTTTGTGGCAGGATCCTTGGTTGGGGTCAATTTCGAACACCTTCCTCGCGCAGCATCCATGGAATCAATCCGTAAAAAGAGACCAAACTCTGTAATTGCCAGTACGATTCTCCGGAGAGAAGGTGTAGGTCCATCACACCCATTGTGTGTTTTCTGACCATCCAAAGGAATATACACTTTCAGGTCTAATTACTAAGCACACTGAAGACTGACATCCTAATCGGTATGATTACTACTACCGATCAGCATAGTCACACGTAAATTATAGTCTGGGATACCAGTGCGAGGTACGATGAGATTGATTGCATTGGATTCAAGAAGGATATTTGGTAGATATGAGATGTCCGCTTCATCATCCAAACCCAGACGTGGGTGATCCACGACTGCGTACGACGAATGACGAAGACCTCGGTTTAGATTGAAGGGTCGTTCCCGAGGGGTGTTTAATCTTGCTGCTTTGTCCACACTCGCTTCATCCTGGTTTGTTGGAGATGGCGGGCTCTAGCATATGAAACAGCTTGATGTGTTTGGGGGGGAGGAGGGAAGAAAGGAGAAAACTACTTGGCCTGCAGGCAACCCTCGATGTAAAGCAGCTGATTAGACATGATTGGTCTCGTAGCGTCGCTTTGACAGAGTGTGTTGCCCTTTGTCTACAATTAGAGATTGTTGTGGAAGGAGGTGAAAAGTTTCGGCAGAAGCTGCGGTTTTGATCAACAGGGCAGCGCACAGTCCATGTGCTCGACAAACAAAGCAAAGTCGACATCATCGATCAATCGCGTCTGCCCTCGACCACTTCGACCTTCTTTGAGATTGCGCCGCAGAAGGTGGCCATTTCAATCATGGTGAGTTTTCAATTCATACATGGCAACGTGTCAGGTCTAACATACAGTCCAGCCTCCCAAACGTAGCAAAGCAGCAGCCGGCAAAGCAGCAACGGCGGCGGCGACAGCACCAAAGAAACGCGCCTCTAAATTGGCAAAAGAGAACGACATCACCGCCGACCAAGAAAACGAGATCCTCGAAGCCTTTGCGTTATTCGCCGTGACGGACAACCCAGACTACTCGGATGAGAAGGAAGGAGTCTTGCGGACAGAAGATGTGCGACGCTGCCTCATCGCCCTCAATACCCCACCCACCTCGTCCGCAGAGCTGTCAGAGATCCTCGAAGCCGTAGACCCAGAAGAGAGTGGCTTTGTCACGTACGCATACTTTATCGCTGTGGCTGCACTCAAGCTTCATGCCAAACACAATGATCCCGAGCAACAGAACGAAGAAGTCGATGCTGCCTTCACACTTTTCACACGCGGAGAGGGCGACTTCATCACCCTGGCTCATCTGAGACGTGTAGCACGCGAGCTGAGAGAAGACGTTCCGGACAAGATGCTAAGAGATATGATCAAGGAAGCCACCAGTGGAGGTGGTCCTGTTGTAGGCAGAGAGGACTTCGAAGGCGTCATGAGAAGAGCTGGTGTTCTCGGTTAAACTACTCATCATCTACACACAACGACTAGGGATGGTTCGGTTTGCTTTTCTATGCGCTTTTTGTCGCCAAATACCCCATGTTCAGCAGGAGTCTTTCGGTATGCACTTTGTTTCATTGCTTCAACATAACCTACCTTTGCAATACTCTCTGGACCATCTTTTCGGTCGCCTCTCCGCGTTGTTGATACTCATCAGATGGATGAATGTAGTCAGGTATGAATGCTTGACGCCCAACAGTCGTCTCGTACGGCACGCACGTGGTCTATCTGGAGTCCACATTCGTCTTCTTGGCGGACTTGACCTTGCAAGCGATTACTGCACGCGCTTGAGATCCTGCAGCCTGGACGATCGCGTCAAGACGAACATTTCAGCGTGCAGCATCTCAATCAGCCTCAAAGCCAAGACGAAGATGATCGCGCTACTACAAAATCCCTAGGCGATACATCACAACTCATGCCCAAAGAAAATTCCTCCCAGCAACTACGATCGGATACATCCTCCGATCCCCGATCTTTCTTCTATGGCGCTTACGATGTCTGTACAATATTTGGGCTTTCGCAGACTCTACAAGAGCGAGCTCCTCTCCGATGTTGTCATCTCTTTTGGCGATAAGAAAGTTCCTGCACACAAAGTCATCTTGATGGGTGCCTCACGAAAACTTCAGGCACTGCTCCAGGATCAAAGTGTCGATTCTATCGACGTCAGCGCCCACGAACCTGAGGTGGTACATGCCATGCTTAGATGGATGTACGGATACTCTTGGGCCGGGCATCTGGATCCTAAGAAGTAGCGCAACGCACATTTGCACAAAAGACAGAATTCGCCATCAAGGTGTTCCTGATCGCCAACGAATACCAGATCAAGTCTCTGGGAATGGCGATCACTAAATATTTCGTCGACAGTTTGAGCGCTCGCATGATCAAGCAAAGGCCGAATTGCCACTCGATGTATCCTGCTGCAGGAGCGGAAGTCGGTGAAGTCATCAAACAGCTTCTGGAGCTATACAGAGATTCGAAGGGTATCGATCGTATGCTGTTGCATGGGGTTGTCGACTTTTGTACCACCAGCAATCTGTGGAGGTTCAAGAAGGACTGCGATGTCATGAAGCTACTCGAAACATACGAGCCCTTTTCTGCACGCATGATGCATCGAATGCAGCAGGACGAGGACGAGTCTTGAGGAGCCACGAACTGCCGTATCATCTCCACTTGGCTGCTCGATACGCTTACTTTGTCAAGTTTGATCACCGCAGCAAATCGCCTGGGATTCTGGGTATCATGGAGGTTTATGAGCCTTATCCTGCACATATGCTGCGTTATCTATGTAAAAAAGATATCTGGTGGTGGAGTTTGGTACAGTATGGGTTGGAGATATGTGCTTGACATCTTCTTCTGTCTCACGTACTCACACAACGTGCTGGTCTCATGCAACTTGGACAAGGAATCTTAGTATTATATATGAAAGCATTCCTTGGTTTCTTGTATCTCTTAGTGCTTCAGAATTAGTAGACTGCCTATCTATCAGCTCTGATTAATCTCCTGCTAACATCTAATTATGCGAGTTTGCCCACTCCCTGTACCAATCCAGGCACCCAGCATTAGCTACCGAAGCCGACGTCTTCACATTCATCCCACACAGAATCTGCTTGACCGCAGCCTCAATCTTCTTGCCATTAGTAGTGACCGGGATCTCTGGTGTCTCGTCCACGATGCCAGGAACATGACGAGCACTGAGTTCACCCCTGATGACTTTCTGAATGCTCTTGACCAAGTCGGTGTTGAATTTCTCGCCTTCCTTCATCTTGAGGAAGAGAACCACTGTCTCATCGTCATCGGTTTCGCGGCGACGACCAATGCAGAGAGCATCTTCCACTGTGTCAGGGAAATGCTTGAGCAAGATGTTGTAAATCTCCGCACTGCCAAATCTCACACCCGAGGGCTTCAGGATACCATCACTGCGACCAAGCATGTACAACCCTCCAGTTTTGGGGTTGAAGCGAATGAAATCGCCATGGTGCCAGACGCCGGGGAAGGTCTCAAAGTAAGAAGATTGGTATTTTGATTCGCCGGTGGGACCCCAGAATTGGACTGGTTGGCAGGGGAAGGGTTTTGTGCAGACGAGGTCGCCGGCGGAGCCTGTGGTTGTTACGTCGGCGCCGAGGTAGTCCCACGCGCGGACGGCCATGCCGAGGCCTAGGACTTGGATTTCGCCGGTGTAGACGGGTGTGAGGGGACAGGGGGCGCCAAAGAGGGAGATGATGTCTGGATTGATATGTTAGCTTCGGGTAATATCTGTGGTAGATAGACCATGCTTACCTGTGCCACCCGTGATGCTTCCCAGGTTCACAGAACCGAAAGCTTGGTAGACGTATTGGAAGGTTGATGGTGCGAGAGGAGATCCAGTGCTGTAGATTGCTTTGAGTGTTTTCAATGAGACGCCCTGTTCCTTTGGCATGACAGACTTCTGTTCCAGTACTGAGAGATATTTGGCTGATGTGCCGAAGTGTGTGATGCTCAATTCATCGATCAGTCTTGCCATGGCCAGATCATCGGGAACAGATTTGCCGTCGGAAACATATCTGAAAGGTGAGCCATCGTATAGTACCAAGGTTGCACCACTTGCGAGACCTGAAACCAGCCAATGCCACATCATCCATGTGCATGTTGTGAAGTAGAACAACTTGTCTCCTGGTTGAATGTCACAATGTAAGATGTGTTCCTTCTTGTGTTGGAGTAGTGTTCCGATAGCTCCATGAACAATACATTTCGGTGCGCCGGTAGTGCCAGAACTGTAGAGAATGTAGACGGGGTGATCAGGGTGTAATTGAGTGAAGATGGTTTCTTTCGGAGCGGCTTCCTTCTTGACGAAGCTGTCATATGAGACCACAATGCCTGCCAAAGAAGGCACATCAATTTCTGCCGATACAGAAGGAACTGTTGGAAAGATGACGAGTGCTTTTAGGCTCGGTAGCGATGATCCGATCTCCTGCACCTTTGGCATGGTTGGATGAGTCTTGCCATTATACAAGCTGGCGTTATCTGCAAACAAAATGACAGGTTCAATCTGGGTGAGACGATCCAAGACTGCAGTAACTCCAGTGTCCGGGCTGATGGCTGTCCAGATAGCACCCAGCGATGTAGCAGCTAGCATGGCTACCAGAGCGTTGGTGTGGTTCGCGACATAGCCTGCCACTCTGTCTCCGGCCTTGACGTTGAGAGCAAGCATGCCAGATTGACAGACACGCACCTTTTCGCGCAGTTCGGCCCATGTCACTGTCTCCCGACCAGTTTCAGTGGCGGCAATGATGGCTGGACTATCCGGGCTGGGTGCTTGAGGTGGAAAGAGTAGGTTCTCGGCAAAGTTCAGCTTGGCTCCACGAAAGAATGATGGTCTTGGGAACATAGGTGCATCTTTGGGTAAGACCTGGTTGATATTAATAAATACTCCTTTTCTGTCGTTGGTTTAGATGACCTACTTCATCATATGAGGCTGAGGCTTTGATGCCTGTGAACTGCCATACAGCCTCCCAAAAGTCTGCAGTCTGATCTATGCTCCAGTTGTAGAGATCGTCGTAGTTCTTCAATTGAATGTTCTTTGCCTTGTTCACTGTCTGTAAAAACGTCCACATCTGAGTAGACTCTGGCGATGAATGTCTCCATAGCTCGGCTCCAAGGCCCTGACCATTGGTGTCATACGAGTCGTGTGTACCGTTGGCGTGAGGCATGATTTGGTTCGCAATTGGTCGGTTAATAAACAAAATAGCAAAGGCACAAAAAGTTAGTGGAAGTGTTGCGATTGGACAAGTATATCACCGGTTGCTCTCCAACCTTCCCGACGCGGGGTAAGGTTGGAGCCGAAAGTCGGATGCTGCGGTGATGAGATCCGCACCGGAGTCCGTCTAACTATCGATGTGATCCGGAGAATAGACAAGTGACTACTTTAGCTATAAGAGTACTGTAACCTATTGCTACAGGTCCTATGGAGTAGAGTGTGCATGCCAGTGATGGGGACTAGCATCAGAAGTGATAGGCTCTCGACAACGGAAACGCCCTCTACATTGATGGGCTTTCTCGGTACACGTACAGTACCAAAGACTTTCAAGACATTGAGGTGCAATCGATACGATCTTGATCCTTCCGTGGGTGGCTCGCAAGCGCCATGAAATGTAAAGACAGGCGCCGAAGTGAAGATGATTTGACGAAGGCTGTTGTGGCTGAGCTGTCACTGCCACATGAGGCTTGGCGAATACCTGACATTAAATCAAAGCACCCCTCGTCACTTCTCTCTTAACTTGGCTCACGTACACAACCTTTCCAATCGACTCTCTCTCTTTCTCTTCCGCAAACCACCACAGAGCTCCTATATCTCAACATCAACATGGGGTGAGTAAGATGCCTAGCAGAGCTACACAGGCGACGCGTACCCCGCGGATATTACAAGGCACGTCATGGACATAACAGAAAGCTGATATGTTTCGATTGCAGTTTGGCAAGCAAGCTCGCAGCAGCTCAGGGCGGCGCTCCCCCTGGCGGAGCATACGGTGGAGCACCGCCTCCAGCTTCATACCAGCAACAGCAGCAGCAAGGCGCACCGAAGCCAGGTGGCTATGTGAGTTCTCCCTGGACAGTGGACACGAAGCTGCCCCACCAAGCTTTGATGACGACGGATCAGTCGGCTGACGTTGACACCTGAAAACCAGCCCGGCCAAGCGCAGTACCAAGCCTACCAACCTCAAGTGAGTGTTTGTCCGTTTCCTTGCCTCTCTTGATCTTTTTGTCGCATCTTTGGTCCATCTTATTCTTCGACTCTGGAAACATGTCGGGCTACCAAGCATACCCTGGCGCCTCGGGCTACGGCTCTGCCCCGCCTCCACCGCAACGACCTTTTGCCAACTCGCCCTTCCAGTCGCAACCTCCCCAACAAGGTCAGCAGAACACCGCCGCCTATTCTTCTCCTGCTCCCTATGGCCAATCTCAACCGCCACCCTACCCGCCTTCTCAATATCCTCAGTCCTCCCAGCCCCAGCAACCATATAGCCCAGCGCCTTCTCAAGGCTACAATAGACCCCCTCCACCTCCGCCTCCAGGACAACAGCCGCAATATGGTCAGACCCAGTACGGTCAGAATCAAGGATATCCTTCACAACCCTCTGCGCCTTACGGTCAGAGCCAGACTCCATTTGGTCAGAGCCAGCCTCCGTCATATGGCCAGAACCAGCCCTCCTACGGCGCGAGTCAATCCCAATATGGCCAATCTCAACCTCCTTTTGGTCAGAGCCAGCCAGCTTATGGATCGCAACAACAATATGGCAGCGGACCTCCTGGATATGTTCGTGACATCTTTGCGACATCATGTTTTCCTTGATTTTTTGCACGCTATTCAGCACAGTTTACTAACAAGTTCTTTCCACAGGGCCAGCCTCCTCAACAACAGCAAGGTGGATATGGCGCACCTCCCCAGCAACAGGGCGGCTACCCTCCCCAACAACAGCAAGGTGGATACCCTGGACAGCAGCCCGGAGCTCCTCAGGGCGGCTACGGCGGTGCTCCTTCGCAGCCCGCCGGCCCTGCTGAAATCCAGGCTTATAAGCAGTCGCTTCAGCAGACTATCCAGGAGAAGCGCCTCCAGGCTTTCTACCCTCCTGGCTCTCCTATCATCGACCAGATCGCCCAAAAGGCCTCGGGACAAGTCGACCGCCTTTGCCAGCAGTGGCGCATCAACAAGGAGATTGGCAACGACATTGTCAAGCTTGCCCTGTACGACGTTGTTCTCTACATTGACGACAGTGGCTCGATGAAGTTCGAGGAGAACGGCGAGCGTATCAAGGATCTTCAGCTTATCCTTGAGCGTGTTGCTACCGCCGCTACTCTCTTCGACGACGACGGCATCTCGGTCCGATTCATGAACGACAACCCTCCCCAGCACATGATCGAGCACATTAAGACTGAGCAACAGATCCAGCAGCTGATTGCTGGCCACAAGTTCAGCGGTCTCACCCCTATGGGTACTGAGCTCCGCAAGAAGGTCATCGACGGCATTTTCGTGCCTGCTATTCGTAGCAGACAGATGCGCAAGCCTGTTTTGGTCATTACCATCACCGACGGTCAGCCTGCAGGCGAGCCCACCACTGCCGTCTTTGACACCGTCCGTGCTGCCATTCAAGAGGCCCAGAACTCTCAATACGGTCCTGGAGCCATTGCCTTCCAATTCGCTCAGGTCGGAAACGACGAGAAGGCCCGCGAATTCCTCGGTAAACTCGACGACGATCCAGTTGTCGGACAATTGGTCGACTGCACTTCCAGTATGTGTTCATAGTCTTCTCCGCTCTGGACTATCAACTAACATTTTCTAGACTTCGAGAACGAGTCCGCTGAGATGGCACGTGCCAACCCTCCTGTCGACCTCACTCCCGACCTTTGGGTAAGCATGCAAAGTCAGTGAAAGCATGTGACATGACTGACGTTTTTGCTACAGATTCTCAAGTTGATCCTTGGTGCCATCGACCCCTCATACGACACCAAGGACGAGAAGTCCAACCGTCAGGGTGGCGGTGCCCCCGGCTACGGTGCCCCTCCTCAGCAAGGTGGCTACGGTGGCCAGGGACAGTTCGCCCCTCCTCAGCAGGGCGGTTACGGCCAGCAGCAGGGTGGTTACCCCCCTCAGCAGGGTGGATATGGCGCTCCCCCTCAGCAGCAAGGCGGCTACCCTCCCCAGCAAGGCGGTTACGGCCAGCAGCAGGGCTACGGAGCTCCTCCCCAGCCCCCTCGCTACTAATTGCGGCATAACGAGATCCCGTTTTGAGAGCGTGAGACCGAAACTTACAATAGGTTATTGACGTAGCATTGTCTACAGTCCTAGTACTCTTCAAAAGAGAAACTTAATCAAGCATTTCTTAACATCTTCCCATACCCCGTCCTTGCGCTAATCACGAACGTGCATGTTGTGATAACATCGTAGCATGCACCGGAGCGTAATGTGTTTGATGTTAACGCATCGGTTTGCGTCAGCATGGTTAGCAAATGACAGAGCACCATATGATGATCGTTCCTTCCCCAATTCACCACCCACTTCTGCCGTTCGTCAGGGTCACATGCTAAAAAGAAAAGGGGAGCAACTGCTGATGCGGCACCTCTCAAGAAGAAGACCTCGAGTATGTGGAAAATTAAAACGAGAATCCTGCTCTGGTGTGATGGTTAGCTCCTGCGTGGACAAATGTTGTGTTTGCTGTATGTAGATGATATTGCTTTTGATTCCGATCATTCAGAGGACATACATGTCGAAAATGTCTCGAGATCTACCGAGCCAGGCGAGCTTGGCTAGGTACATGGGAGATTCGCATGCAGGATGTATGTGGAAAGGACTTTCGTGCCTCGGGTAATTTTGGTAAGAAAAGGTAGTTCCTGTTTTGGGGGTGACCCTGGCGACAATTATTATCCGATTGTCATATATCAATGCGCTGGGAATCTCGATTTAGACATGTGTTCAGTGAGCTTCACATGTGTCTCGGTATTCCATCAGAATACGGAACGCCTTTTTCAAGGGCCTGTTATCCTAACAAAGGGAAGAAGTGTTTTGCACACGAATCTGTTGACCTATGTACCACCCGAACGTTTCCTCCAGCATCTCAATCTCCCAATTCGATCGATTGTATTGCTGTCCGAATGCACTATGCAGTTGAGAATGCAAAGGTGGTCCACTGAGAGCGGCGGTTTTCAGACTCTCTCTGGACCTAGCTCTGGTCCACAAAAACATTGTGCATCTTGATGTGTATTTTGCAGATCATGCGTGAATTGGAGATGTCTGAATTTATAGAACACGGCCCTAGAACACGCTGCCAGGCTTGTAACAGGAATAATCTGACAGGTCATCTATTCTAGCCTTATGAGTCGCCCTCAGCGTAGTTATTGAAATGCACAATGTGATTCGGAGTTTGAGATTTGTCCGCTGAGAGTAGAGATCTCATGGACTTTCAATGGACATGGCTCCGATCTAAAAAAGAACTGTGCATTTTGATGTGATATCCCGAAGGCCATGTATGTGGTGGAGATACTTGGATTTCTAGCAGACAGGACTACGCACCGAGCTCATAACAGTATGAAGAGCAGAAAGCAGGAAACATTGACATGATTGTCTCAACAGCATGATCGATGTCATGATATCGACTCGACATGACGAAGCACCATCATGATATCTTAGCATGATCCATGTGAATCATGATCTGGCTCTCGGCCCGCGTCTCCGCAAATCGTGAAACCCGCCCGAAGATGACTTCATGCCCGTTGTTTTTTTTGTTGTGTCGATCTGGTCAGCAAGAAATGAATTTGCAACCTCTGATCACCGATCGTTGTCACATTGGAATGTGCTGACTCGAAGTTCGACAGACACAGAGGGCGTAGTGAAACAAAGGCATAAGAGGGAAACAAAGATAAACAACAAATATGTACAACAAATTTTGTCTTTCTACGACTACTTGTGTGGAAAGATACCTGGAGTAGCATTCATAAACCCGTAAATTTGATTAAACGACATTCTGTTCTACGTGATGATAAGGCGATTGACCTCCATCACGGTCCAATGTGCAGAGTGTGTTCGTTTTCGTAAACCATCATTTTTCTTCCGAAAAAATGATTTAAAGCTGGCCAGCGGTGTTGAAGTCCTTGAGGGCGGTAGCGATACGCTTGCTCATGGTCACCTCACCGGTACGGACCCACACGCGAGGGTCGTAGTACTATTTGGCGCGACGAGTTAGCATCGATGTGAATGAGTTGTGAAAAAAAAAGCGAAGCTTACCTTCTTGTTGGGCTTGTCAGCACCGTCGGGGTTGCCGACCTGGCTGCTGAGGTAGTCCTTCTTGCCGACCATGTAGTCGCGGATACCCTCAGTGTAGGCGTACTGGAGGTCAGTGTCGAGGTTGACCTTGCAGACACCGTAGGAGATGGCCTCCTGGAACTCCTCGACGGAAGAGCCGGAACCACCGTGGAAGACGAGGAAGACGGGCTTCTCATCCTTGGAGCCAGTCTTCTCCTGGACGTACTTCTGGTGCTTGGAGAGGAGCTGGGGCTGGAGCTTGACGTTGCCAGGCTTGTAGACACCGTGGACGTTACCGAAACCAGCGGCGATGGAGAAGAAGGGCGAGACCTCAGAGAGGGTCTTGAAGATCTCGTAGATGTCCTCGGGCTGAGTGTAGAGGGAGTTGTTGTCAACATCCTCGTTGTTGACACCGTCCTCCTCACCACCAGTGATACCGATCTCCATCTCGAGCCACTGCTTCATGGGGGCAGCACGCTCAAGGTACTTCTTGGTGGTCTGGATGTTGTAGTCAACCTCCTCCTCAGACAGGTCGATCATGTGGGAAGAGAAGCTGATGACATATTAGATATTGATAAGAGATGTGAATCGCGGGAAGGAACTCACAGAGGAGTGCCGTTCTGCTTGAAGAAGGCCTCGTCGGCCTCCATCATGCCATCGAGCCAAGGAAGGAGCTTCTTGGCGCAGTGGTCGGTGTGAAGAACAACGGGGATGCCGTAGGCGGGGGCAACGGCGCGGATGTAGTGAGCGGCAGCAATGGAACCGGCGATGGAAGCCTCCTGGTTCTTGTTGTCGACACCCTTACCGGCGAAGTAGGCAGCACCACCCTGGGAAACCTATTCACTTTGTTAGTCACCCGTCTTCTCAATTCACTTAATTGCAGTGATTCTTACCTGGAGGATGATGGGAGCCTTGTTGTCGCGGGCAGCCTCGAGCGAGGCAACGACGGTGGAAGAAGAAGTGCAGTTCTGGAAAAAGTCAGGAAAAGCTCAATTCATGTCAAGATTGATTCCAACATACAATGGCAGGGATGGCGAACTTCTTCTCCTGGGCGTACTTGAAGAGCTGTATTCCACAATGTCAGCGAAGATTCTTTCGAGCTTGTTGTGCTGTGCAAACAACTTACGGTCTTGACGTCCTCTCCGTAGATGACACCAGACTTCTTGAGAACTTCGGCAGCAGACATTTTGTGTGGATGTGTATGATTTGATTTCTTGATTGATTGAAGAAAGATGAGGATGAGAGGAAGTCGAGCGAGGAGTGTTGAGTTGAAGATTAAGAGGACTCAATTAGCGGGGCACTGCATCATACTGTCCGCACGGGCCCGAGGGGCATAATTGGTTGCATCACACGTTTGGCATTTCAGAGGAGTAACACCGAGGTCCGCCGACGGAGGAAATCGGAGTCGACTTGCTCTTGACTTCTTGCCTTGCGCCGTCTGGCCACAAAAAACGCACGAATGAGCTCTCGCCACTTACCACAGGTCCGGAGAAATGGGCGTTTTGACCATACAAATATTGCGCGTCTTCTGAGCCTTGAGAGCTCTCTCCAGCTTCGAGAACGCCTAGAAGCGGTCAGCTTCTTTCCCTCAGCAACAGCCCAAGCTTGGACGCCGTGACAAGTCAAGCTTGGAAACACGGGTCTCCGATTCCCAACAGTTCAATTGCCATCTCATGCCACGAAACCTACAAATCCTGTGAGTCTCACCGAGGCCGGTGATTGTGCCAGTTGGAGGGCATGACAACAGGTGACGGTTGAACCACCATGATCTGGCAGTGGAAGCACTTCTGCTCGAGTAATTGTTCCTGGCCACTTTCTCGCAAATTCACAATGGTAAGACAAAACGCCAGCACTTCTATAACATTTGCTAGGGTACGTGGTATCATGGTGAAACGGCAGGGCTAGATGTTTCTTTCAAGCGAAGTCGGCTCTGGAGGCATGTCCACAATCTTGTACTTCACATTGAATCTAATCAGATTTCTGTCTCATGGACGGCGTATTCATACGAATTGCTCGAATATGCCCCCTGTTTTTTCTTTCCAGAAATCAAGACAGCCATCGAGGGCATCGTCTCGCTTGAAGTGAGGTAAGTCACCTGTCTGGAGCTGGACCAGTCACTTGAAATATGATTGTCTGTCGGGTTTGCGCTGCTGAGTTGCTAGCTTTTCTCTCTCCAAGGATTCGATCAAGATGTCCGATGGAGATATGGGCGTACAGTGGATACAGCGGAAAAGAAACCGTACCGAAACCGAACTCTTCTCCCTCACAGGCCCTACTGACATGTCATCACAAGACAAGATGATATAAGTGGTTGTAGGTTGTCCAGAGAGAGCACGTGGAAGTATCGAATATCGGTGGATATGTGCTTAACAACTACAAACTTTCTGTATCCTGTTAGCCATACTATAAGCCGGCACGAGTTTCTTGCAGCTACGCACACGTCCAGGGAATACCGTTAAATCAGGAACTTCAGAGTAGGTTGCTATTTAGTTACCTGCTGCCACCTTCTGTATCGTCGTACACCGCCACGACTTCAGTTCGCCAATGTCAACTCGCTCTCTGGGCAATTATGTCAATCATCCTTTGGCAATTTTCCCACTTTGCCCCAAGCAAGCAGACACATTTCTAACACACTTTCACTTCCTACCTTCCAAAGACATCTTGATCGCTACACCCCTAAGTAGTTATCAATTTCGCTCTGGGAGACTGTGCTATAGCCTATAATTCATTCAGGAAGTGAAGCTTCCAACTCTCGTCACTCGGCCTCAGAGGATCTGCGCCACCGCCTTCACATACCTCCTATAGATCACCATTCACCACAAGCTCTCACATTCATCTATCTCTCCTGCGCCTTCGTTCTTTGGGCCTCTTCATCCACATCCTATCCATCTCAACATCTTCCTCCACATTGCATCACACAACACTTAGTCATCAACATGGCAGACCCTCCATCGACAGTCCCTCAATCTTCCGCACCCGAAGGTACTGCAGCAACTACCAATGCGCATATCCCCGAGCTACCTAACGAGGTCTTGTGCAGTATTGCTGGCTTCGTCGACGACGCAGACATTCCCAATCTCCGACTGGCTGCTAAGGTCTTCCACTACATCACAGCTGAACGTTTTGCGACGGTCTTCTTTCAAGATCGTGCCTACGAGCTGTCACCCGCTGGACTGAAGGCTCTGGTCAAGATCACGGAGCATCCAGTCTTTGCGCCTTACATCAGAACTGTCATCATTGGGCATGGAGGGAAACATCACTCAGCAAAATACCACGACAAAATGGAGTCAGCATTCCAAAACCTCAAGGTTTATGGACACAAGATCTCTCTCGGACTTCGCCGCGTACGCACCGCCCACAATTTCGAAGTCAGGCCATATTGCGTTGGACCTGCAATGTCCAAGTTCTCAGAAAAGATGATATCTGCTGCCAAGAAAGCTCAAATGCCCATTGAAAGCATCATCGCCGATCTACAGAACCCTCTTGTGGGTGACCGTTCAGGGGAATGGCACTACCTGTATCCGCACATCCTACGCGCGGATGGAAGTACTGCCTTTCACATCAAGCTGTCGTCACACGGGCCCACCTTCGCAGCATCGAACCGCGTATCCTTCATTAACGCCCACCGCCGACTTGAGCTTTCGCGGACTAACCCTTCCGTCGAGAGAGTGATATCTTCTGCGCTCACGTACTTCGCCCTAGCACTCCATTTGAGCGACTGTGAGGTGTCCGGAGCCCTCATGGCAAAGTTACTCTCGCACGCGAGCCAATTGAAACATATATCTTTCCACAATGTCCACTTGGTCATGAGCTCAGACAGTCTAGGTCACTGGGGACGGGTGTTCATATACCTGTTCGGGTTCCGAATCGCCTCTCTAGAGTCATGCGAATTCGGCAATCTCTGGCACGGAAGAGACAGTCTCTGGCTGGAAGGAGGCGACAAGACCATCAGAGCCAAGACCCGAGGTCAAGTTTACACTGTCATGCCCAATCTTGCCGCTGGACTTAAGGAGTTCACTCTTGATGTCTGAAATGTATCGGCGTCGTAGTAAGCAAAGCTGCAAGACCGACGAACACTCAGGATCGGGATTGGTCGAAACCACCGAGACAAGAACTTTCTCCAAGCAAGACGATCAAACAAGGAAACGAAGGAACAAGGCCAGAAGAGACGAAGCGAGGATCCATTGAGAATGACAAAAACAGAAACGACGAACAAGCACACGACATAACGAGCTCTTCCCGAGCTACCAAGGCAATCATCTTTTCCAGACTCTTCTAGGAGCACAGAAGAGATGACAGCGGCATCAGGGAGGCTGGCCCCTTTACTTCAAGTTTTCTTTTCTTTCATGCTAGCCACTGCACACGATGTGCTTCTAAATCAGCCACTCAACTCAGATAACATTCAAAAAATCACAAAAAATGTAAAACAAATCCTTGATACATGAGAGTAAAGTGATTGAGTAGTGACTACTCAGGAAAACAAAGGCTTTGTTGCTTCGTGGTCCTGTAACTCAATATCAAGGCAAAGTGATACTCAGATCGATCTCCAACGACATGAGGAGAATTGATGATGTGATGATGGCAAAGTGAGTGTAGCTTGCTGACTTGTCCGTTGAGAGCGTCTCTGTCTTGACCCCTCGTCGAGGTAAGAAAGATTCTCGAGCACCTTCGTGTATATTGATCGCAACATTGATATGCATGCTAGTTGAGGAGTCGAGCTCGTCTAACCTACACTATAGAGAGGAGGGATATTCATGTATTCTGCGAATACTCAATCTTACCTTTCAAAATGCACAAACTCAAAGCGTCCACAGAAATTACACGAAATCTCCCTGTGGACTTGTATAGCCGATTCTTGTAGTGCTTTATCTGAGGAGATGGCTTCTTGATACCTGGAACGTAGACTCTAAGAATTCGCGCCTGCGACGATAGAATTTGGAGATGAACAACGGCATCTAGATATCGGAGTGACTCTTCGATGAAACATCGGACTGGCTGAGGATCTCTAGACACTCTCGGTTTATTGTGCATTTTGACGGCTGTGAAATGACGAAGTTGTATCTGTGTTGGCATGGAAAGTGAGGCGTGTACAGTGGTGAGAGATTTGTGTCAAAAGGTTTTATTGTCATGTTTCAATTGAAGTGATCTGATCCTTGAAAACCCTTGTGCTTTGAGATGCGATTTGTCAAAGAAGATCATGATGTTCGAGATGTTGTTCCGAACAGGACAGGAAGACAGAGGAGTTGATCGCGGAGCTTGGCAGTCAAACAGAGCAAACACGAATCGCGTCCGAAGAACGAATGGGCTGGACTTCGAGCTTTTGGACATTTCAATTGGCATCAAACCTCGCCATATCATTTCAAAATGTTGTGTGCAAGTAAGTGATGGTACATGGATTAGAACAAGGATGATTGCTGACAAAATGACCAGTCTCTGGAGAGGCTCCCCAGCAGCCAGTTGCGTCGCGCAAGAGCGGTATGACGATACGAGGTTTGCGACAAGTTTGCGCCCAGACTGACACCATCTTCAGGCAACGTTTTCGAGAGGCGACTGATCGAATCATACATTTCCGAGAATGGCACGGATCCCGTGACTGGAGAGGACCTCACAGTGGAGGACTTGGTCGAGCTCAAGCAGGCCCGCGTCGTTCGCCCTAGACCCCCGACCTTGACTTCAATCCCCGCCCTTCTTTCGACTTTCCAGAACGAGTGGGATGCCCTTATCCTCGAGACCTACCAGCTCAAGCAGCAGCTAGCCGAGACCCGTCAGGAGCTCAGTACCGCTCTTTACTACAGCGACTCCGCCGAGAAGGTTATCGCACGTCTGCAGAAAGAAAGAGATGAGGCCAGAGATGCTTTGGCCAAGATTTCCGTTACCTCGACCTCGAACGGCGCAAACGGAGATGCTATGCAGGTGGATGGACAAGGCTTGCCCGAAGCCATTGTCGCGAAGATCGAGCAGACACAGGCAGAGTACGTTTGTCCAGGAACAGCCGTGTTCGATTCGCAATTGCTAATACACTGGTTACAGACTATCATCAACACGACGAAAGCGCCCGACTCCCGAAGGCTGGGCAACTCCCGACTCCCTGCAGAGCATGCAGTCTACTCAGAACTCGGAACCACTATACCCTGGAGGCCGCTCGATTGCAGTCGATGCAACTGGTGACCTTGCTCTTGTTGGAGGAAGCGACGGCGTGGTTGGTGTCTACTCGGTATCACAAGGACAAGTCATTCAGACATTGAAGTGCGGTGGCGGCTCCGTTACAGATGCCGTCTGGTCCGGCAACAAGCCCGTGATCGCTCTCTCGACTGGTGCTGTCAAGGTGTTTGACAACGGAGCCGAGGCTGCCAGCTTCGACCGCCATGCGGGCGCCGCCAACGCACTTGCCCTGCACCCTTGCGGAGACATCCTTGCTTCGGTTGGTGTCGACAAGAGCTACGTTCTCTACGACTTGCAGTCACTCCAGCCCATTACTCAGGTCTCTACCGATTCTGGTATGTTCAACGAATTTACTTGACAGAGAAGCGTACGCTAACAAGCTCTAGAACTCACGACCGCCGCATTCCACCCTGATGGACATCTTTTCGCCGCCGGAAGCAGCAAGGGAGCCATCAAGCTTTTCGACGTCAAGACATCCGAAAATGTGGCCAACTTCGACTCGACTTTCGGACAATCACCTCTTCAGACAGTATCATTCTCAGAGAACGGCACATGGCTCGCATCAGCCGTGCAAGGACAGACCAGTGTCAGCGTTTGGGATCTGCGCAAGATGGCAGAGATCAAGACAATCGACTTGGGCACGGCCGTCACTGGAGTTAGCTGGGATTACACTGGACAGTACCTCGCAGCATGCGGACAAGGCTTTGTTGCAGTTGAGCATTACTCCAAGAGCGCAAAGAGCTGGTCAGAGCCGTTCAGAAAGGCATTGAACGCAGTGGACGTCAAATGGGGATCCAAGGCGCAGAGCCTGGTCGCACTGGCGACAGACGGTAGCGTCAGTGTCTTGTCTTCTTAGGAAAAAAAGAAGTCGAAGCAGATTCGATGTCAATATGTTTCAAAAGCAAGTAAGATCCAAATAAGGAAAAAGAAAGAATCTCAGACAAAACATGATACATTGTGATTGAAGTGGAGCCAAAGGGGAAGGTGAAGCGAATGTTGATGAGACGTGAAAGTCAGCAGCAGAGCATGTGAGTGATGTGTTGTAAGGTTGTAAGGGGATTGGCATGCGCCTGCTTTGGATGGCGGCAAAAAGGCCAAACAAAGGCAGGGACAATCGTCACCGGAACAGCGTTTCCCCACAGCAGCGGTACTTGACCATCAACGTCAACCTTGGACGCCATTTCTTTCACTCTTGTTTCCAGAATCTACCGCTGTTGCTAGTGATCCGTGAGAGACTGGTGGAGCCAGCATCTTTCACCTTCGCTCTTTCTGCTCTCACTCGCTGCCAACCGCGCAGCATGGACGGCGGCCGAAGAAGACCCCCATTTGATTTCCAATTCGACCGCTCCGACAGCAACAAGGTAAGCTACCCACTCTGACAACCTTCTTCGCTCTTTACTGAACCATGCATGCAGCATTCCTACACACAAATGGATCCACGCCACCGCTCATCACCTTCGCCGCTCTTTGTCCGTCAAGAAAGTGATTCCCCAGAACGCCGTACCACTCCGCCTCGGCACCCTCTGCTCGCTCTGCCTTCGATACGCTCCCACTTTCCTCGTGATGGCTTCGATTATCGCCGTCCTCTTTCTGCTGCCCAATCTTCCACCTCGGCCAATAACGTAATCGACCTGACGTCCGACGACGATTCTGCCCTTCCCGAAACTGCTCCTACGCCACAACCACAATTCGCCGCTGCTCCCATGGCCTTGCCGAGATTTGGAAGAGAGATCATAGACTTGTCAGCGGATACGAGCCCCGTACGGCCAGCCCATCCTCATCACGCAAGGACGTCTCCGAGCCCCGAAGTGCAGTTTGTATCTAGCCGACCTCTATCCCGCACCGACCAACATCCTTCGAATCCTCCGCCTTTCCTGGATCCGCATCCCGAACGCAGACGACCTGTCGCAGACTTGATCCTTGACGACGAAGACGATGTAATTGTGGCCGGCTCACGCACTGGCGTCAATCTACCACGGCCGTTTGAGGCGCAAAGAAGACCGCAACTTGGAAGATTGGCACACTTGATGAATGAATTACCGACATTGAGAGCTGCAGCCATGGCCGCCGTTGCTCGTGGAAGAGGTGCAATGCCTTCCATTTTTGGAGCCACCGAAGATAACGACTTTCCTCGCCATGATGCTCGCCTGTTTACTGGTATGATGCCGGCATTCCTGAACTACGAGACTGTTGCCTTCAACGTTGGAACTGGGGATGAAGACATTCAATTACCTCTTCCCAAATTTGACCCGCCCCCACCAGCTCCAGAAGGGTTTACCAGAGATCCAACAGAGGAAGACACGATTGTCTGTCCAAACTGCGAAGAGGAATTAGCCGTCGGAGAAAGCGAAGAAAAACGCCAAGTCTGGGTCGTCAAAGGATGCGGTCACGTACGTCAGATCTTCTCATACAAACTTGGGACACGACTAACATGATATGCAGGTATATTGTGGCACATGCATGAACAATCGTAAGAGAAAGGTTCTCAAAGGGGCTAAAGGAAAAGGGCGAGCAGACGACCCGATGCTACCGAAACCTTTTGTCAATTGCCGCGCCGACAATTGCGCAGTCCGAGTCTCTCACAAGAACGATGTGATGCAGATTTTCCTCTAAGCAAGGTTGGCCCTTTCACTTCAAATTTCTCGACTTTTTGCTTTCTTGTCGATACCCTTTCTTTTTATGGTGCTTGGAGCATCACAATGGATATGAGGGATGGGCGTCTTGTATTTTCGGAGTGTAAATCAGGGGCGCAAAGACATGTACTTTATGGGGCGGGTGGCCACACATCATGTCTTCAAGCATGCATAGCGACGGCGTTTATTCTTAACTTTTCTGGGAATGGGGGACACGAGGGAAGACAAGATCTTTCCAGGCGTCTACTGGGTTTTCAGCACTCTTTTCCACTAGCTCAAATAGAGCAGCACTCATTAGAGAGCATGGCAGATATTGGAAGATGACGCTCAAACAAATAATACTTCGATTGCCCTATGATCCTTTGACACCAAGATGTTCTGAGAAAGTGTTTTTGAGTGAGAGAATGATGTCAGACCAGGGTGACCACGGAGTTCACCACTGTCAAAACGCCGATCACCAAGGAGCTCCTTCCCCAGGGTCCAAATCTCCCGAGGCTCCCAAACTCTCAAAGGTGTTGCTTTCCCTCTCTCGTCTCCAAAACACAACTCCAACACCAATTCCACATCGCCAATCATGGCCGACCGACCCCAACAACCCGTCCGCCCTGCGGCGGAACGCAAATCTTCCCCTCTCAAAACCGGATACTTGGTCCTCTACAATGCCATTTCTACCATCCTCTGGGGCACTATTCTGGGAAGAGTGTTGTTGATTGCTGGAGTGCACGGGACGAGATATGTTTTCCCTGGTGTTGGGGAGTTTGCAAAGTGGACGCAGACGTTGGCATTGTTGGAGGTCGTACATGCTGCTGTTGGTGAGTTGAGACCTATTTCCTTGTTCTCTGGAGTTCAAAGGAGGATGTGTTGGGCGAGAGCAAGATGAGTGGAGATACAATGGGGTCGAGGGGAGAAGTCAGAGAGAGGATGGGAGTGACAAGAGATATGGGAGGGATTGAGCATTGGGAAAGAGCAAGGAACACAAGAGACGGAAATCACAATCACAGTTCTTACCAAGCAACAAACAAGAAACCACATCGCTAACACCTCTCCTTCTTAGGCATCGTACGCGCCCCCCTCTTCACGACCCTCATGCAAGTCGCCTCCCGCATCCTCCTGATCTGGGGCATCGTCACCCCTTTCCCCAACACCGTCGCCTTTTCCCCCATCTACAGCACCATGCTCATCGCCTGGTCAATCACCGAAGTCATCCGCTACTCCTACTTCGCCATTAATCTCTCCACCGGCTCCGTCCCTGCCGCTTGGTTGTGGTTGAGATATAACACTTTCTTCGTCTTGTACCCTCTTGGTATCAGCAGTGAGTGTTGGTTGGTTTGGCTGGCTGCTAGTGGGCCGGCGAAACAGTATACTGGTGTCAGAGAGGGGCTTTTTGCTGTGCTTTTGGTTTATGTGCCTGGTGAGTTTTGAGATGGATGGGCGATTCGAAACGAATGACAGACTAATTGGGAGTTGTAGGCTCGTACATTCTGTTCACGCACATGATGGCCCAGCGTCGCAAGATCATGCGTGGTACCCGTGCAAAGGTCAACTAAGCGTCACGCCCTCGAAAAGTCAGAGAAGAGTGAGAACATTTCTTGCCTGTTCGACACTTGTATAAAGCCATCACAGTCGCAACAGCAGGTAACACGAAAATCACTCAAATCGTCAGAACGCAGCACGAATACGGCTCAAATCAGACCATCTAGCTGCTTTGCAGACTCGACGTACCCCGAAATCTCCAAGACTATATTGTGATAACAACAGAGGGAAGCACTATCGAAACAAAAAGCTTTTGTACCATAATTGTAATTATACATTTCGATCTTCCCTCCCAAGAAAACACCTTGCTATGCTATGCTATGCTATGCTATATACCCAAATATGATTGACCACACAAAGAAAAGAAACACTTATATATAAAAATGGAATTGTGAAAGATAAAGAGAGATTGGAAGACGATCATACCATGCTCTTAGCATCGGCGTGTTTCTTCTCGTCAACGATTTCGGGCTCGCTGACAACGGAGACGACGTCTTCGTTCTCCTCGACGGTAGCAGTAAGAGTACTGCCAGCATTGTCGTCGTGGATAGCAAAGTCCACGGCACCGATACCACGTGCAGCCAAAGCCTCTTCGATGGCAGAGATACGGTTCAGAAGCCTGTCGTCAACAACAGCGAGTTCAGGAACAGCGGGGACCTCGGATTCGGTGATCTCGACCATGGGAGCGATGTAAGATTGTCTGAGTTGAGACTTGCGCTTTGAGCGACGCTTAGACTCGACGTCGGAGGCGGCAAGAACCTTCTTCTCGCTGTCGCCTTCCTCCTCTTCCTCTTCGAGGACTGACGTGACACCGACGACTGAGCCCTTGGCTGATGACATTCTGCGGCGTGCAGCTTGGGCGAAGGTGCTGCCCTCTGTGACACCCTTGGATTGGGAGGCGTCCGACGAACGGCGACCGGCAGATTTGGCAGGAGAGGTTGAAACACCCTTCGACTGGAAGGCGTCAGAGGTGCGACGAGTCTTGCTGGCAGGTACATCATCGATGACGGTGGCAGAGCCAACACTGACACGACGACCATCGACAGTAATGGAAGGTCTACGAGCCTCGAAAGGAGCTGGTGCCTCGCCAGTCTTGACGATACTGATCGAAGCTCTGCGTTCAGGCTTCTCGATGAGTTCCTCTGTCTCCTCTTCGTCTTCTTCGGTGATGGTGATGTCGGGATTGCTGAAGCGTTGTCCCATAGCGGTGATGGTCATTCTGCGACCTCCAGGGGCACCTCCAGGAACGTCAACCTGAGAACCGACAGCTGTAACACTCATACGACGACCGCCAACAGGCAGAACCGGATCATCGTCGACGTCCTCTTCCTCGAGCTGCAGAACAACGTTGACGGCCTTGTCGTCTTCGATGATCTTGGGGTGACGGTTGGCGAAGTAGGTGGCGTACTTGTAGATAGCATAGTAGCAACTTGCGACGTTGACAAAGGTCAAGACAAGCTTGTAGGGCATATAATAGAGCCAGACACACTTCCAAGGCACCTTTTCGTTTTTGCGACGGAGGTGGATCTCATTGAAGATGACAGCATTGCCCATATAAAGCACGAAGGTAAGAGCCATGAGTTCGAAGAAAAATTGAGGGCGGACGACGAGAGAGACAGGAACGACGATGGGTGTGGCGAGGTAGAGGAGCGTCTCGTAAATCTCTTGGAAGACGAACAGTTTTGTACCAAGCTCCCACCAGCCAAGTTCCCATGAGAATAGGATGTAGTGCAGGTTGTAGTACATTCCGTTGACGAAGAAGAAGTTCCAACGCAAGAAACGCTGCTTGAAGACTGTCATCTCACCAAAACCGCCTCTGGAGCCGCCAGAGCTGAAGAAGACGGCAGGAGGAGTTTCAGTCTCGATGAAGACAGAAGTGGCCATCTGTGTACGGCATCCGAGTTGGCGAGCAACGTGTCCGAAGAACCAGTCCTCAGACACACTGAATCCAGGATGCTTGCTGAAAGTCTTGATGAGGAACTCTCTGTCCCAGAGGGAGATGGCACCATGAGGGAAAGTGGCCGAACCAATCTTACCAGCAAGTGCACGTTGGATACCAGAAATCTTGTATTCCAAATCTTGTGCTTGCTGACAGAGCGTTCCCTTGGAAGAAAGTGGACCAACAGACTTGATGGTGTAGCCCATACACATGACCTTCCCCTTGAGTCTGTCGGAGACGATGGGGAAGTTGGGAGGCAGAGCGCAGTCGTCGTCGATAAGTAGAACGTTCTTGAAATCCTTTGCAGCATAACAGCCGACGAATTGTGCGACAATCTTGGAACCGACGGGACTCCAAATGTGGTTGACACCATAAGGACGACAGACCTCTTCAGTGTCGTCAAGAGGGGTAGGGCTGTTACCTGTATTGACACAATGTTAGCTTGATGGAAGGTTGGATGATTCATAACACGCACCATTGGCAACGACGAAGATGTGCGATGGCGGAAAGACTTTCGTGGCGGCTTCCAGCGTTGCGCCAATGAGACTAGCAGCCTTGTAACAAGGAATCATCAAAGCAGTGTCAGCAACATTAGGAGTTTGGGTAGGATCGAACGGCTCCGCGGGCATTGGCGGATCAGGCTCGAACAAGACAAAGAGGGGCGAGTAAGCATAGCTTGAGTTGAAGTGTTAGCTTTGCGAATCATGTGGAAGGAGCAAAGGGGCAACTTACGCAACGGCAACAGCGATGACGACAGACCAGGTTCCAGTAGCATTGAGCTTGTACTTGAAAGCCAAGTAGAGCTCCCAGTAAGTTCCCTTCCAGAGGGGTACTCCAATGATGAGGAAATAGAGAAGGACAATAAGCATAAAGTAGAAAGAATACTCGAAGACGATCTGCACCCATCGCTTTCTTCGAATCTCGAGTTGTCGCTTTTTGGCATTCTCATAGACGTCCCACATACTGCTTCTGCGGACCTTCTTGCGAACGTTTTGCAAAGTGTCCTGGAAGACGGAACCTGCTCGTTGGAAGATGGTGCCTCTTCTTTCGCCGTTGTAGGGGGCATTGGGGTCTACTGAGAAGCTTTGTCTCCACATACTTTTTCTGCGAGGAGGCTCTGCGCTCACGCTCTCTGTGTTGGCAGTTGCGTTATCTTTGAGTACTGCGCCAGCAGCTGCCATTGGATCGGCAGGGTCTACAGCTGCACCAGGCGAGACTCCTCCGTCACGATAGGCGAAGGAGAATTTACCCCAAGGAGTAAGGCCCTCGGGCTTCTCATCAGGGGATGGATCTTCAGCCTCCTCGTCTTCGTCCTCATCTTCTTCTTCTTCTTCTTCATCTGGCTTTTCGTGCTCGGAGACAGCTGCAAGAGATTTGCCGCGAGACTTCCTAGCACTAGCCTTGCGTGAGTCTCTGGTCGAGGCGAAAGGATCAGCCTTGGACAAAGCCTCCATAGACTCGCTCATGTGACGAGGAGCTTGTGGAGTGGTATTGATGATATTCTTGATCTCCTCTTGCTGTTGCTGCGCCATAGACTGGATGTTGAAAGACTTGCGAGAATCTTCACGTTGGAACGCTGACTTGCGTCTACCGACAATCTTGTCTTCGTTCCAGTTTGTTTCGACGTGAGTCATTAAATGGGCAGGGATGACGACATTGGTGACGGATACGGAAGAACGACGAGGTCCGTTGACGCCTACAGAGGCACGTCGACCGTTCATAGCGGAAGGCGGACCTGCGTTCGAGGTACGTCTGCTATTAGGTGCCATAGAGGATTTGCGTTCCAAGGGAGATGGCATGTCGTTAAAAGCCACCGAGTTAGGGCGGGACTTCTTCTCCAGAGGTGAGGTCAAACCAGTAAATGCCACTGAGTTAGGTCGGGACTTTTTCTGTTCGTAAGCACTAGAGAATGAACCCTTGACGGGTGTCTGCATAGCGCTGTCCACGATGGGAGCACTTTTAGGAGTTGCAATATCGTCAATGAATGTGCCATTCTCAGGAATCATGATGTTGGACAGCTTCTTCGAAAAGTTTCTCGATGAGCGAGAGTCTGCTTCTGGAGACTCCGTCGAAGCATTCTCGTCGGTTGATGTTGCCTTTAGAATACTAGGCTTCGGCGCGAAATAATCTGTGGAGGTAGCGAATGGATTCGCGTCAACTGCGCCGCCAGCAGCAGAGTTGTTCGCGAACGGTTGTTTAGCTCCTGGACTCGATACAGAGCCAAGTTCGTGGGGGCCGATGTTGGTGGACCTTCTGTCCCCTGGGCTGGGTGTGTTCCATAGAGGGAGAGTCGATTCGCCTGGTGCAGACTCGTCAGGTCCAATATTGGAGGACATCCTCTTAGCGAACTTCCTCCATGCTGGTACACTGGGCTGTGAGGACGAGACCTCATCGGGTCCGATGTTCGTTGACCTTCTATTGACAGCACTAGGGGAGCCATAAGAAGGTCTCGAGAAGGGTGAGGATGGCGGTATTTCTTGCGAGCTCGCGTTTGTAGACTTTCTGTCGGCTGGTGTGTATGCCTTGTAAGCTGGGCTAGGCTTAGCAATCGCATCCGTAGTCGGCACTACTTCATCTGGTCCAATGTTGGTAGATCTTCGGTCTCCAGGCGTTCTCCACGGGGTTGAGGGCGCACTATAGAAGGTAGGAGCCTCGTCGGGAGCAATGTTAGTCGATCGTCGACTTCCTGCACTCTGAGGTGTCTGGTATGTAGGGCTGGTAGGAGCAATTTGTCCTGGAGCGATCTCGTCTGGTCCTAGTTCAGTCGATCGTCTAGTCGGTGTTTGATAGGAAGGGTTGAAAGCTGAAATTCCTGGAGCTATTTCATCTGGTCCCAGTTCTGTTGATCTTCTGCCCTTTGAGAAGGGCGAGCTGAATTGGCCAAAAGGAGAGTAGTTTGTACTTGAAGGAGCGACTTCTCCAGGAGCGATCTCATCAGGGCCGAGTTCATCAGACCCTTTGCGTGCTCCACTGGAGGAAAATGTGTTTGTAGCGAAAGGACTGGAAGCAAAAGGGTTCGCCATGACGTGAAACCCTTCTTGCGTGCAACAAGGAAAGAATGGGGGAAACAAGATAGAGAATGGGACGTAGAGAGGAGAAATACTTACCATACCGCCCGTTGGCAGACCGCTGGTTGGAAGCGGCCATGTGCTAGAGCGCAGAGCTAGGTGAATCAGATACTATCCAAACTTCCTCATTCAGACGCGGGGGCCGTTGTCGTCTCTAAGTCGCCCTCCCGCCTTTGGCCGTTTCGTCGAAATATTGTATATAACGGGCAGAAACAAAGTACCAGAAGCCGGACAGGCCAGAACCGCCCATCGCGTAGGTATAATATTGGTCTTCATGAATCAATAACGAGGCATGAGAAATACCGCCATAGCAGCAAAGGTCATTGAGAACGCAACATGGAGAGGTCAGAAGCATTGTGATATTGAAGATGGTTCTGTGCAAACTCAATGCGATCGCCTCTCATCAGACACTCTCCGAATTTCAATCGATTTCGTATGATGTCCTCACAGCTATTGCGGCTGCCCTATGCCGTCACTGATATAGAGCCGATCAAGAAGATCTAGCCATCAATGATGGTGAACGCTGTGGTAAGCCGGTGACCGTTGGAGAAAAGGCTTAGGCTTGAATCGAGGAGCAACAGTCGCAGCCATACGCTGCGGCCGGCACCAGGGCTGATCAGTCGTCGATTGTGAGGAAGTCACAAACAAAGTCTTTGGTTCTGTAGACTGTGAATGTGAAGTTCGTGGCTCTTGTATGTTGCATTGTGGTTAGGTAGGAACGTAGGACGAAGTCGCGGATCCGAGACAATCTACATCCAGAGCACGTGGAACTGGTCGAACTCGACTTGGCCTTCACCGCGTGGCAGCGCACAGACTCTGCGGATGTCCACATGCCGACCTGCCGGTATGGATTTGATACACAGCAGCTGGCACTCTGGTTTACAGCGTCTCTAGCATCGAAGGCAGCATGGAGTTCTGCTGCAAAACTTAAAGAAGATGTCAAGGCCTGGGTGAATATCCGTTGAGATCTCTGTCAATTCTGGGTCTCTCTAATGCGACTCTCGAGTTGGATTCGCTCTTGCATGGTCGCATATATCCAAGAGACCTTCATGCTAGAATCTTGTGTGTGCTATACAGATTAACGCACCGTTCGTTATCGACTCCTCCCCGGCTCCTCTCAAGGCATAAGTCGTTGAAGCATAGCACGGTTTACAGAAAAAGCCGTTCCGAGACCAGAAAGAAGTTTTCGAGGAGCAACAATCTTAACGTAGAATCGATAGTGGATATGCTTGCAACTGTCCAGACCTTAACTCGAACAAGACCTCCAAATCGTCGTATTCTGGCGTCTTCGGTTTGTGGAGTTGCAGGTCGATCAAGGTCACTTGAGCAGTTGAGCAAGGAAGTTTCGATGTTGGCTTTGACTTGCCTTACAGCCCGGTTTTCATCATTTCACATGAAAACATGAAGGTTGCTCAAAGGCCATGTGGAGAATTGGTTGAAGATCAGATGACTGGGTAACCAAAAAGTTGCCCATGAAAGCCGCTACGATCACTTCTCAAAAAAGTGACACAAAAAGTTGTGATTTTGTCTCTAGGTTAAGCTATCATGACTCGTTATGAAGGGCCAACCTGGCGCCACATCAAAGCTCGTCCTTGATCCTTTTCAAGAACCCCTTGATGCCATGGCCATGCTTCTTGTTGTTGCCTCCCTCGGCCTGGTGATGCTCATTTCCGACAAAGGCGGACATTGATGTGGTGAGCTCTCCTACACCATCACCCATCCAGGGACCTTCGGGAGTGAAGACCACTCTCTGCATCCTAGCCTTTCTGTTACCCCAGCCGTCATCAGGGCGGTCAGTGGCATGGTAGCTAAGGATTGGTAGGTCAGCATCTTGAAAGTATTAGGATGTGTTGAAGCCACACTTACATGCCAACGACATCATCGCCGATGTGCATGAAAGAACCATGTCCAGGACCCCATGGGCCGTTGCCGTGTGGGCCGTTCTTGATCAAAGGCTTCATGCTCTTCTGCCACGAGTCCGGTCTCAAAGGGTCCCCACCAGTCCAGCGAAGGCAGTTCATCTTGTACTCGTTGGTCCAGCTACCCGAGCAACTATAGACTATGCCAATCCAAGAGTTGTCCGGAGAGGCGAGGTACTGCGGTCCCTCATTGATGCCATGGTCTCCCACACGTTCGAAGGGCTCATCAGGCCTGCAAATTTCAACGGGGTCCGAAGCAGCAGTGACTGGGTCGGACAAACGAAGGATGAAGAGATGTTGTAGGAGATCGGATTCGTTCGGGTTATCAAAGGGCCAGCCAGAATAGACAAAGTACAGCTGACCATGTAGCTCAATCACGGTCCCGTCGATGGCCCATTGATGTTGACCCATGCCTCTGATAGGTCCCACAAACTCCCACGAACCAGTAGTCGGGTCTTGATCTGCGGGTGGTCCGGCAAGCACAAACATTCTGTGCGACTTGTTGCCATGCTTTGGATGGCATGCAGCGTAGTAGACATACCAGCGTCCTCTCAAACAATGCAGTTCTGGAGCCCAAAGATCGTTCGAATGTTCGGTGTCTGGGGGTGGTCTCCAGATGACGTGCTTGTCTGGATGATCGTGGAAGTTGGGCAAACTGTCAGCCCTCCATAGCTCTACGCGGTCGCCCGCAGTAAATGTCTGTAATCATTAGAACCACATCGACAGCAAGCCATAACTGATTAATGCCTACAAGATAGAATTGGCGGGTTGCTGCCGAGTAGGTAATATAAGGGTCCGGTGTTTCGGTCTTGGTCAGAGACAAGACGGCGTTGTTGTATTGAGCCATGAGTATATGCGAGTGATGTTTGATAAATCAATAGAACCGAAGGACAAGGAATAAAGTGTTTGTTATAAATGGCAGTCACGATTGCTTGGCTTTATATACAATGACACCTGCCATGCCGTGGATGGTTTCAAGCTTCGCACCTCGAAGATCAACACGCAAGCTTATGAAGTCATTGTTGTGAACCTTGTCCAACATCGTGTTTAACATTTGTCTGCCACTCTCAGTGGATATGGATCAGACTATCAAAGCGTGTTGCGTTTTAATAAGCATGTCAGAGGTCTTGCAATCGAGGGGGAGCACGACTCGAAAGCAACATCTCCTTCCCTTGGTCCCAATTTGTGAGCACAGTCGTTGCTAGGTACTAGGAGTACAATGTTGCTATCTGGCGCGCTCAATGGTTTCATCTCCGATTGTTCAGTTGACCATATTTGTTGATTTTCGTAGCTAGAGATCCAAGAGCATATGTTGTTCAAGCACGATAAATTCATGCCGGCGCACCTTCTCAATAATACTCACAACTCACCCACTGCTGGTGATCTCTCTGGAAGTAATCATGCTATTGTCATCTCCGTTCGTTTCGCTGGACAGAAGAACAAAGGACTAAGAGTACATACTTACCCCAAAGGGAAGTGCAGAGTAAAGAAGAATGTAGAAAGACCAGACCCCGTCGTCGCGCACCATTACCATGCAATTCGATACCTCCCCAAATGGTTGCTTTCACCTGATAAACGCCGTTGCCTTCCGTGTGCTGAGCTTTTGGTGGTATAATCCTGAGACGAAGTGCTTTTTCGTATAATCCAGAGAGGCATCGAATTGCGGGACCACTCGAAGTGATTCTTCCTTTTCTGGTGCCTTACCGGGCGCTTGACTGGGGCGTGAGACATGGTTGCTTACCGACGTAATGCGCATATTGGTGATGAGCTTACCGTCGAGATTTGAATGTAAGAGAACAAGGCCTCCCAAGAGCGAAGAGAGATTTGAACAAACCCAAAGAGCGCTCAGTACCTTCTTTGCTTGCGCGATTCGTCGTAGCCACCGTTTCCATCGTAGGGTCGCTTGCGGTCGTTGTCGCGTTCACGGTCGCGGTCGCGGTAGCCACCACCGCCACGCTCTCCGCCTCCAATAGGTTCGCGATTGCCGCCGCTACCTCCATAGCTGTCGCGGGGCGGTCTCTCGCCGTATCTTGAGCCGCCGCCAGAGTAGCTATCACGACCGCCATCGCGGCCACCGCCGTAGCTGTCACGGCCGCCTCCAAAGCCACCGCCTCTTGGCCCGCGAGGCCCGGACGGTGCGCCTTCAGGGAAGCCATTGCCGTAGCCAACACCGCCTCTGCCGCCGCCGCCACCACCACCGTACCCACCTCTGTCACCTCCACCAAAGCCGCCCCTGAAGCCGCCTCTATCACCTCCTCCTCTTCCACCACGGAAACCACCTCTGAAGCCACCGCCGCCGAAACCGCCACGGCCACCACCGAAGCCTCCAGGTCCAGAGGGTGCACCGTAGCCAGAGGGACGAGGAGGAGCAGCCTTTGTGTAATGACGGCCACCAAGGCCACCGCCGTATCTACGAGGACGCCATTCTTTGACTGTACGGCCACGCTCAACGTCGACCAGGATACGTCTGTCTTTGATGCGAATACCATCGGCGTCTTTGTAGGCAGCTGTTATGGGTTAGATTCAGATACAGCAAAGGACAAGATTCACGAATTACCCTTCATATCAGAGTCTCTCTCGAAAACAATGAAAGCATAACCGCGGTGCTTCTTTTTGGGGGTAGGTGTGGTTGTGTCCTCGACGAGACGAATCTGAAAGGGTCAGCATTGATTTGGTTGTGGTAGCAGTTGTGGTTGCGCACGCGCTCAATGGGACCATAGCGACCGAACTCGCGCTCGAGGTCCTTGACTTCGGTGTTGTAGCTGAGACGAGAGACGAAAAGCGTCTTCAATGGGTCGCCGACAACATTGGGGTCCTCATGGGGCTTGACTAGAGGTAGAGATTAGTGACGGAGCAGATGGTGGACAATTGGCGTATGCGCGCACATTCGTTCTTGTAGCCCTCAGTGATGCGGTATTGGGCAGCCTCGTCTCTCTCCATCTTTTGACGGTCCTTCTTTTGGAGCCAACTCTCGGTAGGGACATAGCCGTCATCGTATTCCTTTGCGGCCTGGACGTATTGAGCGACACCAGAGATCTTGGGCGTGCGGCGGTCCTCGGGAGCGTGGTCGCATGGCGGCAGGTATCGCAGAGCAGGTCTGGGAGCGAACAGCTGTAGCAGCTGTGGGGGTAGTTTGTCCGTCATCGAGTGTGATGATGCGGCGATAAATGATGGGCGTCTCCAGGGAGTGTCGCGGTTGCTGGAGCTGAGAGTCGAGACACGATGACCCGCGGCTTCTTCCACCGCCAAGACATGCATCTGGACATTCTCGAGGAGAGGACGATCATGGTCAGTTAATTCACGCCTTCACATTCGCTAGCCGTCAAGATGCCTCTACAAGCTCTGCGCACCGTCTCAAAGGGACAGGTGAGTCGTGGATCAATTGCCCTCCATATTTGGCCTCGGTCTGACTTTTGTAGAATGGTGTCGGTGCCTTTATCCTGCAATGCAAACGCCTCGACTTCCACTACTGCGACTGGGCCGGTAGTTCAAAGGGCATGAAGTACGCTTTCTCTGCATCTCTTCATCTTTTCTGCCTCTGACATCATTTGCCAGCTCCTTCCTCAAGAACGACCTCACAGCGTTCGCCCGCGCAAACCCTCAAGTCGAAATCACCGTCTCGCCCCGTCCGCGCAAACACCCCGTCATCAAGGGTACATATATCAACGGCCGCGAAAAGGCCATCTGTGTGCGCAACCTCGAGAAGGAGCAGATTATGAAGAAGGCCGAGCTGCTGCGCGATGCCAGCGGCGACAAGTTGAGAAAGGTCACAAAGCCCGTCAAGTCCATCAACGAGAGTGTAAGAGGTATCTGGGACCCTTTCCACGGCTCAAAGTGGTCTGTCTGATCTCTTCTACCTGCTTCGCTTTCTACGACCATCTTGTACAGCATTTCAAAGGCGTTTTGGGGATACCAAGGATTTCAAAATTAAGGCCTCTTCACTGTATACTACACTTTACTTCCATGTTCATATCATGCTTCTACAGTAGGAAAGACCCTATCGAACAATGTTCCAATATTCTTGAACACCGGAGAGCGGATCTGGCGGGAACTTGGTTGATATAAGCCAAAACTCGCTTGGATTCCAAACATTCAGTCTTTGCGTTCAACGAGGACGACACTTCCCGACCTATATCAGATATTGAAGAACGTACCTTTCGTCGTCGTCTAAAATCAGGTTTCTTCTCAAAGAGAACAGAATTCCCACATGCTCTTTTGAATGGCCATACCAGCCGAAACGCCGTCCCAACTTTCGACAAGCATGTCAGAGGCCTCGGGTAGGAAACGAAGTTCTGTCTTTCTGCAGACACATGTTTGGTAAGAATCACAGACGGTATTTTGTTTCACAAAATGCTAGCAGTTCAATGCTTGGTTCGTAAATGTTTTGATTATGGATCATCTCTCATAAGGCAGCCATGCGTTTACCGCGTGGCACCCTACCAGTCCCGTTTATGTACAAAATTTACGAGGACTGGGCGTTGATAATGTCAACAAAGGCGGGCTTCAAGCTGGCACCGCCAACGAGGAAACCGTCAATGTCCTTCTCCTTGGCGAGCTCGTTGCAGTTCTTCTCGCTGACACTGCCACCGTAGATGATTCTGGTGTTGTCCGAGGCAGTCTGGCTGACCTCCTTGGTGAGGTACTCGCGGATGGCGGCGTGCACCTCCTGAGCCTGCTCAGTGGTGGCGACCTTGCCGGTGCCAATGGCCCAGACGGGCTCGTAGGCAATGACGATCTTGCTCCAGTCCTGGATCTGCTTGGCGACGGCGCGGAGCTGGTTGGTGACAACGTCGATGGTCTGGTTGGCCTCTCTCTGCTCAAGAGTCTCGCCAATGCACAGAATAACGCCGAGGCCGTGGTTAAGGGCGGTCTTGGTCTTGGAGGCAATGAAGTCGTCGGACTCCTTGAGGATGACACGGCGCTCAGAGTGACCGGTCAGGGTCCAGGTGATGTTGGACTCCTTGAGCTGAGAGGCAGAGATCTCACCGGTGAAGGCACCGTTGGGCTTGTCGAAGACGTTCTGGGCAGCGACCTCGAGACCGGAGCGGAGGTGCTCACGGGTGAGGAGCAGGTAGAGGGCAGGAGGGGCAATGACGACCTCTGCAGATTGGTTAGCATTGAATCGCCAGTCACTCTGGGCTTTGTTGACATACCGACGTTGGGGTCGACCTTGGCCTGGTTCAGGTTGTTCACGATGCTCTTGATCGTGTCGACCGAACCGTTCATCTTGAAGTTACCTCCGACGAAGAATTGACGACCCATTTTGGCTGATGTGTGTGTGATTGTGGTTTTTGGGGAATGTGTTGATGGAGTTGCTGTATTGCAAGAAAAGTGTCAAAGCAAAGAATGATGTTGAGGGGGAGCACGAGTTTATTTTGTTGGCAACTCATGGAGGGGCATCCGCATCATAGCTTGACGTAGCTGCTAAACCGGAGCAAATCGGCGCCCATCGGACACACCGCGGGGCCTTGGGGGCTGCTTTCGAAACAACGAGAAGGGCCACACTTTGACCTGGATGTCGGTCTCTAGGGATCTCTCTTCCTATCATGTTGGGGCAGGATCGAATAGTGAAGACATGCTGCGAAGATTCAAGTCACCAAGCAATCCAAGTATTGAGGACGATACAATTATTTTGACTCGTGGTTCACATGCAAAGCATGCTCACTAACATAATGTGAGGACGATACGTAAATGGTCCTTAGTGACAGATCCGGTGGTACCATCAGTGTCCACCAAGGTGGTGCGATGTTGCGCCGGCGGTACACCAGAACCGAAAATATGTGGTGACTGATCATGCTTTCTGCAACTTGCTCGCGCGGTCTGCAGCAATCTCACACATGGCCTGCTTCCCTGTCAGTATGTATTGTAACATAAAGTGATCATGTAATCGTGCCTTGATCGCGGCTGCTCGCTCTGCAACAATGTCCCCGGCAGCAATCCTGCGTTTCATGTCCTCCATGATGACAGGTCTGCTGCGACCGTTCACAAAGACAACATATCTCAATCCGGGATAGGTCTTTTCGTATTCTTCGTTCAGGTCGCGCAACTTGTGAGCTTCTTCCTCGCCGCCGGTGTTGAGCTGAGCTTGCTCCGCCTGACTTTGTGCACTCTCAACTTTCTTCGCGCCTAGTCTAGGATGTGACCCCAGGATGCTCTCCGACCATTTGGTATCGCTGACTGACGATGATTCAGAAAGGTCGGTCAACTGTACGCCAACAGCTGCGATAAGATCGTTGTACGATGCAAATGTCTGGTTACTCAACAGCTCTACGGAGAGAGTGTGGAGAGGGGTGCTGGGCTCGAAGAGCAGGTCAAGAACACCTGCTCTTTGCTCGGCTGCCAGCGACGATAGAGAAGAGATAGGAGGAAGGCTGCTCATACTTGCGGAAGGCTCGAATTATGCGAAGGTCAAGCGACTGCGTGAAGTTGATTTTGGAGAGCGCTGTGATGTTTTCAAGTATACAGACCCGCACTTACCCCAGGAGTTACGTTCGGGGGGCTCCTAATATGAACCGTAGAGTAATGAGAACTCTTGATGATTGAAAACTGCAGATAAACCGATGAAAAGCTCGTACAATCTTCAGACAAATCGAGCAGTCCATGCAAAGGGCGGTTGTTTCACAGTCTCAGCTACATGTTATTCTTATTCTCAATAGTATTATGCATTTTGACAGCTGGAATCATTACACCAGCGCTTCCCGTGGAAGATCACTTCACATTCAACTGCTTATGCTGTACACATGTTACCTGACCCTGGCGCAGACACCTCACACGTGTGCTACGCTCTTTTGCTTTGCTCTGCCTTACCAACTTGCATCGACTCTGTGCGCATACGTCGGCCGAGAGCCTTGTTGGTGAATCGCATTATTTGGAAAACCAGCTTGGCTTCTCCACGCAGCTGGAGCTCGGGCTAGATTTCATCGGCCAGCCATGTGCCGTGCATGGTCCAAAGAAAGGCAAACACAGCTCTGATCTTATTGCGTGCAGCCAAGATAGGCGAACGGCTCGAAAGGAATCACAATAAGCTGTTCGGCAGGCGGCAGACCGAAGAGTTAGGAGTTTAGAGGCTGAAAGCCATACCAATTTCGAGGGTGGGGATGCAGAAGCGGCAGGTGTTCTGCTGATCTTAGCTTCCACAGAGACTTTGTAGAAACGTAGATTTCGAAGTGTACCGGCGAACGCAGTAAGATGCACAACATGTTGCATGCATACAGTAAGAGGACCATGGAGTAGGTTTGTTCCTGGGAAGTTTCCGTGGTTCAGCTTTGATGGAGATGTTTAATGATTGTCTCTCCGGAGGCAAGGTTGGCCTGGGCGCTGCCACACAAAGTCAGGGTCGGCCAATCAATGCTGCAAACTACCGAGAGGCTACGGAAATCCCTAGATGAAGCATACGACGATCAGTCCGATTCGTGCTGCTGGCAAAGTTTGGTTGAGGGCGAGGAGGGAAATGGGTGGATATGTATCTATAATAGAGCAGTCCTGCGTTTCGAGTCGGAGAGCGACGAACAGCACCAGAGCAATAATGCTGGCCGCCATAAAGGGGCTCACTCAACTCGAAATTCGCGCGAGACACGGTCACACGCGCTTCTGGAATTAACGCCCCTGAATCTCCTCTTGCAGGCATAAGGTCTCGTTGAAGTCAAGAAGACGGTCCGGCGACGACTGGCAACCATGTCTCTGAACGGACTGGATGCGCCAGAAGTGCAGCAGGCCTACCAGGCTACCCTGAGCGAGGCTGGAGGATGGTTTCTTGTGAAATACACCTCTCGCGACGAGGTCACCCTGCTTGGCAGTGGGCAAGCAGGCTTGAGCGAAGCAAGAACAGCGATCTTGCAATATGAGGAATTGTCGCCTCTGTACGGGCTGGTTGTCTACCGGCGCCGCAAGGTTCTCGTCAAATATGTGCCTGAAGGAACATCGCGGCTACTGCAAGGTACGGATGCCTAGAAGTAGAGGCGTGGCAGATCAGACACTGACCGGGAGCAACAGCGCGGACAACGGTACACCTCCGGGATGTGCAGGACAAATGGGCGCCGTACGAAACGATGCTCGATATTGCGACGGCCGACGGGCTGAACGACACGGCTCTGGCAGCGGCCTTTCCTCTTCACACCGCCTCACCCGCACTGTCCAGCAATCATCTGAATGAGATCACCGAGGACAGCGAGGATGGCGATGCCGCCCCTAAGCCGCTGACCCACACTCCGTCCATCTCGTCGGTGTCAAGTAGAAAACCTACGCTCGAGAAGCGACCTCCTTCCCAGCGTTCCTACCGCTCTCCCTCCTTTACGAGCGTTCAGTTCGCCGGCGACCACTCGCCAGTCCTGAAGCACAAATCGTCTTTGTCGCAGTTTCTGGTCCTGGAAGAGCTGGGGCACAAATCAGTTACGCAGCTGAACGGATATTCGCCGGCGGAAGATACTGCTTCGCTCAAGGACGACGCTGCCTCGATAACGAGCACCCGTACGGAAACGGCTGTTCCGTTGACCTCTCCTGTGCGGACACATACCAATGAGTCTGCTGATTACGACTTGGAAAGATATCTTGATTCGTTCTTCAAACCAAAGATCAAGCTTGGTCCGCGTCCGGTGAACGTCGCAGAGAAAGGCAAGCGCACCACGGCATCCGCGCCTGTATCGAGCCTTCCTGCTGGAGTTCAGTCCAGGGCAAAGCAGCCTCTGTCACACCCGCAACCACAGTATCCTGCGACTCGTAATCGTCTCACCGACCACGCCCCTTCCGGTACTTCAGCGCCACCAAGGCTGCCCTCTCTACATTTTTCACCTCAAATACCCGACATACCTGAATTCTTACCGCCTCGCCCCAATTCAAGAGGCAGCTCTCGCTCGTTACCCGCTCCCCGGGCATCCAAGGCATTTTTGACTCCAGAGAAGCAGCGGCTCATGAAGGCACTAGAAATGAGAAAGAAGCAGATGAGAAACTCGGCTTCTGTAGAATCAATGCCTCAGTTGTCTGCCGCAGAGATCTCTAGTCCGACTGCTGACAGTTCTGTCAAAACACAAGGGCAGGAAATGCAGCGGGGTACGGGCGCAAAAAAGGCAGATTCGGGCATCGATATAGCGCATTCATCCACTGCCAAGGAGGTCCTGGCGTCGCATCCGCAGGAAGAGTTAAAGGAAGTGACGGAAGCACCATCGGGATCATCTAACGCCAATCTCCAGCCCGTCATTTCAGAAGAACAAGCAGACACTTTTGCGACAATCTCGACCAGCCAGCCCGACATGCCTGAAGTCGCTGGGGAAGCTCCAATAGACACACCAGTTACGGATGCTGTTCCTACGTCGAACATTATGGAGCCGACAGTCAAGGAAGAGCAAGCATCAACTATAGACGCAATCGAGGCCACTCAGGATCAGGAGCATATCTCTGAGCACGGACCACCCACAGAGTTGGAGGATTCACTTGCTGACGCCGCCGTCACTGATTCACAAGCCCATACCTTCGACGAATTTGTGACGATCCACAAGCCGGAAGACCAGACTATACCCACGATCTCTGATGTTCAACCTCAGTCAGAGGTGCAAGACACAATCCCTACCCTTTCGACAGAGGCAACCCAAGAACACGATAGTTTTGAGCCAGAGGTTGACCCTACATCAGAGGACCCACAGAAAAAGCGCCGTAGGGGTCTACTAGAACCTCTTCAAATCCAATCCCGCCTCGAACGCCATACGTCGGAGCACAAATTCCTCTCCGACGACGATTTCATGGACGAACTGCAGACGGCCACTTTTGAACAGGCCACCCCTGTCGCCATGTCCAAATCTCCTGCCAGTCCATTCTTTCCTCCAAGACGCCCAAGCTCGCGTTCCGCCAAGTCATCCAACTCTGTCACTACCGCCGTATCTACCGAGTCAGTTCCCCTGGTCCCTTCTGTCAGCGACACCCTGGAAAAGGGTCACATTCCCCCTGAGTTATTGCTGCCTTCGTCCGAACCGCAGTCCGGCTTCCCAACCAGAACTCCATCGGTTTCGTCAGTGAGAACAACGGATTCTAGCACGCTCATGCGCAAGTCGAATGTCTCCTCTGGCATATCTGCCAGAATCGCAGCACTTGCCGAAAAATCAACACGAGATGGAAGTCCCCCTGTGGCTCCTGGGTCTCGCAAGCTGTCTGCCAATTCGACTATAGCACAGCGCAAGAGCTCATATATCGACCAGTCGGCCGAAAATCAGGCTGTTCCTGGTGCTGAGAGACGCCCTGTCGGAAAGCTTTCTGCTTGGCAGGCTGCTGCACCCTCCAACCCATCTCATCTAAAGACTAGAAATGCACAGTCAAATAATCGCGACTCGGTCTCGGTCACTGCACGCATCGTCCGTGTTCCTCGTGCGGGCGAGCCCGCGACGTCGCCAGAACTTCAGGCTTCGCCTCTGCTCTTCAACCACCAGCGTCCAACACAAGCCAATGGCCATACCCCACTTGCACCCATTGTCACAAACGGTCTTTCTTCCAAGACTCCCCAAGGCGAACACGACAGTGTCATGTCTCCGCAGAGCAGAGACGGCATTGCCTCGCGGGGCTCTGTCGAGACTACGGCTACTGGCAGACGTAAATCTTTCGACCGCAAGTCGTTCAAGAGCCTGAGTGGCCCTACCAGCCCAAAGAAGAATTCGTTCAAACACAGTGCGACAATGCCTCCTCCCGACAACAGCCCTGACAAGACGAGCCGCACTAGCCGGTTCTTCAAGCGCATCTCTCATCTTGGTAAGGACAAGAAAAAGAGCGTGCCTCAGGTCCCTACTATCACCACGACACCTTCCGAGCCCATGTCGCCGACGTCCACCACACGATCAGGACCGACTAGCCCTGCAGCTGTCGTCCAGATTCCGGAACCAATTCCTCAACCTAAAGTTGAGCTTACATCTGCCCGAGCCGCCGCCCCCAACCCAGCCGTTTCTGCAATTGCGGCTTCTAAGCCTCCTCGTCCAGAGTCCATTGATGTTCCACCACCAGTTTCGATTGGAGACTTCAACGTGCAATTCCCGGACACAATGCTCTGGAAGAGACGCTGGATCGAAATTGACAGCACCGGCCATCTCATGTTTACCGCTGCTGCTCGTCATAGCAGTGTCAGCAAGAACTTCAACTCAAAATTCCACTTGAAGGACCTTGGTGCTCCTTTCATTCCCGACATTGATCGACAGGAGATGCCTCACAGCGTGCTATGTGATCTCGTCCAAGGAGAGGGCTCCTTGCAATTCGCCAGCGAAGATGCCATGTCGCAACGCCAACTACTGTCTTGTAAGTTACACATCCATTGCCTGTCATTGAATATGCTGAAACTGACCTACGCATCACAGTGCTCACCACTTACCACCAAGCTTGGACATCTGTCTAATTCCCCTGATTTGGAATTCGAGCACCACACGATTTCACCATGAATACATCAAGACGGCACAGGATAATGTTGTCCCATCCATTCAATCCTATTTTCAGCAACCCTTTCTTCGGTCAAAAACACACCCAGTCGCTCCTTCACACACTTTTACTTGTCCGCTTTTAGATACCCCTTTTTCTCATTTCTTTTCCTCTTTATCCCGCAGGTTGCGGTCTTCTATGTACAATAATTCAAGATGGAGGCTTGCCTCGTATTTTTCCCACCCTCTTCAGCTTGTGCTTTTTCAACACTTCGTCATAGTTGTGCTCATGTTCTCCGTGCCGTTTTCTGACTGAAGAATGGTCAACCCTCGCAGCGTGACATGGTCTTCGTCCAGTCAATATGGTGTAAACCCCCGTGAATGGGGAGAAACGTACCGGCAACAAACTCGATCTCAGCCCCCTAGACGATACCCAGATACCATAGCAGTAGGGTCATGCTCCCAGACTACTGCTAGGCAAGCCCTCCCAAATCAATCGTCAGCACGCAAGATGTTTTTCGTATCTGCAATTGTCCAAAGAGATCTGGTCGACACACTACTTTCGACAGACACGAGCCAACTTTCAAAAACATCTTTGCATTTTCATAGCTAATCCGGTAACTGTTCGGCGTCTGAGATTCTTGAGCAGGGCTCGGGTCAAGTAGAGTGGCGGTATCTCATTTTGCCAAGGAGCCTTCCAACCATCGAGATGCAGAATAAGTTTTATTCTAGTGAGGTCGGCCAGAGAGAAGACGCAGGGGTGCCACTTTCAGTGAACACGGACGCGGTCTGTCAAATACATCTTGTCTTCCGACAGCCATTTCAATGGCCAAGTGACTCATGGACTGCGTATAAACAGATCGGTGGCATATTCATATTCTCGCTCAGTCGTCCCTTGCTTTACTTTTCATCATCAGTTTCTACCTGATGGCCCAACTTCCCATCAATAAAAGCCTGCATCTCACCGCCATATTTCGCCAACGTCCACACCAAGATTCCACCACTGATGGCCAAGATAACGCCTATTGTAGCGGCAAGTCCGATACCTATTGAATCGATCAATGGTACGATAGCTGCATTTCCTGAAGCGCCGAAGATGTATTGGATAAAGTATTTGGATGCGATGACTGCTGTACGTTGTTCGGGTATCGCCTCTGTTGCGAAACAGTTAGCAATGTGTTGAAAATGGAAGAGCGGGAGCGATGACTTACCAGCACAATAAGTATTCAACGAGCTAAACGCCGCCATCAATCCCGCACCGGTGAAAAAGGCCGCCACGATGGCCAAAGCTAAGCCCCCGACATCATATTGTAAACACCAGCCGTAGATGAGCTGGGAAGCAGGGATGATGAGGAAGAAGGCGATGAGACCGCTGTTGAGTCTATCTTGTGGGACACGTTTGCCTCCTCGTTGCATTATCTTTTTGGCCATGGTCATATCGGAAAAACGACCGCCAGCGATGGACCCGAGGAGGAAGCCGGCGCCTGGAGCGATGTAGAAGAGACCGGAGACGAGCGGAGATGTCAGATTGAAGCGTGGGTTGACTAAGTGGCGTGGCGCTGCTAGTAGGGAGTACTGGGTCCAAGCAAGTAATCCACATGCAAGATCCTGAGCCTCGTCAGTCATGGGTTCAGACATCTTAAGAGAGACAATCATACCGCAAAGAAGACATTAGGATAGATAAGAAGAGTAAACACTTTGAGCATCTCGACCTGCGACTTGCCCCAGAGTTTCAAACTAGGCTTCTCGGTGATTTGGTGTGGTTGTGCGATGGAAGGGACGAAGAGCAAGGATAGAACCAATCCTAAGCCGACCATGCCTGTCTGTACCCAGAAGATGATTCTCCAAGACGCGAAGGTGACAATAATTCCTCCAACAAGAGGGCCAATGGCAGGTCCCAGCACGGAACCAACCATGAAGAAGCCGACGGCTGTACCTCTTCTTTTTTGGTCGAAGATGTCGGCGATGATGGTTTGGCCTATAGACGACCTCAGTAACCCAAACCTCATGCGAGAACGTAGTGATACGTACCAGCAACCATATTGTATGTTCCTTGAAATCCAGCAAGAACTCTCATAGCCGTAAACATAGCCATGTTTATCGACAACGCCGTGCCTATTGAGCATAAGAACAGTACTGCGATAGCAGCATTGTAGGCTGTCCGTCTTCCTAATGTCCTAGCAATCGGTGCCCATAACAGACTTGATGATCCCATGGCTAGTAATACTCCGGCGTTGGTAACATTGATGTGCTCTGCTGTAGTGCCGAACTCGGCGGCTATCTCTGGGGTTGCTGGATATAGACATGTGCTCGAGAATGTGGCAGCCAGACACATGAAGCTGACGGTAAAGAGAATGACATATTTGTGCCAGCTAGGCAAGTCCGTTCCCTTCTTAGAGGTTTCTTTGGCTATAGGCGGCGCTGTAGTTGTATGCCCCATACTGATTCAGTTGTTAAGAAATACAGTTGAAGATCCTCTCTCATCAAAATAGTGGTAAAGAAGCAGAGGCCGAAAATTGTATGTCAAGGTAAAAAGAGTGTGCTTTCTTCGAAAAGATTGATAAGTATACTTAAGAGTCAGAGATATGATTTACGTCAACATGGAGACGAGTCTCAATGGTTCTCTGCGGTAAGATGTTCAAGATACCGAAGAGAAACGATGTTTTACCAAGCCAGCGACTTCGCACTTCTTCGCCGAGAGGAAGTCCGAACCGGCTTCATCTTGCCGCAGCCCGTCCAAAGAGTGGAGCATCAGGCATACATAGATATGGATAGCGAATTAGCTCATCAAGACTTTTGCTTGTCGCGCTTCATGCAAGGCGATGGCGGTGGTATTCGGTACTCTGGTGCTTTATGTGCACGTTTGAGAAGCTCGGGACAAAGGTTGGTTTCCCACGAAGGAAGGCAGACGCCGACAATCAGCTCGGCGTGCGGCTCAATTACGCCGAGCCGATTGCAAATATTCGGCTTCTTTCTAGGACACATCTGATACAAGTAAAGAACTTCACTTGTTGCGGAAGACACGAGTGTGGTAAGAATATTTCATGATATAATTCTATGTGACAGCCGATCTATATATAAACACCTGACGCTTAAAAAGCAATCCATAAAAGCTGGCTAACAGATGAAACGTGACAAGAGTTGTATCAACAGGGACAAAAAGCGATTATGAAATGCCTGAGAAAATGATAACGAAAGACGACTTGTGCGTAGAGGGTATAAAAAGCCAATGGATGGCAAAAGCAATGAACTTTGAGAAAGTAGGAAAAACGTAAAGAGAGAGGGAGAATGATGGTTAAGCCTCGGCGATGACGGTGACTGGGCCATTGCGAAGAGGGGCACGGTCTCTACCCTCATAGACCTCACCGGGCCATCCCTGATATGTGGTTCCATCATCGACGATGTCACCAGCCATGACCAGAGTGTGCTCAAGAAGCATAGTGTCCTGGCCCATGTTGGCACCAGACAACAGTCTAGCGCCACTTCTTAGGACACTGCGATCACCGACGACCAGAGGGTTCAGGTTGAAGACACCACGAGAGTTGATGTGAGAGACAAGGGATGCATCATCGACGGCGACACGGTCACCAAGGGTGAGAAGGTCGGGCTCGGTGAACATGAGCGAAGGAAGACCGCCGGAGAAAAGAGAGCAGTCCTTGCCGATGGTGGCACCCAGAGCGCGGAAGTACATGACTGCATAGTGGGTGCCGGTGAGCAGGCCGATGACACCGCTTCCGCCGTAGCAGACGCGACGCAATTTCTCGATTGTAAGGAAGAGTTGCCAGCGCTGGCAGTAGCTGCTCTTGTCCCAGTCATAGTTGCCGACCTGGCGTCTACCAAGAAGAATCCATTTTGCGGCGACGACAATGGTAAGAGCAAGAAGTGCTTGGAATGTGTGCAAGACGGCAATGAAGGCGGCGAAGAGAGCGAAGATGAGTACGGGGCGGAAGGGAGTGTCGGGCTGGTGGACAGGGTCCGAAGTCTTGATGAGCTTGGCGACAAGTTGCAGAGCGCCAATCGACGAAATGTTCCAGTAGAAGGCGACAAAGATGGTTGTGAAGGTCGAGTAGAGGAAGATGGTCCAGGGTCCGAACACGTGGTAGGGAGCTTGGCCCTCGTAGAAGGCACGACCGAAGGGCGACGAAGACTTGGCTGCAATGTCCTTCTCGACCATTGTCATCGACGAACTGCTGCTCAACACACCTTCCTGGATTGCCTTGTCATTATCGGCCTTTTCCTTTTCGCTAAGAGTCACGCTGCTGGAGTTGGTGGTGCTGTTCAAGCTGGGCATGCCATGCTGAACGTTGCCAGTATCCGAGGTGGTAGGTCGCTTGTTGCCACTGAGACAGATGGCCTCACCAGCTTTGCTTCCAACCCAAACACTCTCCTGTTCGTAGTACTTGTTTCTGCGGGTCAAAGCACCGCTACCAAGGACACTCTTCTTACCAACGGTGACACCAGGCAACAACACGACACGGTCCGAGATCATGGCGCCATCCTGGACGCGAACATAATCACTACCAGTGCCATCAGATGTCACGAGATGAGAGCGAGAACCGAAGACAATGTCACTGCCAATGTCGAGGAGGTCGAAGTCCTGGAATGAAGGTCCTGTACCCGGCCAGTACACGCGTTGACCGACCTTGGCACCCATGGCGCGATACAGGACTGACGTCGCCTCGTAATGTCCACCAAAGAGCTCAGTGACCTTGTGGAATGCGGCTGGTGGTGCGATAGCTTTGAGCACGGCCATACGGAAACGTTGGGCTTGGGATCTAGACTGGGCTGGTCCGGGGGTGAGTTTACCGATGCTCATATCCAAAACCTTCTTGATGACCCAAACGGCAAAGAACCACGTGAGAGGAGCTGCACCAGCACCGAAGATCTTTGCGGCAAAGTGCCACCCGATACGATGAGGAACGGCAAACCACAAAATGATCGACTGAACCTTGTCTGCAGTGGGCTTGGGCTGGGTCAGGACGAGACCAACGAGACCACCAATCCAGGGACCGCTCTTGCAAAGAGCGACCAAAAGAGAGATGGGAGTGATGAACAAGAAGGAGAGGATGGGGTGAGCACCAGGAATCTTGCTGGAAGACAGGTCACGGAACTCCTCGCTGGCATCTTCGCTCTCCCAGCTCGAGGAGTTGGGGCCAATGCAAGCATTGTCAGGTACAGAAGTTCCAGGAGCGACAATCGAGGCGAGACCAACGCTGGCTGTTTTGCCCACACGAACGTGGCCAAGGAACATACTGGTGTTCTGCTCGGCACCGAAGCCTCTGCAGATACATTGGTCCAAGTTCGCTCCGTCCTCGAGAGTGACGAGATCGAACTCGCGAATGGTAGTGCGCTTGTGGATCTTGACACCTTTGCCAATCTTTGCTCCCATGAGACGGTAATACCAGATGGTGCTGATCTCTGACTGACCAAAGATACCCTTGCCGAGGATTGTAATAATCTTGTCGGTGACCCACCAGCGCGTGTGGTAGGGACCCCACATGGGATACATGCCTTCCTTGTACTTGCCAACAATCATCCACTTGAGGAAGATGGCAAGAATAGGGCAGACAACCATGGTGATGGCTTTGGCGATACCGAGTGCGAGGATCAGGTTGAAGAGACGGCCGATAAGTCTTGTGGAAGTGATCCAGTCACGAGTGGCACTGAGCATGTACATGAAACAGGTCCAAGTCAGTGCACGCTTCATGGGATAGAGCAAGCCAATGGGGAAGAGCTGAATCAGAAGGACAATGGGGTTGGTGGAGCTGTATGTCTTCTCGCAGCCAACATTGACAGGAGCCTGCTCGATCTCGATGGTGGTATGCTTCTCATCGGTAGGACCACGCATCTCATCGATGTTCTTGGCCAATGCGCTGATCTTGCTGTGCACGAAGAGCAAATCGATGGGCAAGCGGACCTTGAACTCTTTGCGGAGTTCGGACAGGAGACGTCCAGCACGCAGACTGTCACCACCCAAAGCGAAAAAGTCCGAATCGGGAGTGAGCTCGGAAGCAGCGCAAGATAGGATGCGGACGAAGACTTCGGCAATCTTGACCTCGGTGGCGCTCATGTCACTAGCAATCTCATCAGGGCCGTCTTCGATCAAGGTCTCTAGCTGAGCATTGTCAAGCGATCCCTCTCTGTCTCTAGGCAGAGGGACGTCAAGGCAATGCAATTTGCTGGGAATTAGGTATCCATCGAGCTGGGTGCGGAGAAGAGAGTCGAAGCTAGGGTAGCTCGACATGACCGGTGTGACGGTTGAGTTTTTGCGAGGGGCAAAGAAAGCCTCAGGGTATCCATCGTGAGACGCCTTTCTAACAGCAATATCGAATTCGGTACCGAAAACGGATGAAAGCTTGCGAGACACGTAGGCTGCGTCGAACGAGCAGATTGAACCACCAATACGGGTACTGAGAGGAGTGTTGGGTGGGGGACATGCGGCCTCAAAGTGGCGGTCCGCCAGAGGTGTGTCGTCAGTAATCTCGCCCAGGCCAAGACGCTCGGCAAGCTTGATGCGGAGGACCTTGTTGTTGTTTTTGGGTAGGTCGTCCATGTAGACGATGTAGTTGGGCCATTTGACCTGGCTCAAAGAGTCCTTCAAGGCCTCCTGCACAGTCTTGATATCTGCGCGGCAAGCACCAAGGGGAGTGACCAAGACTACACCAGGGACTTCCTGAAGTACATCGTGCGGCATAGAGAAAGCCAAAGCGGCGGACACACGACCAAACAGAGGGTTGCCCTCACGCTTGGCAGCAGTGACAATGGCTTCTTCGATCTCGAACGGCGAGATCAGTTCACCGCCTCTGTTGATGACTTCCTTGCTTCTACCAGTCACGTATAGGTAGCCATCAGCATCCAGATAGCCCATGTCACCAGTGTCGAACCAGCCATCGGCAGTAAAGCATGAAGTGTCCAGTACGTCGTTCTCCTTGAGATATCCGCCGAAAACCGGTGCGCCTCTCACAGCGATGCGACCCACAGTGTGGATGGGTAATCTGCTGTCGTTTCCATCCAGGATAGCCATATCCGGTCCGACAGTGATTCCAGAAGTTCCAGATCGGTCGAGTTGGTAATTAAGAGGTGGACTTGAGATGGGCATACATTCGGTCATACCATAGCTGGGGAGAACAATGCACTTGAAGGTATCCCTTAGCGTGATTGCAAGTGATGGCAACAGACCACCAGCTGCGTTACAGATCAAACGCATCTTGCTGTTCTCAAGCGCTGATGGACGGTTGCGGCCTTCTTCCAGGATCACCGAGTGCATTGAGGGTGATGCGTAGTACCAGGTTGGTTGAAGGTCTTCCACGACATCCCAGAAGAGGTTGGCATCGAATGCTGGACAGCAAATTGTAGAGCCACCGGCCATGATGGGAGCGAATAGATTTCTGACAATACCACCGACGTGGAAGAGGGGCATCATGTTGATGCAAATATCGTCTTTGGTCAATCCCCAGGACTCGATGACGAAGGCTACACCAGATATGATGGTGTGAACAGTATAAGGGACGACCTTCTTCTTGCCGGAAGTGCCTGATGTGAATAGTACAAGTGCAATGTCATCAGATCCGTTGGGCGAAGCTTTCGAGTTGACGACCAGAGGCGAGCCATTGCTAAATGTCATGTTGAAGGTAGAGTCTTCTTTGGATTCAACCAAAATGACTTGGATACCAGCCTCATGGACCCAAGCATCTTGTAGGCCTAGTCTCTGAACATCCGGTTTTGTGACTAGGACTACGCTGGCTCCTGCTTGCATGACATCGCTTTGGAACTGCTCCGGTCCTGAAGCCACTGTTACTGGTGCTGCTGTGTAGTAGGTGGAAGTGGCCAAGAGAGCTAATCCGAGCACAGGTCCGTTCGGGAGGGCCAAGGCAACGGTTGATCTGGTTCCGGCGGTCTGCTGAATTGGAAGACTAAAGTTTTTCACGAAGTTGTGCAACTTCTTGTGGTTCAGAGGGTTCGAAGAAGAGGCACCGTAGATTGCCGGGGTATCTGATTCGGGAAGTAGGGAGCAGACATCCGTGTATGTGTTCTTCATTTGCTGTGATAAGCCATCTAGCAGGCTGTTGTGTTGTGTATCCCTACCAGATTTGACGTCCTCGGGGAGAAGGTTCCAGAGTCTCGAGAAACAACACGAGAGATCGAATGTTGGCCAGGAACCAGGCAGGGTGTTGATCAATGATGTGAGTAACCGTAATGAAGGAAGAGCTGTGTCCGCTGAAAGAGGTATCGAAGCAAGGAGGTTGGTCTTGCTGATAAAGGGGTTGTTGATGGCAGCATCTAAACAACTCGAAAGAGCGGCTTCATGATGGCTTGTGATTAATGGTTTGTCCTGAAAGACGTAGTTGGCGATGGTAGTCCTGTCCATGATTGATAATAATAATTGAAAACGACAGAGACTTCAAACACGCAACCAAGTAATGAGGGAGGAATTAAGGAAGGGAGGAGATACAACGTCCAGCCACGAGAGGCGTACGGGCAGCCTATATGTATAAGGGGATGGATACAATTCCCATGATGATGCCACACTTTGGCTCGGTACACCACCCACTTCAACGGTTCCTCGACAGTGAACCCAAACTTTACGCCCTTGACTCGCTTGACATGATCGGAGTCTGCAGCTGAGGCCGTAAGGACGCTTGAGACATGGCTATCTTTAGTGGAGTACATGTGTGGAAAACAAGCATAAAGGAGAACGATGTGCTAGAACGCGTAAGGAGCGTGGGTCCCGGTTTCGAGCAGACTAGGAGGCTCCGCAGATCAAATGGTCCAAGTTTGCATCAAGAAAGGTAATTGATCGGGAAACTGGGCAGCAACCAAATCATTCCCTCGTTAGTGCGTGCTGCAGAGCCTGCAGCTTGGAAGAGCTGCTGAAATGCAGATATACGGGTGTGCGGACGCCTGCCGAGCTTGGATGGTTGACGGCCACGGCGAAGCCGTTTTGAGCATCTGGAGGCCATGCCCGTGCCTCAACGAGTTGAGGCTAACCTTATTGACTTTCCCCGTGGCCCTACACGTGAGCTACCGTAGCTGATATCAATGGCCTGGAGTCAATAACACGGAATGCTCTAGGGCTATGAAGTTTCAGACCTGCAAGCTGGCGGAGCGCAGGAGATTTACCTTCGTGTTCAGTATCGTCTTGATAAGTCAAATTATGTATCCCTGCAGACAGGCGAGGGCAGAGAAATGACAGAATGGAAAACCTGATCGCAAAACATGGAAGCGCCGGAGTGTTTACGTCTCTCGCCGATTCAGATCAACCGCGGTCGAGGATCCTTTTTTCGTTCACGCTCGGCGGCTAGTCCGTAGTCCGTGCGGCTTCGCCCGCGAGCTAGTCTGCAAGGTACCGTGCATAAGCATACGATGCTAGGAAACGCAACTCAGCAGCTGAGCTGAGGCTGGAGGCCAGAGATGAGATGGGCGTTGCTTGACTTACTCAACTTGACAAGAGACACGCGAGGCAGTGATTATGAGTTTATGGCTTGCGATATGGCTGAGCTGAACTGAGCTGAGGTGGACAAGTTCGAGTCCCTGGTTCTAGAGGTGATAACGGTGGAAAAGGCGAGTCGACCTTGCAGAGTCGCGCGTCGAACGGCCGTAGAATTTTCGCGAGAACCTTGATTACCGAAGGTCGATGCTGATAGCAAGCGCAAGGCGTTATCTTATCGAGCATATCGTTGCATTACTCCAACCTCGAGTGTCAGTCGGAATCTCGCTGTCGATAGGAATTTATTGGGTTTCAAGCTCGTCCGCTGGAAGAACATTGCATGAACTCTCATTGCACATTGTTCGGGTCACTAATATCATCTTGCCTTGCCACAGCTAGATCTCTACTAATCGTAGGTCTCGGAACAACGATGAGTTGCGCTGAATAGATCTCTATGTGCGCTCGGTATCACCTTCCCAAAGCTTTGCACACTAGCGAATTGCTCCTGCTGCCTGCATCTTACTGGGCTTAGAAACATAGGTGAGTCTAATCAGCATTCGATAGCCCAATATAAACCAATGCGGCCTAGGTGACTCCCAGATCACTGGCACAATATACATCAAGCTTAATTCGTGGTTGTATCGTGTTATCTACAATAGTAAAGTAGGTGGATGTGATTGCCGTTGATTGATTCTCCATGAATGGCAGAGACAAACCGCTGCAACGTCATGTCGGGACAGCCGTTGCTCGAGTTCTAATGTCTCAGCCTGCAGCGCCATGCTGTAGAACGGTAGTTGGAATGCAGATAACTTTGATTTTACACATGCAGCTCAAGGTCTCAAAGTCTCTTTCGGGGCGTTCTTCGCTGCTTGTGAAAATGCTGTCATAGCACATGCGCATCGACGAAAGAATGGAAAGGGGTTGGCTAATGGTGAAAAGCCGATGCCCTCACCATCGGTCAACCAAACAGCAAGGTGTTGATCTGTAATTTCGTACGTGCGAGAAAGTCGACTTTAGATATCTTGCGATCGTCCCCTGTGCATAATCAAGGCCGACTGCCAAGCCAAGACCGTCGATATGCGAATTGGTACACGAGGTATCGCATGCAGGGAAACAATACAACAGCATATATGATTTATCGAATACAAAGAGCAATTTATCCCTTGCAGGATTCTATTGTCTTGGATGCACAACGCTAGTTTTGTGCCGTTTGGCTTGTTTGCTGCGAAGACCGACCTCTCGGTGCTCTCGAATTCTGTGACTGTCAACCGAGCGGCCGGGGGTGTGACGTGTGGAACTTGCGGGACGACAGTGGACAGGCGACAATCACAACCTGGAGAGATGAACAATGACAGGGATCCAGAGACTCCGCTGCTCCGGACATTCAGATCGGAATTGAATAGTGGAGCTGCATTGCAGTAACAGACAACCACATGGCTTGTGTGTCAACCAGGATGCGAAAATACAAGGTCCATGACTCTAAGCATCCCAGCAATCACAACATTTAATTGCACACGTACGTATGGAGAGCAACGACCAACGGATCAGTTTGCACGGACCAAGATACTGATAATCTTGAGCTGCGCTATGTAGATCCTGGGTAGATCCATCAGATAACTGTATATGTTGAGGTCGACCGTTGATAAGACGAAACATCGCTCACTCGCATCGAGGTTCTTGAGAGACCTCTGCAAGCCGATCCATGCAATTGGGTTGGAAAAACCTTACCATACACACACAGGAACTTACGAGATCATCCGAAGGACTACTAACGACCTCAACAAAGACATAATGGTGTGTAGTCGGGTGTTTCAACTAATATGGAGATGGAGTCAGGTCAGTGAATCGTCAACCATGGACCGGACTCACCATCCTCGCAAAAGCGCGAGTTCATGGCTATCAAAAAGCACAGTGTGATTTTCAGAGACTTTCCCTGAAAGTCTTGTGCCTGCGTAAATCTCCTCGAGCCTTGCTCTGTTCTTGGGATGTACTATGCGTTGTCGCCGGACTCGGTCCTGGTGAGACTTCTATGCTGGTGTGTCGAGGTCGGATTGTCAAGCATAGACCGGAGGTGATCATCAGGGACTGCCAGAGAGCGCTAACAAGATTGATAACGTACAATTTCCATCAGCACAGGAACTAGACGTTAGGCTGGCCTCCAGACTCTTCTTGCTTCCAATCAAAGCAGATATTCCATAAAAACCTTTGCTCGATGCAGACCGACAAAGATCATCCAAGAACCCACTAACGTCCTCAGCAAGAGCAACAGACTGTGCAGACAGTTGTTTCAACCAAGACATAGTATTGCGTGGCCTATACTGCTCACCGTCGACGCGTGTGGTTGATGTTAGGAAAATGGAGCGATGATGTCGATTGGACTTCGCAGCCTAGCGACTATCATGCAAAGTGGACTCCACCTTCCACAAAGGTGATCGTTTCAAGGATAGATACCTCATCGAGGTCTCCACACCCCCAGCGTTTGTGTTTGGCAACTGGAAGAACGCTATACACGAGTAACGCTTTCACGCTCGGCGAAAGATGCAGACTCGTATTTCGAGCTTATATCTCGCGACGCACAGGGGGAATGGTGTGCTGCTGAATGCTGGCTATGCTTTTTCCATCGGCAAGGTACACTCAGGTCGTTGATGCATCGTATGCCGTTGGTCATTACCAGGGTGCTGAGCTCAACGCGTTAATACTTCTAAATATCCTGTATTCAACAAGCCATACGGCCGACAGCAATCAGACCGAAAGTGATCATGGTGATTGATGTACACTATCAAGCAAACGCTGTTGATATGTAGAGCAAAAGGTGGGCACACCAGCCGATAGGACCAAACAGCTTCAGCAAAAGGCCCCTGTTGTCCTCTGCAGTTTGCAGCGGACGATGAGTATGTTGCGACTTCCAGTATCATGTTTGGTACGGCCGAAAACTGTGAGTTCAATCACGAGTTGCTGATTCGAAATGTGATCGGGTACCAAGAATATGGTTTCGAGGCGTCGAGAGCCTGCTGGCCTCTGAGATATCCAACAGCAGAGATCTTTGTCGACTCATCGGTACTGGTTAGGAATACCTCAGGCGCGAATGCTCTGAACGGTCTTAACGTATACCTAGGAGACCTGTGTATTGCGGCCCCGTCAGACGACTTTTCGATATGGAGGACATCACTGGACCGATCCTTTGTGTGACCAGAGTGCGAAGCAAGTAATGCCCGAGGGCTATCCGTACTGCAGATAAGTATATCGAGGCTGCAAATGGTCGACATGACTATTGAAATGCATATGGCTTTTTTCAATCATCATATTTATTTCAAGGGGGTTCGTCGCAATAAAGCTCTCGGCAGATGTCGAGCTTCCATTGAATGCAGCATGTTAGAGTTTGTTGAAGAAATGGAAACATCTGCAGCGCGAGTATACGTATCTACACCTACGTCAGGTGGCTGCGGTATACAGGGGGGGCTCTACCACGTTCGGCGAACAGCATCACTTGTGGTCGGCACTTTTGCGTCCAGGGGAACTGGGCTGAATTTTATCATGTCGACTTCTCCGTCGCACCGATACGCAGTGATATATCCACCGAACTGCGCAACACTTTCCGTGCAAGTGCACAGTTTACAGAGTTGCGTGTTGAGGGGCGGAAGAGATTTGGTAGATGTAGTCCATCCTCCTGAACGCCTGTCAAATCAGCTGTCAAAATGCAGGACAATCTTTCGAGATTGGTGCAATTGTCCAGAGAGTGTAGCTATCGCACGCGCTCTCTCTGGGCCAAGCTCGTTGTGCATCTGCACTCGGTACAGCTGCGCAGGTGGGCAAGTGCAGCACGGTAGTATTCAGCCTTCAGGTCACCCAGTTTCAGCCTCTCGTTAGCAAGGGACGGCAGACAGCATGAGACTTTCAGGATTCGTGGGATTCGGTGAGGGACAAGGACAGAAGTTGGAAGGTCGGGTAGTAAGGTGTCGGTGGTACGAATCGGTTGCTGGGCAACGCTTTGGCAGCGTACCAAATAACAAAGACGAACTCCGGTTCATAAGAGCAGAAGGTTGGAGAAGTGGTTTGGCGCCGACGGCTATTGCAACTCTCGTTTTTCCTTCTTTTCTCTATCGACCTTCTTTGCAACGCAGAATTGATTAGCTGGAGCCATCTCGGAGGATTATCAGGAAACCATCGTTGGATCAGTTGCATCTCAGTGGACGCTACTCCAGACTGCCGACATTGGCGTGAAGCGCAAACGAGGCGCGCAACCCCCGACTCGCCAGACACGTTCTACCAGGCAGGAGCTGTTACATGCCCTAAACATCGACATTTGACATTTTGGTCCTTCCTCTTCTCCCCGCAGGCTGCCGGCAGCTCTTTCCCTCTACGCCATGGACACTGGTTACCTGTCACAGCAAGTCACGACCATCATCAACCAGCTGCACGGCTACTTTGACGAGATTGGCCTTCCTACACATGAACGAGACTCGCGAGAGTCTGAGCTGTTTGCCGCTCTCTCCGAAACACTGCACAATCAGCTCAAGCTGGTCGCAAAGTAAGCCATCACTATGCGCGCGCAAAAACGAAAGATTGCGCTAACATGAACTGCTAGAGAAAAACATGATCTCACCGACGAGGCGCGTCGCTTGATCAAGTCGATCCGCCAGATGGAAGCTGCCCTGGTCGATGACAAGCCCCAACGAGACAGCGACTACCAAGACTCGGATCTATCCATCACCCTCCCTCTGCGCGACTGTATCGTGTCTCTCAAAGACAAGCACAACACTGTCTCAAGGATTCATCGCGAGCGCTACGAGCAGATCAAGAGTGTGTATCTTCAGTGCTGTCTATCGGCGCCCTAGTAGCTGACAAACTGCGCAGAACTTGCCGAAGCCCTCGAATCATATGCCTCCCACCTCGAACCGGCATTCGTCACTATCAAGCTCCCTCCCACTTCGCCCAACTCTAAGATTCCTCCATCGTTCGACGTTTCGCCCTCATATGTCACCTCCCTGGACAATGCGTTCACCCGCGTCTACGAAGAATATAACAAGCGTCTGGTGGTGGTGCAAACTCTGGCAGAAGAGATTATCAAGCTCTGGGGAGAACTGGGCACGCCACAGGCTCAGATCGATAGCACCATCGTCAAGCACGCTCGAAACGCTCCCGAACAGCTCGGTTTGCATCAAGACGACATGAGCCGACTGAGAGCAAAGAAGGAGAAACTACTGGGCGAGAAGCAAGAGCGTGCCGTCAGACTGGAAGAGCTGAAGGAGGCTGTCGAGACTTTGTGGGACAAGCTGGGAGTCGAAGAAAGCGACCGTAAACCCTTCCTGGCTAGTAACAGAGGATGCGGGCTGCGCGCCATCAACGAGTTCGAGGATGAGCTGGCTCGTCTGAACGAGCTGAAGCGCCAGAACTTGCACCTGTTCGTTGAAGATGCTCGATTCAAGCTGCAAGAACTTTGGGATGGACTCTATTTCTGCGAGGAGGAGATGCTCGAGTTTACGCCAGCCTTCTCAGGTGAGTTGAACGGCTGCACGACATGTTCAAATTACTAACGATTGAGCAGATGTATACTCGGATGCTCTACTCGAAGCTCACGAGGCCGAGATTGGCAGGCTCGAGACCCTCAAAGAGCAGCGTGCACCTACTCTGGCCATGGTCGACAAGCACCGCTCGCTCGTCAAAGATCGCGATGACTTGGCTGCTTCATCGCAAGATGCCTCTCGTCTCATGCTTCGTGGTCAAAAGGGCGAGAAGCGTGACCCTACGCGCCTCCTGCGTGAAGAGAAGATGCGCAAGCGTATTGCAAAAGAGCTGCCCAAGGTCGAGAGCGACTTGCGTCAGATCCTCGAAGATTGGGAGGAAGAATACGGCCGTCCCTTCCTCGTGCATGGAGAACGCTACCTGGACGAGCTGGAGGCCACATCACAGAAACAGTCCTCTCAGGGCTCTGTGCGCTCAAAGACGCCGTCCATCCCGCCTCGATCAAAGACGCCCTCGTCTGTACCGCCATCAACCGTTCGTCCCAAGTCAGCCGCTGCTGCCGCTCCCACAACGGCCATCAAGAGTCAGACTCTGCGCGGTCCCCCTCGCTCAAAGACTCCTACCGCCTCGCGCAATCCATTGGCCTCGTCTGTCATGGGTCCTCCCTTATCACATTCATCGTCTAACTCCTCGTTTGCAGCTTCGGTCGGTCCGGGTAGTCTCCGCAGTCCTTCCAAGATCCCTGGTCGCCAGCCCCTGAGCAGCATGCTCCAGTCTGGTACTTCGAGCGCACGCCGCCCCCCACCTGGTCCACTGGGTCATTCTAGAGCAGAGTCTGATACCAGCACTCTTCGCAGCCGCATGGCTCCACCGCCACGACCCATGTCGCGCGATTTCTTCTCTCCACCAGAGACGCCTTGTCCCATAAACAACGCCGACATCTCGTTTGAACGCAGTGGCAGCATCATCCGTCACATGAGCCCCGAAGACCCCTACAGTGACCGCAGCTCGTTACGCTCAGTGCGCACCTTCCAGTCCACCGCTTCCTCCCGTCCAGCCTCCCAGGCGACACACCACTATGTGGCAGCTGCACCGCGACCCTCACCACGCTTCGAGTACCCTGCCGCACCGCCGCCAGCCGCAATGTCTCGTCAAACTTCCAATGCCTCCTCTGTCGAGACGTCAAACTCGGCAGTATCTGGCTCCGAGAATTGGGAGACATACACGGATGCCTCAGATGACGAAGAGCCAGATCCCCGCATGGCTTATTATGCCAAAGTACGTACAAACAAGCGCGACTCGCCTGAAGACTCTGCCTATGGAGGTGCTGGCAAAGGCTTTGGGGCCAAAGTCCGAGCGATAGGTGTCTCAGACGATGGCAGCGAGACCGCTTGGTCCGATGTTGGCGAGACGTTTTGATGACCCTACTTTTTGAGCTTCTCCTCTTTCCACGACTACCTTTTTTCTGACTGGCAATGTCCGGATCGTTTTGATAGATCGATCTCTCCGCTAACCGGACACACGATTTCTTCCGTTTCTTGTTCTTTCTTGGGAGGCAGCGCTTTCTTTTTGACCTAAACTTTTTCTCTGATGACTTCGTTTCTGTTATTCTACCCTGCCTCTTTTACTTTTACAGAGTACAACGGGCTGTTCTCCGTTTTCTTAGATGCTATTACTGTTCTTGTAGTACTACACGGCTTCTTTCTCTTTGCATCATTGTTATGATGAGATGATGCTCGCGAATATGAATTGCTTCGTTGCAACTTCCCACCTCCGTTTGTTACTGTGAACAGCTGCTCTCAATGGACCATTCTTCTCATCTCGACAACACTGTGCCTGACCGCAAGGAGAGATCGACTGAAACCTCACTTGCCCGGCCCAGGCAAAGTAGAGATCAGGGTTGAGTTGGGCAACACAGAGCTAAAAGGACTCTCAGCGGACAACGCCGTCGTATGGAACATCAGAATGCCTTTGCGCAACTACAGTTCACTACCGACTGTTGAGCGAAGGAGAAATACCAACTCATCGCCAGCGCAAATCTCCTGCACAGGTCGATATCCATGTACAACAACCACAAATCTCAGATCCCCTTGCACAAATCTAGCGATCTCCAAGTTGTCCTGCATTGCAACAGTCACACAACAGTAATCTAGACAGACGGGAGCAATATGCAGTGTGCACACATGCAAGGGCGATATAAGGGCAAAGAGCGATATTGCAGCACAAACACGGCACGGCACATTCTCAAGGTGCATGTATACGGGAGTCTGCAGTAGTGTCTTTCTCTCTTCCTTAGCGAGGTGGATGTAAGTGGAGGCTGTGAAAATATACGATGTTTTCGAGGAGAGTCGGGCAAAACCACGCTTTCACTAGGAATCTACTCGGTTGGGATGTTTTCGTGCACTACATCAGCTGAGAATATCCTTGTGGTGGAGACGGGAGATAGACTTGTTTTGGTAGTATTGCTCGCTCGGCAAATAGTGGTGAATTGAGCGGGTCTCTGTAGTGACGACCCGTGTGCGGCGTCGAAGGAGCATTAGGCATTACATAGGCTATTCTGCTGACATATCAAGATGCATAACCTAATTGTAGATATCAATCACTTCGAGTGCCGGCATACATGTGGATGGTTAAGTCATGTTTGTATACGTTGAGCAACTGTTAATATGAGTGGTTCGGGAGCTAAGCTATGTTGACAGACTGTTGCTGTATTTGGGTACAACCCGAACAATCGAAAGCCATGTGACAAAGGAAAAGTAGCAATGCTCTCAGACAGGATGTCAGAAACGATTGGCCTTCTTCGGCATGTGTATGCTCTCAACGGTCATCATTCGTGAAAGATGTGGTTGACGAGGAACATCAACTTCGGCCATTGGCTCTGTTCCAGATCTCTGATTCGCTTGGTCATTGCAGCGTCTCTCTTCTTGACCTCCTCGTCAGACTTCTTCTCGATGATTCTATGAACTGTGGTCTGCGTCAATGGCGACGAGGCATTGATGGGGGGAGCTGCAGACAGAGCTGTCTGTAGCTGAGACGGGTGCACTGATGGCTTCAAGGCAAGTTGTCGCATTGCTCTGGCAAAGCGTTGTTGATGTTCCTCGGTAGGATCTAGTGAGTTGCGGTCGAGCAGCATGGAGTTTGTTGACTCGCCGAAGATCTCGCCAGAATCTAATAATATAGGATCCAGGCGTGCCTTCCAACGTGCAGCCTTCGAAGGAATGACAAGGTAGCAGATTGTTGCTTGATGAAACTCTCTGTAGGATTTCGCAAAGGCTTTGTCATGGCTCATGAGATAATCCGCGGCAGTCTCATCGAGGGTTTCTTGCTTAACGAAGATGTCGAGGCCAAAGTGCTTGCGCACCACCTAGGGTGCAGTCAGTATCAAGCTCTGCATCCAGTCAGGGTCGCACATACCTCGTTGCCCTTGGAGGCGACATGTTTCTTTACATCGGATGGCCATGCACATATGTTGTCGAAGCAAAGATCGTAAGAAACGTCCTCGTAATACTCGTCGCGTTTCTCGTCGAGCTTTGCTTCCAGAAGTTCATCGAATTCCTTGGGATGAACAGTTTCTTCGTCCATATGAAGCCACTCAGGATGTTCCTCGTAGAGCTCCTCCAAAGCAGCATCAACGATTGATGGGTCCATCTCAAACGAGTGTCGACTCGCACGACATGAGCCTTCGAAACAGCGATATGTCTGGGCCCATCCAACGTTGCGACTTTCTTCCTCCTGGCGGTGTATAGCCAACAACTCTTCCTCAATGAAAGCAATGAGCTCTTTGGGAAGTTTTGTGATGCGAGCGTCCTCGCCTTGGCCAAATTGATTGCATAGGCGCAAAGTCTGGATGGTGGGGATGGCCTTGTGGAAGGCGTCGACGCTACAGAGAAGATCCGATATTCTGACTGGGACGCCCCTACATTATACGTTAGCGCACCAATCACGTTAGCTTCTGCGTGAATGCGCGCACCAGACAAGGGCTGCAGTGGTATCGCCCATCTCAGAGATCATGCAGACGTGGTGTGTTAGGTTGAAAAAGGGGTGGCGCCCAACAGTCGCGAAGTGAGATGCTTCTTGGATGGACGTGACGAGGGCGATGGAGGTTGACAAAAGTCAATGAACGTGAATGAAGGTGAAGACGTGGAAGTGCGAGAACGACCGCGCGAAGCTGGAGTGGTGAAGGAAAGAAGAAACAGATAGGAAGCTGCAAGCAAACGACGCAGAACGTGCTTGCCTTTACTGAGACCAAAGACACCGCAAACTCCTTCACTTCGATTCTTTTGTTCGTGTTTCTACTTGCCTGGTCCCCTCGCAGAGCACTGCTTATATGGCTGTCACGATGCACAATGCCATTGATTTGGCCAACCATTCACTGAGAGTCCAGGCCTAAGGTGCTCTTGTTGGACAAGACACAGTCCGAGGAACCCTATGTGCATTGTGATAGCGAAGTTTGTAGAAGTCGATCCGCGTGGAGCTCTTACGAACTCGCGGCTCTACAACAGTCTCCTGGCGACCTTTCTCATACCACTCTAGTCGAATGTGTCGGCATTGTACCATTTTCTACTGTCAAGATCGCGGCTTGGATGGAGGCTGGGAGTTTGCCGATGTCAGTATGTCTTACAATCTCTACGCCAGTAGCACCTTGAAACCAGGTCTTTGTTCTTCTGTTGACTGCCTTGGCCGTCTCTTACAACGAACATCCAGCTGCGAACATTTGTCGAAATGTACGAAGCATTCCATGCGATCTTCGATGTCCATTAAAAGCTCGTTATTTCGAACCATTAGATGTGTTTTTGGTGGATTGAGCTGCTTTTGCGTCTAAACGTTTGGTCAAGACCAAAAATTCGATTTTCAATTGTTGGGTCGGAGAGCGATGGCCAAATCATTATTTTCTCCAACGTTGATGGTTCCGTCGGTATGATTGCGGCGGGTTGCTGCATGGTTTGTTGACACTTTGTCCGAGGCCGTGAAACGCAGGCTAGACTCGCAAGAATTTAAAGCGCATGTCAACAACAACTTTGCCGGGACCACTCTGTTTTTGTATAAATTTATGGATAGTTCGGAGTTGGTGCCGAAGCAATTGAAGACATGTTTAGACAGGAAGATCGTAGTATTTTGCAGGATGGAGAAGCCATGCTGAAGAAAAGCAATCGCAGATTTGACAGGTTCGGAGCATTCTTTTCAAGATTGGGTGAGGCAAATGAGAGCGAGAGAACACGAGCGGCGCTAGGATCGGCACAATGCGTACCGGCTCCCGGGTGGTTGACATCTGATGACCCCTGAGGTTTTTCAATCAAAGAGCTGTTGGTTGCTACGCCCTGACCATCACTTTCGCGAGCATTTAACTATCATTGATACTCGGCGCTCCTCGCAACCTCTGAGTTTCTCTCCGTACAACGCCTTTCCGACTCACTTCCGCATAAACACCCACGACACGCCGCTGCGACAAGTTCGATCGCCAGGTACCAGCACGCGATTGACGCGCCAGATTGGCTTTGCGAAACAACCGTTTACGATACAATTCACTGTGTGCGACGAAGCCGCAGACGTACTTGTATCGCGGCTCTGACCAGAAAAGGTACGTCAGGATGCGATTGAGCGATATCGATTCTGCATGACCGCTGCATCGCGGCAACATGGCAGGGCAATGGCACGGCAAAGCGATTCCAAGGGCAAGTCGCGATTGTTGACGGGAGCCGTGGATGGCAAAAACAAATTGCAAAAAAAGGCTCCAGGGTGGCTTCTCCGCCACGTTCCGAATGGGCTTGGCACGGTTTCGAGGTCGTTCCGTCATCACCGTTCCCCTTAATCAGCCAGCAGCAATCCCCCGATTCATCGTTTCCTCAATCTCTCAATTGCCCTTGTTGTCGTTTTTGTCTGCTCGTCTTGCTCGGTCGCAGGAACGCCTCTTTCCACTTAATTCTAATACCTAATCGTGCAGGAGCACGCTTTTCCTCGAGCCATGCCGATACGCACTATCAATCCCTTTGTCGCGACCTCTCCCTCACCCTCGATCGATGCCCTGAACGAAAAGGCCTCTCTCCAAAGCTTCAAATCGCCTGCCACAAAGTCCAACAACCGCATTGCCAGCTTCTTCTCGTCGCCCAAGGCCTCTCTGCACCCAAACCCTCAGAACCAGGCAACCCGCCGCCCTCCGTCTCCCCAAGTCAACCGTGCCACTCTGTCGCTGCCCACAATCAACCTCACCACCGCTACCGGCGAGAAGAGCAAGATCGAGGAGAGGCCAATGACCCTTTTCCAGCCCCCTTCACCCGAAGAGGCCCGTCGTATCGCAAAGGCACACGCCGCTTTCGGCCCAATTGGCTCGCAGGAGCACCGCTACTCGAGTCGTCACGATGGACAAGCATTCCCCGAGCCCATCGAGGACACTCCGCCATACTACTTCCTCTTGACAACCTACTTCAGTTACCTCGTCCTCATCATCTTCGGTCATGTGCGCGACTTCTTCGGCAAGCGCTTCAAGCAGGAGCAGTACAAGCACCTGTCGGCACGAGACGGATATGCACCGCTCAACAGCGATTTCGATAACTTCTACATCCGTAGACTGCAGCTGCGCATCAACGACTGCTTCAGACGCCCCATTACTGGAGTGCCCGGTAGATTCATCACTCTGCTCGACCGCAAGTCTGACGACTTCAACCTGAGCTTCAAGATGACGGGCACTACCACCGAAACCCTCAACATGAGTTCCTACAACTACCTTGGTTTCGCTCAGTCTGAAGGAGAGTGTGCCGACGCTGTCGAGGTCGCTACCAAGAAGTACGGTGTCAGCTTTGCCAGTCCCAGAGGCGATGCTGGTACTTCAGAGTTGCACGTCGAGGTCGAGAATCTGGTCGCTGGCTTCGTCGGCAAGGAATCGGCAATGATCTTCTCCATGGGCTTCGGCACCAACGCTACCACCTTCCCTGCTCTTGTTGGCAAGGGCTGTCTGATCATCTCCGACGAGCTGAACCACTCTTCCATCCGTTTCGGCGCCAGACTCTCAGGCGCTGTCATTGAAATGTTCAAGCACAACAACATCAACGATCTGGAACGTGTCCTCCGCGAGAGAATTTCCCAAGGCCAGCCCCGCACTCACCGTCCCTGGAAGAAGATCCTCGTTGCTGTTGAGGGTCTCTACTCAATGGAAGGCACCATGTGCAACCTCCCCGAAATCATCGCTCTCAAGAGAAAGTACAAGTTCAACCTGTTCATCGACGAGGCTCACTCGATTGGTGCTCTCGGTATGCAAGGCAGAGGTATCTGCGACTACTTTGGTATCGACCCTGCTGAAGTCGACATCCTCATGGGTACTTTCACAAAGTCGTTCGGTGCAAACGGTGGCTACGTTGCAGGTGACAAGGCCCTCATTGATAAGCTTCGTGTGACCAACGCCGGTACTCTCTTCGGCGAGGCTCCCTCTCCCCCGGTCCTGGTTCAGATCTCTTCCGCTCTTCGTTTGATCATCGGCGACATTGCTCCTGGACAAGGTCAAGAGCGTCTTGAAAGATTGGCCTTCAACTCAAGATACCTTCGTCTGGGACTCAAGCGTCTTGGATTCATCATCTTCGGCCACGACGACTCTCCTATCATTCCTCTGCTTCTGTACAACCCCGCCAAGATTCCCGCCTTCTCCCACGAGATGCTCAAGCGCAAGATCGCTGTTGTCGTCGTCGGATACCCTGCCACACCACTCATCTCTTCTCGCGCCAGATTCTGTGTTTCTGCCGCTCACACCAAGGATGACCTGGACCGTCTGCTCGCAGCTTGCGACCAAGCCGGTGATATCTTACAGCTGAAGTTCAGCAGCGGTATCGCTGGTGGTAGAGATCCCATTCCCGACGGTCTGATGAATGTTGAGGAAATGGAGCACCGTGATGACCTCGCAAAGGGCAAGACCCCCACATACCAACCACCTCGCTGGAAGCTTGAAGACATTATCAAGCGCGGTGTCCAGGACGTCAAGGCACCTCTGTTCTAAGCCTGGTGCGAGCATTCATAGGTCAACGTTCTGACCTCTTTTCTTATCTTTCGGGTCCTTTTTGGGAATTTGCATCCCTGCCGGCGTAACAAGGTGTTTGCGGAACAGCCATGACCGATGATCTGGGACTTCAGGGGATTTTGTCTGGGTTTTTGAAATCTTTCCTTCGATTCTTCCTCTTCAGCAGCGCTCAAGTATTGCATCAGCGTCCTGCTCCATTTTTGATTCTTCATGAGGCTTGCCTATGCTTCTAAGATTTTATAATCCCTAGAACTTGTTTTTGTAGTATACCACTGGCATTCTATCCGCCAGAAAATGACCGAGGCTATTAGGCTTTGTCTACCACAGCTGCATGCTGTCAATTGAAAACTTTCAATAGTTTGTTTATCCACTGTCCACTTTTCTTTTCCTTTCCTTTTGTGACGAGATAAGATAGCCGTATCCGGCAAGTAGATCGTGATTATCGGAACTGACCGCTGACAACGTATATCAGAGCAGTCGGCCGTAAATCGACCAATTCACACATCTAAAGTCTGCTTCGCAAGTCCAAGACGAAGATAGAAACAAACAACAGGAGTCCCAATCACATCCGACGCAATCGTCCAGCCATGACGGTCTTCCCACCACGCCCAGCCTCACCAACGGTGGCCCAGCAAACCAACCACCTCGATGCCTGCCTCGCCCTCCAAAATACAGGCGTCAATGAACATTCCAAACGCCCATTTGCTGCCCTCCTCGTTGGTCCAAACGACGAAATCCTCTTGACTCACCTCAGCATCTCGCACATCGAACATGCCGAATCCAGTCTCGCCCTTCTAGCCTCGAAACACTATTCTTCCGCCTATCTTTGGACATGCACTTTATACTCTACTTGGGAGCCGTGTGCAATGTGTGCTGGTACCATCTACTGGGCAAACATCGGTAGAGTGGTATATGCGGTTGAAGAGGAAGTTTTGAAGCGAATTACTGGCGAGGGCAATGAGGAGAACTTTACCATGAGTTTGGGATGTAGAGAAGTTTTTGGCAAAGGGCAGAAGGATGTGAAGGTGTACGGACCTGTGGATGGTGTGAGGGAGAGGGTTATTGAGGAAAGTGATAGGTTTTGGAAACCGATTAGGGAGGGATTGGGTGGGCAGAACTAGTTGAGCAGCTCACTCTCCCTTCGACAGCTATCTTGGTGACCGATCGGCACCTGATATGCTAAGAAAACTTTTACCTATGATTCGATACCTCTAGCTACACTCACTTTACTATGCAAACAGTTGACTCGACAGAGTTGCCTTGCTGGCCAATATCGAGTTGAAAGATGCCGAAGCAATATTATATCAAAGTGAGGCTGTGTCAGGGTGGCCCTGAAGCGTCGACGCACGGTCCAAGAGGTCAAAAGCGCTCACGCATTTGGTATCAAATTCCAGACTTCGCTCAAACTCACATCTATCTCACCATCCAATTCTGCCATCGGAAGTCATCTATTCAGAACCGAACCCCGGACTCTATCCAGCAATGGCACATCATCTTTGGAAAGCAGCCGGCCTCTGGAAACCGTCAACATCCTCTCTCCCAGCCACTTCACACCTCTTCTTCTCATCATGTTCTGCCAATTGCTGGTCTTCTGACCCGGAGAAAGCCAAAGCAGAGAAGCAAAGATATCGTGAATATCGTGAATGGTGTATTCAGAAACGTCGCACTGATCCGGAGTGGAAAAACAGAAAAAACCGAATCGAGCGTGAAGCAAGAGCAAAAGCGCGGCAGTCTTGGTCCGAAGAACGTCTTGAGCGATACCGCAAGGACAGCCGTGAGAGCATGAAGAAAAGGTACGCCGAGAATCCTCGGTTCAAGCTCCACCACAAAATGGATATACTTTCGAGGCAAAGTCAGTGGGCTCGTGAGTGCTTGCCATGGAAGAGCCACACGCCTGTTCTTTACGACAAGAAGGTCGAGCATATTTGTAGTAGCTGTCTGGTATCCAGACATGGTGGCGCTAAGTTATGGTAAGCATGATGAAGACATCGTGAGTCGGCAGCCCTTGGAATCCTGTCTCGACCTCCAGCTTCAATGATTCATAGCCAATTCGTTACGACTACATTGACAGCATACTCTGGACGTTGCGTTCTATCAGCCTCGTGTGGCTGTCAAGGATGATAGGCCAACCGGCAAGCTGTGCTCTGCGATGGCTGCCGTGGCTCCGAGACGATGTATGGCTCGTTATGTTGCAAGTGCTAACTATACCACGTGCTCCAGGTGGAAACGCCATGATGGCGAGGCTTATAAATGTGTCCGGTGCTATTTCAAGAGCCCGGATCCGATGCCAGAAGGCTACGAAGACTGCAAGTCGGCAGCAGAGATACGGGAGCGCAGCAAGGAGCTTGGGCATGTGAATCCGAGAAAATAGGAAAGAGCAACCATCGATAATGACAGACGCTGCTTGTGTGTGTCAACAGAAGGGACAATCACAACCATGGAATCGAAAAACGTTTCAGCCCCCTGCCTGTGTCTCCGTACTGGAGTTTACTTCAATTCCGTCCCTCTGCTACAAACAGAGCTCGTGTTTTAGGGCATGAGGATTGCACGATAATTCGATGTGTGAATCAAGGAGAGCGACTGGACCTGGCGGTCTTATTGAACACCACTGCTGGTCTGGAAGTCACTGTGCATTCTGATAGCCCCGCTTGTAATGGATTTGGAGGCAGGGAAAGTGCATAATGGCTTTGCGTCCAGAACATCGCTGTCTCTCGTCTGGGCTTGTTCAATTCCAGGATGCATACATGCATGCTTTATCGCTTCGAATCACATGTGATCACATGCTTCTCGGGGTTCCTTTTCTTCTATTCAGCTTGTGCATTCCCTGTATGATTACTCAACTCTCAAATGGGGTTTGCATTGTGCCAGGGGTGAAACTCTCATATTCTATGGCCGGCGCATGCTCGATTCTTTTTTTTGAGGTCCCTTGGGAAGTCGGCGCGATCATATATCTCACATAACCGATTGTTCAATTTCGTAGCAGCACTCACCTCTTGATCGCGCCATCGAGATGCAGGCAATCTTGTCACGTAGCGTTTCCATCGATATTCCTTTGCAGATTTCAGGAGAATTCCAACATGAGCACCTAGTCGAGAAGTGGCAGAAAAGAGATTGAATGACATAAAAGGGGAGGTTAGGTGCATGGCGCCGGTATGTAGAGAGGAACGGTCACAAGGCTGTATGTATGCATGCTGCAGAATCAGACTCATCTACAGTAAGTGATTGCTTACAGCACAGTTATCTACTTGCATGAGACTTCTGTCGGCGCAATCCAACTACTTCCATTGACCGCCGTTTTTTTGGATCTTTCTTCGGGGAGATGCTTGTGTAGCATTGCTTTCGGCATCTTCTAGGCATAACCACAACTGAAACCCAGCGTGCTCTGATGTAAGATTCATTCCTCTGATGCCAACACTCTGTGTGTTCGCAAGGGTCTGATAGTATACACAGTAAGTGCTTACCGAGAGACAGAAGCTAATGTTCTCATAGTTCTTGCAAAGTACATGGGTTATGATATTATCGAGGAACAAGGTTTCGGTGGACTCGGTGGGTCTCCATGCAGGAGACGGGCCAATCTTGCCTCTCCAAGCGCTCCACTCTCACTCGGCTCCTCATTTTCCTTCGAAGAAAGAAGAAACAACATTGAGATGAGAGGCTGAGAGAGACGTCGACGAAGGACTGAACTGAGCAGCAGCTAAATCTCCATAGCGGTAGCTCCTTTCTGCTCTTGAATCGATTTCTTTGAGTTCGGGCGCCCATGATCCCTGTCCTTAGGGCTTTGCGCATGCCACTGGCGACACAACCTGTATTGCAGGACACTTGTTTGCCGTTGACAAGTGCAATCTGGATCGACCAAGATGACTTGATGATGGTTGTCCTAGGAGCGAGTCAGCTCTTGTATCACCAACCCACATGTTCGGGTCGGAGAATTGCCCAGGGCTAGGCTCGGGGCGAAATGTCGAAATGAGTCGCATATGAAACACCAAGTGTATTGACGTGCGTTTGTAGCAGATGTGATGCACTTGCGTGCGGGAAGGAGTGTGGGTGGGTGATGGAGGTTTGCACTCGCAGCTTGGCGGCGACAAACAGCAATCTTGCAAGAGAATCTCCAGCGCTTAGGACACCTGCCCGCCTGAAATCCACACCCTACCAGGGCACCACATCCAGCTTCCGGACATCCGTGTATAAGGAAATTAATTTGGGGATCCACAGAGATGGTTGTATGGGTCCAGTGATAAGAGTGTGCGACCTTGATGCATGCCACTGGACGCCGCGACTGCGGTGATTGCTTTGCCCCATACAGTGGTCGTGGGTGCCTTATGCTGAGCGCGCATTTCTTGATCGTGAGTCGCAGTCAGTAGGTAGACTATCCTCTCATACATGTCTACTAGTCGAGGCAGTCTCGAAGTCGACGAGACGGTGTATGTTTTGTAGGTTCTGGAAGCACGGCAATAGCAAGCAACTTCTGCCCGGTCGCGGCTCCTGAAACGCTTCTGCATCTCATGCAACCTTCTATATCTGATACAACAGGTGCGGGTCCTCCCGTTGACTGCCTACTGCACCAGTTCTGATGTCTCCATCCCTCCCTCCCTCCCGGACCAACCAGTTTGCGAACAACGGCGGCGCAATTAAACTTGGGAGGAGCATGGCATTTTTCATGTGTGGAGTCGGGATGTTGGTCGCCTCCTTGGATCTGTAGACATTGTATATAGGACATGTAGGTGTGCATCCCTTTCTTCATTCTTGTACCTTCATTCTCTTGGTCGATTTGCCTTCTATACAGCCACCCTTTGGCGTTTACGCCTTTCCGTTCATTCAGTCACTCCTTCGACACTCCTTACACTACTTTGATAGTAGTGTGCCACTCCTTTTATTCATTCTCTTCAATATTCCAAAGCGCCTGCGCTATATCAACAACACGCACTTCTTTCACTTGACCCTTCCATTCAATCAACCAAACAATCATGTTCTCCAAGATCTGGACTGCCCTGGCCCTTGCCGCTGTCAGTGTTCACCTTGCCGCCGCAAAGTCTGTTGTTGCGCATTTCATGCTCGACAACTCCTACGCCTACACGGTTGGACAATGGAAGACCGATATGAAGGCTGCTCAACAGGCTGGCATCGATGGCTTCTCTCTGAACTGGATCCCTCCGGACTGCAACTCTCCCAGCCGCAAGTGGCAAGTCGACCGTATCGATGATGCCTTCCAGGCTGCTGAGAAGACTGGCTTCAAGCTCATGTTCTCCTTCGACATGAGCTACACGACCTGCAACAAATTCTGGAACACGACCTTCATGACCGACATGATCACCAAGCACGCTGGCAGCTCTGCTGCTATGCGCTGGAACACCAACATCCTTGTTTCGACCTACGCTGGCGACAAGAACGACGCATATGGCAATCAGTTCTTCCAAGACCTCAAGGACTCTTGCAAGGGCGCAGGTCATCCTATCACTCTGGCTCCCGCTCTTGTCTCGTACGCACAGGCTGCCCAGACCTCCCCTGAAAAGTCGGCCGCCAAGATGATGAGCGACTACCCTGCTATTGATGGCTACTTCAACTGTAAGTGACTTCGCATATCTGATGACTACGTTTCTTCGACTGACCCTCTCACAGGGCAAGCATGGCCTCTCATGGAAGCCAACATGACCTGCACCGCAGACAAGGCTTTCAAGGCTGCACTCACCAAGAATGGCAAGACCGGTCCTTACATCATGGCCGTCTCTCCCTGGCAATACAAGGATCTCAACAACGGCGTTGCTTCCGACTCCTGGGTCGCCTACTCGGACACCCTCTTCGCCCAGCGTCTCCACAGCATCGCCAACAATGAGTTTTCCCCCGACATCATCGAAGTGCTCACCTGGAACGACTTCTGCGAATCTCACTATCTTCGCGATCTTCCCAGCATGACCAACGTCAGCGCTACCGACTATGTCACCTACAGCAACGGCATGGAGAACTATGTCGAGGGCATGAACCACGCCCCTTGGCGCGTCATGGCCAAGTACTACCTCAACCGGTGGAAGAACGGCAAGGCCCCCGTCATCACCATGGATCAGGTCGTCTACTGGTACCGCGTTCACCCCAAGGCTGCCGCATGTTACGGCGGCTCTTCCAGCAAGATCAAGAACTACGAGTACCCCACCGATGCAGTCTTTGCCTGGGCTCTGGTCAAGGACAAGGCTACCGTCTCGGTCAGTGTGGGCGCCAACCAGTACTGGGAGTTCGAGGCCGACTCTTCCGGCCCTGTTCTTTCCATGATTCCTTTCCCCAAGGACCTTGGCATTGGCGGCACTACTCCTGAAGTCAGCATCAACAGAAACAACAAGGTTGTGCAGTACTCCAAGGGTGGCATGGCCATTACAGCTTCTTGCGTGAGTTCATTTCAACATCATATTCCAGACTTTGAACACATACTGACTAAATCTTCAGAGCTGGAGCAACTTCAACGCCCACGTCGAACTCTGCGGCGAGGGTGTCAACAAGGGTCCCTCGTCTTCTTCTTGATCTACGATCTACCGAATCAACGGTCCAACTACACGAAACCTCGAGACCTGCTGGGCAGACTCGATCACACACACGACGACATTGAAGGAGGGAAAAAAGCAAATAACATGACACACACACACAAACAAATAACTTTCGATTCTTGATGGGGGAAGACTTTTATGAACTGGTTGGGTTAGGAAAAGAGGGGGGGGGGGGGGGGGGGGGGGTCTGTACAGCCAGGGGGCAGTAGGTGGCTCCGTCGGGTGGTGGCCGAGGGGTTGTTGGGGGGGGGGGGGGGGCACAGGATGGTGGTTTGGAAAGGTGGAAATGGTATAACGAGTCACTTTCGTTCATAGACGGATCATGCTTTTTAGATGAGTCTGGATTTCACTTTTTGACAATGTCAGGATTTATTTTCGGTGTTCATTTGCTGTTTGCTCAAACCTTCCTTCCTAGCTGTGCCTTCCGTATTCAACTTATATCTTCCATCGCTTTTTTCTATTACCAATATGGTGCGCATGTCACAATCTTGTTGACTTCAAAGGATCAATACAGTACAGCATTCTACGTGCAGATTAGACGACAGAAGACATGCCTAGGACATGACATGAACATCCTGTTTTCCGACGGTCAATGGCATTTATTCTGCAGCATCGACTCTGCAAGAGGGCGAACACAATTTAATGGCATAAAGTGTGGCATGCTCAAACGAAGCATCGTGCTGCTAACCTGTTTATATGTTGTATGCAATTGTACAAGAAATATCCAAGATGATGACATGTCTTCAATCTCTCTTTCCTCCAGCAGAACTAAGCGCATAACTGCTAGTACCCGCATTGTATCCATAGCCACCTAGTCTGCCACCCTCCATGCCTCCAGTCATCCTATCTTTTCCATGGTTCCTGAGCCTTCTCGGCAATTCGACGCCTCGGAAGTAGACGATGCAGATGGCAGCTGCGGCACCAGCACTCAAGATACAGTAGATCAAAGTGCTTGCGTAGATATGACCGCCGACGCCGGACCAGCCAGACGGCAGTTGTTGGCCGGAGTACCAGCGGATTGAGAATGTGAATGGTAGAGCGTCACCGATGACTATGCGGGTCGGCGGGCGGGTGGAGATGGAGTATGCAGTGGCGGCATCGATGACACCGGGCGAGACGGATTTGGGGGCGGCATGCAGCAGCATGTTGAGGTGTGACGAGACGTGCAAATGCGAGAGTTGCAGGGTGCCGGTCAAGGCAATGATCAAGGGGATGTAATCAGTGCTCAAGCTGCCCTGGCCCTCGATCGACGGATCTTCCTTGGGAGCCTTGTCGGCCAGCGAAGACTCGACAATGGGACGAGCGGGAATGCGACAGGTCATGGGGGCGTCGTTGTGAACGTAGAACTCGAGGAGATGGAACATGGGGTCAGAGATGAAGTCGATGGTGCAATTGATGTCCTTCTCGACACCAAAGTAGATCTCTAGCGGTCGTCCGGTCTCATTGCACACGGGGAAGGGCACATATTGAAGCTGTCCTGAGGCATCCGTGACCTGTTGCAGTGTGTTAGTTGTGCCGGTCGGGAGTCAAGGTGTAGATGTCGCTTACATGCTCGCCGGTGTCTGATGTTCTGTTCACTTGGACAGGTCAGCAAATGAAGACATGCTGAGATGCAGAGAGTCAATATACTTACGACACGTCACGGGGATGGCATCCCCTGCACGGTATATCGGCCTCTCATCGACAAGGGGCTCCTGGGCAGCTGCCCTCGCCAAGACGGTGAAGAAGACAAGGCATAGCTGGAACAGCAATGGAATGCGTCCACTCATGTTGGCCGTGAAGATGGGGCAATGCAGACTTGTCGAGGGAGCTCGAGTCGTTCGCTGCTGCTTCTTGAAGCCACGCGAACAAACATCGAAACGCCCTGAGATGGCTTCCCCACAATTTGTCTCTCCTGCACTCCCTGCCAATTTCAGCAGACCCAGCTTGCAGCGAAACTCCCGTCAAGGCCAGATTTTGCAAAATCTTTGTCGCAATACACGAGCTCTTGTATGACCGGAGTCGCGGCTATTGAGAGTTGGTACCACTAGGGCTCTCGATGGTCAGCTCAACCGTGTGCGATGCATTCGTGCATTTTGACTCTCTTCAAAGACGCGCTTCACCAAGCTGAGATGCAGTCCACTCGGCTTCGGAACAGCCCCTTTGAGTAACTCCTACTTTACACTGCGGCACGCGCTTCATCAGCTCTCTCCGCCTGTTTGCACCAGCTTGACGGTTAGAAACACGAGATTGTGACTGAGCCAGGTCTTTGCAAAGCTTGTAAGCTCGCCAACTCTTCCAGAAAATGGTGCGAAACAAACTAACTTCATCACAAGGCGTCCGGATAATAGCAACTGCGAAGTATATCTCCTGCCCGCCATGCCCTTCTCCAACGTTTGACCCTGTTTCGGGGAAACCTTTGAGGCACGTCCGTCTTCTCGGCGACTGAAAGCTCTCGGAAGAACTCCAGCCTAAATTATGCACCAATAGCGGCGAAGGTTCATTGCTGGACCACGCTGGAGCCCCGGACACTAGTGGGGTAGTGGGGAACGCTGTGACGGCAGATTTGAGGTCGGCCATTAGACAAAACCTGTCCCATTTCCCACTGTTAGGCTATCTGTACTCTCAATTGATTCTTCTCTCTCTTCTCCTGTTCTCCAGCTACATTCTACACATCACACAACATGGTTACCATTACCAAGGCCACGACGAGGGACGTCAGATTCCCTGTGAGTAAACATGTTTACCCATCATCCACCCTCGACAACCGTAGCTGACACAAGCCAGACGTCCCTCGACAAGACTGGTTCCGATGCCATGAACGCTGCTGGTGACTACTCTGCCGCCTACTGTATCTTGAACACTGACTCCGAGTTCTCTGGTCACGGTATGGTAAGTCACACGATCCCTTCCCCAGCTTCCCCACATCTCAATGTTGACTCTTATTAGACTTTCACAATTGGTCGCGGCAACGAGATTGTCTGCCAGGCCATCTCTCTGCTGGCTGCTCGTGTCGAGGGTAAGAAGCTCGAGAACTTGGTCTCAAATTGGGGCCAGACCTGGAGATACCTCGTCTCGGACAGTCAGTTGAGATGGATTGGTCCCGAGAAGGGTGTCATCCACCTTGCTCTCGGTGCTGTCGTCAACGCCATCTGGGATCTGTGGGCCAAGACACTGAACAAGCCCGTCTGGAGAATCGTGGCTGAGATGTCTCCTGAGGAGTTCGTCTCATGTATTGACTTCAGATACATTACCGATGCCATCACCAAGGAGGAGGCTATCGAGATGCTGAAGAAGGAGGAGCCCGGCAAGGCCGAGCGTATCAAGCACGCCGAGGCCAACAGAGCCGTTCCTGCTTACACCACCAGTGCTGGTTGGTTGGGTTACGGCAAGGACAAGATGAAGGGTCTGCTGCAGGAGACTCTCAACGCCGGCTACAAGCACTTCAAGCTCAAGGTCGGAACCAGCGTTGCCGAGGACAAGGAGAGATTGAGCATCGCCAGAGAGGTCATTGGCTACGACAGAGGCAACTTCCTCATGGTCGACGCCAACCAGGTGAGTCCTCTCGAACCTCGCATGTCAGCAATGTATACTAACCTTCCTTCTCCTAGGTCTGGTCCGTCCCAGAGGCCATCGAGTACATGAAGGAGCTCGCCGAGTTCAAGCCCTGGTTCATCGAAGAGCCCACCAGCCCCGACGACGTCTTCGGTCACAAGGCCATTCGCGAAGCCCTCAAGCCCTACAACATCGGTGTCGCTACCGGTGAGATGTGCCAGAACCGTGTCATCTTCAAGCAGCTTCTGCAACAAGGTGCCATCGATGTCTGCCAGATCGATGCCTGCCGCATGGGTGGTGTCAACGAGGTCCTTGCCGTTCTCCTTATCGCAAAGAAGTTCGGTGTACCGATCGTTCCTCACTCTGGTGGTGTCGGTCTCCCCGAATACACCCAACACTTGAGCACCATCGACTACGTTGTCGTCAGTGGTAAGCTCAGTGTCCTCGAGTACGTCGACCACTTGCACGAGCACTTCTTCAACCCCAGTGTCATCAAGGACGGTTACTATACCACCCCTACCGAGCCTGGATACAGTGTTGAGATGAAGCCTGAGAGCATGGACCAGTTCGAGTACCCTGGCAAGGAGGGTGTCAGTTGGTGGAAGAGTGAAGAGGCCAGACCTATTCTCGAGGGCGAGAGAATCTAGATGTTTGGTCCGATCTTGTGAATAGATTCCCTTTTTAACGATATATGTAATGGCAATTCAAAACGAACAATTTATCAAACACCGATACTTGAGTCAATCTTGTGGTGCTACAGCTCCGGAGGTGGTTGGGGAAAATGGCATTTCTTGATTTGGCGAAGTATGGTCGCTGAAGCAGGTCACCCTGTCTCCTTTGTTGAGGTTCGATCCCCATGTGATAGCTCATGTATAGATCGTTCTACATGGGTTCTGCGATTTGCTCGTCCCTTCGATGCTCTCTATCTATCGTAATGTGGTGATAGCATGATGGCATTAAACGCTTTGCACCAGTGGTGGTTACCTCTTCGTGTGCTAGTGGAACGTGTCTCTTGGATGAATGACATTTGGAAAGCTCCATATTGAGATAGTCCATGAAAAGGGTCTGCTACTGGCACATGATGCATCTCAGCACTTGGCTAATATCTCAATACATGTAGTAGACACATAAAAGAAAGAAATTTGTTCGTCGTGGTCTCGTAATATTGTTGACGGTCATTACAGCACTCGTTGTTGGCATCACCCTGACATGATGACATAACTGTCGAGGGTTGCCCTCCTGTGAACCATGTCGAATCCGGCAGCCCCCCTAAGTGTGTAAAATAGGCTACTATGGGCGTGATAAGAAGCACCGAATGCCATGTGTATTCATGCGGGATCCCTTACTCCTGCTCCTTGGTCATGGCAAGATAGGACGCGTTGATGGCCTGCTCTTTACGCTGATTCCAACTCTTGATGACCTCGAATAGATCCTCGGTACCAGATGGTAGCGAAATAGGGTCGATTATGGGTTGCACCGGTGGCACCGGGCCAGAGGTTTGGTCGACAGCTTCTTTAGGTCCAAGCGACTGCGGTACCTTCTCACGAGCTCGTGGAGTCTTTGGTGGCTTGTCTGTCGCATCACGACGCGGTCGACCTTTTCGAGGCTTCGTTCGGGCGAACACGATCAACTCTTCTATCGAAGTTCTGTCGACACCGGCTTTATGTGCGCGGGAAGCCATTTGTCGAACTGCTGACTTGGAGACGCCTGTTCGTGCTTCGACATCGCTGTGTGAGGCTTTGAAGATGAGAAACATGATCAGAGCGGCTGCACGCTTCTCGTCGCTGTATTCGGATCCTCGAGGCATGTTGTGTTTGTATGTATGCTTGGGGGAGTGAGGAATGCTGGCTGCTTGAGCATGGTAGTATTGGCGATCCACGAGCACGTGGCTTGAGCAAGTTTGAGAACGATAGTTTGAAGCAGCAAGAAAGTGCTTCAACAATTGGGGTTGTGGTCTAGTGGTATGACATCTTCTTAGCATTGCTCTTTGAGCATTACTGAGTGGAGAAGGTTCTGGGTTCGATTCCCAGCTACTCCATTTTTGCTGTTTTTGTCTGATGTGGCAGTCAGAGATCAACCATGGCATCACTTTTGCTTAGCAGAAGACTGTCTTTTGGTTTACTGCGTACCTACTGCAATGCGCCTGAGTGACGACGATGTGTTTGAGAGGCTTCAAGCGTTTCGCCGAAAGCAGGGTGAGTCACGGCCTCGGAACCGGGAAGCAGATAAAGATTGGCGATCGGCCGCACTAGGACATGGGCGTTGCGGGGAATTCGATTGGTCAGTGGCGATAAGTGCGATCAATGATGATGATTGCTTCTCCTTGTCTCCTGCCCCTCCTTCCTCCCTTACACCTCACCTTCGTTCATTCCACCCGAGTCGCACTTCGCTCATCGGCGCATTCTCACCATGGCCATCTCACACGATCCCGTTACCGCAGCGCCCACCGGCATCGACATCGAGGCGTGGACAGTGGAACAGGCAGCCGAGGCGCTGCAGGCATCATCCATCTCGACGCCGACCCCTCCCAGACCCCGCGCCAACGTCACGATTGAGATTCCGCTCGACGACGATGCCCTCGCTGCCGCGAACGCCATGGCCACGGCCGAGCCACGGTCAAAGCAAGAAGTACACACTGTGTATAAGAGAAGCGCGCCCGTTCGCCGCGACAGCTTGAAACGCCGCGAAGCTCTTCTCAAGGGCAAAGAGGGCAGTCGCCGGAGACAGCGATGGGAGAATGACCGCTTGCTCAGCAACCCTTACGCTCAACCTCCCCTTCCTAGCGATTGGGAGGTCCGTCCTACATACCCAATCCACAACGTACCCTATTTCCTCGCCCCGTTGTGGGATGCCGAGTACAAGGCCAAGGCTCAAGCTAAGATTACTCCACGCCGTGCCAACAATGTTGGCGACACACGAGCACACGGATCCAAGGAGGAGCAAGCCGCGGCTCGAGTCCCTCGTGAGCTTCGCGAGAAGCTGAAGAAGAGCCGCGGTGCCAAGAACATGCTTCAAGATCTGGAAGAGGAGGTTAGAAGCTTTGTACAACAGTGGTCTTCCAAGGAGCGTCAGATGGCCGAGGACGACTTGGTAGATGGCGACAGTGAGGACGAGGAGATCGTTTTCGTTGGCCGTAATGGAGCCATGAGCGATGATCGTAAGCGGTCGAAGAGTGTTGTCAGCGATGACAGCAGCATTGCGAGCATCAGCAGTGATGACTTGGCCAAGGAGAGGATGATCCTTGAGAGTCTCGTTGATGATCGTAGCGCTGCATTCGGGTACGTAAATGCTTTTGCTCTTTATAACGACATCCTTTCGCTGACAGTAATCAGACGCTGGCTTGTACATTCCATCGCGACGTACTACGGTTTAGAGACGTGGTCAGTGACAAAGGGCAGTCCTGCTCGTCGTGAAGCCTATATCGGTCTTAAGCACAAGGCTGCTCCGGCGTTCGACGAACTCCCCCGACCTCTCTACGTCCTTGTATAGAAGGCCTTGAGTTTTGATGATTTATATGTTGATACGGCGATTACATCGGAATAGACATCCGCAGACTGTTGCTACTTTCCGAAACGAAAGCCTTTTACAGCTCGTTCTTCTACTCGCCCGTGCTTTACTCGTTTTCACCTTGGAGAGCAAAAGGAGCCTTTGCGTACCGTGAATTTCAACCTGCTACCTCAACTTAGAAGATCACGGTCGACATGCAAGAGTCTACGAATGGCACGTCTGTAGCATGGGAAGGAACCATCGAAGTGCCTGTAAGAAGGGGAAGAACGACCGATCACTCAGATGGGAAGGAGCAATCTACAACCAAGCAAGGAAGTAGCAACCAGGCCGCTCCTTCTTCACACAAATCGCATGATGACAATATGGGAAGGTGCAGAATTGTAAGACGAACATTAATTCATCAAGTAACCTGTGCTAGTGATTCCTTCAAACGAGACGGAAACGGCGATACAGAACTTTTGAAGATGTTGTCGTTACATCGGTTGCATGGAGACAGATGTCCGCACGCCACTACTCTTTGCAGAGATGAAGCACCCTTCAAGTTCCACGGCAGTACTCGCCAACCTCGGCGATCTTCTCAGGAAGAATACGCTTCTTGTCCTTGGGCTCGGCCGAAGCACCTCCAACTGTCTGAGGCATAGCAGGAGCGCCTCCAGATGCTCCATCCTCGATGTTGAAGCCCTTGTAGAGTTCCTGGAGTTCCTCAATGGTAGCCTCGTCGTTCATCTTGAGAGCATCCTGGAATCTGTTCCAGACAGCGACGTCCATGCCCTTGGCCTCCAGAGCCTTCTTCTTCTCAAGCTTCTTCTGGATCAGAGCCTTCTCGACGATGTTGACGACCCAGACGTCCTTGCCGTCCAGCTTGCGGCGGTAGGGCTCGCCGTCTGAGAGCCACTCTGACTCGGTTCCAGCTTCGGCGATCTTCCAGATCTGCTGCATGTGGTTGGCCTTGACGTCCTCGCGGGTCTCGTGTCCGTCGGCGATGACGAGTGCGTACTTGTCGCCGGATGAGATGTCGTTGGTGACAGTGTCGGTCTCGTCTTCGACGCCGATGGTGGACTCCTTCTGGATCTGCTCATCGGTCGATTCGTGAGCGTTTTCAGAGTCGGCGCCCTGAGGGTGTGTCAGTCATCTCAAGTTGAGATATTGTTTCCAACACAAAGACTTACGTATTTGACCGTGATGGTCGAAAGCTTCTCATGGAAGGTGTTCTTGATCTTGACATAGTCCTCTGACTGTTTGACCGACTCGACGATGCGAGCATGAACGTCACCCTTGCTCTCGGCTGATGACTTCTTGGTGGTGATAAGATCGCCGGTCTCTTCATCCATCACTTCTTCCTCGTCAGAAGAAACCTCTCCAACGAGCTCGTCCAGGAAGGCTTCATCGTCGGATGATTCGTCCTCCACGTCAATGTAACGGACGGCTGCGACGTCGACAGGGTCGAAGGCCTCCTGTGATGAAGTTAGCGCGCGCGTATATTCTGGGAGGCGCGTGATATAGACCTTGGTAGCAACTGATTGGTCTGTGGTTGCCGTCATGATTGAAAGTGTTTACGTGTGGATGATGTTGATGGAGAGAGAAGAGAGGGAGCACGTCCAGGATTTTAAAGTAGACAAGAAAGCTGCGGAATGCGGTCTTTGCTTGGTCGGGTGTTCACTATCGGTTTCCATTCAGATTGTGTTTGTGGACGTGTCAGTCGTCCTACCAACTCACCAACACTTCACTTGTAGTCCCCCTTCTTTGTGTTTAACCGTTCTTCCTTCCGTGATCTACTGATATTGATCTGATACTTACTGTCATATGAACGCTGTTCACTCTCACTTTGTTGCAATAACTAGTTGAAATTATATCCCACGTCTTTTTACAACATCCTGACCAGATCTATGCGATTTTAAAAAATGCACAACGACTTTCGAAGATAGAGCTGGATCTGAAGAGAGAACGTCAGGTAGTCGCTCTCTTTGGATGGCGTGCTCTTAGTCTTAAATTTCGTGCATTCTGATGGGTGCATCACTGCACATTGCTGTAGTAAGAGAGTCGAGGTGGTAGAATGTAGCCATATGGGGTGGATTTGTTCAAGATCAAGTGCTCAAAGTGATTGGAGCCAATGATCCGGTCTTCGATAAGGGTGTGTGAGAGCTGGCCAGAGCTATTGCACAGCGCCATACTCTTTTCAAAAGTCGTGATAGTGACCTATTCTTGACCTTGTGCAGACTGTTCAGCCTTCTCGCGCTCTCTTCTGGCCGCCTTTTCTGCCTTTGCGCGCTTCTTCAACTCAGCACCAGACGGTTTGCCATCACTTTCTGCTGATGCTGGCTGTTGAGCTCCATCGTCCTTCTTGACATCAGGCTGCTTTTTTGGCTTCTCGGCTTTCTTATGCTTGGTCCACGACTCAGGGGCATCCTTCAGGACTGTGCCGTTCTCGACCAAAACTCCTTGTCCGCCGGTACGGTCTTCAACCTTGCTAAAGAACTGCAGTCCAATAACACCATTCTCGTCTCCTTCGCTTAGAATGACACCGTTCTCGGACGTCCAGAACTTGACTCCAGCTTGCATGGCCTTCTTGATGTCTACGTATACCAGAACTGATGATGAATTGCGCATACCAGAGATGACGGGTGCGGCGTTTCCATCTTTATCTTCTGACTTGAATCCTGCGGGAAGACCGGAGGCGAAATGAACATGAGTGCGAGCCATCTTCTTCAGACCACCAGTGGCCACGATTTGAGGCCATGCAGAGTGAGTGGTTCCATGTACCACTATCGAAGGCATGTTCTCCTCGGTGATAGGCGTGAGCAGGTTTTCAGATGCAATTTCCAAAGAATGGCCTTGGTTTGCACGGATCAGATAGTCTGCAGGGTCATCCGACTCGGGAAGTTGAGCAGGGATATCTGAAGTTGTAGATGTTGCTGCATCATCGGATGGCACGCCTGATTTAGACACAGCGGCAGACTTGTGGATCAAAGAGAAGCGCTGCTTATCGTTCTCTGCTACGATTTGCTTGACTTCATCGAGTGTGGCCTTGAGGCCCCGGATTCTTTGGTTGTTTAGCTGCCAGTGTCAGAGTCAGAATGTGGAAGGGATGTGTGATCAAAATTGTAGCAGACTTTGTTGGAAAGCAAGCAAACAAATTCGGAAACACAGAACAGAGACCGTTTGAGACCTACCACGTCTTTGAGGTTGATGTAGCCAGCTTCATCTAATTGAAGACCTTCCTTTTCAGCACTGTGACGAAGCAATTTGCTTAGTGCCTTTGAGACCTGAACCTCTCGTGGCATGGGACCGCCGCGACCGCGTCCACCAGGCATTTTGGTTAATCTGCGAAGAGGCTGTGGATGATAGATGTCTGAAAAACCTTGGTCTGTCCAAGTGTTTCGCGTTAGAATTCGCGAGAGTTGATAGATGTTCCAGACCCAAAGTGGAAGGGTCAAAAATTGTCAAAAGGTGCTTGGTCCTGGGGGAGACGTTTGGAACATGCTTGGATGACAACAACACTCATGGCTTGTTGCTAACGACAAAAACATGCTCAGAAATGTGTGACATGAATCCAAGCTTGTGAATTCGGGACTCTCTTTAGACTTCATCACTTCAAGACAACAACCCGAACAATTCACTCCTGTGTAGGAATGAGCTTCCGTCCTCCGTACAGCTGTCTACTCGAGTACAACAAGCATCTCATTCGGAATCTATCTGAGGCCGCACGGAAAGCCGGAGGGACCTTGGTCCGGCATCCGTGTCTGTTAGGTTCCAGCCCGAGAAGTCGCGACTCGCGACTCACGAATCCGCGAAGTCTTAATAAATCATGACCAAGCTTTGATTAAAGAAGGAGCTGGAGAGCAAAACAAGCATGTGAAGAGGCACTAGAAGCATGTGAGAATTGAATTGTTTCGCATGCATTACCAAAGCAGGTTGAAGTCGTACCATGTGAAAGTGCTAGAGAGATTCTGCAGAGGAGGTTCGTGTTGCGTCGTATCTGGAATTAGGCGCTTTTAAGCTCCGGTGGCCGTCGATGACCTAGGGCCATCGGTCAACTAAGCAAAAAGTAAACGCGCGCAGCAGCAGAGTGCATCAGAGACCTGGCCGACGTTATCAACTATCGAATGCGCATCATACACACTCCTCGAGCCATCTCCCCGTGCTATCGCAGCTCTCGGCGCTCCCTGGTGCGCTATATCGCACCTACCTCGAATGCGCCATGAATCCTCACAATCCCCACCAACCGCAATTTTCAACAGTACCTTATGGTACCACTCCACCGGGAGGCGCGGCTCATAACCCATCTCTGCGCGTTTTCAACAATCCATACTCGGCTGGAAACTCGCCTACTCACGCAACCTTCCAACAGGCCGCAGCTTATCTAGACGGGAACTACGACGATGATGGTGACGGACAGGACGACCGCGGCAATGACCACGACCACGATAATGATCAGGGCCAGGGCGACCCAAAGCGCCGTCGCATAGCACGAGCTTGCGACATGTGTCGAAAGAAGAAGATCAAGTGTGACGGCAAGATGCCAAAGTGCTCGCATTGCCAAAACTACAAGACTGAGTGCATCTTCACTCAGGTGGAAAAGAAGCGTCAACCCCCCAAAGGCGCCAAGTACATTGAGGGATTAGAGAACAGACTTGCTCGTATGGAAGGGTTGCTCAAGATGTCAGGACTGCTAGGCGAGGATGACGGCGGCAAGACAGATCTAGGGACGCTGGAGAAGCGTTTGGCAGATAGACAAGCTGCCGGCTCATCGTTTGCATCGCCAATCTCACCACATGTCGCCGGAGACGGTTCAACTTCTGCTCATCCGACTCCGCCTACTGGACTCACCAGTCCTCAATCGGGCGGTCCTCTTCAGGACGGCCAAGCTCAATCATCAGAGGACAAGGCCGCTGAAGGATTGGCCGATCAAATGTGCTCGCTGGTCACGAACAATGCTGGTGAAACACGTTATATTGGCTCTTCGTCTGGATTTTCAATCTTCTCGCCCAAGGGTATCCAGTGGGTAAACGAAAAGACTGGCGATTCCTCGTTCCGCGACATGATATCGCAAGCAGCGACCGACGACCGAGCATGGGCTGTCTGGAAGCCAGAAATCTTTGACGACATTTTCTCCCGCAAAATTTACAAGCCTTTACCTCCCAAACCCGAAGCTCTTGCTTTACTACGAGACTTTTTCGAAAATTTCAACTGTGTGTTTCCCCTGTTTCATGAACCCACCTTCATGCATTTGGTCGACAAACACTATTCGCTTGATCCATATGAAGGATCAGGATGGTGGGCTAGCTTGAACGTAGCACTCGCAATCTCTCACAGGCTTCGTATCATGGGTGAGGATGATGCGCGGAAAGAGGACGCAAAGGCTTGGGGTTATCTGAAGAATGCCCTGGCTGTTTTTTCCGAATTGACCATGAGGAACAATGACTTGCTGAGTGTTCAAGCTCTATTGGGTATGGCCCTTTTCATGCAAGGCACGCCAAATCCACAACCGGGATTCTTCCTTGTCGCTGCAGCCCTCAGACTGGCACACAGCATTGGCCTTCACAAGCGCGGATCTGATTTCAATCTCAACGAAGTCGAGTCTGAGCAACGGAAACGCGTATTCTGGATAGGATATCTGATGGATAAAGACATAGGCCTACGATCAGGAAGACCCCCCATCCAGGATGACGACGACATGAACGTTGAACTTCCCAGTGAGAATCCACCGGACAACATTGGCGTCGTGTCAATTGAGAACGGCAAGAGCAAGGTCAATCTCTTCCGCATCCAATGCGTTTTCGCCATGATCCAGTCGAAGGTCTACAAACTACTTTACTCGGTCAAGGCCGCTCGTCAAACTGATGGCGAGTTGTTGAATACCATTGGAGACTTGGATCAAGAACTTGAAGAGTGGAAAGATTCTATCCCTATCGAGTTTCGTCCTGAGCATGAAATTAAAATGGTTGGCCAATCACCACTAGTTTTGCACATTGTCGTTATGCATTTTGCTTACTACAACTGCCTTACTACCATCCATCGAATGTCGGTGCATCACGGCTATTGGACATCGCGCTTGTCGAATTACGCCATTGCTGGTTTGAATGCGCGACCACTCAATCCTCGTGTCTTCATGTCGGCGGCTTTGTGCGTGAATGCTGCACGAACGTCTATCTCGCTTGTCAAGTACATTCCTAGTCAAGATCACGCTTGTGTCTGGTAAGTTGATTGCATGAACGACGTGTGAACAATTCGTGCTAACATAGTTTTTAGGCTTCTTGTGTACTACCCTGTATCTGCGCTCGTCACATTGTTCGCCAACATTCTGCAAAACCCTCAAGATGCTAGAGCCCGCTCCGACCTTAAGCTCATGAACTCGATGACCGAGTTCCTACAGATGCTATGCAATGAAGACGGCAATGTCCATTGTCGTAGGATGGCTTCGATTTGTAAAGAGTTCGAACGCATCGCGAGGGTAGTCCTTGACAAGGCCGAGAGAGACATCAAAGGCAGAGGCAAGAGAAAGGCCCGAGACAGCGATTCTGCCGGCCCACCTACACAATCGGCACCCTCAGATCGTCGCTCGGCGTCCCAACCGGTTCAGGCACAGCAAACTCCAAACCTGTCTACCTCTACGCTTCCTGCAGGACGCAAAACAACAGCGTCGCCTTCGGTTCGCGCAGATGGCCATATGCAGCACCAGCCGTTCCACCCCTCACCAATGGGTCAGATGTCCTTCTCAACCTCAGCGCAGACCTCGCCTTTCCAGGCAACCGCTATGCCACCGGAACCATGGATGCAAACCGTACCTCCAGGGCCTGAAAACATGTTTGCACAACCCGACAATCGATTCCCACCCACCTCTTTTCCTCAAGAAAACTTCGATATGCAAGGCTATGGCGGTGGTCTAGGTCAGATCGGTGGCGACTTAGGAGGAAGTTTCCAACAACCGTTTGTACCGCAGGATCTATGGCAGATGCCTATGACTTTGGAGTGGGACTGGGCCGATTTCTTCGGGACGGGGCCGGGATTTGATCTCAACGATCCTACCCAAGGTGGACCGCATGGTGGGCAATAAAGGGTGTGCAATTCATCAAGGGGTGTCTGGGATTTATGTATAATTATTCGCGTTCGACTGGCACGTCGTAAGCCTGGGGGAGTCTGGTGTTGTGAAGAGGACTCAACTCTCAATCTCCCAAATCATTTCGCATGTCAAGAACGTACTGCAAACACAGAATGCCCTCAGCTCTTCACCACGTTTTGGTGAATCTCATGGACGTTGCTCTGGCTCAATGGTCTGTGAAAACAACTTCCTCGGTATGACGGAGCTGAAGATGCAAGGCTGTGCTTCCAAGTTCCTGTCCCGTCTCTTGAAAACGGTGTTTTATATGCACAAAAGCATATCCCAGATGTAGACAATTAAGCACCTTTGAAGGCAGAAACCGTGAGTTCTGATTCGTCGATCTTTAGCAGTAGGCGTATATTTTGGTAGGTTCCTTCCTGCATCTCGATTTTGCATGTGACAGTGAGTGGGGAAGCTTGGAGCAAGCAAGGGCAGTGACGCGCATCGTCTCAATTGCTCAAATACCCGTCTCCAGTCCTCAGCAACTTGTGTTCGATCACACGACAGGAAAACTACGCATCACAAATCAACATGAACTCAATTCCCATTTCGGCCACCAGGCCTTCAACCAGCATCCGCGTTGCCCAGGTCGTTGGCCTTACTGCTTCGGCATACCTCGCTGGTAAGTTTTAGCTTGTTACTTTGAACAAAGCTTTCTAAACGTCAATCATCAAGGTTCCATTGGAAGCATCAGCTGGCAGAGCGTCCCTGCATTGATGGATGCGCCCGCTCCTCTTTTGGCAAAGCAGTGGAAGAAGATCTTCGACCAGGGCAAGGTTGCAGCTCCCCCAATGGCTGTCATCTCAGCTGCCATCTTCGGTGGTCTCGCATACAGAGGTGAGTTGAAGCATGTGCTTGTTGGACATCGAGTAGGTATTGACCTTATCAGAACCTGTCGGATCATCCAACTTCAACCTCTACACGGCTGCCGCTCTCCTCGTTCCCAGCATCGTACCCTACACCGTCTTCCTCATGTCGACTGTCAACAGCAAGCTTCAGGAGAAGGCTTCGTCCCTGGCCAGCGCTTCTCTCACCGACACAGCTGTCGAGTCTGGCGCAGCCGAAGGCGAGACCGCACACGAGCTCCTTGAGAAATGGGCCACACTCAACCTCGGTCGCTCGCTACTTCCTCTCATCGGTACTCTGGCAGCTGGATGGGCCATCGTCGACAAGTTCGAGGTTCTTGGTCTCGGCGCAAGCTTGAAGCTCGGTGCCGACCGTATGGGTTAGAAGAGAACAGCCGAAGGAGGTGTGCATGACCAGACAAGGAGAGACTTGAGGTCATGTGAGATACTTGCAGCGATTATTCACGACAGGCATGATAAGAATCAAGATAGGCATATCAGTAGCCAACGAACAACTCAAGAAGAGTTTTGCTTTATCTTCTGGTTGCCATCCCCAGCAGTCGCGTGTCGTGTCTGATACCACGCTCCAGTCCGGAGTGCTTCTGTAGCGCGGCCATCACCGGGAGAATCACCACGCCCATCTAATACCTCTGTACACTTACCTCTGATCAACTCAGAGTACCTTTGAGACCTGGATATGGAGGCAAACACTAGACAATGTGACTCTCTATGGAAGGCCTTGACCATGTCAAAGTTGTGTCGTTAGATAGTCATTTACGACAGAGAAACATAGATGAGTATCGCAGAGAGGAATAGGCACTGTTTGATCACGCCTATTGCCAAGAGATAGGCGCTCAAGACTAGCACATGTTTCGAGGTGAGAAGTGGAGTCTGAGGCAGATGTTGAAAACCAAAAACAGCAGTGCCAACGCGGCAAGGCTGTCTCCCGGTGTGGGGGCCGCCATCGGGCCGGGAGTGGGCTTGTCAGCCGCTGCAAATGCCAACCTGTCGCAGCTTCCTCGAGGAGATAACATCTTCTCTGACTGATGCTTGAGCTGTGATCGCTAACATGTCGTGCTTTCAAATGATAAGATGCAACATCTATCATCCTCAGGTCCACAGAACGCGTCCATCACGCAACGGATAGACATACGGCGTTCAACGAGGGCTTAAACACAGCCCCGCCGAGACCTTGTCCCCCGCTTCCAGATTGGGGCGATAAGAGGGTTCAGCCTTGGCCAAAAATCGCTCGGACAAGAGCTCGAGTCGACGACGGACGGACAAATCGAGTACGTACCCTGACCGTCCAGTTCCTCTTGACCTGACCTTTTGACCTCTTGACCTTTGTGCTTCCTCGTCCTTTGCTGTCATCTGCATGCCTCCGTCCACTCGTTGATCGATCGGTATCTTTTGTCCAGTCGCGTGCACATCCCCCGCCTTGCATCTTCGGTACTCCACCTTTTTACAGCCCGCGGATAACGGCCCTTATCCCCATCGAACTTTTTTGGACCATCGACCTCTCTGGAAGGGTGTTGATTCAACTCTAGAGTTCTACTTGACAGTTCTTCTCTATAGACAACATGGCCCATATCTCTGCCGAGTCTGTGGTCCTGGAGACCACAGTTGCTGAGCAGTCAGCTGCCGTTTCCCCGGCTGTGCCCATCCCGGTACAAAAGGTCAAGGGCAAGAAGAGGTTCATACAAAGCCTGCAACGCATGTCTTCGTCCCCATCTCTTGCAAAGATGGGCAGGACACACTCTTCAGGATACCGAATTGGAGGAAAGGCCTCGGCTTCATGCATATCACTCTCTTCAGGAACATCTTCATATGGCTCTTACGGGAACTCGCTGGCTTCCGAACTCTCTGCTGGATACTCAACAGCCCCGAGTTCGGCCATGAACACTCCTGGTATCCCATTCCCTTCGTTCGACGACAAGGCACGCTCCCGCAACCTCAGCTCTGTGCCCATTCCCGACTTTAGGACCACCACAAGAATCACAGAAGAAGAAGACTACTTCTCCATACCCGTACAGAAGCCTGTACAGAAGCAAAGGTCTTCGTTCAACTTCTGGAAAGATCTACCATCTGAGCTGGCCATGCAAATTCTCTCCTATCTTGAGCCCAGAGAGGTTGTCAGGTGTTCGGCTGTTTCGAAACAATGGCACAACAAATGTTTTGATGGTCAGCTCTGGTCTATCCTCGATACCTCCGATTTCTATCGCGACATTCCTGCAAATGCCCTGATCAACATTGTCACTTCGGCTGGTCCGTTCGTTCGCGATCTCAATCTTAGAGGCTGTGTACAGCTTAGAGAGAAGTGGCATTCTCAAGGTCTTTCCGAAGCTTGCCGCAATCTCGAGAACTTCTCACTGGAAGGGTGCCGCATCGAGAAGACTGCAATCCATTGCTTCTTGTTGCAGAATCCCAGGCTCGTCTACATTAATCTCTCAGGCCTCGCTGCTGCTACAAACTCGGCAATGAAAGTCATTGCTGACAACTGTCCCAAGCTTGAACACCTCAACGTCTCATGGTGCAACAATGTCGATACGAGAGGGCTGAGGAAGGTGGTCGAGGCATGCCCCGACTTGAGAGATCTGCGTGCTGGCGAAGTGCATGGCTGGGACGACATCGACTTTATGCAAATCCTCTTCGAACGCAATTCACTTGAGCGGTTGATCTTGATGAATTGTGACTCGCTGAATGATGAATCGCTGACCGTCTTGATGGAAGGACAAGATAGTGAGATGGATTATCTGACCGGCAGACGTATCGTCTCAGCTCGAAAGCTCAAGCATCTTGATCTCACTCGATGCCGTGGCATTAGCCACAAAGGCTTGGAAACTTGTGTTGACAGGCTTCCGGACATGGAGGGTCTGCAGTTGAACAAGTGCCATAGCATAACTGATGACGTTCTCACATCGATGCTAAACGGCATGCCCAAGCTTACTCATCTGGATCTGGAAGAGCTTACAGAACTGTCCAATACTGTATTACAGTCACTCGCCAATGCGCCCTGTGCGAAGGCTTTGCGACACATCTCCATCTCATACTGCGAGAACCTTGGCGATGTGGGCATGCTGCCTGTACTTAAGAATTGCACAAACCTTGAGAGTCTCGACATGGACAACACGCGCGTCTCCGATCTGTCTCTTGCCGAAGCTGCCGCAATGGTGCGTGCCCGAGCGACTCGCATTACACAGCCCAAGCAGCGACCTGCCGTTGGTCTTCGCCTTGCTGCATACGATTGTCAGAATGTGACCTGGACCGGTATTCGTGAGGTACTATGGCGGAATGCAGAAGTGTTCCGTAAGATTGTGAAGCCCACACAAATAACCTCATCTGGATCAGACGAGTCCTCAGTCTCATCTGGACCTCCTCAACCACAGACAGTCCGCACGTACCCTACCGAAATCATCCAGCTCAAGTGCTTCTACAACTACCAGCCCACCGTTGAAGAGCACACCAAGCGTGTGCTGCGAGCCGACTTTGCAGCCGCCACACGTCTTGAGCGCAAATGGGCCGAGTTCATGATCGCGCAGGAGGAGGCTGGTGCCAGTGGTGCTGGTGCTCGCAGACGCCGCCGTCGTGCTCGCGAAGCTCAAATGATGCACGCAGATGAAGAGGACGGCGGTGTCAACGGCGGAGGTGCCGGTGTTGGTGGGGGACGCAGACGCAGAGCCAGAAGTGGTGGTTGTACCGTCATGTGAAGCATTACTGGATCGGTCTTTCCCTTTTGTTTGTTCTTGCCGTCATTCAAGCGTTTCATTTGGGTTTTGGGTTGGATCAAGGATGGTTGGCGTTTAGAGTTGGGATCGTGGGATCATCTTTTCCATTTTTGCATTTGCGAGCAATCGCCAGGCAAGGACCTGTGCTGGTGCTTTCTTCTCCATCATGATGGTCTTCAGAACATTTTACATTCAAGAATGCAAATCCTTTCACATACCCTGCTTTCCTATGTGACTCGTATCTCTCCCACTCTTTCTTTCTTGGTCGAATGCCTGGTCGGTAAGATATAAAAGAGTATTCTCGATGTAAAGCAGAGTCTACTCGATGAACGTAGCTTCTGATCTGCTGTCTACAGTTCTCACTCGTTCAAGATGATGATGATCAATGAACATCAGCTATAGCAGTATACATAAATCGTATCAAGTACATCTTGTCTGAAGCACGGGCTAATCGAGTTCAACTGACGAACATTGAAACGAGGAACACATGAGGAGTTTTCAAGCAAAAGGGTGTCATCAGGCAACAAACAAGAGATCTGATCGAAATCAGAATATGAGAGGAAAGAGCACTTGAACGAAAGACCCCAAGAAAACTAGGATACTGAGTATTGTCAAACTGTCAGGATGAAAGAAGATGGCGGATGGCACGAGGATGAAAAGTGCAATCGTCAAATTCGAGGAAGGAGCAAACGTAAGACAATGACAAAGAGTGACTACGCAAGATGAGGCAGGTGCAACTAGAGAATACCGGAAAGAGCGACTCGAAGAAGAAACGACCGAATGTGAAAGGGAAGTGACGATCGCATCAAGGACGAACGTCGATCTGTTGAATAGGAAGGATCAACAGAGCATCAAGAAACACAGATGTAGTTATCTCTACACTTGATAGTTTATGCATAGGCAGCAAAGACAATAAGATATTGGGTGTATCAAAAAAGAGGTATACTAAAACACAAAGAGCACCGAGGCAAGGAGTCCATCCTCGTGAATCAAGCCATTTTCTTTAGCCCTCCATGCATTGCTTTATTCCAGGCAGTTTAGATATTTGTTTCGTGCTTTCCTCCACTGTATCACATCCTTCCTGCTTTGCTTCCATAAAAGAAATGTCTGCCGTCATCATTGGTATTCGGGGATTTTCGTGTTTGCACCGAGGAAAGAGCTAAGGGAAAGAAATAAAAATATCAATGCATCCAACCTAGTGAAAGAAAAGGACAAGGGAATCATAAAAAAAATATCAAAAGGCACAAACGAAAGTAAGGGAGATAAGGAGATTGGAGGAGAGAGGCCAACACGAACGTGGTTTTCATCAATCATCCTCAGGGTCGACGTGTGTGCACCATGGGTGGTCGAGAACGGCCTGGATGCCGATACGTCTCTCGACATCACGGTCCAGCATCTTGCGAATCAGGTCGATGCAGTCCTCGCTCATGACATATGGTACTCGTAGGTCGTGGTCCATGATCTCGTCAATACTGTAGAATGGGTTCTCCTTGTACACGATAGTGTAGAGCAGAATACCGAGAGCCCACACGTCCTGCTCTTTGCCTCGGTAAGGGCTGCCGCGCAACACTTCAGGCGCCGCATAGTCGATAGTTCCGACGAACACATCAAAGGGTCCAGACTTGATGTATGCTGCACTGCCAAAGTCGACAAGCTTGACTGCACCATCGCCATCGAGGATGACATTCTCGTCCTTGATGTCTCGATGCACAACCTTGGCCTTAATATGTAGGTGGTGCAGAGCATTGGCGACCTGGACGAAGATTTTTCTGCATTCCTTCTCCTCCATGTTCACACGAAGTTCAATGTAGTCAAACAAGTCCATGCCCGGCAGACCATGCGGAATCATTTCAATGTAGTAATTGATGTCGTCTTCAAAGAAGTCGGCCATCTCGACAATGTTTGGGTGTTGCAGGTCATCTCGTCGCAAGTAGTCCAGAACGTGAATTTCCAACGGTACCGTGCCGAGACGTCGGTCCCTAGTCCATGTGTCGACCAGAATGCGTCTTTTGGTGACGTATTTGATACACATCTTTTGTGCATTGGCCTTCTTGTATCTCGCGAGTTTGACCTGGCCATATGCTCCTTGACCCATCTCCTCCAGGATGAGGAAATCAGCGATGGTCTTCTTCTTGATGACAGTTGCGCCAGCTTCAATGGCAGCGGGCGAAGGGTGTTCGAAGGGCTCACTTGTGAGCAATGGCGTGCCAGATGAAAGTGATTGAGTCGGCGAATGTTGCAGCTGCTGAGTTATGAGCGAAGGGGTGTCGGCCTTTTTATTATTCTCGCCACCCTTATCGCTGTTCGAGTCTTCGCTGTCCTGATCTGCACTGGGCGCAGGCTGACTTGGGGGAGTGACTGGTCTTGAGGCCACATTGATGACGGGACCGACGCCATGGTTGACAGCGTGTAGTTGTCTCGAATATGTAATCCACAAAGCATAGACAACTTCAGATGCAGGCAACGAGTCAGGGTCTATGCGGTTGTGTTCCGGGATGCTGTCAAAGCTGTGGCGGTCACTCTTCACAACACGCATCTGAACATCAATCATAATGTCAGAACCGTCTCTATGTTTGGCAGGTAGGCCACTGGGCTTGAGGAAAATGGAGGCGGCATCTGCACGGCCTTCGCGGAGAGCAAGAAGGGCGCGAGCTTTTCTGAAACTGTGCTCTGGAATGACAAGACCATCAACCAAACGAATCTTGTCCTCATCGGTCAGTAGGTGAAGTATGCTATCGAAGTATGGTATCAGCTCAGTGATAGGGAGGCCATCGGGGCTGTCGTGGCCAAAGAGAGAAGCGGAGAAGACGTTGTTCGAGCTGGCAATCTTTAACGTGTCCGGGTTGAGAACAAGAATGCCAGCGATATGAGGGAAGCTAGAGATGCGGAGAGTCGGTTGGCCAGAGAGTTGATCGACGGTGACAGGAACACTGATGCTGTTTGCGGTGCGAGCAGTGTAACGGCGTAGCGAGGCAATTTGATCGAAATCCAGCATACCAGTATTTGTGCCTGCCAATTTTGGTAGTTCAGGGACCAGTTTCCTAATATCTGTGCCTCTGCGCACTCTTTCAAGACCCCAGATGGCATCCAAGGCGCCGGCACCCTTCTCGATGCAGCCAATCTCGTCCACAGTGATATACGCGACATCCTCGGCAATCTCTTCAAGCACCCAGATCAGGCCGCTCTGTTTCTCTTTGACCCAAAGACTGGCCGAACCGATATCACCGTTGCGCTTCTGAATGGGGACGACATCTCCACACAAGAGCACACCACGTGATTTCTGCGATGGATTAGAGACAGCACGACGAGTGGTCGAAGCCGAGTCGATGCCATTGACTGTTTTGGAACGCCTGCTCTGATAAGTTTGGCGTGCAGGAGGTTTGCTCAGGAGCTTGGCAGTCACACCGCTACCTTTTGCCAGAGCTGATGATGAAGGGCTGTGGTTGGGAGACTTGTTGTTCTGGTTGTAGAGATCTGAATCGGGATGTCTCAATTTATTCTCGAGCCACTTGCGACGCTCTGGACGGATGACCTCCATGATACCCATTTTACGCACCTCGGCGCGTGTAACGCCAAAAACCAGGCATGCCAGATCGTTCGCAGCTGTGATGGTCCAAGGAGCGCGAGCATCCGTAGTGAAAATGGCCTGGGCGGCAGCAGATTGTCTGCCATGACCGTGACCGTGGCCATGAGAAGCGGAACCAGCGACGGGTAGCGAAGTTGTCGATTTGGACGTGTGCAGTGCTGAGGGCACATGGCTGGGAGTGAGAGCCTCTGCACGGCGAGGCACATCGGCAGCGTGATACGGCTTTGCTAGAGCATCTGCGAGACGGTGTTGCAGACTCAGGCCGCTCGTATCCGTGTAGGTACGCTTCAACGAGATGCGCTTCGGCTCGGGGTGTAGTGAATCCCTCTCTTCCGACGATTTGCCCGATTTGAAGGACTTTGGCGATGTGGGCGACATGACCAGTCCGTCTTCAAAGTCCTTTGGGCTCTCGCTCAAAGGAGCAAAGCTCTTTTCAAAGATGTTGTCAGCCGACGGATCGGCGGGACCGCTCAGAGGAGCTCCTATGATGCCCAGACCCGGTGCTTGCAATGAGTTGTTGTCGGGACCTAGCAAGTTTGCACGCTGGAGCAATTCCATCATGCTCTGGGCTTCTTGGTCTCCGGTGATTTTTGCTTGGGCGTTCAGGATGGCGGGATTTGCAGCGCCCCACCCCGGCCTGTCTTTGAGAAAGTCCACCGACCTCTTAAGTATCATCTGGCGGTTATGTAGCGATGTCTCGGACTGGTGGGCGAAAGAGAAGGAATGTAACGACTCGGATGGGAATCTACTGAGGTCCTCGCCAAAGGGCAGGGTCGGTGATGAAGGGCCCGAGGGCAACGAGGCGGGCAATGGCTGCGAGGGTAGATTCAGGTTCAGCGAGGGCGAGCGCGATGTCTGCAGTTGGGGAGAGGTGGGTTGACGAGCGTGGGATTGCCTGATACGACGCAGGCCACTTTCACGTTCCGGCAGGGTCGGTGACCTTTGCTGAAGGTTAGCGCGTGCATGGCGACCATGTGGCTATACAGAGTCCTGACCTGGTCATGCTGCGCAGGTCGGCAGTCTCGAGGGCCGCTGCATCGAACGACATTCTCGGGCGCTGTGTTTCGGCTGACATGGAACCGCGCGCTGGCATGGACAAGAGACTACCTGTACTCTGGATACGCGACAAGATGCGGAGCTCTTCATCATGCTGGACGGGCGATGGTTGGAAGCCTTCGGCGCGGTCAGATGGCGCATCTGAGAGTTTTGATCCGATAGACTTGCCATTATTATTGCATACCGGCGAACTCATGCTCGAGCCGCCACAGGCTCAAGACTCCAGGATATACAAGGAGTAACGAGAAACGAGACTGACAAGAGTCAGAAGCACAATTCGCTCGTCGGCACTCGTCGAAGAATCAGCGGAGCGTCAACAACAGAGACCAATGTGACCTGCGGCTGCGGGCTCGTGCTTGCAGGTAGGCCACAAAGTGGCTGCGGTCCAGAGTCGAAATCTCGGATGAATCGATGCGCAACAAAGCTTCCTAGCCTGAAAACACTTCCGCAATGAAATCAACGATGATGCGTGCTCAACAAGGCCTGTCAAAAGGAACGAAGAAGGTGTGATATGCCCGTGTACGTCAACGAGTCGCTACTTGTCAAAGTCCATGATACAAACCCTCTTTTCCCCTTTCATGTGGGGGTTCTCTTTCCAAAATGCCCAGATGCAAACGTTCCGAGGGTTCAAACGCTTTCAAAACAAGCCGTTGATCACCACGCGCCCTCTGTCTCATATCTTTGACCACAGTTGCTTACACGTACATCACTGCTTGGCCAGCTTCTGCCTCTTAGGCGACTATCCAATCTGCCTTCCAGGTCGCTTGCGTACCGCTAACATGCATCTATCGGCCGAAGAATTTCATGCAAACCGAGGGTTGCAGATGTGACATCTACCGGCATCCACCTAAAGTCATGACAAATTGACCACCATCCATTCGTACAGTAGGTTAGATGACGAGCAGCATATCATAAACCGCCGGCATCCCATTCGTACATCTCAGTGATTGAAACATATTTATTTATCAAAGCTGTGGGAAGTCACGATTGTGATACAGCTTCGTTGCGTGTACGGGTATCTTCACGTTAAACTCTTGCCAAAAGCAATCCCCGAGGTGCAACGACGTCGGCCGCATTACCCGCATTTGCTTCTTTCCTTCCTTATTCCATGCAACCTCAGACCGTCATCACCTATTAGCTCTTGCGCCGGGCACATATTTGTCGACCGACTGTTCCGCCTCTCGTCAGCAATCATTCAGTTTTCATTTTCTCGACAATGACACTCACCGCTTTCAAGATGTTGATACCCCGCCTGGTCCTGATATAGACATCTCTGTACATGTCCAAGCTCTCATGGATCACGTCGCCTTTAGTTGTAGTACCAGCGCATATCGCTCTCATCTTGTTTTCCATCTATCCCGCCATCAGTGATAGTCCCTGCTTGATTGATGGTGAACTTACCTCTTTTCTGAGAAATGGCTTGCTCAGATTCATCTCGAATCCCATGTCCTCGTAGCCTTTGACGAGGGCTACTCCGAGTGTAGTTGGAATGAACTCTTGTACACCACCTTGTTGACCTCCACCGCGTCCGCCTGCTCCACCGCCTCGACCGCCCCGTGCGCCGCGTCCTCTGCCTCGACCTCGACCTCGTCCTCTGCCTCCGCCTCTTTCATCGTCTGATTCGACGGCCGGTGCTTCGCCTTCCTCTCTTTCATCTCCTTCTTCGGCGGGCGCTCTCTGCGCTTTTGGTCGGGTCATCACATACTCACGTTCTTTGATTTTGGCGATGTGCTCGGCCATTGTTGCGTCAGTACCAATGCCGTTTGCATCCATGAGTGCGATAAGATCCGGCTCGGTAAGGAATCCAGGTGGGCTAGTCTTTCCTTCTGTCATCCTGGCCTCGGTTGGCTCGAATGTTTCTCCGACCTGGAATTGAGGCAGTTGCTGCGTGCTGGTCCATTTATCGTAAGGGTAAACATCCAAGTAATTCCTCGCGAGCACTGATAGTCCTGAGGCGTTGAAGATCTCGGACCCGTAGAGGATACTAACCTCGTCACGAGAACCTTTGGCATCCTCACTACAGCAAGCAAGGAATCGTCTGACCACGAACTCGTAAACTTTGCGTTCGTCCTGTCCGCCGAGTGCGGAAGGAAGAACGAAATTGACTGGATGAATTGGAGGATGCGCCTTATCGTTGTTGCGTCCCTGCCTTGGCTGGTTGAATCCTCCGTTCACAAGACTGCAAATCGTCAGTACGCGTTTGACTAGTTGGGCATGAGAATGATACTTCTGAGCAAATGGTCCCCAGATGGGCGATTGTGTTTGCTTTTGAACTAGAGCTCGCAGGTCCATGCCTTTGTCAAATTGATCTGTCTCGGTTCTTGGGTAGCTGATCCACCCTTTAGTGTAAAGATCTTCCGCAATCTTCATGACTCTTTGACTGTCCATTCGTAAGAACCTGCTACCCATTTTCTGCAGCTCAACAGTTGTGAGTGGTAAAGGCTTCCACTTGCTAGCGGGCTTGGTCTGTACTTTGATGACTTTGGCGTATTTGGCCGTCAAGCATCGCTCGAATAGAATGATTACAGCCATTCGATCAAAGAGGTTGATACGAGACCATCTGAAATTGACGGTGATGTCTTCTTTGATGTGCGTGACTTTGATAGCCCAGTAAGGCTCTGGGACGAAGTTCTTGACCATAAAATACCGGTCGACTACAAAGCCGAGTGTAGGAAATTGACAGCTGCCGTAGCTGATAACTTTCCTCTCATCTTGCGCAAAAACGCCGCGACCCTTGAGGTATTCGACGATTTCAATTGTCTGCCAGCGTGTGAAACTGGCACCGATACGAAGATCAAGCTCAATTCTTGCAGCAACGGCATTGGCTTGGTTTTCGTCCAACGGGATGGGATTACGAGCAGCCTGCAGGATGTGGGCCCTTTCGATATTGGAGAACCTGGCACGTACGATCTTTCCAGGCTGTCGCAACCGAGCATTGGTACTCAGAGCGACATCTCTGATTTCACTGCCGATGTGTTCGCCTTCGCGGTCGCAATCGGTCCAGATGAACAATATGGATACACCTCGGGCTTGTGTCTCGATGTTCGCAGCAATACCTTTCCTTTCTTCATCAACGTATGTTACGATAGGCGCGTCAAAGAGATGCTCTGGATCGCAAGACTTCCATGGTCGGAAATTCGGTGTAAAGTCTGTACTCTGAAGATGGCCAGCCACACTTGTCATGACAACTTCGCAAGGGCCCCACGTAGGGAAGTTGTATGAGAAGTTGTAGTTTTTGAGCCATGGCGTGCGAGTATTGGACTGTGAATCAGGTCAGTAAGTTGAATAGATATAGTGGCGGAATGCGGGAAGGCATACAACTCGATGTGAGCCACCAGAGAGATGCCCAGCCACAGCTCTAGCGATTGAAGGCTTTTCTGCCACACAGAGGACTTTGGTCACCATCTCTGTGGGCACTCGTGACTTAATCAGACCATGGTGTTGTAGATGATCGAGTCCTCAAGTCCCAGGCAAAAGTTGAGACGCGTGGAGAAGGCGGAAGACGCGCCGCTGCCTGATCGGGAAAAGATGACTTGCGGCACGGTCCGCTCGCTGGACCCTCTCTTCTGCTTGGCGATGACGACTTGATGTGTTCGCAGATCGCGGTTTCCTTGTCTGTTGCTTTCGAGCTTCCCACGCGTGTTGAATCCACGTTTCTACCATTCACACAGCAGATTGACCCTCACAACGACAAGATGCTGCTTCCTCCACCAGTCGGTTCGGCGCTGCCTATCGTCAAAACGCTCGCAGATTGCGTAGACTTCAGCAAGACAGTGACGCCCTTTGTCGACCAGCTCATCGCGCTTCCCTCGCAGCTCGTTCAGGCAGGCGCAGACACAGAAGCCCTCAAGCATCTGTACTTGTCCACCAACCCTCTGATCTCAGGTTTCGCATTTGCTCTGGCCATTACACCCATCTTCTTGATCGTGTCTGAGATCAACAAGAACTACTCGCAAGTCGATCGCTGCTGGAGTCTGTTGCCTACTGTCTACAACCTCCACTACGATGTTTGGGCCCGCCTCAACGGTCTACCTACGCAGAGACTCGACAATGTCCTGGCTTTCAGTGTCTGTTGGTCTATCCGTCTAACCTTCAACTACTGGCGCAGAGGTGGCTATAGCATTGGCTCGGAAGATTATCGATGGGAGACAGTCCGCAGCTGGGTCAATCGTCCACTCTTCTTCATCTTCAACATCCTCTTCATTTGCATTGCCCAGAGCGTTTTGCTCTTCACTGTCACCACTCCCACCTACGTCCTGATGCTCGCATCTCGCGTCTCCGGCCAGAACATGAACACTACCGATATCATCTTCGCCCGCGTTCTCATGGCCCTTGTTCTGCTCGAGTTTTTCGCCGACGGATCGCAATGGAACTTCCACAAGGCCAAGCACGCTTACCAAAAGACGGCAAAGGTCCCCGCTGGTTGGACACGCGAGGACCTCGAGCCAGGCTTCAACACTACTGGTCTATTCCGCTATTCTAGGCACCCCAACTTCCTTGGCGAGCAGCTCATCTGGGTCACTTTGTACCAATGGGGTTGTGTCGAGACATCGTCTCTCTACAACTGGACTGGTGTCGGCGCCATGTCTTATCTGATCCTCTTCCAGTCCAGCACTTGGCTCACCGAGAAGTTGAGCGCCGAGAAATATCCCGAATACAAGATCTACCAGCAAAGAGTAGGAAAGTTCCTGCCCAAGCTGACTGGTCCTGGCTGGGGTGAATACTTGGAGGCACAGAAGAAGGCTGCTAAGAAGAAGTAAAAACAATCCTCAAACAGCGAGATGGCTGAAATGTAGAGACATTCGTGTACCGAGACCAAGGCACTATACATAGCCTTGGCTGTCAATCTTTCATACACAACACCTTACGAGTTGAAGCAAAATGAAAAGACATGATTCCAATTCTAACCATCGTCATATCTACTTCCTATTTGCCCTTGACACCTTCTTGGGCCTCGGCCTTTGCCTTCTCTTTCTCCCTTCCTGCCTTCTTTTCCTCTTCCAACGCGCCGAGATCAAACTCCTCCTCGACAGGGTCTTGCTCAAAAAGGACCTCCTTCTTGACCTGCTTCTTCCTGTCTTTTCCTCTCTTGCTGTCTTTCTTTTTCTCCGGGCTCCCTGCCCTAGCGTCATCCTCGTCTCCAAACAAGAAACCTTTGCTTCGGCGCCGTATATCCGATGGTGCTAGCGCTTTTGCTTGAGCAAAATTACTTGCGCTGGTCTCTGGAGATTGTCCAAGCATCCAGGAGAATGATGACTGTGCTAACGTTGGCCTTGGTGTATGGAAGTCGAGTGGAATGTCGGTTGTCTTTGTCGCATTCGCTCGCGCAGCATCTTTGTGCTGCTGCGTTGGCTCAACATGGTCCTTGGGTTGTTCTTCAACCGCATTTGCATCTGCTGGCTCTTCCGCTTCTTGAACGGCAGGCTTGTTGTCGATGTGTGCACTTGTCGGCTCCTTGATCTGCGGCTGAACTTCTTTGACCTCGATAGCGTCTTCCTTGCCCGCTTCGATGGCCTCCTCTTCTGCAGATAGTGGCACCGTCGCATCATCAAGATATACTTGGATGAACTGAACTTTCGCGATTGCCATACTCAGCCCATTCAGCGACTCTTCCTCTCCGGCCTTGCCTCCAATAGCAGTCTCGTGGTATGCCCATAGATCATCGATAGCTTTCTTCAGCATTTTAGACAACGCTGTGTTGCGTTGCTCGAGCATTGCGAGTTGCAAGCTTGGATTTGTTGATCTGTCCGACGTACCGCTCTGCCTTGACAGTCCTCGTGTATGTCTTGGTGGCGCTTGAGGAGTCTGTACTGCTTGTATCTCTCGCACGCCCTTTCGCACTTCGTCCATGGCGTCCCGGAAAGCCTTGTTAATGCCCCACTTCTCGCCTCTTTGTAGGACGCCCTTTGCAGCACCTTGGAGTATGTCTTCAAAGTTGCTCGATGCTCGGCCAGGCATTTGCATTCGCAACTTTCCTGGCATCGATGGTTGTAATGTGCTGGTAGGGGTTTCGGTTGGTTGTGGCAAGGGTCGACCTGAGTATTTCTCGACCAGGGTACTTGCACCTTCGTGGTTGAAGTTGTTTCTCAGGTAGACCGCATTCGTTACAAATTCTTGAGGAGTCTTTCCATCTTCCAAAGCGGGATATCTCAGCAAAGTTGTGAGTGCTGTGTTGTAGTCGGCGTCCATCACTACACTCTGTTAGCATCCAACCATTTCGAAATTAGTAATCCATGTTTGCTCACAGTCCCAATGCAATCTCAAAAGCATGTTCAAACAAACGAGATCAACAATCTCGAGACTTGGATCATCTGCAAAGATGGCATCCCACATGCTCAAGACGTCGTCGAACCCAAATTCTCGGCCAAACAGTAGTCGGATCCAGCGCCTGGAACATGTCAGTCAAGCTCTTATGTGCAACTCCGAATTTTGGCCTACATAAGGAAAACCTGAGGGATGAGATCGATCTCCTGTAGATGCTGTGCAAGTGTTGGATCTACATGGGGCAGATACTCGTCAAAGATCCTGTGTATCCGAGTAAGGATTGGATTCTCCAGTGTTGCTGCGGGCTTTGTGGGACCTGCTGTTAGCTTTGAGGGTGCCTTGTGCGCTGCTTGCTCGTAGAACGACTTCGCTCCCTGCATGACTATACCAAATAGGGTGAATGTATCATGCTCAACAAAATCCGAGTCAAAGACATGACACAACATCTTGTCCTCCGAGCCCGAGTCATCCGTAGCCTTGCCAGATACTGCATCTTTCTCCACGACCCAGAGGATAGGAGCTAGCAGCTCATGCATACCCTGTCTATATCCTACATCAGGATTCAACTTGCAGAACACAAACAACACATCCAGCAGCATGACCTGTGTTTGTGGTTGTCGGAAGTATATGTTATCGGGCATGCATCGGTCGACATCTTGCATGATCTCGGCACGTAATGCTTCATCTTGTCGTAGAACGGCCCAGGGAGACTTTTAAGACTTAGCTATCAGTGAGATGGGAAATTTATCATTCTTGATTATGATAGAATTTACCTCCGAATCTTCGCTCAATGGATCTAGGTTAGATCCCAGCACTTCTTCGGGATGTTCAAGCCCTCGCAGTAGATGCGAGCGTACTGAGGCATATGCTGAGCGTGAGTCTGCTGATCGTTGTATCCATTGTGAGTGGTCGAGTCCTTCGAATAGGAGAAAGATCTATTTGAGACATGAGTACAAGGCACATCGGAACACGTAATGATTCTGACCTTCCAGAGGAGTGATCTAGATTTCGTGACCGAATCGGGCTCATTCTCGTTGCGAATGGCTTCCTTGAGATCGGCAAGTGATTCGAATTTCTGCAAAGTCTGCCACGGCACCCTTGCTTCATCGAGAGAACGCATAATTAAGAGCAGTCTTCTTCGAAAGACCCTGGTATCGTTGTTTACAGATGTAGATACCAAGTCGGGCATGACCGTTGAAGGTCGGCCGACGTCACAAGCAAACAAAGCAAACATTCGATATACAGAAATGCCGAGCAACCACGAGGCACTCCCGAATGTTCCGTAAAGAACATCAGAACAATATTCTTACAACTCTGGAAAGAACGACTGGACGAGTAAAAACAGTTTGATGGCCTTGCCAATCAAGACATACTGAGACAACCTGCAATGTCGCAAGACCTCTTGGCCGAATTTGGTGATTTCACCCTGAAGGATAATAGCTCTGGAAACCAAAACTATACCCCGACTCAAACACAATCCTCATTCTCGCAAGCGAATTACGGCTTGAATACCTATGCAGGATCAGTACAGCCAGAAGATCAAGGCGTTAGTCCTCGGGACGATGACGACGACGACGAATTTGGTGATTTTGAAGAATCGGAGCCAGCACCACAGCAAAGGATCCAGGCAACAACAAAAGAGGCTCCTGTACAGCCTGCGAAAGAGGTCCAACCCACGCCAAAGCCTGTATCTAAACCTGCACCTCAACCACTGCCTCAACCTGTGAAGAAATCTTCTGGTCCGCCGGTCATTTTGAAGAAAGCAGCCAAAGCCAGCCAATTACCAAGCAATCACCCCTTTGCCGGACACGCAGACATCCTCTTTGATGCAGACGAATACGATGAGTTCGAAGACGCAGATGTCGTAGGCTCATGGGGTGGTGAAGAAGACGATGAAGATGATTTCGGAGATTTTGAAACGAGTGAGACGCCGGCCGTCAGCAGCGGCACCCCCAAACCTACGGCTCCACCAGCTCAGCCGAGGACGGTCAAGCCATCGGCACCAGCGGCATCAATGGGAGCTGTGGATCTTCTAGGCCTCGATGATCCACCGGAAACAATGAATAGGGCACACCAACCACCACCTCCATCTAGGGCACCGAAGAAGACTGTCTCGGCGCCTAAGGCCGCAACCACGCGTCCTACAAATGCACCTCGTCAGCAATCCATGCTATCCAACGACGATGCCTGGGACGATTTTGAGATCTCTCAGCCTACACAACCTGCTGCATCACAGAAAGCAGCAGCAGAAGCACAATTACAAATCCAACTCCCAAAGGACATCCTAGGTGATCTTACCGCACTCCCCTCAACCACCGGCGTCGCACCCTCCAACATCCCACCACCCTCAGTCCTTCTAACCATCTTCCCACCCGTGCTGACCTCCCTCTCCCACCAATTCCTCCAACCTCTCAGTGCCCTCTCATCCTCCCAAAAATCCCTCTTCCTCTCAAATCAAGAAACAAAATCATTCTTGGCATCCTATGTAACTCTCACCCATGTCGTCGGCCACGTAATAGCCGGCCGCAAGTCCCGCTGGAAGCGCGACAAACATCTCGCCCAAAGCATGCGCATCGGACCAGCAATGTCCGGCCGCAGCGGCGGTATGAAGTTGACCGGTCTCGACAAATCCGAATCCGGCCGTGAAGACACAGAAGTCGAGGTCGTACTTGCCGTATGGCGTGAACAAGTTGGACGATTGAAGACAGCAGTCACAGGAGCTTCTGTTCATGGCAGTAAACTCACCGTGCCTGAATTGGGGGATGTGCTTCCTGTACGTGTGGCCAAGGGCAGTGAGGGTGCTATTACGAGTACACAGGCATGTGCACTCTGTGGATTGAAGAGAGAAGAGAGAGTGGCCAAGGTGGACGTGGCAGTCGAGGACAGTTTCGGCGAGTTCTGGGTGGAAGGAACGAATATGCATCGTGCATGTCTGAAGTTCTGGGAGGTGTTCAAAGGACGTCTGATGTCGAGATAGTTGGTTGGCATCTGGAACAAACAGAACAAAAGTAGACATAGAGCAATGGTATTGGCCAGCGAGTAATTGAATAGCAGTAACTATATCAAGCCATGTGGCCCTAGCTCTCGATGGCGAATGCTGAGGTGGCCTAAATTATCACACTTCTCTTGACGAGCCTGCTAAATATAATGATCTCAGCCACGTCACACGCACACGAAGACTCCGTAAAATCTAGAAAAGGACCGACAAGATGCAAAAGTGGACGTGAATTGAATTTCTTTCCGGTCATGGCTCATTCATGACCGCTATACAGACATTACATAAAAGTATCTTCGTGTGGGCAAGTTTTACAATTGTAAAAGTGTAAGCTGGGAAGTACAAAAAAGGGGTATCGGGCTTCCAAAAACAAAGATGGAGGTTGAAGAAGTGAAGTAGAAGAGAAGGGAAAAACCAAAAATTTGTGCGCAAAAGAGAGAGGGAGAGTTTCAAACTCCATCCCCATAATGAACCGGCAAGAAGGAAAAATACACAATTTTGATCGAGGGTGATTGTTGACTATGCAACATCAGACCTCTTCGGTAAACCTGCTCCCCCTGCTTCCATCGAAGCTTGCTAGCGTGGCGGGAGTTACGCTTCTGTTGGCCGGATTGAAATGTGTCATGAGAGGAGCATTTTGGCCAGGTTCGGGCGTCAGCGTGTTCCTTTGGATAGGGAATGTGGGACTAGTAGGCGAAGTGTTCTCTGACAGTGCGCTCGTCGGGCTCATAGCATACGGAGGGTGCACTCTGGCTTGTCGGGCTGGTCCAGGCATGATAACCTCGTTCGCGCCTAGTTCGTTGTTTGGGTCGTCAAAAGGCGAGCCGCCAGCGCCGTAGTAGGTGCTGTCGCGATAGACCGAGGTAGTGCTCATGTTCCGATCGTTGTCGAAAGCAGACGGCATAAGCATAGGTGGAGCAGAAGTCATGCCGGCTGAGAAAGCACTAGGTAGCTTGCGGCCACTGATGCGTTGGAAGCCTCGTTCTCCTGTGTCGTCCACGGCTCGGGATTTTCTATTTTTGAAGACCCCTCCCAAAAGTGGCGCTAATACGGGGGCTGTTCTGCCGCGCTCGGACATTCCCCCAGCGCCACCAGTTCCTGCAGCTTCGGCGCCGGTCAACGCGCCCATGCTTGCTGCACGCTTTCGATACCAGCGCAGGAAGATCATGGCAGTCAAAACCAAAACGGCAAGTCCGGCAACGCCGCCGACGATACCGCCTGCAAGCACTGAAGGAGGCGGGGTATTGTCACTGTTGTCGCTGGATGCTGCAGTGCTGCTCGCCGAGCTAGGAGCGGTAGCTGTTGCAGAGCCACCGAGGAAACTTGCATTGGAGCTTTGTGCAGCGCTGGAAGTGGCAGATGGGAAGGAGCTGTCTGCCGATGATGACCCGTTGAGATCAGAGGTTGCGGATGCAGAAGCAGACAAGGCTTCTGAGGATACACGCGATGCAGCGCTGCTCAAGGCGCTGCTAGCAGATCTGAGGACTGAGGAGGCGGAGCTTTGAAGAACAACGGCTTCCGAGGAGTAAGAACTTCTGGCGGAGCCTGTTGCAGTTGACGCGGCCGCGATGAGTGAGCTCAGACGAGAGCTTACGTCGGCGTTCTGTGATGACAAAGCTATGGAGGCCGAGGAAACACCAGCACTGCCACTCAGAGCAGCATAAGCCGAGACAGACGACGACGCTGGTTGGAAAGAGCCATACGACGTGGTTGTCTGGCCGTTGGAGAGCGTGGTGGCGAAGGCCTGCGCAACAAGGGCAGCAGTAGAACGAGATCCATCAGACAGTGTCTCGACTGTAGAGGAAGATGCGGTGAAAAAGCCTAATACAGCAGCAAGAGGAGTGGAGCTAGTCGATGCAGATCGATCGGCAGATGAAGCAGTGCTCGCAGTGTTTGACGATGAAGAGCTGGCACTGTTGCGCTGGAAAGTGGTAAATGAGGTGTAGGTGGTGGAGGAACTTGAAATGATTGATGCAGATGTGGTCAAGTTGCTGGCAAAAGATGGCGATGATGAAGTTGATAGTGAGGTGGTGGCAGAATTATATCCGGATAGAGCAGCGCTGCCGGAAGCCGATGTCAACGAGGAGCTTGTTGGAGTGATGGTCGAATTTGAGCCAGTAGGAAATATGGTACTGGCGAGGGGCACGCCAGACGATGTGTAGGAAATGATTGACGCAGTGATGGCGCCGCTTATCGAGCCTACCGATGTAGACACGGGATCTACGACGGCCACAGTAGAGCCGTTTGCAAGCACTGAGCTGACCATGTAGCTTGACTCATAAGTAGACAAGCCGGCCGAGTTTGACGCAGTGGCAGAAACAGGATCAACCGTTGTAAGCGAACCAGACAAGCTCAAGGTTGCATTTGCATCGCCAAGTGTGTTTGTTGCTTGTGACGAAATGTCGGAGATGACAGAGGAGATGACCGAAGTGGCAGGCGCGGTTCCGACTACACCAGGCAAGGATATACCAGAAGCAACGCTAGATGGGATGGCTGAAGTGACAGTGTTGACAGCAGATGCGTAGGAAGCGAGTGATGCGTCGGATAGGGTTGGGGTATCCGGTGTGCCAGAGGGAATTGTCGTGGCAGCAGTTCCGATTGCGCCTGAAAGAGATATGCCTGGTGGTACAGTAGTCGTAGCGGCCGATGATGTTATGTCTGCGGTGGACGATGTCGTGGCTGTAGCAGACAAGTCCGACGCGTCCGAAGGTATTGTTGATTCAGCAATGGAAGTTGAGCTAGCCAGATCGGCTGTATCAGAAGTCGCGATTGTGGCAGCAGCCGAAGTTGCGGTACCAGGACCAGAATATCCGGCTAGAGGAATGGTCGCTGCAGCCGAGGTCGTGGTAGGCGATTCGTCCGTTGACGAATTGGTCAAGGAAGCATCTGAGTCCGATGTGCTAAGTGATGCGTCAGTTGATGAGACAGCCAACGAAGGGTCGGCGTCGGTCGAGGTAGGCGAGGCGTCTGTTGTCGAGGCTGTCGAGGAAGCGGCCAAATCGGTCGCAGTTGGCGATGTGTCTGTATTTGAGACGGCAGCGGAAGGTTCCAGGTCTGTCGAGGTACTGCTGGCAGCCACAATGGATGGCGAGATGCCGGCGACGGTCGAGGAGTATTCGGACAGAATTGATGGAGTTTCCGGAATGGAGGACGAAGCGACGGCGGTGGCAGTGTCGAGAGAGGTCGTGGGAGCGACAGTAGCAGAGTCGAGAGAAGTTGCAGGAACAGAGGATCCGGCGTCAGTTAGCAAAGTGGATGAAGACAGTGAAGACGTTGTTGATTCGACGGTGCCGTTGAGCGGCGTTTGGCGTTTGTGTAGCCGTTGGTGCAACTCGTCGGCGTGTTGAACACCACTCCGGCTAGGGCTATGGTTGCGTATGTGAACATGGACTTCTTCAACGCGTTTGACGGGATGAATGTCCTGCAGGCCGTGGGAGAAGGCAGTCGGCGACGGGGTGGCTACGCTGCCAGCCGGCGTGGACAATTTGCGCCGTTTGAAGAGGCGCTCCATGGTTTCGCGCGGTTATCGATACAGGAAATGAGAATAGCGAATGCTCTTGACAGGGAACGACAGTAGTGGTAGAGCTCGGTCCAGACTGGGCTGTACGAATAGAGGGCGGCTACTATCAAAGAGCCGGACTAGGTAGTCAGATGTCGAATGCGCCGGGTCGAGGGAAGACTATGTACGTGGACAGGCTCCGGATGCAAAAAGGCGTCTGCCTTTGGATGGCTGGAGTGCTGGGAAACGAATGGACGCCGGTAATCAAACCAGCAAACTGCCTCTGAAAGTTCATGTCAGTACGCGCCTCGGCAAGGCCTGGAAAGCAAGATGAGAAGATGAGATCGAGGGCGTCTTACAGTGTGCTTGGTGCTTGGCGCAAGCTCAGAATACCATCAGACTTTGATCTGTATGTGTATCTGCTGCGTCTTGGAGAGTGGAAGAATGGCCCACACGCCGATGATAATCTTTCGCGTCGTCTACGAGTACTCTAATTTACTGCCTATGTAATGACGACCAGAGAGACCACGCCGCCGAGCGGGGTCAGTCACCAGCCAGCAGTCAGGTCGTTGGGGAAACAGGAAAGAGCACGATTGTGTGCGAGCAAATGCCCAGGGTCGACTCGAGAGAGGGAGCGGTTGAGTTGGGCAGAAACGTGGTGAACAAAAAACAACAGCAGCGACGACGTCCGACTTGAAAGTCTCCGACGACAGACAAAAGCGAAGAAGCGGCCCACGAGACCCTTTGGCTCTAAAACGGTCCCGCCGGCCAAACATGGACCACCACCTATCCAACCCAAATCTCCGCTGCCCTGGCCCAATACTCCATCATTGGTTGCGACATGGGTCGTCTGCTAGGGTTGCGCAAGCCAGCGAGATTGCTTCACGCTTGCTCAATGCTCGTTCGCGTCTTTTTCATCTTCCACCATGTCGTCGCCCGCCGCAGCAGCTTCTTTTGTCTTCGTCGCCTGCGTACGCATGCCCACGGCTCGATCGCCTGCTCCCATGATCTATCACTATCCCTGCAGGTACTGCCGCAAGTCATGGCTGTTTTCCACTTCATTTGCTCCACTTGATTCTTTCTCTGTGGCCTAGCCGATATGCGTGCTCCCGTCTGACGTCGACTCCCCGCCTAGAAGTCCAACAGAGCCCTGCATCTGTAAGGGAGTCCTCGTAGTTCTCGTTTCAAGTTTCCACTACCTGACACGCAAGGAGATGTTGCTTATTATGGCATCATCGCGTGCGCACAATAGACCCCTCACGCAAGGCACTTCCTCTGCATCAAAACGTGCCACTTCACCTCTGCTGTATAGTCTGTGCTACATCTCGTATCCTCTCGATTCAAGATCGATCCCATACGGCTGGTGTCAATATTTGAAAATTGCCGAGGAACTCTAACGCCTATCTATCTGTATCTAATTCCGGAAAATAAATCCGTTGAACCTGGAAAACGACGCTAAAGGTTCAAGCTCAAGCTCCCGCTCCGCTCGACGTCACGTCCTCACCGCCCGTGATACCATCTTCAAACAACACCTCCTGAGAGCCGCATCTACCCTGTGACTATACCAAGCCTACACCAAGACTAGTTGCATGTTTGACATCTGGACCTGCCAAGCGTAGTACACTCTCACACGGCATGTCAAAAGAAAGCAGCCATCAGAGATCTGGTGGACCTCCACCACTGCCTCCTCGGCAGGCGTCAGGTGCAAATCATCTGCTATCAGATGATTTTGAAGAAGACGATTTACCACCGCCTTCCTACGAGTCTGTCGCGTTTGAATCATACGGAGATGGCTATCCCTCTCTTGCTCAGAACGATCCGCGATCGAGGTCGACTCAGTCGTTGGTTCCCTCGCCGTCAGACGAACAAGGTGATAGAAGGAAGCTGCTCTTGATATTCATACATGGATTCATGGGAAACGAAACCAGTTTTCAAAGCTTCCCTGCTCACGTACATAGTCTTGTAGCTGCTTTGTTGTCAGAAACGCATACTGTTCACACAAAGATCTATCCGAGGTACAGGTCAAAAAAGAAGATCGACTTTGCACGAGACGACTTCAGCCGCTGGTAAGATAGAAGTTATGACATGTTCCGAATGATGCTGACAGATTCTCAGGCTGAGACCGCATGAAGGACCAACCACTGATGTGATCTTATTGGGCCACAGTATGGGTGGCTTGCTTTGCGCCGAGGTGGCATTGATACCATCCCTCGCAGATGGATCTCTACGCCATCGTCTTATCGGCACCGTCAACTTCGACGTCCCTTTTCTGGGTATGCATCCAAGAGTGGTCAAGGTCGGTCTAGCCAGTGTTTTCAGCCCGGCCCCTGGAGCCTCCAAGTCGCCACAAAACGATGATCACACTCCTTCTGCTACCGATTCCCAGAATGGTGGAGGTTATTTCGACGACAGACCCTCCCACAGCACTTCCACATCAAGCCTAAAAGCATCTTCCAGTCCGTTTTCTCCATCTCAACTCGACCCCAACTACAATCCAGCCTTTAAGAATGATGTGGTCCTTCCGGTCAGAAAAGGGTGGGAGGGAGCATGGTACTTCATTAACAAACACTCCAGCGACTTGCGGTCAGCCACTAAGCAATTGGTCAAGTCACACCTTGAGTTTGGTGGTGCCATGGCAGATTATAGCGGTCTCAAACTGCGCTATACTCGTATCAGAGGATTGGAGGCACCAAGCACATATACCAGGAAAGCAGTTATAGGAAGCTCAGTTGCTCCTCCTAGAGTACGCTTTGTCAACTACTACACTTCCAGTACTGGTAGGCCCAAGAAACCAAAGACACCGTCTTCGCCAGCAACCGTGGTTGGTACTCCTACTATGACAACTGTAGCTGCTGTTGAGAGCCGCGAGCAGGTTGACGAAGATGAAGAAAAGTACTCGGGAGAATTTAGCCCAAGAAACGACGAGGTGTTAGAAACTGACGATGACATCAAAGAGTTTGAAGCTGCAGAACGAAATGGAATGGTAACAATGGACCATCTGGATCCTGCTCCCATGTCTGATGCTGGCGGTGACACTTCTGAGGTCGAGTCTTGGGTTGATGCTACAGAGAACATGGAAATTGCTCGTTCAAGTTCAAACACGACAACAGACCTGACAACGACCACTTCACCAAAACCCGAACATGACTCAATTCTCGACGAAGGTTTAACAAACAAGTCGCCCGACATCCCTGCTTCAGGTATCGAGTCCTTGCCGCCTGTCCCAGATCCGCCAGCAAAGCCTGAAAAGCCGCCATTCTTCTCAGACAAAGACGCCAGGAAGCTAGCGGAAAAGGAATATGAACGAGTCTTGAAGCTCTATTTCAGAGCAGTAAAGGACCGTGAAAAGGCACTTCGCGATCGTGAAAAGCTGGAAAAGAAGCGCGAACGACAAACAATCAAGGAGGGAAAGAAGGCGGAGAAGCAAGTTCAGAAGAGTGATAAGGGCAAGGAGAAGGAGCGCAAAAAGACCATCGAGAGGAGAGAAACCGATCAGGAGAGTACTCTTGCGGCCGAGCAGAGAGATGCACAGAAAGAGTGGAAAGCGGCCCTGAATCACTCCTGGAATGACGACGACTCTACGATTGAGCCACTCTCGAAACACAGCTCGTCGATGCAGTCTAACGTACTGTCTACTCAAGCATCCAGATCTCCTTCAGGCGAAGAGCAGAAGCCCTTCAAGGACCGTACATTCTGTACACTACCACCCAAAGACGGCTCCGGCATAAGAGACCCGACCTGGGTTCGTGTTTTGATGAAAGATGTCGACTTGGTCGAGGCGCATTGTGGTCTTTTCTTCCCTGACGAGAAAGACGACAGATACGAGAAACTGATCGGAGATGTGGGAGAGAGGATATGTGAATGGGTCGGCGAGGCGGAGAGCGAGAGAGTCGCAAGGGAGTTTGAAGCACAAAACTGAAGCTAAGTAGACCATTAGTCTATTGAGTGTGACTAATTCTACTATGATGTCCGGGAAGAAACTTTACAGATGCTATTTTGCCTTTACGGCGTACATTGACACAAGATCTGCAGATCTTGTGTCAATATCCTGGTGATGTGGTTACAGGTCGCTCCTTCCCAAACTTGCAAAGTCATGTGCCAGTCTCTTTCTCTTGCGCGCGGATAAACGCCTGCGTCGAATACTGCGAAATTCGGACAAATGAACCTTGACGTCTGCCGTATACATCGAGAAGTAACATCATGGTGGGACAGAGCACGTCGATCCAGTCGTTCTTCTCCACGCGAACTTCACCCACTAAAGACATACCTCCAAAGTCATCACCAGTCCCAGGCGATGGTTTCACTGCAGAAGAACTGGACAACGCTTTACTTCCGGTTCGACAAGACAATTGGACTCCACGTGGAGTCTATGATGAGTACGAGATCGATGCGCTCATGTTTGGACTGAATCGTGTCAAGATCGTGGGTCGACTTGTCAACATGTTCGAAAGCTCACACACCACGAAATTGCCCAAGGGACTTGGGGGGTCTGTACATCTCGTGGTCAAGGATGACACTGGTGCTGTCACTGTGAGTATCCGGTTCGTCGTCTATTCTACAACTCACACTAACCGATCGAAGATCAGACTTTCATACACGCTGCCACCGACAGAATTACGACTCGGCCGTCTCGTTGCAGTTTGGGCTACCTACGTCGCGAATGGAGACAGAGGCAGTTTCCCGTGTGCCGTCGCACCATTGTACATCAAGGTTTTTCCGGAAAAAGACAAAAGCTGCCGTATACGTGTCCTAGAAGGCGCAGAGTTTGCGAATCTGTGCAGGAAGCCACTCAATTATCAACCAACCCTCATGTCACTCAAGGCCTTTGCCCACGGTGGCTCCGAAGTCATCGACGCCAAAATACTTGTCATTGTCAAGAGCGTCAGTGCACGCAAGAGAGGTAAATGGGGCTTCAAGGATCAAGCTGGTGCAAAGCTGATCAACCATAGTAACGAAGAAAGATGGAGCAGAAGCCTACGTCACGAGAGTTGTCTTGATGGATGACACCGACGAAGCAACATTGTCGTTATGGGACACCACGTCAACCACTCCGAATGACTGGCAGCCATCACACACTGCTCTCTTGATCTCAAGCCCCAGCCTGAATGTCTCACACAAGAATTGGTTAGCTCTGGCTTCTGATACCTTCGTCGATGTGGATCCCTGTATTCCTGAAGCAGAAAGACTCCGCGGTTTCGCTGGACGCAAGGTCAAAAGAGAACACATCAATCCGACTTTTCCTTATGAAGGTATGTCGGTCTGAATGCACATTCAAAGCAGAAACTCACACTGTTGCAGAATATGCCTTGTGGAGCATCATCAAACCAAACGAACGCGTTTTGTACTCGCTCGCAGACGTGGATGATCGGTAAGTTGACCGTGATTGGCCATCTATTGTTCTGACCTAGAGTTTAAAGCGCTCGCGAAACCCCTGGAGAAACATTCGAGGGCTACCTGAGCATGATCATCATGGATCTCAACATGACCACGTTACGACAACAGAATATGCTCATGTGCAATGAATGGTCTGCTCTCGACCAAGTTCCTGTTGATGATCAATATGCTGACAATGTATCAGCTGTGGCATTCCTATCTATGCAAACGCAAAAGTGGCAAAGTGCAAGCATTGTGACAGTCAGGTGTCCTTGAGAGTCAATCCACGCCTCGTGAGTGCAATCTCGCCAGCTCGTCTGACATGTATGCTAACACGTACAGATTGGCAAACTGGTCGACGAGAGTGGATGCATTACAAGTGGCAAGCTCGTGCTATCAGACCATGCGTGGACAAGACTTCTAGGCAGAAGTGCTCAAGAATTGATCGAGAGCAGTGCAAGCACACTGAAGAGCGTGGAGCATCGTATGCTCCATATTCGTATCACGTTGCGATTCTGGTGGAGCGAAGAGGTGGGAAAGCTCGTCATCTCGGAAGTCCTCGAATAACAAAGCTTCACGGGAGATGAGACGATTGCGGGATCTATGGATGAGGAATCCTCATTGCTTGACTTTGAGAGTAACACGCTGGCCGGAATTATTTTGCTTGCGGAGAATACACTAACATAACATGGGCTGCCTTATGATCGGGATGAGTCGAACGGCGGAGAAAGCTATAGCTGCCGGAGCTAATTGATTGTGTGACCTATATAAAGGCTCAGAACATGTTGCTTTGATCGAAAGTACAGGCAGAAGTGAAATTTTGCTGGGTGTTGATGGGTCGTGCAGCTAGTGGAACATGAAACTACCTGAATGAGTGTTTGTGTTGATGTTTTCACTTAGTTGGCCAGTTCCGTTGCTCCAGTAAGTATCCAACACTTCCATGAAGATCAAATCGCAAGCAGAAATAAGTTTACAGTAGAGTAATCGCAAGGGGAATTTGAGTGACCCTGTCCTTCGGCGATAAGATAACAAAAGTGAGAAAGTAAGCCGAGCTTGAGAACAAGGGCCTTTGACTTTTGGATTTATTGACGACGTTGTAAACACCTACAAGCAATGACACAAGATAGCAGTAGCACACGGCGCGACTGGAAAGACTTGTTTGCGGTGCCGCCGGTCATTAAGCAAGTGTTTGCAAAGTTCCCTCTGTCGACATACACCCCCAATGCGCTGCCGACGCGCTCACCGAAGCACAGAGACCAACACACTCTCTACACGTGGACAACAGCAGAAGACGCCTCTGCAAGCAATGCCTCGTTCAATCCAACATGCCTGAAATGGCAGACATATCTCCTATTCAACAACATCCCCTTCTGCACACAATCCTCCAACAACCACGCCTCGCCCTCGGGCTCTCTACCCTTCCTCCTCCCAGCAAACAATTCCAAACCAATCCCCTCGAGCAAGCTTGAATCCTGGTCTACCACACATAGCAAAAGCAAGAGCTCAGACACAACACAAGCTTCGCGACAGGACGTGTATACATCACTACTCGAACACGCCGTGAGAAGGGCATGGCTATACCTCCTCTACCTCGACCCCGACAACTTCGACCACGTCGCACGCCACTTATATGTCTCACCATCCTCGTCGAACACATTTGTCGCCCTCGCCATATCGCATCAATTGCGCAATGCCGCTAGTCAAGAGTTGTTGAAGATCACACCCGTCGTGGAAGCACAGGATATCCTGGACGAAGCTGTAGACGCTTTCTCCGCTCTCTCGATATTACTAGATGGAGATGACTGGTTCTTTGGAAACGAGAAGCCCGGCTTGTTTGATGCGAGTGTTTTTGCGTATACCCATTTGTTGCTGGCAGAAGAGATGGGCTGGAAGAACAACACTCTGGCTGAGAAGTTGGCCACTTTCCAGAACTTGGTCCAGCATCGCGATCGCATTGTCAACGAGTATTACCAGTCATGAGATGATTGATTTCCGCCTACCTCCCCTCAAGATACCGCTCTTTGTACATATATATCCTCCCTCTATACCAATCTCGGCTCCCCAGCTGAATGTACAATTACAATCAACATCAGCCACTAGTCCACAGTGTAGTCACTACGCGAGCAACCTAAATTGTACACCAGTCAGCTCGCACTCACTGCGTAGCCACAACAGGCATGGCTGAAATAGAGAGCGACATATACCCACTACCCACCACCTCTCACACCTCGAACCTGTGCATAGATATGTAGAACCACATCCAACCGTCAACTCTTCGTTCCTATACATGACCAAGCCACATCGAACTTGGTTGCCAGCCCGTGGATAGATCATAGCGAATCATACCTTGCTCATCTCTGGCCTCGAACATTGTACTTCTCAACAGTCTCGGTTGGTTTGGCCACTGCACAGTTAGTAGATAGTTGTGTATAGTCATGATCCAGTCATCTAGTCGAGACGTGAAATATATCGATGTGAAGACAACGTTTGTCAGTTTGCTACCATTGAACATGACTCGGCGATCGAGTAATCACTGCGCAATCACTTGATCACGATGCATGCACTGAAGACTCTGAAGGACTTGCATGAAGTGAAAGAATCATCCTCTACACGAGGCTCATAATCTATCCTCATATTTACCAAATCAACAACATCATTAACCCAAAACATCCAATAGTCATAACTCATAACGACAGCATCTCGATGCATGCACTCCTCTTCAACACCTCAGTACTGCGTAACCTTGGCATCAACCTTCTTGCCATCAATCTCACCCATGGCCTCCTCATCAAACTGTCCATCATACTCCAAACTGTTCTGCTCGCCATCATCATCAACCTCCAACCAAGTCTCGCTGGTCGCGGGAATAGGCGACACCTTGCACAAGCACCAATAAGTGATTGCAGCAACGAAGAAACCACAGAAGTAGTTCAAGTCGTAGATGTAAGTTGCACCCTTGGGGACCTTTTGACCAACAGCGCCGGCGAAACCGACGACATTGATGAGGATACCGGCAATGTATGAAGCGTAGGCTCTCCAGTGGATGCCGAAGGTGAAGTAGTAAGGTCCGGTCTTGTCTGCTGAGTAAAGGTTTCTAACCTGCAGGTAGCCCTTGCGGACGATGTAGTAATCGCAGACCATGACGCCGGCAATCGAGGACAGGAACACACTGTATGCGGAGAGGTATGTGGTGAAGTTGTTGCTCGAGGACATCAAGTTCCAAGGACACATGCAGAGACCGACGATGGCGCAAATGTATGATCCTCTTCTGATGGACAAGAAGCGAGGGAACAGAGCGGTCATGTCTGTGCCTGCGGACACCGAGTTGGCGGCGATGTTTGTACCCAGCTGAGCGAGGGAGAAGGCGGCGGCGATGACAAAGACACCGAAGCGTGTGGCGCCGCTAACGTTTGCGTCGTTGAGGAAGTTCGTGAGGAGGTCGAGGGGTGACCAGACGGGTGAGCCGTAGATGACTGCCGACGAGGAGGAGACGATGATGCCGATGAAGGAGGTTACTGCGAAGCCGACGGGGATGGTGATGAGTTGGGGAAGCATGGCGCTTTCGGGACGTTTGGCGAATCTGCTGAAGTCGGGGTTGTTCATGATCAAGGCTGTTGTTGTTGGTCAGTGTCTGTACTTCTAAGCGTCTTCGTGTATGATATCGACTTACCAGCGAAGTTGGCAATAGCGCTCATGATGCCCTTTACTATGGCCCAGGCGAGTTCGTTTCCATGCAATTCGGCGGGCTGGCGAACGATAGGTCCGAGGCCCTTTGCTCTAACGATAGCCCAGATGAAGAAAGCAATGCCAGCTGCAGGTGCAACGATCGACTTGACAGCGAACAGGTGGCGGATCTTGTGGACGGGGAACCACAATGCAGGCAGGGAGCACAGCCAGAAGAGGAAGAAAGAAACGAAGTCGCGAGTGTTGGTGCCTGATGACTCGGGCAGAGAGTTCTTGGGTCCACCGAGAGCATACTTGTCCCAGCTGGGCCAAATTGATCGGATCATAAGGTAGACACAGGTGCCCCCAATCCACGATTGTACACCATACCAGACGCAGGCCATGGCAGCACGGTTGAAGACAGGCCAGAGGCCACCCCAGATACCGAAACTGGATCTGCTGACAACAGGGAAAGAGATGTGGTATTTTGCTCCGATACGACCGGTGAGGACGACGAACACGGCGGCGATGGTATATCCGATCCAAACACAGATCCATGACTGCCACCATGAAAGGCCATCTTGAACACTAGCACTCGAGATCATCCAGGTGTTGATGTTGAAGGAGTCGGCCATCCAGAAGGCAACAAAGTGCCAGGCTCCCCATTGTCTTCTTTCTTTCTCGACAGGCTTCAGGTCGTCGTTGTTGAGCATGAGTTGGACGTCGGTGAGGCCAGGCTCGTGACGAACTTCGAGGGCCTTCAAGGCACGAGAGACCTTTGAATCTTTCTCCATGGTAGATTGTGGGAAAGGACGACGTTGATACAAAAGGAAGAATGATATAGGCGTCGTATAAGATATGTATACGAAATACCCTCTATTGTTGACCTACGAGATGGTCGTCGTGATGAATTAGTCAAAAGTCAATGATATCCATCGTGGAAGGTGCGGATCAAAGCCTTCTTATGTATGTCCATCATCCTGAACGACCCGAGACTGAAGCCCTCTTATCTCTGAGACTCCTGTTATGATGTACCGTCCATGTCTGGCGATATCTGCCATCTGAGAAGCAAAAACGTGTGGTTGCTCGATCACATCGAGTAAGAAGCGTGGATAAGCTCGGAGGATGTGCATAACATACATAATAAATGCATAATTGCTCGATAGTATCGAGTAACAAGCCTGGATAGAGACCCCGGTCTCGCCTCAGCGGTCGATTCTGACTGGTCGGGCGGACAGCGCGTTGCTATACTTTCCATTTCTGGCAAGGCGCCGCGCACGCCGCGCACGAATCGGCGTGCAGCATGCCACTCGTCGGGACCACTTGCTATTGCGGCAATGCGACTCTGTTCTGCTACACTTTAAACAACAGCCGAGGAGATGGTGATAAGGCAAGCCCTATGCAACTTTTTCCAAAGGATTTATCTAGATCTGAGGTAGATTTGGGTCTATGGCTGACCGGGAAGATAAATCTCTGCAAGACCTGCATGAGAATCTCATATTGAACGAGCGGTTTGCATCGGCCGACGGTGAGGTCCGACATCGAGACATCTCCATGGGGAATTGAGGATTGCCCTCGTAAAGTGGTAAAGTTGTTAGCGTTACGATATGCGAGCCTCAGGCAAACCTTGAAGAAGGATCTGCCAAACGTGAAATCTGTTTCTGTGGTTCAAGAGGTGGAGCATCGTTGTTGGACAGATGGCTGGGAGTCGGCAAAGCATGTGCGATACCGGGCGGAGAGGTCGGCATGAGGCCGTGCTTCGCTGCTTCTGACCGGCTTCCTAGGCCGAACAGCACTTTGCTTCTACACGCGTGACATATGACCATGATGGAGTCTCTCCGGTCTTCTATCGAGGGTTCACAGCCGCCAAGTAAACGTCAGAAAAGAAAGACTGTCGCGTGCGCAAACCCCTAGGCTCATCAGACGCGGAAAAAGACTGACCATAGGCACAGATGTCGACGTTGTCACGACCAAAAGACAAAATGTGATGGCGAGAAGCCTTGCAAGAACTGTCTTCAATCAGACAAGACTTGTGAATATCCTATGCGAGATCGTAAAGTGACCGTGAACGAAAGGTGAAGCGGATATCAATTGGTATGAAGAACACATATCTGATACCACTATAGCTATATTCAGCAATTACTCGCCGAGAACGATCGCCTCAAGCGTAATGTGAACGATGATGAAAGCCACAATGGCATCACGGAAGACACTAACGGAGACGACGATGAGAAGCGAGGAGACAATCCCCTGATCGAGAAAGAGGCATGGTTCTTACCTTACGATCCTAGCCCTATATACATTGGCGAAGCTGCATGTACTGGCTTCTCGACAAGAGTGCGGCAGCTTCTTGTGAGTGTTGAGGCTGAGAACCACATCCCGAGGACCTCTTTTATCAAAGGCAGGCGCGACTATCACTATAACCAAAAGTACGATTACTGACGTTTTAAAGATCCCCAACTGGATGCGGCATTGAACACCACGGCGCAATGGCCGAGCAGGCCTCAAGCTTTCCTTCTGGTCAACACCGCTTTCAGCACAATTGGCAAGTGCTACCACCTGTCTCCTTCCTCAGCAGTACGAACGACGCTGGAACGAGCCTATCAGGACTTGCGGTCTCTTGATCAATTGGCAGTATGCAAGTTGTTTGTGCTCTTCGCGCTAGGAGAGGCATACTCTATTAGATCGCCATTGGACAATACCGGCGCACTACCAGGACTCCACTACTTCGCGAGGGCTAAGACCATTCTGAGAGTCATCCCAGAACGACCTAAGATTGACCATATCGAGATTCTGGTGATGTTCGCTCTGTACAATTCGGTCATGAACAGGCGACACAGCGCTTTCCGTTACATTGGGTCTGCCATGAGATTAGGCCTAACCATAGGACTGTATCAAAACATGGCAGAGCGACAATTACCGGACAAAGCCGCCAGACAACGCAGAGTTCGTCTTTGGTGGACGATGTATGTCTTGGACAGAATGATGAGCAGCAAAGTCGGCTATCCGACGTTACTAAAAGACGAAGATGTCGAGGTAGATCTTCCAACCGATGAAGGTCTAACAGATGCACAAAAAGATGACTTCATTGACGCCGACTACCTTACTGCCAGCATCAGTCTAGCTCGCATCGCTGGTGGCATCATTGGCAGTCTGTACAGTCGTAGAAAGCTTCCTGACACTTTCTCTCAAAGAGTGCAAGCCATTTTTCGGAAACTAAGAGATTGGGTTGAGGCTCTGCCGCCAGGCTTGCAACTGAGACAGGAAGACGCCTCGAGTCAGGTTGCACGACACATTGTAATGCTGCATTTGTCTTTCAACCAGTGTGTCGTATTAGCCACACGACCAATCCTGCTACATGTGTTCAGAATCTCAAACAGAATCGGTGGCACGACCGAAGAAATCTCTCAGGCTACTCTGGCACTGGCATCAACATGCTCGCATTCTGCAGGCCACAGCTACCGCCTTTTGATGAGAAGCTGGGTCAATGGCTCGTTTTTCACTCTCGACTACTTATCTGCCCAATATCTCTTCGCATCAGCCACCATCCTAGCGATATCAAGTCTGTCCAACGACAGTCACGCGAAATCCCATCAGAACGACCTAGAATCTGCCACCCATCTGCTCCGACAATTGAGTATGCTAGGCAATCTGGCAGCTTCAGAATTCTGTGGGCATCTTGATGCAGTGCTACGGTCCATCGCCACTTTCAAAGCCGGACGGGGAGAGTCTACTGAAGGTTCAAATTTGGTACAAGCCAGCCCTGCAGCCATTCGCCCAGATACCGTTACTACTGAGATGGCACTTTTCGGACCTCTGGTGGGAGACTTCTTGACACAGACGGATACTGAGCTTGGTATGCCTCTGCTTCTAGATGATAGTGCTTTGGATTGGAGTGCATGGGCTGGCGTGCTGGCTGACCAAGAGCCCACCCCCGGACATATCAACATTGGTTTGTGAGATCTCGATATACAATAGTCTGACTATCTCTAAGCTTGGCAGTGATCGAGTCAATGATCAAATGATAAGCAATGCAATATATATAGTTATCAACGTAGACGTAGCCGGAAAGAAATTGACCCGGCACCAAACTCCCTCTCGCCTATAAGGCCTTGCACCTATAGCTACAAAAAGGCAGGATGCTTTCGATGATCAAGTACATGTCTATTAAGAGCGATACTGCCCCTTGATCTCTTTAGACCTACATCGAAAACCAAAAATAATTGTGCCTTTTGACCGCTATGTTATAAGGAGCTTTTGCTAGACTAAGAGCTCGATTCTGGTGCAATTCCTGTGCCCCTACGTCTACGTTATCTAGTGCGAGATAAAGTATGAGTGAGCAAGTGTCAAGCGGACTCGAGGAATAAGTGACGCGACCGAAGAGCGTTGCAATGGTATATCAAGCATTTGAAGTACTGTCATGTGCCTCTTAGATTCGCTATATGAGATATCACCTATTGGCAGCACATCACAGTCGTCAGCATGTCACATCTAAACGGCAACAAGGGAAACACCAGATCACTTAAGTCACGGATATAAGAAAATCACCAAAATCGAAGAAAAAACATGTGCTTCGATTGGAGAATAGTTACTCCCCCTGATTCCAATCGATAATAGAAATCTCCGAATGATTTTCATTTCCCCTAATGCATTTTCGAGCCAGCCTCGGAAACCCTGATTTGTGAATCGACTTTTCCCCTAGGCTGGATTTTCCCTTATTATACCTCCATAGGCTTGGTTGTTCCCTGTTGTGTCTGTGCCATTTTTCTCCCGTGGGCCTGCTCTCGATTTGGGTGCAATGTGAGAAAACAAGAAAGATGGAAGTTTTGAATTTCGAAGATTGCACGCGTCATCTTAGTGGACGTCTGTGGATTTGACCATAGTTTTTGACTGTCGACGATGTCCGATCTGTGCCCAGGAGAGCTGATCACTCATTCCTTTGCGCTATGGTAACATGTGTGAGTGTCTCAACTTTTCTGAAGTCGTTCAGTAGACGTCGATGCTCTGCGAAACGTTTCGTGACTTTTGATAATGGCCGTAAATGTGCTCTTGGATGCCGGGGCCAGGCGCTTTTGGCCTGAATCTGCTGAGCGGGCGTATACTACCAAATGACTATTGAGCAGCCATTCTGCTACTGCCTGTGTATTCCCAGATTAGGCGTGTGCCAGCGATTCTGGTCAATTTGTTCAAGTAGCTCTTGAGACGTTTTTGATCCTGGGCATTGTACGAGATGTACTTTGGTGGCCAGTGGACCTTAGGCCGAAGGCTTTGGACTTGGCCAAGATCCACCATATCCTGGTTCGACATGGCTTCTGAGGCATCAAGACTGAGCTCCTCGAGCGCAAATAGTGCGCGACGGACAGGGTAACGAGAAACGAGAAGAGGAAGTGGATTGTTTATTGGGTGTTCGGTCAAGCGAATGACGACCCCCAGCAAGGGACCTGTTTGGCTGTCGACATCGGTGACACCTGTAGAATATTGCTTGGTGTGGGCGATTAGGTAGACCTCTTTTGCGCCGCAGATACAGGACTCATGGGTTTGCATGCTCCAGAAGAGAAACTTCAGGACATCTAGCGCGCACTGATCCGATGGAGTGCAACCGAACGAGAACGACTCCATCTGCAAGACACGAGACATGTCTGCGTAGAGGAAGTTGTTCAGGTCTGTAGCTGTTTCAAAGTGTAGGCTTTGCTCATTAAGACGGTTGGGTACGGGCAGTCGCGATGGTTGCTTTGTGGCGAAATCGATACTGGTAGTGTCAAGGGCACGAGAGAGCGCCGCGATATCATCACTCTCTCTAGCCGGATTGCGTTTGAGAAGTGCCAAGAGTGAATGCATGCGAATATTGGGGTGGTTTGGCAGGAGCAGTGTGTACGTCAAAGCGCTCATGGGAAACTGCTTAACAAGGGAAGGATTGCGCTCAAAAGCAATAATCTGGTCGATGCTGGCAAAGCTGACGACCATGCGCTGATAGAATTCTCAAGTCAACAAACGTTCGGGTAGCCATAGGGAAATCACTAGGGTTTCACTTACGCTCAACATTGGATGCGTTCTTGTGTTTTGGCGTGTGCGTTTTGGATTTAGAGCAATCCGCTTGTTGTAGGGAGATGCAGGATCCGCCCTACGGCCCAGATCGAGAGACTCTCTGTTGTAGGATACAGAGAAAGTGTCTCGTGGCATCATATCGAGCTGATACATCGTCACTTCGGAAGAAAGGTCCCAATAGTGCTTGAAGATGTTGTGGATCATCTCAGCGGGCAGTGCATCAATCCTGTCAAGGAGCGACATGATTCGTGGGGTCGACTGTTCTGGATAGTGCCTTCGAGGTTAGTGGGACGCGTTGTGGTTGAACAAAGAAGTGGTGGGTGGAAGTGCGGCCTTTGGACACCGAGGTGGTGGGAGGAAGGTGTTGTAATCGATGCGAGGTGAATTCTATATGTGGAAGAATGAGTAATAGTCGACAGGAAACGAAGTGAGTACCACTAGTCGAGTGATTGAATGGAGTGAACGAATACGGAGAATATCAGCATCACTAGATGAAGCCGCTTCTTTTACCAGACACTGCAGACATATGCTGTTCAAACGCACAAGTCTGACAGAAACAAAGCCATGTCCAGTGAGAGCATGTCAGAAAACTGCTCTCTATGGACAGCACAACCTATCTGAATAGCATCATGCCTTGCGACTGTAATTTGTGGGAGATGCACTGCTGTGGAGATTAGACCTCGAGAGGATCCCATAGTAAGGTAGAGTACTTCTGAGTTGTGGGTTCAAGATGAGTTTGCAATGTCAGCCTTCTCACTGAATGGATGACCTACTTTCAAAAACATCGTGCCTTTTGACAGGAGCTTAGCATGGCGCGACTGGTGAAGGAGGGGTGGGGTTTCTCTGGTTTTCATGGGTCGCTCCTTTGTAGTTGACCAAGAACCCGTATCTGTTGAAAATATCACCTACTCGACCATATGGTACTGAATTCGGAGTAGACCATGTAGGTCTAACTAGTCTCTTCGTCTTGGGATATCTTCGACCGGGAACAGGAATACCCGATAATGAGCCGTCGGTCTCAGAAACAAGAAACGATGAGCTTGTCTTATCGGCTTTATTTGTTATCAGGCATAACATAGTCACGTGCTTGTCTTTGGACGAGTACTTGGACTTTGGTTCAGCTATAATGAACAGATGTTCTAAAAGGGACTGTGCCATGTCGAATGCAATTTGCGCAAGATACTAGAGAGATTGAGCTTATCTCATGTTTTCTCTTTATGGACTTACGCAAACTGCATAGTTACATGTCTGTCATCCTAGAAGCAGTAGTTAAGTGTTCCTGTATAATGTACAGAGCCTATAAGATCCAAGTCCTAGAAAAAAAAAATGCTAAAATCATAACTTGCCCGGGCGCTTGTATGTGTTCTAGATATGCAAAAAGACGATCGGAACGGGACTCGAACCCGCAACTTCGGCCTCGCAAACGTGTAGGAGGGCCGCGCGCTCTAAAGGCTGTTAGAACTTGAAAAATTGGCGTTTAGACGGAAGATTGAACTTACACCATTGCGCCATCCGACCTGGACTTCTGTCAACGCCCAAAAAGATAATTTATAACCCACGCAACACGTGCCGTTCCTCGTGCGGGTACGAGTCCCGTTCCGATCGTCTTTTTGCATATCTAGAACACATACAAGCGCCCGGGCTAAAGCCCGGACGCTGCAAAGACTATTTAGTTAGTCGAGTCCATTTACAGGAAGATGCCATAACAGCAGAAAATATGCCTACAATACACATGCAACGATGCGAGCACAAGCGACAACTCGACCCCTAGAGCCTTAAGGTCGAGTTGTCTTCGCTGTTCCTCCCAGTGTGCTAAACTTTGTCACGCGCACCCTGTAGAAATGCACAATGTTTTCAAGATTAGTGCAGCCCTCCACTAAGAGTGTGATACTTAGCGCCTCTCTGCGGACGACTAGAGAGATCTTGAAAACATTGTACATTTCTACAGACCAAGCTTGAGGAGCTCGTGGTCGGCTTTCTGGCAATTAGATGGCTCCAATGACTACCATTGAGATTTCAGACACTAGGCACTCATATCGTCCCCAGTCGTTTGGTGACATCTCCTGAACTCCGGAGGGTGACAGGAATCCAGACTTAAACGAACAACGGCTCAATTCCTCAAAGAGCCTAAAGCACAGTCAAGAGGTTTGAATGGTCTGAAAGTAGAGACAGCACTTTGAATAAGAATAATAATGCTAATACATATTTGTAACTGAAGAAAGGAATGACTTTAGTTGAAGTAAACAAATGCAGGAAAGAACGACCCTTGAAACAACACCATCGCTATGCAAACAACCAGGGTATACTCGCTTTCGCTTACAGGAACTTCAAAAGAACGAATATTTGAGGAATTGTAAATTCATGTCTCTCTCTCTCTTCTCTCAACGACCCTTCACCTCCACAGAAAGATACAAATCATCTCCTCTTCTGCTGGGTGTGAGTTTGGGCTCCCAAAGCGGACTCTTCAATCCCATCTGAGGAGTCTGATCATTCCCTCTCTTATTCCTGTTTTCATACTTTCTCAATGGCGATTCCGGTGCCTCTCTGATATTGGCAATCCTCAAGCCTCTTCCAAGATCCAGAGACAAGTCCTCACCACGTCTCTTTGCAGCCAAAGTGACTTTGCGACTGGAGATGGTTGAAGGAGAAGAACGAGGAATAGCTTGATTGGAAGGACGAGGGACCTTAGGGTAAGAAACCGGTGATAGTTGTTTGTCGACCTCATTCTCAGGTGTTGTTTCATCTGGATCGACTGATTCGAAAGTTGTGGCTGATGCCCAGGAGTTGCGGACGGCACGAGGCATCAGAGGCATTGGTGCAAAGTGAGGTTGGCTGAAGCGTTCGTGGTCGTGGGGACTCGATTTTGGTGCTACGGGGGTGCGGCTGTCAGAGCTGGTGTAGTAGGCGGGGAGGTAGCTTGCCGCACTGCTCGGTGGCATTGGCAGATTTTCGTGTCCGCTGATGCCCGTGACTAGTGTGATGCCGTTCTGTGCTGATATCTCATCGTGTCTCACAGGCTTGCGTGGGATTTGAAGCATCAGACCTGACTCGGTCATTTCTTCCGGCGAAATGGTATATCGATCTGCGAAGCTGGGCCCTGGTGGAGGATGAATGGGCGCCAGAAACAGAGGTCTGGGAGGGTAGGGAGGAGCAGGGAGTGTCTTCTTGTGTCCTGGAGTCTTGCAGTCTTCCTCGAAAACCGTCCATCTAGTGGCGGCACTGTCAGGTCGAAGCTGCTTGCTTGCCTTCTTCAAATTGATTGTGATGTTGGCGATTGGGGTAGGAAGCCTCGAAGACCTTGTCTCACTACGACTGGGTGACGCAATGCTTGCTCTATGCGACTTGAGACCGTGTGGAACCTGGCGTATGTCTGGACGAGATGTCTCTCTCCACCACTCAAGCTGTGGCCGCAGTGATGGCCTGAAACGACGTTGTGTGATAGTCTCAGGTGATTTGGCAAAGCTGTCGAAAGACGAGCGAGGCGATCTGTTCGGGCTTGCTTGGTAGGATCTTGGAGGTCTGACAGGACCTTCTGGAGACGAAGTAGCCGGTCTGGTGGTGTTCTTAGAAGGGAATCTAGATCCTGTCGGAGACGACTGGTCTTGGAAGTCGAGACGGTGGCTCGATTTGAACCATTTTCTTGTCGGTGTGCCAGACTTCTTGTTTTTCTTTTCCTTCTTGCGACGTCTTGCACAGCAACAGCAGAAGAAGCATAGTCCAAATAGCAGAGCAGCTATCGCTATTGAGGCAACCGAGATACCAACAGTCTGGCCTGTCGTCAAGATTTGGGGTGGTCCGGTTGGTGTGGAAGAGACCTCAGTTGATGCTCCTGATGACGAAGTGGGAACTGTTGATGTTGAGGTGATGCTCGTACTCGAAGCCTGAGTTGTCAGAGTGGTGGGGATGGTGGATACACCAGTCGCTTGCGGAGATGATTTCGATGTCGGCGATGAAGAGGTGGATGGAGCAGCAGCCCCCGTCGTCAACAAGGTCAAGACAGAATGAGTGGCTGTTACGGTCTTGGTGTATGTAGAACACACATTGAAGGCATCATGCTCAGATGCATTCCTAACTCCAGCAGAGCAACTTGAGTAAACGCAGCCGAGCACTACCTCTCCAAAGGTAAAGCCAGAGGTGCTGTAATTTGAGCAAAGGCATGCACCATCAGTGGTACTCTTGCATTTCTGAGGAACGAAAGACGAGACAACTGCCGAGGATACGCATTCTTGAGCGCAGGTAGGAATGGTTTGCAGAAGCTTTGCCGGCAAAGCTACTGTATCTCGTTGGTAAAGAGCGTGAGGTTGTACAAATTGAGGAGCCATGTTGTGTTAAATTTATGCTGTATGCTTTGGTTTTGGTGTCAGGATCTGTAGTATGAAAAAGAAAAGAAAGAGGTATGAATGAAACGTCTGAAGTGATGGGCAAGGACCATACCTACAATAGAGCCTATTGGTGACAATTGGAAATGAGTATTATTGTGAGAACGTCATAATAGGAAGATTAGAATGAAAGATGCCGACCAGCGGTACGTGAATAGACGAAAGGGAAGAAGAAATTAGGAGAATAAGAAAACAGCAGAGACAATGGCAGAAAGAGATGTCGAGAAGCTACGCACACTCACGCCGGCGAGGTCTTGTTATTGTCTTTTGCAAAAGTCTCCAGCAGCCGCCCGGCCATCGTCATCATACACATGCGGTGGCAGGAATAGTTACTCAAAGCGCCGGAGAAATACTTGATACACAGCCATAGGCTGCAGAGACATCTTGCAGAAGAGTCGGCGCTTAGCACGACCTCGAAGACATGCAGAAAGGCGCACAGACCATATGGTGCTACGAGTGAGAATACTCGACGCTTCTGGTCAAAGACATTGTTCGAGGCATGATTTCAAAAGATGATCGATTGATTCCTGTTCTAAGACGTGTGGGTCTTGCTGCGCCATTGCTGTAAGTTATGAGGGGGTATCCATCGAGAAAAATTGTAACAAAAGGTGACCTTGAATACTCCAGCCCAATGCCTCGAAATGCAGCCCTTGTGAAACAGTCCAGTGCTTTATTTCAAGCGTCCATAACCATGCCCGACTCCTTGGGCCCATATCCCGATTCCAAACTCCAGATGCTGTGTTGTAGTAAAAGTCGAAAAACACCATTGCAACCAAGACCGCAAATGCCGCTGATAAGAAAAGTAAGAGAGTTATTGCCTAGAAAGCGAAAGGAGCATTCTCGCGAAGGTCTTGGACGAGCTCGTTGACGTTGCTCAGGTACTGGCCGAGCAGACGCTGTTTCTCATCTGTTGTTTTTGCGAAGGCGTGGTTCTCATTGGTGTTGATGCGCTTGCTAGACTTTCTCTGCGGACCAGCCGAAGAAGAATTGACAGAAGGCGTTTCGGGCATGAGATAGAAGTAGAGGAACTCGACAACCTTCAACTTGACTTCTCTGGATGTGCTGCGTGACTTGAACAAGCTTGCGATGGCAAGGAGGCCGTCCATCTTCTCAAAGGTGCGAGTGCTTTCGGGAGTAGCAAGAAGAGCGGTAACGAGGACGAGGAGGGCTTGCGACTGGACGACGGGTGGATTTGCAGCGTCTAGAAGGTCGAGAATGAGGTCCATGTAGCTCTCTCGGCGGAAGAGAGCGCGCGAGGGAGGGTGAAGGAGGAGCACGCCTTGGAGGATGTCCAGAGCCGAGAGGATGATGGCGTTTGACTGGGTAGCTGTAGCATGTTAGATGGAGGAGATTCATCGTCGGGCGCGAGTACGAACCATTGGGCATTCCCAGCAGAGTCTCGAGACAGGCCATCAGACGAGAAGCGACTTTTGTACATGTCAGTCTATCGAAGTCAAAGCATGGCCAAGAGTACGTACCATTCCATTCAAAGCCCTCCTGTAGGCGGAAGAACTCCCTGTAGGCAGGGTCCTGACAGACCTGACTCAGCTGTCTGGGTGGTAGCAGCGTGTCGCCCGACAGACGCGAAGAAGAGGAAGACGGTCTACGCTTCTGCTGCGAGCATGAAGGGGGGATGCATATTTGAGCCAAGAGACCTTCGATCTGGCGCAGGCCCTTGCGGATCTTGATAATGTCCTTGGACGAAGTGTTGTCAAAGGAGAGGGATAATAGTGCTTCCATTGTGTCGTCGCGTGTCGGCACAAAATAGCACAGGCACTTGAACAGGCACTAGGACGACACAAGTCTAGAAATGTCGAGATCTAGGGAAGTGCACTGTGGCTGCCATCAACCCTTAATACCGCGAGCCCTCGAGCCGTCGTTTCGTCCCTCGAGCTCGCCCGGTCCGTGTCAACACAACCGCGTCACGCAGGGCAACCACCTGCCAAAGTCAAATTGCGACAACGTTCCTGTTCCTAACCTCGACATGATGAAGCCTGTGACGATTATCCAATCTATCCTTCTTTACGACAGAGGGAACTGTTCAGTTGGCGATCCTCAAACACACGTCGACGGCTGCGCTCACTCTCCAGCCTCCCCAGCCATCACCCCAAATCTTGCAACTTCAGGCCGCAACAAGTCAACCATCGTCATATTCGACATGCAATTTTAGAAAGCCGCTCTTCAGCCCAACCCCTAGGTACACTCGCCCGTCGCAACGCCTATAGCTCGTCGTTATCGACAATACTATCGGCAATAGTCGACCGGTCAAAGACCCCTGTCCAGAATCCGTTGACGCGCCTTTGTAGACTCTCGCCCTCCATGTTCTCGCTCCTCTCTTGTCGTCTACACAGGCCAGCCTCCTTGTGCGCCTCAGTCAGTCGACTTTCTACCGCTTTCCAACCATCTCTCTCTATCAATCACCACCTGCAATCCGTGCCTGCCCCTCAATCGTCGGCCATCAAGACAGAAACGGAGGAGTCAAGAGAAAAGAAACAGCGCGACGACTACAGGCTTAGGCTCAACGCTCGTCGCAAGGCAAAATATATATCCGACCCCCATTACCGTGAGCTCGCATATGCTAGATGGAGGAACCTGAGTCCTGCCGCCCTCGAAAGAAGGCGTCATGCAAGCGCCCTCGACAATCGTCGAAGATGGACCAGCGACTTTGTTTTCAAACAGCGCGCTTTACTGTGGTCGTGGCTAACCAGAACGCTCAAGCTCCGGGACTTGCAATGGAGGACACATGAAGCACAGCTTTCTGCGAACCCCGTCAAGCGCCATTGCTCAGGATGCGGCTATGTGAAACCACCCCGTAAACTCTGGTTCCGCAGAATCGTTCCAGCCTCTTCCGACTCAAATCTATTCGACTGCTTTAGATGCTTCACGTCAGAATGGGTTCCCGAGAAGGTTTTGCCCATCGGCTATGAGCATGTAGTATTTGGCTCAAGAGTGAGAATCAAGCCTCGTTCTGTCTCAACACCTGGCCGAGAGGGCCAAAGTCAAGAAAACACCAGAGAATCTGGTGACTCAGGGACCACAGCTCATAACAAAACGTAGTGAGTCCCTAAATATCGCTTAAGCTAGGATGAGCAGTTCGGTACAACACGTTCAATCGACTTCAATAGCCTATGCATGGAATACAAAAAGTGCCAGCAACAAGAACATACACTATGAGCCAGAACCAATGCTTTGTACCAATGTGAGTCTGGGAGTACGACGAATATTCGGTGATGCGTGTGCCTATTCAAAACAAGAGAAGGCCTTTGCCGAATGATGTTGTCTCAATCTTCTTTCTTGGTAAGGACTAGTATTTGGTGAGAAAGAGAATCACGTGTTACTAAGCTGAGTTAAGTGTTGTTGTATAAGTTGATCCTATGTACTACCACAACACCACAATTACCAAACTCTTTTCAACATGGCTACCACAATGGCACCTTTCCCACGGGTCTACTTCCGCTACGTAGAGCCCCTGATGATCACCTTTGGAAGCCTAAATCTCATCTCGACTGGTGCGTCCAGCGCCTCGACGTACCTATCCATACAACCTCACCCAGTACTGGCAACCGAACACTTCCTGGCTCTCCAAGCGGGCAGCATGATGCTTCTCGCAGGCCTCTTGCTCACTATCATCATGTGGACGAGCAATGAGATCAAAACCATTAGGCTCACGATCATGGTTCTTGCGGCTTCAGATATACCTCACTGGATCTTTGGAGCTTGGTGTTTGGGCCCTCTCGCTTTGGAGCCTAGCTCTTGGAGCGCTGAGATGAAGGCATACATGGGAGTGCCGGTGGTTACTTTTCTGATCAAAGTGGCATACTTGACGGGATTGCTTGGACGCGATCAAGTTACCGACAAAGTCGGGAAGGAGCTTTGAGATGTTTGTAGACAGATCAGGACAAGTGGTTTCGGGAAGGACCATTCTCGTACAACGCGAGATGAATCGAGACCTGTCGATTTTGAAAAGCGCTCCAAGCGCATCATGCAGACGAATTTAGCACTCTCTTCATATCGTTTCCGTTCCTGCATGGGTGCCGAATTGTTTGCAGTATTTGCAATTTCCACCACTCCGCTTCTCCAACTGAATTCCACACTTTCTAAAAGCGACAATTAATAACAACCCTGCAGCCAATCTCATCGACTAAAATGCTGTTCGGGCATGATCGCGATTCTTCAATTATTGTCTGATCTGATGTGGTTCGCTTGTCGAGGCGATGCCGTCACCGGTTCCTGTTGCCGGAACCGTTTCATGACGGGCGCCTTTGCCGAACGTGCTTGGTTTGGTGCTTGATGTCAAGCGCCGGGCGCTTTCTCTTCTCCATCTCTTGAAACCTGGAACCAAGACGCGACCGGGCCGTGATATGGTCATGGACGGGACAACCTTGCAGCAGAAGTTCTGGAATCCAGTGCTGCTCAATTGCTCTTGGACAAACTCCCTCGGAAATTTGTGCAGACTGGCAACGGATGAGTACGGCTAACAATCCTGGTCTCTTTTGCAGTCATGTCCGAGTAGGTTCCGTCGGCACCATCGCAACTTCTCTCATGCAGCATGAACCAATGTTTCCGGTGGAGTTGCAGGATTCCCCAACCCCAGGTAGATCATGGTGTGCAGAGTCAGTGTCAAGGCTCTCTACCGATCCAATCCAGACCTGCGGGTGGATCTTCGACCCGCCCATATAAAATAATTTCCTTCAGGCTCCCAGCTTTTCTTCCATCATACCTTGTTGTGTTTTTGGAGAGTTTTGTAAGACCTCTTATTGGTAACTGCTCTCATTTTCCTTGCCCACACTCGTTTCACTCTCATTCTTTGCAAGCCCTTGCCCTCTTTTCTTCTATAACAATCGATTCTATTCAAGACAATCTTTTACCACACGACAAACATGTCTCTTCAACGTCTCTGCTTCGCTGCTTGCGCTTTGTTCCTTGGAGCTAGAGCGATCGACACCATTACTGTTCCGGACGTTATCACCGCTGATAGCCCATTCACCTTGACCGTTACACCCAAGGACGACGCATCAGGAAACTACCGTATTTACCTTGACACCACTCCTCCTGGCTATGCTGGTGGTCAATCTTGTGCGTTGCGATAACACCTCATATACGCGTGTACACAAGACTGATAACCACAGGCTACCTCAAGAACTCAACCTCCACAGACATTACCGCTGTAAACCTCACCATCCCAGCCGACTTCGGTCCCAACGGCGACTTCTACTCCATCTCTACTCGCGACCTCTCAGATTCAGACACCGACGCCAGCTATGTGTTCAGCAATGCTTTCAACCTCACCGGCGCAACTGGAAACTATTCCGAGTACGAAAACAAGCTGAACGGCGCCCCCCTCTGGGATTCCAACAGCCTCCCCTGCGATTCCTACAACTGCGCGCGTAATTGCGCTCAAGATTCTTACCCCAAGGACATGATTCCTGGATCGGATGCTTTCAACACTATGCGCGCTTGCATTATGAAGTGCCCTGGTGTTGAGCAGGAGACCAAGACTTCTTCCTCGACTTCGAGCACCGCTACTGCTTCGAAGACTGGCTCCCAAAGTTCTCAGACAACATCTGGCTCAAGTATGTCAAGTCAGGCCTCGTCAACTTCTGAAACGGCTGCCGCTGCTACTTCGTCTGGTGCTGCTGTTGCAAACGTGATTCCCGCTTCTTTTGTTGTCGCTGGTGGACTTCTTGCGTTGTTTTTGTAGGGAGCTCATACGCCGAGTCCAGGGACTGGGCCATTGATTTGCCCAAAACTCTGTTTTCGCAAACCATGTCACATCTCAATATCATCTATGAAGCAATGAAATGCGACCACGGAGAAATCATATATACACTACTACATAAACATAATAAAGCTCTACGCAAGGTCGTACTTTTCTGTCTGGTTATTCTCTTTCAGATTTTCGTTCCTTGTCACTTCGGCATGGACTGGGAAGTTGGTCGCATTCTAGCTCAGATCATTCTAGACTCCGTGACGTATACGTAGTTTAGACGTGCAATATTCAGGACGCTTTGAATTCAAGCCTTGTATAGCGGACAGAGCATTGTTGCTGAGCGGGATCGCTGCTGTGACCCCCAAGTCAAACGTGCTGGCGGTGACACCCTGTCTTGATGGGACCTGGTGGTTTTCCGGCACTTCTGTTTGCTTGTCCTCTATTACTGAATCTGGCAAACGTGTTGTAACCCCCAAGCATCTTTGTTGATCTGATTTGTCCGATCTGGCACGTAGTAAGAATGACAAAAGTTGGTATAAAGATCCTCGGGTAGAGATTCTCAAGACTGCGTGTATGGCACATCAATCAACTTGGGAAGTCGAGACTACATCAGGACGTCGAAAACAGTTGGCTTTTCTGTACATGAGATGAGAACAACATTCTCACACATGCGTCTGTACTTTTGATATATCGCTGCAAGAAATTCTGTCCATCTACCAAGCCCATACACACCATCTTCAAACGTGCAGGTAAACCACATATCTCAAATCCTCACCCACCTCTTCATCACCCACATCCATAAACGTGCCCTGCATCTTACAAACCCTCATTCCGAAATCCAACACAAAGTCCTCCGTCCACGCTTCACTGGTCCACAGACTTCCGGGTAAGAACATAGCGGCTTTTTTGACACGGTCCAGATATTCGGAGGCTTCTTCATCGGTTGCATCATCGGGATTGGCGGGTGCGATGTCGGGTTCGCCGTATTCGTTTACCAGAGAGAATGTCCAAGAGGCGATGAGACCGGGTGTGGGTGTGGAGTGTTGGGCGAGATAGATGTAGCAGAGGAGGATAGTCCAGAGGTATTCTTCATGTTGCGAGCCGCGCAATTTGCGCAATTTGGTGGTGCCTGTTACGTATTTGACGCCGGCCATGAAGGACTTGTGTGCTGTGGGCATTTCTAGCTCGAGCAGGTCGAGGGCGTCTTCTAGAGTCCAGATTGCGGAGCCGGCATCAGAGGCTACGGTTTCGGGTTGTAGATCTTTGAGATACTCTGCCATGCGTTCTTGCATTGTGTTGATGGTATCGTATTGAATGTCGCGGTAGATCTTTACAGATGCTTGACGAGGGTTGGAAGGTTCGGAAGGTAGGGTTGCGTTTGTTTCTTCCAGCTTGTTGATCTTTGGGATGAGCGACATCATGATGTAGAGAGCGATGCGAGGTAGGTAGCGTTCTCCATCGCCACGGTAGAGATAGTCTTCGGCATCTTCGATAGGAGCGACATCGACGCCTCTTTCCAGCTGAACGACGTAGCAGAACAATTCAGCCAAAGATGCCGGAATGCATCCCCATACTTGCTCGAATGGAGTTGCGTTTGCTGTTTCTTGCAACTTCGAGTGGAGCAGGCGGAAAGTCGCGGCTTCGGAGTTCCATTCGCCAGTGGTTTTGAAGTACTCGGGATTGGTGACTTCCAGCAGAGGATGGAGAGGTTGAGGGAGAGACTTGACGGACAGAAGCAAACCATCGTGGGGATTACCTGGTGTACAGAAGCCATAGCCCATGATCAACTCCTCGCTGGACTTGGGACCGTAGTTGTTGTAGACTTGTGAGCCTGACTCGATTTTCTCGGAGACTGCCATGCTGAAGCGATCAAGATCATAAGTCCAGTCCACGCGAGCATTAGGATTGTGGTTTCCGATATCGATGGCGGGGAACAGAACAGAAAACTTCTTCCAATCTTCGGGATAGTCGTTTTGATCCAGGAGGACAGTCGTTGGCGTGCCGGTTGAATCATGTTTGTAAGCAGTCCAGTGATGGCTGTCTTGCGGTGTGACTGTCAAACCGTTGAAACTGCGTGATGAGTATACTGTGGCAGCCCATCTGAAGAGTTCCCTGCGTTGAAATCAGGTACTGTATTATTGGCGCGTTTACACCGGATTCGAGATGTTGAAGTCGTGAATCCAGCCTTTGCTCTTTGTCTTGAAATAGGCCTAAGACTAGCAACCGTCGACACCTGATGGACTTACCATGTGTAATTTGTTGTGTCCACGCCAGCGGACTTCAGGACATGTACTCCGTCCTCCCAATACTTCTTCCAGGCAGCCTCTCTACCAAGCAGAGTCGGATGAAGGTCTGTACCTTCTAACCATTTACAGTCTTCATCATCATAGAATATCGGAGTTTCGAAGCCTTGTTCAGGACTGGGCAGAATATCCAGGTAAGGCTTCCAGAATGACCGCTCTTTGTTGAGCCATTGCGCCATCAGATAGAAGAAGCTAAGACCTTCGACCGTGAATGATTGAGCATGTGTTCTGAAGACTGGAAAATCATCATCCACTTGTGCATTGAGATTGGACATTGCCAGATTATGGGGTACTGTCAGGACATGTGTGCCAGACTCAATGACTTCAGTTGCCTGGAAATAAGAGCCTTGCTCAGCATCTTGGGCAAGGTGAACTGCTGGATGCAGGTAGCCGCCATTGCTTCTGAACCAGTTTTCAAAGGCTTCCATGGTGTAATATCGATATTCGTTGGACTGCGCTTGTCGCGTTCCAAAATAATTTTGATGTCGAGATGCACGTCATAGCAAGAAGCTCGGACCAGGCGATCGTGCTTTGCCAGCCTCTTACAAACTTGTCCGAGTCGTACATTCACACAGCACGTATGGACACTTGCGGTCCAAGTCCTACTCTGCATGTGTAGGTCGCACGAACACGCACCTCGGACAGATTCAGTGTACCGCGTACATGATGTGAGACGCTTCAATATGGTTCCTATCGCCGCTCCGCGTAAGACCGCTAAGTCCGGGACCATGGTGATGTAAGAGCATAGAAGACCTCAATTACCTTTAAGAGTCCCAGAGCCTGCTCTGAACCATTTTCAAACATATCCAACTACTCAAAATGACTTCAGCACAGAAAACGAACATCAATGTGGTCTTCGGAGCCATGACCTTCGGTAAGGAAGGCTCAGAGCAGGCACGCGTTCACGACCTCGACACTGCCGGCAAGATCCTCGACATCTTCCAGGCCCATGGCCACAACGAGATTGATACGGCTAGAGCTTATTGCGAGGGTACCACCGAGACGATGCTCGGCGACCTCGACTGGCAAAAGAGAGGGCTTGTCATGGAGACAAAATACTACCCTACTGCTGGAAAGTCAATCCCGTCATCGTGGAACAACAACTTGAGACACACTCCCGAGGATCTCCGTGAGAATCTTATGACCTCGTTGAAGGAACTGAAGACGGACAAGATCGATATGTGGTACCTTCATGGCGTAAGCTTCGTTCGCCATTGGTCTACCAAGTTTCGTAGCTGACCTGTATCGTGCAGCCCGACAGAACCACTCCATACGAAGTAACCATGAAAGCCGTCAACGACCTATACAAGGAGGGCCACTTTAAGAGACTTGGAATATCAAACTATATGGCATGGGAAGTTGCCCAGATCTGCGAACTCTGTCGCAAGAACGACTGGATCCAGCCAAGCGTCTACCAAGGTGTCTACAACGCTCTGCATCGCTCAGTCGAGCCAGAGCTCTTCCCTTGTCTACGCTACTACAACATCGCCTACTATAACTACAACCCATTAGCTGGCGGTTACCTGACCGACCGCTACAAGAGGGAGGATGCAGACAAGGATATCGAGAGTGGTTCACGCTTCGACCCCAACAAGTGGCAGGGCAAGATGTACCGCGGCCGTTACTGGAGAGAGGAATATTTCGCTGCTCTCGACTTGCTCCGTCCGGTCGCTAAGAAGCATGGCTTTACTGAAGCTGAATGTGCCCTGCGCTGGATGCAACACCACAGTCAGCTGCAGCGAGAAAAGGGCGATGCCATCATCATTGGAGCTTCGTCTCCTCATCACATCGAGTCGAATTTGAAGGATATGGAAAAGGGTCCTCTCCCGGCCGATGTTGTTGAAGCTTTGGACAAGGGTTGGGAGTTGTGCAAGGGCATCAGTGGAAGATACTGGCATTAAGAAGCCCTCTTGCTGTTAGATTGTGCTCGTCCAAACAGACGTATGCTTACCTATGATACTGCTCAAATGAAAATGATAAATGCAAGCAATGGATATGTCCGCCTAGATGGTCAACTCCAGACCACTTTTGCTAGCAGTGTTTGGTGAGGTGTTTCCCAATGCATCAGGGAAATAGCCAGTGCTACATCCACTCGAATGATTATCCTCCAAACATAACATAAGTGCTGAATTTTCATTTGTGTTCTTGGATAAAATCAGAACAATCATGAGCAGGAGCAACAGGGCGTTGACCACACCATTCGCTGAGACGGTCTTGGCACAATGCACCCCTCTCCTCGACCCCTTCTCCGCCATCGTAAGCGGAGAAGCGACGATCCATCAATTGTTTCTGGCTCGGTATTGATTTTGAGAGTAGGTAATGGGGACGGGCGGCATGTATACAAGAGTAGAAGACGCCCCAGAGAGTTGGAAGGCTCTACCACCTCTTCCCTCCGAGAAGCAACGCCTCACCAAACGCTCTCTTTTTGGCATCCAAATACTCCTATTCGTTGGTGCCGTCACATTCTTCGTTATGTTATACAAATCGTTTGCATTTGGCACAGCCATTGGATGTGTCAGTGGAGCCGCTCTCTCTTCGTCCAGAGCCCATTTGAGCGATACTCCTCAGTACTTCCAGACCAAGCCTGAGCTGTTCGCTGGTTAGTCTACATATATGACATGCATTTCGACCAATGCTGATGTTTCCAAGGTCCGACTCCAACTGGTCCCGCTCCATTCTTAGCACAAACCAATCCTGCTCCTTTCTTGGGCACATCCTACATCCCGAACAGTCCCCTGGAGACACAAATTCCAATCGCTGGCAACAAAAATGACTCGAATATCTTTCAGATGATGGGTCAACTCTCTCACTACTTTCCCAACCCTGTCGGGTTTGGCGTGGACGAATACTCGCTCCCTCCTGGTGCTGAGATCGTTCAATTAAACATGTTGTCTCGTCACGGATCTAGATATCCTACCACTGGATCTGGTGCCTTCAAGTTCGGCCAAAAGCACAAAAACATGACCGGTGATGTAAGGTACACCGGCGAACTTTCCTTTTTGAACGACTGGAATTATCAGTTGGGCGCTGAGATTCTCGTACCTATCGGCAAGCAGGAGCTTTTCGATTCTGGCACCCTCCACTACTATCAATACGGACATCTCTACCCAAACAATGGCAGCAAGATCATTGCCAGAAGCACAACTCAAGATCGTATGACAAAGTCTGCAGAATACTTCCTGGCTGGCTTCTTTGGACTCGAATGGCCTACCAATGTTACCTTGCTACTCGCCATCGAAGACTCCACTGGTGTTTGGAACAACTCGCTAGCCGGATACTACAATTGCAACAACAGTAACAACTACCGTAGTGCCGGTGGTAATAACGCTACTATCGAGTGGTACGAAACGTATCTTGCCGATGCTACTGCACGTCTGCAAAAGCTGGCCCCAGGCTTCGGTTGGACACCCAAGGATTCGTACGATGCACAATCACTGTGTGCTTACGAAACTGTAGCTTACGGCTACTCTCAATTCTGCGGCCTGTTCACCTACGAAGAGTGGCAAGGATATGAATACAGCATTGATATACAATTCGCTGGCAACAACGCTTTCCAGTCTCCCACTGGTCGTGCTGTCGGTATCGGATACGTGCAAGAAGTACTTGCTCGTCTTCAGCATCATACAATCGACTCTCCAATTGCCCAAATCAACGTCACACTGGACAACAATACAGCAACATTCCCCCTTGATCAAAGCCTCAATTTTGACTTCTCGCATGACACCAATATCATGAGTATCTTGACCGCATTTGGCTTTACTCAGTTCGCTCAGTTCTTGCCATCTGACCGTATCGTCCCTCATGAATTGGTTGTCTCGCACTTGGTAGGCGATTGAAACATTTCCCTATCAAGAGCAAAGCTAATGAGGCTAGGAACCTTTCGCCGCCCGTCTAGACATTGAGATCATCAACGCTCCCGCTCCCGTAAAGGCATCACGCAACAACACTGATCTCTACGAAGAGGGTACGCAATATTCACAGCACTCAAAACCGGCTCATACACTAACGAATACCCACAGGCAAAGCAACAAAGTACATCCACTTCATCCTCAACCAACGCACTATTCCACTCCACCGCAGTTTCCCTGACTGTGAGGAGCGCGACGATGGATGGTGTGAACTCGACATTTTCCTCGCTGTACAAAGTAAGAGTTTCGAGATCTCACAGTATGATTGGGCCTGCAATGGAGATTATGAGGCTGTTCCTTATGGTGAGGTTACCAATGGCGTGCCTACACAGACAAGCTCGTAAAGATGGGTCGATACGAGAAGTTGAAGTTGGGTGTTTGTTAGGTTATTGTTTTAGTAGGAATAGACTGTCGTTTTATATCATTTTCTGTCAAGGGCTGTCAAGTGAGTGATGCTTGTAATTTTTATACGGAAGGCGCGCTTTGTACTTCGCAATAAGCTCTACTCGATGTCAACATATTTGAGATCAATGTGAAGAAACCCCGGAAGCCAAACATACAGGAGTCATAGAAGTCTGTTTCAGCACACAAAGCCCATGGAGAGTCTGTTCCTACTTGGGACTTATACAGCAGTCCTATCATCCATTCTGTCACCATTACTGATAACGGGGCTTGAAAGATCATTATAGCACTGTAATGGATGGAGAGAAAGAGTTTAGGAGGGTAAGATGGTTATGTACATGTTTGTTGGAGGGCCGGAGCTTAGTAAGCGGTAGTCTCGTGATGTAGTAAGTTTGTTTGCGAAACTCGTGATTGGAAGGAAGGAAGGTGGATGCGATGGAAGGATATAGATGTGATGGCTTCTTCTGATTCAAAAGATGTTTACTGACAACATGTCCGAAAAAAACCTCCAATCTAGAAATCAGCAATATGCGTACCAATACCACGCTCCCTAGCAATCCTAACAACCTCATTACCAACAACCACGTCCATCAACCCTAACCCGACAATCTTGGCAATAACGTTACCTTTGCAAAGCCACTCTTTCAAGCCTGAATCATCAGAAACTTGAATGCCGTCGCCCTTGTTATCAGTATCACCCTTCTTTGCCGCCTCTGCAGCCGCCTTCTCAGCTTCACGTTTGAGCAATACGAGTTCGCCTATCTCGACGACTTGGTGGGGTTGAACGTTCGCTTGGATCAATTCACCAGCTTCTTGGAGACAAGCTTCTATACTGTCGACGATGATGGCACCGCCTTCCTTTTGATGTTTGTGGAAGTGGCGGTGTTCGTGGTGGGGTGCTACGGCGGATTTGATGATGTCGGGGTGGAGTTCGATCATGTGTGGTTTGTAGCTGCCGATGAGTGCAATGTAGCGGCCCTTCTTGCGGCCCCCAGGGTTGAGAAGATAGTTTGGAGGAAACAGAGGTTGTGTGCTGGGGGTCGTGCAGAAAATGACATTAGCGCTGCGGACGTATTCTTTGAGGAGGCGGGTATATTCCGTGTGGCCGGTGGTGAGGATGCTTGTCTTGGTCTTGTTGCCGTATTTGTGGCCGAGAGGGTTCTCATAGTCTGGGTCATCCGGGAAGGGGTTGTAGAGTTTCATCAACATTTCGCGTGCTCTGTCGAAGGAGCGATTGATAACATTTACGTGGTGAATTTCTGAGCCGCGGAGAAGGAGAGCTAAGCGGATGTGCCAGTAGGCTTGCTTGCCCGCGCCGAAGACGGTCAAGTCGTGCACTTTGTGTCTTCTCTTAAGAAGCATACAGCTGGTCAGAGCTGTGCGAAAGGCAGTGAGTTCCTCAGCATTGACCAAAGCACTGGGATTCCCTTGGTTGTCGAACAAGGTCAAGGAACCACGAGGTACTGAAGCTGGTTTTGACTCGTCTGATATAGAAGAAGCTAAAGTCGTACCAGACATGGAGGTGGGTCGAGACTTGGGGCCACTGGTAGAAGATTGTGTCGACTTGGTTGATCCGATAGATAATCTCTTGAGGTCCGGGGTGGTTTCTGGTTTGTTGACCGAATCCAGAGTGATAACTTTGACACCCATGCCAGAGCTGCTAGATGCCGGCATGAACAAGCTGGTCGCTCCATCGGTTCTTTTCATGTGAATTCTTTGAGGTTGGTATGCTGAGCAGCAACCGTCCTCCTCTCCAGCTGTGGAATATTGATGCAAGGCATCAGCCAGAGATTGTTGAATGTCATCGATATCCTGACTGGTAAGAGAGTGCAATACTCTTTGAACATCATGGTCCGATAACACCGTGACAGGCATCCTGCAAGCTTTTTGGTCGCGATGACTGCGTTATCAGTGAAAGGTGAGAGGTTTCCGAAGGTCGGCAATATGTGTCAGACTGGAGACACTGCTGGATATATGTTGGTTTGATTCAATGATGCCAGCGATCAGAAGTGCGACTTCTTTGATGCCAGACCGAGATGGGGTTGTTTGTTAGCCTTGAGTATCCAGACTAATAGTAGTATGTTGCACAACAGAAGGTGGTTGCGGTTGCGGAGAGATAGTAAGCAGGTTGGCCGTCGGTTCAGCACGGCTCAAGAGGTTGGGATTGTCTTGTCGGACGCCCAGAAAGTTTCCCGTTACTTCCCCGTCTCGAGTCGCAACGAATGCTGCCTCGCGATAGAGATTCCGAACGAGTGATTGCCATGTTTTGTGTTGCAATAACCTTCGAGCCCCAATATGATCGGTCTTGTTGTTTTGCTTCTTCATTCATCCGTAGGCCACTACTGAGGCAAAAACAGCGTGAAAGGCATGCGTTGTCTTGATACTTAATGCATAGGAAGCACCAATAAGTAGTGGATGCCGGATATGACATGTGAGCTCGGAATGAGACCTGTGAAAACACAGCACTATCGCATAAAGACAGGTCACTTATAGCACGAAAAAAGCAGAAGAGGTCGCAGAGAGAATAAAAAGCCATGGTTACCACAATAGGAAGCGGGAAGTGAGTGATTGGCTGGACGTGCCAAGAGTTTAGCGAAGACTGGCGCCCGCGCACCAGAGCTTTTTCTTCACCTTCGCGCAAACTTCTGGTTTCCTTCTTCCCAGCCGCGACCCATCAGTCAACCACCGACGTCCAGTTCGACAATCATTCAAAATGGTAAGCTCGCACCATATTCTCGGACCTTGAAGCGCTGTCGTCTCTGCAGTGCAATGCGCCGATGCGCCTTGCAATTCCCGCTTGCCTGCGGGCGCAGCAATTCAAGATGATGTTCGACATCAACATCTATTGTAGTCGTGCTTCCTGAAAGACGGAAGACGGCAATGACCAATGGCTTGGGCTTGTGACTGGAGTAGAAATACTCGTCAGCGCAGCCCTTTAGAGTCAAAGCAATGAGCATTGTGCTGATTTGCTTTCTCAATGATAGCCTCCTAAGTCTGGAAAGAAAGTTGCCGCCGCCCCCTTCCCCCAGGGCAAGGCCGGTGTCTCCAAGAAGAATGCCAAGGTGAGTTTAGCATCTTCCTACTGACTCCAGCGACACCCGCGTGCTGACAAGACCTCCAGAACCCTCTCATCGAGAGACGTCCCCGCAACTTCGGTATCGGTCAGGACATCCAGCCCCGTCGCAACCTCTCGCGCATGGTGCGCTGGCCCGAGTATGTCCGCCTTCAGCGTCAGCGCAAGATCCTCAACATGCGCCTGAAGGTTCCCCCGGCCATTGCCCAGTTCTCCCAGGTTCTGGACCGCAACACCGCCGCCCAGGCCTTCAAGCTCCTCAACAAGTACCGCCCTGAGACCAAGGCCGAGAAGAAGGAGCGTTTGACCAAGGAGGCCACCGCCGTCTCCGAGGGCAAGAAGAAGGAGGATGTTTCCAAGAAGCCCTACACCGTCAAGTACGGTCTCAACCACGTTGTTGGCCTCATTGAGAACAAGAAGGCCTCTCTCGTCCTCATCCCCAACGATGTTGACCCCATTGAGCTCGTTGTCTTCCTTCCCGCTCTCTGCAAGAAGATGGGTGTCCCATACGCCATTGTGAAGGGCAAGGCCCGTCTCGGAACGGTCGTCCACAAGAAGGTGAGCTTTTCCTCCACGATACTTCTCTTTTTTCAGCCACATACTAACAACACATTCAGACCGCTGCCGTCCTCGCCTTCACCGAGGTCCGCTCCGAGGACAGCTCCGAGCTCTCCAAGCTCGTTTCCGCTGTCAAGGACGGTTACATGGCCAAGAACGAGGAGGCCAAGCGCCACTGGGGTGGTGGTATCATGGGTGCCAAGGCTGTTGCTAAGCAGCTCAAGAAGCAGAAGGCCCTTGACAACGCCATCAAGATCTAAGTGCCTTGATTGTCACTTGATGTCTGGCGTTGGCTTGCGACTGGGGTTCTGGTGGGAAACAAAAGCTTTTCGAGTTATCTTCCGGCACCAGAATGACAGTTTTGTCGTGCTGCAAAAAAATTCTTTTAACGACTCCAATGATACCCATATTCCATTCTGTTACAAGTGATCCCACTACATGCGCAATGACTTGAGTGATATGTCGGCGCCATAAGCAATATGCAACAGTTCTAACTCGCTGATCTTCTGTGAGATATCTACCATTGTCCAGATTCTGTTCTCAATCTGAGCTTCGTCTGTCATGTACATGCCCTCTTTCTGTCCTCTTCCCTTCATCTACTTTGTCGCTCTTGACCTGTCCTGCTTGAGCAGTGGCGCAACTGCTTCGCATGCATAACACGAGATCCACCTGCGTCTGCAGGCCATGGCTAGCGCAGGTCAACCAATACCTTACTGCCGGTTACCTCATTCAAGGCTTCGTAGAAGTGTTGATGTGTTGACATAAATGTCGTTCTCTGTGGTTTGGATCAATTGCTCATATGTCATGATCATGACTTCTGAGCTGTCTCGAACCATTTCTTCACCGCAGTGGTACCATCATGGGCAGCGCGGAACACTGCAGGATGTTTAGATTAACCTTCATCTTGGATGGCATTCGGTTGGGCATCAACACTTACACTGTCGTTCTGTCTCGTCCAACCCCCTTGCGAAGTCGGCACCCTCACCCAATGCACTTCGTGAATTTAGCGCTTGGTCTGAGATTTCAGCTGCACGTTGCTTGAATGTCTGTTCGAGCAATATGAGAATGTGATCAGAACACGAAAGCATCGATGATACTCACATCGGTCAGAATGTCGACCATTTCTTCTTCTTCGAATAACTCTAGCATGCGAGCTCCGATATTGTAGAAATGCTGTGCCTGGGCTCGTAGATCTACAGTCTTTGGATCTGCTTTGAGAGCATTCATTACGCGCTGTGATAGTGCTTGTGGTAGATCTAGGGTTGCGAGTGATGAGTTGCCAGATGGGTTACTGACGGCCAGCATTTCGGCTAGCCAGAGTGGTAGTTCTACCTTGGAGCCTTGTTTGATCTGAGACAGAAGGTCAGTTTCGGTTGGTATATCAGAGGAGATTGGAGAGACACATACATCTTCTCCTGGATTGCCCTGCAGGTAGCCCATGTTGGGTACTGAGAGTTCGAATGTGCAAGGAACTTTCTGTTGTTCAGTCAGTCCGTGTGTCTGAGTCGAATGTTGACGTCTTTTATACCTGAGCATCCGTCAAGATAGCATCGATGTTGTAGTATGAACCCATATTTGCTGTTTTTTCGAGTAGAGACAATGAAATTGGAAAAAGGAAGAAAAATGACAGAAGAGAGCAAAAATCCAGAGACACGGAAGCGGGACAACTGTTTCTCGCAAAAGAAATCGGACAAACAGTGGTCGGGAAAATTGTAGTGAGAGTATGCACGGAGGCTGCGTGCGTAGTCGTGTTACTGCCTGGACTGAGAAACGATATTTAAGACGGAGCTCTTTCCCAGCAAACACGATAGTTCCTTCCGTCGAAAAACCACAAAGTCTTTCGGTCGTCTTCAAGGGTGTTCAGAGCTTTCTGGTCAGTCAAATATCATGGTTATGATTTGTTGTACTCGAGTCCAGATGGCAGACGCGTAGACGCGACTCGAGATTGAAACTACGGAGATTAGAAGTATAAAGACCGGCGGACTGACTCGCTGCAGATCATCAAAGCTCCGCTCCCAGCAGCGGCAACGAAACAACCCAAGGCGAGTGCACAACATCGCATCCATCAAAGGGGCGATTTTATTATCATTTCTAGACCGACGTTGCACAAGCGAACCCTACACAGAAAGAGACAGGGCCACTCTATACAGGCCATCTCTTCACACAAGACTTCAAGAAGGTCTTCGTGTCGTGTGAGCAGCGCCATCGACATCGACGTCAGCTTCGCAGCCGTTCATCCTCAATGAAGTGGTAGAAGGTCGACGCAAACACGCAAACACATCATGGTCAACAACGATGACCCAGGCAACCATGCCGCCCATGGATCGTCTGGAAGAGATACAGCAATGCTCGACGTCAACCACGACAGCACACATGTATCCAGCAACGACATGTCAAGAAACACAACGCCCGATGGCCTCGACAACAGGTCAAGTCGAACACGCCCTCGCGTTTTCCCCTACACCAAATACCTACCTTACGACACCGAGACGCCTGAGCAAAGACAGCAAGATGTGGACGAAATGATCAAACACCTATACATTGCCGTCAGTTCGGGCGACTTTGTACCGGGAGCTGTACACTGGACAAAAGAGATTCGCGGATGGTTGTCGCTGAAGTTCGACCTCAGTCGCCAACAGCGTATCAGCCTGACCAAGCTCTACTATGAGCTTGCGCTGGCGCCAGGTCTCGAGTACACGGTCGCCGAGCGCTTTGCCAGCATGTTCATGGTCTTGACCAAGCGCCGCCACTACCTGAAGCCTATCGATGACCTGGTGCTGGACTGGAGGCCGCTATACCAGGAGATCAAGGTCTTTGTGCTGCCGGGCGAGTTCGCGACCCCTAACACCTTCTCGAGCAAGCGTAGCATCCGTACCTTGACCAAGATCTGCACCTTCGCTCAGCTCTTCTTCGACCCACAAGAGATTCCTGCCATACTCGATGAGCTCCTTCCATTCTTCTCCATGTCGCCCTCGGAAAGCGCCTATGTTGTTCTCGGTCTACTCAATCTTTTCTTCCCCACTCACGCCCCTCCGCCCAACCAACCCAAGCTTCAACCTCAAAATTATCTACCCACATTCTTCCATCTGTGGTCCATCATAAATCGCTCGACTCTCACAGACCAGCGCTTCCTCGATATGTTCTCTAGACTGTCGCGCGACTGTTTGACCGTCGAGCATGTACCATTCGGCGAACATGGTATCTACACCGCTGAGCAGACATCCATGATCTTCACCTCTATCTTGAGGCTTCTCGAGATCCCTGTGGGCCAGGCCTCGTCACCGTATAATCTTAACATTGACCTCGGTGCCGGTCTGTCTCTTCTGCTCGAGCGTGATCCTCGCAAGCACCCAGCCTCCCGAAGCATTGCGCGATGGATCATCATGTCCTTGTCCCCAGCTTGTCTAAAGGTTAAGGATGGTAGGTCCATTCTGCACCAGCTGGAGGGTCTGATTCAAGGTATCGAGACCTTCTTCCACCCTTCGAATACTGGCACTTGGACAAAGACGCTGTCACAGCTCGTCTACTACCTGGCAGACTTCTTCGTCATGCGTTGGAACAGAGAAGAGAGTGGAGAGTACAAGATGCCTGCTGAGCGTAAATTGACCCCTGAGCTGAAGAAGCGCTTTGTGCTTTGCTTGAGAGAAGTTGTCTTCATGAACATCTACTCCAAGAGTGGCACTGCTGTCAACTATGCTCTGTCTACCTTGCAGTGTCTGGCATTCCTTGAGCCGAATTTGATACTTCCTGGTGCTTTGCAAAGAATTTACCCAGCCATGCAAGGCTTGGTCGAAGTGCACAGAACTACTTCATCCATTCGTGCTCTTCAAATGCTGTCTAGAATCATCGCTCGCACCAAAGGTTTCAGATGTCATCTAACAACTCTGCTTGGGCTTGCTCTTCCTGGTATCGATGCCAATGATCTTGACAAGACTATGAACTCGCTATCTTTCGTTCAGGCTGTTTGCTACAACATCCCGCTGCACGACCTTACCAAAAGTGCTCAGACAGACTCAGATGGTGAGCCCATGTCTGGTAGCACTGCTACTGCAGTCGAATGGATCACACAGCAAGTCGATCGCTTCGAGCAGGAAGGTTCTTTGATTGAGTTGGACTATGAAAATGAGCTTTCCGACGAGGACGAGGAGATCATTCTTCGCTCGTCCACTGCTGGCTTTGCGGAGTTCTTGATCGCTTTCCTCGGCCGTGTCTTTACACTGCTTCAGAATCTGCCTGATGCTTCCCGTGTGAAGAGCGGTTCTCCCGAAGAGAACGTCGTCAACACCCTACCAGCCGCTTTTGCGCCTTTGCTTGCAGCTTTGTCTCCTGAACTCTACGACATTGCGCTGCAACAGATTGCCAAGTTCGTCACCAATCATGTCGTACACCAAGCTCGCGATGCTATGGCATTCATCTGCAATACTCTGGTCAAAGTCAATCCCAAGAAGGCACTGAACCGTCTTCTGCCCGACCTCATTTCAAGCATCAGAACCGAGATTGACGAGAACGGTGCTGGTTCGAGCAGAACTTCTGGTTCGGAGATTCTTCCTCGTGATCGTGCTCTAGTGTGGAATATCAGTCTGTTGAGCATGTGCGTAGTTCACGTAGGCTCCGATGTGCTTGACTTCAAAGATGAGCTGTTCGACATTGCCAGCTACATGCAAGACAAGTGTAAGGGTATTCCTCTGGTTCATGTTTCGAACTTTGTTCATCACTTGCTACTCAACCTGACTGTCACCTACACTACCGACTATTCTCTGTACGATCAGGCAGATCTGGACAAGGGACTGCAACCCAATGACTGGGCCAAATTGCCTGATCCAAAGAACTTGAACGTACTGTGGCATGTGCCTAAAGAGGCCGAGATTGAGTTCGCTGTCAGAATTTTCGAATACCAAGGCAAGCGTTCGATTGATGCACTGAATGCGTTGACTAGTAGCAACGATTCGCCTGTGAAGCGAGACGGAACAGGCAAAGACTGGTCGGACGAGGTGTCTCGCAATCTCGTCCTCTTACGTCTGCTCATATCTGGTATCTCTTGCTTCTTCCGCTCAGACGATGAATCTGTCACGCCCGTCAGTGGTCATGACACGGAAGTCAACGGCAGCATCTCACCCAAGCAAGAGGTACAACAGAGTCCAAGCGACCTTACAGAACCCGACGACGACAAGATACGTAAGACATTCATCTATCCCACCGGTTACCCTCTCAAGACCAGCAGCCCGCATTACGAAACAGTCCACAAGTTACGTCGCCTCACTGGCGAGACTTTACATCGTGTTCACGAGTTCTTGACTCAGCATCAACAAGATGACGTTCTCTGCTTCAACGCCCTCTACACGGCCTATCGCTCATGGTTTATCGACATTGGTATTGAGCGATCTGCTCACGTTCTGGACAGGTTGACGCGACTTTTGTCAGCAGATATCCACCCCTATAAGTTCAGTGGTACGCGCAAGGCATATCCCCGACCTTTACTCGCCAGACGTGCCAACTTGTATCACTTCCAACGCCTGAGGTACAATGAGTCTCCTCGTGCAGCATCTGACCTCGACAAGATCCTTTTGCTCGATCTAGCTCAGTCAAGTGTATCTGTCTACACCGACATTCGACGTACAGCTCAGACTGCATCTGAGTCGGCAGTGCAATGCATCATTGGGGCCAAACCTCTCGTCATTCCTCCTCTTCTTGATGCTCTGGAAGACGCTGTAAGCAAGACTGACTTCCCACGTATCAAGGGTGCTGTCTTTTCTCTGCTCTTCGGCAGTCTAGCTCGTCCTATCGAGCGCAACTGGAAGTTTACTCCTAGACTTATCAGGCTTTTCATTCGTGTGGGCGAGACAGACAAACCCAGCATTCAGAAGCTCGTCAGTAACGCCAATTTCCAAGTGCATTCAATGTGCAGAGCATTGGATCGCATGGTCATCTTGGATGAAAAGACGGTCGATAGTATTTGGCCAGCCGAAAGTAACTCTCAGCTTTCAGATACGTCCAAGATGGTCGCAACTTCCCTTGAGGATGCCAAGGCGATGCTTCCTCCAAAGCAGGATCGCATCCGTCAACGCAGAATGCTGATTGAAGGAAAGAAGTCCGAGCTTTCCTCAGAGCTGGTCGTTATGATCAAGGACTCACACTGGCGCAAGGCTCAGCGCGTTGCAGCTCTTGTTATTGGTCTTGATTACCGCTATGAGACTATTGCTTCAGATGGTATGCTTGATCTGGTCGTGAAAGGTGTCATTGACTCGCATCCGTCATTGCGTGTGCTTTTCGCCAACGCTCTACTAGCCATCTGCAGTCTCATCCAGACCAGATCTATGACTGAGCATAAGTACGAGAACTATCTTCTTGACAAGCAATTCCCACCTGACCGTATGGTCGTCAAGACTAAGCCGGAGGACCCCAACTGGACCAAGCAGTATCTCGATGCTTTCTCGCAACCAGAGGCGGAGTACTATGTTGATGCTGAATATCCTGGTTGGTTGGTCTGGAGCGATGTCATGCGTGTTTCCAAGAACCATGCAGTCGACCTGGATTATGACGAAATCGAAGTCGAGACTCGCAAACGTATCGGCAAACACATCGACCGTCAGTGGATCTCAGTGTTCTTTGACTACATGAAGCAAGAGCCTCGCGACGCCCAAGATCGTTTCCGTACGACAAACTGCACAGTCATGTCTTGGGTTCTGGATCTCGTCATGGTTGGTTTGACACCAGCCACCTTTGACGATGTGGTCGACCTTACCAAGGCCACTTTCGGCGATGGCAGTGACAAGCACCAACATCGTGCCACTGCAGAAATCATGGGTGCCTTGATCAATGCTGCAGAGGACTGTCAGCCGAAGGTCAAGGAGAAGGTTTGGGAGTTTGTCTTCCCCCTTCTCCAGCGAGTCTTCCAGGATGGTCTGACCCCGGAGAACTTGTCATACTGGAGCAGCTTTTTGACTCTCACAGGATGTGCAAGAGATCCTAGAAGATGCTGGCCTCTGGTCGACTACTTCTCCAGCTTCAGACTGGACATGTCAACCAACGCTGCTTTCAAAGAGAGCTCCAAGATCACCCTACTTCAGCTCGTGATCGGCACTTTCGGCTGGCATTTCCAGAAGGAGAAGCCTATCCTCGAAGACTTCTTGACACATCTTGACCATCCTTACAAGGGTGTCCGCGAGAACATTGGTCACACTTTGTCATCCATCTACCGTAGTCGCTACTACGAGGGATACAAGGATATTCAGACTCTCATGGAGACACAAAAGGCTGCATCGCCCATTGGAACGCGACCTTACCAAGCAACAGACGAGTTCCGCGCAACCATCAAGGACGTCTTTGACAGGCTTGAGAAGTGGCGTCAAGAACGACCTCCGGGTATCCAAACCCCGACACCGTACACGCAGGCCAGCAAGACTGTACTGTACTGGTTAGAATCGACAGTCAACAACTATGACTGTACGACCCTTGTTGAGTTCTTGCCTGCTCCTTTCATGCAACAACTTCTCAACATGATGGACGTCAAGGAAGACCCCGAACTGCAGTCACATGCATGGAGTGTTTTCAAGCAATTCCCCAACATCCCTCACCGAAAGGGCGAGGACGAGGCTCTCGCAAAGAGTCTTGTCGAAATTGGCAGAACTAGCTCTGCATGGCATCAACGTCTACGTACTTTGATCAACATCCAGGTGCTCTACTTCCGCTACTTGTTCATCATGGAGTCCTCAAGACGTGAATACCTCTTGAACAGCGTCAGAGATATGCTGCACGACACACAACTCGAAGTGCGTCTTGGGGCAGCTCAGACCATCTCTGGCATGATTCGTTGCTCACCAGTTGAATTCCGCGACAAAGCCGTCACAAATTTGAAGGATCACTTCACACAGCTGCTTCTCAACAACCCCCTTCCCAAGAAGGGTAGAAATGCTGGTCCACCTGGCACACCCACACCTGAGCAAAATCGTCTTGTCATCACTCGTCATGCTGCTGTCCTTGGTCTTGGCTCGCTTGTCCAAGCCTTCCCTTACGCCAGTCCGCCGCCGCAGTGGCTGCCTGAGGTGTTGGCCACTCTTGCCATGAAGGCTGCCAATGACCCTGGTGTTGTCGGCAAGGCCGTCAAGACCATCTTGAGTGAGTTCAGGAAGGTGCGACAGGATACTTGGCATGTGGATCTCAAGGTAATAACTATTCTTAAACTTCTCACATGACATGGCAATTTACTAACATTGATTTATAGGTATTCAAGCCTGAACAGCTGGAGGATCTGGAGGGTGTTTTGTGGAAGAGTTACTTTGCATAGACGAAAGCACTAAAGAGGAGGGACGGAAATTTTGCAGCGAGCGAGTCTTTCTCCTTCGGCATTGCAACTATTCAATCTTGGTCTCTTCTTCATCATTGCGGGCTTTGTCGTTACTAATGCATTTGGGGGCTAGCCTTGTCATTGTAGAACATTTGAATCAAAGACTATTTTACGCGCTTTCGTTCGCAACTTTAAACCATGAATTAATCGAAGAACGTGACTGACAGCTTGTGAAATGATGCCAACGAAAAGATGCCGTGTTCATCATTTCCGTGTTTACAGAGAACTAGGAACCAATCGTGTCTTTTCTTCTTATGGTCTATCCAATGAATCTACGCGTACCAAGGCAGCCACTTCCCTCGAGTGACGCCTTGCCACGGACTAAGTGGTATGGGCCACATGCGCCAATATCCAAGATTACGACCTGCTTCGCCGAGCAGAGGCAGCACTAGACAACACCAAGCCGCAAACCATACGATGTTCAACATGACATATATCGGTTTTGGTGTGTCCAAACCACGCAACACCCTCGAAACAACCATCTCAAACGCAAATCCCAGCGGTTGTGCCCAGAAGAACTTGAGAATAAGCCAACGGATCTCATTCGCAGACTTGACTGCGAACGCCGGCTCTGGTGGCACAAGACCGATGTGCACGATGCCTGAAAAGAAGAACGTTGTGGCAGCTAGAAGGAAGTAACGGTAATAACTGCGGCGAGGGAGGTGCGTGAAGTCCGCAATCCAGACTCCTGGGCCTGAACAATAGTGCCTCAAGGTCTGGTGCCAGTAGCGACCCCAGAAGTTGCGGACTGCACCAAGATTTTGGGTTGTAAAGACACCCCTAAAACTGCCGAAGAAGGTTGGCCACAGGTGAGGGCTCCAGGGATCTGAAAGGTAGCCGGCCCAATGTAAAGCTACCGGTAGGCAGCAGGGTAGTTGGAACTGCTGACCAACTGTCGCCCAGACCTGAAGTGCCATGACTGTACATCGGAGTAGCCGAGGTGGTATTAACGTAATCAATCCTGTATTTGGCAGAGGCGAATCAATGCTCACACCAAAGGCCTTGAAGTAAGGGTCTTGCTGTGTCCAGGCAGACGTGAGATCCACTACAACAAAACCAGTCAAGGTCCGTAAGATAGCCGTGAGTATGAAGCGCAAATGGCTTGGAGGATTTGGATGACGGTCAGGTTGTCTGGAATCATGAGAAGGCACTCCAATCTTCCAGTCCACGAAACGCATCGAGTGGAGGAGCGTCCCAATCCAAGGCAACCTCTCACTCCACTTGACAGGGTATGACTGGTCAACGTATTGCGGTGTCGTTGACTCATCTTGGTGGTCACGGACATCTGACACCGCACTTTTAACCTCTCCGGCGGTGGCCGGTTTAGACTCATTGATGGCGACGACTCTCCGGAAGTTGCGGCGCGGGTCGTTGAACAAGAGCAGGTGATAGCTGTGCAATAGCATGTCAAATGAGATGACATCGATGCCACCCATGATTATCCATGCGTGTACAAGAGAGGCTGTTATGATAGGCAACGTGATTGCGCATAGCGTCTGCTTCGAAGCGATCCATGGTGGTACTGAGAAGGCGATTGGAAGTAGCAGCAGAGGCACGAAATAGCTCAGGCTCTGTGGCCCAGGCACCAGGCGATTTACCAGGTAGTGATAGGTTAGGCCTGTCTCCATATGGCTGGAAGAGGTGGGAAATGTTAGGATGTTATCTGGTCACGTTGGACGATAACTTGGTTTTCTTGTCTGACAGCGGTTTCGAGGCCATATCATGTCGTCATGGAATTTATTCAGGAACTGCATGGATATTCTGTAGGATATGTAAATCATGTTTGGAAGGAATCTTTGGGATGTCCATGTTTGCTGGGCACATGAGAGGCATTTGTTCTTCACGGTGTTCACCATGGAAATAACGCCATGCTCAGCCAACCTTCCAAATTAGCACGAACATCGAGAAGCCCAGCGGACACTCCGCATGCGCCCGCAGGCAAAAAAGCGCTCGCGAGCCTCAACGATTCAGTAAACAAGACGTGGAGAATTGCTGGGGGAATCGCATGAACTCGAGCATCGAATTTTAGATTCTGCAGAAGCTTCGAGCCTTCTTCGAGCGGCTTCGCCGCCGTCTAGACGTTGCAGCCACCGCAGATGGTACGGGCGTACAAGTACTCAGAGTGGAGGCGCTAGACGAGGTGTCCATACCGAGCCAACAAGCGTTTCCACGATGACCGAAACCGGACACGCGCTTTGTGACTTGGTCTCGCCACCAACACTATTTTGTCTGGTGACCATCAAAATCAAGCCAAGCTGATGGCAAGGCTGCCTAAACTCATCCCCAGAGTCCGCCTGTTTGCGTGTCAAATTGACCTAGCAGGATGCTTTGATTACCTTCCTGTCAGAACATGTGAGGACAGACGATGGTAGATAGCAGTAGTGAATGGATGGACGATAAAGTTGCGGGTCGCAATCAGTTGGACAGGGTCAGAGTGGGGAGATGGCTGTTGAGAAGAATTCGTCATGTAGGAGTGCGTGTGGCGCGGGGGTCACCTTATCGTGAGTCACATCCTCCTCTGGCGAGCACGAGCTGGGGCGGACGCCGGGCAAGCACTTCACTGCTCTCCCTCGAACGAAGACTCTACAAACCATCGACATAATGAAGGACCAAATGATCCAAATCGTTCGACGCGAGTAAGAGTGGAAGAGATACGTGTTCGACTCATAGTTCCTGTTCAAATACCGATTATTACTGCTTTACGCGGTATTCGCTTTTGATCCTCGCTTTCGCGATCAGGCACCACCGAGTTGCCACTTGCTTGCCACGCTCCACGCTTCCAACTACGTCGCTGGTGTTAGTCACCGCCCACTATCCTCTTATACCCTCTTGTTTGCTTCCACCCTCTCCTACATCAACACCCCCTTCCGATATCCGTCGAAGGGTTCTTTGTTGCTTGTGTTTCCCATACACCACTTCTCCACTCCACCGCCGGCTGCTCCACTCCGCAGGCTTCACCTAATCGCCGCTTAATCCCTCCACGTACAACACAACAACACCCGACTACACCTTGCTCCAACAAGCCTTCTGTCAAACTGGCCCTGACCCCGGCACGCAATAGTTAACCACCTGCTTTACTGTCGCCTCCTTCTTCGCCGCACCAGGCAGCTATGCTCATTGGACCCTCCTCGCTTGTTATCACTCCGGTCGCTTCTTACTCGAAATTCATTACCAAAACTCAAGAGATGGGCTCGTACATGTGGTAAGCCCCTGACAGGGCCAACCGCTGTCTACTCCTGCCGCACTTTCTGCCTTACGGAAAGAAAGTGCCCTAGGAGTCATCATTTGAAACCTGGTACCTTCGCGTACTGCCGACTGGAAGACTGCTCTTCTGCTATATCATGACGGTTTACTCTTCCCGGATACCTCTACCCTTTACCACAACACACCAACACACATACCACCCACCTCACATCATGGACCTCGGTCGCACATCATCATATGGTCGTTCGATCGTCTCTCACGAACACGTCCGCACTCTTGAAAAGACACACACAACCTCTACTACTTTATCTCTGTCGCAACCCAACTCCAACCCCGTACCTCCTGAACAACGTCGCAACCCTCGTCGCAGTCAGGGAAATGCTCTACAAAAACCTCCAACTCTTGTACGCCAAGAAGAGCGCAAGGCTTCATTCGTGGATGGCCTCGTCGGTGAGTGTTGCCTATAATTGTCATATTTAAATTGAGTCCGGCTAATGATCTCCAGACTCTGCCGCCCAAATGGTAGAAGTCATCTGGCCGCTGTCGGTCGCCCCTTGCAAGCCTCAGGCTGGCGGTGTCTTGTCCCTGCGCAGGTATATCGAGGAGACACTTCGCAGATCACGAACAAGTTATTCCACCTTGCAGGTGGCTTTGTACTATCTTGTCCTGATCATGCCTTGTGTTCCCAAATCTGATTTTACCATGCAGCAATCGGTCGATTCGCCGTCGGTTCGTTCCCTGCAATGTGGCCGTCGCATGTTCCTTGCCGCTCTGATTCTTGCATCAAAGTATCTGCAAGACCGCAACTACTCTGCCAAGGCATGGAGCAAGATGTCGGGACTCAAGGCTGCTGAGATCAACCTCAACGAGCGCGCCTTCCTCGAGGCGGTCAGCTGGAAGCTACACATCCCTGACCATCTTTTCAAACGTTGGACTGATGTTGTCCTCCGCTACACTCCTGGGCAGACTCCTCCCTCGGCTGGACAGAGCTTTGCCTCTGCACAAGACAAATGCTGGAAAGCCATCATTCCCCACCTCACTCCAGACCTGGAGCTGGTCGCACCTACTGCAGCAGAGACTGTCATTTGTGCCAGAGAGGAGTCTTCCGTTGCGACATGCACATCATTACCACCATATCTCGAGCCCCAGATGGAAGTCAGACCTCGCACACCTAATTTCACCGGCAGCTACCTGCCTTCACCTCGTCTCACACCTCCACCTACCTCCGTTCCTGCAGCGAGCGTCGGTAGTGTCGAGTCGTGCAACTTGGTCGGCAGGCTCAGCCGTCGTTCGTCATTTGGCAGCCAGGTCTCTTCTGTGCTAAGCCCAGCATCGATGATCTCCGAGGTTTCACGTCTGTCACCTGCTTCGTCAGTGACGTCGGTGTCCTCGGACAACTCATACACTCAAGACCGCATGGTCAAGATCTCAACAGTGGAATCAAATACATCATTTTCAACATGGCAGCCGCAATTCACCGCGTATGACGCTCAGCCTCAGGCCAGCGGAGCGGTCAAGCGCAGTCTGGCAGAAATTTCCGACTCTGAAGAAGAGAAAGAAGTCAGAAACCCAGTCCAGAAAAGAGTGTGCTCTTCGCTGCTCAAGATGGACGAGGGCAGCAAGGCATTGCCTATTGTTCTCGACGATGAGGACTGCACCAGCATTAGCATGGCAGCAGAAGTCGCGAGCGCACAGACAAAGCCACGCAAACAATATAATAATGCTTCCAGAGGAGAAGATAGGCGCAAGTCATATGTCTGTGATGAGCCATGGGCTGACCGGGCTCTTGATTGCGGCGCATTAGTCGTTAATTAAGGAAAGACCACGGTATCAGAACCCTTTTTTTCATTCACAAAACAATCGAAAAGCGAGTCTTGTTTGACAAAAGCTTTCGTTACGAACGACTTTGGATTTTTTGCTTTGATGCATTCATTGATCGCTTGATACCACATGGGTACGGGGAAGGAATTGTTAGGATTGCTCTTTGATGAGTAGTAGGCGTATATAGGCGCATATAGCTGAATGTTGAAATGTACAGAGTTTCATTTTTCTCAACTCGAAAGACTGGTTCCTTCCTTCTGCAGTGTGCCTTCTGTGAGAGCTCTGGGAGAAAGTGCGCTTGGTAGAAAATGGTCATGCGACCAACTCCAAGTCCAGCGTCACGTTTAAGCTTTGATATAGGACAGGCTCCAGTTCTGTCGCTGACTCCATCACAAGCAGGTATGAATATTAATTCTTCTTATGCACAATGACAAACGATCATTCCTCCTGCTCTCTCTTGCCAAAGACGTATGCAAGACCACCGCTTGCAATGTTTGCAGCGCACAAACCCAATGTGAGACCTCTGATGGCACCTCTAGCACCGAACTTGCTGCTGAAGGCTTGCTTTCTCCTCCTTGCGACGACCAGGTATGCAGCACTCCACGCTGAGGTGACACCAGCCGAGTCGACAGGGAAGCCGTTCAAGTTTAGGTATGAAGAGAAGAGAAGGACGGGGACGAAGAGCATTGGTAGCTTCTGGAAGGGGCGGAAGTGTTGGGCTGTGATAAGAGTTGCGAGGGCGGTTGGTGGGACCGAGGACTCTATGGAAGATGTGTTAGTGGACTGGTCTAGAGATTCAAGGTGGGATGGAAAGAGGGAATTGTACCGCCCCATGCGCGCATGTAGGTGAGGACGCCCTCCTTGGCCTCGGTAGTCGTGTCTTTTCCAGGCATGGGCATGTTGTGTCGTGTATATAATTGAGTGTCTCTGGTGCAATTGAGTCAAGTCTTCAGACAGCAGGTGAAAGTGGAAAGGGAAAGAGCAGCAGCTTCTGGAAAGCGCGTCATCATGGTACTCTTTCAGCAGGCCAATCACATGCTAGCTTGAATCATGTTCGGGAGTGCAGCGACTCCCGCCGGATCGGGATCAAAGACAGCGGGCCAGATGTGAGTAGAGGCCAACAACCAATTCCACAAGCCATCTGTTTACCACTTCGCTTTCAACTTTCCGCCCCGACTAGACGCTTTCACCACACCCTCAGGGGCTCCCGCCTCTTCTCTCCCCAGCATACAATATGTCATCAGAAAAGTCGCGCGAACACCATGACGGCAGCAGCGGCCGCGCCTTCACCGTCGACCAAAAGGCCGCCGTCGTCCGCGTCCGTAAATGCAGTCCCACAGCCTTCTACGATATCCTAGGCCTCGAATCGGTCAAGAAAACGGCAACAGAATCAGACATCAAGAAAGCATATCGCAAACTCAGTCTCCTCACGCATCCGGACAAGAATGGCTACGACGGTGCAGATGAAGCCTTTAAAATGGTCGCTCGCGCTTTTGCAGTTCTGAGTGATTCGGATAAGAAGGCCAAGTTTGATCGCTTTGGAGGTGATCCGGATAGCAGGTTCCAGGGTGCGAGTGCCAGTTCGGCGAGTCCCTTCTCTGGCGGTGGTGCTACGAGGAGGGGTCCGGGTGGTGGTATGTTCGAGGAAGAGATTAGTCCCGAAGATCTGTTCCGTCAGTTCTTTGGTGGTGGTGGCATGGGTGGTGGTGGTCCATTTGGCGGTATGGGAGGTGGTCCCTTTGGTATGCCCATCCTCAGCTTCTCCCAGTCATATCAAGGTCGCATGCTAATCAGTAACAACAGGCGGCGGACTCTTCGACGGCCCAGGATTTGTGTTCAACATGGGCGGCGGCCCTGGTGTCCGCGTTCACCAATTCGGCGGCGGCGCACCACGACGACGACCTCAACAACGTGCAGACCCCAACGCACCACCCCCGTCTCTCCTACAATCACTACAATCGCTCCTCCCACTACTCCTCCTTTTCATCTTCCCCCTCCTTAGCGGTCTCTTCTCCGGCAACGGCACTCCGTCAGGGCCCTCCGTTCGTCTCAACCCTGTCCCACCATTTACACAACAACGCGTCTCCTCCAATTTCCAAGTTCCGTATTATGTCGACCCTCGCGAAGTCTCGGATCTTACGGCGCGGAAATTGAAAGATCTGGACAAGAGAGCCGACACACAATACGTGCAGAAGCTGTCGAACGATTGCGAATTAGAACAATCAAGGCAGCAGCAAATGTATCAGCAAGCGCAAGGTTTCTTCTTTACTGATCAGGTGAAACTGCAAGAGGCTAGGAGAATGCCATTGCCTGCCTGCGATAAGTTGAGGGGTTTGAGGGGTTATAGGGTTTAAGACGACTTCTCTTGAATGCCTTTTCTGTTGGTTATCTTTCTTCCTTACTCCTCCTCTCTGGATTGACTTTTATGAGAATAGAGATGAGCTTTTTTCTTCCTCCCTTGTATATTCCACTTTTTCACCTCTTTGCATGGCGTTGCGTTTCAATAATCAGTGAGTAACCTTTCTTCACGATCTGGTGGTCTGTACATTTCATTTATCTTACGAGGATCTACGTCTTACTACATTCCATTGCCATCCTCCTCCTCTCACTTGCCTAGCTACTCTCAATCGCTTTTGGTGATGCTACCTACTCTTCGAAACATGGTCTGTATTTCCAATCAATCGTGCCTTCCCTCATCTTGTTCATCACTCTTTCCTTTCTCGGACTTTTCTTCTGCTTGGTCGCTCCTTCCTCCTCCTCTCCCTGGTCGTTCCTTCCTCTTCTTCTTGGTCATTTTCTTCCCTTGTTCGCTGTCCCGTGTCGGTCGTTCCTTCCCTCTCTGCTTGATCGCTCCTTCCTTTCTTTTTCTTTTTTTTTTGCTCGACATACTCACTTCCTGCTATTCTCATCCGATATAATGACCTCTGCTACACGGATCATGTATTGTGTACAGTGCCCATTCTCACAGATGACACCAGCTTAGATCCCTGTGTCGCCTTGCCTTCATCGGGTAGAGCCAAGTATAGTATATGTAACTTCTTTGTTTCTTTTTTGCTTCCTTTCTTTCTTTTTCTTTTTCTTTTTTTTTCTTTTTTTGTTTGGCAAGAGTTTGCTAAGGGGATAACCCTGGTCTGTAAAGACATCTACCGATATCACGTCTCCACGACTGCCGTTGCAACCATCAGTGGGTGCTTTCCATAGTCTTATAGTTTGGGTAAGGATATTCTATAGTGTTCTAAATTATCACAAGCCTTCGTTGTCGCGATCTAGATATAGAAAATGCTTTTACTCCTTTCTTATCAGAAAGCTTCGCTCGCAGCACATCATCTCACGAGTAGACTGTTGCTTTTGCTCGATACATTTAGTTTCCTGAGAAGACTAAGACCTTAAAAAGATCAAGTCAGTATTATTTTCCACTGGCCTATCGACAGATAGATAGAGAATGGAGAAGGAAAGAGCGAGCAACATTGTCACGCAGAGGTTCCAGCCCTGCACTTCTATCGCAGCTTCATCAACGTCGATCGACCACGTGATTGCCAGGTAGCGACAGAAAGCAACAGCAAAGAAAAGAGCAGTGAACAACAACAAGAAAGAGCGATTTAGATGGTAGATTTGAAAAAGAGCGACCAAGAATACATCCAAGCAAAGGAAAAAGACACTCAAAGGGACATCAATCATTTAACACCAAGACCCATAGGCAAGAAAGGAATATAGGGAGTAGAGACAACCAAATTAAGATATCGATAGACCACAAAGCAGACCCGGAAGTAAGCCCCTGTTGTAGCTATCCACCAAAAACCTCCCCAAGTCCCGCCTTGAGAAAAGGCAAAAGACGCACCAAATATCCTCTCTGCAAAGAGGGACAGCAAGAGGACAGTGGCACCAGACCCCAAGAAGTCTGTGTCATTCCGTCTGTAAGAAGAGAAAAAAAGGGAACAACAACATAAAAAAAAACACAAAAAAGCGGAGCGAAAACCATCATGCTCGACGCCCATCCCAGAATAAACCCCCATTTGCCCCGACTGTTTTCCAGGTTTTTCTAAAGTTCCTTTTGAAAACGCCCTGTAACACCGTCGCTGTGTGGAAAGAAGAGAACAAAAGAAACCATGCACATCCCTCGTCTTCTTGTTGTTCAGAAGTCATGCAACCCGTCCTGTAGTAGTGTCTTTCGTCATCGTTGCCATAATCGCCATGTAGAAAACCGCAAGAACCAGAATCATCACGTGGATGTATGTCGAGATTGGTCGTCACCTAACCGAAATGCGAGGACCTGAGTCGAGGCGGGGCTCATCGTTTGATTTGATGGCAGCGACGTCCTCGTAGGAAGGGATCTTAGTTTGCGGCTTCAAATGCCAGAAACCATCATTGGGCTCTGGTGGAGGAGTAGGCAGCCAGCCTTGTGATTGTGCAATGGGAAGCACGATGCTTGGATCGAAAGTGTTGATGAAACGCATGTCGTCGTCGCGGCACTTGGGGTAGGAATAGTCGCGATATTCGGCGATAGCTGGCTCGTTTTGAACGTATTGTGTCTTGCGGAAGCAGGCCGTCACACAGCCGGTACGATGCTGGACAGGAGTTAGCGTTGTGTGCTTGTGGGGGTGGTAGGGGTAGATCCGACTAACCTTGCCACGGTTGCAGTGGATGAGAAGAGGGTGGTTGTTGCGGTTCAAGACGACAGCAAGAGCGGTGGCCATGGTTTCGGGAGTAATGTTGATCTTGCCGTCCTTGTTGGCGGGAATGTGGATCTGGTAGTGGCGAATGTGATTTTCCTCCATGAAGGTGATGTACTCTTCTGACAGAGGCTCAGGAACCAGGGTGCTGGGTTGTGTTAGAAACTATGCGCTGCTACGAAGAGTTGAGAGAGACGTACAGGATGGTTCTAATGTTGAGGCTGTTGATGAAGTCGAAGTTCTTGCTGGTTGGGTAACCACTTCTGTAGATGGAATTCGTCTCGACGGCGCCAAAGTTGACGGGCGGGACATACATGCGCAAGCGTCCTGGGAGAGGAGCAATGCTGGGTCTCGGGTTCATGTTTTCTTGAGCGACCTGAGCGGTCTTCGAGGCGTCCTTCTTGGACACTGTAATTCCGAGTCAGCGCTGGTACAAGACAATTTTGGCGGGGCGGTAGACGCACCTTTGGCGTCGCTATCCCGGCCGACGACGGGTGTGAGGAGAGAAGACTCGCTGAGCGACTCGCAAACCTCACTGTTTGTGTCTTGGGCGATCGAGTCGGCCAGAGGTATTGAGGTAACGGTAGACATGGCTGATTTGGTGGAAAGGATATGTCGCGTGACAGGCGTGTCTCTAGGCGGGAGTAGAGGGATCGTAGTTGATAGTGGTTAAGATGTCGGTCGGAGTGTGCGCAACGCTATAGGCGCGTGTCGTTGCTGGATGGACAGCTGCTACGGCGTCAGAGCATGGTCCAGGTGGAGCTGTCGACAGAGGTGCAAAAACATACCGTGATAGTCAGACCATCACGAGGATCCCATGAGCGACATGGTGGGGCGGGTGTTGATGCGGAAGAGACGCATGTTGACCGGGTTTGTTGTTGGGAGGGTGCAGTTGAGAAAGGGAGAAAGGTTGTCTTCAGGAAGAAGCGGAGTGGATCGGTCGCGAGACGGAAGGCTAGAGGAGGGTCCTTGGAAATACGGACTCGAGAGGGTCGAATTCGGAATATCGCTAGTGAGTAGTCACGGCCTAGAGTCTTCCCGCTGCCGCGCACGGCCCTCCGCGCTTGCGAATTTTGGTGCCCCTCGTCATCGCTCATCGCTCGCTCACTGCTGCTGCCTTCACCACATGCACGCCAGCATCCAGGTTCCCGTCCTTATGCGCAAAAGGAAAGAACCTGTCACTTGTTCTTGAGCATGTGAATGAGAGCTTCACTTGCATGTTTGTGTGTATTTTGAAGCTACAGCACTTAGTTTAATCAATCAACCAATCCATTGGCTCGCTTGCCTGCACCTACTTTCAAGTGCTGTCACGGGTCTTTCGTAGCCAGTCTGGCAAGACTGCCGCCGCCAACATGCAAGATGCTACTCTCCCAAGAGCTAGTCAAACCACAACCCCTCTTTCGAATCGTGAATGTCTCAACGATCCTCGCTGTTTACATCCAAACATGGGGAAAGGGCGACATGATCAACGTCTGATCGTCCGAACTGTCCCGGCCGCTGCCATCACGTATTGACGCCGTTTGACTCGCACGTCACTGTATAGATATTCAAGGCAGGCAACATTTCGTGCAAGGAAAAGTAATTCATTGACGCCTATGACAAATATTACACCGATCTCAATGCGCAGTGCAGGTGATGGTTGGAAAAGAACAGTGACCGACGAGAAAACAAGGGGGGATATGTGGGTAATGACCTGAGCGACTTGTACTGAGAAGAAAAAAAGACAAGACGTAGACGTGCGTGAGTCGAGCAAGACGAATGATCAAGACCATCAGTGCCGCGTCCTCAACCATACACAGTGCCCTGCGTGCTTGCCTTCTCCATTTCGCTTGCTGAATAGGGTGAACATGTCTCTTGTGGTGCAGAACAAGACAACCAAGAAACTCCAATCCGAACGCCGCCATGTTGCAGAACCAAGGTATAAATCTGGGGGGTGTGCAAGTCTCTCAGGCCTCGAGCTGCTGATTATCGTTCAGTCGGCAAAGCAACAGCCGTTCGGGAAGACGAGACATGAAAGAAGAGCGCTTCGTCCATGGCCACGAAACCATGTTGTGTTCTTCCATGCCTTTGGGTGGGATGATCGCGCAATCGGGCCTGCCCGCTTACAGGATCAGGCACTTCTTGCGGCTGCTACTTCTCTCCTTTCTTGAGGTGAGGGCAGCACGAGTGGCGTGCTCGAAGACCTCACGAACACCTTCGTTGGTCTTGGCTGAGCACTCGATGTACTCCTTGGCACCGATCTTGTCCTTGACTTGTCTAGCCTGTGGAGATGTGTAAGCTGGGTTCATGTCCTGAACATGGTATCAAGACGTACCTGCTCCTCGGTGACGGGGGTCTGCGAAGTCTTGTGAAGCTCCTCGATGGTCTTCTGGTCGTGTCTAAGATCCTTCTTGCATCCAACAAGGATGATGGGAAGGCCCTGGCAGAAATGGAGGACCTCAGAGATCCACTATCAAAAACAAATCATGTCAGCATGCGACCAGGCACGTGAGGCGGCAGTTCGGGGCGGGCGGCGTACCTTCTCCTGAACGTTGTCGAGGGAGTCGGGAGAGTCGACGGCGAAACAGATCAAGATGACATGCGAGTCGGGGTAGGAGAGAGGGCGGAGTCTGTCGTAATCTTCCTGGCCAGCGGTATCCCAGAGGGCGAGTTCGACGTGCTTGCCGTCAACCTCGACATCGGCGACGTAGTTCTCGAAAACGGTAGGGACGTAGACCTTTGAACGATTGTGTCAGCACATCGGGTGCACTATGTTAGGGGCTGCTTTATCGCGCTCGGGCATGGGGACTGGCGGGGAGTGCGACGGCGAGGGAAACACGGCGAGCGACGACGGATAGCGCAGGGGCTGGGAAGACAAACCTCAGGGAAAGTGCCCTTGGAGAAGACACTATCGACAGCAGGTCAGCATGGGGCGGTCAACAGGCGACGACAGAGAGCAGTGGTTCTTACATGAGAAGACAGGTCTTTCCGCATGCACCGTCACCAACGATAACGAGCTTGCGACGGATTTCCGCCATTGTGGAGAGCGATCAACAAAGAGTATGTAAGGCTATGGGAAAAGTGAGCAGGTTGGCCAGATGTTAGCCAAGGGCGAAGGCGATGTTTGGAGATGAGAGATAGAACGGGCTGGATGTTGATGGTAGACAGTCGTGGAGTGGGCAAGGAACAACGACACGAAGTGCGTGGGTGGTGAGCGTTGCTTGGCGCTAACGCGGCTGGGATTTGGGGCTTGTTTTTTGTTGATGCAGAACAACACTTACTTGCACGAGACCGTCGAGACGTCCGCGTATTTGCTACTTGCTTTTATCTCGCTCTTTGCTGTTGGTCAGAAGAGTAGATACACAGGTGGCAAGAGGGCAGGCACGTAGGCACTCACGTCAAACGGTCGGTCTACGAGCATCAAACAGCGAACAGGGGACGTGTTATTATTCCACAGATTGCGCTCAGATTGTTACAATAAACGCTAATACAAAATCACGGCTCCTTCGGCGTCAGATGCGTGTTGATTCACAAGGCCTTCCCAAACTGCATCTGTTGTGTGGCTGACAGAGGCACGTCTTCTGGCGTTATCGCTGCACTGCCTGTTCGCTCTTACTCTGCCTCATATAACGTCTGAGCCTTGTACTTTATCCCACTGTCGTCCTATTCAAGAATTCTTTTTCCCTGCGCCTCGTTCAACACCGCGTCTCCCAACGCTCGGATCAGGCTGGACATTAGCTTGTTTTGGCCAAAATGCGCCGAGGGATGCCCCATTGACCACCTACCGCACTCCAGCCACACAAGCTGCTGTGCCACAGCAACCTGAATCATCAACCTTCATTTCTGCCATGTCTGTCAATGTATTGGAGGTTGTTTCGGGGACCATCCCGAGGAGTCATGTCGGCCAAGGGCATTGTCTTGCCTTGAGAGCCTTTCTCTACTCCTTTTCTCTGCTGCGTGTTGAGATTTGACGCAAGACGTTGTCCTACAGAATCAAAAACAAGGCGTCCTAGGAGTTGGCATACTACCGCTTTGGGACAATGGTCGTTCTGCCATACCTTTCCCAACACACAGCAAATCAGACAGGAGTAATGCACATCATACTGAACACCAACAGCTGGCTCGTAACAGGACGAGGTCTTTGCCCCAGCAAATCCGTTGTCTGCTGAACGCTACAAGCCCATATTCGATGGGTGTTTCCACTTGGTGGATGTTGCAGATATGCAAGTCATTTTTTAGTACGTTTGAGAGCAGAGAATCGTGGGGTTTATTTTGCGGAGAAAAATCGTTGTTGTTTGAGCATCAAAACTTAGTTGGATTGCTGTGTCTCGGTAGCTGAAAAGCTTGAAAACCGAAAGGCTTTGTGAGAAGCATGAAGAGCACCAAGCAAAAACAAATTTGTATCAATCGCTGCATCGTGCCTGGAAAGGCACAGAGTGGAGAACCAACAGTCTTTGACGAGAGACTTGTTCAACAGTTGTCGTCGCATTCTTGTAATCGTGAGAAGGGGGTTCGACGCATTGCAAGAAAACAATGGAGGCTATACTCAATATCATCCTCCGTATGCCATCCGATTCTTGCGCTCTAAACATTGCCCATTCAGGCTCTCCGGATCTGCCCTCTGCTACTGCCTGTTCCAGCTTCTCCATGCCGGCTCTCGTCTAATGTTCCCTATCCTTTCACTTGATCGATCTATTCCACAGATCCCGCACTTTTCCGTAGGTGCGAGAGGAGATGAGGCTCCGGAGTGCTTGTAATCGTGTCAGTAGGCAGTCACATGCGGATCGCCAGAGTATCTATCATCTGGTCTGAACACCATATTCTGTCCAATTCTGTTCAGCTTGTGGGAAGCAGACATCGTTCTAGCTCGAAAAGTGAGGCAACCCTCTTCCATGCTGCTTTGATGAAAGATGGAAGTGAGAAGTAATAAACACAACAAGCATAATCAACATATGCGTCAGAAGATGTAGTGCTGTGATAGTCAAAGATGTTCTGAGTCTGTTGCATTCGAGTGTTGCCAACGGCCGGATCTCGGATATACGGTTGGTAATCGATAAGCAATAGCAAGCATCCCGTCATTGTCTCTCAACTGTGTATCAAGCATCAAGCATTCACTTGCGTCCTACTTGTGTGTCCGGCTTACTGTCTTTCGCCGAATCATTACTCTTGAGGCGCGCATCACAGTTTCTTTCTGGTTAACACATTCTTTGGTGCTACCTCACAACCGCCACACAGCATGGCCGAATCAGACGCAGACAAGGTATCTCAAATCGCACCGTCGCAAAGCACCCATTTGCCTATGCGAATCTTTCTAACCAGAACAGATCCGCAACAAGCGCCTTGCCAAACTCGGAGGTGGCTCAGGACCATCATCGCCAGCGCCATCATCTTCTAGTGTCGAGCCTCCGCCAGCCTCACCTTCGCCTGCATCACAGGCACAAGACAAGTCAGCAGGTGAGCCTGCGGGCAACCCTTTCGCCCAACTTGGTGTCAAGAACGAGAACAAGCCGCCAACCAAGATCAACATCACACCTTCTGCTGCTCAGAAGCGCCCCAGCGAAGACTCGCCGCTCCCGAGATCACGTCCGCAAGCCTCAGAATCGCTCGAGATATGGGAGGATCGTCAACTCAGTCAGATCTTCCGTCTGTCGCTCAAGCCCGAAGTCGTCCGAGACGGATCATCGCAGCCTCTATACTATATCGAGAGTGTGCGAGGAGATCTGATCGAACAGAATGAGCCCCTCCAGCTCAAGACGAGCCTGCTGGACCAGGCCCTGCCTGAAGCCGCTGGCCTGCTGAATAACATTACACCGCTGGACTATCTCCTGGCATGCTGGAAGCGCATCTCCAAGGCTTGTCGAAACATGAGGAGTACAGACACCGAGAATCCTAGATTCAAGGTCTTGATGGAGGCCAGACGGCTTTGTATGAGCTACTGCATCTTTGCAATCACCATGCCCGAGATGTTCGGTTTTGAGACGCCACCCGAGAATGCTCTAGCCAAGCACCTGCTCGCTGAACCTCAAAGCGACTCGGGCATCGATCACGACTTCCTCAACGAAGCTGTCTCGCGTTTCGAAGAGGACGAGTCAATCAAGGATGCCTTGATCGGCGCTGTGGAGCAACTCAGCAGACAGCTGGCCGTAATGTCTATGAACGACATCGAATACAAATACTACTTGACCGCCCTGCGAAACTTGATTCGCTACCCAAAAATCGTAGAGGCCATCACACAGTCACCCGCTTTCTTGCCTGCCGGAGTTGCAGCACAGGACATCGAGATGGTTACCATTCTGGGTCCCTTCTTCCGTCTCTCGCCGCTTCAGAACGGCGTTGCGCAAAGCTTCTTCACCACTCCTAGGTCAAAAGACAGAGCATACATCGTCAATGCCCAACGTTCCCTCCGCATGACACTCAACACGCATCAAGAAGAGCTATTTGACCTTGCTAACATGATCGTCAAATCTGGAAAAGAGCCTCGCGAGAGGCTGCTAGATTGGTTTGCTCACTGCATGAACACCAACCACAAGCGCCGTGCTATGAGAGTAGACGAGAAGACAACTTCATCGGATGGCTTCATGATCAACATCACAAACTGTCTTGATCGACTTTGTGATCCCTTCATGGACGCTACCTTCAGCAAGATCGACCGCATTGATGTCAATTATCTGAGAAGAAACCCTAGGGTTGACATCTCGGACGAGACCAAAATGAATGCCGACCAAAAGACCTCCGATGCCTTCTACGAACAGAAGGTCGAAGGTACCAACAACTTCATCTCTGAGATCTTCTTCCTCACGGTGGCTGCTCATCACTACGGTCCAGAGGCAGCCAGCACTAGAATGGAACAGCTGCAGAAGCAAGTAAAGCATATGGAGAAGGAGCTTGAGAGGTTCGAAGCGGACAGGCATAAGTACGCCCACGATGCTAGATATGCCACTCGCTTCGAGCAACACCTACAGAAGTTCAGAAACGATCTTGACAGGATGCACAGCACGATCCATGCGACGACTGGTGTTCTACTTGATGAAGTCTCTCAAGCAAGATCAATGCAGTTCATGAGATACGTGATCGTCTGGCTTCTCGGTTTGGCATCGGGACAGAAACTTCCTAAGGAGAAGTTGCGCCTACCCCTGCCTCAAGAGCAACCAGAGGTATTCAAGTGCCTTCCTGAATACTTCCTTGAGGATGTAGTGGATAACTTCAAGTTTATCACACGCAATATTCCTCACATCATCACTTCCACTCAATGCGAAGAGCTCGCAACCGTATGCATCACCTTCTTGCGTAACACCAACTACATCAAGAACCCTTATATGAAGGCTGGATTGGTCACCATTCTCTTCCACGGCGTGTGGCCTTTCGGAAGCAATTCAAAGGGTGTTCTTGGTGACCTCCTCAACGGTTCAGAATTCTGTCAAAAGCATCTATTGCATGCACTCATGCAATTTTACATCGAGTGTGAAAGCACCGGAACGCATACAGCTTTCTACGACAAGTTCAACATCAGATACGAAATTTTCCAAGTCTTCAAGAGTGTCTGGGGAAATGTTGTTTACAGAGAGAGTCTTGGAAAAGAGGCAGAAGTCAACACCGAGTTCTTCATTCGCTTCGTCAACCTCTTGCTCAACGACGTGACATATGTGCTAGATGAGGTATTTGGCTCTTTCACCAAGATTCATGATTTGCAAGAAGAACTCAAGGCTCCCGGAGCCGATAACATGGAGCAGGAATTACGACAAGAAAAGGAAGAAGCTCTATCTGAGCAGCAAGGCCGAGCCAAATCTTACATGGGCTTGACCAAGGAAACTGTGGCCATGCTCACGCTATTCACAGACGCTCTGGCTGGCGCTTTCACCATGCCAGAGATTGTACAACGTCTCGCAGACATGCTTGATTACAACCTCGAAACAATGGTGGGACCAAGAAGACGCAATCTCAAGGTCGAACAACCCGAGCAATACGGTTTCAAGCCTCGTGAATTGTTATCGGATTTGGTTGATGTTTATCTCAACCTTTCAGGCCGCGAAAACTTCCGTCAAGCGATTGCACGTGATGGTCGTTCTTACAAACCTTCAAACTTCGCACAGGCAGTGCAGCTCATGGAGAACTTTGCTCTCAAGTCTCCTGAGCAGATCAAGCAGTTCATCGCTTTGACCGACGCTGTTGCAATCGTGCACGCCCAGGAGATCATGGCCGAAGAGGATCTTGGCGAGATTCCGGATGAGCTTCTTGATCCTATCATGGGCTCGTTGATGGAAGACCCTGTGCTGTTACCAAGCAGTAGACAGATTGTCGACCGCAGCACCATCCGCTCGCATTTGCTCTCTGATGCCACCGATCCTTTCAATCGTGTTCCTCTGGCTATCGAGGATGTTGTGCCAGCTGAAGAAAAGAAGAAGGAGATTATGGAGTTTGTTGAGATGAAGAGAAAGGAGAAGGCTGCAACTACTTCTGGAGACCCGATGGATACCAGTGCGTGATCGACAGGTCGTTAATATAAGCGGTACAGGTAGACATTGCTGTATCAATCAAGTCTTTTCCATTTCATCTTTGCTCATGCCAAACCATCCAATCTCTATCATCTTTGACAAGGACACGTCGCGGTAAATTTCGCTGTCGAAATGGTCAACTATTGAGCAAGTTCTTTACTAAGCCGACCACTGAGTCATACGCTCTCCTCTAAGTATATAGATCACCTCCCTCCCTCGTCCCCCTTCCCTCTCTTTTTTCCATACACACACACTCGTCTTCGGATTTGAGTTGTCCAATCTTTTGAACCCACCTGAGGTGGTTTGCGAGTCCGCTGCAGCGTTCTCCTGACCCTTCTAACCCACCCACTTGCCCTTTCCCTTCTCACCGGCAAGAGTCCCGCACACTCATGGCGTCAAACATAATGAGCGCTCTTTAGTAATCGACTCCGCCAAAACATCCTTTCCCTTCTTTCATCTTCGGGCCGTAATAGAATCATGTTGTCGTTCCCTCAGCGACTGGTTCGAAAGGGACCCTTTTTCCCTTTTCCTTTTGATGGTGGCGCCTCTTTTTTTTTTTTCATTGGTGTTCTGGCTTTTTTTTTGTGAGCTGGGCGCTGGAGAAGAGATTCGTGTTGTTGGTGGTGTTGTGGTATTATTGCTTGTTGCTGTGGCTTGTTGGCGTTGTTGCTGTTTATGTCCGAGGTATGAGTATGATCCTGTTACTTTTGGTATGGTAACGAAGCGGTTGTGATTAGCAGTAACCCTAGTTGTCGTCCTCGAAATTGTCACATAATCGTAGTCGTAGCAGTCAAAACCTCACCGTTCTTCGCATCTTTGAGCAATGATGCTAGTGCCTCGATTGCTTGAGCACAGAACCCATCTTGCACTTGTCTCTTCGTCGAGGAATACTGCCTCTCAAAGCAGATTGCGTGGTCTTGACTAGAGTGATGTGCATTCTGGTAGGATAGGTTTGGCACGTCAATAGTAGGCAGAGCGAAATTTGGCAGTGTGTCTTGCATCCATCCTGACGAACTAGACATGACTGTTTCACTGAAAAGGTTTGGAAGATGTTTCGCACTCACACAAACAGCAGGATAGGAAAGAGCGACTGAAGTGGTGGTCAAATGAACGAGCCTCATCCCCAAACGCCGCAAAGTCCGGACGCAACCGTCACCATCAAAAGTCATCAAGGTCAGGCAACAATCACGCAACTCACAAGTTTTCCCGACCGAAACACACCAAAAAGTTCTCAAAACGGCAACATGCGTCCAGAAGGTCCTCGCGATACTGTTGTCGGTCCTGACAGTGGTCCCACGCCACCATTCCCGTTGAAGTTGAATGGCGAAGTCGTCAAAGGTTTCGGCCGTGGCAGTAAAGAGGTATGATAATTCGATCTTACCAAGTTTCCGACACCATAAACAAATCGCACAAAGTGAATGACGAGAAGAGGAAATTCCAATACTGATCATTCCCCCTCCAGCTCGGCATCCCAACCGCCAACATCCCCATCTCAGGCCTCACGGTAGGCGGCCACCAAGACATCGAATCAGGCGTCTACTACGGCTACGCCTCCCTCTCCTCCACCAACAAAGTGTACCCCCAAGTAATGTCCATCGGCTGGAACCCCTTTTACAAAAACTCCGTCCGCTCCGTCGAAGTCCACGTATTGAACAAATTCGAAAAGGATTTCTACGGCAGTCATATGAATTTGGTCATTTTGGGATTCATCAGGCCCGAGTATGATTATGTTAGCAAGGAGAGTTTGATTGAGGATATTGAGGTTGATGTCGAGGTTGCGAGGAGGAGTTTGGAGAGGGAGGGGTATGCGAAGTTTAAGGAGGATCCGTATTTGTTGGAGTTTGAGGGTAAGAGTGGTGTTGCTAGTTGAAGAGGTGTTGATGGATGAAGGTAATGTAATGTTGATACGGCAATACACATAGAGGACGGAATTGAGAAGGAAGCAAATGTTACAGCTCGATAATACTTCTACAGTTTGATCTTGTTCGAGCGACAAAGCAGCCCTTTGCTTGACCATTACAGCCATGCCAGCCCGGTTATGCAATTCTCCTTGAAGAATCCACCCTTACAAGCCATGTATCCAGTCCCCATGAATGGTATGCCAGCCAGCGCCACGCTAAAAACACAAATGAAGCCATGAAGAAACACAATTATCCCGTCCCACGAGCCTGCCTAGCTCAGATCCATTTCATCGTCTGCAGGATGAGGATGTTGATGCTGTTGCTGCTCAGACCCAGGAGCAGCGCCACCAGTCTCATCTATCATGTCCATGAAGATGCTGTCGTACTCATCATCATCGCTGCCAAAAGCCGAAGAGCGATCGTCATGCGCGTCTTGATTTTCGGACTGCTGGTTTCGACGATTCTCATCCTCTTGCATCAATGCCACCAAAGCTTCCAACTCTTCATTCTCTTGCTGCAAGATTGCGTCTGCTTCTTGGTCTAGCGGGTAGTCTGACTGCGATCGTGGATCCCAGGCCATCTGGTTGTTGTATGTGGGTAAGTCGTACTCTGACGAGTCTTCTTCGGCGTCTGGTAAATCGGGGTATAGTGGTGGCGCGGATCGTACTTGTTCGGCTTCCCATCGTCGCTTCTCTTTGAGATAGTCGAGTCTCGCCATCTTTGAAGAGTCAGTACCAGCATTGGATGATGTAGGAGTAAGGTGCGTACATCGTCTATTCTCGAGTCCCACTTATTGTCGTCGCGAGACTGGCGGACCTTGCGTAGGAACATGTCCCTTCGGCGTTCCCTCAATGCATCTGAGCGTGGTACCGGAGCCGTCTTCACCGGTCGAGATGAGAATGGTACATGTGATTGCTGGTTCAAGGCTTGCTGAGGTGTTGAGGTTGTCATTGATGTGTCGAAGGACCAGAAGGAAGATGATGAGGCTTGAACATTTGCGCGTCGAGGAGAGAGTGGCGACGGCACACTAGGAAGGAATTTGTGCGGTTGTGATGAGGTGGATCCGAAATTAGATGTCGCCAGCATGTTTGATGTGTTTTTGTCTCCTTTGTCGTCCCGAAATATCGCTTTTGGGCGCAGAGAAAGTGCTCCTTCCACGTCCCTGCCAATAGTACTGGAAGACGCGGCGGGTTCGCGATTGTCGGACTTTACGTGACGATGCCGAGGGTCAAGGTCTTGGCACATTTGCTCGTCTTGCTGAGACTTGCTCCACCTCTTTGGTTTTTTCCGGCTTCCCATTTGACTCTCACCAAAACGTCGATCGCAACCATGCATGCTACCGTAGCACTGTGCTCGCTCGCGCGCTTCTCTGCTTCCATCAACTGCGAGCGGGGTCGCCGTGGCAGGATCCACGGCGCTGGAGTATGAATAGCCGCCAGTGGCTTCTTCGATTGAAGCATTGAAATCGCATCCCGCTTTTCACTCGATGGCAGACAAGATGGCGTTTCTTTGGTTAGCATGTGGTTTGCTTGCCCTTCCATTTGACTATGCTCTGGCTCAAGATGGCGATATACTACGCTATGTAGATTCACTGATTGGAACAGGCCTTGGAGGTATGGCTAAACCACAGGAGAAGTTGGGCAACACCCGCTCCTATATTGACAATCGAGCAGGTCATGTCTTTGCTGGCGCTACTCTGCCTTTTGGTATGTTTTCCACATCGACTCTAAACACCATTGACTAATTCCTCATAGGCATGGCCAAAGCTGTCGCAGACGTCAATGGTGAAAACCAAGGTGGTTATGCGAGCGACTACAGTAACATCACAGGCTTCAGTCATATGCATGACAGCGGGACCGGAGGGTAAGTCATACCAGTTTTCCTTTATCACCTTCACATGATGAGCACTCTTTATATTATGTCATCAACCCATCGATGCCCCTTGAGACCAATTTGAGTTTTGTCTGATTTTCATTCTTGTTACACTCTCACTTTCATAACAAGTTATTCAGAGCATACCTCTAACGCTCTCTGCGATATAGATCACCCTCGCTGGGGAACTTCCCTCTCGTCGCACACCCCGGATGTCACAACGACGATGTGAACGAATGCAAGTTCACATCGGTGGATAGAGCCACTCCGCAGGTCAACGGCTCCGTTCTGGCGGAACCAGGATACTTCACCATTACTCTCGAGAACGCAGTCCGCGCCGAAATGACTGTGACGAACCACACCGCCCTGTATCGCTTCTCATTTCCGGAAGGCCTCGCAGACATGCCGTTGAGCCCGTTGATCCTAGCGGATCTCATCGACCTTCCCAAGTCGAGAAGCAATGCATCGGTCTCTGTGGATCCAAATTCTGGAAGAATAGTTGGCAGTGGAGCGTTCAGCCCTAGCTTTGGTATCGGAACATATGACCTACATTTCTGTACCGACTTCTTTGGCGCAAGCATTCGTGACACTGGCGTCTTCATGAACAACAGAGCTGGTAGCCAACCCAAGAATCTGAGTGTCGTAACCGATGGAGTAAACAATTCCCCCGAAATATTGCCAGCTGGAGCTTGGGTGCGTTTCAAGGCACCAGAGAACAACGCAACACAAATCTCTGCTCGTGTGGGATTGAGCTTCATGAGCACTGCACAAGCATGCTCGAATGCCGAGCTAGAGATCCCCGATTTCGACTTCGAGAGTACCCGTTCCGCCGCCCGACAGGCATGGACAGACAAAATGAGTGTTATTTCTGTCACGCCCGGTAGTGTCAGCGACGAGTTTCAGACCATCTTCTGGAGTGGGCTCTATCGTGCTTCCATCAGTCCGCAAGACTATACGGGCGAAAACCCCTTATGGAACAGCACAGAGCCTTACTATGACTCCTTTTATTGTATCTGGGACTCATACCGCAGTATCCATCCTTTGATCACACTCTTCGATCCAGAGTCTCAGGCACTGATGATCAGGAGCTTGTTGGACATATATCGACACGAGGGAAAGCTTCCTGACTGCCGCATGTCATTGTGTAAAGGGTTCACTCAAGGTGGCTCCAACGCCGACGTCGTCCTTGCTGACGCATACGTTAAGAACATGACTCAAGGCATCGACTGGGCGCTTGCATACGAGGCTGTTTTGTCAGACGCTGAAGACGAGCCCTTAAACTGGGCAGTCGAAGGTCGGGGTGGCCTTGCGAGTTGGAAGTCACTTGGATATGTTCCTGCCGATGACTTCGACCCGCACGGTGTAGGGCCTTTCACTCGAAGTATCTCTCGTACTGTCGAGTACGCATATAACGACTTCTGTATTGCCGAAATGGCACGTGGTCTTGGTCACGCGGCAGACTATGAGAAGTATGTTGCGCGTTCTGAAAATTGGAGAAATCTCTACAAGGAAGATCAGAACTCCACCATCAATGGAACAGAAACTGGCTTTACTGGCTTCTTGCAGCCAAAGTTCATGAATGGTACTTGGGGTCAGCAGGATCCCATCTTCTGCTCTCCTCTTCTCAACTTCACGTCCTGCTATCTCAATCCTGACGGTCATGAGACTTATGAAGGGTCATCGTGGCTTTACACAACATACGTTCCTCAGGACATGGCATCTCTGATCACCACTCTCGACGGACCAGATTCATTCGTCAGACGTCTCGACTATCTCCACGAAAGCGCTCTACTCTACATCGGCGATGAGCAAGGCTTCCTCCCAGTATACCAATACCACTATGCCGGCAGACCAGGCAAGAGCGCCGCACGAGCACACACCTACATACCATCCCAATTCAACACAAGCGTCAACGGTATACCCGGCAACGATGACAGCGGCGCCATGGGCTCTTTCATCGTCTTAGCTATGATGGGTCTCTTCCCCAACCCGGGTCAAAATGTCTATCTCATTACACCTCCATTCTTCCCTGAAATCAGCATTACGAACAAGATTTCTGGCAACAAAGCAACGATCCGAAATGTCAACTTCGATGCGGAGTATACGAATGTTTATATCCAGAGTGTTACGCTGAATGGGGTGGCTTATACGAAGAATCGGATTGGACATGAGTTTTTCGTTGACGGAGGTGTGCTCGAGTTGACTCTGGGGCCTGAGGAAAGTGCTTGGGGTACGAGATATGAGGATCTGCCTCCCAGCCTTTCCACAGGTTGATTCTCCGTAAATCCAGGAGCACGTGAGTAGAATCAGAACTTGTGTTTAGTCTGCCAACCTCTTTCAGAACAGCAACTAAGGACACGTCATTCTTTGTGTTCATAAGCCTTTACCAAAGCGAGCATGTAGGGATTTCATTCTATGCACGCAAAACCCAGAAGCCATCTTGTAGGGAAAGAGATGGGGGAGAGAACTCGTATTTTTGGAGCACTTTCACTATAGCACGGCTACGAAAGGAAGATAGATGCATACCTTCTCGTTATTCTCATTCATCTGGGCATAGCCGAGAAAGTGGCTTGAACAGGCGCAACTACCTCGTTGTAGAACTCTTGACGGAATGTCCCCTCTCCGAAATTCATCAGCACGTCTCTGCCATAGAATTCAAACCTTAAGCATAGGCGACAAGCATTGCCATAAAAGTCTCCCGCGTCCAGGAAGACCCGGTCAAGCGAGTTGTTCGCCACCTTATAGTCTTCAATGATGCTATTGCTGTTGGTCGTGGCATTCATTGTCTTACCGAGCTCGTCAAGCGAGCTATCCAAGCACAGTTCAATCAGCAAGACTCCCAATGCAAAGACTGCCTCGTTGCGTATCAACTTGCTCTGGAAACGCCGTGCGTTTTTCGCTTTGTTGACCATGGTGGAGACACACGGACTTGCAGCATGTATGTTGTGATCGGCCGCATTTCGATCCAAGAAGAAGTACAATCCGGTTTTGTCCCACGTATCAGTGAGCCAGGGCGTATCATAAAGTAACAGAGTTGCCCAAGCGGCTGCTGCTGCGATCTCGAAACGCTTCTTTCGGCTTAGCCCCAGAAAAGTCACAGATCTCTTTGGGGACATCAAAGAATCCAGAGTAACCATCTCGGTTGGCGCTATATGAGGCGTTGTTACTGGTGTGATATGCACTCGCTTTTTTTCACCAGGCACAAGCAAGAAACCGAGATCGCCGCAGTTTTTGTCTAGTCCTTGCAAGAACTGGCACAAGGATTTGATCTCGCTCGAGCGTGGTGCTGACGAAGCGGTTGTGATGGTCGCTGAAGGTGAGACCTTGAGTACCTGCGGCTGGTTCTTGGAAAGTAAACCTTTGAGGAATGTCGGTGCTTGTTGAGTTATTGTGCTCTGGGTGGCATTCCCAGACCGTAAACCAAGGACTTGAACCGCTTTTGTCTGATGTGTGTCGACATACTGACCTTCGATATACGTCTGTATCTTTCGCCACTCTAGGCCGTTCGTCATGGCCAACCCTTTAGAGTGATTCGTGAGGGCCAAAGATATCCCAAACTTCGGAAAACTTTCTGGGGGGTTGTATTGCCAGCTTAGGTCCAAAGACGTTGGATGTTGGTCCGAACAGGAACAATGCCAACAGGCATCAAGTGTGTCCTTGATGGCACAAGCATGCTGGCGCACGGTATCAAATCTCCGCAGGTTGAATTGAGCTCGTACAGCCTGGACCATAGGGGACGACTGTCCTCTGACGATTTCTGGTCTCCTCAGGCATCTACTGAGCTGGTTGTTTCGCTCCTGTAGTTGGCCTATCAACTTCTCTGTTTCCCCTGATGTGACGGCTGCTTTTATCCTCCGCCACTCATGCCTCATCCGAGCAAGTTGCTCTTTCGACCATTTGGGCTGCACTTCTATTAGCATCAACACCTTTCCAGGACTGCAGGGCGGGTTGAATACCCTTCCAAGGCTGTCGAGACAAAGCTCTTCCATCAAATTATTGACTGTGACTTCCATTCTTCCAATTTCTCGCATGAACAAGCCGTGCTTTCCTGGATAAAGTTCTTGCAGTCGAGCCTCAAGTTCGTCATAATTCGGCTCGTGCAAGCCTATCTCATCGAAGGTTGCGTACAATTGCTCTTGCTGAATCAACACAGCATCCTTGGTCCTGAGAAGCAGATCATCGTACTTGCGATATTTGCGCCCCCACTCGAGAGCTTCACGATAGCTTTGCATCGCAAGAACGATGAGAGGAATACCTCCAAGCACTAGGCCGGCGACTTCGGCCATTGTTTTTCGACGAAATACAGATGCACTTCGGTGAAACGATCTGCCTCATCGATCTCAGTATTAATACATCGTTTTCCCGTGTCCTTGCCCCGCACGAGGCTGAGGATGCTGCATGATGATCACCTCAGCACGCCGCCGCCACCAAATCCTGATAAGAACGCGCGCTTTAACAACTCAAGATCGGTCGCAGTTCTCTCCTCCCAAAATTGCGACTCAGAAATCATGTCTATATCATCAATTTTCAAAGACGCTCGGGAGAAGCATTGGGAACTTGTCCTGAGCCTTGAAGGGAAGAGTGGTTCCTTACTCCTACCAATCCTTCACGACCGCAACTTATGCATCAAGGACGAGTATGGTAGACTAAGCATCTGGGGTGAACAGACTGGGGCAGTCCTTCCGGCAAGGGCGAGGCATTCTCTCGACGAACAGCTTCGTGACAACGAGAAAATAAGAAACATCACGCTCAGATCCATAACGCGGCTGACAAGCCATATCCAAAAAGGTCCGGTGGAATAGCTCTTGAGCTACGATGTAAGCTGACACTGGGTGAAGGGATTGCACAGATAAGAGCCTTTCCAGCTCGATCGAACAGAAAGGTAGGACAAACGATTCAGGCCGATGAAAATGAAGACTATGACCCGTCTTCGTCAGACGAAAGTTATTCTATACAAAATTCTGATCTCGACCGCCCGACCTTCGATCTTCACAAGAGCTGTCAATTTGTATCGGACGACATCCAATCTCTTTACCGTATTTCTACCCTTCTAAAGCGTCCCCACGGTGTCAACAATCTGCCGAGGCCAAAAAACACAAACATTTACTCTGATGCTACGCTGAAGGAGGCCGAAGAAGATGCTTACTGGATGACGTATAAAATGCGTGAGTGGAGGCGACTACAAGCCACCGTCGATGGAAGGAGAGCCGTGATCTCAACAGATGATCTGATAGATATCGATTTTCTGTGCCAACGACTAAAATCGGCCAATATGCTTCGACGTAATCAGCTCAAGTATTGGAACGAGAATCCTGACATCCTCGAGCCACCAGAGGAGATATCAGAACCTGCACTGGGGCTAAGAACGCCTTACGCCCACAGTCCACCAGTCGCTGGTACGCTCTCTTCGGACGGTGCTATCTCTGCGTTGGTCGAAGCCGGGGATGAACACACTTACGTGGTTGGAACACCGAATGCGACCAGAGTCCCAAATGTGCCAGAGTGCTCGAAAACAGATCCTGCTTTCAAATGCCCTCTTTGCTATCTCACGCTCAATTCGGATAGCATGCAAAACAGAGCCGCCTGGAGGTAGGTCAATCCCTTTTACTCGCTCTTGCGCTGCTCCAAAATCTGACGAAATGCAGGAAACACGTCCTACATGATCTTCGGCCATATGTCTGCAGTTTCAAAATATGTCCGGATTCTGGAAGATTGTTTGCCACAAGAGATGACTGGATATACCACGAACAACAAATGCATCGTCGGAAATGGGTCTGTCCCGATGAGTGCGCCCACAGTTTGTATTCGAAATCGGCCATGATTGAACATGTTATAGACACTCACTCTCACAATCTCCATGAAGATCAGATATCGGTTTATGTGGATATGTGTGAGACAGAGATCCATGTCACCGAACGGGACCGATGTCTTATCTGCTTGAAGGAGATGCCGTTATTCCAATTGCAACGTCATCTTGCCAGACATATGGTAGAGATCGCGCTGTTTGTCTTGCCCTCACCGACCGAGGGTGTGGCAGATGGAATCATGACAGATTCGGATACTGAAATATCGGAAAAGACTACACAGCTAGATCTTTTCGAGAGAGAAGAACAGCCAGACACACTGTCAAGCCTCGAAGAGGGATACCTTTATCCTGAGCCATCTACTGGCAAGCTTCCGCAGCTTGCCCCAAAACCGAACTGCAACAGCACGCCTGTTTCGGGAATCAGGAAGTCACTCGAGGACGACAAGTCCATGGTCAGATCTTTCCAAGATCGGGGTTTTAATTATACAGAGTTCCTTGTTTTCCCCACACCTCCTGCAGCTCGACGCCTTGACTATACGCCAGATCTCGTCCTGTGGTACAGAAGCCTGCAAGCTGAGGCAGATTCTACCTCTGTGGACCCAAAGCTTGTCAGCCTGATCACCGAGCAAGTCGTTGCTAAGCTCGAAAGGTCTGGCACTCGCCAAGGTCGACCGGAACAGCGGACTGCGTCTTCTGTCCCTACAGAGCCCGGAAGATGGCCTGCAGAAACAGACATACCACCTCAAGATCTTTCCACAGTCCCTCCAAAGATAATCGCTCGGATCAGAGAAGAAATCGGAAATGCCATCAGAAAAGACAAAGAGTCATGGCACAACCCAACCAAGATCACGTGGTCGAGGTCAGGCCTGCAGCACGAACGAGAACTTCCATCCGAGCGTGAGACTCTCCAAGCACAGTAATTATTGTCCGAACTGGATGCCGGAGAATTTGACAAGTACGATCACACGTCGCGACCTCTGCCACCTACTAAACACAAGCTGTGGTCGAACTAATGAGGATCGCGAGCGGTGCCAGAACTGCTATGACCTCGACTCCCCTTGCACGTATGGACGCACTTCTAAGCGTAAAGACGATTGGCAATCTACATCTCCGACCGTAGAGTTCAACGTCGATAAGCTTCTGAAATACCCAAGGAGAGATGACGGTGTGACTCGAGAGGACAAGCAAGCCCTAACCCCCGCGTGGCGTAGACAAAACGTGTATGTTTTCAAGTCGTCGTCTCTTTATTTGAATTCCCCGCTGACATGTGATGGTGACCATAGTCAACGAGCGTTCCATGATAGCAAACGTCAACGGGTGTGAGACCTAGAAGATCAATTGGCATCGCTAGAAATGTGAATCGAATCTTTGGGATTGTACAATGGAACGCTAAAACATGACCAGGAACAAGTGCAAAGCGCAATCACTTCACTATCAGTCCTTGATTCGCGCGCAGCAGAGCCTGAAATCGAAGAGCTTGTTCGCGAACTAAACTTCACACGGTATCAACGAGATGGGACAGAAGCCGAAGAGATAAACTCCTATGAGGCTTCAAGCAAGCAGGCGGGGAATGAAAGCCTCTAAGATCACAAATTATCAGGGCACCAGGCATGAGATTGAGGCGCTAGAGGGAGAGCATCAAGAATATCATCCTGAGCAGATAAAGGCACAGGAGACGTAAGATGAAGAGACAGGGATATCGGAAGGAGCTTGAACACACGATTTCCGGTCCTCAATCGTCTCTCTCAGCTCGTTATGCTCATTTTGCTTTTCGGTACCTTCAGTTTTGCTTTGAGCCAAAACAACACCATCGAGCAAATCTATGGCAGCTCTTCATAATATACTGTACATGCATGATAAGGCTGAATATGCCAAAAGCAGTATTCGAATAGGGTGCCAGTGTTGTCAATCAGCTTTTATGTTCAAGGAGACCCTCGCTCCATGAGTATTGTGCAACTCCTGCCATTGTCGTCGTTAACGTACAAAAACATGTTGTCTTGATGATGATGATGCGGGTACGTCTTTCGAGTGCGCTTTGAGGTTTGTGAGAAGAATGAGTCGATATCCAATATTACGACCAAGTGGATGTCGACCCTCTTCTTGGTTCTGAGAATACTTCAGACTGATTCCTCACGAGACAGCTGTAGACTTTACAGACATGACTCTGGTGTTTCGCTTTACGAATGCTTAGATGGTTGCGAACAAAGTGCCAACCAGAGGCGTCACCCGAAAAGGATCAAGTGCGTTCCACATGATGAGTGGCTCCAGAAGTCACTTAAGAACATAAAGTTAATTTCTTGTCGAGGAAAGACCAAACAACATGCCCTGAAAAATCGCCCCTGACGAAAACATCTGGAAGGCCCACTTAGCCCTTGAGTTTGAGGAAGTGACAACTTTGAGAAGTTGAGATATCAGGGAAGGAGTAATAGACATTGAAAACTCTGCATCGTAGTTGACTATATTAGTGGACGTGTGGATTGATATCGCGTGATTGGAAATTATTAAAGTGGTTCAGAGATGGGATTTTCTTATTGAGGACTTGAGGATATCTTCAGAAGAGAAGCCTCATCGATGAGTAGAATGCTATGATACAGTGGATGAGGCTTCTCGGAGAACTTTGTCGAGAAGCAGAATTGATAGAATAGTCGTCCGCCTCACTATTCATCTTAATCCCAATTCCATGGAATCTGAATGTACTTCTTACCATTGAATTTGTGGATGCTGTGACCTTTGTTGATGGTCTCGATGCATTCTGCTTGTGTGAGAGGTCCATCCGGCCCGTGTACATGGTAGTGACAGATGGAATGTAGACAGCTGTCAAGGTCGCTGAGCGTCGTGCGATAGTCCCTCTGATCGACAAGGACTGATTTTGGCAGATCTGATGTCTTGAGATCATCTTCAGTCGCGAAGCCATCCCTAAATTCTAGACAGATACTGTCAAGGATTAGGCGATGCAGCTCGCTGGAAGTCAATATTTCGTCGAATATCCAGTTGATCCTGGCTTTGGCGACGCGATGGTTGACCCAGAACGAAGCAAGAGCCGTGATAGTGTCGTTGGCAAGATTGATGATGCCACGTTTGTCCGCGAAGAGGTAGAGCTTGAGCAGGTGAGTTTCTCGGGTAGCTGAGGTTGCAGGTTGCAGCACAATCTCTGACTCGTAGAGCCAGACTGCGAAGATGTGGAAGATAGCAGGATCTTCATCATCCAGAGTGACTTTTTGACTTGTCGTTTCGGCGAAACCGTTGTTGAGCGCGGCTTCGAAGTAGGTAGATGAGTCGCAGAGCAGTTTCTTGTGCATGCTGAAGGTTTGAGTGTTTCCTAGGGGGCCCACGATGATTTGGGCAGTCGGACCTCCAAGAGCTTCACTGAGAAGACACGATCAGTACAATATTGAGATGAGATCAGTGTGATCATGTGTTGCTTGCGTCACTTACAAGAGTGCCATTCCTGGAAGTTGCCCAAGCAGCAGTGTGGCGGGAGAGAGAACTTGGAGAAAAACGTGTCGAAGAATGGGCCAAAGAGTTGTGACCACTCCGATGTGTTGTGCGCAGTAAAGTGCAAGAAGCTGGTGGTCCAACTTCAATCTGCTATGCGTGTGTGTGATAGTGATGGGCCAGTGATAAGACTGGCGAAGAAGTTTGAAAGTGATTGTCAACGATGAGTGAAAGAGATTGTCGGCGTATGTGAGGACGGTAAAGAATCGATGGCTGGTAAACACCTTCACATTTGTCGCGAAGCTTGTCCTCTATGCGTGAAAATGTTGTGAGAGTGAAGTGGATGGAGATTCAACTCTCTGAATGCTTGTGAGATTACATGACTTGAGGCCAAGTGAGAGGAGCGTATGGAGTAACGCAGTACATAGTCCCAGCAAATTGGCAACAACTAAGCCTATTGAGGCAGATATGCGCTTTGTTTGAGACATGCCTCAGTTTTGTATCTAGAACTGAATGAAAATTGATGCTGATTTGGTTCCCATCCGACCCTCCCCATTTTTCATGTGCTGATTTCCATCGGATCTACCACTCCCAATCAATCTGCTTCGACGGACCGTCGTAATGACTGAAGACGTTACGGCCAGCTTCAACTTCCTCGATGCAAGCGTCCTCCTCAGTCTTGTCATCGTGCACGTGGTAGTGACAGATGGATTTGAAACAGCCGTAGAAACCCTGAAAGCTGGCTGGAAACATGTTTTCTTTCTTGAAAAGGTCCACCAACACCACTTTAGGGTGATCAACGAAATTCTGCCAGAAGCCATCATCATTGTCTTTGTCCGATGCTCTTAACTCCAATATCATGCTGTCCAAAGTCATTTGGTAGAGAGTACAGCTTGATGAGAGTTGAGGGAGGTATTCTGTGGTAACACCCATGCTAATGTTTTGATCACACCAAAAGGAGGATAGCTTGGTGACCACATCATTTGGGAGACCTATGATACCTCGCTTGTCTGCGAAAATATAGACCTGGAACATGTGGCTTTCGAAGCAGGCAAGTTGTTCCACGTTCTGACAGATCTCATGTTCAAAGAGCCAGGCAGCGTAGGTGCGGAAGACCTCAGGAGATTCATCATCTAGAGAAATCGACTGGGTCGCAGTCTCGGAGAACCCATTGTTGAGAGCGGCTTTGAAGTAGGTAGACGAGTTGCAAAGTAGCACTTTGGGAAGGTTGAACACAACGGCCGCATCTCCAGTGCCAACCGTGATCTCGGCGAAGGGTCCGGTAAGGCTTGATCTATGGAAAGTAGATAGTCAGCACACATGTGTGGTGAACAAAGGCGGCTCACACATACCGGACTGACATAGCGTGCGGCGAGATGTGAGATTGAGATTTCTGGGTAGGAGTAATTGTGCTGCGCTGTGGAAAGCAGAAGTTCTCGTGTATCTTTGTTCAAGTCGGACTTGGATATTTGCACTGGCATTGAGTGTCAGCTTGTAGTTTACGGTGCAGCGAGATATTTCTTCCACAACGCACAGTGTTGTCGACCCTGGCACGGCAACCGTCGAACGTCGGAAAGATGTGCCTGCTGTGTCTGTGTGTCCTATAATGGACTTGAACGGTGTTGAGAAGATGAAGTAAGAATGGATGCGCCAATCTGAGACTTCGAGGTGAGAGCTTGAAGTGAAATCAATTGGCGTCTGTCTCCACCAGCGTCTTGGCCCTTGTGCAATGGATATGAGATGTTTTTCTTTATGAAGTCTCGCCTCACTTGTGTGTTCCTGAATGAGACCGAGAAATGTCTTTCAATTGTGTTTGCCCGTGGCAAAGCCTGGAGTGAGCACCGGAAGGAACGAGTCAAACAGCTGGCCTACCTCAGTTGGAAATTCGTTGCCAACATCAACACCGACATCAACAACGTTCTGAAGCACTCCAATCTTCTCGTGGATAGCCAGAGGTTTGATTGCGCATGTAGTCGCAAGTTACTATCATCACTGTGACTAGTTTGATGGTCCAAGCTTGTACGCTGATATCTCGAGAACAAAAGCTCCATCGACGCCCATATGCTACACATACGATCCTCAAATTTCAAGATGTCTACTTCCCTGGGAGCACGTCATCCAGTCCATGAGCAACCTCCCACCAAGCGCAAGAGAAGCGACGATGAAGAAAGCTCCACACCGAAGAAAAAGGCACCAACCAAGGTGCCATCAACGCGAAAGTCCAGGACAGCGAGCGAATCCGAGAGACTTTACAAAGATAGCACCAAAGCCATCGAGAGAGGAATCCAAGCTCTTGACAAAAGAGTTAAAAGTCTCAAATGGCTCGATATGAACGACTGCATTCTGGCCCTTACAATCGACAACTACGCAGCAGCTGCTACCGAGCATCTGCCGAATGTGTTCGAGCTGAAAGGCATGGATAACGGAATCGCACTTGCATTCGACCTGACGATGGCTATCGCTGATATATCGTACAAAGACCTCGAAATGTCAGGATGGGGCGATGCTGAAGCATCCTATGAGGAGTTAGACGGAGTTTTGCTGAGCCTCATCCCGAGTCGTGAGAAGCCAACAACCAGTCTGGCAAGTCTGCCTGAAGTGCCACTTCGATGGACGCCCGATGGTGTTGATCCCAGTCCTTCTGGAACCGGACGACCCGGCACCTTGCATCAAGGCTGGACCTACGCCCGGAAAATGAAGCGGGAGAAGGACAGACGCGAGGCGAGGAGGGACAGGAGAGAGACAACACAGAATTGGGTGTCTATTGCTCTTTCTGAGTTGAAGGAAGACAGAGACTACCTGGACGCCTACGGGATAGAAGGCTACTTCCCAAAGAGCATCGCAGCTCTGGAAGGCATCCTCGCCGAACAGTCCTCCCCTGAAGCAGCGTCTCCATCAGGGGGTAGCGCTTGAGCTACATTGTCCCTCCGTAGCTTAGAAGCCCCAATGTTGACTGCCAGTGCCTACTCTTCTGATCCCACATCCTCGAACTCTTCTTCGTTGTCCCCAAGCTCTTTCATGTCCAACTGGGATAGGTCCGTCAAGGTAGATGCCTATGAAGGTGAATCGATTTGGCCATCGTATGCTCGCCGTTGATAAGGAAGGGTGAGGTCGCCTTAGTGACGGTATCAACCATGCCGCTATGGTTGCCGGACAATCACGGTCATGTCATGGAGAAAGCGCCCACAGCCCATATGCGCTCCACGAAAGCAACCATGTTGTTACATAAAATATTGCTGCTGTCCAAACGGCTGTCGGAAAACGAGTGCGATCTTTCCTCACGGATGTCCAAAGTCGAAGTCGCTTGCTTATCCCCCGCAGAGACTAGTCCCGAAACGAACATCTCCTCCGCTCTTATCTGGGGCTCCGATTGGTTGCGGAGGCCAAGCGATATCTGCCATTTAGGCAAAACTGTTGCCTCATGCATCTTGTGTCCCGCCGGCCCCGGCGGTGCCTGTGATAGTGTCTCCTATCTCGCACCCCGACGCTTGTACCTTCCTCAGCGTGTTGGATTCAAGACTGCCGCTTCTGCCCGCTCAAAATTGCAGGAAGGTCCAAGGTGAAAACGGCGATCCTTCACCCACTGTTTGGCATGACTTTGGCATATTCTGGGGCAAACAGTGGTCCTCGTGGCAGTTGAGTTCAGGGCCACTGCTGATAGTATGCACAGGTCAAAGCGATGACTATCATTCCGGGGTAACCTGTTGCTTCCTTATATCTGTATAAATGCCCGTACGAATATCCAATTGAGTCTCCACTTCTCAGTCCGTATATTCTCTCTATACTCGTGGTAGTCACAGCACATCTTCAACATGGCATCGTTTGCTGCTGCTCCTCCAAACACACACGCAGGTGGAGACGATGAAGCCCTCCGAACACATGGAACGATACCGATGAATGACACAACCGTCTACGCCGATGAAAGAGTCAACATGGAAGAATACAAGAACGCTGTTCCCTGGTGGAAGCGGGTGTACCAAGACAGTTTCACACAGATGATGCTCCTGTCTATGCAAAGTTTCTGCGGTCCGGCCATGGCAGATGCCATTGCTGGTAAGTGGTCTTCAATATCAGTCTGGAACGTGTGACTGATCATCAACAGGTCTCGGTGGTGGTGGTCTTGCCTCAGCCCAAACAAATAACATCGCCAATGCAATTAACTACGTTATGCTAGCCTTGGTCTGCTTCCTTGGTGGTCCTCTTGTGAACAAGCTGGGAGTAAAATGGTCGTTGGTCATCGGAGCCATGTCGTTCCCAATCCAAGGTTCATCATACTACTGCAACAGCAAGTTTGGAAACCAATGGGTCAGTACCAATCTTGGTCACCCTGGAACACAGCACTGACATCAAGTAGTATATCATCTTCGGTGGCTTCGTCTCTGGTATTGGCACGGGATGCTGGTATGTTGCTGAATCTGGAACCATCATGAGTCTTGCTCCTTCAGGTGCTCGTGGCAAGTATCTTGCCTTCTGGATCGTGGCTCGTAACCTCGGTCAACTGGTCGGCGGTGCTATCAACTTGTCGAAGAACCATCTTAAGGGTGCTGACGCTGGCGTCACCCCTGACACATATATTGCTTTCCTGATCATCGAATGTCTTGCGTGAGTACATCTGCTCACTTGAGTCGCGAGACCATGACGCTAACAGCCATAGACTGCCGTTCGCTCTCATGATTTCTCCTCTCGAGAGAGTCGTCCGATCAGATGGTACACGTATTCTAGTCTCTGAGAGGATTGGAACCAAGCAGGAGTTCAAACTCATCAAGACTACCATGACTTCCAGCTTAATCGTGCTCTCTGCCTTCTGGGCCATGTGGAGTTTCTTCGTACGTGTTCCTTACGTCCCTATGAGAAACATATGCTGACATCTTTTATAGTACTCCGGCACTTGGAGCACCTATCTCGGAATCTACTTCTCTGTGCGTGCTCGCGCTCTGTCATCCCTGATCTCACCATTTTTCTGCATGTAAGTAACCCCCATTTCTACCTCATCACCATGTACTGACCTTCATAGTGTCGGATGCTTCGGTCTCGGCTTCATCCTCGACATGAAATCCCTCAGCCAACGCCAACGCGCCCGCGTCGGCCTCTTCGTCGTCGTAATACTAAACCTCGGCGTCTACATCTGGTCCATCATCATGCAAGTAAGATTCAACGCCAACGACCCCGGTCGCATCGATTGGGACGATTCCCTCTACCCTACCTCTTTCCTGCCCTATTTCTTCGTCCAAACCACTGGACCTTTGTCTCAATCATATATGTACTGGTTACTGTCTTCCTTCGCAACTGATGCCCAAGCGAATGTGCGCAATGGAGCTGCATTCAGATGTCTGGAAGCCATTGGACAGGCTATCAGCTATGGTATGAACACGCAGACGGAAGCTAGTCCTTTGATTGGCTTCTGTGTTAGTTTCGGGCTCATGGCTTTGGCTACGGCGCCGATGATCATGTTGACTAACAAGACGCCGGATCGTATTCCTGCTGATGTTATTCTGGAGGGACAGGAGGCGCTGGATGCCAAGATTGCTGATGAGTCTGAGGTTGTTACTGGAAAGGTGGACCAGAAAATTTAGGTGGATGGACCATCTAGCAGTACTGTTTGGTCTGATAGACTGTGCATGATTAATAAGAGTTGAAATCTGAGATACCTACACAATGCGAGTCGTAACACACAATCGTAACAGCGGAGAACGAGGCTGGCGACAAAGAGTAATGTAGGTTCTTTTGAAGTATGCATCTTCATGAGCGACTCTTCGAATTACGTGAATCTGACTTTTGATTGATCATGTATATTCGTGTTCATTTATTGTGATCGAAACTGTAGTTTCTCTCTTACGAAGCCAGATCGCGGTTGCCTCCGTTTCTGCTCAGATCGTTCTTGCCCGAAGAAGCACCAAAGCCCTCGGCTTCCAGGGCCTCAACTGTTGTCTGGGTGTTTCCAGATCCAGCCTCGCGAGTAATTTCCTTAGGCTTGACTTCCCTGTCAGCAAGAATGCTGCCTTGAGCATCAGCATCAACCTCGGCTTGACTGCCTTGAATTGAGCCACTTGAAGCACCGGTCGATGACCCGCTAGATGAGCCATCCTTGGTAACGTACGACGCCTTCTCGCCGAAGGGCTTGCTGCCATCACCTCTCTGGAACATCTCCTCGATCAACTCATGGCGTCTCAATGCCAACTTCCAGTCGCAGTAGGAATCGCTCTCTCCCTTGGCGTAAGCCTCGTAAAGCCTACCAACGTTTTGTGCTGGGTGCTTGAGATCAGCAAGAGAGTCCGAGGGCAGGTCAATGGTCTCGGCGCTGTCCTTGCTCATATCGTGGAATTGGATCTTGACACCTTCATGGTTGATGTCGAACATTCCGCTGGGGCATGTGACCAAGATCTCACCCTTGTCGCCGTGAATGGTCCACCTGACGCCAGGCTCGCCAGGGAACTGGGCTGCAGAGCGAAGCTCGTAGTTGACGAGGGCGCCTGATTTGAAGCGACCTTGAAGCATAATGTTGTCGGGAGTGTCTTTGTCGATGGTCTCCACCACCTTGCCGTTCTGCTTCAGATCGATGAGGTTCATGCGAGGACGCTCAATTCCCATGACTGAGCTGAAAGCCTCGAGCTCACCGAAAGTCTCGAGCAAGCAGTTGAAGCCTATCACAGTTAGCATGAAAAGCGGCACGGATTGAACATTCTTTTCTTACTGTGCAAGAAGAAGATTGTGGCGGAGTTGCCGCCGGCCTCTCTCACGACGATGTACTTGAATCCAGTAGGGATAGAGTCACCTCCAGCGATACCAAAGTTACCCTTGAGCGATGTGCTCAGAACCCTGCCGAGCTTGCCATCGGCAATCAATCCCTTGATGACCTTGACAACAGGACTAGCCTGGCCTTGGGATCCGAACATGGTTTTTGATCCCTGCTTCTCGGCCAAAGAAACCAACTCTCTAATTTGCTCCATGTTGGAAGCAAGAGGAAGCTCAGTGTAGATGTTCTTGCCAGCTTCGACTGCGGGCTTCAACAGCTCGTAGTGCCTCTCGACACCAACAACGCAGACAATCAAGTCGATGTCCTTGTCATTGGCCAAATCCTGTGCGGAGTCATAGGCTTTAACCTCGCCAGGGAGCTTGTAATGCTCGATAGACTTCCTTGCGCTCTCGACAGATGAGTTACAAAGAGCCTTGATCTCGTAGTGCGCCTTACCCTGCTCGGACAGAAGGTAAGGGAGATGAGCAGCGCTGGCCCAGCTTGTGCCCTGCGAGTTGGTGGAAAGACCGATGAGACCGATACGGATTGGAGACATGATGAAATTGAGATATGATATAGTTGAATGAATACTGGAGGAAAGTGGTTGTTGCTATGTGGTTGAAGTCGAGCGGCTGCTCATGTCGTCATCATACTTTCATGTGGAGCTCTCCAAATCCACCCTTAAAGAGCAAACATATCCTACAAGTCAGATCATCCGTCAGAGTAGTTGAGCGTCTGAGATTGAGCTACTTTGCCAATGCTATCCGCTCATTAATTGGTATGAGACCCTCAAGCGATGTTTGTGTTGACAAGAACACAAGTACTTGTGAGTTTCTCACAATGCTGACTGCCGCGATCACCTCGGCCCGATGACATCCCCCGGATTTGAACAACGGGCAAGGGCGGCGACAGACGTCCCGCCAACTGCTTCTCACCAATTTTTTTTCACAAGACGTCGATGGTCAAGATGAACGTGCTTTCTGCACAGGCGAGGCGCTTACCATCGCGTCATTGAAGATGCCAGTCGATTCATGTGTTCGCAGGAGTGCGGGAGGTCCAAAGCTCTGACGGGCCGTCGGGTTCCTGGATCTTGAAGATAAACTTTTGTCTAGACTCACATTTTTGCACATGCACCAATGGTAGAAGTACCGTACCTTTGGATGTGACTTGAGACAGGACATGCTGCACTCGAATGGCTTGCAGCAGACTGGCGACAGGCAACAAGTCTTTCCTTGAGCGAGCCGATTATATTCGAAAGGGAGAAGCCAGAAGACAACGTCAACACTGACTTGCACCAGCAAACATAATGTCCGGCAGTTTGAAAAGTATCATAGGGCTGTCACTGAGTTCCCCAGAAATGCTTAAATACGAGCGAGCCGAGGGTCGAACACATTTCAGCCGATTCTGGAAGCATTGGCAACGCCTGGCTAAGGACTTCCCACTTTGACATGCTTTTGTAGATTCTTCGCTACCACTCTCTAGATTGTGGCGCTCTCGTCAAAACTCCTTTGTAGCTTCACTGCCCTAAGTCGCATCTTGCATTCGTCCTAAGGGCAGGATATACAGTGGCAATCTGCTTGCCAAGCAGCCTGACATGCTCTTCTGCCCTATGTCAACACCTCGATGTGTCCAAGCATGGTAATGAGATTTGATCTCTAGATCTACATGGTATGATATATATATCGTCCGTTTGTCGTCCATAGTTCCTTCCATCATCTCATCATCTCATCTCACATTCTTTCTCTTTCCATCGGTATATCTTTCTACCAACCACTTTCGCTACAAGATGAGACCTTCTACTCTCCTTCTCGCCGCTTCCGGCTCTGCAGTCCTTGCTGCTCCTACTCCTAGTCTTCTCGGAGACATTTTGAGCTTGACCAACAATGTCATCACCACTGTCACCTCGACCATCACCAACAACTTGGCCCAGCAAGTTGCCCAGCTCGGCTGCACTCTTCAGACCAATGCCAACAAGCATGGTCAGATCATCAGCTCGGTTGCTCTTACCGTCCAGGCCATCGAGGTCGCCGCCAAGAGATTCACTCAGACTTGCAACTGGTCCAAGCCTGGAAAGTCATACATCAATTGGTCTACCTACAAAGCCAACGGTGTTAACCTCGGTGCCTGGTTAGAAATCGAGGAGAACTAGTGAGTAGATTTGAAGCTATAGCTCAATACGACCTCGTGCTGACAACTTTTAGCGATACTGAGTGGTGGGCCGCCAATGTTGGATCTTTCCCCGATGAATGGACCTGGTGTTCCACCGTTGGTTTCTTCGTCTGTGGACCTCTCCTCGAGAAGCGCTATGCTTCGTTCTTCACCACTGCCGACATCGACAAGATGGGTGCTAAGGGTATCAACACTCTCCGTATCCCCACCACCTACGCAGCCTGGACCAAGGTCCCCGGCAGCATGCTCTACTCCGGTAACCAGCAAGCTTACCTTAGAACCTTGACCAACTACGCCATCGACAAGTACAACATGCACGTTATTGTCGGTCTCCACTCCCTGCCCGGTGGTGTTAACACCCTTTCCATTGGTGAAGCCTTCGGACACGACGCCTGGTTCCAGAACGCCACCAACCTCGACTACAGCTTCAAGGCCATTGACTCTATCCTGACCTTCATCAAGACTTCCGGTCGCCAGAACTCTTTCACCATCGCCCCTATCAACGAGGCCAGTGACAACTTCGCCGGGTTCGCCACCCCTGCCGGTCTTACCAACGACGGTGTTAACTGGATCAACACCTACATCAACGGTGTCTTCTCCCGCATCGCCAAGGTTGATAAGAGAATCCCTCTCATGCTTCAGGACTCCTTCTTCAGCGAGCAGTTCTGGTCTCCCTTCTACGCCGCTGGTACCAACCTCGTCATCGACTCTCACATCTACTTCTTCGCCGCCGCTGGTGCCTACTCCCAGTACGTCCCCGCTGCCGTCTGTGGTCAGGCCAAGTACATCGGTCAGGGTGATGGCAAGTTCCCCGTCTTCATTGGCGAGTGGTCCCTCCAGACTCTCTACAACAACACCATCGACAACAGAAAGACTCTTTACGACACTCAGGTCTACGCTTACCAGAAGTACGCTTCCGGTGGTGCTTTCTGGAACGGCAAGATGTTGAACACCAGAGACACTGTTGATGGTGAGGGCAAGCTCCAGGACTACTGGTCATGGGAGGGTCTTTCTGACGCCGGTGTTGTGTCTACCACCTTCAACCAGAGCTACTGCTAGATGTCTAGAAGAGAAAAAAGGAGTCTGAGGATATTTTTTAGGATACCACTTTCGTTTCGAGTTTTGACAGTTAGAAGGTTGAGCACAGAAAACCACACCAATATTGTATATAAATTTATGATCTGATTTCATCGCAACATCACGCTTCCAATATCTTCATCGTATCTCGTCTCTAACGTAACAATTGTGTTTGTTGATCAGGTTTTTGGTAGAGACTGGAATCTCCTCAACGCCGCAGATGTGAATGGTTCCAACTCATTCTCTTATTCATTCACTCGCGCGATTGAAGGGGCATGAAATATCCTTCAACCTTTCACTCATATGTCATATCGGTCTCACTCTCAGCCCGCTCTCACACACAACTCCTACCTCCTGTTCTCCTCTTTCCCCTCTCTTTCCCTCATCTTCTTCTACACCACACGCTTCCACTCTTTATCTTTCTCTCTTCTTCACCAAGTACCCTCACTTGCACGAACACTCTGAAGGATCGCGCAACTCTGGCTGGGTGCCGCAGACAGAGATGTCCAAAGCTGCTCCTAAACTCTTCAACAAGAACAACACCCTTAAGGGCGAGACATGTGTGCACGATCTGTTCAACCTCAAACACAAAAATCGAGAAGGTTTCAGAGCACGCAAACCTCTGCCATGGATTGTTCACCGACAGCTATGTCACTCGATGGCCGGCTGCGAGGTCGGAGCAGAGGGAAACCTCAACGCACTTTTGGCAGAGAACAACAGAGACAATCACGCAGCTTACCAGCGACTGCACGATGACTACGCCAACTTCGTGAAGTCCAAGCACAAGTCTGCGGGCAAAGAGCGCAGCAAGTCTACTGTCCGAGCTTCGAACCCTGCCACCGAATCGCCCCATCCGGACACCGAGTTGATTAAGACAGCCGCTGGTCGCTCGGAGAAGTGTAAGTTGACTGTCAACGATGAGGAGGTTGCTCGCCAGCGTCAAGCCCCGATCGCAAGATTGAACGGGGCTTTCGCGAAGATGCCAGACTTGAAGCTGCTCATGGCGAACCAAAAGACCAAACACTGGACCAGTCTTCGGGTGTTATTGGCAAGTCAATTGTTGCTCAGAACAAGGAGTTGCAAGACGAGGTTGCTCGTCTCAGATGAGAGCTTGACGGGATCAAAAAGATGGTGGTCAATAACCACGGCAAAGTTATCCATCATGCCAAGACGATTGGCAGCTCCGTTCGTAGCCTTACAGGCAAACATGATCGCTACAGGATAGTGAGAGATGTCCGTATTCGTGCACTCGAGGATGCCTCGTCGGGTCCTGTCAGTCTCGATGGACTATCTGGCCACAATGAAAAGCACGGCGAGGACAGTCCCACGACTTCTAACGGCCACATGTTGACTTACGATAACTTGAATGCCAGCCAATCGCTCACCGGTGACCTCGGCGGTGTTAAGCCGTGGTTGACTGCAACCTCCAACGACACCGTCCAGGACCAAGGCTCTCTTGCCGGTAACCCTGAGCCTACCATGCCTATTCAGATCGCAACCTTTGAGCCCGAAAGTTTTCGGAAAACATTTGCATATTTAGGTTGGCACGAGCGAAGCAGGGCTTACAATTCCTCGGTCGATAACTTGATGATAGGTATCGCTCTGACGAGACCGAGCGGACCTTGAGAAGTGGCTAATCATGTAAGGGTTGTTGCCGTGCTTGTTTAGTTCTCGTCTTGTATGTACAATGTCTTTAAGATCAGTGCAGCCATCCACTGAGAAGTACTGACTTTCACATTATCAACCACGAGTAATCACTATCATGAGTAGCACAAAGTTTTCAAGGATCAAGTTGGGTTTTTTATAGAAGGCGACGGTCCACTCCCAAAGGGAATGCCGTCAAGCCTAAACAGTATCAAAGCGCAGCTGCTCATGCGCCTTTCCCTGTGCCCATCCCATGCGCCTTTCCCTATAATTTCATGCGCCTTTCCCTGTACCCATTCCATGCGTTGTCGTAAGTCATTGCCTGCTATGAGGTTGCGTGTCCCTGCTGGGAGATGCCATGCTGAGAGGTTGCGTGCTCAAGCATCGCCAGCCTCCGATTCCCAGGCGATTAGCTCACGCTGGATGTTGCTTCGCCTTGGGCAAATTGGCTGCAGAAGATGGTTTGGGCTGAGACGAAGCATCAGGCGTGGGCGAGTCGTATGGAAGGTCGAGAAGACGTTCGCCGACATCTGAATCAGAGTCGTGGCTTTCCGCCTTATCCTTTGGCTCCTTAGAATCGCCCTTGTCGTCATCGCCCTCGTCGTCATCATCCTTGTCCTCATCATCCTCATCGTCACCCTCCTCTTCGTTGCCAGCTTGCAGACATTCTTGGTACTTCTCCTCGAATTCCGCGTTGAAATCCAGCTGGTGCTGGTTGTAGCGTCTATGGTGTGCCAGAACCAACTCCTCATCGGTAGGTTTACGACCATGGTTGGTCAGGAAAGCGCGATGCTGAGCCTCGTAGTCTGCTTTAATCTCGGCGGTGTCCTTGCGGGCTGACTCGAGACTCTCCTTAGCCAGGCCGAGTAGGATGTTCTGGGCTCTGATGGCCTTCTCGGTAGGCGGGAATTCGCCAGTGTAAGAGCTTCCGGGGCGAACGACGAAGAGGTTCTCATAGAGATCGACGGCTCTCTCAGCATGCCACAGGAAGTTGTCCTCGCCCAAGGAAAGGATGCGGTGGCAACCAGCCCTGTGGTAGTCGCTGAGATCAGCGTAGTCGAGGAGTAGTGAGAAGATACGGCGGCTCTCTTCGAACTCATTGTTATCAAAGTAGTCGTTGGCCTTCATGAACAGGTCGCAGAAGATTCTTGAACGGTTGTCCATCTCGACGTTCTCTGTGGACATGTTGATGATGGATGGCGCGCAAGTCGCCGCGGGTTCTTCGTGATGGGGCGTGCAAGTCGTCGTGAGTTCTTGGTGATGGGCGCGCAAGTTGTCGCGAGTAGTCGCGAGCTATTGATGATGGGTGCAAGCAAGCAAGTTCTTCTTGATGGGCGCGCAAGTCGCCGCGGGTTCTTCGTGATGGGCGCGCAAGTTGTTGCGAGTTTTTGGTGATGGGCGCGCAAGCAAGCAAGCAAGCAAGCAAGCAAGCAAGCGGGTTGTTGATGGTGATGTTAAAGCGCGCGAGTTGTTGCGTTGACAAGAAAAGTTGACGCTGATTAACAGTGACAACACTTCACTAAATGTCAATCACTGTCCAGCTTCCCATTCACGTACTTCATTCAGTTTTGCGACCACAGCCGGCTCATGCCTCGAGTATCTCTATGATGTCTCGTTCAGAAAAGACGACTGTCATTACTGAGTAAGCGCACGAGTGAGACTGGTTGATTGTGATCTACCATCTTCAGTGAAGCGATGTTCAGTGAAGCAATATCCAGTGGTGCCTTATCCAGTGACACGGTATTCAGTCAAAGCCATTCCAGGATCTGGTGAAGCCATTTCCGGTGAAAGCCATCCCAAGTGGAGCAATGTCCAGTGAAGCAATGTCCAGTGTGTCCAGTGAGCTCATGTTCATTTACTCATCAGATATATTTCACAAGCGCTTCCGTGGGAAGAACCTGTATCTGACATTCCAAGGTAATACTCTGTTCAGATGGCCTTGCAAAAAATCTGCAATGCACCGCCTGTCGTAAGGTGCCGCTCGTTAGGGGAACGTTGCGGAATCTCCGTGACCCATCATCGCAAGACAGTACTCTCCCTAACAAATCTACCAAAGCTTGGGAACGACGCATGGCAAGAGCTCGCTTGCTTTTTCAAAGATACATACAAAAAGCCGAGAATGTTGCATTGCAAGATATTGGTCTTACAAAAGTACATGCAAAAGATCAATATTGCAAACTCTGAAGGAAGTCGACAAAAGTTCGAGAATACTGCATCATAAGTAAGATACGAGTACGCTTTGTCAGCAGCACAGACAGCAAAGCGCAGCAGAACCGAGCTCCCAACCTCCCGACGGACCTTCCTCGTCCATCATCAAGATGCACGATTTATTTCCAGACCTTCACGCTGCCAATCAGAGCAGAATTGAAAACTGTTCTCACTGGACGTTCATCTATCCATCAAAATCATCTTGCTTTTTGACAGTATGTAATATCAACGGGTGGGAGGCTGAGATTGCCAGGAGGTGATCGCAACGTGAAAAAGAGGGGTTTGTAACCCATCACAGGAACATCGAGCTCTCAGACTCCGGCACTCCCTCTGGATTCATACATCAAAATGCACAGTGTTATTCAACCTTGGATAATTGTCCACTGAAAGCGACATCTCGACATACTCTCTCTGGCCCTGCACTTGATTGTGAAAATTATCTTGCATTTTGACAGACTATTTGGCCGTCCTCTGGGAGGATGGGATGCACAACATACTCGCTATCGTCTGCTCCAAGCGTGTTACAGCTCCCTGTAGTATGTTTGTCTGCTCCGATTGCATCGGCAACCTCGCTGGCAGGGTCAACTCTGCTTCCAACACTGGCTTTGTCTACAAGCACGTCAAGTACCTAATAGGCACTCTTTGCAACGTCGAAGCAAAAAAGCGAGGTATGAGCAACGAGATTCTTGCTTCCCATGCAAACAGAAATGCGCTTTATGCACAGGTCGAGAGGGACCTTGCCGAACAGGGCACCTGGCTTGCAATGGAAGAGCGCTTTTACCGGCAAGATTTACAACATACCCACAGAGCGCACAACATTCAGATACCACACATCTCACCCGTCGCCCGATGCGTTCTTTCCTTACCCAACATTCAACAACGCCTGGCTCATTCGCACAAAGAACAACGTCGGTATTGTCGAGCGACCATTGAATTATGCCAGGCATATTCGACTTCCTACTATATTGTGGCTACTCCAGCGCAATCTTGCCATTGAGGAGTGTTATAAGTGCGTTTGCCAGAAGGGTATCACGCCCGACCTCAAGGCTATGAATGTGCATGATGCACTAGTCGTCAAGAGATCGAACAACATGCGTCAAATTTGCTACAAGAGTGCTTACACTCGGTGCAATCGTCTGAATAGGTCTTACAACGGCAAAGTCCTCCTCAACGACTATGAGAAGTAGGTGACATGCACGTTACGCAAGGTTGAGAACGATCCAGGTCCATGGGACAAGGAGAGGAAATCATACCACCACGTTGGTGGCATATCCGGCCATGCTCAACGGACCACAGAGGTTGCGCAGAGACTATACGCTAAGGCCTTGTACTACACCAAGTACTTTGGCCTCGATCCCAAGGACTTTTCTCAAAAGAACGGTATCCTCTACTTCTGCGAGGGTTTCTTAATGCCTGAGAATTGGTCCACCTCGGTGGCCTACGCCGTGTGCGTTGATCACGCTGTTCGTGTCCGCGATGTTTGAAATGCCGATGGCAATACCATTGACACGCCGGAGACAGTGTAAATCCAATGCATCACCGCCGTTTGTATCATTAAGTGCACTGTCAAGCCCGACGACATGGACATCACGACCTTCACCGAGACGAGAGAAACATTTGCAGAGTTCCTGGTTCTCCCTACGACACATCTTGCTTTACGCTCGGTCACTGCAGCTGTAAGCGTACTATATGGACTAACTCCCGCTCCATGGCCCTGGAGTTTGACTCCAAAGCTGGCAAGACACTGGTGGAGACCGTGCCATCAAACATATCGAAGTCAGATACTCGTTCAGCAATTGTTTTCTGATCAAGCAGACACTTTGCGATATCAATGTTGAAAAGAGGCTACAGAATCCGAAGACAAGCTTCATCACTCGACGAGGATTGCTATTGTTGGCCGTGATGTCAAGCCCGTCTACTATGACTTCTTTCAGAGCCTCAGGCTTAAACATTTTAATGCAATTCAACTGGGCTTGAAGAAGTCAGGGTTTATTTCACTTGGAACCGTTTTCACTGGAAATGTCTCCTCTGAATCCTGAGATGGCTTTGGATTAGTGACTTTCACTCTCTTCGTGCTAACTTCTGCTCGATTCCAAGTTATAACGATATGCAGTCCAAATTCAATACCGATCCATCACCTCACAGACCCCTTCCCGGCTTCTCCTCACCAAAGAACTCCGGATTAACACCCTCCCACTGCGGATCCCTCAAATGAGCCTTCAACAAAGCATTCGGCCAACTAACCGCAGGAGCCTTCCCCGGCACCTTGACCGCCTGCCCAACAACCACATCCCCCAAACACTGTTCAACATCCAATCTCGGCAACGCCACCTCAATCTCAGCACAATAACCATCAGCTCCAAATACATCTCTCAACGGAGCTCCGAAATCCATCAATACAGCCTGTCGCACTATTCTAGCCAGAAGAGAAATACGCTCCGCGATACCAGGGGAAGTGTGTAAGGCAATCGCCGTCCACACTTGATGGCATGTTTCCGAGGAGATACCATGGGAGTGCAGGTGAAGGGAAGCGGCATCTGCGCCTTCGACTTCGAAGCGTTGGGGGCCGTTGTGGAGATCGCAGGCGCCCATGTCGTGGAAGATGCAGGCGATGAAGAGGAGATCTAGGTCTGGATGTCGGAGGTAGTGGGAAGTGGGTGTGTTTTCGACGGTGATGAGGTGTTTGGCGAGGAAGAAGACGCGGAGACTGTGGTGGAAGATTGGGAGGGGGAGGTTGGTGTAAGCTATTGAGAGGGCGGTCTTGCTGATGGTGGTGTCGGGGATGTGGTTTAGGACGCTTTCTGGCAGGCTAGGCGTGTTGGCTGTTGATACTGAAGCTTCCATGTTTGATCGGAGCGAGTTGATAACTGCTGTTTGGAAATCAAGAGACGCTATGTCAATAGTTCAGCGTTAGGCAATGGTGCGCCTTATATAGCTTTTGCAGTGCTCCATATCACGAGAACATCAACTTAATATTGGTCAATGCTGCTTTGACATGTCGTTGTCGCGCCCTGTCATTTCCAAATCTGTCAAGAAGATGTTGTAAACGTTACTTTTTCCCGATAAGAAGAGGCTCGAGAATATTACGACCTGGAGCAAAACACAAGTTGAGAGCAATGACAGCCAACCCCAATGCGAATTTTCTTGCAAGACTGTTATGGAAGTCACTCGTTGGCGGGGCAGGGTCGCCTTCCTCAACATCTTGTACTTGGATCGTGGAGCTTGTTGACCAAAATGTGTTACGCTGACGAGGTGTCAACCAAAGACTGATCTAGAAATTATGTACGGAACTGGGGGCGAACACAAGGATAGCCCGTCTTTAGTTCTTCTTGACGTCTTCTTCGGCATTTTCCACCACGTCCACCATGAAACCGCCTCCCAGCAGGATAGCCGGCTCGTCGATACTGTGATGTTCATAACTATTACTTCAAGTCAGTCTCTGTCGTTTATCCTGGCATTTGCAGGGAATAACATACCTCAAAGTACCCACACCGCCAGCATCAAGCAGCATACTAGGGTTATCCGCGATATTCTTGTTAATCCACCTGGCCGCAAACGCTCTCAAGATATGTCCATGTGCCACAATCAACACATCATGCGGCCCTGCCTCTTTACAAGTCTTCCCAATAGCATCTTTATGATACTTCTCCCTGATCTCCGCAATAACAGCATCCAAGCGTTCGGTAATCTGATCAGGACTTTCACCACCAGGACATCCATCCTTCCAAATATCCCACTTGTGCAAACCAGCCTGTTGACGTTGTTCACCAATATACTTGGAAGTCAAACCCTCATAATCGCCATAATCCCATTCTCTCACTGATTCCGTGACTTGCGCTTTGGCCGACGTCTTTATATTTCCATCTTCATGTTCGGCGTCTTTTTTCCATGGCATTGGGTCTTTGCAGCCGAGGTTCAGGAGCTCGAGTGTTCGTTGCGAGCGCGTGCGGGGGGAGACGTAGATGTGAGCGAGGTTTCTGGGCACGATGAGGCGGTCGTCGCCGACGAGGGCGTTGCCGGTTGCGCGGATGCGTTTCTCGCCGTTCGAGGTGAGGGGGATGTCCGAGGTGCCGGTGTGTCGGCCATTGAGCGACCATTCGGTTTCGCCGTGGCGGATGATGAAGACACGGGGGGTGACTTTCTTGTCGGCCATGGTTGTGAGTGCTGTAGGTACTTGAAACTTGCGGTAGAGAGGAGGAGTAATGGTTTTGTAATTGAGGTGTTGCTCGCGGCGGGGTCCCCGGATGTAAGTGGGATTGATATGCTGCTACGTCATCGATGGAGACTTGTTGGAGAAGTACGTCACCGCTCGTCGGTCTTCATCTATTCTTGCACATCAATCTCCGCTTGTCAATGATAGAAGCTAGGATGTATGAGGGGCATAATGTTCGTTAATTTTGATGCATACTGTATGAGTACGATGCTCTAGAAATACAAGATGTGATAGTATACATGGGCCGAAAGAATTCCTAGCAGTCAGATGGTGTAGTATGAAGGACCAGTGTGTAATTCTCCTGGTAAACGCGATCTGCAAACCAAAATGGTCTCAAATGCTCGGATTAGGATTGCTCTCAGCGTCTCACAGGCTGTTTACTGCTGGGAAGCAAATCCTCAGCCATCTCCCGGGAACGCTGCGTTCTCACAGGTCGCTTGCAAGCCGTCGGTGCAGGGTGAATAGGTTTTGTGTATGCCAACCAACGCGATTGCACATTGTTGACAACCATGTTTGAAATGAAGTAGAGTAACAAACCAGCAGGCATTTGCAAGGCTGGTATAAAGGAAAGAGTAGCGATAGTCAATCCAATCCTTTGTGCGTTTGTCGGGTTTGACGTATTTTCGCGGCCTGTCGACGTGGCTGCTCCGGCTATACGGGGTGCAAAGTAGATGCTGGCGATGAAGGTGCTGCTGAACATGATGGGGAGGATGAAAGTAGGGTCCGAGGTGGTCAAGTCGGGACACCAGAAGAAGCCTTCGGTCATGAGAGTAGGGTCGAACCAGGGAGTGTTGGCATGATTTGCTGCCACAGAAGCTGCTTGTTCTACTGAAAGATTCGCTACAGCCTCCTGTGTTGTTGACGTGGAAGAGAGAAGGTCCGGAGCGAACTCTTGCGTTGGCTGAATAGGCTCGGCGGCACTCGGCTCCAACATGGCATTGGGCTCAGAGGCAGCTGCTGGTCTCTCCAAAGCTTCTCCAGAGGTGGGTTCAGGGGCAGTTTTCGGAAACAACCAGCTTACAGTCCAATCAAAAGGACCCAGAATGAACTTCAATAAGCCCTCTTTGGCGCCCATCAATCTCCTCAAGGCATCAGAAACCCAAATTGTTGAAGCGAACATCATGATTCTATGACCGCCCCACCACCCTCGATTGAACAGAATGGATTGCAACCGAGCTCTGACAGTGAAAGAACTGAGGACCATTTGAAGTTTCCCCACAGCCTGGGGCAGACCTTCAGACCTGATCTTCCGCCTCAGGATGCTCATATGGGCATCCACGAGGGGTTGGATTTGAGCGCGATCAACCAGCTTCTCACGCAAAGGCTTCTGAAATACTGGGTAGATGAAGAATGATCTGACCAAGACGGCAGAAAGCGGCAGTACTGCAAACCAGGGAAGACCGGTGGCATGAAGGGTTTCCAAGAATGCAGCTGGTACCAAGGCAGCAGAGTTAGCGAAATTTGAGCACTCGGCGTACACGGCCGGATAAGAGAAGTGTCGAGCGCCATGAGGTTTCCGGGAGATAAGTGGTCGGACAGCAAATAGACGGCCGGCCGACCGTGCTAACAAGACCATGTTCTATGACAAGTTGGCAAAACGAGTGAGCACAACATGTGATGTTGATGATTGACAGAAAGACATTGATATTTGCCATGGCCGGGGTCGGGAGCAGCCGGGGCCGAAGGCGGTGTTGCGGGCCGACGATGCAGGGACAGGGTGGGCTGATTCTACTTGAGTCATTGCGTGACGAAGCTTGGAAGCTGGAGCTGTCCAGCAATACGAAACAACAGGTGGACTTGTCACACATCGACCATGACATGAGAGTCATCTTACAATGCCTGGACTAGGACTGCTTCTATCACTGGCGGCAGTGCTCGTCGGTGCGAGCTATGTACTGCTGCCATACTTTGTCCGATTCATTGCACAGAATGTCGGCTCCACAGTACGCGCCAGGACACAGACAAGGAGAGAGCTGCTGCTCAAGAGAGCCAACGATGAAGAGTCCAAGTCACTTCCCAAGTCGAACAAGGATCGTCTAGCCAAAGGAGACTTCAAGGGAAAGCCAACACATGAGTGGGAAGGCATCATTGGCTTCTTCCACCCCTTCTGGTGAGTTGATCGATCGTGTACCCCTGTCAAGATACTGACACTCGGTATAGCAATGCCGGAGGTGGTGGTGAACGTGTCCTCTGGGCAGCCATCCGCGCAACCCAGGAACGCTACCCCAAAGCTCTCTGCGTAGTCTACACAGGCGACCATGACGTCGACAAGGACACCATCATCGCAAACGTCAAGAACCGCTTCAACATCCCCCTTCACGCCCCTCGTCTCACCTTCCTCTATCTCAGCACCCGCGACTTCCTTCTTGCTCAACACTGGCCACACTTCACCCTTCTCGGCCAAAGCATCGGCAGCTTAGTCGTAGGCTGGGATGCCTTCAATCTAGTCGTCCCGGACATCTTCATCGATACAATGGGCTATGCCTTTACCGTCGCTTTCTCGCACTTCCTCTTCCCTGATGTGCCCACCGGCGCTTATGTCCACTACCCCACCATCTCCACCGACATGCTGGGAAGTCTAGACGCTTCCGGTCGTGGTGTTAATGCAGGCTCTGGCAGTGGTTGGAAAGGAAAAGCCAAGAAGGCATACTGGCACCTCTTCGCCCGTCTCTACAGCTGGATTGGCGGTGAGATCGACGTCGTGATGACAAACTCCACCTGGACACAAAACCACATCAAAGCTCTTTGGGGCAGCACTCGCCAAAAGAGACGTTGGACAAAAGACACCTTTGTGGTGTTCCCACCTGTCGCGGTCGAAGAGTTGGAACAAGAGATTGAGGTCTCGGAAGAGTCCGAGAAGAGCAGGAAGAAGGACATTCTCTACATTGCACAATTCCGTCCTGAAAAGGATCACCAGAACATAATCATGGCGTTTGCAGAGTTCCTGCGCGATCACAAGACTGATGCAAAGGATACGCCTAGATTGGTGCTTGTCGGATCGGTCAGAGATGAAAAGGACAAGATGTTGGTGTACAAGTTGCGTGTGCTGGCGCGCGAACAACACATTGCCGACCACGTCGACTTTGTCATCGATGCAAAGTGGTCGCAGATTCTGGATCGTTTGAGAACCAGCTGGATTGGTGTCAATGGCATGTGGAACGAGCACTTTGGTATTGGTGTTGTCGAGTACCAGGCTGCTGGTTTGATATCCGTGGTCGACGATAGTGGTGGCCCCAAGTACGATATTGTGGTTCCGATTGATGGAAAGCCTACTGGTGAGTTCTGCCGTTACTTCATCCCCGGCTCCTACTAACATCTATTTGCTAGGCTTCCACGCGAAATCACCTACAGAGTTCGCCAAGGGCTTCGCCAAAGCACTTGATCAATCGCCCTCAGAAACACTGGCTATGCGCAAGAGAGCAAGAACCAGTGCAAAACGCTTCTCAGAGGAAGTGTTCCGCGATAGCTGGAATGCACAGATGGACAGATTGATCCAACTTCGGTTCACGCCGAAGGGAGAGCGTCAAAAGCTTCATCTGGATTAGAATTAGATTCATATTTGATGTTATGATATCCCATTATTTACTCTGCTCTATTTAATCTATATGCTCTATGTGGTGTATCCTATGTCATTGCCATTCAATTCTCCTCCTTATGATCTATTCTATGCTTCTATGTCCCATCTCTCCTTGTATCATCTAATCTAATCCATATCATGCCATCTATTGTATATCTCCTTCTGTCACTACAACTCATGTTCTTCAACCTGCCCTCTACCCCGATTCAACCTCCCACTCTGCAACCTCCTCACCACCTTCACCACCCTCGACCTCACCGAAGTCTGTTGCCCACTCTCTCCACGCTCAAAAGCCCCATCAATCTCCTCCAACGTCTTACCCTTCGTCTCCGGCATCCCCCCCGCACAAACCACCACGGTCAACAAACTCGCAGCCCCAAACATGAAATAAATCCCCGAACTACTCTGCTCCAAAAACACCGGCGTGGTAAACGCGACCACGAAATTCACAACCCAATTACTCGATTGAGCTAAAGAAGTAGCAGGGGCTCTGGTTTTCGGTGGTTGGATTTCCGAGGCGTAGATTTTGATGCCTACAGCCCAGGTTATACAGTATGTTAGGGCGAAGATGTAAATGAGCACGATGACGAGCCAGCGTGCTGGGCCGTGGTCGCCGTGAACGACGCCGGAGGCGTATAGAGCGCCGATGATGAACATGGTGCTTGAGAGTAGGATTCCTCCTGCGATTGTGGAAGTGCGCCGGCCCCATTTATCTGCTAAGATGAAGGCGGGGATTGTGACCAGGAACATGAGAAGAGCTGAAACTCCTGATGCGAGGAAAGAGGAGGTAGATGAGTTTAAACCGGCTTGTTGGAAGAGCAGAGGTGCGTAGTAGAGTACGCCATCGATACCGGATAATTGTTGCATGCCCATGAGGAAACAACCTAGCAATGTGCGTTTGCGGGTATCTTTTCCGAAGACCGCTAGCCATGAGGTTTTGTTGGTGTCGTGTATGCTTTGGCGAGAGCGGATTGGCGTTAAGGCTAAGGATTCTGGTTCTTGAACCTGGAGAGTGGAGGATTGCTTTTGTTGGTCGTCTTTTTCACGCTCGGCGTCGGCGATGCCTAGTTTTTCCCATGCGTCGTGAGAATCGTCCATACGGCCTTTGGTTTTGAGCCAACGAGGAGATTCAGGTAGGAAGATGAAAGAAAGAACGGCGTATGTGAAGGCGAGGAAACTCTGTAGAGCAAAGGGGAATCGCCAGCTGAAACTCGTGGTGGAGGAGCGCACTGTGCCGTAGCAGATGAAGTAGCCAACTGCGATACCCATGGTTACTAGCAGTTGTTGTACACTGGCCAAAACACCTCTCTGTCTTGCTGGAGCAATTTCGCAGACGTAGACGACCAGTGTACTTAGAAAGAGACCTTCTCCTACACCAGTGATGCAGCGGCCTACGAATAGCATGGCTAGGTTTTGCGCACCTGACTCCAAAGCAGTCCCAGTCGCAAAGATCAAGCCTCCGATAGAGCACGTCTTGATACGACCAAGGTAGTCTGCCACATTGCCAGCGAAGAAGGAAGTCAATGAGGCAGGTATCAAGATCGAGGAGACCAAGATACCGTGGATGGTTGAGGAGAGAGGGCCGAAGGAGTCAAGGAAAGTTGGCATGGTTGTAATAGGTCCAATGCAGCCGGTATCCAAGCCGAAGAGGAGTCCTCCTACGGAGATGAGGGTGGAGCATAGGATGTATGGCGCTGGTAGCCGCATAGTGATTGCCTCCATTTTAATCTGGCTCTGGACCTCGAGAACGAAACCTAGAGAACGATCGATTTCAAGAGAGCTCTCAAGCTCCGTTCAGAGATGGATGGAGCAGATGGTTTTGGAAAGAAGACAGCGGAGGAAACAACGATGGAAAGAAAAGGTCAAGTCAGCGCACCAAATCTCGAGCTGCTGCCTTTAAATTTCTTCTCAGTATTTCAGATGTCGGCCTACCTTCATGTCTATTACTGTTATATCCATGCGGGTTGTGGAGTCTCCCACGGGGATGAAAAATCACGATAACATTTTTGGTGGGTGATGGATCTCAACAGAGTCGGTGCAGGTATCGAGGAAGGTTTGCCGAGCGGCTCACCAGTTTTTGGAAAATCCTCCGACAAGGCGGTGAATCACGCAGACTCGAGTTTAGGCAAAAGAGCGACACCAGTCACCAGGGCAGAATGATATTCACCTTCTGGTTTGGGTTGTCGGATCTCTTGAAACAAAAGATCGAAAGGGTGCGGACCGAGTGAGCAACATGTAGCATCGCAACGGTTTTTTTGTTGCGACCTGGCAAAGATAGAACAGACTTGCAGCAAATCGTGAGTCCCTGCATCGCCAATCTTGCACGGAGTTTTTACCACATGTTCAACTTTCTTATCACTTATCCTGTTTTTTGCTGAAGCCGTTGTATATAGCCTTCTCGCGATGGAGCTGCAAGTCAAGATACACAAGCATCTCATCGATCTTAGTATACGCGCCCTGCCCCGCAGAGGAAGCAGACAGATCAGGCGGGCTTGAAAGTGTGTGGCTGCATGTACTGCGTCATTGCTCTAGTTAATCAATTCTTTGAACAAAATCGCTGAGCAGTCCACCCGTGTGAATTCTCGACACTCTCGTTGTTTCTTTTACAAAGCTTAATTCAACAGCTCTGTTTTGACAGAGCACCTTTTCATCAAGATGGACAAGGTTACACAGGTTGTCATCTTCTCTTCGACGGCCATTGCCCTCTATGGTTACGATCAAGGTAGGTAGCCCGATAAGGAAAAGGAAACCAATGCTTACCACCTTCTAGGTATGATGAGTTTGATCAACACGAACGAGGATTATCTCAGCACAATGGGCCTTCCTGAAGAGAGCCCCATTGTCGGTCTCATCGTAGCCTTGTACTACTTGGGTACTGCCGTTGGAGCTGTCATCTTCTCCTACTTGGCAGACCGCTTTGGAAGAAAGCCTGCTCTTTTTGGATGTCTTGCTATGTCGTCTCTCGGAAACCTCGTCATGTTCATTGCCGGTCTTGGATATTCTCAGGGCGCTATTGAGGTCATGATTGCTGGCAGAATCATCATGGGACTCGGTGTGGGCGGCGTTGACTCGGTCGTTCCTGTCTACAGCTCTGAACTTTCCGAGGATGAAGCACGTGGAAAAGCACTTGCCCAAGAGTTCCAAATGAACATCTTCGGCTTAAACATGGCCTTTGCGATCAACCTCGGTTTGACTGTAGCTCTGGGCAAGTCTAACCAGTGGGCCTGGAGACTTCCTATCATCATCATGCAGGTCTACCCCGTCCTCTTGATGGCATTCATTGGTATCCTTCCGGAGTCACCAAGATGGCTTGTCTCTCACGACCGTAAGGATGATGCCAAGGCAGCTCTTGCTAGAATCTATGGAGAAGACCAAGCCAAAGAGACTCTTGACAATCTCATCGAGTCTAATGACAACGAGTCTTCCAAGTCTGTCAGCTACACCAACATGCTTACTCCAGGCCATGCTCAGTTCCACCCTACGATGATTACTGTCATGGGTCAAATCAACCAGGCTTTGACCGGATATGGAGCCGTCTCGGTCTATGGTCCTCAAATCTTCGAGCTGCTCGGCTTCGATACTCGCATGTCCGAGTACCTCACCCAGGGCAACTACGTCTCTTACTTCATTTTGATGACCTTTGCCTGGCTCTTGGTCGATGCTGTCGGTCGCCGCAAGGTGTTGCTGGGAGGATCTATTGTCTTGACTGCCTGCTTCTTCTTGCTCACCTTGTTCGGAGGCCTGGCTTTCAACTCGGAAGATCTCGGCATTCCAGAAATTGCTGTAGCTATTCCTGGTATTGTGGCCCTTTTCGTTGCTACTGGAGCTTTCGGTATTGGCTGGCTTGCTACCATCTGGGTAAGTTCGACCATAATTCTGAATGTCTGTCTCGTATCGCTAACAAAAATATAGCTCATTCCTACGGAGATCTTCCCAACCACAGCACGTGCTCAAGGTACTGCCGTCAGTGTTGTCGTTTGGGGTTTGGCCAACTTTGCTGTCACTCTTCTAACACCCATTCTGTTCAACAACCTCAACTACTGGCTCTTCCTTGTCTTTGGTTTCACCAACCTGTTTGCTGGCGTTACTACATACTTGTTCCAACCGGAATCTGGTGGTCGCAGCTTCGAAGAGAATCAGACCTTCTTCGAGGAAGCCAAGAAGGCTGGCACGTGGAGAGTGGGAGGCGTATTGGATGGAGAGTTCAAGAAGATGCCATACCCCAGCTCAGACAACGACGACAGCGAGAACACACCCTTGTTGAGACGAGTGAGAGATCAGGTCTCCGCTTGAGTCTAGAGACGGATGGAGGGATCTTCGAAGGAACAAGAATGATTTCAGATGTTGATGAAAAATGATGTTATGTTGACTTTGATGATGGGATATAATGAAAAGATAAAATGAGGAGAGTTAGCTTAGAAAGTCATGTTTGCCAGGATGAGGAAGTTGATCTGGCTATTCATACCAGAATGTATACCTAGAAATGCACCACGAAACAAGACCAGAAAAGTTGAGGTGTTGCTTTGGCGCCTGCCTCATAACAAATGTGACGTCACGGGCACTCAGCCTCGATTGGCATTTCCAGTTGTCGATTCGAGGTTTAAAGCTGACGTCTCTCCCAACTTCTCACTCGTGTCATTCATCATGGCGCGTCAACAGAAAGTTGCAAGGTCGATAGTCTACGCGATTCTCGAAAACGATGGAGCGAAGGTTCGCTCGTTGCTGTCGCGTATACTTACTGCGATCGCGTATTTCTTTGCTTTGTACCAACTGTCCCTGATCAGACTGCGCAACGATGTGTTCAAGAATCTGCGCAACAAATGGCAAGTTGATGATGAAGATTACAAGGACAGCTTTGGAAAGAAGGATGGACTGCAAGCAAAGGGCGATATGGGCTTCTCTGGCAGCGTGAGTACGTTGGGTTCATTGGACCCACAGGAGACTGACCATATGAACAGACATTCTACACAACCTCTGATGGAGCATATCTCGTGAAAAGCGTCCCTCGAGGATTTGAGCATTCCTTTTTCCGTGACGACTTTTTGGAACCTTACTACGACCACATGTTGCATCATACCAAATCACTTCTCGTCCGCATCACCGACTTCTTATCATGGTCCCGTTTCGGCATTGGCGGCATTCTTGGAACTGCGCCGACGCATCACATCGTCATGGAGAACATTCTGATTGGCAAGGACAAGGACAACACATCAAAATGGGAGACTTGGGACCTAAAACCTACTTCCTACTTCTTCCCAGAAAGGGACATCGCCGGTGGCAAGCTGACTTCTGACGACACAAAGGACCGCTTAGCAGACAAGTTCGAAGACAAGATCCTTCTGACTCAGTCTCAGGCAGACGAATTCTTTGAATTGCTCTCGCAAGACACCGAACTGCTTGAACGATGCAATGCGGTTGATTATTCCTTGTTCCTGGTCAGAATCCCGCTTATCAACTCGGATGGCTCTGCTGCTTATCAGAGTCAGGAGGAAGCCATCCAACAGTCAGAACGGCCTCCGTTTGTGCCCCCAACCCATTCCTGGCGTACGGGAGTCTACTCTGCTGACCAGAAGTTCGTATTCCGTGCCGCCGTGCTCGACTTCTTTTGGGCCAAACACAAGCTACACGCTAAGGCAATGACATGGCTGATCAAAGCATGGAATTTGATTGACCGTCAAGGCCCGATGAGCATCACCACCACCCCAGAAGAGTATCGTCAGAGATTCCTCTCAATGTGTCACGAAATGGTCGAGATAAAGGAGTAGAGGAACGATCATAGGGTTCCTAGCGTGTCTTCTTTCCGGACCCAGACAGTCGTATCCTTAGTCTCTATATATCATGCTTTGAATTCGAGCACTGCCGTTCATGTATAAGCATGGTTGCACTCGGCCCGGGAGGGAACAAGCTGTGCCCAGACAGCACTGCTAAACGGACCAAAACGGTGAACATGATGGGTCTTTTTCAGATTAGGGGCTCGCCCTGCTACCACACAGTCATGGCAGCCCTAAAGCAACATCGATCAGTGCCTTTTTGGTTTGAACAGGTCTGTTACACGCGGGCGGTTGACTCTGACTGTTGGCAAAACCCTCGAGTTGAGGCAACAGACTTGTAGCCAACAAGCAATACAGGATACTATTTTTGTTTGTTCTATGGACTGTGACGAACATATTCTCCATGTGATTGGCAAGCTCCAACCAACGGGCTGTAGCTTTATTACTGGCATCCAACCGGAGTGCGACTCCATCTCCGCCCTCCGCGCCAATTGATCATTTACTTACTTGACATGCTCCAGACCTTCCCTCCTTTGATCTTCATCACAACCACGTAACAAAGAGCGCACTGTCAACCATCTGAGGAGAACCCATCCATCTCTTCAGCCTGGGCTACCAGATAGTGGCGAAGTGATTCATGGGATGGTTGTGCCTCGCAAACCAAAATGGTTTCGTGCGTCAATTGCGGCGGAATCTGCATCTGAGGGCGCAAAACACGCGCTTCGCACGTTTCTGACTGAGTTGTCGTCAATGCGCGCTGTTCAATGGAAACCAATAGCTGTTGCAGTTACTGTTCCTTCAGATAGCGACGGCATGCACGGCTCGAACAACCAGCCGCCCTTGCATACACAGCTGAGCGGTTGACGACGAATTTGAGTTACTGCCAACCAAACAGACCTCAAGACGAATACAGGCTGGCACTGTCTGCATATAGAGGCTTGGTTTCCAGATTTTTGCTGAGCGCCATGCATCGGGCTTTTGCAGGGATGTCGCATGCCGTATGCCGAACAAGGTCGGAAGCTCGAGTCAACTCCAACGACAAGGTTGGCTGACTAGCAAAAAGCCAACAACACCGCTTCAATTGGACTATGGTAGCGAAACTATCCGAATCTCGCATTAGATGGATCGAGATTTCTATAATGAATATGGCATGTGTCGACAGAGACAAAGAAACAGAGTAGGAGTAGGCGGCTAACGGATCCCACGATAGCTCACTAGCTGGCTGCAACTCATGCGGAGCCGAGGCGCTATCTGGAACCTATCGTTTTAAGTCATACGTACCAGCCTGACTCATTTAGCCTTTGAGAGCTGGACGACACTTCCTGATGGTGGTCATCAGGCGGTCAATCAATGTGGTATAAACAGCAACAGGCAAACAATGGAGGATCACTAAACTTTGCTGGCAAGAACCCAATTCTGAGAGGCGTGAATGTCTCTGTTGCATCCTACTCGAGCAGTTTACTTAGACCATTTTTGGGTAACAGTCTTGAGCCAAGCTTGTACACCTCTTGCCGGAGCTGCAACCCCCTCAGAAGATGGACCGCGCTTTGCAGGATCGCCCTGTGCTTCATCGATGCATGCAGGTACAACAGCTCCCAAGCTCCAGATGATAGGCTGCTTCCACACGCGGAGTCGGAGCTGTTCATCACCTCTAGCATTCGGGAAGCTTGAGGAGATGGCATATAAATGACCATCTCCCACTCAGATCAAGCTCCACTACTTCACGTTACACCATTGACAACTTTTTAACACAAGCTCTTTGACATCTTGATACAATCAGTCAACACAGAACTCTTGTTCAAGCCCACTCGTACCAGATGGCTGCTGCAGATGTCCAACAGCCTGTTCAGGCAGAACCGGCACCCTCCATTCCTGACTATCTTGCCGATCCAGATGCTGTGCTCAAGGACAACGAGTCAAAATGGCGGTACGGGAGAGCTCCGGATTACTCGAAGACACGAAAGGTCTACTCAGAGAGTAAGTATTCGCCTAATTCATTGTTCTTGGTCAACACGCTTCGCCACGTATCACCCACCTGTCAGCAGCAGGGTCCTAGGGTCTCAGGGTCCTTGAAGATACCAGTCCGTATACCTGGGACCGTCTCTTCAGAAGATAACCCTACGCGCTTCGGCAACGGCCGGCCCTGTGACGAGCTCAAGCCATGAAGACTTTGTTCCTGCAGCCTTATTCTCCACTCGTGGAACGTCACACATACCATATAGGCTACAAGGCTAACTTTGTAAAAGCTAAACAGATGAATCACACAGCCGGTAGCCTCGAATCAATGGTTGAGAACCTCGTCAAGAATTGGGAAGTTGAGGCTTCGTTCAAACCTCAGCTCTCGGATTGGCGAACAGTCGACCATAGCAAGTACACATTCGCAATCAATGGAGGCCCACCTCAAACAGCCGAGCACATGCTCAAGGTCGGAACATACAATGCTATTATCGCTCCCAATGAGTACTACAGTCCGAACTATTCGGACTTCGCCAGCAGTCACAAGACATTCAAACGCATGATGCCAACCTTTGCGTGGGAGGTGCTCGAAGTATACAGCGGACCACCGAAGGTTGCTTTCAAGTGGAGGCACTGGGGTACTATGAAGAACGACTATGTCGGATTCAACGAGTAAGTCTCGAACGGCGCTCCAACAAGGATTCAGATGACAAGAGACTGACATCACACAGCAAAGGAGAGAAGGTGACAGCCAAAGCCCACGGTGGGGCCATCGACATTACGGGCATCACAGTTGCTACCGTCGACGATGCAGTACGCTTGCAGGAAGTCAACACATACTTCGACCCAATCGAAATGTTCCGTCAAATTGCACCCAATGGCATTGTCAACAAGCAAGTTGTCGATAAGAGGATCGACCCATCTGCTGCGCTTGACGCCGACATTCCGTCACAAGACGGTGTGGAGCTGGCACACAAACATAGCTCGGTTCATGCAAATGAGAGTAGTCCCACAGACACTGCTACCTCCCAAAACAAGACGCATGGTCCGTCGTCGAGTGAAACTTGTCCCGTCTCCGGTGCTAGCATGAGCGCCGCTCTCTCTGCTGGGTGTCCAGTGATGAGTGCCATGCAGTCAAGCAGCACCACCAGCCCTACGAACTCCAGCCCTGGCAGCGATTGGGTAAAGGTACCCACCAACGAGGAAGGTACTCCTCGCTCGGCATACTCATCATCTGTCACCGGTGACGTGGAGCATCGCATGTCGGCCGACAACAAGATCGACTACAACAAGGAGGCCGACGCACACGACGAAGTCGACGAGCATCTCGAAAGCTCAGCTGAGACAGTGCATCCTCATCCGCACACCATGGAGCATGCAGTCAAGCCAGTGATTGGAGATGCAGTAGTTGCTGGCCCGCAATCTGAAGAGACCAAATTGGCGCATCGTGAGATGAGCAGTGTCACCAAAGACGAGGAGCCGCTGCTGATGAACAGAGAGTAATTGTTTTCCGAGATTTTTGGCGTGCTTGTTTAGTTCTCATGATTTCTTATGTTTTCTTGGTTGAGAGTGTTTGTTCTTTCTTTTTCTTTATACCTCTACAATCATTTTCTGATGTTCATGATGATATAGCTTTGAACAAGACCATTCGTGGTTCTCGAGAATTATTATTAAGCGAGTTTCCAGAGTAGAGCGTTCCTCGAATTTGACAAATTGAACGTTGCAGCAGATCAGATTCGGGCATGAAACTGCGCCAAGGCCTGGTCAAGGAGTCGTTCAGTCCCATTCGGAGCCTGCACCGATGTTCGCCGGAATCGGTATGGCAGGTGCGATCGAATATTTCACAAGCCAGAAGCGACGCCGGCCTCGATCATATAAATTGCTGATCGATATGATTTCTGCCAAGCGCAGTCTACATGTGGCGTCAACAACTCGGAGCTGGATCCTTGAACATCGCTATCTGTTGCCCTCTGTTCTATGAATGAGAAGGACTTATACCAATGAAGTACTTGCATAAGAATTGAGCTGGCGTGGGCTGAGATATTAAATACTCAACGGCGAGGTGACGTCGACGGGCCCAGACCCAGCCCAAACCTTGTTTCCCCTTCACGTGCGCGGCCCAGCAACAGCTTTCTGAGTTCTCCCTCCATGCAGAAGGGGAATGCGATACTGTGATACCCTGTCAATCACCAACTTACCCTGGATTGCGTGTAATGGAGTAGAAGCAATTTTTCCTAATTTCGCGACACGGTCACCTACATTAAGATGCCGACATTCGGCTGGCAGGACAATGAGAGTCCACACGCTCAGTTCATTCGCGGTGTGGATTGGAGCGCGACGGCGATCGGTGCACCGGAAACATGGCCACAACAACTCCACCAGATGATAGATCTTATTCTACTGGATCCAACACCGAGCGCAGTCATGTGGGGCGACAGCCTCACAATGGTGTACAACGACGGATTCGTGGAATTTGCTGGCGAAAAGCACCCGAAACTCATGGGAGGAACACCAATGGTATCATATGCCGAAGTCTGGGAAGCTCAATTTGCTCCGATCATCAAACTTGGTAGGGAAGAGGGCAAAGCTACTCGTCACAAGGATGTTCCACTATTCTTGAAGCGGCATGGATACTTGGAGTATGTAATACCTACTTTGATGTCGCGCCAGCATGTTGACTTTTTTCAGAGAGGTCTTTGTGGACTACACTTTTATACCGCTCACTGGAAATAACAAGGAAGTCGTAGGATTTTATCATACTGCTGTCGAAACTACCGATCAGAACCTGGCCAGACGAAGGACTCAAACATTGATCGATATAGGCAATCATGCAGGCATTGCGCGAGATATGAGACAATACTGGAATGCCGTACTGAAAGGATTTGAGAACAACATTTGGGATGTCCCATATGCTATCGCCTACGAATTCCACAACGACAAGGAGAGGGATAGCGAATCCTATAATGGATCAGAAAACCGCTCAAACTCTCGCACCAGATCAAATAGATCAGCCTCGTTCTCAGAGTCCGTATCTTCTTCGGGACGCATCACCATTCCAAGGGCATGTAGTTTGGCTGGTGTGATTGGAAAACCGATGACGCATGTCCCGCTGATTCTGAATGTTTCAATCGAAGAGGAAGGCTTCCATCAAGTTGTGAAGAAGGCAATTTCGTCAGGCGAGCCGGTGCGCCTTGAAATCGCTCACGAAAAGACACCGGAATGGCTCAAATCTAATGCTCAAGGACGAGCATTTGAGGAACCCATCAGACATGCAGTTGTGATGCCTATCAGGCCGACAACCAGGAATGACACTGAAGGCTTGAACGCAATTGGATTTGTGGTAATTGGTCTCAACCCCCGTCGTTCATACGACGATGACTATCAACGCTACACGCGCCTCTGGAGCCAACAACTGGCCACTTCAGCAGCATCAGTGGTTCTTCTCGAGCAAGAAAATAAGCGACAGATGCGACTCAAAGCACAGCTCTCCATCAACGAGACTAGATTCAGTCGCTTTGCCGAAATGTCGAACGTCGCCATGTGGATAGTCAATCCTTCCGGAGTCTTGATATATGGAAATCAATCATGGTACGAGCAAATGGATGTCACAGAAGGAACTCCTGGAGAAAAAGGACTTCCGGCGTGGGCAGATTGCGTGTCAGATGACACAAGGCCCACGTTGGTTGATGCTTGGAAATCTCTGACTGGAGACCAAATCGCAACGAATTTTGAGATTCGTCTCAATCCCACCAGGGCAACTAAACAAAGTCGATGGGTTCTGTCGTCCGCATTCCCAGAATTGGCAGAAGATGGCTCTCTCAAAGCAATATGGGGATGCAACACCGACATCTCTCATCAGAAGTTAGCCGAGGAACTCAAGGAGCAAAGACTGCTGGACGTTCTGGAAGCAAAGCGACAGAGTGAATCGTTTATCGACACAGTATCTCACGAGATGCGTAACCCATTGTCTGCGATTCTACAGTGCGCAGACGGTGTCAACACCTCTATCATGGAGGCTCGCCAGTCATCTGAAGACCCTGACCATACCGATATTGATCGTGAAGGACTGGACTACATTGTTGAGTCAACGCAGACGATCATACTGTGTGCTCAACATCAAAAGAGGATTATCAATGTATGTATATTGACAATCCCGCCATGCCAGCGCCTACAAGATAGCGGTCATACCTGCACATAAATGACTCTACCGAGAAACAAGCTGACTGTAAACTTACGTAGGACATTCTTACGCTCAGTAAACTAGATGCCCGACTTCTCGAAGTCGCTCCGACGGAAGTTGATCCTGTCGAAACTGTCAAACATGCCCTCCGACTCTACCAACAAGAATGCCAAAACGCGGACGTCGAAACTGCAATCAGAATAAACCAATCGTATGACGCTTTGGCTATCGATCGTGTGCTTGTTGATCCATCGAGGTTACTCCAAGTTTTGATCAATCTGCTAGGTAAGATCAGGCTTCTTTTGATGTCCTAGAAGTATTCGCTAAATCCCACAGGCAATGCCATCAAATTTACACAGCTTCAAGAGCAGAGAATGATCACAATCACTGTTGGAGCATCACTCGAGAGCCCAGCTATGCTAAGCGATGGAGAACAATACTTCTTCCCACGAGCGTCAAAGAAAGAGCCGGTATTCGGGGCCGAGTGGGGAACTGGCGAAGAATTATTCTTGCACTTCTCAGTGAACGACACTGGAGTAGGTTTGACGAGCGCCGAGATGAAGAACTTGTTCCATCGCTTCTCTCAGGCATCGCCGAAAACTCACGTCACTTATGGCGGCTCGGGTCTCGGCTTGTTCATTTGCAAAGAGCTAGCAGAGCTTCAAGGTGGTCGCATCGGAGTCTCTTCTACTCCAGGCAAAGGAAGTGACTTCAAGTTTTACGTCAAAGCTCGCAGAGCTACGACACCTCCCAAACGGGAGCTTCCAGATCGTACTAATACAGCTACAAATTCGAGAAAACAGAGCCAATCACCCCACGGTGGACAGAAGACTCCAGAGGATAAGGATAAGCTACGAGTAACACATCCTAGCTATATTGCACCCTTGAACAGGAGTCACTCGGCGTCCCAAAACCCTGTTGTGGGATCTCCCAGTGACGCAAACACGTTACATGTTTTGATTGTGGAGGATAACTTGATTAATCAGAAGGTAAGTGATGCAAAATTTTCGAGTGGTCAAACGTATACTAACATCTTCACAGGTCATGGCCCAACAGCTTAAGAAAGCCAAATGCGAGGTTCATGTTGCAAACCATGGTGCAGATGCTCTGTTTTTCTTGGAAAAGACCACATTTGCAAAGGGGTGTGGCCCATATGCAACACCACTCTCAATAATTCTCATGGACCTTGAGATGCCGGTAATGGATGGATTGACCTGTATTCGAAGGATCCGAGAATGGCAAAAACAAGGCAAGCTTACAAGGCCAGTGCCTGTAATTGCGGTGGGTCGAATCAATGCCTCTCGGACATCACACACTAAGACATATAACAGGTCACGGCCAATGCGCGTAACGAGCAAATCACCATGGCACAAGAAGCGGGCATGGTAAGATCGATCTTCTCCCTACAATCCTCGACCTGCGACGTGCTAACACATCAACTAGGACGACGTTGTCACCAAGCCATTCAAAATCTCCGAGTTGATACCCAAGATGCATACATTGATAGACAAGATTTCGACATGATGATCTGATATAGCATAAAGCGGGATTGGGTTTATCAAGCAACAGCATAGAGGCGTCCGGCGTTGAGGGCATCATAACTTGACATTTATCGGGCGCAAAATTCATCGTCGTATCTCTTGGATTAAACTCGTTTTTCCGTCAACGGTATGCCACAGATTACATTTCTCTATCTACAGTACCACAGATTCGAGATTCATTCCCCAGAGCGTTCGATTCACAATCCGCGTCAACTTTAAGCACATCAGGAAGGCGCATTGGTTATGGCTACTGGTCCAAATGCAGCGACCACACGGCACGTGTCTGCCGAAGACAAGGATCGAACTTGCCTAATCGACGACCAAAAGTAGCCAAGCAGACCACTGGTAAAAACAACGATGCAGGTATAGCCGGATAGCCTAAAATCTTATTTCAGCCGCGATATACCAAACCGTACCCCCTCCACCCCGCATCCGGATACTCTTAGTCTTATAGATGCATATCGAGTATCCATTGATCTTGCACTTGCTCCGATCTTAACATCTGACCATTGGTTCCCTGGGCGAATTGGACCAGAAATGATTTCAGCAATGCCAGAAGATTACAGCTTGTCCGAAGAGCAAAAGCAACATTTCCTCGAACACGGTTTCATCAAACTCGAAAATTGCTTCTCGCTGGAAGATGAGCAGTGTAAGAAACTGATGGATCGTGTATGGGAGCGTCTAGACATGGATCCAAATGACAAAGAGACATGGAACCCATGGCGAGGCACGTGGTCCTCTTCCCGTCGCTGGAGATACACATTTACTGACAAGGCAAATCACAGTCCACCTTCCTCGCCATCACAACGCCATTCCCATGCGTGACTTTTGCCCAAAAGCCTGGTCAGCGATATGCGAGCTCTGCGGCGGCGAAGACCGCATCGACACCTCCACATCCCCCGGAAACGCGCTTTCAGTAATAAACGACGGCTTCATCGTAAACGTAGGCTCCAAAGCCGACGCTCTCAAATGGACACAAGCATCTTCCCAAACCACTGCCTCCAACCCCGATAACCTCACCCCAGCACAGGAAAAATTGCTAGATCCTCACGATAGAGATAATTGGCATGTAGACGGAGATTTCTTCCACCATTTCCTAGACAGCAAGGAACAAGCTCTTCTACCTATAGTGTTGTTTGGAGATGTCAAGATTGGAGGGGGAGGCACGATGATTTGTCCTGATGCTATTGCCACCATGGCGAAACATTTGGCTGCATATCCTGAAGGTTTGATGCCTGATATGACGTGTATTGAAGGCAGGGAAACACCGTATAAAGATTTTGATCATGGGTTTTTCGATCAGGCTGTCAAGGGTGTGCCGAAGGATAGGTTCAAGACTGCGACGGGCAAGGCGGGGGACATTTATTTGCTACATCCTTTGATGGTGCATTCGGCTGCTCCTAATTATTTGAGAGGTGAGTTCGGCAAAAACTTGGACGTTCAAGTAGATGCTGATGTTCGGGACAGAACCGAGATTCATCACCAACCCACCGGTAGCATTGAAAGAGCCATTCAACTTCGACAGACAAGACGGCAGTACATACAGTCTGGTAGAGCAAAAGACCTTACAAGCTCTAGGCCACCCCGAAGGCTTGAAAGGCTGGAAAATCACCACAGAGAGGAAATTCCTCATTCCAGAGAGAGTCAAGCAACAAGCAGAGATGAAGAAGATTTTGAAAAGAAGCAAGCAGACATGAACTCGACCTGCAGAAAGGAAGACATGTAACATGCAACATCCAAAGAAAAGATGAGGAAATCTGGACCAAGTATGAGCGTTTTTAAAATGAATCAAACAAAGCAATCACATGATAGCCACACTCACCACCACTCCCTCCCTTCTCCGACATCCCTGGATCGTCTAACATATTCAACGCTCCCCCCAAACTATCCTTGTACCGTACCCCGTCCCAGTCTGTATATCCTCTACTCATGGGTTTCGCCTTTCCAAAGCCACCAAGCCCCAACCCTCACTCTACAAAACTACCTCATCGAGTGCAACAACCCGAGGATCCCAAGACTCGAGCCTACCAATAATCGATGAATTCATGCAATGAGTCTACAGCTGAAGCAATGCAAGGCAGCCATGAAAGTCGCGTGTTACCCGATCTTCATCGAGGGCAGGAGGTTGACGTTGGAAGGAAAGAGCGTGGCTTGGGCGTGACTTTTCTTCTTTTTCCACACCCAGCCACTTACATTCGATTCAGCAGGAACGAAGTCATGATGGGATGTGATCACCCAGATGCAGTCTTACCGTTTATCTCCTTGTTGAACATCAAGTTTCACCCAGCTTCAAAACAGTGACAAACAAGAATCATATATGGCAGGCACGTGGAAGAGGGCTATGAATACCGGCCTCGCCGCGAATATGAAGAAGTGAAAAGAGTTTTGTATATGCAAAAAAAGGTAGCGTGGGAAAAAGAAGACGGGCCGCGCCAACCAAAACGCCCAAATGATGCCTAGGAATATAGAAAGAACTCAGAGAAGAAAAACAACACCACATCCTTTGTTTCAATCAAACTTATTGACCGTACGACCCATTACTGCTCTCATGCCTGCTCATACTTCCAAAGCTCGCCTCCGAAGCCGGTGTCGCTGGCGTGCCAGGCTCAAGAGACAATTGATTTCTCAACTGCATGATCCATTCATGTTGCAAAAGTTCGGCAGCTGAAGATCTCCTCGCTGGATCTCGCTCGAAGCACTTTTGCAAAAAGTCTAATCCGAGTTCCGAGAGTTGATCGTTGGATGGTTGTTGAGGTGGGTTTCCTTGGGCGATGTTGTACATGATGGCCCATTCGTTGTCGAGAGAAGCCCAAGGACGGCGGCCTGTGGCCATCTCGAGGATGACACAGCCAAGAGACCAGATATCGACAGCGCCGTGGCGAGAGTTGACGGGTGCACCTCCCTTGATGACTTCGGGCGACATGTACATTGGTGTACCAGTCATTGAGTTTTGACGTCCACCGCGACCAGTGGGATCGGCCACAAGTGTTTTTCCCTGCTTGGCAATAACCTTTGCGGCACCGAAATCGACGTATTTGATTACACCATTATGGTCGAGAAGGATGTTCTCAGGCTTGATATCGCGATGTACCACGCCTGCTTCGTGGAGATAGGCAAGACCCTCCAACATTTGCAGACCGTAGACTTGAATGACAGTCTCGTCTTCAATGCGACCGTGTTCAAGGAGACCTGCCAAACTGCCGCCTGAACAGTACTCCATGAAGATGTAGACCTTGTCTCTATGGGGCTCAATACCATAGTAGCTGACAACGTTGGGATGATCGAGGACTTGCAACACACCCATTTCATCGCGAATCTGCGAGACAATGGTGGGGATGAGTTGAGGGTCTTGCAGACGAATCTCCTTGACGGCCATGAGATGACCACTATCAAGATTGATGGCGGCGTAGACGGAACCGAAAGTACCACCGCCAACGAATTGACCCTGCTGCCAACGCAAAACGACATTGCCTGCAGATGCGGAGAGATAAGTCAAGGCGCGATCGGCTTCGTTGCTGTCTTCAAGAACGCGTCCAAGCGCTTGTCGCTCGGCTTCACGCTCCTTACGGAACTCATCAATCTGTTGGAGCTGCTCGACCCATTGCGCTTGTACAAGCTTGGAACTCTCTTCATCGTCTCTGAGCTTACTGACATCCAAACGAAGCTTTCCGGCCATACTCTCCAATCGCTGTTTCTCTGCTTCAGCAGCAACGTTTGAACGGGCCCCCATGATATCGAAGTGACTGATCAACAATGACATACATCCAGCGACCTTTGCTCTCAGCTTGTCGTACTCAGTCATGCTGATGGAGAGAATGTTCTGTCCTCTTGTCATGACCATGGCAAACTCAAGCGCAACGACTGCCCAGCGGAAAGTCTTGCGGTCTGAAGGAATACAGTCATCAGCAACGAAACTGACCCAGTCAAGCGCAAGTCTTGTCATCTTGAGATTGTGGTAGGCGCGGCGGTTAGGGTCCATGTAGAGCACCGAACGTTGTCCAAACTCGGTCGCGAATGCGAAACATGTTTGAATGAGCTCCTGACACTCGAGGCCTTCGGTCTGTTTACGCACAATCTCGACACTGTCCATAATGGTATTACTGAGCTTGTAGGTGGTACGCCTGATCTTTTGGAGTTCCTGGTTGACTCGGGTCATGTTTGCACGTTGCGGTACCACAACATTGAGGTCAATTCCGATGTTTGAGGCAAAGGCCGTATTGGCGTCTCCAAGTCTCTCCTGGGGTCCATCAGCGATCAGACGCATGAAACCAGTTCGAAGATCGATGTGAGGTGGTGAGAATCCAGACTTTTCAAGAACTGCACCATCCCATGAGATGGCACATTCTGGCTTAAGGATTAGAACGTAAGGGTTAGTGAGGTCTTCAATGGATTCTTCAGGGTGGTAGCATGTGCGAAGAAGAGTCTCAATTTCCTTGAGACGACCGTCCAGGGTAGGGCAGGCGATGAAATACAGGCCACTCTTTTCCGAGTCGGTATCGATGAGGAAATGGCCAGAACCAATGAGTGCGTCTATCAAGTCTTGCATGTGCACAGAGTTCATGTTGAGGCTGTACTCGGTGGCGTTTTCAAAGCGCTGACTTAACAGACGGGAGAAACGGAAGATTTTACGCTGGCGCACACGAACGGAGTCGAGAATGTTCTTATATCTCTTGTCCATCTCAGCACCAGCAACTTCGTCGGGTCGCTTTTGCAGTTCGCGTTCGAAGTGCAACGTCAATCGTGATAGCGATTTCGAAGTCAACGAACTGAATTGCTCGGCGACTTCAACATCACCACCTTCAAGATGTCTTCCCAACTCGTTGCAGAAGCCCCACTCTTGTTCAAGAATTTCAGCTTCCTTGAAAGTATTCTTGTTGGCCATGAGCTTCCAATTCAGCATGCGGAAGTAGAAGCGTACGGCTTCAAGAACAATACGATCAAAGTTCTCGTCGATGCAAGGCGGCAGGTCCCAGCCAGGCTCGGGGTGAGCAGCGAGAAGATAGGCCTCCTTCACCTTGACGGCTAGCTTGAGAAGACTCTGGAATTGGAGAATCATCTGCTCGGCCATCATGACGCCTTGTTGTGCTGGATCCTTCATCTTCTTAGCATAGCCTATGCGGACCTTGATGATCTCTTGAACAAGGCGCGACGGGAAGTTGATCAGGGTCAGCAACTCCTCAATGTATGGAGGCAAATGGCGGTCGGCGAAGGACTCGGCGTTTGATATGAGAGTAGACTTTGCCTTGTCGATGACAGTGTTGACAACATGGAATAGGCCATTGGACTTGTTCTCTTTGTTCTCCTTCTCTTCGTCCCACAAGGAGCGTAGGCCATCTTCCTTGAGAATGCGGTCGATGAATGTACTCTCGTCGATAATGTGGCCGTGAGTGTCTTGGGCGCCGCGCTGTCGTGGCCTGTCAAAGGACAGCTCTTGATTGCCAACCCAAGCTTGCAAGATACCGAGCTGGGTGTTGATGAGGTCTGTAGTGTTGTGCCAGGACATGACAGCATCACAGCTGTTGATGTAGGCGTCCGAAGCAGCACGCGGATTTGCCTGGATGAAAGACTGGCGTGTAGGATATAGGCCCTCGATCTTTTCGATCTTCTGCACGACGTCGCGTACTTGCTCCAGCGGAATCTTGCCTGCCTCGGCTTCACCCTTGATCTCAAAGCCGATGATCTCCTCGATGACAGCCTTGATCCTGCTGCGTCCGTCTTCGATCATGCGCCTTTGAGCAGCCAATGAGCGGCCACACACCTTTGCTCTTACTCCGGTCCATATCTCCATGATCATCGATCTGTCGCTCTGAGGATCCTGGCCACCGATCAAACGCTTCTTCTCTTGCTTGACAACGTCTCCGGTGAGGACGTTGGCCAACATGGAATGCCATTCCAGACGCTCGCGATTCTCGGGAATCTTCAGCTCCTCGATGGATGGCTGCATGTCTTCATTTCCGTAGTATAGTAGCGTCTCTTCATCGTGTTCGTGTTCAATCAAATCTCCGGTCGCAGGCGACTCATCATCAGGCTCGGAGCCATCGCTGTAGTCAAGGCTGGGTGTTCGCGGTTCACCAACGAAGAAGTCATCGGGTGGGGCATCCTGGCGTAGGCGCTGGACATAAGCCTTTTCCTGGGCACGGTATTCGGCGTTGGGGTTGCGGCGGACGCGGTTGGTAGAGGTAGTACGTGCTCGTTGGGCGGTGTTGTTGTAGGAATACTGGTGAGGACGGCGAGCGGGAGCGTAGGCGTTAGAAGGCTGACGAACGTTTGGTGGGCGTGCGGGACGAGCTTGTTGTGGTGGAATAGGATGTGTCGACATAAGCTGAGGGGGTGCCGGGTAGGCAGCATCGGGAGACAAGGCAGTGTTGATGTTCGCTGGGTTGCTGCCACCGCCGCCAGAGCCATTACGGGTGCGCGAATGGCTGGATACGCTCCAGCCAAATTGCGAGGCAGGAGTCATTTGTCCATCAGCGATCGAGTGTGCTGGCTGGAATTGCACTCGCTGGACGTCGGCATCGTCAGGGCCTGTCAAGTCGTTCTCCGTCTCTGTTTCGTAGTCTTCCGAGACATCAGTCACATCGGTGCCTGACGAGTCCATGGCGCGGACGAGATCTGGGCGCTCGTCGTTTCCTTCCTCCATGATTGGGGAAATGAGTGGAAGTGCAGATGCCGGTGCTGGTGCAGGGGCGGTAGAGTCCATCTGGGCTATGCTGCTCGACGCCTGCCAAGAAGCTGCTGGTCGGCTACTTTCTGGTCTTTTGCAATTTTCTCTCTCACGACCTACTGCTGGCGTCCCTTCCACACTCTAGGAATAGGTACGTCTCAGGCTCGTCGGGCCATGTCGTTCCAAGGTGCTCTTTGCGTTGAAACCAAGCGCTTTCCTTATAGGGCGCCGCCACTATCAACCAATAGAATTACATGGTGTCCGTGCGAACTCCACACCTCCAGCTCACCAGCCACACCGCGAAGCGTCCGAGTCATTGTCTGTCACTTTTGATCATCTTCACCATCTTTGTCAAAATCTTAAAACCTTCAATCAGTCAATACGTGCCCATCTACCGAGTAAAGTACACGTTTTGTAACGAGATATCCATCAATAAACTTCTTCTGTCCAGAGATGACCCGCAGACCAAACACTCAATCCCTAATCCCTGAATCAGGGCTCCAATCAATACCGCCAGATGAACATCTTCTTTACACGAAATTTCCAGCGGGGTGTACAGGCTCGGGTGTGTATTGGATGGGAGGCGGGTTGGCTCCAAGAGGCGTATGTTGCATACCACCCTCGTCAAAACGCTTGACCGGCGATCCAAAGTTGGTGGGAGTTGATGGCTTCTCATGCTCATCGCTGGTCAAGCTTGGGCTCTCGCCGTGATGAACGTCGCGCATCACCTCAACATAGTCGTACTATCACACTCGTCAGTCGTGCTTCGTGGATGAACAGAATTGATACACACAGCAAACTCGCCAATTTCCACATCGTCAATACCAAGATCCTCCTCTTCCGGAGTAGCGCGAAGTCTGAAGACAGGCAGATACTTGCCAATGAAATTGAGAATGTAGAGGATGATCAAAGAGCCGACAAACGAGTAGCTGCCACCTGCAACTGAGCCAGCCAATTGAATTCCAAGCTGACGGTAATTGTGGTTGAGCCAGCCACCAGAGATGACTGTAACACCGTCAAGGTGGGCTATGTAGTCGCTGCGATTGTTAGCAAGGATCTCCCTGATCCGATGGAATTAGACTTACGCAGCGAACAGGGCAGTAAGGGGGTTACCGATGAATCCACCAACAGCATGGACAGCAAAGATGTCCAGGGCGTCGTCGCAGTTAATCAGGTACTTGAGCTTCGTTGCGTAATTGCATCCAATGCCAGCGACCACTCCGAAGACGACAGCAGCCCAAGCGGGAACGTAACCAGACCCAGGTGTGATAGCGACCAGTCCGGCCACCACACCACTGCAGAAGCCGACAGTCGACCACTTTCGCTCAAGGCGGTAGTCCAGGAGACACCAAGTGATACCGCCGACGGAGGCTGCAAGGTTGGTGACCACAGTAGCCATGACAGCGCGCATATTGGCGGCAAGTGCACTACCAGCGTTGAATCCAACCCATCCAAACCACAGGAAAACGGTTCCAACAACGATGTGAGTTACGTTGTGAGGGCGGAAGTTGAGCTCATGAGTGCCATGACCCTTGCGATGGCCCAGCACGAAAGAATAAGCCAGTGCTGCCGTGCCAGAGGCAATGTGGACAGGAGTTCCGCCGGCGAAATCAAGACCGCCGAGCATGTACAGCCAGCCTGAAGGGTTCCAGGTCCAGCAAGCAATGGGGTCGTATATGACGGTAGTCCAAATGAACATGAAGATGGCGCAAGGAAAGAGGCGGCCACGTTCAGCGACAGCACCCACAGCAAGAGCAACACTATAATATGGTCAGCTTTGGTACGCATCAAGTCGATAGTGGCTGATAGACTCACGTAATGGCTGCAAACATGCCTTGGTACACTGCATACAGGAGATCAGGAATTCTTGAGCTGCCGACAGAGGGTTGAGCAAGCACATCCATGAAGCCAAAGTTGTCAAGTGCGCCGATGAACTTGCCAGCCTTGTGAGAGAATGCGAGAGAGTAGCCCCAGAAGAACCATTGAAAGGAGACAACTGCAGTAGCCATGATAGAGAGCCAAATGAGCGAAAGAGCCGACTTGCGTCTTGCCAATCCAGAGTAGAAGAATCTTTAGTGGCCGTCAGCATGTTGTACTCTTCATGTTTCTTGTAACATATTCTTACCCTACACCCGGAATCATCAAGAAGACTAAGGCGGTACAAAGGATGACGAAAGCGACATCGCCGCTCTACAAGATTGTCAGCAACGATCTCAAAATCGTGATCTCGCACAATTGCGCACCTCATAGAAGATGTTCAAGTTATCATTCAGTGAATCACCTCCAGTAGCAGTGGTGCCATTGTAGGCTACGAGTGGGACGTAGTTGGTGTCCGACTCGCCAGGACCAGTACCACTCATGACGAGGTAGGATGGCTGGTGGTAGTGCGGTACCGGTTCTGCCATGGTTGTCAGTGTTTGAAGGGAAAAAACCATGGAAGGTGCGCACTCGGCGGGGCTTGCAGTGGAGACAGCTCCCGGGATATTTGAAGATGTGAAAGTCGATGCCGCCGTCACTCGTGGAATTTTGTTTCAAAGCACAGCGAGATGAGATCGGTTCAGGGCACCACTGTTTGTTGGAGTCAACGTTTGATGTGGTTTTCAAGGACGAATGCAGTTAAAGAGTGTGCTTGGCCTTGTCACGAAAGGTCCCTTTTGAGAATGCGACAAAGGACTGATTGATAGGCCTGAAGGAGTGGATAAAGGATGCGGCTCACACATGCAGCCGTCTATCATACTTAAACGCAGTTGAGTTGTATCATCCTGGAAACATGGATGCTATCGAGGTCTGTGACTTATCTATTTCCATTCCCATTTGTCGACATGGCGACGACCTGCTGTGGAATGTTGGGCATTCGGTACATAGGCTCCATGTTTTCCGCCCTCGATAACAGTACAACTTGCCTCAAGCTCTGCGGGCACATGATCGTTATACCACAGCAGATTCTGTGAGCGCATGTATGATTTATGCAATAACTATTGGGGGGTAACACAGCATGCAGCAGGTCGTAGACGGACAAAGGACGTGTACCGTATTTGGAGCGTTTGGAATTGATGGTTGATCCAAGGCCCTGGGTTATCCTGGGCTCCTCTCAGAGTAGGGCAAGAACCAGGCTGCATCTGATTCATGGTGGGTTCGTATACTGAACTAATATGGAGGCAAGATTGGCTTCCTGAGACTCTTGAGCAGAGAGTAATGTACAACGGAACTCGCGTAGTAGGTCACCGTGGAACTTTGCTCGAAAGAGCTCCATTAGAGAGTCGAACGTTCGAATGTAGGCTTTGCAGGTCAAGCGAGAGCTGAAACTGCTGGTAATAGGCATGTCCACGTTGTGTCCAAGTAGGTTGGTGGATGTGAAAGGGGTCGATCTCCACCGTACCTAAGCCTGCAGTCAAAGCTGTTGAAACGCATGATATTTTTCTGAAAGCAAGCCGCGTCCAGTGAGAGCGCGTAGAAAAGTGACTCTCTTTGGACAGACGTGCGATCTCGAAAAACATCGTGCCTTTCGACAGCAGTTTCCGGCTCGGGCCCGGTGCGGGCGATCAAAGCTCCCCCCGCATGACGCATTGCAAAACCGACGGGCCCGGAGCATTTGACTTCTTGAAGGCCGCGACCCTCGAACAGCAGGCTCCTACACGACTAGCCATGGAATCCAACGCCCCTTCACGCGGCGTACCGCCACCCAACGACGGCCTGTCGGCAGTCAGAGTGGTCCTCCCCACCACCGAAGAGGAATTCAAGAATGATGTCCGCGTCTCGTTCGATAAACTCAGCAACAAATGGGTGCTCGAGGACGGCAACGACGAGTACGAATGGAACGCACAATTCGAGAAGTGGGTGCCTTCGGTCGACGAGGCGCTCATGCAGCAACAGGCCTCGATCTATGCCATGAAGGACGTCGACGAGAGCGCGCCCGCCATCGACACCAAGAAGCGCAAGGCCGATATCAAAGCAACCAAGCAAGACGGCAAGAAGCCCAAAATCGAGCGACCAAACAGCGCAGTCTACGTGACAGGCATCCCTCTCGACGCTAGCATTGACGAGATCCACGATGTTTTTAAGAAGTACGGCATCATCGAAGAAGACATTCACACCAATCTACCGAAGATCCGCATGTACGCCGACGATAATGGGAGCTTCAAGGGCCAGGCCAAAGTCATCTACTTCAAGCCTCAGAGCGTCAGTCTGGCTATCACCATGCTGGACGGCACCGATCTGCGCAAGCCAGGTGATGGCGATCTTCATGTCGAACTCGTCGACGACTCATACTCGAACAAGAACAAGGACCCCAAGGACCAGAAAGAGCAGAAGGAGGTCTCGGTTGAGAACATCAAGAAGAGACGACCAAAGCAAGATCGCTACCTGGCTATTGAAAAGACGAAACAAATGAACGCTCGCCTCGCCGACTGGGACGATGACGACCCAAGCGTCGTCGCACCCCCGCCAAACCCCTCGAAATACGCAAAGCTCGTCGTCCTCAAGCACATGTTCACCCTCCAGGAGCTGGATGAGGACGCTGGCGCGCTCATCGAGATCAAGGCCGACGTGCGCGACGAAGCATCCAAATACGGCGAAGTCACCAATACCGTTCTCTACGACCTCGAGCCCCAAGGTGTCATCACTGTGCGCTTCAAGGAAGCCGACTCGGCTGCTCTCTGCGCCGAGGCCTTCAATGGTCGCTGGTTCGACAAGAGAAAGATCGTCGCCTACGTGCCGCAGCATCGCGAGGACTACAACAAGAGCAAGGGAAGCGGTCAGGATGGTCTTCAGGACATTGATGAGGACGAGCCAGATGATGACGATGACGAAAAGGAGCGTGTTGCAGGCTCTGCTGTGGAAGGTCACCGTACCCTAGAGGCCGAGAAGGAGAAGAACCCTGCCGCAGAGGCGCAGAACGTACAGGACGGTGGCCTGAAGACTAATGCTTGAGTGACTACCTATCAGCGAGGCGTTTGGACAGGCAGGGGCTTTGGTGCATCAGGGTCGGCGTTACATATTCTCTCTCCCCATTGTAAACTAGACGTTTGAACTCGGCTGTCAAAAGACACAATGATTTTCAGTAAAGCTGGACTTTCCACTGAGAGCAGCTCTTCCATCAGCTCTCTCTGGACAACGCTCTAGTTCTCGCGAACATTGTGCATTGTAATGGCTACGGATCGTAGTGCTATGTAAGTAAGATCGTTTACGAATAGTAAGAGCTTAAATGCAATTACTATACGAAATCAACGTTTACTCTTTCTTCTTTATTATGTCGTGTTATTCTACGTCTACTCTTCTCTATATACTATAGCTACTGTCATGCACGGTACTTTAATAAACTATTTTGATGTCTAGTAAAGGCTTTGAGAGAAGTTTTTTCTAAAATATTAATCCCTTCACTTGTTAAAGTAATAAACAGTTAGTAGGAAAACTTCTAGAAGATAAAAAGCTATTATTATTAGAAAAATTATATAGCTACTTCTAATGGCATTCTAAAGAGCTAGAGTAGAGTCTACTACTAGTCTACTATTTTATTATACTATTAAAGGTAGCTAAAGGCCATTCTGTAGAGTTTTATATAAAGTTTGTACCGGCTAAACTCCGGCTAAACATGGTTTGCCTAATGTTTGCACAAATTCTAGCAGCCTAGCGGCATAACGCGGCGCTTTTAACTCTTTTAATTCTATCTAACTTCTTACCTACTCTTTACTCTACTCTTTTAAGTTGTTTAAGCCTTTTTGCAACTAAACCCCTATTAGGTAGGTACTAAACTATAAGGATCTCCTTTATTCTACTACTTTCCCTCATATATGCGCTCTTTAACCGGTTAAGAGATGCGTGTTATGTTCTAGCTACGCGCGCATATAACACATCGGCCTCTACTACTTTCACTCGAGCGACTTACCGATGTAACCCATGGCTAACAACTATGAACAGATAGAGACCGCGCAAGTAGAATGTCCCGCTTTCCGGCCGCCAGAAATATGGTTAAGAGATCACTAGTACGTAGCCGCGTGCTTTCTTTACTACTCTGAACTTCTACTTTCACGCGCCTTCGCTCGATAACTTGATCTTTGCCATTACGGCTCACTTCTACGGGATCTTGTCGCATTTACTGACGAAGTCGGCCACAGGTTGACGCGATTTGTTGTCATCGAGTCTCCGAAGGCGTAAGTCACCCTGTCCTCATTTCGGCGTCCGACGTTCACTGGCTGACCGCGTCTCGCGTTTTAGAAGGAGCAATATCTACTGCGCTGGAAGCATGACGAGCCATCACAAGCCATCTTATCCTGGCATGATCTGGAAGACCTGGGTTCAATCGCCGACTTTCTCCAAATCTATGTCGGCAATTATGTCACCTCGTATGTTATCTATTTATTTATAGGCTTCACTTCCATCGCGACTTGCTCACATACATCATCCAGTCTCAAATCCGGCAACAGTTCACTCGGCGTCCCTGTCCAGGTAACCTCACTGAAGCGCAAAAGTCCTCATGATGAAGGTTCAACAAGCCGGGCTTCTTCTCAAGACACCACCACATCCACCTCTTCCATTTCAGCTCAAAAGCTCGAGGTCTATAATGGAATTCTCCAAAGAAAGGCTGGAGACATATATCCTGTCCACCCAGCTTGCCCGTCCCCGAGAATGCCTCGTATCGACGCAACCACAGTTCCCACTCCTGAAATGCTGGCAGCCGCAAAGGCTCACCTAGCGGATGGCGTGAAGAAAGCCCGTCGATTCGTTCGACGACAGTTCTTGGATCAGCTCCTCCGTATTCCTGGTCCACCCGTCACATTTGTCAACGACAGGAACAAGGAGACCCCGTCTCTAAGCTTCACTTGTATCCAAGATTACGTCTACGGAGAGGGTGTATCGAGTGCAGATGCCGTTATGCTGGGCTGTACGAAATGTCGGCCAGACATGGGTAGCGACCGTGGCTGCGAGTACACCAGAAGATGCGACTGCCTGGAATACGCGACACCCGACTTCAAAAGTCAAGGACTCAGCAAGGAGGAACAGAAAGCTCATTACGAAGCCTGGCAGGCGGGCGAGCTCGACGCCGCCGAGTTGCCCAAACGATTTCCCTACAGGCTGGACAACGATCAGAGGACGGGCATCAAGCAGTACGTCCTTGATGGCTTCTATCTTGAGAGTAGGAACGTGCTCTACGAGTGCAATCCGAAGTGCAAATGCGGTCCCAAGTGCAAGAACCGGCTCGTACAGAAGGGGAGGACGGTTCCGCTCGAGATCTTCAAGACGCAACAAAGAGGTTTCGGTAAGCTCTTCTTCTTCTATTCGAACAGTTTCGATCGCTGCTGACAACACAAAGGACTTCGTTGCCCTGTGAATCTGAGGCGTGGACAATACATCGACAGATACCTCGGTGAGCTGATCACCGATCATGAAGCAGATGCTCGCGAGGCGTTTTCAGGCCGCGACAAAGCCTCCTACCTCTTCTGGCTCGACAAGTTCGCAAACGACGACGGTCCTCCTGGCTCCCTCCGCACAAACGATTGCTATGTCGCGGACGGCGAGAAGATGGGTGGTCCCACCAGATTCATCAACCATAGTTGTGATCCCAACTGTCGCTTATTCACCGTCAGCTACAACAAACACGATCAGAAGATCTACGATCTGGCATTCTTTGCCCTCGAAGACATACCTGCTGGCACCGAACTGACGTTTGATTACATGGACCCGGAGGAGGGCGAGGCTGGTCAAGCTGTCCACGAAGAAATGGATGAGGGTACTGTGGCTGTGGACTGTCTCTGTGGTGCGAAGAATTGCAGAGGAAAGTTGTGGATGTGAGCAAGCATTGAATCAGCAGCCTTCGAGACTCTATACCTCGTGTCTTTCTTGATCTTTGTTGGCGAGTGATGGAGAAAGACACTGCTTGGTGGAGACTCTCGACGGACAGATGAAACAGCACATTCAACCAGACAATGCTGTGATCACAGCCTGTGGCGGAAGATGAAGGGATGGACCAGATGAGTCCACAAACGTAGGATGCTTCTTTTCACTCGGCATATTATAGCAAGCGAATTTTCCTTTCGATCAGTTACACTCAAACCAGTCATGCCAAAGGCTATCGCGTTATTTGACATCACCGGATTGTCTTGTGGAAGAGGTGAGCTCACATAAGAGTGACCTCTCTTTTCTAGCGAAGCCTTGAGAAATCTCGTTATCCTTCTTCACCCGACGAGAACTCGTCAGACACTCGCGAGCTTGAGAACTGTCGTTGAACTTCCAGCTTTCTTCCGCAAATTATGCTCGGAGTCAGAAAGGATTGTTGCCAATCCGCCAGAATTGATGTCCGTTCAAAAAAGTAGTTGTGTACGGTATCACCCTGACCCCGCTGTGCCAAGTCATGGTCAGACTTCCAACAGGCAAGTTTTACCGAACGACTTTGGACCTTTTCGCAAACAAGAGCATCAATCTATCAAGAACAGACTACGGTCACATCATCCTAACAAAACACACCAAGCATCTAGGGAGCTACCTAGGACTTCCATCATTAGTAAATGAGCGGTGATTACTGAAGCCATTCATTTTCTCGGCACCTCTGGAGGAGCAGAAAAAGAGTTATACGTTGGGGAAAAAAAACCGAACATCGATACAATTACCATGGAGTACCTCATTCGACTTGCGCAGATGCACGAGACGTTCCGGAAGCCAGAGCTGGAGGCTTTGGCGGCGTTGCACGATGTGAACTTGGAAATCTTGGAATACTCAGATCAGGTACGACGGCATCTCACCTTTCTCTGCTTGAGCAACTTGAATCTGGAACAGAGAGCCACGGAACCGAGGTTGAAGCAACTGCTTAAATCATCCGACTATCGAGTCGGCATCACGATGGGATTATCACTTGGATTACACGGACACGAGCTAATCAATACGTATAGTCACCATTCTGCATAGCGAGGATCCCATCAGACGCAGATGCAGCAAAACTGATCGCTCGATCCATGTTGACCATAGCAGTCTACCAACTCTGGGGTATCGGTAAAAACTACGACGAATGCCATGCAGACGTCAAGAAACGAACATCGCATATCTGGCCAAAGTACAAAGAAAGCGCCTCGTTCAGTTTCCAAATCGACAGTTATCAGGCCAAGCGCACCAACGCAGAAAAGAGAGATATCGTCGAATCTTTCTCGTACATGGCTTTCGAAGGACCAATCAAGATGAGGGACCCGGATCTGCCTATGGTGGTACTTGAAGAATATGACTTAGAGGTCAGAGATCCCAAGCGTGTGGCGCTAGGTCTCCTGGTCGGTGAAAGTGGACGCTCAGCATGGAACAAATACGACCTTAAGAAGCGCAAGTATATCAGCACGACATCGATGGACTCGCAACTGGCCTTGATCACAGCAAACATGGCTCACGCAGCACCCGGCAAGATCTTTTACGATCCCTTCACCGGCACTGGAAGTTTCCCGATCGCTTGCGCACATTACGGTGCTACCGTGGTCGGCAGTGACATCGATCCTCGTAGCATTCGTGGAAAGCCGGATCGCAATGTCATGAGCAACTTTGTACAATACGGTCTGGTGCCACAATATCTGGAGATGTTTGTGAGCGATTTGACAAACACACCGATCAGAAAGACACGATGGCTGGACGGTATTGTTTGTGATCCTCCATACGGTGTGCGCGAGGGATTGAGAGTGCTGGGCAGCACGAGAGAGGATCTCCAGAAGGAGGTTCTGCTCAAGAGCGGTGTGCCAGCACATCTTGCACCAGGTTACATCCCTCCAAAGAAGCCTTACAGTTTCGACGCCATGCTGGACGATATTCTGGACTTTGGCTACAACCATATGGTGGACAATGCAAGACTCAGTATGTGGATGCCGGTGGCTAACGATGAGGACATGGAGATCCCTGTTCCCAGCCATCCTGCGATGGAGCTGGTAGCTGTCTCGATCCAGCAATTCAACAGATGTGCGTTGAGTATCTCTGTACGCAATGTGGAGCACAATATGTTGACTACTCTCGCAGGGGCCCGCAGACTACTTACTTACCGCCGCGTTCCAGAAGCACAAGTTGACCAAGAAGCACTTCGAACCCGCGAGAAACGTGAAGAGGCGACTGGAGTGACGGCAGATGATCTCAACGCCTTCCGACGAAAGGTATGCACATGGCACGCAAGCGTTAACGGGTTTCGTCACAGCTAATGCATGGCGCAGTATTTCCAAGGCTTCAAGGATCAGCAGCAACAACAGGTCGACTCGGAGACTGCATCATCGTGAGTCGTGCCGTTTCAACAAGGCGGTCATGGTGCGGGCTGGAGTCAAGACTTGAGCGGCTGAAACGGACAGCTGGGCGGCGTTCGGTCTTGAGTCCAGCTGGTGGTTGCTGTTGGACGCTCAACGTATGTCGGCGAGGCGGAGTAGGCGGTCACAGGTTTGGTGACGAAGAGCCGTCTTATGTCATGAGTGAAGGCAGGCATCATTTGGACTAGCCACCTGATGGACTTTGGGCGAAGAAATGACTGCAGCCAGATAGAAAGCAACATGTACCGATCCGAGTCATGAGACTGTGAGACACAGGAGATCTCAAACCACGTGAGAATGTAGTGACTTCCTCCATTGCATTGTCGACGGAGACGGCAGCCGCGAATACGTAACCTAGAGTGCTTCGCCTCAGCACATGAGCAGACTCACACCGTCTGACTGTTTGGACAGTTGGTATCGCAATCTCGGCTCAATCGCTCGTGAGCCTCGAGGTGTTTTGTGGATATACAAACAGAAACGCGAACCCTTGCAACGTCTCGCGTCGTTTGATTCCTTCCTACCGGTTAGGTCGGCGGATGGGGTAACCATTCCGAGGACAGGCAATGATGTGCAGAATGGCTAGACACGAAAAGGTGGTGGGAAAAGAAGTGGAACCTGGGATCTTCGAGACTTGAGTATTGGAGGGTGAGCAGAAAAGGCAATCTTGTAGATCTATCCATGCCAGGGTTCGATGGCCCTGAATATCATGCTTTTCAGGATAAAGTCAGGGACGGCAGGAAGGAAGTGTCAAGCTGAGACGTGGCATGTTTCCTTGGCACAACGTTCCACACGCTGCTCGTCCACGCAAACTTGCACAACACACAAGAGACAAGGGAAAGCTGAGCAACGTGTGAGGCTGACTCAAATTGACAGCCCTGTACATACAACTCACAACAGCGGTGGACGGCAAAAGAAGAATTGGTCAATTCTCTCCTGCCTGTGCTCCTGCTTGCCACTTCGAGAGTCCAGTTTCCCAAAGACCTGGATAAGTCGGTAAAAAGGCTTCAGAGCTTTGCAAAATATGGAATGCCTCCTGCGAACTCATGCGCCATAGAGCAACTACTGCAAGAAATTCCTGAGTTAAGGTCGTTTCTGGACAGGTTCTTGTTCATATCAGGAAGTTCAACGGTCAACGGGGGGGAAAGGGGGACGCTTGGGTGGGTCTTTTGACAGTCAGGGGTCGTTGGCGGTCGTGCGAAGGACCTCGTTCGCGAGGCGTGTGCTTTGGCGAGACTGAGTGGTCAGAAGTGTGGGGGTATCGCGACATCCCTGCCAAACTCTACCTGCAACACGAACGACACTCATGAAGCATTTTTCTGAAACTCCATCTGGTAGATCAGATCCTTGAGGAGATATGGTGCGATCTAAAGGTAAGAAGATACGATGGAGTTGATATCTTCGTTGCTTGCTGCTCTCTTGTTCTTCTATTTCGTGATGCTTCTTTCTTTATTCGCTTCTTTCTCTGCGCATCTCTAAATTTACATTCCTTCACAACGTTGCTGCAGCGGCTGGAATCCGCGATCGTTGTACTTCCCTTACATACTTTTCCACTTGGTCTTCCGGGAGCCACCGTTGGAATCGATATTTGCTCCTTGCCCAAGCCTACCTCCTTTGCAACGACAGTCGCGTAGTACTTAAGAGTCCAACGTGTCGACGAGGTTGGGATCTTCGAAATCATATCCACTCCTTTGGTTCAGCAATTCACATAACCACATTCTTTACTTGCACCTTGCCTTGCAAAAGCAAATCCACGATCACTACTTCTACAAAACATCCTTCTCGGCATATCTTCTTTGCAGCATCTTTTCAGATCAACAACACTACATCACAATCACAATGCCTTCTCGCTCCAACCGCAACATTGCCTCTGGCTCTCTTCGCAAGCTGAAGACTGTCTTCTCGACTTCTCACACTCACATTCCCAACGCTCCTCTATCGCCTGTTTCGGAGAACTCGGACAGCTGCTGGACTGTCAGCAGATCGTCGACTGGCAGCCGCTTCAGCCAACTCGTCTCCTCAGTGTCATCATACTCCATCGGCAACTTCAGCATTCGCCGCAGCCCCAGTCAACTAGAACTCGAGCAGGAAGAGGAGAAGATCGAGACCCCGGAAGAGCTCCTCAGCCTGATTGAGCCCCGTCCCTTCGCTGGCACTGCCGTCGGAGGCTTCGAGGATGTTCTGTTTGGCCGCCTTTGATCAATAATCACAGTCAACACATCAACATCAACAACAACAACCAAACTTTAATGATCAACGCCTTTTTCCTTCTCCAAAATTCACACAACACGACGCGACGCATCATCAACAACAACATCAACGTTGGCGTTTCATCCCCCCACTGTCGCGCGCAACGGCCCCCGACGGTTGGGCGGGCTCTCTTCAAACGGTCACACATGTTCATCTTGAACACTCAACCGGACTGGCAGTGATGATGGCATTGAGATGAAATTTCCCAGTGTCACCGTTCGCTCCTCTCATCAGAGACAGTCGGCTTTCCCAGCTGCTCAACTTTTCTTGAACATTACTATTCACTTCTTCTCATTCGCTTCTTGACGATACCTGGGTACCTACCAGACGGTGGTGCCTGTTTGATTACCCCTTCTTTTTCCTCTTCCTCTTATTCTTCAACCTTCTTCTTGTACTCCTATAGGATCATCTTGTGTGGAGTGGCTACTGTGCAGGACTTTTCTGCCGGGGCCTTTTATCTTCTTTTTACTAGAGAACATTCTCAAATGAATAAACGATCTTACACTTCAAATCTGCTTGTCTATCTTTCCATAACGCTATGATCAAAATTGCAATATAGATCGTCGATCTGACTTGATATACTCCACGCCTTCGGCTTTACCGTAGCTGAAGGAAGGAAGCCACGAAGACGTGGCCGGAAATATCGGCCAACGCCGACCTGAAGTATTCATCAGAGGAGATGAAGCGGCCAACATCATCTTTATGTTTTTCGTATTTCAACGACATCATTAGAAAGGCTTGTGCTGACCTGCAGCAGATCTGGAGATGAGTTGATGTGGGGGAGATAAATTAATGCTTGAGCCTATTTTCGATGGATCAAGATGGTATACGACCGTGCTGTGCAGCAATGCAGCAAAATCCAATCAACCGTGCGATGGAAGCACAATTTATCTCCAATGCACTCACGCATAATGTCATGCATGTTTGCGAGATGCGGCAATGCAGCAATCCAGGAAGTAGCACCAAAGAATGTAGCAATGCTTGGCTTGCAACAATTGATTGGACCTTCCTTGACTGAGCACCTGCCTTGACTGCCTTCTTGAAAATGGAGTTTCTTTGTCTGTTTGCTTGCTTCTGACTTTCTCTCCGTCCAGTCATTTTCATCTCTTCATCTACAATATCCTGCTGCTGACCTTTTTGTCACTCCTTGGAATCTCCTCTTTTGCACGGCGGGTCTGTTGCGAGAACTGCTCTTCTATAATTGTTTCCTCTACTCTCGAATCATCCCTTTGTCCATTTTATCTCGACCATCGACAAACTCAAGATGCGCTCAATCACAATCGCCGCCGGCATCGTTCTGGCTTTCTCTCCTCTTCTCGTCTCGGCTCAAGGTCGTATGGGCTTCGCATTGGGCACTCACTTGCCAAATGCATCATGCAAACTCGAATCCGACTACGAAGCCGACATGATAGCTATCAAAAAGAACTCTGGCAGCAATCTCGTTCGCATGTACTCCTCTGCCGATTGTGAATGCGTGCCGAAAGTCCTCGCCGCTGCAAAGGCTCAAGGATTCCAGGTTCTCCTCGGCGTCTGGCCTGATGATAAGGTGAGTATGACTCTTGACAAGTATGCTGTGCAGACCGGCATCGACGGATACCTTGACCAGGTCTTTGGTGTCAGCGTTGGTTCGGAGACGATGTATCGAAAGACCTTCACAGGCCCTCAACTCCTAGAGGCCATCAACGATGTCAGAACGGTGTTGCCGAAGGGTGTCAAGGTCGGCACGGCAGACAGCTGGAACAAGTTCGCCGATGGAACAGCCGATGCTGTCATCAAAGGAGGGGTCGACTTTTTGCTGGCTAATGGCTTTGCATACTGGCAAGCACAGCCCATCACCAATGCCACTAGGACCTTCTTCGACGACATTCAACAAGCTCTTGCTCATATTCAGACTGTCTCGGGCTCCCTGAATGCCATCGAGTTCTGGGTGGGTGAGACTGGCTGGCCGACGGATGGTGAGTTGATGGTCTCAATCTTCTTGAAGCATGTACAATACTGACCTTCATCCAGGTGGAACCAACTACGGCGCCGCCATCGCAAGCACGAAGAACGCACAAACATACTACGACGACGCCATCTGCGGCATGCTGGCATACGGCGTGAACACCTTCGTCTTCGAAGCCTTCGATGAGCCCCAGAAACCTGCAGCCATCGGCGACAGTGGAGCCGAAGGAGACGAGCGTCACTGGGGTGTCATGACCTCCGATCGCACACCCAAATTCCCATTGACCTGCTAGTTGCTCCAGAAGGCCGAAAAATGCGGTACAACGACTTGATGACAAACATGAAAGAAACAGCTCTGACTGTTGTGAGCTGAGAAGATAATCAAGGAAACCTGGCATATGCATGTGGGAGTTGTAGGGGTATTGTTTTTTGTTTCCTTTTCCTGAGTTCGAAGATATCGCTGGGAATGCATTCAGCTTTACATGCAAAATTTTGATAATCCTTTTCCCTTGTATCTTTCCTTGAACGCCTTACGCCTTGCTTGTATGCATGTATGAAGTGTTCTCTGCGTCTCCACCAGCCAAAGCCCTATGTCAAGGACTTCAGATGCTCTTCTCTCAAACGGCCGATGATGGACAGCGAGTGACAGACGCTTGACCTCCTCGGCGCGGTGTAGTGGCAGTATCGTGTTCAGCAATGATGACCAACAGCTCAATCATCAAAGCCACCAAACTCCTCATCCTCTTCCTCATCATCGACCTCCTCACCCTCAATCTCACTCAACTCCTCATCATCATCCTCAATACCCAACCACACCTTTACCCTCTCATCATCCAGTGCTTCTGCCACCTTCTTCCTCACACTCTTCAAGACACCCTTCTCCCCCAACTCGACCATCGGCGCCATCATCTCCTCCCACGGTGTATTCTCCGCCTCCATTGTCCCCTCCTCCCCACCGACCTTCTCAAGCTCATCAACATAAACGTCCACAACATGATATTTCAACCCATTAGGCACCTTGGGCTCCCTAGGATTCAACGGAATCTCCCTGATCAAATCCAAATAATCCTTGCGTGTCTTTCCATCCTTCCACGAATCCTTCGCGACAAACGCAAACCCAGCATTCACAAAACTTCTTATCAAGAACAGAAACTTATCCATGCGTAAAGAATCGATGGCCGTGTATTCCCTGGCAATGGTTTCCCAGAACGCGCGCATGAAACCTAGGAAATTCGCGCGTGTGCTGAGGAGAGATACCAAAGCCGAGAGATCGAGGGCGAGACGGCGTTGCGGGGACGGTTTGTCGCAGGACCACATTGTGTAGAAGAGGGCTTTGTGGAGTTTTAGGAAGTCGAGGTGGGTGAAGGGGGTGCTGCGGGACAGGAAGGTGCGAAGGGAGAGGACGGCTTTGTCGCGGACTTGGCGGTCTGGTGGGGTTTGGGTTAGCTGGGTGTGCTGGAGGGGGGTGTAGAGGTAGGTGGAGAGGTGGAGGGGGAGCGGTACCATTGTGGACTAGTTGTTTGATAAATGGGTTATTGGGGGCTGCTGATTGCGCCATCTTTGCGGAGGTCGTGTGTGAAGAGAGCGGTATGCGTGAGGACGATGGAGAAGCGATCGATCGGTAGACTCGGGTTGGTTGTCAAGGTGTTCGTGGAGCGGTGACTTGGGGCGCAAGTGAATGTTTTGGATAGCTTCTTGCTTGGTCGCAAAAGATGCGAATGCGATGGCCTTGGCAAAGAAAAAAAGTCGATGGAGAGTCGCGCTTCTCAGGGTTCGCTTCGCGCGGCTTTGTTCCGCGTCCCGAGATGCTTGCTTGGGGTGCCGTTTGGAACGTGAAGGTATCGATGCCATCAGCAACCAACAATACTGCATATGGCATGTTCGAAGCAGGAGGGTTGAAGGACAGTAGTTTTCATGTGCTTTGCAAAGTATATCATTCATTACTTCTTGTATCCTCGAGCTCAGATACACTGTGTTGGCTCTTCTCATAGCTAATGTTACAAAGGCATCGTTCGACCTTGAAAGCCATTTCAAACCATAAACCATCCTTCATCTTGCAACTCAAAGCTCAATCCTTTCAATCCTTTCAATACTCAAAGTCGTCATCAACAGAAGGTCCCTTGTTCTTACCCACAGACTCTTGCTTCCTGTACATTTCAGCAACCTGTCTGGCAGTAGTAGCATCATCAGGTTTCTTGTCATCACGATCGCGGATGTATCTCGGGAACCGTAGACTGACACCCTTACCGCTGGGATCGTTCAGCGCATCAGCTGCAGCCTTGTAGCGTGGTGACAGTGTGAGATCGGCAGTCTTGACCTCCCAGACCAGGCGAGGCTCGAACCAGACGTCGGGTTGGTCTTTGTTGCCTGAGGAGTGGCTGTAGAAGGGCTTGGGGCGGTCGATAACCAGTGGTAAGAGCGTCTCATGCAGTGACTCGAGGAGAGCTTCTGAGAATCCCGTGCCGATGTTGCAGACCGTCTCGTATTGCTGTGATGATTGGTTGTAGCAGGCGAGAAGGAATGCACCATAAACATTTGTGCGTTTTCCTCTTCCGTAGTAAGCACCGAGGACGACCAGATCCAAAGAGTCTCCTGCACCAGCGAGATAATCTTTCTTGACCTTCAACCAGTTTTGCGAGCGGCGCGAAGGCTCGTAGTATGATTCAGGACCGTCCAACATCTTCACCATCAAACCTTCACAAGAGGCTTTGATCGAGTCCTCGAGCAAGACTTGAATTGCATCAAGGTCGTTGGTGTCACCGTATTGAGCAAAGGCAAACTCGCCCTCGACCTCTTTGAAGGCCTCGTACAGCTTGACTCTGCGCTCACGGAAGGATTGGTTGACAAGAGCCTCGCCATTGAGGAAGAGCAGATCGAAAGCAAAGACACAAACCTTGACCTTAATGTCTTCGGCCTTGACATCCTTGCGTTTTCTCGTCATAAGCTGTTGGAAAGGCAACACCTTCTTCTCGTCAACATCCCAGGCGACGGTCTCGCAGTCCAGCACAAAACTCTTGGTACCGTCCTTGACCCAAGTGGGCAGCTTTGCGAGAATATCAGGGTACTTCTTCGACAAATCTTCACTGTTTCTCGAAAAGATGTTGGAAACGCCCTTTGCAGAGTTGCCAGCAGTAGGGGCAGCAGTGGCGTAGGTCAGATCGGCATCGTGGGCGACAAAGTGAATCTGTGCTCTTTCTCCATCGTACTTGTACTCGCAGGTAAAGTCTTTGCCCTCGAAGCGGTCAAGGACTTCAGTGATAGACTTGGTCGGCTTGGCCAACATGGGCTTGAGCGGAACACCTGGTTGAAGCTTGCATGCATCGTGCAGGTCGAACACGCCGTTCTCGAGGTATGCAGGAATGATGACTTCGTAGCTGGGGAGTTCGCTGTCGATGAGTTAGCGTTACATTGGGCATAAAGAAAGGTCAAGGACTGCATACTTGTAGACGTTCTTCAGGACGCGTTCACCCTTCTCCAGTTGCTCGGTGCTAGGAGCCTTGTTGGTCTTGGTCATGACATCGTGATAAGTCATGGCTGAAGCTACCGAGACAAGCACAGTTTTGTCTGCCAGACCCAGGCGCATCTTTCCTTCAAGTGTGCGCACGATGAACTTTGCTTCGCTCGCTCCACCCTTATTCTCTTCGATATCGACTCCCTTGCCCTTTGGCAGATTTGCGTCGGCAGCAGAAAGCAACTTGTGAATACCAGAAACCTTGCGACCTTGGCCACCAGAACCCTCGATCTTGGCAATAGCCATGAGTTGCTCATGTACACCACGAACAGTCAAGGGCTTTGGCTTGAACATGGTGGGCTGACTGCCCTTGCTCTTTGCCGCAACGAGACCAAGATCGCCGATCTTTTGTTGGTCCTCCTTGATGATTTTGAGTGATCGACCTGTGGACTCGCCAATTGCCTTCATGATGAGACTCTCGCCAATTCCCAGCTCGATACCAGCATAGTCTGCTGCGAGTTTTCCGAGCATGAGTAGAACGGTTGGTTGCAAGTCCTGAGGGGTGAGGCGAAGAACTTGTCTGAGGAACAAGGAACAATGTGCCATGATCTCAAGACGCTTCGTCGTCATCTCAATCTTGGAGAATGTGGTGCAGAGCGCAGCGTAAGGTACTGGGTCGCCAGCCTTCCAGTCAGGGTATGGATCTTTCGTGTTGGACTTGAATGTGCTCTGGACCTTCTCGCGGGCCTTTGCCGCCTTCTCGGGTTGTTCTTCCTCGTCTGACTCGACTTCCTCTGCCTCTGACTGTGGATCGCTTTCGGAACCGTCCTTCATTGCGATGTCTTCCTCGTCGACTTTGGCAGGTGCTGGCGCATTGTCCACAGGCTTCTTCGGTGTCGCCTTGGCCTTCTTGACGGGCCCTTCCATTTCTTCAACCGGCTCTTGTTTTGCCTTCTTCTTTGGGCTTGTGGGCTTTGCGGCTGGCTTCTTGCGCTGTCTTTTGGTCGGAGGCTCTTCTTCTGAGGCGACAGCTTCTTCTTCCTCTTCTTCCTTAACTTCGGCAGCTCTCTTCTTTGTTGCTTTGGTCGGCTTTGGCGATGTGATGTCCTCCTTGGGCTCTTCCTTGAGATCCTGGGTAGCCTCCTCCTTCACTGCAGCCTTGTTGACTTCTGACGGACCATCTTCGACCTCGGCCTGGTCTTCATCCTTGGCCTTCTTGGGCTCGGGCTTTGGTTTTGTTGCGAAAGAGAGCCTCGACTGTTGAGGGGTGGGTTTGGAACCATTGGGCTTTCCGAAGAAATTGCTTTGCGCTGGTCAGTCATATTCCAGCGATATCTCCCAAACTCTTTCTGGAGTTTCGATGACTGCGCACCCTAACGTCGTCTGGGGGTTCTTGACATACCCGAGCGTAGATTGCTGCTTGGGAGGCATCCTAAAGCACAGTTGAGGTCGAGGTGTTGTGGCTGATGTGTAAATGGAGCAGCGCAGAGGTGAGGAATTCAAAGAATTGAAAGGTCGTAGAGAATTAGAAGATGCCCGCATCGATATACAACAACAATGACAAGGCAGGAGTGACAAGAAATCGAGGCAGACTCAGGTAGCTGCGACGGACGTGACACGCGACGCGCGCTAAATTGATGACGGCATTATTCCCTTAACTCCGAATGCGCCTCTCTAGGTATCTGGTGATATTGATCCAAGACTCTCCGTCACACCGTCACGGGCAAATTTACCTACTAGACAGCAGAAACATATTCAGACTGGCCGAACATTTCTGGAAACCAACTCCTCCTACCTCTCCCCCTTCGCCTCCTGTACAAACACCCATCATGGCAGCACCAACCACAGCGCCTACTCCCAAACTCACACCCGCCTTCTGCTTCAACCAAACCGCTCTACGAGGTGCGCATCCGGCTCCCACACCCACCTCTTCTTTGCTTACCGCTAACACCCCAGCCTATCAGATTTCCTCCGCATCTCCCGCAGCGCCGTAGACGACACAATTTCCCAAAACCTAAACGCCCTCTTATCCCCCAGCACATCGGGTTTCGACCCAACGAGTACTTCACGAAGCCTGCCCCGCCCCACAGGCCGCCGCACAATACCAGCACCGGCATGTGATTCCTTCAAGCAAAACGTACTGTTCCCTTCGTGGCAGGCGAGGAGTGATATCTTGGCTTATTGCGGTGGCGTGGCTACTTCGCCGGACCCTGATGATCCCGATCATATCTTGAGGGAGGTGGAGGATACAAGAGCTAGGGAGAGGGTGATTAATGAGAGGTTGGATCCCTACAGCGGGAGGTACTTTCCGAGAGAGGTCAGGACTGAGGCTTTGGCGTCATTGGTGCGCAGTGAGTTGATGGTGGAGGGCATTGTGCGCTCGAGGACTTGGGGAATGGTGAAGGAAAGATGCGCTGATGACGAGGTGGATGGTGAAAAGGCATTGGACAAGTGGCGACAGGACCAAAAGACAAGCACGACTCTTGGACTTTTGAGCTGAGACGATGCGGAGAACGCATTCTGACGTGATGCGATGCGATGCGTGTGTATACAACTATATGATACCCCCCTCTTTTTGCATGTTCTGTTTATTCCATATTCTGCGCCTGCCATTGTCCTGTTTCTTGTACCATGTAAATCTGTCTTGTTCTCCTGTTGCACCTGTTCCTGTCATTTCGCCTTCGATTTCCTTCTCTTAATCACTATTCCTCTTCCAGTTCTTGACCTTGGCAAAGGCCCTCTTCAATGGTGGGAACAAACTCCAAGACTCCATGGTTCCACTCAACACTCCGAAGCCCATCAACAGCACCCAGCTCAGCGTCAACACAACAGCAAAGGCGATCCAGTATGTCTTGACAGAGTATGTGACTCCAAGGTCGGCCGACACGTACTCGGTCAGGAATGTCAGAGGCAGGAACAAGATGGTTGCTTTGCTGATGAGCAGCGCCACCCTCGTAAGGCGATCCACTCCGGCAGACTGCGACATGGCCACCAACTGGAAGTTCTGTTTGACATGTCAGCAAAGGAAGGCATCTGGGGCAGCACATGACACTCACCATCTGGACCAACCCATCTTTCTGATGCAGGTAATCCTTGCACTCGGCCAGAGCGTACAAGCTGATCATGTCACGGAGACGTTCAAATCGGACAATGGCGGCGCTGGTCAGACCAATTCCCATTAGAGATTGACCTCCTTGGTGGGCGAGCTTGTCAAAGGTTTCTTGACTTGCTTTGCTGGGAACACGAGATCCAGTTCTTGACGCCAGTGTGCTTGACTGCGGTTCAGTGACTCGATCAACAAGTCTGATGTAACTCTTGTAGTGTCGTTTGAGTGCTCCGAGTTCATTGCCAATGCCATGCAGAAGGTCGATGTGGTGAAGCTTTGGTGCTGAGAACATCTCTTTTTGCTGGCGGAAGTCAGTATCAAGACTCTGATCAAATGGAGACGACGTTACTCACAAGTTTCTCCAATTCCATTCCGTATCTGCTTTCTCTGCGTGTGATGAGAGAATAGCTATTAAACCAATTCTCAAACAGGTAGTAGAACAGCAGACCAGGTGCGTCTTTGTCGCGGTGCGCAGTCTCCTCCTTCGTGTCACCAAGTCTTCTGCGGATGGGCAAGAGTACAAGAGGATTGGCTTCTCTGCTGTCTTCGACCTTCGACAACGAGCGGAACACATTGATGAGATTGCGACGCGTCTCCATCATGACCAGCTGCTGAGGATGCGACAATCGACCTTCACTGTAAGGATACAGATCCTCATTGATGCTGATGACAGTCTTGTCCGCGCAGATGAGCAACCATGTCCAGACTCGCTTGATGTGAGGCAAAGGTGCATCCTTGGTTCCGGTACTTTCTTCCGAGACACCACAGCCGGTTTCGACAGCATGCACGTTATACAAACTGTTGAAGCCCAGGCATAGGTAACTGCGGCCTTGGTCCAGAGAAGTGTAGTGCCACACACCGTCGACAATGTCGTACAGGTTTCCGGTACGGGCAGGGTTCGAGCTCGAGAGTGAGCTTGTGTCTGTGGCGGGAGGTGGCGATGAAGAGAGGCCTTTCTCGATATCTTCGAATGAGCGTCGAAGAATTGCTTCATTCCTCTGTTCGATGGGTTGAGAAGGATACTGGCGCATACGTCTTGGATCAGAGCTCATGAGTGCCAGCAGTCGTGGTGAGAAGTCATACTGTTGTGCAAGAATCTCGAGCAAAGGTCGTTGCTGGAAGGGAAACCAAATGTTGATCCATCGGGTATGAAGATTCGATGGACGTGGTGTGTCCAGCAGAGTATTGATTGTCTCGGCTGGTTGGTCAAAGGACACCCATGCTTCTTCATCACCGAAGTCCACAATGAAGTTGCGAGCAGTCGGAGTGCAGAGCTGCTGTACCGAGTCTTCCAGAACATCAGGCAGATCCAAGTTGCGGAATCCAGTTTCTCGATCAGACAAGGGTTCGTAGTTTGATGCTTCTGATTTGGGCTTCTTTTGATTCGTGAATGCCGAATCTGAGCGCTCCATGCCAGGCAAAGTGTCTGCAAAATCGTATTGTATCTCGCTGTCCATCTTTTAGAGCAATCAGGTCGAATTTTTGGATGGCGAAACAGCGAAGCAGCCCGCTCTTATCTGTTTCGAGTCAAGAGATTCATGACTCCTCGAACCAACTGCGACATGACGAAGCCAGCCGACACATGTGAATCAGAGATAATTTGGCTCCGCCGTAACAGCCTGGGGTGCATGTGAGGCTTGGACATTCACGGGGTGCTCAAGCGTTTACTTGGTAACCCGGTGCACAAGTCTTGTGGTTGGCTGGTCAGCTGCCTATTGGTGCCTACCAAAATGACCTGCAGGTACCAAGCACCGCCTCATTCGTAGATCCAGATCTTGATGGCGCACACCAAGAACATATTCCTAGCCGCCGGTAGAAAAGATGACTTTTTTCTTGAAGGGAAAAGATAATTGTGAAGAGAAACAATATGTTGAGGCCTTGCGACGTTACACAAGACCCTCGACGAGAAAGGTCACCAGTCAGACGGATACTCGAAACGTTCACCGACGTGCAGACACATGCGTGTCTTAACACAAAACGCGGGCTGAATTCTGTATCACCTGTGGTGCATTCTTCATGATGATCTGAGACTGGTAGAGATGGACCGTTTTACCGAACGTTCGAGGCTTCACGCGCGACGACTTGCGGCCGAGAAGTCATATGCCTCAAGTGACGACGATGAGAGGTCCACTTCATGGTTGTTGATGAGCTGTGCTGCCTATCTGATCAAAGTTAAAAACAGGTTGCAGACTTGCAGGTCAAAAGTGATGATGAGTTGGTTGAAAATAGAAATTCGAATTCGCGAGGCTCCCCGCAGGCAACCTCAAGGCTCAATGGAGAAGGAACGAAATGCCTAGCATGAAGCTTTTCTCATCACGGAAGATCAGAAATCAATTCAATCATGCTTCATCTCAAAACCATCTAACATTGACTTACTGTTTATGGTTCTAGAGTATCAATGTTGACTCGAGTGATCGATGCCATCCAATTGTAACAACATCCTGCGTCGTGGTCGCAAAGCCGGCGTTTTCCAGGCGAGGCACGCACTGCGAGCGACAAGCCAAGCAACAAACAGCGTTGGCTCCTCGTGCGGGTACAAATATATTACTGCCTGCGAGTGATTCAAACATTGCTCTGCTTTTACTTACTAAAACTTGGTCAGATTAGCCAATTTACAATCCTGACGTTTGGTAGACTTGACCCAACCTCCGCCGCTGCTCTGGAACTTTACTCGCAATACGACATGTCCAATAACACTAGAAAGAAGAGCTGCAGGGAATGCTCGAAAGCAAAACGCCGCTGTAACCTCAGCAATCCATGCAAACGATGCATCGATCGCTCACTTGCCTGTATCTACACAAATGCCCCTTCTCGAGTAACGCCTTTCCCACGCGGAAGTGTCAGACAAGATCCATCTGCTGAACCAGTACACAATCGACAAATTTCTCCCAATGCTGCAACTCAGACGTGGGAGAAAATCCTTAGTATCAGCTCCGACACGCCCGGCTCGATAACACTGGACGAATCAAACGACGAAGCTGCTGCATATGCAGCTTTCCTGCCCGATCTTCCAGAAACCCAGGTTATCAATACAGAAACAAATAAGTTGTGCATTGAGAACATTATGATTAGTGGGTCAGACTATCGACGAGCAGATTATCACAAAGTGACTTCTATCTGGGTGAGGCTATGTCGAGGCGTCATATGCTCCCATCTTTCTCACAACAGTCCAGGACAAGTTCACACACGAGACCCTCGCCGATCCTAATTCGCGGCTCAACAACCAGATCAAGGATATCAAATCGTACCATAGTGAGTTCGCTAGTCTCTGCCAAACTCCATGGCTGCATCGACGTCTGTACAAGAGTGGTATGCCAGACATCATGTTTTCTGCATACAGGGATTGTGTCATGTATAGTCAGAAGACAGAGCATAATAAGGGACTGGTTTATCGATCTCTTGAAGAAAGCATCGATACACTCCTCTCATTAGAGGCTATGACTAATGGCGGAGAGCTACTGGTCCGGGTGCAGTGTCTTTTGCTTTACCAAAGCATGCAATTGTTCGATCAGGATGTACGGCAGCAATGTTTGGCTGGATCAAGGATGAAAACGCTCGAACTTTGGACGGACGTACTAGGGGACCTACGGGATGCTTCACCTGAACTCTCAAACAAAACAGTCCAGCAAGTCCCTGTATGGGAGGTGAGAGTTCAAGTGCATTTCCGATCGCCATGGCATTTCTGACGCTTGAGATCACTAGTCGTGGATTTATGCAGAGTCTCTGCGACGTACGGTCATAGCCTCATATACCTTGATCACACTTCATTACATGTTGAAACAGGATATTCGTAAGTCCAACCACCCATAGCATATCGGAAGATACTCAAACACTACAGCCAGCCAAGGAGGATGGACAAGAAGCCAGCCCTGGTCAATTTGCCAGCAAGTTTGGTCCACTCAATCTTCTTTCGATTTTCTCAGTGTTTGGGAGCAGGATCCTCCTGTTACCGTAAGTTGTTTATTATTAGATGAATTTCTGGAGCAAGGCAAAGCGGATGCAGTCGATGACTTTGCTCGCAATATGCTTGTTACGTGAGTTTGAGAGGTCTCTCGGTCAAAGCTCCGGCTGATGTTAAGCAGTTATATTGGTCTCGACGAAACAAAGCAGTGGTTCAAACAGAGAGGGTCAACCTACTAAAAGGTACCGCGGACGCAAGAGACATTCATGTCCGCTTCAAATGGGCCGTAATCGGTTCGAATATCAAATTCCTCTATTTGACGTCGTCGAGCGATACTATGGTGCTCGGAAGTCGTCTCCGACGCCGCAGGTGGAACTCCGCTGTACTCCACCTCCACAAGCTGCGGACAGCAGCGGTATTCCGCACACCGCAGCTCGAATTGGTCAGAAACATGCACGCTTTGTCTGATAACCAAAATATCCGGACGTGTTCTGACTAATCAAATGCACATGATGCAGGTATAAGTCAACGACTTCCCTTCAAACAGAGTGAAGTTCTTCTCAAATTACACAGCATACATATACTCGAACGCCGAGCATATATACCACGAAATCCTGCATCACTATATCTCGTCTTGAAGTCTTCACGATGGTCAAGTTGATTGCGGGTCTAATGGGCTCATCGGTCGCTTCTGGCTCAGCAAAGTTGTCAGGGGTCGAGCAACTTCATTCATTCCTAAAGGCGATCAAAGAGTCAAACGTCCACGATTTGGACACTGCTCGTGTTTACAATTCTGGAAGAAGCGAAGAGGATCTCGGCAAGATTCCAGAGGCCAAAGATGAATTCTCCATCGCGACAAAGGCCCCAGGATTCTCGCCAGGCTCACTAGCGTTCGACAACATCATCAATAACTGTGCTGCTTCTCTTGCTGCTCTCAAGCAAGAACGATTGGATCTTTACTATCTTCATGGACCCGATAGATCAACACCGCTTGTAGAGTCCCTCCGCGCCATCAACCAGCTATTCCAGGAGGGAAAACTAGCTGCTTTTGGAATCAGTAATTACCACGCCACCGAAGTCGAAGAAATCCTCCGTTTGTGCGCCAAGCATGGTTTCGTCCGGCCATCAATTTATCAAGGTGGCTACAATCCTCTACTGAGAGCTGCCGACAAGGAATTGTTCCCCCTCCTACGACGTCACAACATCAGCTTCTACGCTTACAGTCCACTGGCAGGAGGTTTCTTCTCTCGACCGGTCGCAGAATTGCGCAACCCCCCTTCAGGAAGCAGGATGGAGCAAATGCACGTCTTCTCTATGATGTACGTCAACGACTTGAGCTTGGCTATGCACGAGCAATTGAGTCAGGCGTGCAAGAAAGAAGGCCTGACTTTGAAAGAAGCTACTTTGGGATGGATGATGCATCATTCAATGTTGGGAGCAGACGACGGTATCATAATCGGTGCCAGTACTCCTGAGCAGGTGCGGGAGAATGTGAGGGCATGTGGAGGCGGACCTTTGGCCTCGAGTATGGTGGAACTGTTCGAGGATATTTGGAGGAGATTTCATGGGGCTGGGTACTCTCAGCACTACTCGATCCCATTGTAGTAGCGTTTATGACGTCGAATCTCAATCGATAGCGAAACCCAGAATTTACTCACCTCTGCTTTCGTCTATCAAATCACACCGTTCATACATGAGTGTACGGTTTTGACCTTTGTGACACCAAGATTGACACTACTCCTGCACCTTAATACTGTGAGGGTGTGAGTACCGCTGTGGCAATCAGCGCGGCATTGGCTGCAATCAAGAATATTTGGAAATGGAAAGCAATATGATTAACGGTGTCTATTTATGCGGCAGTGCGAAAACGGGTCTAAGTCTATGGGTATAATGTATGTAACGACAAAAAAGCAATAACATAATATCCGCCTCTACGTCGTCCCATGCGAAATTTTGTTGGGCTCGGTATCTGAGTCTCGGGTGCTCAAGCTTTGTGTACAGCATAAGCGCTCTTGGTTCTGATGCGTGCGCCATAGATGTAAAAGACATATGGCACGGGCACCATGAGAGAACTGATGCAAGCGAGGATAGTAAGGGTATAGTGAACACCCATGTTTTGGTACCATGGAACACCAACCACAGTCATACCTCCAGCAGCAAGATAGCGGGTGAAAGTGACGAATGAAAGTGCGCTGGCAGCGTAGATGGCGTACGAGTCAATGATGTACATGTAAGCCGAGATGAATATGGTGATGACGCCGTATCCGAACAAGGCTGAGGCGATGATGGGAGACCAGATGGAAATGGAAGCGTAGTCAGTCCAGCCCATCCAGAACAGAGAGATGGGAACCGCAAAGGCTCCACCGAGCATGGCGAAGTAAAGTCGAGACTCGGGTGTGGGAGCGGGGTTCTCGACTCCGGCTGCTTCCTGCTTCTTGATATCCTTGACCGTCCAGGAGTAGATCAGAGGCAATGTACCTGCAAGAGGGAAGAATCCGACAAATACAGCCACCCAGATGATGTTGGTGATACCCTGAGAGATTCCGTAGGTATTGGTGAAGACAAACTCGAAGCCAATGAAGAAAGTGAACAGCACAATGTAGATGACAGTGAGATAGAGCGACATGAGCAGAATGATGGGCTCGGTCCAGATCATGGCGAATGGTCGGTAGATTGCGATCTTCAGACGAGTCCAGAGAGAAGTGCGGCGCACCTCCAAAGGTGACCTGTAACGATCATCACCTGTTTGCTCGCGGAAATGACGCGCCTTCCAGGAGAGAAGGAGAGGTCCGTATGTCTCGGGCTGGCCAAGAATGATGATAGCGGTGACGATTGCGCCGAGAATCAGCATGAGCCATTCACACCAACGCCAGCTCATGCCACTTGGACCAATGTAAGAACCAATGACAGGACCGAAGAGAGGTCCAGAGAAACCGATAAAAGCATAGACGGGGAAACCATAAGTCTTTTCGAGAGGGTTCCAGAGATCGGCAATTGTGCCACCAGCTACTGTCAGAGGCGTCGAACCGAACAGGCCCGCCAGGAAACGCATTGTGATGTGGCCACCGAAGTTGGGAGCTAGCGCACATCCAAGCAAGAAAGCCATGTAGATACACATGGTCACGATGTAGATGATGTTTCTTCCAAAGGTCTCTGAGAAAGGTCCTGCAAATTGCGAGCCGACAGCAAATCCAATCAAATACATGGCGGTCGCCAAAGATCCTGCGACTTCACTGACGTGGAAGTATTCTGCGTATTGGGGTAATACTGCAGCATCGATTGACGACGCTGCTGTACCTGCAACAGCCACAAGAGAGACAACTACTGTTGCCCACATTCGCTTGGCCGTCGACCAATTGTGCGGCTTGAGTGGATCATGAGCACCTTCCCATTCCACCACGAAAACATGGCCGTTCTCGCTCTCATTTGTCGCTCTCAGTCGTGCGTTGATGCCGGTCATGGAATATCCTAGAGCTGTTCGTTCCGAGTAATGCGTCCTGTGTGTCGGTGTTCTGGACAGATCGGCATTTTCGCTCTCGGTCTTGGTCAGATCGGCATGATGACTCCTGGTGGTGTGTATTCTGTTGAGCTCGTTCTGGTTGTCTTCTTGAGGATAAGAGTCCTCCATCTCGTCTTCGACTATCGCGTCGAGTGCTTCCTGATTCTCCTGTAATTCCTCGTCTAGGTTGGGTGTTTCGATCTTCTCGAGAGGCTGCCCGCCGAAGATTTGGGCTTCGTCGTATTTGTCCAGTCCATGTTGTTGTGTGTAAGCAGCAAGGGCTTTGGCCTTGTCTGAATCTCTCTCCAATTGCCTCTGGACCGCCTGCCTGAGTTGCTTATACTGCCGGAACGACTGCATGGTCGTGTGTGTGAGATGAGTGTGCAACAGGAAGACAAAACTTTTTCCGATGAATATTGAGCGATGACGAGGGTGTTTACATGACTTCGGGTGACCCAGATCGCTGGGCTACCTAGACTTATATATCAAAGCGCCACTACACCAGCGGTGGTCCTTCGGTCAGAGATTGCTGTGATGGGTAACGGGTAAGAGGCGCGTAAGACCCACTCTCACCGACCCCAGATCAAGGTGATTGTTTTTCTTGCTACCTCATCGCAGCAGCTTTGTGTTTGTTCTTGGATATTCGCCTTCACCATGACGCTGGCTTCTCTTAGACACCACATACACATTGAATACACCTGGTTGTCGGCTCTTGAAGTGTTACATGTTTCTTCAATGACTTGTTGGAGGGAGAAAAGTCGGGTTTGACGCAATCTACTCGGGCTCGGTACGATTCTCCGCCTGAAAGTTCCGAACTTTATTTTCCGACATCAACACCTGCATTCATCAACTGCATGCTGATTAAGGTGAGCCATTGATGTAAGCCTTGTGGATGTGATATGGAAGATCATGCTCGTTTGAGCACCTTGTAATCAAAAGCAATATACACCATGTGTTTGCTTTGTCCTGCATTATCGAGAAGTGCTACGAGTTAGCTCAATACATGTTGGAAACGCGGGACCATTTCGTCGACTCGAGATATCGTTTGAACTTCGGAGTCGTTCCCCAACGGCTTTTCGGACATGCCCTACTTCTGCAGGAGTCATCGCAAAGATACGGAAGATACCTACTTGCAATAAGCCTTGCGCAGAGCCCAGCAAGCAAGTTATTCTTGCGAATGAGTGGTTAGAGAAGGCGTTTATGGTGGCTATCGCGGATATTGCGGAGCATGGCTATTGCGGAGAATAGTCCTGAGGTGTCGAACCCTGCAAGACCCTTCGTGTTTCGTCGATCGCCTGTGAGTCAGCAAGGCGTGAGAATCAAGCTACGGGAAACACTCGGTCGAAAAGTAAGGCAGAGTTGCTGATGGAAACTGAAGGTTCATGATCCAGACTTTCGGTCAATACCTTTCGAAAGGTGACCCTGTCCGATGTGAAGACGCGCACGGACATGTGGAAGCAAATCTTGGCGGCACGTGCACCACGGGCCTTCGCACTCTGAACAAAATTCTCCCGCCGCCGCCTCCCTCTTGAAGCCGTCACGCACAATTCCTCACCAAAAGAACCCGATTCTCTTGGAAGACAGCCAGCATCATGTCGAAGATCACTGTCGCCGGAGTGCGCACCAACGTGCAGGAGCTCCTCAACTACTCCCTCAATGAGAAGAAGCGCAACTTCCTCGAGACCGTCGAGCTCCAGATCGGCCTCAAGAACTACGACCCCCAGCGTGACAAGCGTTTCTCTGGTACCGTCAAGCTCCCCAAGGTCCCCCGCCCCAACATGGCCATCTGGTACGATCTCCCTGGAATCTGAAAAGAGCGCGAGCGGAACAAGGTGGCTGACGGAACAACTTTCACAGCATTCTCGGTGACCAGCACGATATCGATCGTGCCAAGCACTTTGGTGTTGACGCCATGTCCGCTGAGGACTTGAGAAAGCTCAACAAGAACAAGAAGCTGATCAAGAAGCTCGCACGCAAGTACGATGCTTTCATCGCTTCCGAGGCTCTCATCAAGCAGATTCCTCGTCTTCTCGGCCCCGGTCTTTCCAAGGGTAAGCAACAATCGCATTCGTACATCTTCTCAAAGCGCATCTACTGACAAGTACAACAGCCGGCAAGTTCCCCACCCCCGTCTCTCACGCTGAGGACCTCTCCAACAAGATCACCGAGGTCAAGTCCACCGTCAAGTTCCAGCTGAAGAAGGTTCTGTGTATGGGTGTCGCTGTTGGCAACGTTGAGATGACCGAGGACGAGCTCATCGGTAACATCATGTTGTCCATCAACTACCTCGTCTCCCTGCTCAAGAAGGGCTGGCAGAACGTTGGAAGCTTGACCATCAAGGCTTCCATGTCTCCCCCCAAGCGCGTCTACTAGAGGACATTTATTTGTTCGATAGTGTGGTGTGTACTCTTTTTTGAAAAAGAAACGATCAATACTGTTAGCAAGCACGTAGATGAAAATCAAGATGACTTGCAGCACCCAATTGTTATTTTGTCCCACTGCTCGTGACATGAATTGCAGATGTTTGACGCACTTGCGTCTGTGACCTATGGTGATGTGAATGGTCTGACGCAGTTCACACTCGAGCAGCAACTTCGTCCAACCGAGAAGCACGAAAAGATGGTATGCGCATATGACGATTACCGCATCTCTGAACTTCGAGAACTTCTGATGGTTGCACATTTCAGAAATCTTGGACTTGCGTGCACAAATGATGGTATCACCGTTAAAGCATGACGTGCACAGCAGCATGTGAAAGAATATTCGAAGTTGAAATTTTGATGATTGGATTCCCTGCTGCAGAAACTACTTCTAGGCGCAGACTGAGCATGCGTGCGCAACTCCCAAACAACCCTCCAGTCTCACAATATCCAAGACCAGAAAGCCATCCGCAAGAAGCGACGCTGCTGCTCAAACTCTGCCGCAGAAAGAGAAATCTGCTTTGCAAGAAAAAAGTTTGCAATCCCATAAAAAAAAAACCTTCAACTCCAAAAGTAAATTCATAAAGTTGAAGAAATGTCGCAGCCCTCCCACACCTCCGTCGCACATTTGGCGATACACGCAGATGTTTTGGAAAGAGGGCCGACTTCCCTCTATGCGTCAGGGAACGATACGAATTCCATGAGGAGAGGAAAACACATAGCAAGCCACCGTAGTGGAAACGCAAAGTGACATTAGTCACCTACTGATAGATAGGAAAGAAAACACAGTTGAGGGCGAGGAGGTGCGAAGTTTTATAGGTACTGGTGGGTCTGTGCTGGCAGGGTGAGGTGATTATGTAAGCATGGAGGCTTGGCGGAGATGGGTGAGGAGGACACCCTGGTCTGATGATAGGAGGGGCGATGGCGAGGTTTGATGAGGGCTTGACGAATAATGATCCTTGGAGGTGGGTGGTTATGTTGTCTTAGAGATACTGACAGAGCTTAGTATCGTTTGGACCCATATTACGAGCTGTATAGTATCTAATCGAGAATATGATCAAATCATTCTTCAGCACGACTACGTCCCGTGTTCTGCCACCTCGGGTCACACCTTGGATACAAATCAGCGATAACGAGGTTGATTGAAGTCAAGGAATCGGTGCTCTCGCGGCGAGACATTATCTAGAGAACACGTTCGGTCGTCCTTCTGTATCGGCGACTCTAAAATCTTGTCGACATAATATTTTCCTCCAGAGTTGTGGTGAACGGAATTTTTACTTGCCCAACAGCCTTAGTAGTCACACATGAAACAGGAGCATATGAGATGTGGAAAGTAACGAAAGAAAGAGAAGTGGATAAGCGAGACTGCCTGTGGTTGAATCGTGATTTGAATACATATTCGTGTTCTACCATATGCTATTGAGTCGATCATCTCGGCGCGATCGAGATGAGTACTGCTACGAATTCGTTGACCTCGAAAGGCATTTAGATGCCGCCAGACTGCAATCGCACACAGTGCCTCATCATCCCAAAAGCACGGAACGTGTTTAGTACATCCCGACTGTCGAGTTTCTGGACACGACGCGATGTTGCGGTTGAGACATGGCCTGATGCTGTGATGCAGCGTCCGCACTTGACTCGGGGAGACTATGGTATCATGTGTCGTGTTGATATTGTGCTGATCGCTCAGTCCTCCCTTTCGACGGATGACGGACCCTGGAGCAAGCTCACGAAGCATAGTCCGGGGGTGTTGATCGCCAAGCGGCTTGAGTTGACAGTGTTGGGCTCAGAGACAGAGCTTGTTGAAGCACTGTTATCTGAGCCAACCCATGATTTGTTCAAGCATCCTTCATCTCCACCTCAATCTCCTGGCCTTTTATGCTGACGGCAGCAGTCGCGGCAGCAGCTTTGCGTTCGGCCTTTTTCTTCTGACGCGTCGCACCGATAGGGAAGCTCTTTTCAGTTTGGCAGTTCCGGCAACGAATGACAAGAAGATCGGCATGCGGTTTCTTGGAGGCTCTGCTCATGTTCTCGATACGCGTCTCTGAAGTCGTGTCTGGCATTAGGGGAGTGCTGCAAACCTTACAGATGGAACGCTTCACATCATGAGAGAGGCGTATCTGAGCCTTCAGCGAGACAGCCTTGAGCTGTGCAGCGAGCAGAAGAGGTAGCCCATGCTGTTGCAGCCCGACGTTGGCGTCGGTTGACCCAGAGCGTGCTATCGGGGGTCGATGCAGGGCGAGATGAGTTGCTGCTTGGTGCAAAAAGGCGATCCTTGCATGGAGATGTTTGTTGGGCACACTTTTCGCCTTGTCAGCAGAAGCCTTTGCCATGACTGGCCTTTTCCTGACGACAAGACAGGGCACTTTTGGAGCGTTGGAAGTGAGGAGCACAAGCGTCCGAGCTCGAAGAATCGTCACGTGGGCCAGCAATGCGGCCGGATGCAGCGCATTCCTGGAGAACTCAGCCAGCAGCTCCGTCCCTTGGTCCTTGTCACCATCGCCCAACACCACCCTTCCTTCAATCCATCAGCCCCGTCTGCTTTCTTAGCTGAATCGCCAGACCCTTATATAACAACCTCCTTTTCACCTCGCGACTCATTCGATTCGCGTCGCTTTTTACGCGCCTAACCCACCTTCGACTCCCTCACACACCCACCCAGCTTCATCAACATGTCTGCCGAGGAGGATCTCATCGACTACTCCGACGAGGAGCTTCAGACCACTGAGCCCACCGCCGCCACTACTGACGCCGCCGCCGCCAACGGTGACGCAAAGAAAGCCGATGGCGCCGCCCCTGCTGGTGCCGCGAAGGGCAGTTACGTTGGTATTCACTCGACTGGTTTCCGCGACTTTCTGTTGAAGCCCGAGCTTCTTCGCGCCATCACCGACTGCGGTTTCGAGCATCCTTCGGAGGGTTAGTCATTCTGAACATCATCATCCTATCTAGCGCGCGTCTCCATTGCTCCGATCGTCCGTCCATCTCCAAGCGAAGCTCCATTCAGGTAGAAAGAGGAGGCAATCTGCGTTGAAGAGTCTTTGTCAGCCACCTGGAGATATCCTGCGTCGCCAGCCCGCTTTGCGCTACATTACGACTGTGGTGCAGACCTGGGCTTGGTTCGACAGCTGCCGGAATCCAGAGGGAGAAAGTCATGCCGTTGAAACACGCGCAATCCGACAAAGGGCGCGTCGTTATGCAGTCTGACCTTGTGTCATTCCGAGTCTTGGGCCTGGCGCCAATTGAACTCTTGATTTGCACACCGGACGCGCCGCCTCCTGGCTTTGCTCGTGCACCTCTGTCATTAGACAAGTGCTTTCCATGGCCTTCTTTTGCTTTTGTTATCGCAAGTTCACTCGCAACTTCTGGACAGGAGATGGACGGACGCTTGCTTGATTCGCGCGAACACACACACTCACTACTTGGCAAACCGATTCTGACATAGCTGCGATATCCAGTCCAACAGGAGTGCATTCCTCAAGCCATTCTCGGTAACGATGTCATCTGCCAGGCCAAGTCCGGTTTGGGAAAGACCGCCGTCTTCGTCCTTGCAACTCTCCAACAGATGGAGCCCATCGAGGGTGAGACCTCGGTCCTCGTCATGTGCCACACCCGTGAGCTCGCCTACCAGATCAAGAACGAATACGCCAGATTCACAAAGTACATGCCCGACGTCAAGACTGCCGTATTCTACGGTGGTACTCCCATGCAAAAAGACATTGAGCTCCTCGCCAACAAAGAGACTCACCCTCACATCATCGTCGCCACTCCCGGTCGTCTGAACGCCCTCGTCAGAGACAAGAAGCTCCGTCTCGGAAACATTCAGCGCTTCGTCCTCGATGAGTGTGACAAGATGCTCGACCAGATTGGTAAGTCTGCTGCTCGCTCGATTGTCGCACCCCTCTAACCCGTCCACAGACATGCGCCGCGACGTGCAAGAAATCTTCCGCGCTACCCCCACACAGAAGCAGGTTATGATGTTCTCGGCCACCCTCTCCCAAGAGACCCGTCCTATCTGCAAGAAGTTCATGCGTAACCCTCTGGAGATCTACGTCGACGACGAGACCAAGCTCACCCTCCACGGTCTCCAGCAATACTACATCAAGCTCAGCGAGGCCGAGAAGAACCGCAAGCTCAACGACTTGCTCGATGAGCTCGAGTTCAACCAGGTCATCATCTTCGTTAAGAGCACCCTTCGCGCGACCGAGCTCGACAAGCTTCTCCGCGAGTGCAACTTCCCCAGTATCGCTGTCCACTCTGGTGTCTCCCAAGAGGAGCGGTATGTACCCTGATTTCTCTCACAAAGCCAACATCTTCTGACGTCCCCAACAGTATCAAGCGTTACAAGGAGTTCAAGGAGTTCAACAAGCGTATCTGTGTCGCCACTGACGTCTTCGGTCGTGGTATCGATATCGAGCGTATCAACCTTGCCATCAACTACGATCTTCCCGGTGATGCCGACTCGTACCTCCACCGTGTCGGTCGTGCTGGTCGTTTCGGTACCAAGGGTCTCAGTATCTCCTTTGTCAGCAGCGAGCAAGACCAGGAGGTTCTTAAGACCATCGAGAAGAGATTCGAGGTTGCCCTGCCGTAAGTTCCGCTCTTTTAATCCTCCAGTCTTGAACACCTTACTAACGTACCTCCACAGTGAGTTCCCCGAGGGTGGCATCGACTCCAAGAGCTACATGGCCAACTAAACAATTCCTTCCACGTTTGACGACATCAAGGAGAGGTTTCCACGGACAAAAATTTGAACTTTTGGCAAGCGATTGCAATGGGCACACGCGTGACGGTGTACTCTTATTAGCTTCTCTTTTTTCTTCTCTACTATTTAACGATTATCAAAAACAAAAACACGATTGCGTTGACCAGATTATTCCTTACCTTCTCGACTCCACGCCGCTTAATCTTTCTGTTCCAATCATATAGTCATCATAGTGAATGTCTCTCGCAGTGCTTCGTCCCCGATGGTCGTCAGCGCGAGAGCTTGCGACGACCGCTGACGAGTCAAGCCTTCGATGTACTTCCTAGCTATTCAACAAAGCTTGATGCCCACTTCACAAAGCACATGCTAGTTGATACATGCCGAGGCGTCCTCATAGCACGGGTTCCTGCTTTTCCCCTTTTGCTATAGGTCTGGGAATTGGTATCAAATGATGAGATTGAGATTATTCTTCTACATCTTCTGTATCTTTGACCTGCTGATGCCTTTGAGCAGTTACTGGCCTGTATAGAGTGGATGTTGGAGACTTGTAACGTCAGTGGCATATACATCTATCTTAGAGACCTCGAGCTGTGTTTGCAGATAACGATGATGTCTTTTTCGGAAAATGGGACAGCAGCGCAGTGGGGGTTATTTCACTGCTGCATGGTCTCTATATACGGGTATGTTTCAAGCGTTTTTGTAATTTCTGTAAAAGTGGGAGGTGTGTTGTTTGGAAGTTTCTTGCATGACCAAAGTCCAGCGAGGACTTTGCAGAGCCAAAATGCAACAAGAAAGTGGATTTCTTCGGAATTTCGAAGATGAGATATCGAGATTGATTGGGTATGGGTGTGAGTCTTCCTGCTTCTTGTATTTGGCCGCAAGCATCACAGTCTTACCAGCTTTTCACACCGATAGGCTCAGCGTTTTAATGGAAGGAGGGAAGTCGTATAAGATGACAGAAGTGTAAAGTTATCAGATTTGACATCTCGCATACGGCTGCGGAACGAGTGCTTATAGCTGGTACACTGGCCGGCTATTTCGAGCCACAAACCCAAGATCCTGAGAGTGGTTTGTGTATCTTCAGAGCCATCCTGGTGCATTGCTAGAGAGTTGAGTAAGATGTTAATTTCCGATATCTGGAAGGAGGTCGAGATCTTTGGCGTCGAATGACAACAGTTTGTAGTCTTGTCATAGGAAAGGAGGCATATCCAAGCAAGCCGACCTGGTTGTATGTTTGGATCGAGTACGAAAAGGAGACAAGCTGGCGACAACTCCAAAGCAAGGTCAAGCTGCGATACATGTAGTCCCCATATATAGTATCGAACCCGACACGGAACAAGTTGTGATGGCGGTGCGTACGGACGATCCGCCATTTGCTTGATTGAATACGCAAGTAACGCGTGCTGAAGAAGACATGTTTTTGTTTTACATGCTTCGATGTTGCTGCGGTATTGAATCTGCCATGACCGTGATATGAAGAAAGATGCACGCCTTCCGGTCTCTTCATCTTTTGGTCGCGTGTTGACCACTCTCGTTCAAGACTTGCATAAGAAGTTTGTTGACATGATCCTGGTGCTCCATATCACGGTTGGTATGCGTCTGTTTGAAGTTGATTTCGACGTCGGTCATCATGGTTGACTGGAAGGCTGGACACAGTTCGTACGGCTCATGTCTCTAATGTCTGATTTGGGGGCACCACGGGTAGTCAGACCAGTTGTAGTATATGTGAATGTCATGAACCCTCTCCTCGAGTGCAGAACTTTGTCAAAAAGCTGTAAAGATGCAAGGCAGTCTCGAGGTTGACATATTTGTCCACTGGCAAGATCTTGCTGATAAAGTCTCGCTGGAAACAATCCCGACGCAGAAAGCATCTTTTCACAGCCATGACCATGCCAGACTTCAGCAGACGGGATGGTGTTGGAAGTTACATTTCTTGCCGGATATTTCTCGGAGAGCGGTCTCTACCACCAATTCCATCTTCCGTAGGGTCGAGGTATTTGAGCATCCGCAAGGCAGCAACTCTTGCGAGAACGAGAAACAGCGACCGCTGTCCCAAGGTAAAATGTTGCGAACGATCACAGAAAAACGGCTTTTGTCAACTGTCAAGTCACAAAACCTCAAACTCCTCTCGGCAACACTTGTATCCGCGGCACACATGTTTTTTCTCCTCTGCTGTGGTCATGCCCATCCGGCACGGTGCGGCATGCAATTTTTAAAATTTAACAAGCAGGTTCAACGGTCCAACCGTTCCAAGAGGCGCAGAAACGCGGCGGCTGTAACCGGATGCCGGTACCTTTATTTCTTCGCGACCACTTACCAAGCAGAAAAAAAATAATGGTGTTTCTGTTTTCTTCATGCCCTGAGTGGATCAACCGAAAAAGGGACCTTAAATTCAGAAGAGTGGTTGCGGAAAAAAAGCTTGTCGAGCGGTTCCGTCTGGGGCCATACGAGCTGACAGTTCTTACCACGGTGATGTGCAGCGTGGGGTGAAGGAGCGAGCGTGAGTCCGCGTGATGGAGGGCATGAAGCAAAGAACCGGTGAGTGGCTTTCATGCTGGCTTGTGGATATGAATAGGGAAAACGGATGCCATGCGTATTCGCGCCGTATCGACGATAATCGTATATCGTACAGAGTGTGCTCGTTTGTGCGCGACATGGAGGACAGGGCTTCCTAGCAGGAGGGCTTTGTTTGTCGATGGGATGACTTTGAGGAAGATCATCAAGACCCATTCTCAATTGCATTGTCCGAGGACAGTTTCCATACTCGTTCGGTGAGTTGTGCGCTCACATGAGCAGGGCTTGCTTGTCAAGTTGTCAACATGAGTGCAACTAAAAAGGATCGTCGAGCGGAAGGTCAATCGCATTGTCCGCGTGCAGAAGCTGCTGCGTTCGACGTGATGGCTTGCAGCACAAGTTTGTTTCAGGACATTTCTAACTTGATGCCTGGTGCCTGTCTCCAAGACTTGGAGTCTTGTTTCTCCTTGGGCGCAGCTATGTATCATCGGCATTCCACTTCGGTTCGTTGCACTTGGTCTTCTTGTACTTTTCTTGTCGCGCGGCATCGAGGAACAATCTCCGTAGACAGCCAATGATCTTCCTCTAGCTGTCCCGAAACTCGAGCGATCCCCAGAAACTTGGTACTGGGGGACGGGACACAAAAGGAGATGATCTCTAAGCTCGAGACTTTTTGCAACAGTTCGCACCTTTGAACACAAGTGTGATGATGAGTCCAAATAAATCGATCAACACGCGGCTCTGTGCAGCATGTCATGAGAGATAGCATAACGCACGTTCGGATAGCACACTCTCCGTCTCCGAGTCAAGAACTGGTTGGTGTAGGTTCAGCCTTCTCTTTGAACGTCCGTAGTACGTGCATAGTGACGCTACTGTTTCGGGCGGGACGTGTACAGTATCGCGACCAGCCTCATGAAGGAAAGCCGGATGTTTTCTGCATCACAGGTTTCAGAGGGGATGTTTTTCTTCCTCGCTCTCCACGGTGCCTGAATCCACGTTCTTTGTTGAAAAAGCTTTGGTCGAGGATAAGTGGTGAGGTTTCAATAGCAGGGCTAACTTTGTTCAACGCCTATTTGCCGAGAACGATGATCTGCGGATGGGATATTCGACGTTCTTTACAATCGGCTGGGGGGCTTGGTGTTCATAACAAGATAGACCGTGCAAGGATCAGGAAATTGTGTGTGTGTGGCAGCCTCGACGTGGGGTTGAGGAAGGCCAGGAAGGCAGGCAGGTAGCCTTCTCATGATAAGAACATGAAGACTGACGACATCTTCGATGAGGGACGCAGCAAGACCATGGTAATGTCTAACTACTTATATATGCGACAGTCAGGAGTGTCTGGAGACAGCTCAAACAAACATCCTTGCCGTCGATGAGAAACAAAAAACAGGCACTCGCGGGAGAACCGAGACAAGAATGATGCCACAGCGGCGGCGTGGAGTGAAGCCGTGCGGTTGTCGCTCGCGCCTAGACCCAGAGCAGAAAAGAGTGTCGGGAGCCGGAGGGTTTTTTCCTCGCAGCACACGACGGTGGTTGCGAAAGGATTACCAAGTAAGGCGCTGACGCTGGCGATGACGCCGCAGAGCAGGCGCAATCAGAGCAGAAAAAAGGAGAGGTTGACGTCGTGTACAGAGTGCATTTGATGAATTGAGATGGGTTGCGAATCAGCGAAATTGGCAGTGTAATTGGCAGTCTAGAAAGGACGAATTAACTATTGACACCGCGGATGGGTTTGCGGGCGGGTTGACATAGCCCAGTGAAATGCATGGCAATCGTCCAGTGAAGCGAACCAAATCAAGGGCGGGCGCACTCCTTCTCACCAACTTCGGAGTACTACTGCCGTTCATCGTCAACGACACAGCTTCTCCTCATCTTTCGTCCGTTCTCACCCTCGCCTTCCTCTCTTGATTTTCAGAAATTTGTGCCTGGTTCTGAACGTCAACGCTGGCTCAGCATCTCACACTCGTTTGCTGTCCACCCCTTTCCTCCTTTATACCACGCCAAACACGCGCGCGTAGTTCCTCAGACCGTTTGGCCGCGTTTTTGGAAATTGTGACGCTTGGATTCGCTGTTTCGCTACTTCTCCGGCCTCGACACATAGCACGACTCTTTTGTCCTCAGCCACCGCCGTCTCACGTCCATCATCTTCCTGCGCTTTGAGCGTATCGCACCATGGCGCCCACAGTTCCCAGATTGCGCATCCTGTCAGGTCAGTAATACCGTCCGTCTCTTCTAACCATCCTTGCACTTGCACGCTGCGCCATTGGGATCGGGTCCACTTTTCTAGCTCTCGCAAATATCCATCACTGCCCATCCCAGCCGCTCTGTAATTGCACTTGCTACGTCGTGGCATGCTCCAGGCATACGCAGCACGAGCATTGCTCTTCTCTTGATCTCCCTTCCTCTTTCCGTCACGATCCGCCAATCCCACCATGGCTGCCGACCAAGCGCGACAGGAGCAACAGCTCACTAACATACTCGTAGTTGGCGGAAATGCCGTCTCTGCCTTCATGTCATGGAGACTCTCGGCGACCAACGCATGCGACGTCACCCTCGTGTGGAAGAACGGCTTCGAGAACGTGTCGCAGTACGGCCTTTCATTCAAGTGAGCCAATACCATTGCTACGACCCGCAACCACCGCTGACCATCTCAGGTCTGCTACGTTTGGAAACGAAAGATTTAAGCCCAGACAAGGTCAGCACATGCGCCCGGCGTCATGCATCGAATTCCCACTAACACAAGCCGCTCATAGTCGTTCGAACTCCTGAAGAAGCAGCAAAGACATCGAGAGCGCCGTACGACTACGTCCTCCTGTGCGTCAAGGCTCTCCCCGACGTTTACGACATTGCCTCCATCATTGAGTCGGTCGTCGCTCCTCAGCACACATGTATCCTGATCAACACAACACACTCTCTCGGTGTCGAGTCGTATCTCGAGCAAAGATTCCCCACAAACGTCGTTCTGTCTCTGGTCGCTGGCGCCGAGCTCTCACAACTGGGCCCCAGCGAATTCGAGCACAAGGGCACGGCCGAGATCTGGGTTGGACCTGCCAATAAAAATCCATCGATCCCTGCGTCGATACAGTCCGACATGGCTGAGGCATTGGCTATGACATTGAGCTCAGGTCAGGTGGACTGCAAGGTGTCGACTAACATCCGACAGCAACAATACGAGCGCATGATTGGGTAAGTCTCCCTTCGAAGCCTTCTGACCATCCTCTGACCATGTTCTGCAGCCCTATCGCCTTCCATCCCGCTAGTGTCTTGTTCGAGACTTCCAACCACGCCGAGCTACTCGAGAAGACTGGCGCCCGCGCAATGATTAGCGGCATCATCGACGAAATTCTCCTTCTTGCAAAGTCCCAAGGCTGCGACTTCCCCGAAAATTTCCGCGAGCAGACTATGGAAGCCATGATCCAGCCCACAGCAACACCCAGCACTATGTATCAAGACTTCACTGCCCGTCGACCTTTAGAAATCGAGACCTTCCTCGGCGCTCCCATCAAGCTCGCTCAAGACGTCGGTGTTCCCGTTCCTCGCATCGAGACGCTGTATGCTCTGCTCCACAACGCCAACACACTGAACCAATCCCGCCCGCCTCCATCAGCAGCTATCGCCCCGCAGCCTACCCCCGCACAAACACCTCGTATGGGCCCTGGTCCCATGGGTCCTGGCCCTAATCAGCGTGGCCCAATGAACGGCCCCATGCCCGGCCATCCCGGTAGACCTGGAATGATGAGACCTGGAAGCAGAGCTCCTTCGATGACTGGTGGCCCACCTCCCCAAATGCGCAGAGGCCCTTCAATGAACAACGGCTTCGGTCCACAGATGAGAATGAACGGAAATGGACACCGTGGTCCGCCTCAGCAGCAGACCCGTCGCCCTTCTCTCGAAGGCAATGAACTCGAGGAATTCAGCCATCTGATGCTTTACGACAACTTGCCAGAGGGCGCTCTGCCCGAGGGTGCCATTCCCGAGGGTGCCGGCCCTGGAGGCGAGATGGGACTTCGCGAAAGAGAATTGGCCCTTCGTCAGAGAGAGCTGTCTCTGAGAGAGCAAGAGTTCCACATGAGACGTCGCATGCCTCCTCCCCCTGCTTCTCACGCTGGAGGTTACGAAGAGGATGACGAAGACGGTGAAGACTTTTTTGATCCTATGGCTGCAGGAAGAAACGTCCCGGTCATTGACCCTGATAACTTCGACATGATGAGTGTCACTTCAAAACGCACCCGCAAGGCACCAAGCGCCAACCAACTCCGCAACAACCCCGAAATGGGAGGTCCTCAGATGAGAGGAGGCGGTGGAGGTGGCAGAGGCATGTTCGGAAGGCCTAAGGTGCAAAACCGAACCAGCGCCAGACTGATGTCAGAAATTCCCGGTCTGCACGAAAACCTCATGGGCAACCCGTTGCTAGGTTACTCTTCGGACAGATACGGAGGTGTTGACCGTCACAATCTTGGACAGGAATCGAGAACCAACTCACTTACTGCAGAGCGCCTGAACGAACTTTCAAGAGGCGGTCCCCCGGGACAAGGCCCTTACCCTGGCCCGATGCCCCCTCCGATGGGCCGACGTGCAAGCAACTCACCCGGACACCCTCTGGGACCTCCAATGGGACCTCCAAGAGGACCCCCTGGTCAACAACGTCCTTACCCACCAAATGGACAGAACGGATATCCGCCACATATGAACGGCCGGCCATCACCTCCTGGTGTCATGGGCTCGCCGATGCAACAACGCCCACCAACTCAACAAGGCCAAGTGCCGCAGCATGTTGAACAGCAGAACGGGGTGAGCCATCTCTATCCGCCCAAAAGCGGCCCTCAAGAACGCAGTCTGACAGGTTCCGCGAGCGCTAGCGCGGGGAGTGGTGATAGCAACCACTCGGTGCCCCTTGATTCCGACCCATCGGCCCACAGCAGCTCTAGCAGTCTAGGACCCCGCCCACCCCACGGCTTCCGATAGATTGCTGGCATCACGAAGGGGTCTCACTCGCCGAATGTGAGGGACTCTGCATCACAGCTTACACAGCTCATACGTGCAGATACTCCACGCTCATGTCCAGACCTGACGAACTTGATAACCGATCATCTCTTTTCTTCTCCTTTCCGACTCTCTGCATTACTTGATTCGCAACATCACCGCTCCTTATGTCGTCCTGCAAATCAATAACAAGATCGACTCGGACTTCTTATTCCCTAGGTCCAGACGACATGGATCTCATAGACGGCGGCTTTCCTGGACATTGGCGTATTTCTTAACAGCATCTGAACAAATCGCACGTACATATCTTCCACTTCAGCATTGGCATGCTGTACCGGGCCTTTTCGACAAGTTCGCAAACAGACCCTGTTATGCCAGGGCGACCAGATACTTGGCATATGCCTCTCTTCCGGTCTTTTCATGTCGTTCTCATCGCCGCGATGCATTTTCTTTTGTCTGTGTTTTCTTCATCTGCGCTGAACGATTAGCATCCTGGAGAGAGAGGGAGGAACAGTCTCTTTTGGTCACTTTTCTTGTCCACCCGAGATCAAGGTTGGACGGCATCACCGTGTAATATCTTTATTATTTTCGCATGCGGAGGGAAGAGGAAAATAGTATGTCTTTTGTTTCTGTCCTGAAATGGATCTGTATGGGTTTGAATGGACTCTCATTGCCTTTTGTTTTTTCATTGTCTGTTGTCCACAACGCGCAGGACATGCGTGTCACTGTGGCACGAATACTTCTAGAAGGAAGTAACTTCCGACCAAAATATACTCTTACCTATGCGGCTCTTCTCGAATTTCTCTGATACTCCGATTCCCCTGACTCAGGCACATGTGATTCACAGCGACATCGCCAATATTTGCTGCATGATATGGGATTGCCAAGCTGCCTCGTTTCGCGTTTGAGGCATGCGACGATCAAAGCTTTTTATCAGATCATCGGCCGCTTTATCAGATCGGCCCATTTTAACGAGTCTTGGATCCCTCGTCCGAACTCTGCAGTGTTGTGAGTGGACAGCTACTACGACAGCTTCCGGGTTCTCACGTCTTGCTGCTCAGCACGCCCTGCCAAGTAGATATAGCGTGCGCTTTTGGCACAAAAGAGCCGACCAAGTTACCTGATAGTTATCTTATGTCTTGCAGAGGTAGGCCGAAAACGCGTCGACCCATGGTCAAAGTACACTGCTATAAGTATGGGCTCTGCACCCTTGTGGTTTTTTCTGAGGTAGGGATCTGCTTTTGTAATTGATCGAATTCTTCCATTCCTCGTGTGAGAGACTATTTCCGACCATGTCGCCGCCACAACATTTCATGGAACAGCTCGACCAAGAAAAGAGGTATCCTGCTGCTACTCAGAATCAGGAAATCACGGACGAGACAACAAACTCCAAGGATGGCTATGACAAGGAAGCCCGAACGGTTGTCACTACTCTGGATGATTCCTCTGTCAATTCTTCTCGAGATCCGGCAAACACGCTCCCACCTGTGCCACTGCAGATGAAGCTGCTTAGTGTACTATTGGTTTCTTGCATCGGCTTTGGATCTCAGTGGAGCAGTGGTGTGTCCTCAGCCATGAAATCCACCATGAAAAAGGTATACAATCACCCCTCTTCAAGCTTTTTACGCACCACTAACTTTGTATACAAAGGAAATGCACATTAACAATACCCAATTCTCCCTCCTCGAAGCTAGCGAAGACTTCATGTCCTCAGCTCTCATCCTTCTTACGGGCATCTTCACCGACCGTCTCGGCGGTACTGGTTGTATTGTTTACGGCAACATCATCTATACCATCGGCTCCATACTCATCGCTGGCGCCGCCGAAACTCGCAGCTATAAATTCATGATTGTGGGTAGAGTGATTGCGAGTTTTGGAGACATTGCCACGCAAGTCGCGCAGTACAAAGTCTTTTCCAGTTGGTTCCCTCCTAGTCATGGATTTGCTAGTACGCTTGGATTCGAATTGGGCATCAAGAAGGTGCGTTTGAGTGATAGCTCTTTCCGATCGATGCATTTACTGACCCTCGTGAAAACAGATTGGTGGGTTCGTTGGTAAATCGACTGCCAACATCATCGCCAAGGCAAGTTTCTCTCTTGTCTCTTTCGGAAAGGGAAGGAAGTACTGACGAATTACAGAACTGCGGTTTCTCGAGCGTCTTCTGGACAATGGTCGGAATGAACATCTTTACAAACCTGGCAACAATCCTTCTCTTCTTCCTCGTCCGCTTCTGCGAAAAACGCTACACTTCTATCGCTGATCCGGCTACTGGCGAAAAACTCACCGAGAAGAACAAGAAGGTCGACTTTAAAAAGGTGCTTGAGATGCCATGGCCTTTCTGGTGTATGATTGCCTTTACCATTTTCCAAACTACCACTGCGAATGTGTTTTCGCAAAACGCGACAGAGCTTGCTGAGCAAAGATTTAATGCCGATTCTATCACTGCTGGTTGGTATACTGCTGTCTTGCAGTATGCCGGGTTCTTCTTCGTGCCATTGTTGGGTGTCTTTATTGATATCTTTGGTCAGAGAGTTAGTGCTATGGTTGTCTGTGGTGCTGGATGCTTCCTTTCCATGGCTTTGGTCTGTTGGGCTCCTTCTATCAAGGGTACGGCTGCTGCATTTGGCATTTACGCATTCGCCTTTTCTCTGGGCCCGACCGTTATTATCGATGGTATTAGGACGAGTATGTGGCATCAAGGTGCTTTTGGCACAGCTTATGGCATCAAAGTCACTATCAACAATGCGTAAGTCCTCGCCTCAAAAAAACAAAAGACTGGACCAAGCTAACAAGAATCCACAGCATGTCCTGTATCATCCGCATCCTCACCGGCGTAATTCAAGACGCAGACAACAACTCATACCACCGCGTCGTCCGCGTCTATGCCTTCTTCGGCTGCGCCTCTCTCGTCGTCTCCCTGGCCATCCTCACCCTGTCATTCCTCTCCCCTGATCTTGGCCGTCTGCAATGGTCTCGTAAGAAGAGAGTTGCAATGGGGGCTTTCATCCAAGAACGACTCCAGAGATTCGAGACGGTGACGAAGCAGAGGAACAAGAGGATCTCGGTGGCGTGCTTTGGGTTCACTATGTTGGTCATGCTTGGAGGGTGGACCGCTTACTTCTGGGGTGTGGCTACTGGAAACAACAAGTAAATGGCTTGGATTATGGATATTACACATATACGGGTTCCGGTGGAGGTCGAGGTTTGATGTCTATCTGAAAAAAGGTTTGTATGATTATGATGATTTTTTTTATCTTCCGTACTGCTTCCTGGAGTTCACGTGTGTTTAGCTCAATCTTTGTCGCTCTCGGCCATCTCCCAAGATCGTAGATGGAAGTCGTCGAGAGTAAACGTGTAGAGGAGCAAGGTCATAGTCACATGCGGAACATTACCGTGAGAGAATACTCAAGCTGCCAGTGAGTTTGTTCGGCGCAAGAAGCCGTATCCTGCTGCTACCACGGTTTAGTCTTCCCTCACTGAATCCACATCATCACATGTCACTCTCGAATTTCATCAAGAAACATATCGATGTATCTCTGCCGGAAGGGGCATTTGGAACATCCGCAACCCACACTGCTCTCACCGCTATATCAAGATCAAGCATTCTCTTGGTGGTCGCTCTCTGAAGGCTTTCAATGACGACGCAGGCTGAGAAAAGCCGCAGCGGACGTTGGGAAAGGCAGGGCGAGGTCAAGAAAAGGGACCTTGGCGCGGCGTCGATCGTGCCCCAAGGTGCGTCCAGGCAATCGTTCTCATCCAATAACTCCTCAGTACACATAAACACGTCCGATGCCACCAACGTATCTTTTGGACCAATGGTCACGCCCAGCAGTCCGATTGGAAGGTACGCTCGGTCGCGACCGCACGGCAGGCCAAACGAGTGCCCGGTCGACACATACGTCGACGCACGCGCTATTTGGTATTCACACCTGTATAATATCCAGCGTCAGTCTGCTGTCTTCTGGGCATGACAAAGTCTCGACGCGCGTCTTGGAACGCTGCAAACTAACAAACTACGTGCAAGCTTCAGGTCAGAGTCTCCAGCTTCCAGTTTGGTTGTAGGGGCGTCCCTGTCAGCCCTCGTCTTACATGCAGTTGAAAGCCCCGAATCTGGATATCACAAAACGCATCGATTTGGCCCCCACATCTACATCTAGATGACTATTTATTCTGTTGACTCCGGGCAAGATACGCGGAAACATGTACTGGACCTTCCGGAAGACATGGACGAATCAGGTTCGAGTGGCTTTGAGGTGAAGCTCGTAGGTACCTCAACTATCGAGTAGGCCCGTCGTCTTTAGGCTTCCTGCCTTGAATATGGCTTGAAAAGCCATTTTTGGTATGCATAGATATATCAGACGCAGCTCTGTGGCGTATAGTTGCTACGGCACCCACCCAGATACCCGTCTACGCCTTGTGGTAGAACCAGGTCACGCTGCTCGGTCGATGCACTCAACATCATATCGGGCTTCGACAGGTGCAAAGTTGGACACCTTCCTCCGGCTAACCTGCTCTTACTATTCCTTAGGTACATGTATGTACTCTATATTGTTGTTGCTCCTCGTTTCATGACCAGTCATGCCCGATGTTTGCTCGTGATAGCACAGCCTGATGCTCAGCTTTCTGTCCTAGCACATCTTGTCATCGTCCTCAAGGCATACACAATCTTCTTCTGTGGCAGACTCATATGAGCTGACTGTTTGAGAAGTTCTCCTCCATTACAGCTATCGAGACAACGACAGTGTTACAACTTAGACACGATAACATTTCGTCATGGTCCTGATCTTGGAAGATATCCAGATTGGATGGATATGTGCCCTGACAATTGAGGCTTCCGTGGCCCGGCTCATGCTCGACCACGTCTACAACGAAACTATACCGCTTCCCAGACACGACGACAACATCTACACATACGGTCGAATCAACTTGAAGACAGGAGACGGGTTCCACAATATCGCTATCGCTCAACTGCCTCTAGCTGAGACGGGCAAAGCGTCCGCGGCGACTGTGGCTAAGGATATGCGACGCACGTTCCCCAACATCAAGTTCGGTCTCATGGTCGGGATAGCAGGAGGTATATGGAGTCGTGGTATCGACGTACGGCTTGGGGACGTCGTCGTCGGCGTGTCAGATGACAACGGTTCCGGCGTGATACAATATGACCATGGCAAATACCTCCAAGACTCGGCATTCGTTCAGAGGGGTGTGATGAACAAAGCCCCAAAGTTGCTTCGCACTGCTGTCGGCATAGTCCAACGCAACGCAACCACATGTGCAAAATCAGAGACTATGTCACTAGTTTGAATTCGCCAAAGATCAGAAGATTTGCTCATCGACCAGGTCAGTGCAACAATAGTTTCATAGCAGCATGTCCTCGGAAGGGTCACCGCCTAACTCTGATTATAGCGCACGATTTTCTTTTCGAACCCAGGTATACCCACAAGGTCAAGGGTAGATCTTGCAGGTATTGTGCGAGTGATCGGCTACGCAATCGACCCAAGCGGTCTTTTACCTACCCTGCCATTCACTATGGGCCCATAGCTTCAGGAGATGCGGTCATCAAAGATGCCCTGTTCGCGCAAACGATTCAAGAGAAACACGGTGTTTTGTGCTTCGAGATGGAGGCTGCTGGTCTTGACGCATTTCCGTGCCTAGTCATCAGAGGTATATCTGACTATGCAGATACGCACAAGAATGATGATTGGCATCCTTATGCCGCCGCGGCTGCCGCCGCGTATGCTAAAGAGGTGTTGGCAGTCGTCCCTTCAACGGCTGTTGCGCAGCTGCCCTCGATTGGTTAGTCCTCGTGTCTACATTGCTCCCATTCGTCATTCGGTAATATGCCAAACAACGGTGGACTGGAATAAGGCTCACGTTCCGTCATAGCTGCCTATAGTTATTGCCACCTTCCCATCTCCACCCTCTTACTACCCACCGCCCTTGTCTTGTCGCTAACCTTTTCAGCAATCCGAAGCAAGAACCTCCACACCGGCCCCGCCTACATGGCCAGCCTACGCGAACAAGAACAAATTCGCCAAATGAGAGCATCCCAGAAGCCTAAGCTTATCAGCAAGAACCTCCATACCGGACCTGCCTACATAGCCAGTCTAAGAGAGCAAGAGCAGACCCGTCAGTACAGAGAGTCCAAGAAAAGAGGCAGAGGGGGTGGCTGCGCCGTGATGTGAGAATGCCTAGCCTCAGGAGGAATGGCCGCTGTGGGCTACACAAGGCATGAACGATGCGTTCGCAATAGTCTTTCGAGTTCCTTTGAAAATTTTCTTTCTTCTTTCTTCTTTTTTTCTTTTTTGAACTCTCATCATCGTCTCTTGACCTCTGTTGCCTCCTTCAATGACGAGTCCCTCAAGCTGAACAAAAACCTCTTCATGATTGTCACCGTGTTCATGTAAGGTGAAAGGATCAGTACTTCACTTCTGCAAGACACCCAGCTTTCAAAAGCTGCAGTCACCAATAAATAGCAGGATCACAGAGGCCGTACACATTACATGTCATGGGAAGACGCCCACTAAAGCAAAATAAAAAAACAATAAATTATCACCGTCAAGGATCGAACACACGACCAGCAAAAGGAGAAGGCCGCCGACGCTACTTCTCCCGATGCGTTAGCACAGGCTATTCCCCTCAGGCCAGACGTCCTTTGGACTCCGCTTTCTCCTGAGTAGGTGAAAGGGAGGCAACTTTTGATACCTATATAGCTAGACTTGGGTTGTGAGTGAGTTGATTTTTTGTTTTTGTCTTGTGGCTTCACTTATGTGTGTAGAGATCCTAGGATATTGTAGTCGTCACCTGGGCGATTGGGGGCTAGGAGCCAGAGTGTCTGGATTCCATACGTCCCGTCGAGTATGCTTTCGTACTCATTGCTTTCTTCTCGTTTAAGAAGCTCTCTCACCTAATGCTTCCACATCAACAAGACTCATCCTCTTTTCGCTACAAGCGCGTTGCGTGCTGGCGATCTTTCTATGAACGTCTTTGTGAAGATCGACGATAGGGTGTATAGTCGTGTTCATCTTCGCTGACTGTACCTAGGATCTATGCCTTGAAGGCGCTTAGATATGCTTGATAGTATTCTCTCGCTTGGGTTTTACTCTCATTGAAACGCTCACGATCCATGAGTCAGATACTATGCTCCTTCCTCATAGGCTTTCCAAAGCTGTTGGCGTTGCCGCTAGGTACTTCTCCCACCCCTCCAATGATATGTTTCGCAAACATACTCGGTGAGTCACCACATCACAAGACTGCTTACTAAGCAACAGCTCTAGCCACCAAGTATATAGAGCTCCCATCCTCCTAAGCTCTTTCTCTCGATTCATCGCAGTCACCTATGATGATCTTCAAGCCCGATTGTCGGTGCTGGTAAGGTTGACTTCGGTCAGCTTCTACCGGTATCGAAATCGTGGTGTTGTTGCTGAGGAGTCACTGCTTTGAGGGATGCCGACAAGATGGAGGTGGAGGGTGATGGGCGAGATGGAGTTATCATGTAGTTGCTTATGATGATCTCAAAGCTCGGGACGGGGGTGATTGCTGAGGAGTACTGCTGGTGTAGGTCGGGAAGGCGAGCGTAGTGCAGACCGTGGGTGAAGTAAGACTTGTTTCGCGATTGCCTATGCTACGAGCCACATAATCAATGCTGGTACTGCTGGTTGCAGTCAACTTTCATCGGTATTGTAACTTGGTAGCATCATTGAGGGACCGCGCTGCGAAAGTCGAGAAGATCGCGTGGTCGAAAGTGCACCTTTTCGCTTCTCCGAGGCAGGCTGTTGTCGGCGTAACAGTCGCTTTAACTTGTCAAGGGATGCGCCAGCTCAGCCATAGAGGCCGAGAAGGGGCGGTCGCGAGGCATGGGAGACTTATATGGACCGATGGCTTAAGTGCTGACTGAATTAGCCGTGCGAGGCAGACTCCCTAAGACAACTAAGCCAGATCAAAGATATTTTGCCATCGAAGAAGACTAAATGAAAGAGGACCGTACATCGTCGAGCAAACTATCGATGAGCTCCTCATTAAGCTCTGCAGGGGAACCCTCTTCAAACAGACATCCGTAGCGGGTAACCATGTGGTCGTTCTCTCCCTGCTCGTCAGGGTCCTCCATATCTTGTTTTTGTGCTTCCGCCCAGATCTTGAGCTCAATGCCTGCTTCTTTACACATTTGCTCACAACGACCTTGGGTAGCGGTCCATTCTTCAAGGCCTACATCTTCTTCTTCTTCTTCTTCTCTCGGATGTGTGGGCATCATAAACCCGGGGAACCATGCCGGGCGATCACTTCTCCACCGCTCAGGTACCATCATGAAATGTCCAATTCCAGCAAGTTCGATGTATCTGAGATTGGGAAGGTCTTTGTAGCCTTGATTGTCCACAAAAGGTGAGAGAGGCGCTATTACATCGTCTTCGCACCAGCGAAGAATCAAACTCTCGATGGAGGCAGGAAGTAAGTCTGAGAGAGTAGGCTCAGGGTCGTGCGTTCCAGGGATTGGAAAAAAGGGGTGATGGTTCATCTCCAATGACTTCAACTTCGTCAATCGACGAAGATCGAATAGGTTGTCGGGTAGGTTGCGGAATGATTTGCCGGGGATGATGAATTGCAACCGCTCGAGTGTACCGGAAACTTTTACTAATTCGTCAATGAAGCTTTGACTGACATCAACAAGCTCATCTGTATACTTCGAATAGAGAAGCTCCAAGGAGCGCAGATTGCTACAGCCTTCCATGATAGACCGCAACCCAAAACTTCCTATCTGCATGTTTTCAAGGTGTAAATCTCTCAAATTGTGCAAAGGGACATGTGGATGCGCATAATCTGGGTCGAGATCATACCAACATCCGTTAAGAGAGCAGGAAGTAAGCGTGGGTATAGTAATCATGCTCAGACACTGTGAAATGTCTACTATGGGAGCTCCTGTTCCATGCCGTAGGGTTATCTTCTCTAATCGTGGAAGTATCGATGAGGAGTGCGAGTGCTGGGCCGCATGGTATCGATAGCTGGGTACGCGACTGGGAGGCAGCCGCCCATCTGACACGAAAGAAACGTTGCCGAGAACTTGCCCGAACAGGCTATGCAAGTCCTGACCAAAGGTTGTGTGAGGTGTTTCAAGATCCAGTACCCTGAGATTGGGCACCAATGTCAATAACAAAGCAAGCTCCGCATTATCCGTACCCATTGCAAGATTGTGACGCCAGTCGTCGTGCCATTTACAATTTTCGGATTGAGGGTCCGGGCGAGCTATCTTGTAACTTGCGGCTACAAGAGCGTCCAGAAGGTCGTCGTCCCGGTAGACAATGCCATGATCGACTCCTGAGTTGTGGCCGGTTTCATCCTCTGAATCGGGCTGGATGGATGGAAGGAAAGTCAGCAGCCGAATGGAACGCATTTGACTTGCAAGGTCTGGCCGATCTAGCAAGGTGCGCAGCAACTGCTTCAGCCGCCTAGGTTGTATCATCTTCGGGTCAAGCCTGTTGACCTCGCTATTTGAGCTGATATCGTATGTCCTGGAGAAACAACGGTGTAGTACAGGCTGAGCGAATCTGCACATGGATCTTGATGCCAGACATAGGTTAGAGAGGGTTGTGACAGCAGCCTGCCAATCTTTGAGTTTCTCTCTCGGCGTATAAGATTCGGCAGACAATTGCTCTGCGATGCATACGATAACTTCGTTCGGAAGTGACAGCATGTTTCGCAATTTCAGAGCTTGGGCCAGTTCAGTTGAAATGCGATTGTAGTTGGTGACTGGTAGGTGTCTTGCAAGGAAGTCGTGACCTGCTTCGGCGGTGTCCTCAGGTTTTGTCGCCTATCACACGTGACCTCCGAAATTGGCCCTCGAATACTGGGAGTCCATGGTGCTCATATTGGTTATGCAAACATAACACGCCCGTGTTGTCAAAGATCTGTGGTGATGGCGTCTGTCGCTCGAGGCGGTGAGCGGCTGGTCCCTTGGATGTCCCTGCCTCAAAGTGCCAACAGTTCGACAGCTTGTGTATCTCATGTTTCTATTATTTTCATCAACACAACCCCAATCTACAACTAAATACAAATGTTGCATGCTGGCGCTATATTGTATATGAAACACGAGTCGATCCTTTGCCGACTTTGTCCCTCGTGCCGCCGGTCGTGCGAGGCGCCAAGTGCACGGGCACAAGTCAGACCGCACAGAGACAGCAAGAGACCATTGGACCACCCAGCAAAGTCATCGCACTTTTGTGTTCCGCAGAGAATGCGAGCGTAGAGACTGTGTCTCCCGAACATGCTTGGTGAAAGAGAGGATGTAGATGAAGGAAGAGGCTGATGCCGGCGGCACCATCCTTCTGCGGTCCAAGTTAATCAATTTACATGCGCCGTGCGGCCTGAAGATCCAGCCTCATGCAATCCTTCGAGTCGGGCAACTGTGGGTAAGAATGGTCGTGAGTCTTGCTTACGCTCGAAGTTTTGTCTCCTGTGGTCCCGTCACGGAGGAAATTGAGTGAAAACTCCTTCGCCCAGTGATGAATTCACCCCATCTCCATCCAGGAATGCCGGGCAGCACCTGCAATGTTCACAATCATGAGTTGGCGGACGCTGAAGCGAGTTCGAGACCATCGACGGTCACTCTATCGGCCAGTCATTCTCTACGAGAAACAACCGTTCAGCACGATGAGGTAGAGCCGTTCCTCGACGCAGACGATGAATCATCTCTGAGTGCGACCAAGAACACTGCTGTCACAATAACGGAGGCCTTGTCAATGCCACTTCAAAAAGCCGACTGGCTTCCAATGACTCTACGACTCCCATATCTGGCTTTTCTCATCGTCCTGTCGCTCGTGCTTGGAGTCGTAGTATCCGTCCTTACAGCCTTGTCTGCCCAACAGCACGGTTTGGGAAATGACAGAGATTCTCCAACCCTCTTCTTTGGTTGGCGCTTTTCTCCAACTTTGGTGGCTACCATATATGCACTCTTGGTTGGATCCATGCTCAACGATGTCCGAAGAACGGAAGTCTTCGCACGATTGTCTAGACCTGGAGGTGCCACTGCTGCTCATACACTCTGTTTTCCCGCAAGATCGTGGTTGCATGACCCTTTCGATGCCTTGAACAAGATTAAAAACAATGGGGTTCGCAGCCTAGCCTTGTTCTCGGCTTCCTTGGTCAACATACTGGTCCTTCTGGTAGTCTCTCCCCTATCTGCTGGTCTCTTGTCCCCGATCGATGTCACTATGTCCAAAGATACAGCTTTTCGTGGGTCTAGTTTGGCCCCTGATGCTGCTTGGCAGTCCGACACTTTTGATTCTGTCGTGTTCCGCACTATTGCAGGCTCAGTGCTCAACAAGTCTACGTCAGCATGGGTCAATCCTAAATCTGCGATGTTACCCTTTTGGCCATCTGATGCAATTGCTCCGTCCGGATCAAGTTTCGCTGCCGACTTTACTGCTCAGCAATGGAAGTCAGTCACTACCGTTTACAAGTCAGAACTCGATTGTGTACCCCTGCATCTGCACAATATTTCGTCGTATACCATCAAGATCGTAGGGGCGGGAAGCACTATCATGACGACTACAGAGCTCGGCACATCGGACGGATGTAATATCACCATAACGGAAGACGAAGAGTCCCTTGAGGGTTATCATGGCGGTTGGTTGCCAGAAAGTCCTCCAGATCCAACATCCTTCCTTGGACAGTTTGGTACTTGGATACACTCCGGAAACTGTAACAATCGCTCAACGATACTCGTCAAGTACCATGATGAAGATACTTTCTCTTTTAACGGCAGTATATGCGCAGGCAGATACTACTCAGCAGCAGTAAATGCTACGGTAGAGATCAACGAAGCATCGACCATGGTCAGTTTTGATGACAATGAATACAAGAGCAATCGCAAGCTACTGGACCCTAAGCAACATGATTTCCCACATCTAGAAGATACCTTCCTGAACTCAAACTGGTCGAACAAATTCTTCAGTACAGTGATCTTGGAGACTCCTGCATATACTGGCCCTCTTCTGGCCATAGCAGCTAGCCCTGACTATGACAACAATGTGGAAGTCATTCTGAACAGCGCAGTGCTCTTGGAAAGAGCGTCGAGGCTGCATCAACAGTATTTCGGAGAAATGTTGCTTCTTGCGCTTGCTTCAACAGCCACTGATCTTGATTTTGGTGAAGTTTTGGTTCAAGAGAGACGAATATTTGTGGTGTCAAGCATTGCAATTACGCTAGCAGCACTATTGTTGTTGTCCTCAGTCTGTGTTATGGTTGTTTTGTGCACTACCAGACTCAGACGACGCCCGCTGCATCTATCTCACGACCCAGGAAGTATTACCGCCGTTGCGTCCTTGATTGCTGGCGATAAGGTAGCCAGACAAGAGTTCGACGGCACCGACAAGTTGTCAAACGAAGACATGATTGCATTACTGGCGAAGCGCAGATTCGCAATCGAACATGGAGGACTGATAGCCACTGGCGACACAAAATTTCACCCTAAACATGGTAAGATAATCCTTTATATCAGGCTCTCGAGAACAGAATTCATCATAATGCAAAGTGTTTCTGGAGTACGGCGAGTTGTCTGAAGAGAGCTAGAGCTCTTGCAGGGTGGCTTGGTTTCACAGAATCACTACATGCACGCTGAAATCGAGATCGCAATTCTGTTGCAGTGACCTGTCATCAAAGTCCATGTTGCTGACACTTCACAGAACAACTTCCGTCAGATAATTCTGATCCTCGGCCAGTCATGATTCGTATCTGGATGGGCACTTTACTGCTGGCTATTCTCGCTGCTCTAATCGCCGTACTCGCGGTCTTGTACAACCTGTCACGCACAGGAAGACTCAGTCAAGCTCTCCTTGTGGATCAGCTGAACATCGATGTACTGGAGCTATCGACAACACTCACTCCGTTTTCTATCATACCGACACTTATTGCTGTAGCCGTGAAGTTGTGGTTCAGAGCCTCAGCTGAAACGTTCAAAAGGCTGCAGCCTTTTGTTTCTATTGCCGACTCACCATCGTCCACATCTGACTCAGTCTCGGCGGAATACGCTAATACTCCAATTGCATTGGCCTCCATCAAAGCTCTCAAACATTCGCACTGGATCCTTGCTCTGATAGGAGCTGGAGCATTCGTTACTGAAGCATGTAAGGTAACCCTTTCGTGATTCTTAGTTCGGGACTAACAATTACTCTCAGTCACGGTAGGCATGTCAGCTTTGTGGGATCGTGAGTTGCAAGATACCTCCCATACATTCAACTTGTCTCGCCAGCTGGAGATACGAAACTCACCGCAGCTTTTCCATCATCCTCGGGTACACACCGCTCTGTCAGCGAATGAGGCAGTACTCAAGTCAGTCTTTGACGCCTCGCTTCAAAACTGGCTTTATGGTGCTACCATCGAGCTCACGCAGTCCGCTTCAACGCCACCTTGGAGCAAAGATACCTGGAGTTTTGTACCTCTAGACAGCCAAGTCACGCAAGAAGCAGCATCTGGGCTCAATAGTACTGGTCGTAACATTACCTTCGAGACACCTGCAATCCGTGCTCGTCTTGAATGTTCAATTGTTGATTACGCATCCAACGAGTCGGCGTGGCTTGTCGAGACAGACTTCGGGAACAAAACGGCGTGGAACCGCACAAATGCCCCTGCTGGTCTTGACCATGGCTACTATCTGAATGATCTCGCTGCCAGAGGTCCAGGATTGAGGACGGTAGCATGTTGCGCCAATGAGACACAGCAAGGATTTGGAGACGCTGTGGTTGGATACTGGACGGATACTTCGTCAAGCACAATCCCGCTCTCGATGCAAGCCAAATGGATTGTTGGACGTCCTCTGAATGAATCGTATACCCAGAGTCCCACCGTGCATGGCGGCATAGTCTACGACAGGTGGATCTGGCCAGAAGCTCCGCAGATCGCAGCGATTGATTGTGCGCCGATTATTGAACAGGCAGAAGCTTCAATCATTGTCGATTTCGAGACGGGATTGGTTTACGACTATGAAATCTTGGGAGCTCCCCAGAATGCCACCAAGGCCTGGACTGACTTTTACTTCTATCACGGTGCAGATACCAGCCAAGCAGCACATTGGCAAGAAAATATCACCACTAGGTAAGCATGATTTTTCTGAGTTACATGAAATAATACTGATGGTTGTAGTTATGGTTACATATTCTGGGATTCTCTTCTGACAGCTTCGAATGCAGGAGCTCTTGTCAACAACAAATTGCTCTATTCAGCGCCAGAAGACCTTTCCGATGGCATCTTCAACTTCCGCGGACCAGGTCTGAACACCGATTTCATGTCATATTCCATGCTCGCCATGGCCAATAACAGCAAGGAGGCACTTTTGGACCCAAAAACTCTGATGGATTTCGCCAACAAGACATTCGGTATCTTCTTCAAACACTTTGCTTCGGAAGAAGTCAACAGTACCGCAGGTGGCCGCGTATACCAACCAATAGGAGAAAAATTACCTTCAGACCTGGGCCCCGTCACCTACGGAAGCAAAATCACAGCCAACCAAGGAGCACTAGCATTACAAAACACAATCACCCCCACGCCAAAGGACACACAAGCCAACCTCATCATACCAATCGAACAACTCATCATGTCACCCATCGCCTTCTTCTTGTCAATCTCCCTCTTGTCATTCCTCATCCTCACCACGATAATCATGTACTCTGTTAATCGCACTCGTTACAAAACACTACCTCGAGACGTCGACACACTAGCCAGTATGATCGCTTTCATCCACGGCAGCGAAAAACTCCTCGCTTGGTCGAGAGATTCTCAGCATTCGGGTGCTTGGTACAGATCTTGGACGTCGAAATCTCAGCCCGCACAGGACAGAGAGATGAAAGCTCAAATGGGCAACTTTTATGATCTTGAGGGGAGAGAGAGGTGGGGTATTGAGCTTGTTGGTACGATGAATCCGCGCCCTTGTCAGGCAGCGCGAAACGATAGCTCGGAGGTGGATATGCAAGAGGTTGGAGATAACTCGAAATCAGAGATGCAAGATGCTGACGACACGAATGCTGATGGTGGGGACAGTTCTGGAGTACGCTCTGCTTTGCTTGGGAGGTTTGATTGGGAGGTGCGGAGGAAGGGAGCCATACGGAGGAAGCCAGTGTCGGAGTAGAAGGTTGATGCTTTATACAGATGCTGAGATTGTGTCTCCTTCCTGACGATGTCAAGAGCCATGAACATTTGGAGAGTCAAAAGTTTAGTGTTCCATTGGACCCCTCTTTTCTTTTCTGCACACTAAATGAGGCTCGAAGTGATCGTTTAATTATCCACTTCGATGTCCGCACCTTCCCTGTTTACTCTGCTCCTCCTCGCTCCTTTCCGTCTGGCATCAGTTTGTTCTCATGCAAATGATCTCTTACGAGAGACTTGAAACACACAACAGGGCTGTTACACTATACGGCGCACTTGAGATAGGCACTGGACAAGAGATGTAGTATCATCATATCCTTGGACAAAAGAAAAGATGTAGTTAACGTGATCTTTGATATCTATTCGTCACCATCTATCCCATTACCAAACCCTCAGCGCTTAGCTCCAAAACACCCACACGCACAGTACTGATCATGAAACTTCATGTGCTGTCTCACAAACCATCCGGTGAACCATCTCTTCCTACAAGGTCTTTGTGGTCCAAACTCCGCTCTGCAAAGTACCTCTCCCTCATCAGCTTCTCCCTTTCGCCACACACTTCCCGTACCCCTTTTCCTGTTGTCGAGATATGCAAAGTCGCAATCGCAGTTGTGGAGTTTACGATGACTAGCTAGAGCACGAGTGGCGTTCTCGCAGTTATCCCGGATGTAAGTCATAGGATCTGCGTCCGGCTTTGAGAAATCATTGTTGGTGATGCGACGGCGCTTTTTCTTGTTTCCCTTGCTTGGAGGAAGGAGAGAAAGTGGTTGCATGGAGCAGACAAAGGAGATGGAAGGGCGGGTCGGGTCAGAGGCTACGCCGTGTTCGATGTGTGGTTGTTGGATGTTGTTTGATGATGGACGAAGGAGAAAATAGTAGTCGGATTTGCAGCGAGTGTTGTTGGTCGGATGTCTCAAGAGCGATGGCTGTCGTGTTGGTGGATGAGAGCAGTCTTCTGGTGGCTCCGGAGAGGTGGCACCGGAACTGTAGCCAGAGTCGCTCGGAGCGTAGTCTTCCAGAAGCATTTCCATGGCGCCATATGGCGGAGGTGCTTCTGCTACACGCTGCCTCTTGTTGCTGTTTCCATTTCTGAAGTTCCTGGGTAGTGTTGCGTAGTGTGGATATGGTTTTGCTTGGGGTGTGTCGTAGAACGTCATTCCTGAGTAGATATCATCGCTGAAAGACTCGGCATTTGAATAGTTCCATGAACTTGAGCGATTGTTGGCTTTGCTTGGACGCCTAGATGCCGACATGACTGAGTGTGTATGTCCTAAAAATGTGATGTGTGAACGAGTGGAAGGTTTACTGTGTAATGCGAAAGTTGGGCAATGAGACACGATGCTTAAATGTATCCCGACGAGCAAGAGTGATGAGAGCAAAGCAGCTTCTATCAAGCAGGGATGTCATAGTCTGACGTTACTGTAGCTTCCAGAGCTACCACCGGATACCTGGTTGCTCAATGCAGTCGTCAGGCAGGATGATCTGCCAGGGCCTGTTGTCTTGGGCACCAAGCATGAATTAACATGTCCTTCAGTCGTTGCCATGGAAGGTGATTGACAGAATAAAGATGCTACGCAAGGCTGAGATCGAGTTGACACGATGTTCGGGAAGCAGCGGTCAGGCCTCCGGGGCCGGGCTGTGGCAGGAGCGCTGGACGCCCTGAAACCTAAATAGTCAATCACCCTCGCAACGCAAGAAGAACCAAACATGCGTGAACTCGCGTTCACAGGTAACGGTATGTCCTTTTCGGTTGGTTATCTTGTAGATCTGAAGGTCGTCGGCAATTTCTGTCGTAAGAATTCGATTTATCGGAATCCGATGTTCTATCTCACATCACAATATGCAGCTCGATATTGTCGAGTACTTGGGCATTGTTACTCATTATTGCATCTATCGTAGGGTATCTATCGTGTATCAGTTGGGCTGCATCGCAGTTCAATGTTTCACCAATTCTTTCCCAGCAGCTGTTCACCGACTTCTGAGGCGACCTTCTCCAGATCTTTCACTCCCTTGAGCTTCAGAACAGCCGCCTTTGCATCCATCGCACTGCATAAATCGTGCAATTCTCCACCTTGAGGGGCGCAGTAAATGAGGTAAGCAAATGCGAAGACTGCTGTCTTTAGCATATCTGTGCCGGTAGTATCCTTCTTCTCCTCTCTATTCTCAAGCTCCGTGGTCATCATCTCCAGTAGACTAGCAGCCAATTCGACCTGCGATGACTCCTGCAGTGCTTCACGATTCTCTTCTCTTCGAAGGCGGTAAACCGTGGCTGCAATGTTGAAAGCAAGCGATGAAGCCGCAGCACGAACGGCTGGCTTGTCTGGCTCGGCAAGCAAGCTTGTTGTAGCTACCTGCACGAGCATTGAAGGTAGTCCGCTATTGCGGTCGTTGCTGAATGCCGACTTTGTGAAGAGATCCGAGGTGAACAGATTGCATGCCAACTGGATTGTGACAAGCCTGAGATTGTAAGGGCAAGTATCATCATTGATAAGAGTCAAAACATGGTTGATCAAGAATGTGAGAGTCTCTGAGTCTCCAGGGGCCGACTCTTCTGTGAACCAACCACTCACTCGCTGGTCAACAAGTGCACAGCGCAGTACGTCGTATGATGTGAACAAGGCGTCAGCTGGTAGTTGACTAGGTGATTGGCGTAACCATCGCGCAAAGGCAGGAAGATCCGGTAGACCGGGAAGGTCCGATGTATTAGAAGTACGAGACGAGATAAAGTTCTTCAATGCAACAACAGCCGGATCCTTTGCTTGATTGCCCATCTTTGCGAGCACCTTGTCGAGAGGAGGAATCTTCGAGTATGTGATAGGGCTGAGTCTTCCGAACTGTAGGGTAGGTACGCGGACTTGTAGATGAGGATGGGGAGGGAAAGCTTGCTGAAGAAGAGATTCAACATTTCCCTTCAACTGGGCAGGATTGGCTCCAGTCCATTCACTATCCTTTTTGCCATGCAGGAAAGTCATAAACGTCGGGGTTGCCCGAATCTGATACTTGGATGCAAGTGCCTGGGCTTCGTTGATGTCGATCTTGATGAAGGGAACCTGCGTATGCTCGGCTGCTAGAGAATCGTATGTCGGATAAGCCATCTTGCAAGGTCCACATGTAGATGAGGTGAAGAAGATGACAGCACACTTGTCCTTTGCACCAGCAAGGAGGTTGTCGACTGACGATAATTGCGTTACATTGTACACAGAACCGTGCACACCATCTGCTTTGGATGCGGCGCTGTCACGAACCTCGAGTTTCTTAGGATGCTTCTTTGGCGTCTGTTCCGATGTTTGGGAAGAAGCCTGAGTGTCGCCATTCTTTTGGTCGCCACCTGCAGCGCTGCGAACTTCAAGCTTCTTCGGCTTCTTCTTCGGCGGCGTCTGATCTGAGCCGTTCTGCTGCACTGCAGGTGGAGCAGAGCTGGAAGCAGGAGCGGCAGTGCTGTTCTGACTGCCCCGGTGAGCGTCGTCTCTCTGCTGCTTACGCTCGCGCTGAATCATAGGGTTGTTCTCCGGTGGTACAGCGGCTTGAGTAATGTGCCTCATCTCTGCATCAAGACGCTGCTTCATCATAGAGCCGAACGGAGTGTTGAGCACGGTCTCGGGCAAGGCAGTGATGTGGTCCGGAATGCCTTTCCCGACTAAAAACATGGCGAAATCATTGGAGAAGTTGTTGCAGTTATGCTTGAATAGATCATAGGACTCGGCCGTGTATGTCTCTTTTAAAGAGTCGAGGTACTCCAGAATGTCGTCCAATTCTAGTTCGGTCTTTCCCATTTTGGTTTTTTCCATAGGTTGGCCATGATGGGTGGAGCCGGGGTAGCAAGTCTGAACGCCAGCACCGTAGAAGTACTCGACGCCTCCAAACACCAGAGAAGTGTGGTAGACAGCATCAATGTGTATTCCCAGCAAACCTTGCGACATCATTCTCGCAAGTCCTTGACTCAGGTCATACACGTATAGTTCGACATCCATCGTGTCTGCGATTGGGAGAGTGTTTCGAGGGGGAATGTACTGATGCGAAAAGTGTATCGATGGGGTTTGCAAGTATCGAGCTCAAAGGTTATAAGGAGAGAGCCAGTTATGTAGTTTTATAAGAACAAAAGCGTGGAAAATGCTGGATGTTATTGGAACTTCTGGAAGTCTGCAGTGGCGGCGTCATCAGACAGGAGCCTGGCACGTCGGCCGGTTTTGGTCCGTGTCACCGACTAAACATCTCGCGATAGAAACAAGCAAAACCATCAGGAGGTATTCTGCATTGCGACAACTATTCAAATGTTGATGAGATCGTTTCCGAAATGATTGACGCGGGCGCCACATCGGTACGCAAGCAGGTCTTGCGAGGAACAACCTCCACTCAATCGCGACGGCTCTGCATCAAGTTTGGATATCTGAAAGCTATGCTACAAGAGCGATATATACGTCCAAGATCATTACACAAACCACACATGGTTCACTGAGCAAACAAAAGGCCTCCTGAGGAGAGTCAATCCAGACTCATGAGCAATCTGGCGGCGGACCAACGCAGGAGTGTTGAACTTGGCGGCGACGCCAGAGAAGGATCAGGGGTCTCAAGCCTTGCAAGGTCGACGATAGTGAAAAAGGGGAAGGCAGAATGGACGAAGAAAGGGAGGATATTGATGTATATTTTGGCTTTGCCCGCACAAAAGGTTTCAATCTTGAGAGACAACCTTGTCCGAAGCATCAACACGGTGCTGCAGGGAGAAAATTGGCAGACTTTCACCTCCTCCAAAAATAGTCGCATATCTGGCCAGAAAACAGTTGGAACATCCCCACAAAAACATCAGCGTGTACTGCTCCGAGTAGTCAGCAAAAGTTCCATATGTCGAAGAAGAGCGACGACGTCAAGCAACGACCCAGCCTCTGGTCCTATATCAGTTTTTCATCCTCGCCGCGGCGACGCACTTCGTTCTCGTCGCATTCCCGCACACAGAGCCAGTCGATACCCCTGGCTTCGTCCAACTACGACCCCTTCGCGCCTACAACAAAATCTAGTTCAATGCAGGAAAAGGCCGGCTGGATGAATCAAGGTCAGCGTATGCGGTACATCAAGACGGGTGGCATTGTTGCTCTCGTCTTGTTCGTACTCTACTACTTGTTGCCCGGCTCGACACCGTCAGTAGGAAAGTTCCCCGGCGGCGATGTTGCCTCAGACCCGTCTGTCGGCACTGCGAAATGCACCCGCTCATACTCGGCCAATAAGCCTTTGATCCAATACGCTCTCATGGTCGATGCCGGCAGCACTGGCTCGCGCATTCACGTCTACCGCTTCAACAACTGCGGTCCTACCCCCGAACTCGAGAATGAAGACTTTAAAATGACCGCTACAAAGGAAGGAGGCTCCGGGCTGAGCTCCTACGACTCGGACGCTGAGGGCGCCGCAAAGAGCTTGGATATGCTGCTTGAAGTCGCCATGAAGAACGTCCCCGACAAGTTGAAGGGCTGCACTCCGATTGCCGTCAAGGCCACGGCTGGTCTGCGCAAGCTCGGTCCTGAGAAGAGCAACGCCATTCTGAAGGCGGTGCGCAATCGTCTCGAGACCGTCTACCCCTTCCCCGTCGTCAGCGAGGCAAACGGTGGTGTCGAGGTCATGGATGGCAAGGACGAAGGTGTCTACGCCTGGATCACCACCAACTACCTCCTGGGCAAGATTGGTGGTCCTGATAAGAACCCCACTGCCGCTGTCTTCGACCTTGGTGGTGGTAGCACTCAGATCGTTTTCGAGCCCACTTTCGCTCAGGCCAAGGATGGTGGTATGCCCGAGCAGTTGGCTGAGGGTGACCACAAGTACAAGCTCTCTTTCGGCGGCCGCGACTTCACCCTGTACCAACACTCATACTTGGGCTACGGTCTTATGGCTGCCCGTGAAAACCTGCACAAGGTCGTCATTGACAATATGCACAAGGCAAACCCCGACTCCAATGCCTGGCTGAGCAAGCCCGTCCTGAATCCCTGCCTTATTCCAGGCACCACTCGTGAGGTCAAAGTTCCCCTCGGTGAGGGCCACGCTCTTGGCACATCTGTCACGGTTAACATGACTGGTCCTACTACTGGCTCTGCGCCTCAATGTCGCGCTATTGCCGAGCTGACTCTGAAGAAGGAAAAGAAGTGTACCATCTCTCCCTGTGCCTTCAACGGCGTTCACCAGCCATCGCTGTCCAAGACCTTTTCCCGAGAGGACGTTTACCTCTTTAGTTATTTCTACGACCGTGCCCAGCCTCTGGGTATGCCCGAGTCTTTCACACTTTCCGAGCTCAAGGATTTGACCGCTCGTGTCTGCGAGGGACCCAAGAGCGATTCCAAGGCTTGGGATGTGTTCAAGCCCATCGATGGCGCTATCAAGGAGCTCCAAGGCCGTCCCGAGACCTGCCTGGATTTGAACTTTATGGTAGCGCTTTTGCACACTGGATATGAGATGCCCATTGATCGCGAGGTCAAGATTGCCAAGAAGATCAAGGGCAATGAGTTGGGTTGGTGTTTGGGTGCCAGGTACGTTTCTCTCGATATCTCAAATCGTCTTACCAATATTGACATGTCTTTAGTCTTCCCCTTCTCAGCCAAGAAAGTGGATGGAAGTGCAAGATTAGCCAGGTCGCATAGACGAAGCAGCATGATTGCATTTTGGTTTTTTGGTTCGAGGCGTTGCTTACACTTTTCGGTTCATTGTACTCTACGACGATCAAGAAAACGGATAGATCTGGTGGGGTTTGACCTAGATTCTCGGAGCTCGCATGATCTTGTCATGCCTTACCTACTACACTCGCAAATACAGCGTGTTTCTCTTCTACTGTGTTATTTCTCTTCATCACGAAGACTCATGTCGGCATATGGGCATGTTTGGCTTCTTTACGGGTATCTCTAAATTTTGTGTGTTCTACGAATGCATCGCATCGCGTCTATGCGTCACCCTGCTCCTCGATGATCTTTCTGTTCAGGTTGATATCATGGAGGATATCCTCAGCGCCGAGCTCGACCAATTTCTTTGCGACATCCCAGCCAAACTCATCCGCCTCTTCTCTGTTAGTAATGCGTCTCTGCATCTCGGTCTCGACGTGCCTCTTGCCGTCCAGACTGACAACGATGGCGCGCATGATCAAGTTCTCGGTGAACTCGACGCCGCTCTCCTTGTGCTCGCCCTCGTCCTGAGTAGTGCGTCCAGTGACGGCAACACCGCTGAATTTGTCGTACTCGGCTGCGGGCTTTGCGCCGACACCAACACCCGTGCCGACAGTAGTGCCCAGTGAGGTCTTCTTACGCACCCACTCGGTTTCAACACCAATGGGTACACTGCAGCCACCCTCAAGAGTGCGCATCAGACTGCGCTCGGCAAGACAGGCACGGGTAGTCCACTCGTCACCGACAGCCGAGAGCAACTTCTTGACGTCCTCGTCGTCGGAGCGGACTTCAATGCCCAAAGCTCCTTGTCCCACTGCATGCAAGATGCCACCCGATGCACTATCGAGGTAGCTGGTGATGCGCTCAGACATACCCAGGCGGGTAAGACCTGCGGCGGCCAGGATAAGGGCAGTGTATTCGCCCTCAGGGTTGTCGAGTTTGGCGAGACGAGTACCGACGTTACCACGGACGTCTGCGAACTTCAGATTCGGGTATAGGCGCTTGAGTTGGGCGGAGCGGCGGACGGAGGAGGTGCCAATGACGGAACCTTCGGGCAGCTGGGCAAGGGATTTGTAGGGAAGAGTGGGCTTGACAACGAGGGCGTCGCGAGGGTCTTCGCGAGGGAAGATACATCCAATGCTCATTGAAGGAGGGAGCTGAGTGGGCATGTCTATGCTGTGTCAGTTTCAATTGCTCATGAACGAAGGCAGGGAGCTGAAATAGTTCTACCCTTCAAGCTGTGGACGATCAAGTCCAGATCGCCCTTCTCGAGCAGAGCTTCAAGCTCATGAGTCCAGAGGGCCTTTGCATTGAACTCGTGCAGAGCAGTGGTCTGGTTGTTGTCGCCCATGGTGCTCATGGCGTGGATCTCATACTTGCGATCCGGCCATGCTTTGCGCAGCTCCTTGCACACGATGTCAGTCTGCACTCTTGCGAGGACAGACTTGCGCGTGCCAATCTTGACCGGCCCTTGTGTAGATGTTGCTTCGGTTGCCATTTTTGGTTCTATGCTTGTGAGAAGCAATTCGATAATCTTCAATTTGTCTCGGTGACGTGCACGGCAGCACGGCGAAGCATTCGGCCCCGCCATCGGTGCTTGGGCCACCGCTAAACCGCCGGCCTGCCGAGGCTCGCTCCCCTGCCTTATGCATGTCCATGAAGTTGAAGGGTCGTCGGCAGCCTCGTTCTTGGATTTCGGACTGGCTTTGCATCCTTCTCGGGAATAAACAGAGTGGAAAAGATACGAGTCATCGTAGTCGCTGCCTGACGAAATGATCGCCTGCCGCAGCCAAAAAACACCCTTCAGCCTCACGCGGCAAGGCACCAGCAGCCTCAGAAGGATTTAGAGCCTTTTGCTTAGCCTCAATCTACCAGCAATCCGGCTTGGCTCAAAGAGCTTGGTTCGTTACCGTGTAATGGAGAAGTGAATATATAAAAGGAAGGTCCAATGTGACAACCGTTTCTTTGTGGTAACTTCCTTTCGACGGTGCAAGATTGAGGCTCCTCGTGGAAATTCGACACGCCTCATCTTCTCTTTCGTCGCCAATAACATCTTTACACATATCAGGTGTTTTGTTCCTCCCTCTGCAACAGTTCATCTCAAACAAACAGTATGGGCGACGTTCTGATCAACCTCGCGAACGAGGCCATGTGGCATTCGAGTAATCACACGAGCAACAACCCTGTCGACGATAGCAACAGCAGCATTGACTGGATCTGGGTCTTGAAGGGTCTTCTTCCCATGATCACTATCGCTCTCGGTTTTGCAACAAGATCTCTCGTAAGTACGTCTCTTTCCAGTTGATACGCAGGAAGCTGACGACACACAGATGGATCACTTCTTTCTGGTGATGACTACACTGGCCGAGGTCGAGAGCCCAATTCCTGGCGGCGTCAACTCAGACGACATGGGATCAGAGAAGTACGGCCTCCTTGAAGCAAGCAGCTACAAGGACAAGAAAGGGAGATCAGCCTTCTCCACCGAACCACACTACGTGACCTCGAGTCTCCGTGCAACCATTCGACTCCTGAGCGCCGAGGCAGGCGAGCTTAGCATGTTCAGAGGAATCGGTGCCAAGGTGTGCATCTACACCTTGATGATACCTGTGACCCTCGTGTGCGAATTTCTTGCATATCGTCTGCCATTCGTCAAAAGCAATAGCGTTGCTGGAAGCATCGCAGGTATCGCCGCTTCTCTCATCTCATGCCAGATGTGGGCTGGGCTTTTGCACATCATCATGTCGAAGCAACAGTTCAAATTTTGGTTCCGTCGTCTGCCCTTGTCCTGGTTCAGCGTTCTACGCCAGGTTTGGCTCGCTGTTTTGCTCAACTGTCTATCGGATGACATTGTCGAATGGGCCTTCGGTTACTTTGCTCCTCATACCGAGCCCGGGGCCCCTATGGTCAACAGTCCGAACCCAGGAGAGCCTAAGCAATTCCAAATGAGCCATGGCCCTATGGTCAAAATCGGTATTGCCATCCTTCTTTGGGCTTTCGTCAAATCCATGCTGCGCTCGCAGATCAAGCCCTTGATCAAGATGGCCGTCCTGAAGCCCATTCAAGCCATTGAGGGTCGCGTCTTGTCATCCATGCTCCCCGACGATGCAGATCCAATCATCCCTATTGACCGCAGCTTCCAAGGTCGCCCTCAATCTGGTGGTATCCTCCAGCAGCAGCCTCAACCCTTAAGCTTCATGGAAGCCGCTCGCACCATCAACAAGAAGACGTATCTCCGACTCCTCAAGCTTGAGATCAAAATGCACTTCATCAGCCAATTCGCTCAGTGGGCTTTCTGGACACTGCTCTTCGCCCAGGTCATCTACTTCATCGGCCCCAGCTCCGTCTGGCTTGTGTTGAAGCTGATCATGGGTACCCCGATAGTTGAGGCAGATCTAGAGCGCGTGCAGGGCAATGCAACCAGAGCATTCTTTGACAGAGTGATTGCCGATTCTGCCAACTACACCTCTCCTACATTTAATGTGACGTTCCCCTCTATCGAGTCTGGCATCTAGTCTACGAGCAGATACTGATGGCTCCAATCACTCACTCCACTGATTATTTGCAGAACTGAAAGCACTTATGCTCGCTGAAAAGTAGATTAGCTTTCAATCATCAATCGTTCCACTGTCCCATTTACGTTCACGTAGTTATCACTGTAGATATCTGTCAACACCATGATCGTCAAATGCATTCCATGGTACGACCGCTTGCTCCAAGAACACTTCTGTGCCTGCAGAAGTCGTTTGTCGTGAACAGAACCACGTAAAGTCTCAAAGACCCGACAACTTTATGGGCCGGTTTCCACTTTGGTCCGGAAGATAGGTATGCACTGTCGTTGTTCATGAACTAATCATATATCCCATTATGTAGTTTCCTTGATCCAAGCAAGCTCGATCTATCAAGCGACCCGACATCGATATTAACATTAATAGCTTGATCCTGTAGAGCCCCTTCGATCTATGCTCTTGATCGTCACATCTCTCGCCTTGCTCGTCCGATTGATAAACTCGGCGTTGAAGACATCATTCTCATCGTACCTCGTACAAGCGGCCTCGTAGTCCGTCTCGAACCCAGTATCCAGAAATCGCTTGATGACCCGTTGCCTGCCCACATCCGGATCGATCTCCACAAACCATCGCTCGTTGACCATGCTTGATATCCTCGCCCAGGGTAGATCTTCGCAGAGTAGATAGAGACCTTCGAAGATGACTATAGAGGCGTCACCTGCGACGTTCAATGCATGACTGTCGACATCCTCCACATGTAGCGCGAATGGTGATTTGATGTCGTTGGCCTCGGTGGTTTGTTTTTGTATTTGCTGGACGACATCCACAGCTGCCGCTCCCTTGAATGTCCATCCAGGGCTTTTCGGTAATATACTGCTGGTGTCGTTGTGTGAAGCTTGAGAACATCCGTCTATTGATATTACGGAGCATGAGACACCGCTTTGGTTGACAAGTTTGGCGACTTTGGAGGCGATTCGTCCTTTGCCTGATCCTGGTGGGCCACCGATGGCTATGAGAAGTCGTTTGTCTTGTTTCCTGGATGCATCTGGATCTGGTAGTTCCTGGTAGCAGGCCAAGGCACGCGTCGCCAGGTCGTGATAGCTTTGACCCATGTAGTAAACTGCCGAAGTGGTTTTGCTCTGCCGGGCGATGTCGGGTTGTACGTGAGGTATGTTTCTACAGCAGAGGGCCCCGAGGATGATCGAACACACACAAAGTGAAGAAAGAAAGATGAAACAAGAAGAAATCCAACGTTACCACAGCGAAAATACCCCAAATCTGACCGGCCCAGAGGCTCTTTTGTACGATTCCAAGAACAATGACGCCTCACGTTATTCTGGAGCGACCAGGAAATTGCAACCCTACTTATTTTCGCGATGCTCCAGTTTTCCCCATCTCGCCAAAGGCAGAGTGGGGTCCCCAAACCGGCAAACCCGGGCGCGATGACACCAAAGTATGCGACGGAAGATATCGTCCCACGACTGGTCGCTGGGCAGCGGCCCGACTACCGACCGAGAATGTGTCAGGCAACGTCGGCCTTTGTACTTTGGCTGTGGTCAGAGACAAACACATCTACGTGTGACGACGTGGTGGTCAGCAAAGGTGATGAGTTTCTGCTCGTACATCTTGTGTTGTGAAGACAGAGCAGCCTCGAGTCCTGACCAAGAGTGAGAGCTCTACCGCACGTCGAATGACGGTGGACTATGAAACGACTGCAACACCGCAAGAACAATGTTCCTTCCTCGGTCTGATTCTGGTAATTTTCTTCGGTCCGCCAAGCCGCCGCCAACACCCCGGAAGCGTGCCGTGTCACTGACCTCCTCGACCACGGCATCTGTCCTTCGTCAGAGGTTGCCTTTTGCCGAACACTGGAAGCCAACTCGAGGGACGAGAGATACACAAAGAACCACAGTGAATCGGGATCAACATCAGCCAAAAAGCTTAGCCAGTATTCAGGGTGACTGTGTACCGACTGCCGAAAGTATGTTCGATTCACTCCATGTCAAATGCCGGCGGGTGAGGTCTAGGTTCCGGCGGCAACTGCGATATCAGACAAGATGTAGTCGCGACTACCAGTTCTCGATGCGTTTGCACGGATTAGTTTGAACGTAGGTAGGACCACCAGTTCTCCGGCCTCATCTCTTTAGTAGTAAATTGCTTTCCTTATCTCTACACGAAAACGTCCTTGCTCGGGCATTGCTGTTTCTGCAATATGTTTATCTCAAGATCAGACTACGGAGTATAGCGATACCTATGATAGTTCACGGCCAACCTCTAAAGAAAAGAGAGAGAGCTAAGTCACATCAGAAACGTACTCAAAATCTACTCAACGTCGCTACATTGATCACTCTGGCCTCACATCTTCTTCCAACACCTAACCATCTATCCGTCCCTGCTCTATATCCGCCATCTTTTGTTTACAGTGTCAACAGTACAACACCAAGACCAACAGCCCCTAACACGCCTCCTGGAACACCTATACTCGATCAGCATCTGCAGATCTACAGTTCACGAACAGGACTCACCATATCTCAGACTTGCATCGCTAACGGTGTTCTGGCCCGAAGAACCCTCACCCGAGCCGGATGAACCAGTGCCAACGCCAGCAGGAGTGCCACTTTCGGTGTCTGAAGCAGCCGATGACGAGGAAGTGCTAGAGGAAGAGGAAGATGTTGACGCTGTAGCGTTGCTGGAGTTCTGTCGAGCCTACGGTTGAGTGTTAAGATCGTCTTACAAACGACAAAGGAACATGATAATGATACTGACCTCAAGATCAGGACTAGCAAGGACCCGAGATACAAACAGCATGGCTACCGAGAAGGTAAGTAATGTAGTATAGGTACGCATAGTGAGATGTAGGTAGCATCAATCTTCAACGAAAGCAATACTGTATCGAGTTTCCTGACCGAGAGAGTTTCGTATTCTCTGCACCTCGAGCACGACTATATCAGCCAAATCGTCTCTTTAAACTCTTCCCGCTATCAGCATCTCAGCCGTCCATGACGACCGACATCGTCAAAGATGAACATGGCGGACGCATGAGCGGCAGCAACGAACAACTACATACTCAGAAGCAGACAAATTGTCATCCAATACCTTTCCGACCCGCAAAAACGTGTTCTGGAATTGATGGGAGAACAGAAGCAGATGCAGAATGATGATGACACTGTTTCGGGACAGTAGCCGCGGGTGATCGACATTCTTGCATGAGCCTTCTCTGCATCACTTCATTGCTTGTTTTCTATCTTGACGGCAATTACGAGTGCAGCACTATTGACGGTGATTGTTGATGGTGGAGAAGAGTTTGTTCGTTACGTCCGATATTGTTTGTGGTCTATACTTTAACTATATTACTTATGGAACTTTCATCGTTCTTCCGATTAATCCTTCCTCTCTGTTCTTTTTTGGTTTTGTTTTCTTTGATAGCCGTGAGGCGTCTCTACCTGGGACACGAGCAAGCATTCTTTTCTACATCTAGGCTATCTCCATAATCGTTCATCGATTCATCGTCGTATGTATGAGACTTGGCAGGAAGAACATAATCTCCAAAATATCCCTCTCGCTACAATTTTGCACCCGACGGATATCAAGATGCAATCGTTTGTCTCCATCACTGCGGCCATATTTGTGTTGTTTGTGTTCCTTTATCTTCCAGGTTCCATCAATTCTCTGTGGGAGATTGGACGGCAATCGCAAGTGGGAAAACCAGTTCAAGCCGGCTTATCTGAACCTGGGATACAAACATCTGCTGTTCAATATGCTACAATTGCAGGTAGCAGCACCGTAGCTTCTCTGACAAGAACCGTCTCGATTCAACATTGCCGAGTTGCCAAAGTCCCAAGCTGGGACAGGAGAATTCCGGGGACGTGCGTATGCATTGTAGTTGTTTTGAGCATCTCTCATACAGGAGGGCTCCGAGAAGTAGCAAGTGCATGTGAAGGCGCCACTGTATCTTTGACAGGTGTTGGATGAGCCAAAACCAGGTACTGAAGGAGGACCATTGCCGAAGAGACTGCTAGGACGTGCGCCGGATGTCCAGGGTGTGAGATTGTCCTGAGATGTACACCCAGCGCCGAAAAGGCCACTACCTGTGTGGAGAGGGCTGGTGACGGATGGGCCATTGCCGAAAAGACCTCCACTAGCGTTGCCGTGGAATGTTGTCGAATTGAGTGATATAGACTCGAAGGGCCCAGTAGGTTTAGGTGGCATGGATTCGAAGAGGCCGGTAGAAGTAGGTGGCACACTGGACCCGAAGATACCACCGGCAGTGGAATGTGGTTGGTTTCCGAAGAGGCTGGTGCGAGTAGGTGGTATGTTCGTGCTACTCAAACGCTCTGTCTGGTCCAGCAACGTCGCGGTCTTCAATCCTTCAATGGACTTCGTAAGTTTCTCGATCATCTTCAAGACATCGCTGTCTCCCGAAGACGTGTAGGTGATGGTGTTATCTGTCTTAGATCTATCAACAGGTGCAGAGATAGCATTTCTTCTCGCAAATCTAGCAGGAAATGCTTGGTCGTCGCGCCTTGTCTTACAAAACCTGTTACCGGTATTGTAATCAGCCAATCTAAGTTCTTCGAGAGAGCTTGTTTGGTGACTCGGGTGCGCAGTGATGGTTGTAAACTGCTCGAATGTCCCCCAAATGGGGTCGCGTACTGGAATAGTACTCGGATGTGCATCACTGTTGGCTCTGGCACTTTTGGAAGGACCAGCGATTGTGTCGGGGTTGTATGCCAGTTTTAGTAGGCGCTTGAAGACAGGCCCGTCTTTTCTCATCGAATCCATGAGTTCTCTGACTTCGTGCGACTTGAGAGTCTCGAAACTGACTCTGGAAACCGCATCCGCCAGATCTCTGGGGAGGTCGTTCTTCTCGCGATATAGTTTGTCGGCATCTTGAGATATACGTTGCAGAACTGCAAGCACGGTCTCTGGTTGACTGTGGTTCTCTTCTTCTCTCTCTTGACTGTTTGTGTTGCATAAGCCTGATGGCTCGCGTTGATGCTCGAGCTTCATGATGATTTCTGAAGGCTGGTCGGACAGTTCTTGCTATGGGGACTCGAGGCTCTGCAACTCAGCAGCTCTTTTTGGCAGAAGAGTAAGCAATGCGACGGACAGTGACGATAAGAAGAACAGACATTGTGTCCTCTTCGACTGCCCTGAGTCATCAGTATCATACGCCATTGTGCTCGTCCCGTGGTTGGTGGGTGGCAGGAGGCTGAAAATGAGGGAGTTGTCGCATGAATCATCAACCTACCGAGTCGGCCTGCCACTGCTGTCTGCACAAAAGAGGCCTCATCCCTTACTAAACCCTAACTTCTTACTCTGTTGGCCTATCTTAATCATCATCTCACCGGCCTAGGACGCCAATGGCCTATGTGGTCGATATTGCATAGAGTCGTTGTTGATGAGCGCGCTGAGGATAAGCACAAATGTGATCAGCTCTGTATTCTGGAATATCCGGCAAACATTCAAGAACACACTCGAAACGCGACATGGGCAGGATCACGTCGAAGTTTGACAAGCAAAAGAAACAGAGTCTTGCAAGACAGGTTAACAACGCACGGATGTTTATCGACGATACAGTAGCGACAAGGACGGTGGACCCTCGGACTCGGCCAGACCAGCGAAACTAAGTTTCCCCAGAGAGGCAATGGCCTTGGCGTCGAAGGATGCGTGCAAGCGTGATGGTTCTTGGTCCTGGTCTTTGGTGACTTCTTTCTCATTGAACATTTGCAGAGCAAACAACTGCATCTCTCCTGCACTGCTGCCCTTCCTATGTCCCTAATTCACTGATCCTGTGCCACCTTTGTCTCTCCCAATCTTTGACCTTTCTTCACAACCTGTTACGCATTCTTTCCTGTCTGGTCTTGTTCGCGCAACATGCCCACGCCTCATGACGAAACGCAGCCCACGCCCATCGACATCTCCGCATCAAGCACAACTCACGCGACTTGCCCGCCAGAGGACCGTTTCCCGCAAACACAACCCGAAGAACATGTTCTCCCACCCTCCGAACATAGTCGTAGTCTCGTAGTCGACCCCATCGCGCAAATGCCCACACCCGAAGAGGATTCAGACCCGGACCCGACCATGTCGGAGACGCCTGCAAAACCCATCGACATCGTGCAAGATAGCCTCGAGAAACAGGCGCGCCTGCCAACTCCCTCTAGCCCAGTAAACGACGATTTGAAAGACACTACTCCGCGAGTCAATCCTTCGGCCTCGGCACAGCCTTCTCCTACCAATTCGAGTTATCCCCTTAGCAGAAAAAGGGTTCGTACAACTGAAATATGCAGTGACATACAGCCGCTGACCCTGTGTCCGATCAGCTGATACCCTGCTTGACCTCTTCCAAGTTCCAATCAGGTAGCAAGTTCCGAGGAACTCAACAGTCAGATCGACAAACATATGATGTACAGGTTGAAATAAAACATGTCGATATGGACGAGTCGTTCGTTTGTGGATATTTGCGCATTCAAGGTAAAGAGAACAAAGCTATCGACTCGCGACTTCGCGTGCTGAACTTAGCCAGGTCTGACCGACGATCATCCAACATTGACCACCTATTTTGAAGGCGAGATAATTGGTACCAAGCACTCGTTCCGAACCGCGCATCCAGAATGGGGCTCTACAGAAAAGGTTGATATGCAACATTGGGCTCGCTTCCCACCATGGAAGCCTCTAGCCAAGCAGGCCAAATCGCCAAACTTTGCATGCGAGGATTATGCTCAGCGCGAGCATCTCTTTATGAGGTGGAAAGAATACTTTTTGGTACCGGACCACAAAGTCAAGTCCATTACTGGAGCCAGTTTCGAAGGCTTCTACTACATTTGCTTCAACCAGCGTACCGGCGCTGTGTCTGGAATTTACTTCCATTCTCGCAGCGAAAAGTATGTCGATCCTTCCTTGCTGAAAACATTCATACACGACACACGACACTAACCTTCTACCCTAGATACCAACAGCTCGAGCTAGTACATGTAGACGACCGAGGTTGCGTGGGTGCCGTCGAGTTTCGATAGCCCAGCCAGTCACACTTAACGAAGAAATGACCAAGGGGCGGTGAGGTATGTTACTGGCGGCGGATCGTTTTCCTTTCTGACAGCCATTGTATAGTCTGGCGTTAGTGAGGTTTCTTTTCTCTTGTGTTAATAGGGCTCGTGGCGTCTTCGACATAGCCATTCATTGCTGTTCTTTCGTTTCGAGCAGGTACTCAGGCAAGATTCCATTGTACATAGTTATTTTCTGCATCTGTTCAGACTTTTGACGTGCTGTACGCAGCGTTGAGTCGTCTCGACAAACAAGTATTTTGCCGACGTGCTTCCATGAAGCCTACACCACAATGTCCAAGACCGCGACTTTCTATGGAGTCTTTTGACAGAACCTTGAAGTGGACTGTCCCGACAATGGACAAGGATTCTGTTCCCAACAGTTGTGCAATCTTGTGCAAGCTCCCAACGCCGAGGGATAATCCGGAGATCGACTCCGCTAAGCATGGCAATCATCCAATGACACGTTCCATAGAGGGGTAAACCGGGATTGGCTTTTTTATCGCCGAAGGTGCACAGCTCAGCATGTGCGTATAAGCTTCTCTCCTCGGCATTTACACCTCTTTCCTACCTCCTCACACTCGCTGGATTGTTCTGCTCCTCGTTGTCGAATACGGATCAACTCTCGCCATATTCTGCTCCGTCGAACGGCCCCTCAATCACAACCGAAGATGGCGTCTGGAAATGGTTCATCCTCGAACTCGACCACGCAACCGCCCGTACGACGACAACACAGCGATACCCACGTGTTTCCTGCCAGAAACTTCCCGGATTATGATGCGATGAAGCCACAGGGTCTCTCAGAAAGCACAAAAGCCCTCGCCAGACAAGTTCTACATCCAGAGCTGGCCTCAGGAAATGATTATAGTCCCGGGGTCTTCTCCGGTGGAACAAAATGGCTACTTGACTCGGTCAATGAGACCGAGAAGGCCATGACAACTCCGCGAAAGCCATCTCTGCTTACGGAGACTGCGGTGAAGAAGCATAACGACCACGATCCTCGCAAAAAGCATCTCGTTCTAGAGACTCCAAGTAATGATGGATCTGGTCGAGAGGAAGAGCAAGAGAACAAGCCAAAACCCGAAGGTATCGGGCGGACCGATGCTTGGGTGTCGCAACAGACAGGCGACAGCGATGTGGCCTCTTGAGCGTTGTCTGGCTCACATCTCTCAACGTTTTACCACTATTCCGGTCACAGCATTCGGCGCCAGCATGGTCGCTACGTACCAACCCTTGAAGGACGCTTCCTGATCCTCTGAGACCATCATCCCAAGTCGCGGCTTCGGCGATGGAAAGTTATGCCGCTTGGGCACCGACTGTGCTACCAGTCTCGCCGGACATAAACCGATGATCAAAGACAATGAATCCAATGCTGAAGTTACATTCGCACATAACCCACACACGTGGGGTTCTGGTTCCATCTCCGCAATATACGACAGGAGTCTCAAATGAACACTTGGCAACATAAGATTGTACGATATTGAGAGCGAAATTGGAACAAAAGTTTTAAACATTCATACTCGATGGCGACCTGCAGAGCTGCCGACCGAGCTAGCACAAGTCGGTACCCTATATCGTTCTACTTCATCTGCTTGGTCTCGTGTTATAGAAACTCTTTCTGGATATCTAACAGAACAGATTGAGACCCAGTGTGCCTGCAGGTGTGTAGGCGCAGATGGCCTTTCCAAGAGTGTCGTCCAAGCTGCTCTTCTTCTGAGTAGCGTCTTGTTGACAGCTGTCCACGACGTCAATCAAACCAAAAGCGAATGTCTATGAATAAGATGGTCAGCCAACATGAACTAGTCTTTACACACTATGTTTACTTACATCGAGGACGTTCTCATGTTGACGTAGCACGGCGGCAACGGGTCCCAGGAAAATACCCTCAAGAAGACCAGACTTGCCGATAACGTATTTGAGCGTCTCTTGATGAGCGGCAACAAAAGCAGTGAAGGCTGTGCAAACTTCCTTCTGAGCAGCCTCCCCAGAGATGGGAGCTCCAGTCTGAGGCATAGCTTCGATATCGGCTTGTGCCTTCTTGTCGAAGTCTTGGAAGCCATCGATGACAGGCTGTGTAAAGAACTCGTTAGCCAGTGAACCTCTGAAACGCAGGCACATCATCTCACCTGGAAGGGATTTGTTTGTCTCTTGAGGAGACCGCCCACGGGGGACTGAATAGCAGCGACGACAGGCGTGAGCTTTTGAGTTCGCTGTGTGAGGTCCTTGAGGCTCGCGAGAAGGGCGTCGGAGGTTGCATCACGCTTAATAAGACCAGCAGAGGCAGTGGCAGCGAGGAGGGCCATGACAGGCGCGGCGAGAGTCAAGAAACGCATTTCGATGAGGAGAGTTTGGGTGAAGAAGGAACTTGGTTCTTGAGATAGTAGAGAGCTGGAGGATGATGATTGAAAAACAGCAGTCTTGTTGCCTGTTTATATATCCATCGTGCTCGCACTGCATGCGAGCTTTCTGACAGTTGCTTCATGAAGATCTTTATACAATGTCTTGGTGGACGTCAAGCGTCAGCGGCGACATTGCGATTTTCAAGAATGGTTCTGCACCAGGATGAGATTTGCACATGTACAGTCGTTGCACAGTCGTTGGTATAGAAGATCTTCAGACTAAAAGGGAAGAAAGGGTCATAGCACATGTCAGTCGTTCACCATCGTGTCAAAGCTTGGCTGTAACGGTTAGTGTCTAACCATTTTCATACCATGCACTCTTATGGTGATTTTCTTGATGTGTAGACGACAGTAGAAGATCTGCTCCAATCACTTGAAAGGCATGGGCAGATACAACTGCAAGGGGCAAGGCGCTGAAGAAAGGTTGGACCGCGTCGGGCCGGTGCGAACCATCTGAGCGCTATACACAAGATCATCACCTCTTCATATCAATCTTCGCAGCATCATGTGTGCACATCCTTCAAAAAGAGGTATTGGACACTGTGGACGGTTCAAGAGGTGGTCAGCGATAGCAGCGTCATCTGTCGAAGTTCAAGTCGGTGAATCTGAGCGACGGCGAAGTGTCGGTTGAAGCTAAGTGATGGGAAGTCATGTTCAAGAGTCAAGACCTTGATGATATAGCACAGCTCTGTATCCGCTCAATGGCCGACGTTCGGCTCTTGACCTTGTCGAAGCGGCGAGAGTGTTATCGCGTCTGCCCTCGGCCGGTCGGGAGAGCTTAAACGCGGCCAACCATGGGGAAAAAGAATACAGCCGCGTCCAGCCGCCGCAAGCCGTAGACACTATCGGACATGCGAGTGTAGCCAGATAAATAACTGGAGCTGTCCTGACTGCTGTCAGAGTCTGTCCTTGTCTCTCTTCTTCCTATTGAATCAATCGCCTGTCAGTCATTCATCATCATGGCCGCCAGAATCACACTCCAGAGCTACCTCAAGGCCCCCAAGGCGGCATCCCTCGCCAATGGCATCAAGAACACTCGCACTATTGCGACCTTCAAGGTGCCCGCTGTGAACAACGAGCCCAACGTATGTTTCGAAGTCCTGAGGATATTGAGAAGTGAGAGCTGACAGCTGGTTACAGCCTACCTACTCCAGAGGTACCGTGGACCGTGAGAAGCTCGCAGCTGCCCTGAAGAGCTTCAGACAGCAAGCACCCGTTGATGTTCCTGTCGTTATTGCTGGCAAGGCGGTGAGAAGGAGTGAGATCTAGTATACAATAGCAAAGAACTAAGACAGTGGCAGATCTCGAGCCAGACCAAGCTCTCCCAATCCGACCCCTCAGCTCACGCCAACTCGGTTGCATCCTACGTCAACGCCTCTTCGCAGGATGTCTCAGCAGCCATCGATGCTGCTCTGGCCGCAAAGCCCGCATGGGAGAACCTTCCCTTTGCCGACCGCGCTGCCGTCTTCCTCAAGGCCGCCGACCTGATCGCTGGCAAGTACCGCTATGAGATTATGGCTGCCACCATGGCCGGCCAGGGCAAGAACGCATACCAGGCTGAGATCGATGCTGCTGCCGAGCTCTGCGACTTCCTCCGCTTCAACGTCCAGTACGCTCAGGACACATACGCTCACCAGCCCACACACAACTCCCCCGGTGTCTGGAACCGCGTCGAGTACCGTCCTCTCGAGGGTTTCGTCTACGCCGTTTCCCCCTTCAACTTCACCGCCATCGGTGGTAACTTGGCCTGCGCCCCTGCCCTGATGGGTAACGTTGTCGTCTGGAAGCCTTCGCCTTCTGCCATGGCCTCCAACTACCTCCTTTACAAGATCCTTCTCGAGGCTGGCCTTCCCGAGGGTGTCATTCAGTTCCTTCCCGGTGATGCTGCTGAGGTGACCAAGGTTGTCCTTGCCCACCGTCAATTCGCTGCTCTCCACTTCACTGGTTCCACCTCCGTCTTCCGCAGCCTGTACGGCCAGATTGCCAACGGTGTCGCTGAGGGCCGCTACCAGGGCTACCCTCGCATCGTTGGCGAGACTGGTGGCAAGAACTTCCACCTTATCCACCCCTCTGCCGACGTCGACAACGCCGTCATCAACACCGTCCGCGGTGCCTTCGAGTACCAGGGCCAAAAGTGCTCTGCCACCTCTCGCGCATACTTCCCTGCCTCGCTGTGGAGCAGCGTCAAGGCTGGTCTGATCTCCGAGACCGAGAAGCTGAAGATTGGCGACCCTGAGGACTACTCCAACTTCATCGGCCCCGTCATCCACCAAGGCAGTTTCGACAAGCTCAGCAAGGTAATCGATGAGGCCAAGAACGACTCTGAGCTCGAGTTGCTGGTCGGCGGCAAGTACGACAGTTCCAAGGGCTACTACATCCACCCTACCATCTACGCAACCAAGAACCCCGCACACCCTCTTCTCAAGCAAGAGCTCTTCGGCCCCGTCCTCTGCGTCTACGTCTACGACGATGCCGCCCCTGACGCCTTCGCCAAGATTTGCAAGGACATTGACGCTTCGTCCGACTACGCCCTGACCGGTGCAGTCTTTGCTCAAGACCGCTACGCCATCCGCTTCGCCGAGGAGGCTCTCCGCAACACCGCCGGTAACTTCTACATCAACGTCAAGTCCACCGGCGCTGTTGTTGGACAGCAGCCCTTCGGTGGTGCCAGAGCCAGCGGTACCAATGACAAGGCTGGCAGTGCTAACCTGTTGACCCGCTTCGTCAGCATGCGTGCCATCAAGGAGGACTTTGTCGGCAGCAACAAGGTCATCTACCCCAGCAACGAGGTTTAAGAAGGACATGACTTTGATATGTTGATGCCGGTTCTGTGCATAAAAAGGGGAAATCGGGCATTTGGGATTGGGCGATACTCGGCGTTTTTCTTTACTTCTTTGTTTATACTTTTTGATTTCTGAGATAACCACCCCCTTTGAGTACATGATGAATAGTCATGTCTAGACAGCTTTGTAGTTTGAGCTTGAAATACAAAATGATGATGATCCAAGAGAAAATATCCAACCACTGTTCATGCTTACGAATATGAACCAGGAAAAGGAAGAAAAATCGATCGTTCGTATTTACATATTACATCAAGGACATGTTGAAGTCTGGGGGCATCTTTGTTCTCATGAACAGAATACAACATGACATGGCAACTCTTGTTACCTTGGAAGAGTCTACCCTCACATACACTGTCGAATGCGGTACTTCCTCTTTCCTCATCTCCCTCCCCTAACCAACCCCTCAAGACGCCATTGAACGCCTCGCTATAAGCGCAAAAAGAATATTTCTGGCCCGGCGCGCAAGATCAAGTCGTGTGACACAAACCCAACCACATACACTTTCCACGTCTGCTTTCTCTTGCTCTTGTCTCTCTCATATAAGGTCTTTGTATAGAAACAAAAAACCAATTTGCGTCCCCCCACCCTAACCTCCCTTCCCCCTGCTCTTACTCATACCCTTTTCATAGCTGCAAAGAGAGATCACGGTGGGGCGTCTGGCTTCAGCTCATTTGTATTTCCTTGGCCTGTCGTTGGGCGGCCTCGACACCTTCGGGTGCTTGACGGTAGAGGACGATTTCGGATTGCTTGAAGTAGCGGCGGGCGTCTTCGTCGATGAGGACGAGGGAGAGGTAGTAGCGGGTCGAATATTTCTTGTTTACTTCGCGGAAGGTGGGTGTTAGGTCGAAGCCGCCGAGGAAGAGACGGATGGGGATTGTTTCGCCGCGAGAGGGTGAGCCGTCCATGATCTGTAGAGATGGAGAGTTAGCATAGCCATATGGGAAGTTGGAGATACCAGGAAGCTGAACATACCTCGAAGCGCACAAGCGTCTCGCTCTCATTATACTGATTCGGTGGCACACCTGTTGTCTCGCGGCGGATGATACTAAGCTCCATATGCTTAATCTTCAAACGAACCAGTAAGAAGTAAATGCGGCCCACAATAACGTCCTTTAAGTGGTACTTGCTCTTGCTGTACTCGAATTCAATGTGCAAGCAATCCTCGATACCGACATCCATCTTGATGACACTGTTGGTCTCTGGCGGCATACGGTATGAGTAGACCCAGAGATCCTTTTCGCGCACGACATCTTGCATACGGCGACTCACGGTCACGCGTACAAAGTAGCGTAGACGCACGTTGATGCCAGAGTAACTCTCGTACGGCTTCTCGACGTTCTTGAAGGTGAATGGGAAGGTTTGCGGATGTTGAAGGTCGCCGGGCGCGGCAAGTTCTGTTTGCATAGACAGGAACTCGTGGTGGGTTCCGCGGTCGAAGAACATTTCGATTGTGCCAATGAACTGGACCTTGATACCAGTGTGTTCCAGTCGCTTGCCGTCTTTCGGACGGACTGTGACGGCACCCTTGACGCTCTCGCCGTCTAGATATAACGGGGCCTTTTCGCGACGGTTCTTGTCCATCTTGACATCGACCATGGCGCGTTCGTCGGCATCTTCGAGTACGATGTCTATGTCCAAGGGCGTTGACCAGAATAGCGACATGATGGGTGGTGGTACGGGCTTAAGCGCGTGTCGCGAAGAGAGTCGGATGAGCGAAGAGTCGCAGAGATTGGGTAGGCAAGCGGCACGTCTAGGGAAAGAGCGATTGGAGCGAGGATTGGAAGAATTAGGCAGTGATTGCGTGTCTGGAGGGGAGAGGCTGCTGGCTATGACCGGCTGCTCCAGAGCACGGGGAGCTCTGCGGAGCGGACTTGGCAGCGAAGGCGCGGAGGTCGGCGATTGGACTGCTTTTCTCCGTGTGCAGTTATACATTTTTTTGAGCCAGTCCGACTTTCTCGACCCTCGCCTTCGTACTCGACCATACATCATTCACAATGCCCAAGGTCGGAAAGCCCATCTCAAAGCGTACTTCAACGCGTCTGCGCAACAGCATTCAGAAAAAGTCTGCTGAAAAGCAAAGAAAGCTTCGCAAGCAAGCAAAGAACGTTCGTCAACTTTTCCTGTCGACATATTTCTCTGCATGCGCTAACACACACAACCATAGAACCCGGAATGGAGATCTAAGATCAAGAAGGACCCCGGTATTCCTAACCTGTTCCCCTTCAAGGCAAAGGTTCTCGAGGAGATTGAAGAGTCAAAGAGGAGGAAGGAGGAGGAGAAGCAGAGAGCCCGTCTGTTGGCCAAGGCTCGTCGCGAGGGTATCGATGTGAAGGATATTGACCAGGTCGCTGCTGCCGAGGGTGACGAGGACATTGATATCAGCGACATGGACGACGACGACGCTATGGACGAGGACTCGGCAAACCCCATGGCCGCCCTGCTCGCCTCAGCACGCGCTCGCGCCCAGGACTTTGACGGTGAAGCCGACGAGGATGAGGACGACATGGACGAGGATATGTCCGAGGACGATATGGAGGTTGGAGAGGAGGGAAGCATGAACGCTCCTGCCGTTCGCAAGGACTCATCTCGCCGCGCATTTGACAAGGTCTTCAAGAACGTTATCGAGCAGGCCGATGTTGTCCTGTACGTTCTCGACGCCCGCGACCCCAACGGAACACGATCAAAGGAGGTCGAGAGACAGATCATGGCTGCAGAGGCCGGTCACAACAAGCGTCTCATCCTGGTCCTCAACAAGATCGATCTTATTCCTCCTCAAGTCCTCAAGGACTGGCTCATCCACCTCCGTCGCTCCTTCCCTACTCTCCCTCTCCGTGCCGCCAACTCGGCTGCCAACGCCCGTACTTTCGACCACAAGGCCTTGACCGTCAAGGGTACTTCCGAGACTCTCTTCCGCGCCCTCAAGACCTACGCCCACTCCTCCCAGCTCAAGCGTGCCATCACTGTCGGTGTCATTGGATACCCCAACGTCGGCAAGTCGTCCGTTATCAACGCCCTGACTTCCCAGCTCGGCAAGAAGGGCAACTGCCCCACTGGTGCTGAGGCCGGTGTCACAACCAGCTTGCGCGAGGTCAAGATCGACAGCAAGCTGAAGCTTCTCGACTCACCTGGTATCGTTTTCCCTTCGTCTGCCGAGGGCGCAAAGGCAAACCGCACAGAAGAGCAAGCTCGTCTGATCTTGCTGAACGCCGTGCCGCCAAAGGAGATTGATGACCCTGTTCCTGCTGTCACCCTGTTGCTCAAGCGTCTGAGTGCCAGTGCCGATGGTTTCCAGAAGCTGTTGGACGTTTACGGTCTTCCCGCTCTGATGACTGCCAACGGTGATCTCACCACAAACTTCCTTGTCCAGGTCGCTCGCAAGCGTGGTCGTCTCGGAAAGGGTGGTGTTCCCAACATCCACGCTGCTGCACAGACCGTTGTCACCGACTGGAGAGATGGCCGCATTCAAGGCTGGATGGACGCACCGACGCTACAGCTCGCAAAGGATGGCAAGAAGACTCCCGGAAACAGCGAGAGTGCTGGCCTTGTTGGCGACCAGAAGGAGATTGTCACCGAGTGGGCCAAGGAGTTCAAGCTCGAGGGCCTGTGGGGTGACTCTAACGAGGATACGGCAATGGAGGCATAAAGTGGGAAAAGTGGTTTTTTGCTGGTCGGTCTCTAGTGCGTACGGAGTTTTATCATGTTCCTTTTTATGTCGGTTGCATACATTCACGAGATACCCGGCCTTGAACTAAGAATGGCTTGTCAAGATTTTGATGCTCGGTCCCTTTTCTACTTTGTGTTTCTCCCACGGCCTCCTTTGAGAGGATATGTGTCCGCACTGCAGCTGAAGAACCAGCAAGCCCTTTGATCGTCAACTTGAACTCGAAGAAGGCAGATCAGGATTTCGCTGCTGAATGTCAAGGCCAGGGTCGCCCCGGACTGGCCCACCCTGGCAAGTATATCGCAAGCTCTCAACTTTGATTTGCTTCCATATTCAAGAAGATCTGATCTTCAGCAAACTAGGCTGCTCTCTTGATCCCATCAGTTATCTCTCCATGCTCTGGTATGTTTCTTGAAACGACACGAGTGCTCAGGTGCAAAATCATGGTTCATGGAATGATAGTCTGAGTAGATATTGTTGACACGGTCTATACTTCGGCCTTGTTACAACGCGCCAAGTATCAAGCTCACGGCATTCGATCTGAGTGCTGATCACAAACCAAATTCAAGTTTGTTTGTTTTTGCACTCGACGTCCTGCGTCTTTTTCAATCACCAGATTCGAAGCCTTGCAGAATGCAAGATATCGCCATATCTCCATGGAAAGTGGAGCTTAGATACCATGAGCCCAAGCAGTGACTTCTCATACTATGCAGAGGCTATTCCAACATTAGAGTGCCCTTAATTCGACCTATGTCGGCGACTGCGTCCATTTTCATGTCACGAGAAATGCGCTAGTGGGATGACCCTGTCAAATGATCATGAGGTTTCAAGACCCACCCAACCAGATGGTAAGAATCCCAGCCTGGAGGCCTCTCTCTGAGAAATATGATGCTTCTAAGTGCATGGAGAATGTTATCATGCCTGTGAACGTCGTTGGTTTACTTTTATATTCACTCGAGCTTAGCACGTGTTTCCAAAATAGGAAGCTCCGACGCAGCGGGCCCGCCAAATTTGGGAACTCACCGCTCTGACGCTCCCCAGCGTTCACTTTGACTCACAACAACTTCTTGTGTACGATATATATGCTGCCTCTCTGGAGTCAGAACAAAGCAGCCACTCGTTTGAATAGCAAGTTCGCATCTCAATCATTCCCTCAGCCTACATAAGATGCCACACTTGGAAGAGCACAACTTCTCGGCGCCTGCCGAGGAGCATTCATTCTCAGCACTGGTATGCGTTGTCATCTTTTCCTTGACCCGGAATCTCAAAAAGCACAAACAATGCTCGCTGTTCTGCCAACCGACGGACTGGTAGATACTGATCAGAAAACAACCCTTCACTGACATGCACTACTTGACTCATAGCTATTCGACATGGATGGCACCATCATCGACAGCACAAATGCAATCGTCAAGCACTGGCATCAAATCGGCAAGGAAATCGGCGTGGATCCTGAAGTCATCCTTGCCACCTCTCACGGAAGACGGTCCATCGATGTGCTGGAGATTCTAGAGCCTAAGCTCGCTAACTGGGAATGTACGTAAACCTTCTTTCATTCATCCTACGATCTTGTCACCTTCGGAGTCACCGAATACAATCCTGCCATGATATGCCTACTCTTGGCCTCTTGTCGCGAGGAATATGGACTTTTGAGACGATCACTCAGGTGCTCACTCTCAAATCGAACGATTGCGTGTGGAGACGGACAGCCAACCACCTGTCCACCACGGTGCAGTCATGCTGTCACAGGGTCATGTACCTGTAGAAATCAGAGGAGCTGATGCGTGGGCAATCGACTTTCTCCACTCGAGCGTTGTACATGTCTCTCGATGCTCTACAAAGTCCCACCCACACGTCCAACCCTCAGCTTTGCTCAAACGTCTTTTTGTCTCAGGATTTGGAGCGAAAAAAGACAACGAAAGAGAAACACTTCCAATCATCGCGTCAATCACGTCGAAGAGGCGAGCGACAAGATACGCGCTCTACTGCACACCACCATCGCGCCGCCTTCACTCTACTGCACACCACCATCGCGTCGCCTTCACTTCACTCCACCACACCATGTCTCGCAGTGACTCCATCAGCTAATTCGCGTCCGCTCTTGATAGACGTCTGCGCGGCCGAAGGCGCCATCCCTAAGAAATGGGGCCACGACGCCGTCGAGATACCAGGAAGCCGATCTATCCTGGAATCCCTCGAGCACGCCTCCGCCCCATGGGCAATCGTAACATCAGGCACACAGCCCTTGGTCACGGGATGGCTGGAGGTAATGGGTCTAGCACACCCCAAGCATCTGGTCAGCGCCGAGCAAGTTGCAAAGGGCAAGCCCGACCCGGCATGCTACAAGCTAGGTGCTGAACGCTTGGGAGTCAAGAGCAACGACGTCCTGGTCCTCGAAGATGCACCTGCGGGTGTACGTGCCGGCAAAGCGGCGGGCTACAAGGTAGTTGCTTTGGCTACCACGCATACAGTGCAGCAGCTGCAGGAAGCCGGTGCGGACTGGATCGTTTATGACATGCGCAGTGTGACGATGAAGGACTTCGATCAGAAGACTGGCAAGGTTGTGATATCAATCAAGGATGCGTTGGTCCAGTAGATAGGGGATACACGGATTGTTGCTCTGTAACAGAGAGCGTTACTGGTAGATCGTAGACGGGATAGACAAATTCGGAGAACAGTCGAGAAATGCCAATCGACAAGGAACAAAATTCTTAAAAAAAATCGCTTATCATTTCGGCTTCTTTGGCATTTTTTCCCTTCTTTTTCTCATGCGTTATACCTTTTCGTCCTGTTGCTATGGCACATTTGATGACAAGGGGGAAATTTCTGGCTGGTGGTTGCTGTATAAGCAAAAAACCCGCACGCAGCCCTCGACCGTTGTATAGAGAGGGGCAACAATCAAAGCGGGAAGCAGCAATCCAACTTCCTCACAACCGTTTGGCAACAAAAAAGACCCCCATCGACCACGAAGCCTTATGATCCGTCCGAGTTATTTACGATTGTTCCCGTGTCTCTGCAGTGACGATAAAAAAACTATGCCGTGTGTGTGTTGGCAAAAAGTGGATATCTTGATGTTCATCGACGGGGAGTAATGCCGGGGATGATATGCTGATTCTCTAGAGTTTCAAGATATCAACGTTTTAGAGACAGCGTTGTCAAGGGTCCTGTTCTTCTGGCAAGTGATCTGCTGGATATGACGAGTTATTCCGTTTTGCGATCTGCTGTCAAGTCATGTGGGAGTTATTCTTGCGAGTACGTGATAGTCGTACATTTTGACGTTCTCTTGTTCATGAGGAAGTTCGATTGGGCAGGACCGATCAGCACAGTGGTCGCCCTCCAAGTCATCGATTGTAACATAACACGTGATAGCATAGGTTCACTTTTAGTGGCATCAAGGGAGACAATAATTGATTAACAACTGTACCTGAATTTCCGAGCCATCCATCATCTGATAGTCCAACACGTGAAACTATAGGTGTATATCTCTATAGCAGTGTGGAGGATGATATCCCAAAGACCTCTCTCGCTCATCGGGTTGTCCGAAGCGTCGGGCAGAAAATATATTATGCTTACCACACTCATGGTTGATGGAAACTCGACTTCGTCGCTTCGAGCGGAAAGAGATATTGCGATCTATGCGTCATGAATGTCCAGACCAGCGAGATTTCCAGCTGCCACGTACTTCACATTGCAGTATAGATTAACAGAATCTTCAGCTGCCACTATACGTTCGCAGTTCATAGATTGATGTGCAGCTTCTCTACGTGCGTAGAAGTCCCGGCGAATAGCTGACCGAGGCTTGTCGACTCATGTAAAAGTCTTCATTGGCGGTAACAGCGTGACGCTCATGTCCCTTGGGTGACAATCATGCGACGTTATCTTGTTTTCTGCTTGCCTGCACGTGTGCGTGCCTCTGCTTCTTTGCTGCACGATCTGCTCCGGAGCGGTGAGATGTGCTTTTCTTCTTTAGCGAGGCGAGAAGTAGCTTGCAGAACCTACTTGGCTGGGTGCATGAAGATTGACGACTGACATGTACAGACAGGTCTGCGTTGCATATCCTTAGATCCAGATCTTTCTTCTTACTCTCCAAGCGAAGATCATATCATCAAGGAAAATGCAAAGGTAACAAAAGGGGGGTCGGGAAATCTTGAAATTGTGCAGATACCTGAATCAGTCGTACCCGGCCACTTACATCAATGTATACGAGTCTCTTTGGAGGTCTCTTTTTATTTTTGTCGCTTCGTGTGCTGGTGCGAGGTGGCCCACGAGGGCGGGACAGGAACAGGCAAGGAGCCTGCTACTCTCTGTTGCAGGTACCCGGGTTACAAAGGGAAAAGAGAGAGGCAGCTATTTGGGGAAATAAACAAGGGCAAGGGTCACTCTTTTCGCTTCTGTGCCTTCTTCATGCTCCGTGCCGTGTCGCATGCAGGCCAAGGAGCGACTCTCGGGATGTCGGGGCGTGTTACCAGAATAATTTCTTTCATCGCGTGTCTCTTCGAATTCTTTTTGTGGGTGGTGACACTGCATCAGATAGACCCAAGAGCAGTGTCGCTGGGAATATCTCACATGCAGTCGCGAACACGAGATGGATTCGAGCATGGGACGACATGACTTGACAGATAGGCCTACCGCACTTACCTTGTCCACGGCTGCGGTCACCTCCGGAAAGCGACAGCAGCAGAGAGTCTGACTGCGAGGTCCCGTATGTCGGGACGCGAATTCAAGAAAATCTCTCCTTCTCTTGATAACCCGGAACAATCTCACGCGTGCTCAACCGTCTTCCAAGTCGCAAAGCCAGCCCTCAAGTGGAATGGGCAGAGCCAAGTAGGATGAATCGTGGCCAAGTTTTGAAAGGGTGGGGAATGTAAGAGCAAAGCGGGGGTGTTTGCAAAGGGCAAGAAAGAGTGAGCGAGAAAAAAGGAACCAAATGCGTGCTGACAGATTGTCCCAGCGAATCGGCGAAAGTCGTGTGTTTCAGAGGTCAACAGCCGCCGCGCTTCTTGACCTTGGGCCACGGCACTTGGGGATAGCATAAACGAGACTCAATCGCGGTCGCAATGGGAACCGCAAGTCGTTGGGACCTCTACCGTTTGAGATGTCTTTTTTAACACAAGGAAAAACTTGTCGCGCCGGTGTTTTGTCAGAGTCTGATCAGTTGCAATCACCGTGGTTGCCCTGTGGGAGAAGCCTCATCGTTATGGCAGTTGAGATTGTTGTCAAAACTGCTCGCGCCCGGTCAAGTCCCAGGGCAAGAAGTAAGCCCGCCGGGCGGGCCTTGAGTTACCAATCGCTATCAGGTGAGGCGTAAAATGTGGAGGTTGTACATGTCTCTGGTAACCAGTATCTTCCATCTCCGTCATCACGCACAAACTGAGGGACCTATCCCGACACTGCATGTGTCAGATTAGCTGAATTCGCTCTCTCTTATGCTGCAAAGGGTGTGGATTGCTGCCATGTTTGTCGAGCAGGGACATGCAGCAAGCGGCTACGAGCACGAGCCGCTCCTCCGTGATTACTTTCCCCTTGGTTACATGAGTACACACCGCAACGTCTCTCGCTTCACTGCCGCCGCCAGTCTGTGGTAATATGAAAATAAGGTTGTCAGCAAAGGGGGTAATTGTAAGATGATTCAGCACCACATGTACACGCTTTCTTGGACAACCATCCTTGTGACAGGAGGGGTTGTCTCTCATCAAGTCGGCGATTTCTCCGGTTAAAGTTGAAGATTTAATCCTCAACCGACCACAACGCCGAGGAGGAAGGATGCGGGGACGAGTGGACAGACGCCAGAGCCTTGGATGCGCCGTGGCTAGCCCGGCATCAGTCCGAAAAGACAAAGACGAGAGTGAGAGGACTGCAAAGCTTGACACTAGACACCTTGCCCTGTAAAATTTCAACATTCTCTATCCACCCTATTGCTCTATCCACCTTCCGCATTGGTATGTAGGTTCGTAGCGGCTCGGCAGTCGATTAGTGGAGTATTGACGTCGTCGTCGTCACGTGCAGAGGGCGGAGACCTTGTACACATCTAAGGCCCCCCCCTAGGTACGTTTTTAGTGTACCCGCTACTAATGTTGTACCCATTAGTAGGTCTGTACGTGTACGACCGTCATCGCAACCTAAGGAACCTTATCCTCGCAGAACTAGCAGATCGCATGCCTATAGAATAGCTATCTATTAAGGAGCCTATCTTTAACCTTAATAAATAGGAGGATACTAAGATTAGGAGATATCTGCGGTTTAGTAGAGACGATATCTATCTTCTTGCCGAGTACTTCGAGCTTAGCGCTATGCCTCGAAGGAACTAGTATAGACCTAACCCTATTAGATCCATGTGTATCCTCTTAATAAGGATAGCTTATTATAATAGACTGCTCTAACTTTAAGATCTCTTCGGCCTTAATAAGACTACTCTATCGAGGATTTTTAACGATACTGTCGACTAGCTTGTTCTTAGATTTGGCCACCTACTTTATTAGCATCTAATGCTTAACTATTAGAGACTTAAGGACTATTTAGAGGCCATTAACGACTTTAGAGGAGTTACCTAAAACACCTGCTAGGGGTTTATTAATAGGACATTTCGAGCTACTTATCGACCCCTCGTCGGCTAGAGGGATTATTATATAGGGCATAAGAAGCTCTACGGATTTAAATACTAAGCAATTGTCGTACCCGATAGCCTCTATGTTAGTCTCTACGGTCCCTTCGAGGGCAAGAGAAACGATGTCTACCTAGGTCGAAGATTAGCATTTAAAGACAGAATTTAGGAAATCTATATAGGTTCGGGTCGACGAACGATACGGCTAATAGGGGACTCTACATACTAGTCGTTTAGACTATGCCTTATGCCATTTATTAGAAGGAGGACCCTTAGCATTTCCTAGACTTAATAGAACAACTCCCTGTCGTCTATAAGGATTAGTGTTAAGAACTTCTTTAGCCTTATTATAGAACAGTAGAAATACCTTAGGTTCCGTATTAGTCTTCGGGTTAGACAGTCCCCTATTGCTAGCATCTTTAAAGTAGGTGTACTATTAAGCAATTGCTATACCTACTTATATAGAAACGTAATAGGGTCGAGGTTCGGCATTAACGCTCCTAGAGTAGAGGAATATCTATAGGTCGGAAGGTTCGCGGTCGACTAGATTAGCTATATTAGATTAATAGAATCGGTCTTAAAGTTATCGACATTACGATACGACTCTAAGCTCGAGTCCCTACGCCTTCGCTTGTTCGACATAAGACTAAGTAATTAATCTATCTTCGAGTCTAACCTATTAACCTTAGTATATAGATTATCGATGCGGCGCCTCTTAGCATCTACTAGTGCGCGAACAAGAGGTAAATTTAGCGACATTAGCGACGACGAGGACATCGAGCGTTCTATTAGGTCTAAAAACCTTAAGTTGTTACGCTCTAATTGTTCGAGCACCTCTATAACATTACTCGAGCGCTTGTTTCGACCTCGGCGCCTCTAAGCAGCGTTTAACTTATTAGTAACATTACCTTCCTCGCCGTTTTGCTAACCTTACGTAGGCTAACCTTCTATAGGCGCCGGATCGTTTTAGCCTTATCGATATGCTATCCGGCCTTAACTACGCATTAAATTTTAACGAAGGATAGCCTACTCTTTAGTCTCCTACTAACTCTAAGATAAGCGCTCTACGCGCGTAACATCCTTAGCATTAGCTCCCTTAAGCACCTATATCTACTTATCGACGGCGTAATTAAGGTTAGTTTCTATCTCGTTCCTGCCGGTCTCGTCTTTACCTTCCTCGAGCGCCTTAGTACGGTTACTAATAAGAGCCTATAGCGTAATCCGACATCGATTAATAGAATAGTCGCGCTCGGCGACTCGCTTAAACTTTACGCGTAGACGGTCCTAAAAGATAGTCTTCGTAGTCCTTAGGTCTCGCTAGAGATAGTTAAGAGAGGTAGCGGCCTCGGCGAGCATAGTCTTCTTATTATCGGTAAGTAGTGTCCCCCTCTTACGTCGTCTACGCTCTTCGAGAGTCTCCTTAGTAGGTTTAGTAATAGGTTCCTCTTATTTATTAGGTGTCGGATCCGGCGCCGCGGCCGTACTACCTTAAGTACGACCTCCTCTTATACGACCTCCTCGTCCTCGACTTCCTTAGCTACTACGACTTCCTCTTCCCCTTCTACGACCTTAAGCTAGAACCGGCGGTAGTAGCATGTCATTTGTCGACTAAGAATTCTGCTCTAGCGTAGGTAGAGGTTCCTATTTATAAGGCACCGGCTCGGTCGGAGCGGCCGGCGCACTCGAAGGAGGTTAGTTAAAGACGAGTAGCTAACTACCCTAGCGAGGTAGAGGGGGGTTATTAGCATTAAGTAGCGAGTTAACGTCCATTATTTTGATGTGTATACAGCTAACTACTTCGTCGTACAGAGTCTTAACCTTCGATCGACCGACCCTCGCTAAGCTAATCTATACCGCTACGAACGCTACCCTCGCTATAGTATCTACCTCCTTCCGTTTTGAGCCAGTTTAGAGGGGATAACGAGCTATCTAACTTATGGATAAGTGCTGTCCATGTTACCGTCTCCACCTTCCCTATTAGGCCGAATTTCGGTGGATAATGGAGGTGGATAGCGGTTGGGCAAGGTCTCTACTGCTGTACACTGCTCATCGGGCAAAATAGATTGCGCCATTTGCCTAATTCTGCCCTGTCGTGAGCTGCTGGAAGAGTCGGGAGGTGGGCGGTCATCAGCGATTGGATAGATGAATGATAAGCACCTCTTTAGGTCGATCAGCCGCTTTTGGCTGGACCCTCTTGGTGCAGCGTAGAGCTGGCATTTGGCATGCTCTTCAGCACATCTGAGACCGTGTTAAATTCGTCAAGCGAGACGAGCAAAGGCGGAATCGCAGAAGCCTTGCATTCTCGCCTGCGCGAGTCGTGCATAACCATGAATGCAATCTCTTGTCATAGCGCCTGGCAGCGCGCGCAAACCTCATGGCAAGTTTGACCCCACAGCTAACGGCGGGGTGATGCGTCGGAAACGAAGCAGGAACAGGAAAGGACTGGTTCTTAGCAGCGGCCGCTAAGCGACACTTTCGAGGCGCCGGCGCTCGGTTTAGCGTCGCCCGCTCCGAAACATGCGAGTGGATCCTCTTTGGCTTGCTGTGCTCTCAGCAGGCCGTGGCGCAAACTGATGATGGCCACTTGGGTCGATTTGAGTGGGCGCGTGGCTCAACAACCCCTCTCGTCAGACAGGCGATTGCACCGGCGCGGCGGCAGACCGATGGCGACTCATGATGATTATCGCGATACCGCAGTAACAATCACGGATGGCACAGAGATGAGGATCTGAGTGACGCGGAGAATAAACACAATAATCGTCGGGCATGCATAGGCAGCCGAGGAAGCGGGAAGAAAACATGATTCCAGAAGCAGGGACCAGGGATGGATGAGGTGGTCAAGCTGTGTATTTTTAGGCAGCGGTGTGCTGATTGATGGGTTGTGAGCCTCTCTCCCGCGGCAAGCGTCGCAGGACAAGAACAAGAAAAAAAAAAGAGTCTCACCCACGACGACGGCGGGCAATGGCAATGGGCGTGGCAGAGCGGCCCAATGGCAGAGAGCGGGCAAGGCAGAGGGACTCTGGTCGGTTCTTTGATGGACCATGGCAGGTGCAGGGATTTGGCGCGATTATGTCACGAGCGAACGTTGAGGGTTGTGATGCTTGGGCTTGTCTGTCTAACAGTCGGGCGTGGGCATGGGCGTGGGAGGCTTGTGCGGCGGCTGCGCATAAGATGCAAGCTGGAGGCCAGACAAGCAACGGCGCATGTGTTGATTTGGTTTGTGAGACCGGGCGCTCAGTCCTCTCTTGGTGCACATCTTCTTTGGTGGGCACTGGGCATCGTAGCGATCTTCAAGCTCCCGCTCGGTCTCTTCGAGCCGGACCCGCGATCTGTATGCTTTGCGCTGTGCATCCGCTCCCAAGCTTTGCACTTCCGAGTCGTGATCCGCCCTAATCTCCTCGTCGAGTCGCTACCCTTTTCTCTCTTCCTTCCAAACCCAAACACTTGTTTCTGCCCCGACGTTCGTTTTCCCAACTCCTCGCTCAAAGGCCTGTTGATCTGCGTCCCATGCCACTTCCAGTCACTCGCTTCAACCCATAACATCATAATCACTGCCATCACAAAATAACCTGACCATCATTATCCGCCCTCCTCCACTCTCCTCCACCGGCCGCACCGCGAGCTTGTTGATCCTGTCTGCCCTCCGTGCGCATCTGAGACACAACCAGCCTCCAGGCCGCCTCTTACCTCGACTCCCGACCACTGCCGCAGAGGCCTTCTTCTCTCTTAAACCTTGCACCGTAGCCATCCCAAGATTGCCCCTACCTAGTGCGACCCACCACCACACACCTATACCATCCCAACATGGAGTTCGCCGACTATCCCGGGCTCAATGCAGACCTGGCAGCAGACTTCCATGCACGGCACTTTACCAGGAGGGACACACACATGTTCTCGGACCATCTAGGCCAGATGCCTCACTTCAACCCCGCCGCCCTGGCTGGCCTGGCCGTCGACGTCAAGCCGCGCCTCACGAAAGAGCAGCACGACGTGCTCGAGTCCGAGTTCAGAAAACAAGCAAAGCCCAACACCAACACCAAGAAGAGATTCGCAGAGATCCTTGGTGTATCATTAGACAAGGTCAACGTATGTAGTCCCGAGTCGGTGCGTCATTGAACCGGTCCACTAACATGAGACAGAACTGGTTCCAAAACCGTAGAGCAAAGTCGAAGCAGGATGCCAAAAAGGCCGCCGGTGCTTACAACCTCTTGCAAGCGACTCAACAGCAAGGCCAGCAGCAAGGACAGCAGAGCTTCGTCGGCATCAATCCAATGGGTGGCATGAACAGCATGCCTGGCGACCAACCCTTCTGCATGCCCAATCTGTACAACGGCATCCGTGACATGGACGGCCCCATGTCGAGCGGCCTGGGTATCAGCCAGCCCGAGAACACGTTTGCCTCGCTCGACCAAATCACATCACAGCCCATGCGTCACCAAGCCTCGACACAATCTCTGGCATCACAGCACTCGGTGCAGTCGGAGTCCTTCAGCGACGCTAACAACAGACACACTCTGACGCAGGCTCAGTTCGATGCCTTCTCTCAGCCAAATTACACCACCATGTCGTCTGCTGACACGAACGCTGCTCTGAACTCGACATCCAACGGCGACTTCTACTCCGAGTTCTGCGACTTTTCGTTTGACGCTCAATCCATTGACCCATTGACGTCCCCACCCATGCAATCTACTGAGAGCCTTGAGTCTTTCGCACCTGACGCTCCATCAGACTTCAAGCCTTCTGACAATCAGCTGCGTAACGCTTCATCTAGCTCGGACGGTTCCGCTCCCTCAGTGACCATCTCGCCAGCAGAGGACAAGGAAGACAACTTCGACATGGAACTGCCAAGTGAGCAGAAGCCGTCTCAACCAGCCGTGACGTCTCCTCAATGGCAGCCCGGACAGTCAGTACCCGTCGAGATGGATAACCTTCGCAAGGAGTTCCAAGAAGCCGCCATGCGCCGCGACTTTTCGGTCCAGTCGATTCCCGATCCCAGTGAATATCTAGACCAGGCCATGGCTTTCCCTGGTGATGAATACGACCGCCGCGAATCTTCAACGGTCCAGCTTGCTCGTTCGATGCAAAGCTTCACCATGGCGCCACAACGCTCTGCCATGCCCTCATCCAGCATTGCTGCTCGCCGTCAGCGCCCACGCCCTGCTCCTTTGGGAACCACAAACATGCGTAGCACTTCTTACTGTGGTACCCTGCCCACCTCTCCTGGTCCCGTTGGTGGCAACCACAATATTGGAGGTCATACCTTGCGCCGCATCAAGTCATCGCAAGCCATGAACGGCATTGCAGGTGGTCGCATCCAGAAGAACGTCGGCTCTGCTCAGCGTTCGCCTTCTGGTTACTCGACTTTCGCTGAGGCCAACACGGCCAGATACGGCGGCCGTCGTGTCTCCTCATTCTCGCCTGCTTATGCCAGTCTTGCTGCTTCGACTGCCAATCTCGCTCCGCCGACTCCCTTGTCTCCCACCAATGTTTCGAGCACTTTGCGCCACATGCAATCTCAGCCAATGCTTAGACAGACGAGCTTGCCCGAGGGCGACGAGAACTACATCGTCTCTGGCATGAACTTCTCCCCACCTTCTACCCCTCTGTACGGTGGTCAGTTCATCCGTAGCCGCATGGGAAGTCTTGCAGTTCCCACCGAGAGTACCCCTCCCCAGTCAGCCCCACCAACCCAGCAATGTTTCCCAAGCGGTGCTTTCAGCCCACCTCACATGTCGGCTATGCCCATGGTCCAGTCTCAAGCCCAACCTCAGGGCTTCCTTGGCATGATGCCTAACGAGTACCCCCAGATGCACAATGTCATGTTCCCTGCTCAGCAACAGCAAAATCAGTATATGGACCATCAGATGTCCTACATAATGACCAACACCGGCGAGGTCATCTCAGGATACCCCGTCATGCCTCCATTCTCCCAGGGTCACATGCAACAAGCAACGCCTCCTAATCAGCAACAGCCTTTCTTGCCTTCTTCAAGTCTTAGCCCTGGTGTTCTTGGCTCTTCGCAGGTTCCGAAGCAGCACGCCAACCCTGGAGCCGACTTCTTTGTTCACGAGTACTCACCTCCGCGAGACGTCAAGCTATCATCCACACCTCGCAAGGCGGTCGAGACCGGCCCCAAAAACTACACATTCTCTAATCATGGACCCGAATACTTTGAGAAGAACACCAAGCACAAGGGCAGCTCCAGCCCGGCCTCGGACTCATGCGAATCGGCCGCGGCATAAAATCAACGACAGATCATAATCTCTCCACCTGATGACGACTCCATCTTTCATTTCATCTCTCTATCACGTTTTTCCTATGTTTGGTTTTTTGTTGGCTTACAGCACTGGATATCCCGAAGCGAGGCGTTTAATGTCTGGTCTCTTGCTTTCGCATCACGGGAAAAGCTGGATCTGAGCTTTTGTTCCTTTTTTTGTCTTTCTACACCCTGGGTGGTCACTCTTCTACCACTTACGTTCCGAACTCTCTCTAATCACTTAATTTCTATTGCGATAGCCTGGATTTGTTTTTTGTTTTCTTTTCACTACTTTTGATTCCCCAGCAAGCAGCACACACGGCGATGTATCATACGGGAATACCCAAAGCGGAAGGCAAGGTGGGACTCTGGGTCAAAACAGGGCAGGCAAGGCAGAAAGAGAACGAGAAATCTAGACGCCATCAATTACTTTTCCGAATCAAGATCTTGATCTTCTGAGCTTCTTTTTTCCCGCACACATCATCCACTTTTCATCACTTCCAAATCGACCTTATTTGACGATCATCGACAGACCCTTGTCCACGACTGACGTGTTACGCATACAGCAGGTGGATAAGAGGAAACGCCGTTTGATGTGCGCTGTGACTATCACACAATTCACGATGGACTTCAGGTACCGAACACAAGAAGGCCTGGACAATCAATCCTTCGCAACTTCAGCCAAATGTTACGCCGTCGTCTATACGGCCAACCAGTGACCCCATGACCGAAAAGCCCAAGGCATGCACCATCAACGTCTGCCAACAGCAAAAGAGAGAGCCTCAGATCATTTGGCGAGAAGCAGGAGCTCGGCCCGGTGGTATCATGCATGACATTTCATGGCTCGCCGTCGGCAAAACGGGCTATCCCGTCCAACCAACTCTCGATCTTGGGTAAGGCAGGAGCAGGGCACGGAGTATGACAGGGGAAGGTAAAAACGAAGCTTGTTTCAGACTAAGAAAAGACTTGAGTAGGTCAAGGGAAGAGAGCAAAGGGTGCAAGTGGTGCGTGGAAGGAGGGCTAGTAAAATCAAATAGACTCAACGGCCCGCTCCCGTGATGGGTGGGTTATCCATATCTGGACGACAGGCCGACGACGGATTGTGTGCATGGCGACCGCGCAGACCCGTTTGTATCAGACTTGGTCGAAAAAACCGTTTCGATATCCGCTTTGGGAAGTTCTCGTGGTCCATCGTTGCTCTTTTTCTCTCTGCCCTGGGCCATGACAAGGAAGGAGGACGACTGTTGTGTTCGAGACTGAGCACTACTGTTGACGATACGGCCATAACGATTGCAGGAGGAAAAGAGCCGTCGTATCATTATCGGACCATCATGCCATCGACAAGGGTCTTCAAGTCGAGATCTTCGTAAACTCGTAAGAGGCTCAGGTGACAGAACGGAAGGACCAGCTACTGGTGATGCTTCACAGATCCGCCCATGACGAACTACTTTTTACTTCGTGGACCTGCAGGATCTTGGATCGTGGATGGGCTGACCCTAGCTTCCTTCTGCATGGCGGTTTCTCGCTGCCACACCTTGACTGCCTTGATTTGTTTTCATAGCGCCTTTTGACGTATAGGGCGGAAGAAGGACGACGAGATGGCCGCGATCAAAGGTTCGCAGTACTAGCTTCCACAACCTTACGTGCTGTACCCCAGATTGTTCACCTTGTCTAGAGTGGTGGAGTGTGCTCGCGGATGCAGGTACCCAGATACGCCTCGCCGCCGACCGTTGTGAGCCGTACCTGAGTGACCTGCACCGTCTTTTTTTCTGCAGGTGCTTGAGAATAGGCATGGCAAGAACCAGGTCATGATTTCAATCACGCTCTCCACTTTCCCGAGTCCGCGGATAATCGTGAGGGCCATGGAGAAGCCAAAGGCAATCCCTACCGGGCCCCAGGAGGATTGTCCGCTAACCAGTACAATGTCTTGTATTTTCGATAGAACTGTTATACAGAGGTCTTGGCTTGGCGAGGTATCGACTCTCGCTTGTTCGACATGTCATGACACATGGTGAAAAAAGCCAAAGGGATACGAGGATATGCTTTTGTACTGCTGGGCGCTCTCTTCATGTGTGGATTTAGAGTCGTGCGATAAGCATAACTCGGCGTCCGTTGTCAGTCTGACGTTGTGGCTATAGGATGATGGTTGAACTTTGTCGTCCACGTGCTGTCGACGGCGGGATGGTTTGGCGAAACCAAGGTCCTTGGATTTGAGGTCTTTGTCAGTCGATTGTGACAATGTACAGATCGTGATTGTCAATGCTTGCATACTACCGAGTGGCTTGCCATAATGCTTTGGATATTACTTCTTGATTTGACATTGATGGTCTGTATAGCCGCTCTCCTTGAACCATTGATACTTTGCCATGCCTCTTCGAGCCTCAATCAAAAGACTCCACTCGAGAAGCAGTCTTTCTGTCTCGGGTCATAATGAGGCTCTCTGAACGGACAACGAGTCGTCTCAGTCGCGAAAGCGTTATCTGGCTGTCTCGGACACTGTTGAAGAAAAAAAAGTCATGCTCGTGAAACAATTCACGGTCTCGCACGCTGGATTCCTGTTGAACTTCCTGACTCGGCTCCTCACGACTCGCGTGAGCGGTATTGTGTACCGACACATTGTCTTGGGGATTTCGTACGGATTATGGAGACCTGGCAGTTACAGCATCCGGTGGTCCCTGTGAGTCCGAAGGTATTTCCATTTATCCTTGACCTGCCTGGTAGTGTGTGTTTGTCATGACCCATAGACACTGGCAGTCATTTGAGTCAATCGTAGGTCAAATCATAGGAAGCGCTAGATGGAGGTTGTCTCATTCCGCCAGCAGAATTGTTGAACAAGGCTGAGAATTTCGTGTCAAATCTAGTGTGAGACTCAGGAGCCTGTCTCCGCTGGTATACCCGGAGGTTCGTCCATTTTTTCGACATGTCAGGAGGCAACTTGATGCGAGACGGAAGTCAAGGCGAAGAGTTCTCATTAGAGAACCAGAGGAGCGGCGATGAGGTTCTCGGCCAGAGCGGAGGTGACAGGCAGCTTTATGGCATGACTAGGATGTGTTGAGTTTTCTGCTACTCATGTCCGCGAACAGGGGCATTGAGCAATTTGTTTAGAGCTTTGTGGCTGTCTCTTGCGCAGCGCCCCCAGCAGTGTAGTATCCATGATGTTCTGCAATGTAAGTGCGATAAACTGATAGCATCCATTTGGTGCGTGGGAAATTTGAAGCCATACTCTGTCAAGACCTGTAGGTTTATTGGTGCGAGTGCGTAGATCCATGATCTCGTTCGTGACTTCCTTCGTGGTTGTTGATGTTGCCGTGCACATCAAGGGAAGCGCGAACCTGATGTCAGGTTGAATGTTGCCGTCAAAGGGGCAACCACGAACGTGACCGTGACTGCACACCACCTTTCGTAAAATGCAATGCTAGCTTTCCGCTTCGCCAAGTCTCCCAGAACATCTTGATGAACCATACCGAAACAATATCATATATCCATTCAGTCATCCGGACCATCCATTACGGCAGCAAAGATACCTCGACCGGCGAGTATGATAATCTGTTGTTGCTACAACATCAGTAGACGATTCTAATGTTCATCAGGAATACTTACCGTTGTCCTATTTCATCGATTCGACTACACTTTATCACACACATCCCATCGACGCATCTCTCGTGACACACCTTTACCTCCTCCGCCATGGCTCCAGTTGTGGCAGAGTCTGCATTGCGCTCAACGAGATTCGCCCCTAGCACGAAGGAAGTCAACAGAATCTGCGATGAATTTACCACAATGGCGAAAGACATTGCCAAATACAAGGAGGTACTCGACAAGATCTGCCACCGACTCGAAACAATCCTCATGGAGGTGGATGAGCACATGAACAACCCAGAAAGAACATCTGAAGCGCAAGCAAAGTTACAGAAGGCATTGAACGACACTGCCAACTCGCTCGATGCATGGTTGGTCGCAGTGGAAGGCAGATTGGAAATACTCGCAGTGCTGGCAAAGAACACGGAAAGAACGTTGGCCTCAATGGTCATCGCTGGTGATACGCCATCGAATCAGAGGATGTCTGTGTCCAGAAGAAGAGTTGTCCGGTACGGATTATGTGTATGCCTGCTGATCGCGTCACTGTTGACTGGTGTCGTGGGCATGGTCACCTTCCTTACTCGCCACGTGGAATGGTACCCGCGTTCAGGTGGTCCAGTGGAGGAAGAAAGAGAGGCATGCTGGCTACAATGTCGGCGCCAGCTCCTCTGTGTGTATGTCCTCATCGTTCGTGGCTTCCGGGCAAGTCAAAGAGGATTCATTCGTTGATACCAAGACATCCGCCATGAATTTGGACTGCAGACGCTCAGGATCAAGGGGTGAGGAACCCTTGTGTTTGATGCCCATACTTAAAGTGTGCTTGAAATATCATTGAGAACAGGACTTATTCATCTCCTTTGGCTACAATCTTTTATGGTCGAGGTTTGGCTCGTTTCCGCTTCGCCAGTCAAGTGTTTTTGCGCCGTGTAAGGCTTTATGCCGTGCGAACTTATGAGCCCGTGTTCCGTGGCTGTCTGAAGAAATTGAGAACCACGAGATGTGGCGACAAAAAAGATAATGCCGGAGCAGTTGAAGTAATTTTCATTCCATAGCCACAGGCAGAAGATCATGCGGTCCGCTGAGGACAAAAACACGAAGGACGTTATGGAGTAAAGCGAACGTCTCCACATGTTTGTTGGGCGAATCTTTCGCCTCAAACAATTAAGACAGTCCAACCAGGTGTAATGCCACTGCTCCAACATGGCTTCTTCTGCTGGGAGGATGACAAAATGTCGTATATAAAGGTGGGTATCAAGACCAGATCGAGATAGAGGAGGATGCCGAGAGAAAAGGCGAGGTCGTAATATTTCATGGCCATGCGGGATCTTCGAGGCGCTTGAAAAGTGCAACATACTTGTTGCCCTTGTTCCTCGTCACCTTTTTGCCTTCTTCCGTCTCTTCGCGCATGACAGCCACACACTCGTCTGCTTCTTGCTCGGCTTCAGAAACACGCTCGAAAGATGGGTGGGCGTCCAAGTGTTCCACCATCCAGTTGTGAAGGTCCTCGACGTCGGTGATCGTGTAGACAATACCGCCTGGTCGCAAGACGTATGCGTACTCTCTGCAGCCTAAGTCAGCTCCTGATACAAATATGAGATTTTGGCTGTTCTCACGAATTGAGTGTCGTGCTAACAATTCTGGCCTTGTGCTTGCGAGCCTTGAAATGAGGATCCGGGAAACAGAGGAAGATCTTGCTGAGCTGAGCACGATTGAAGAAGTTGGGAAGGAACTTCATGGTGTTTGCGCGCAGACAGGCAACATTCTGGTAGCCCTGGGTCTCGCTATGTTGCGAGCGCAATGCCTTGGCTTTTGTCTGGACGTATTCGGTGACTGCAGAACGGATCTCCATGCCTAAGTTCTTGCGCATTAGCTTTCCGAGCTCTCCAAGGCAGTCCGACAAGGCTTCGTACCAACTAGCAATGTATCGGGCATCTTTGGAGCCAATGCGAATAGCAATCCACCGAACCCACATCCAATATCTGCTACCTCTACCTGCTTTGAGATCTTGCCCACGCTCTTTCCTTGTGCAGACAAATCCTTGTTTTCCTTCTCTTCTGTTACTGCGTATGCTGGGTACAGCTCCGCCCAATCCATGGCAGCAGGCGATTCCGGGTAGGTCAAGTTGTGGTCGGAGAACGGGTTTGCGTGAGCTCTTTGGCGGAAGAATTTCTTCTGGGGCAGCCTGCCTTCAGGCACTTCGTCGCGCTTTTGGCGCTTAGTTGGAGGACCGACCATTATTGCGATGTTTGTTGTCGAAAGATTGTGTGATGCGAAGTCAAGATGGTCGCCAAAAAAATGATCGGGTCTTGGAGATCACCGTGGGGGGGAGCTTTGCGCCAAGCCCTGATATACTCGAGGTGGACTATTATTATTTGAGAGTGTAGATGATATTCAATTTCATCGTGCGAGCTACGAATTCGAAGGAATAGACAACGCCGTTATGCCAACCTATCTGAGAAGAAAAAGAGCCTCTTGTCTATACTAACCGCCGGAAGGGTATCATGAAAACACAACACAAACACCAACTCAAGAACTCCAGTGAACCAGACCGTATTTACTTTGGTCCCTCAAACTCATAGACAGCTCCGTTTCGGCTCAACACCGTGCCCAACCCGCCGACTATTTCTACTTGGAAAGGCTCGAAGGGTACCTTCTCTCCATCAATGCTGATATATCCGACCTTCTGACCGGGTCTTAGCTTGGGGCTGATTCGATAAGCGCTCACTTTGCGGTAGTTGACAACGTCCATGTCAAACATCTTGTTCTGCTCGACCGCTAGGATCATGTCGAGCGCCTTGAGACGCGGGATGGCTCCGTCAACGTTGACCATGTCGATGTGGTTGTCGGATGGTAGAGCAGCAGCAAAGAATGGAGTGTCGGGTGACATGTATGCCATGTTGCCGCAATAAAAATTGCCGAGTGTGGGTAGTGATGCCTTTTCCCAGTCAGAGGGCACATCTTGGAGCACAGAGCCGTATTGGAGGGCCGGAAGCGAATCATGCTTATCGCCGTCCAGGTCTTGATGTGCTTCCCATTCTCTTCTTCCAGAAACATCCTCACGTTGAGACCTGACGTGGCTGTATGCGGCTTTGATGGCCTGCTTGTCGTCTATATCCACCTTGACAGCGAGCTCGGCTGGGTAGACTGTCTTTCCCAGAAGTCGCGTCAAGATACCCACCGTAAACCTGGCGCTTCCCATCCATCTCATATTCTCGGTACCCAGATCACAGTCGGCGATGATACCAACAGCCTGGCTCAAGAAACTCCAGTACATTTTCTCTCCTTGCGTCACAGCCATCAAGTCTAGCGGTGTACGTAATCCTTTGACAATGGCTAGAGCAGCAAACGATGGAGAATTGGTTCCGTTGAGGTTAATAGACATGGCGTTACCTGATCCACAAGGCAGCTGGACGACGGCAACCTTTCGTAAAGCACGGCGTGGCTTTTGTTGTTGAGCGAGGCCATTGAATACTTCGTGAGGGAGACCGTCTCCAGAGGCACATGCCACCACATCATAGGCGTCCACGTTGAGTTGACGGGCAATTTCAACAGCATGACCAGAGTGTGTCGTTTCCTGTGCATCTATTTCGCAGCCAGCAGCCCTGAGAAGTGGTTCGACTTCACTCGCGTACAACTTTCGTGCAGCTCCTTGGCCACCAAAGGGGTTGACCAGAACCTTGATTCTCTTGTTTCTCTGCGAGTTGCCGTAGGCAAGATCTAACAGTTTGGCTAGCCATGACTTGGCAGCATTGATGGAGGATTTATCGATAAGCGTGTAGGAAATAGTCGAGGGGCGGCAAGATGTCTTGGAGGTAGGCAGAGCATGTTGGATGGTCAGCTCGAGGTCGTCCAGCGAAGCATCAAGGATGTTGTAGTGAGGAATCGAGTGAGTCGTCTTGGATCCTGAAAGGTGTTAGGCAGGCAGCAGTCAGGCTATCGCAGAGCGAACATACTGGTCGGCAGTAGCCCGCAACAATTGGCAGCCTCTCGGTGCACGAAGCGATCGTCTATTTCATATTAGCGAAGGCGTCAAGACCCGAAAGCACACGGCTCGGTACCTAGAATAATGAGGGAGTCGGCCCCGAGAGTTAGGGAGGCATCTTCAGCAACGAAGAGCGTAGCCTCGCCTTGGAGTGCGGAAGGCGTTTCGTGTATAGACGGGTCAACAAACGGGTTATCGACAGGCAAAGATCGCTCCGACATGTTGCCTCCCCGATTGAAAAATAATCAACAATACACGGAATAGCAGCGACAGGTGGAAGAAATAATAAACTTGTGTCTTTGTTGCTTGCCTCGGAACAGACTCCCCCACATGCCCGTCAAAGCCCGCGGCGACGCGCCATCTCGTATCCCTCTCGTCCTTGGCTCTTCTTTGTTACAACACATCCACTTACCAGTATGTTCTATCTTGATGAGAGAATCGGTTCCTCCGAAGTACCTAGATCACGATGGGACATGGATCATGATCAAGATTGTAAGTCTTCACGAGTAATGACTCGTCCATGGCTTGTCATCCGGAGCAATAATTCCCAAGCCTGTGACGTAATGTCCGGCTTATTTCCATGTGCCTGGAGCTTACCTAGGTAGGGCTGTCCAAAAGTATTTGGCGGTGTAACTTGATAGCTTCATCCACCAACAATCTTCAATCATGTCTAATCTTCGCTCGATATCATTACTGGGACTTGCCCTGGTATTCTTTGGTGCCCTCAACGTCTCTGCACATGGTGGCCATGAGCAAGCCCCCGTTGCCCCCGATGCTGATTGGGCGACACGACACATGGCTGGTAACACACCTTCACATTTCCTCTCGTCAAACCTGAATAATCGCTCATGTCATCTGCAGAGGAACATCACATCAACTCCTTCGACGCCGGCTCATTCTTCAATCTGCACGACTATGATAGCAGCGGCACCTGGACCCCTGATGACATCCGTAAGACTTACGGTCTGAGAGACGAGAGCACCAAGGATTTGCCCGAAGAGAAGAAGGAAGAGGTCGTGCGAAAGATTCTGGACCTTTTCGACAAGGACAAGAGTGGCACCGTCTCTTTCGCCGAGTTCCTCGTCGCCGACGCTCACGGCATCAAGCTACCCGACTTTGGCTACGGCCCTGGCCACCACGGCGACGACGAGTACGAGTATGAGATTCATCATTTCGAAAAGTACCATGGAGATGACACAACCGAGGAAGATTTGACACATCCCGAGGACATTGTGCATTTCCGTAAGCACGACATAATGGAGCAGGAGGCAGAACGTCAAGCAAAGCTTGACCGTATGGAAATCGTCGAGGCAAACATTCCTCAGAAGTTTCGCCGTCAAGGCCACTGATCGGCTCGAGGAAAGGCTTTGCTTGATCAACGCCAGCCAAGTAGGCTTCAGCAGTCGAGGATTTTACACTGCGGTCTCCATACTTGGTTGGCGAGCATTTTGGAAGTATGCAGATGAAAATCAAGACAATTGGGGAGCAGTCTTGCTGGCTTGGACTGCAGTCGGTCTTTCGATTGGTGTTGTACTATATCAATAATTGGAGATGAAGCACGTAGAGTACATTGGTCGAGGCAGACTCGTGGGTCCTAAACGATGAAATGATTTCAAGACAAGACAACTCTTATTTCAGCGGCATGGTGTCGTGTATGCTATCCGTGGATTCACAGCACCTTGATGGAACCAAGCATGCAAAGTCTCGTAAATGATAACTGGGTCGAGGCAACTTGGCGGGGTTGAGTTCGCCCAGGTTTGCCCTGTTTGATTGCCCGAATCTCACTTGACCGACAAAGTCCAATCTGCGTCATCTCTCCTTCCTCTCTCTCAAACATAAATCACTGGACGCCTCGCACTTTGTTGTGGAGCGAACTGTGGGATCGTAGACACCGTCACTGCCATTCGTAGGTCTCAGTTGTCTCACGTCTTTGCGTGCGTATAGGTAGTGCACTACCGATTCCTGGCCGGCTCACTTCTCAACCGAGCAACTTGTATCTGCTGCTCTCTGCGCGTCTTCTTCTTAAGGAAGGTGCAGTCAGGGTCGCTTGCTTTTTGCGTTCTTTTCGACAGACACTTGCTTTACGCAACAGCTTAGCTGTCACCTCGCTGTGCAGCAATTGTGAAGTCTTTTTCACAGATACAGCAGTTGCGCATTTGTTTGGTCCTGCTGTCCTACAGGCAGATTTCGCCTCTCTTATACACTGATTTCAGTATTCTTTGTCAACCCGTGTACCGTTGACCTCTCAGAGAATCGCATACAATGGTGCGCACAACTTCACGAGCTCCCTCTGTGGGTCAGAGTTCTGTGTCCAAGATTCGCGACCGACGCAGCAAGAAGGCCTACAAGGTCCAACTCGAATCTGTCGTGACCAAGAAGAAGAAGCTCAAATTGAAAGTCTGTCAATATGCCGCCTACTCTTATCAACCTTTTTTACTGAACCATTTACACCCAGGATATCCAAGGTTCCGCAAAACCCGAAGCAGGCTACACCTTTCTCCCCGTCGGTTATGCCGACCTGGCCGAGCGTTGTAAAGAGAAATCCAGACAACTAGGCGTCGACGTATCCGTTGTCTCCGTGCGTATCTTCATCTTCGAACCGGGACTTCCCTCACCCATGCCGCTGCTCTCGACCCCTTTCTGACCACACAATCAGGCTGGCACAAGACGTCCTGGAGCACCCGACCCACAAAAGCTGACACATCACGTACATCGCGTGGGCTATCACTTCCGTTCCGACATCTTTGACCAGGCCTGCAACTTTCTAGGTTACCGTGAGGTGAATGGCAAGCTGGTGCGCGACACCGGTTTTGACACGAATTCACGTTTCGAACGCACAATCGCCCGTTTTGCTCCTCGTTTCGATCTCAACGTCAACAACCGATCAGTCGAGCAGAGCACAAGAGTCAAAGAATACATCCGCGAGCTCTTCCCAAAGATTCCCGAAGCAGATCTTGAGGAAATTTACAAGCGCGCATGGGAACAGGTTCGCTGCTATGGGTTGCTTTGCATTGACCCGACAACTGACCAGCCTAGGGTACCACGACTGTAGGTAACGCATCTGACTTGTCACTTTCAAGGCAGGTACAACTGGCTACGATTGCCCGCATCAGACACACCTACACCGATTACGACAAGCTGCTCAAGATAGTCAGCTGGAAAGAAGCCAGACAGATTGTTGAGCCCATATCACTCACAAAGCTGATCGAATGGCGTGGAGAGAATGACAACGATACGGAAGACTTTGAGGAAATCCTTCGAGAGACCATTGTTATTGACGATGATGAGGAGCTCGAGGATGCTAACAGCGATACTGATAGCAACACTGCTGCTTCTGGGGACGACGGTAGTGACACCAGCTTGGAAATCTTGCAGCAGACCTTGGCTCCCAAGGACCTCAACGTCGCTGTTGGCGAGAGGATTCGTAATGCTGTTGCCTCCGTCGGCCGTGCAGCTGGCAGAGCTTTGCCTGCTGCAATCCAGAATCGCTGGCATGACGCCCGTGTGCGACACGGTGCTATTGACCAAGCTGTCAATCCTCACGGCCATGGCGGCCAAATTTCTGTCCCTCTTGATCAACGAGGTAATGTTCCGCGCAAGGTTGTCTCCAACGGAGTGGAGTATGTAAGGGTAAGTCTGATTCGTTTTCTTTCTTCTCTCTATGAATAGAGCATATAACTTTGCATTCAGGTTTCATCGAGTCCAGAGCCAGAAAAGGAGCAGCGTTCTCAATCCAACATGCCTGGTGCCTGGCCAGTGGGCGGTGCTGGACTTGCTTCCGAACACCGCCACGTTCCGAGTCGTGGCCACCGCGCGGCAGCAGGCGTGCCCATATGGGATCGACTTGAAAGACGGCCCGTGTATCCGGCATCCACAGCACCAGTTGTTGACTTGACTTCCTCCCCAGTAACGCTGCGAGGAGGGTATGGGGATAGAATCTCCTACACAGGCCCACCCAGGTTCGGCTACCAAACAGGTGAGCCGTCGGCACATGTCGGTGCTTCTAGAGGAATCCCGGATCGCAATGTGTACCGGCCGGGGATTGCGGATGATGATGTGACCATTACTGGAGTTCAGGCCAGGCCACAGGCTCGCCGCTATCAGTCATACAACTATGGCGGCGCTCAGGATCGAGTGGAGGTTATCAAGCCGGAGGATTGCCCCATTCCTTCTCGCGAGGAGCCTTACCCCGGCTATCCGTCGCTGCCAACATTTTCGCATCACGGTGAAACTGAGAGAAAGGACGTGAACGTGAGAGCCCCTCCTGGATTCACTTTGCAGACCAGAGCTACGCAGCGTCAGCCTGTGTATGGTCAGCCTGCGTACCCTCAAATGAGGTCTCAGACTGTGGCAATGCAGGTGGTACCTCGCCCTGTACATGGCGCCCCAGCAGCAGTCCAGCCAATGCCGCCTCAGGACAGAGCACCATCGGTGGGTCAAGCAGCACCAAGTTTTGGCGCGCCTTCTCCACCAAGGTACTTTATGGGTAGTAGTCATCAGCCGTACTACGTGCCCGACAGATGAGGTTCTTGTTAAAACAACATGTCAGATCAACAACCAGGAGGAACGCCGGGATTCCTCAAAAAGAGAGTCGAACAGAACAGGTCCGCGTAGGTTCTGTTGCAATATCACGCATGCAAAGAGTAGAATGCATAGGTATGTCGATACGATCCGTTAGATCTTGCCATCACTAACTCCCATACAGTTGCAGGCCAGTGTACGAAGGAGGTGACAGACGCAAGATGGCAGGGACCATATTTGTGTCATGAGGAGAAAGTCTTATCTGTATCGTGTGGAGGAAGCGATGCTGGGTGTCATCGAAGATGGAGCACCTGCGTCGCGAGAGGAAGAGGATAGTGCTGGGCACAAGGAGGACGACACAAGAGACGGACAGATCCGAGGAGGAAGTTTACAGCATCAGTAACAGCATCAGGCATGGATATCAGCGTCAGCGAAGCAAGCATTGATTTTGAGATGGTCATCACTTTGACCTTCACGGCCCCTCTATTCTCTCCTTCTCATTTCCAATATATGACAATGCTTCCATGCAAGAACAAGACGTAATCCAAGAGTAGAAGCGAAATTGAGATCGAGAGAACAGAACATAGCATTTCACTGTACAACAGAGGTATCAAAAAGTCCCACGCCTGTGGGAGAAAAGAAGTCTACCCTCTATCTCATCAAACCACACATCCAAGTCCCATATCTCCCCCGACATCCATGGCGCCTCTTTTGTAATCACCACCAGACCAGACCAGAAGAAAATTCACTTTGAAAAAAAAAGGGGTTGAGGCATGCACGTGATAGATAATATCGACAATGACGGCAGGGTTAGGTCCGTCGGATAGAGTGTCAGCGGTGGTATGGTGACCAAGCGACTGAACTACGCATCATACTCATGTAGAAGGGGCGGATTTGGTCTTCTTGCTCCAGTCGGGCTTCTCGACACCGTAAATTTCTCGGTATTCCCTGGCATATCTTTCGAGATCTTTGGCAGCCAGATCTTCGTATTTCTAGGATGCAGGTTAGCAACAGGCAAATTGTCGAAAATGAATGTCGAGACGCACCTTTCTCTCGCTGGCGGACAGAGCATTGAATTCAACAGCAATGTCCTTGGCAGCATCGCCAGCCTTGATGCCGCGGAAGTCACCAGAACTGAAGCGTTCACTGTGGAAGATGATCCAGGAGCCTCTGGCACGTTTGACCAGACGATCATCCTTGATGGGCATGTATTTGTTCCCGGTGTCTGCGAGCTTGTTGCGCAATTGTAAGCGGGCGTTGTTGGCAGCGAGGATCTCAGCAGGAGTGTGGCCATGGAGCCACTCTTCATACTCGCGCAGACTCTTTGCATTGGCCTCGTTGACTTGGTGGTTCAAGTGCTCTTTCTCACGGGTGGACAGGTTTTTGAATTCTTCGGCCAATTGCTTGATGACGGTTGTGACGGGGGAGCCTTGAGCTCTGTCTTTGGCGTTCTCTCTCACGTAGATGGCCCAGTTAGCGAGCTGTCTGTTCTTGGGGGGAGAAAGAGCTTTGGCTTTGAGCAGCTTGATCTGTTCTTTGGCCTTGGCTTCTTTTGCCTGTTCTGAGATGGCGGCCTGCTCTTCGGGACTCAAGAGCTTGTAAGCCTTCTTCGCAGCAGCTTCCTTGGCGGCGGTTTTGGATATCGGGCCGGCCTTGTTCTTTGGTACAGTGGTGCCAGCTGCCTCCTTCTTCTTGGGTGTAGTAGAACCATCGGCCTTGGTGCGGTATGATCTGGAAGCAGACAATGAAGAAGCGACTACCGGGGTCGCGAGACGCGCATTGGAAGGGCCAGCGCGGGCAGCCAAGCGGAGCGGAAGACGGAGCGCGAGCATTGTGTGGGTTGCGCGCGTGAAGATGTGAGCAGACCAGATGAACCGATAGGGTTGTTAACAGTTGTTGTAGCTCGGAAAGAAGTTGCGAAACGAAAGTAGCCAGGGAAAGAGACAGAAACAGCCGAGACGAGCAGTTGTTGATGTTTGAAACGAGGGAAAGCACGCGGTCGACAACACAAGGAACGAACGACAGGGTAGCTGCTGCCAAGATGAGCGTCACGAAACTCTAAATCCAGCCGTCCATCCCCGCGAACCTTGAGTCTCGGGCCATTCGCTGTCGTAGGTCCATCTAATATTTCTCAACTTACCATCACATATACAACATGTCTGGAAGGCCCCGCTCCCCTCCTCGCCGCAGTGGTGATTCGCGCCGTGACGACCGTTATCGTAGAGACGACCGTCGAGACCGTGACGACAGAAGAGGAGACGACCGCTACTACCGCCGCCGTTCTCCAGAGCCTGTAAGCCGCTGTCCCAATGTTCATAAAAACACCTTCTTGTCGCTTACATACTTCCAGAGAGACCGCTACAGCCAGGATCGAGACCTCATCTCTTCTCGCGGTGGTCGCGATCGCCGCTTCGAAGAACGCCCGCTCAGTGACCGCTCACGCGACAGAAAACGCTCTCGAGAAAGATCTCCAGTAAAGGACCGTAGAGACCGCAGTAGAGATAGACCTCGTGATTCGCGCCATCACCGTGATGACTCGCGCGACAGAAAACGTCCCAAGCGCACTGATTCCGTCGAATCTAGAGCTCGCTCTGCACGCGACGATGCTAGAGGCAGCCTCGCCAATACCAAGTCCGAACAACCCACCTCGGCCCACGCTGCTGACAAGGCTGCAGAAGAGGAACGAAAGAAGCTTGAGCGTCAAGCAAAGGTCGAAGCCTGGAAGAAAAAGCAAGAGGAAAAGAAGAAGCTGCCACAGTCTCCCGCCACACCTGCTACCCCTGCCCATGTTGCTACACCTACTGACACAGCTGCATCTTCGCCCAAGTCGACAGCTCAGGACGAACCGCAGAAGGGCTTTGCTGGTGGAAAGTTTGATCCCAAGGCCATTGCAAAAAAGGCGGCAGCTGCCACGGCGAAGCTATCAGCGCTTGGAAGTGATGTTTCTATACCCGGGAAGTCCAAGACTGCCGCTGTCGCGGCTCCTCTTACTGCCAACAAAGCGGCTGACTTTAGCAAGAAACCCTTTACCAGTCAATCCAAAGGTACGTTATTTCCCTACTGGGTTGTCAGCACACTCGACTGACTTGAAAACAGCAAACGCCGCGACCGCGTCGGACGCTCTCAAAAAGGGCTTTGGTCTCACAGCATCGCCCGCCGAAGAGAGATCGACTCCTCAGCCGGCCCCTGCCATCGACATGGACGACGAACAAGTCGAGCGTCGCAAGTTAGAGAAGCTTCCTACACCCGATCTAAACGATACTGGGGATGCTGCGCTTGCTAACCAGAATGACACCCATGATGACGATGGCGATGTCGACATTGCCGATGCAGGATCCGATCAAGATATCGACTCCGCTGCACGACTTGCCGCAGAAAGACGTGCTGCCCAAGCCGCCGAGGCTTCCGTGGACGACGACGATGCCATGGAGGGTATTCAAACCGCTCAGACCGCCAACGCAGCCGAAGAAGAAGACATTGATCCTCTTGACGCCTTCATGAATGGTCTAGCCGAGGAAGCCCCCATGCCAACTCGCAGATTCACAAAGACCAAGATTCGCGAGGCCGAAGATGTTTTCGGTGATCAGGACGGTGCAGACTTGGATGCAATTGGTGAAGATGCTGATGACATTCTTGCCCAGGTGGCCAACAAGAAAAAGAAGAAGGAAATTCCTAACCTCGACCATTCCAAAATCAACTACGAACCCTTCCGCAAGGCCTTCTATACCGAGCCTCTCGAAATTGGTCAAATGACTGACGAAGAAGTCAGGGATCTGCGCTTCCAGCTAGATGACATCAAGGTTCAGGGGTCCAAGGTACCTCGTCCTGCCCTAAAGTTCGCGCAATTTGGTCTTGGAACACAGGTCCTGGACGTCATTCGTGATCTTGGATTCGAGATGCCTACCCCTATCCAAGCTCAGACTATCCCTGCCATCATGTCTGGCCGCGATGTCATTGGTGTGGCCAAGACAGGCTCAGGCAAAACGGTTGCCTTTTTGCTGCCCATGTTCCGTCACATCAAGGATCAGCGCCCACTAGAAAGCATGGATGGTCCCATTGGTCTGATCATGGCACCAACACGTGAGCTCGCTGTTCAAATTCATCGTGAGTGCAAACCTTACCTCAAAGTTTTGAACCTTCGCGCTGTGTGTTGTTACGGCGGTGCCCCCATCAAAGATCAGATCGCAGAGCTCAAGAAGGGTGCCGAAATTATCGTCGCAACTCCCGGTCGTCTAGTCGACCTTCTTGCTGCCAACTCTGGAAGAGTCACCAACCTTCGCCGTGTCACCTATGTCGTTCTCGACGAAGCAGACCGCATGTTCGACATGGGTTTCGAGCCTCAGGTTGTCAAAGTACTCACCAACATTCGACCCGATCATCAGACAGTTCTCTTCTCAGCCACTCTTCCCCGTACCATGGAGTCGCTTGCTCGCAAAGTTGTTCATAAGCCAGTCCAGATCACTGTTGGAGGTCGTAGCACAGTGGCGGACACAATTACCCAGAAGATCGAGGTGCGTCCCGAGTCCACCAAGATGTACCGCACACTTGAAGCCCTTGGCGAATTGTTTGAACACGACGAAGATGCTCGTGCTTTGATCTTTGTCGAGCGTCAAGAATCTGCAGACGACATGATGATTCAATTACAGCAAAAGGGCTACCCTGCTGTTTCAATCCATGGCGGAAGAGAGCAGATTGATCGTGATTCTGCCATCCAAGACTTCAAGAGTGGTGTCATCCCTGTAATGGTCGCAACATCTGTCGCCGCCCGTGGTTTAGATGTCAAGCAACTCAAGCTGGTCATCAACTACGATTCCCCCAACCATCTGGAGGATTACGTCCACAGATCTGGACGTACCGGTCGTGCTGGCGAAAAGGGTACTGCCATCACATTTGTCACGCCTGAACAATCCAAATACTCGGTTGATCTGGTAAAGGCCTTGAAGATGAGCAACCAAGATGTTCCCGAGGAACTTCAAAAGATGTCATCTGAATTCCTGAAGCGTGTCAAGGAAGGCAAAGAAAAGGCTGGCGCTATCGGTTTCGGTGGCAGAGGTATCGAACGATTCGACGAACAACGTGCCGCCGAACGCCAGCGCGAGCGTAAAGCTCACAAGCTCGAAGGCGAAGAGGAAGAAGAGGAAGAGGAAGACAAGAAGAAGGCGCCTGAAGAAAAGATCAATGTCGTTAAGAACACCGGTTCACCTACTCCCACAACCGCAAACGCAAACGTTCCTGGTGTCCCTGCTCACATCGATCTCAACGCTGATATCAAGGTTCACAAGACCGAGGTACCTGCGCCTGCGAGCAATCGTCCTCTGGATCGCGTCGCGGCTGCTGCTGCCAACATTAATTCTCGTCTCGGTGCACGCAACGCAACTCGTCCTGGTGTACCAATCGACAACAAAGGCCCTGATGCTGGTGCCTATCACGCGACACTCGAGATCAATGACTTCCCCCAGAAAGCACGCTGGGCTGTCACCAATCGCACCAACGTGGCCAAAATTCTTGAGTCTACTGGTGTCTCCATCACTTCGAAGGGTAACTTCTATGCTGCCGGCAAAGATCCGGGCCCAACCGACGCACCCAAGCTTTACATCCTTGTCGAGGGTGATACAGAACTCCAAGTCACCCAGGCTATGCGCGACCTGCAACGTCTGTTGAAGGAAGGTACGATCGCAGCCGCGGATAGCGAGGCTCGCGCACCCACAAGTGGTCGCTACACTGTTACTTGATCTCGACTTGGTCTTGAGATACCAAGAAAATTGTTTATTTCCGACAAAGGTAAGCATGGCGGATTTTCTTATCTTTTACGCAAACCTCATTCACCACCATTGCCTTTGAGGCAGGCTCTAACGACTGTGATCTTTTGATCACACTATCTTGCATTCATCACACTGCCTGAAGGCTCGAAACCATGGGTCTCTTGTGTCGCCTGCATTTGCGGAAAAAGCACAGCATGGTCTACAAGCCAAGCCACACCATTCCATTCATAGTCATATTGTAGATATCGAAACGGAAAAGAGAATTGAAATCTTTTATGCTGCCATTTGAAATTATGCCCGTACTCCCCAGCATGTTTACGACGCGTAAACGCCTGCGGCTGGAGAAAACGGCGGCGGGATCCCGCCGACGTCACTTGGCATGCGCAGGAAACACGATGTCAATCTTGTCTTTTGTACGTGAAACTGCGAGACGTGTCATGAACTGATATTGTTCATACTGTCCAGAAAAAGAGTCACCATCATGGGTCCACCACCGCTTGTGATTCGCAACCTCAGCTCGACCCCTCTTGAGCTCAAGGTGATAGAACGCTTCGAGACCCCGCATATCGATGAGCCCAAAGGGTTTGCCAACATCACTCGCAATGTAACCCATTTCGTTGTCTCGAACACTACTGGCAATGTTCCTCCTGCTGGACCGAGTTTTGCACCGCTCATGGAGCATGCTCAAAGCTACGGGCAACAAGAGGTGTGCATTCGTGTTGATCCTTTCACTACCAACAGAACGGACATCAACACTGCTGAAAGATCAGAGAAGGACGTCCTCAGACTGACCTTCGAGTACGAGGGACAGCGCTATCGAGTCGACACACGTACGACTACGCAGTCCCAGGAGTTGATCCCGTTGTCTCCCGACCCGAGGAAGCAATACACTGCCATTTGGATCGACAAGGAAAGCTATCTGGCCATCTACTCTTCCGCAAATATGAGTTGCTGGATGAAAGAGATGGCAGACGCCACACCACTCTCTGGTCTTTCAATCCCTGGTACACACAACAGTCCCACTCACCACAAAGCCTTGCCTTCAGTCAGATGCCAAGCAGTGTCACCTAAGGAGCAGCTACGTAACGGTGTACGCTTCTTCGATATCAGAGTACAGCCTGAAAAACCAGAGGATTCAAACCACGATGGTCTCGCTCTTGTACATGGTGTGTTCCCCATTTCGCTCACTGGGACGAAGCCTTTCCGCAAGCTCGTTGGAGACATCCAAGAGTTCTTGCGCGAGAACCCATCCGAGACCCTCATCATGAGTCTGAAGCGCGAAGGTCCTGGCGAGCATACAGATGAGCAGCTGTCCAACATCGTCAAGCAGCACTACGCCAATGACAACAATCTCTGGTTCACTGAGCCTCGTGTTCCTTCACTGGGCGAGGCACGTGGCAAGATCGTCTTGATGCGTCGTTTCGCACTTGCCGAACCCTTGACTCATGAATGGGACGGTAGAGGATGGTGTCTCGATGCTCAGAATTGGGCTTACAACACGCCATGCGACAATCACGGCTCTGTATGTGTTCAGGACTTCTGTGAGGTTCTCGAGACCGAAAATATCCAGAAGAAGATTGACTTCTGCTGCGAGCACTTTGAGCGCGCTGGTGCCCAGGTGTGCCCTGTACCTGGTATCACCACAGATGCTGTCAACCCTGTTCCTCCAGGCCCTCTTTACCTCAACTTCTTGTCCGCCAGTAACTTCTGGAAAGTCGGATGCTGGCCGGAGCGTATCGCTGCCAAGCTCAATCCCGCTGTCACCGAGTTCTTGTGTTTGAAGCACGACACTGCTGAGGGTGACAATAAGGGCGATGGCGGTGTGGGCATCGTGGTCACCGACTGGGTTGGCAAGGACGGTGATTGGGATCTGATCAGATGCATTGTGGGAATGAATTCACGTTTGGAGCTCAGGGAAAAGCAGTAGATGATGACGAGTCTATGAAATACATGAAGAAGGTCCTTTTGGGTGCACGAAAATCGATACTGATAATGTAGCGAAACTGCTTTTCTATATGTGCATATCACAATAGCCAACATTGTTCCGCACTTTGGTGTTGGTTTTGCGGATCACAACCTATTTCCTGCCTACACGACTTCCATGCGAAGTAGCCGAGAGCGCCCTGGTGGTTCCTTCTCGCAGTATCTGTCATTGCGCAGCAGGAATACCGGTAATCTTGCTTGCTGAGTATCGTCTTCAGTCCATCATCGGTCTTAATCTGATCCAACTAGTGTACACTCAACATGGGTGAATGCTCGATGGACATCACAACCTTCTGCTCAGCTTCCGACTACCCACGACACCTATTGACGATGTTCGCAAATTGCTTCCCCAAGCTATGGCTCATATGCAAACCATCGGATTCATGCGTTGACCTTTATATCACTTCGGCAGCTTGCACATAGGCTGTTTGTACTGACTGTTTGCCGACATCTTTGGTAAACTATTTAATGACTCTCACATTCTCGTTCGCTTCTGACACTTACCCTGTGTTTACCTATTTCGATGCAATCTCTTTCTCTCTGAGCTGTATCGCCTGGCATTATCATGGATTCTCCTCCATCATCCATTTCTGGTCGCGAGTTCCCCGATCCTCTTGATCTCCAGACTCTTCAAGGTACGCTTCCGCCTCATCACGCTCTCTCCATTGGCTGATCAATATCAGATTCGCGCTCGACTATTCCTCGCTACCTATTCAAATGCTACTCACCTTCGTCAGGTAGTAGATGCTCAACTAGATTCATTGGCCCAAGAGCCCGACCAACCACATTCGGTCCACACACCCAAGATATCCTTGAATGCCACTTGCGATGGGGCAAACAGATAAGGTCGGAATTTGCGTCTTGGACCAACTCCATCTTGGTGGCGCTCGTCTATGCCATTCGGAAACTAGAAGGACAAGATTGGCGTGATCCAACCGGAGAAGGCATATGTATAGCCGTGCTCGATACCAGCACTGTACCAGAGACTGTCCCCATATATCCAGCCGGGACCCTCATGAAGACTTTCGGACTTCCGGACGATGCACCTTACAAACGCTACAATCATTCATGGGAGTTTTTGATGCATGGTAGGGTTAGAAACACACCTTGTATACAGCGATACAGTGTGGTCGCCGTCCAGGATTTCATCGACAACAATTTCTACCAGGTTTTCGAGCCTTTTCAGAATCCTGACCAAAGGTTGTGGGCACGTATGGACGAGCTGCGCAAAGAGCTATGGAGCGAAAATACTGGAGTTTCCGACATGGACAGGATAGCAGACATGGCCAACGAATTTCATGTTGAGTTTCAGCTTCCTGTTGCTCTGGCACTCGCAGCAATGTTAAAGATTGACACAACTTGTGTCGACAACATCAAGCTACTCGCTGAAGAGGATTTCAAGCACATGAAAATCCCATCTTCATACTCGGCTTGTCCTGTAGACTCATCCTTCCGGTCTGATTACTACGAGGATACACGCTTTTACACACTCTTGACAGGTGTTTACAAACAGAGACTTGTGTCAGAGCAGACCGAATCCATTTCCTCCATTAGAAACACTGCAATCACCAACTCAACCTTAGCCCATGAGGCCAACAACCAACGTAAAGACAGTTTGGTCGCTCCTCCGAGTTCTGCCATCCAAGCGGAGTCCTTGCGTCAGTACTTCCCTCCATCAACAATGATCCACTCAAGCTGACACTGATTACAGCTGGTGAAGACAGTGCTCAAAAAGCACTTACAAAGCAAGAGACTGCGTCAAAGCTTATGGAGGTAGCTTCGAAGCTCAGAGAGATGGCTTCCGGCCGCCGGCCGATGTATAGTGTCGAACTCCTTGATTTTGCTTCGGATATTGAAAGACTGCAGATTAGTTATGTTCTCGATGGTGGGACATGGTGAGGGTCAGCATCCATTCATTTTGAATCCATGTTGTTGAAGAAAAAGATTTGGTGGTCAAGCTTGTCAGAACAACAGTGTTGGGTCATGCAATTAGACATGAAAGCAATATCAAAGACTCTTGTTCTCCCAAAAGTGTTATTGCTGTGAAACCCCTACATCGAACAAACAAAGACATCATGACATTGCTAAGCTAACGCTCCACATGCACCTCTCCTTTCAGGTAACCCAACCTTCCAAAACAACACCAGGTGACCGACTGAGGTCCGGTCACGAACATCAAGAAAGCAACTTAACAGCCAGCAACAGAAGAAGGAAACAAGAACACCCACATATGCCTCTCCTCTGCCGATATCCATGCGAGCAACGCAAAAACAGTAAAGAAAAACAACAAGAGAAACAGACTTGACAAACAGCAGCTTCGACAAGCAAGCAAGCAAGCAAATCATCATCGAGCAGCACCACCCCAATTACCCTGACTCAACTTGAGCAAGCCCTCCACACAGTTCAAATCCTCCTCTTCCGAGCTCTGACGTTCGTCTCTTTCAATCGCACGATGTGCCTTGTCCTTTCTAACACTACTACTAGGAGGTGCATTCATGAATTGCATGACATCCTCGTCATCGTCATCATCGTCGTCGTCCAGGTGTGCGACTTGTGTTCTGCCGCTATGCTTGCCACGGTTACGGGGTGCAGGTGTTTCGTGGAAGCCTGCGTGGGCACGAGGGCGCTTGACTGTAGAGGGCATCACGGCCGGCGAGGTCTGCATCTGATGCAAGAAATGGCGGTCCATGAATGCTGAGGGGCGGTCGCCAGGGCTCCAGTTCTCCTTATCTGAGTCTGTGGCCGATATCTCAAAGGTGGGCGTTTGCTTGAGTTTGGGGGTCTTGGCCAACAGCAGCGGGTCATGATGTGCTGGTCTTCTGTTTGTGGACTGCATGTTACGCGCTGAAGACGAGCGTTGCATCAGGGGCTGGCGGAAGGGAGTTGCGGCTACGGCAGAAGGAGCCGAGGAAGGAGGAGGTGCAGTGAAAGACTGGCTTTGACGCAGACGCTTGACTGCACGATCTTCGTTGGAGATGGTCTGAGGATTGAGACGCTTCAGGGACGGCACGCGCGCCAAGGGGTTGCAGGCGCGATCCTTTTCCTGCTGACGTAGTAGGGAGATGGCTTCAGCGGCATCACCACTGGTTTCCTGGTTGGCACGATCCTCGAGCTCGCTGCGAGCACCACGGTCTGCAAAGAAGGACCACACGCGTGAGTCGCGAGATCTTCCACTGGGTTTGCGACGAAGGCCAGTGGAACTTTCCTGACTGCCCGGAGTATCGCCAAGACTGATCTGGCTGTTGGTTCGGTACAGATCGTTTGATTGACTGGCAGGCTCGTCAAAGGACGCACCAGCCGTTACTGGGGGAGGAAGCTTGCGAGGAGGAGATGATGTTAAGTCATCGCCCTCCATGACACGAGCAACACCATCTGCTGTCATGGACAGGCGGATCTTGGAGTCGGACTTCCTTAGACGCTTGCTCGGTTGGTCCTGGGTGTTTTGAATATCCTCTTGCGAATCTAGTGCGGTGAAGGAAGCGTTGTTACGTCTGTTAGACAGATAACCAGCTTTCGAAGCCGAGTCCTGTGAAGCCGGGTCTGGTTGTGAGCTGGGGACCTCGATGAACGAGGTTGACGCATTCTGGCTGGCAGAAAGGGCTGTCTTGTCTTGGGATGTTGAGTCGGTCTCGGCATCCTGAGTCGTGTCAATCTGGCTAATTGAGGTGTCTTCGAGCTGATCTGCGGTATGGGCATCGTGGGGAGACGAGTATGAGGCTTGGTATTGGGCGATTTCGCGAGGATCCAGTGGTTTCGACTTTCTACGCGAACTCTGGCGACGGTTCTGGAACCAAATCTGCACATGGGTTTAGTCTCGACGCGTAATTGGGGTTTGGATGGATTGCGATACCTGTACCTCCTTCTCCCCCAACGCGACGCGACTCACGATATCCATACGAGTGGCCTTGTCTGGTTTTGAGTTCTTCGCGTAGGCTTCCTCGAGAATTTTCTGGTCATCGGGACTATTTCAGGCTTAGTCGGGCTGCACGTGCTGGAGACGGTATAGATGACTCTTACCTTGTCCTCCTTCTCTTTTGACGGGCCAGAGGTTTGTTGTCGACATTGGGAGGGCGATTGTTGGCCAGCGTGTCTGTCGAGTGTACCAGAAAAGGATAGCTATTGGCTGTCGCCTTCAATACCAGGGATGCCTCGGTCTCGGGCTGCGGTGCATAAGGCGACTCGGACGTCGATGAGTCCCTCTGAGTAGTCGTCTCGGTACTATGTTCCTCCATGACTGCAGTTGACACGTATGTTGGGCGAGGGAGTGGTCTCGCTGGACGAGCTGAATAGAAGATGGGCGGACCAGAGCGGTGGGACGCGACGCGAGCGTGGAGCACTGGAGAAGCCACCGTCCACGCTAAAGCCACGGAATTTATGAATGAACTCGACTTGTCCTCCTTCCTGCCCCCAACAACATCTTCAATCCAGAGAAGACGCTCTGTTATACTAATCGACAGTCATGTTTGATTTGAATGTCCTCTCGTGAACTCTTAAAAATCAGTCCTCCCTTTGAGTCGTCGCCAAAGGGCACATTTCTCTTTCGACCAAGGTCAAGAACGCGTCAAGCAGTCGTTTTCAACCTCTCGAGATTCTGCGCCTTTCAATCATCCTCATCGTAGCACTCGATCTTGTTTCGCCATCCGTTCTCAATCCCCTCCATGTCAACTGGCCCTGATCAACTTCGCGCTCTCGCACGTCTTTGCATTGTGTGTTTATTTCCTGTCTTCCACCAAAAACGCGAAGGAGGAACCAAGCTCGTGACCCGCGCGCCCACGTTTCAACTCTCAACGTTCCTTGAACTCTGCCAATTGGCCCGGAGCCCTAAGTAGCTATTCACGACTACACCTCTATCCACCCACTCCTAGAGATGATGCTGTGCATCTTCGCTGTCAGCATTCTCAAAATCACCGCTAACTCTCGAGCAAGTTCACTGATGAAGTACACTGCAGTCACTTTGTTAGTGTTCGATCAATCACTTAATACGCTTGGGTCTTGAGCTGCGCTGATAGCTTTATTAATGCCGACGCCTCGTCGACCAGTCCTGATGTAACAAAAAGGCAGCGAGGGGTTATCAAGTCATATACTCTATCCTATGACCACCACTGTACGGTTGTTCTGCTGTCCATCGAGTATCATGGTGCCAATATTGGATCTTGCAGGTGGTGCAACCCTGGCTCCAACTGTGACATCTCGGTCTTCTTCGTTGCAAGTGGAATTTCAAGTCTTCATGACCAGCATGGCTTCAGTACTCGCTCTAGAGTACTAAGGCTCCATCGTGTGTGTAGTACGCTCAATTGTTGCTTGAAAAAGAGTGTAATGTCTCGCTACAGTTTACTGGCGGCATGTCTGATCCAGCCGTCTCAGAAGCAAGCATTCACATGCTGGCTCATCTAGACACGACAATCCTCTCGAGACACGAATCTTATCTTCTAGTTCGAACAGTACTCAACTCTATATTACACGAGGAAGTCTCTTGACATCGCCGCCGTCGAGACCCTGGGATCCACATATACCAAGGCCAATACAAGCAGCAGTACTTATATGCAGCGTTCTCAGGAAGAAAAAGAAAACCATCGGACAACGCGGGATACCCACTACCCCAGCTCCAGGTCCCTGACAAGAAAGGATGCTAAGAGGTGTCAGACCCTTGATCGACTTTATTAACAATGGAGCCCAGGGTGTCGGATTGCTTTAATTCGTTGCTCCTATCACCCGACTCATCTCGAAGTCTGTGTACAGATACTGGACAATTCCTCACAAGAACACAATGTTACCAGAAACAATATTCAATTACTGAGTTGAATATCGAAACTCTTGTCAAAGTTACAGCTTTGGTGCCAGCCAATCTATGACATGAGCACCAAGAAGTGTTGCGGCCTTTGGCCGAGAGCTCTAGCAGAAGGGAAACCTTCACTGACAAACACGTTGTTCCACTACAGCGTATAAAACGAGTGTTCGCATGCTCACGCGATAGAAAATATTGTCAGTCAGTTTTACAGAGTCTGTGCAATCCAGCTTCAAGTCAAAGTGCCCTGAAGTGCTCTCTGACGTACACACGTACAGCATGAGCAGCCGCGCCAATTTTCTCAAAGGAATAAACTCCGCAAAAATAGGAAAACAGCAAGTATCAAGTAGAGCCGACTGCAGGCCGTTGATCGCAATGTTGTTGCGCAAAAGAGATCGAATCCTCCACCCCTCCATCGAGAACTTCGCGAAGTTGCGACTCCACCAACACCGACGCAGTGGAGTTCCAACGCCTTGGTAAAGCCACGAACATCAACAAAATTTGGTATTCATGATGGATCGGATGATGCAGTTGGTGTGCACAGTCCGCCTGGGGCATTCGGTGTTCGACAAGTTTCTGTTCTCTGAAAATTGCAAGGTGTTGATGCTCCATTGCCCCACCGCATGATGTAAGTCAGGCGTCATAATTATTTTTGCGACTGATCATTGAACTGGACGATGAGTTCAAATATGAGCATCTTGCAGTCTCTGAAGTATTCTTTCTCTACTCATCTCATATCTCAAACGATTCTCAATCACACAACTCAACTACCAATCTTCACCTTCCAACTCCAACCCACCACTACCACACTACATCACAATGTCCGGCACCGAACAGACCTTCCACTACACCAAGGAGGACGTCCGCAAGATGGAGCAGCGTGACTCCGCTGCCCACGGTGGTAACGTCACTGCCGACTCGAACGCTTCTGCCATGCAGGTTAGTATTCTTCAATCTTCTCAAATTCCATACTTGCATACTAACATTTATATCTCAGTCCATTGTTGACCAGGCCGACAAGAACAAGGCCGAGCTCATCGAGGAGCGCCGCAGCAACCTCCCCAAGCCCGAGGACCCTCCCGTCAAGTCCGACTTCAACTCTGCCGACCCTAGCACCGTCAACGTCGGCTCCGGTGCCATCTCCGGCGGCTTCTCTGTTGGCAACGATGCTCTCCGTGAGCCCGCCACTGGTGACTCCGCCGTGAGGACCGACGGTGCCGCCTACGGTGTCAACACCCTTGGTCAGGGTGTCGGTCGTGAGGGCAAGGACGGCCTTAACGGTCTCCCCAACGACGCTGTCGCTCGTGAGGCCAAGGGCAAGTCGAACCTCGCCGACACCACCGGCAAGGACTACGGTTACCCCAAGAACGACCCCTCCAACGCCTCGTAAAGTGGCCTTGTGACGACTCTTTTTGATGTCAGGAAAGTTATTTTTCGCAGCCATTTGGTGCAGGGCGCCACAGGATATTGGCTTGCATGAGGGATGAACTCTTCTTTTTGTCTTATATACTATCACAGACCTGCGAAGGAGCGCGCAGGTAATTTTCATCAGGCATTATCTCAAGCCAAATAATCATGAATGAGCATTCAAGAATGCTTCGGAAATGAAAAAATGAATTCAACGTACTCAAAACATATCCATCTTTCTACCTCTTCAATGTTTTGTGAGACTTGTGCATTGTTCTGAAGCCTCATTCTGCTGCTCTAATTTACCTGGGTTGTTAGCATGGGAACAACTCCACCTAGCAATGTCCCAATGCCCTATCAACAATCGATTGAGGCTCAACACTATTCCTAGTGCTAGAAATCTCTGCCACGAGAGTGGATTATATAAAAAGAGGTTGCGACAGTTGCGGCGGAATCAAAGTTTCGGAAGCGGGTGGGTCACTTCACAGAGCCTCCAAATCTTTAATCAAACCACCAAACCACCACGAAAGCACAATTGATGCCTGTTCTTTGACATCTATACCATTTGACAGTATGTCTCTTCTGCTCTAATAGCACATCCGAGGGGTATCAATACCCTGACTATTCGGACCCCTTCCGCATGACAACCATGATTGATTGGCGTCATCATCAGGTGCGGGGCACTTCTGGAAATTTAGGTGGGGGTAAAGTTTGAATGATGTAACAATCACGATTGTCACAAAGTACAGATCGCGTGCGAACCTCGAGGGCGGAAACATGGTGTACTGATTACGTCGAGATGATGTGCCGCGGTGAGTAGAGACTCTACGCAATAGGTCGAGCTTGACGGAGGGGAGGAGCTCCTGCAGCAAACAAAAAGCAGCACAGGAAGCTATCTTCTTGCCTTCCAGTTCATACAATCAACAAACCATCAAGTCCACCCTTTTCTCAAGTTCAAATCAACCTCCCTCACACATCAATCAGAATGTCTTCCACCGGAACCAAGGTATGTTGAGCTCGAAACAGCTTTGGAATTGGACATCTTCTCACATTTACCTCACAGGTCACCAACGACCCTCAAGGTATTAACAACCCCAAGGTCGAAAAGGCCGGCACCATCACATCAGACTCTCTTGCTGGGGAGTCGCTCAACCAGGGTGGTTCGTTCGGCGCTGGTAGCCACGCAGCTGCCTCGCAGCAACCCTCCAGCTCGACCACAACCAACAACACGGACATCTCTGGCGCAACAACTCTTCAAGCCGCCTCCGATGCCGAGGCCCGCCAGGCATTGGAAGGTTGGAACGAGGAAGCCCAGCTGAACGCCGCGCGTGGATTGAGCAGTGATCATGGCAGCAGAGCCGCACCACCGCCGACCTCTTCGTATCTCGCCAGTGGACCCGCTAACACATCGGGCACCGCAGGCCAAGCCCCTCACGGCAAGAACATCTCCGAGGGTGGCTTCGACAGCAACGCTCCCAACGCCTCCTTCAACAACGACATTGGCGGCAAGAACGACCCCGGCCGTGCCGCCCTGAACGACATGCAGCGCAACGCCCAGCAGTCTGCTGGTGACGCCGGTATCCCCAAGCAGGGCGGTGTCTCCAACGACGGCCAGTTCGACGCTCTCAAGGACACCTCTGCTTAAGCGGATTCATTCCTTGATGGCATGAAGTCTTTTTTGTTATGATACGAGATGCATGACCTACCATATTTTATCAGAGCACTGGTGCTTTGATGGACAGCTCAAAGGTAGCTGATCCTATACGATGTACTTTTAGTTAGCTCTACAGCAAAATAATTGCATGAACCAAGCACGCCAAGCGTGTATTCACAGAAGATTTGTATGCCTTTCAAATTGTGGTTGATGAGAACTTGGGCTGTGGAAATTTTCTCGAAGCTGGCATTTCTCATCGTAAAGCTTTTGTGAGTCGTGAATGGCGACCAAGACATTTTGATGACCCTGGCCTCGAGAGTCAAGGTAGATGCAAGAAGCTTTCGTGACGATCGTGAACTTGTTGGTTGTCTGCCGTCCTATTCTGTCCAATCCTTCTATGTACAGTGACAGATAGACCGTTTGGTTAGATGATCCTGTTGACGCACAGAACTTGGGCTTCAAGATGCAGGCGTCGTGCGATACCCTTACCACAGCGGTCCTTTGGGCGTCAAGCGTGGGAAGAGTACCCCTTGGCCGTGTTGCTGTTTCTTGTCGGGAAGTCAGTCGAACGAAGCGTAGCTCCTTGTTTTTCAACTGATTGATCAACAGGCATCTCATGCCTCGACCTTGAGCTTCTTCATCGCCTCCAGGATATCTGCACCATCGTCGTCCTCGTCGACAAAGGCTCTGGTCGCAATACCACTCTCCCAAAGCTCTCTGCCCGACATCTTCTTCTCTTCCTTTCCACCTCTCTTCTTCTTTTCCTCGGCCTCCCTTTGCTCTTCGGCCTTCTTTTTGATGTCTGCCATTTCCTCCTTGAACCTGCGACTCCAGTCCAGATATGTTTCTCTCGTGACCTTTGTACCTTCGAACTTTCTGTTTTCCTCTGCTTCGGCTTCTGCGGCTTCCATGTCCTTTGCTGCTTGAACTGCTTGTTGTCGTTCGGCGATCAAAAGTTCGGCTTCGTCCTTTATGGTGGTGACAAGGGTGAAGACCATGGCCATGCCCAGGTTCTCTTCGATTGTTGCGGTCAGGCCATCTAGAAGGCGTGTCTTGTCCTCTTGAATGTCCAGATGTTTATGTTTAGGGGCGTTCGGAGGTGCTGAGAGATCTAGTCGGGGAGCTACATCTGGGTAGTCTTCTGGGTATGAGACGGAGAGGATGAGAGTGGCTTTTGAGGATGTCAGTCGTCTTTCGCCGATGGTTACTGTTTCCGATGCGTACGAGGGGATTCGGTAGAGTCGTCATCTTCAGTCACTTCGAGTTGTATCGACACACGGTATTCGGTCTCGGAGATGTCTGGTTTCCTGTCAGCGCATTGTGTTCTTCCTCGTCGGATATTCAAGATAGCGGACCGGTAATTTCTTCGGGGAAGATGGAGTCGAGGACTTCACGCTCCTCTGTTTGTTCTTCTCTACCCATGATTCAAGTATTCTAATTCTGGGGATGTTCTGGGTTTGAGTGGAAAATGGCAGTTAGAAGCTTCTCATGCGGGCAGCAGCAGTTCGCTGTGGCCGTCTCCAACAAATGATGTCGGGATTGAGGTCTGTGCTCCAATTTTTCTCGAAGACGGAGCGCGTAGCGGAGAAGCATTTCTGTTTCTTAATTCTACACTCTTTCCTTCAGTCCTACGTGAAACTTGGTCAGCTGGTCTGCATATTCAACACCAAGCTCATAAACCACTACGCGACCGAGCAACTCCAACAAATCCCTCACCTACATCCACCACCAAATCTACCGACAAGAAAAAAGAACAATGGCCAAAACCAAATCAAAGAAGAGCCCAAAGAGCTCGTCGCAACCCAAAGAGTCTCCCGAACAACTCTACGACCTCGCCATCCAATGCGTCGAGACTAGCGAACCCGAACAAGCTCTCGAACACGCTCAAAACCTGCTCGTCCTCGTCCGCCGTCTCCAAACTCCCAATGCCGTCCTTCCCGCTTTGAACCTCCTCGGTGAAATCAGCATCGAACTCGGCGACGCAGATTCGGCCCGCGACTACTTCACCCAAGCCGTAGAGGCCGATCCCGAGGGCACAATTCCCGAGTCCGTGGGCGGAGGTGCAGAGAAATTCTTATGGTTGGCACAGTTGTGTGAAGAGGGTGGTGCGGCCAGTGTTGGCTGGTTCGAAAAAGGTGCTGCTGTCTTGAAGAGGGAGATCTCCGAGCTCGAGGCCATGCAAGAAAGAGACGAGACTGCCGAGGTGCTTTTGGAGGAGAAGAGAGGAAAGCTTGCGAATGCACTCTGTGGTGTTGTCGAGGTTTACATGACCGATCTCTCGTGAGTCGCTCCTGAGGAAACCCCGAGGAGAAGAAGTGAAATTTGCTAACAATACGGTGTAGATGGGAGACAGACGCTGAACAACGATGCGAAGCTTTGATCACAGAAGCCATGATGGTCGATCCTGACAGCCCAGAGGTGCTGCAGACACTAGCCTCTGTCCGTCTCTCACAGCTCAAGCCCGAAGACGCTCGTGCTGCCCTCACTCGCAGCATCAGCATATGGAAGGACCTCGAACCCGAAGATCCTCTGATTCCCGACTTCCCCACCCGCGTTAGTCTTGCCCGTCTACTGATGGAGGCCGAGATGGAAGAGGAAGCCATGGATGTATTGGAGCGTTTGGCTCTGGAAGACGATCAGAGTGTCGAGGCCTGCTACCTTGGTGGCTGGTGTTTACAACTCATGGCAGACAAGAAGAAGACACAATTTGGCGACGCCATCAACAACCCCGAGACCGAGCAAGCCAAGGAATTACTGGCTACATTGAGAGCCAGCAGAAGTTGGTTGCTCAACACTCTCAGACTATACAGAGTCTTGGAGTACGAAGACGAGAGACTCAAGCAGCACACTGAGGAATTGGTCGAGGCACAATGTCAAGTTCTGGGTCCTCCGCCAGAGGAAGGCAAGGAGGACGAGGAAGATGATGAATGGGAAGGCATTGACGAAGATGACGAAGCAGGCGATGCTGATGAGGAAATGGCTGGCATGTAAAGGGTGGAAAAAGTACTCATCTTTTTTTTTTTCGCATTTTGATACCATAGACATTTCACAATTTGCGACCAACGAACGTTGTTCCGTCAAGGCTACATGTATACAACCTTGCAAATTACCAATAATGAATCAATTAGATGACTTGTCGCATGGTATATTCAGCGTGGATGTCGATGTCTTGTGTTTCATTCCAGCGAGTAGAACGACTATGTGTTGCCAGAATGGGGGAGACGAGTAGAGCGAAGTGACTGGTAGCAAATGTCGAAGTGTCCAAGCATGGAGGATAGAAACAGAATCCAGAACGACTTTTATTTTCTTCCCGGTCCTAGTGATACCAAACTTCACGTTCGCAATGTAGAAAACAAATTGTCGAGAGTGAAAAGAGAATTCTTTTGTTTGCGTAAAACATTGGATCATTGGTTGGTAACCCTCAGCTTGTCATTTCTTAAACGCCGAAAAAGTGCGCGCTGCTTTTTTGGTTGCGGTCTTGATGCTGGCTACATTGCTGGCTAAGAAGTGAGCGATAAACCCGTCCTAGAGCCGTCGCCGAACCAAGAAAAAGGGAACCCCGCTATGGTGGGAGAGGAAGTAGCAAGTCGGAAGAGTTGTTGGGCGAAACCATTTATTGGGCCTGGTAGAGTTTTTGTCAGTAACGCTGACTTTGTGTTTTCCCGAAAGGTTGTCGACGGGAGATTGAGGATTGTTATCGCACCTTGACGGCGTAGTTTCTCTGAGGGAAGTGGGTCTGCTTCTTCTTCTGCTTCTCGGTGACGCGCGAAGCATCCTCCTTGCTCAATCTTCTGCGGATGGCACGGGTCTGCTTTGCGCGGAGGTCGAGGGGCAGGTACTTCTTGTTCTTGTAGAAGATGCGCAGCTGCGAGCGCTGGTTGATGTTGATGATGGTCAAGACGCGAGCGATGGACTTGCGGACATCATGGCTGTAAGAGAAGGATATGTCAGAATTGGTGTTCGTATAGGCGCGGTTCGTGTGTGCGTATGTTTTGATGTTCTCTCTTTCTTCTTCTTTCTCTTTCTGGATTCGAAGTGCGGGAAATTCAGTCGTACATTCTGGTGAGCTTGCTCTGGGCACCACCGGAGATCTTCTGGGTGCGGAGCTGGACGAGCTCGGCCTTCAGTTCCTCGAGCTGAGTCTTGAGCTCATCCTTGTTCTTGCTCCAGAGGGTTTGGGCCTTGACCTTAGCGGACGACTGCAATAATTTCCGTCAGCATTTCGACGTGACAAAGCGGACGTATGTGATGGGCGCGCACCATTTTCGCTGTGAGTTAGTAGGATGAGTCGACGGGTGGGCGAGAAGTCGTGTGAGATTCGGCGAAGTTGATTTCCAGAATTTGCTGGCTGTGTGTGTTCCCGCTAGACGCCTTGGCGCGCGACAACCCAATGGCTAATTGTCGGTTTTGATGATCCGGGGTAGTGCATAAGCCCTGGCCTCACTCGAGCACAAAGCGTGCACAACGGTCTTGCGCAACGTCAGTCGCATGTGAAGGTCGTCGCTTGAACCTGGTCCTTTCCATCCTTGTACAACAATTACCAAATCTTCAAGATGACTTCGACAAGCACTGGCAGCTGGGCACAGTTGCGACAACAGGCTCGGTCACTCGAAACTCAGGTACATGTTGTCTTTCCCGTAATATACTCAGCAACTAACATCCCGTAGACTGATGCCTTGTTCCACACCTACTCTCAATATGCGTCTATGAGCAGCATCCCTGCCAAACCAGATGAAGACGAACAACGAACTGAAGCTCAGCTACAAGACATACTCGAGAGGGTAAGTCATCCCTAGCTTCCTCCATCAATCACCCAAATAGACTGATGCCTGACAGCGCTCAGCCCTCATCTCCCAACTCTCGCGCCTACTCGACTCTGAACCAACCGCCTCCGCCCTGAAATCTACAAACTTAGCTCGTCACCGAGAACTTCTACAACAACACCGCAGAGAGCTCGACAGGCTCAAGTCCAACATTGGCCATCAACGAGACCGTGCCAACCTTCTCTCCAACGTTCGCAACGACATCAATGCCTACCGTGCACAGAACCCCGAGCAAGCAGAGGCAGACTACATGCTGGACGAGCGCAGTCGCATAGACAACAGTCACAATATGACCGACACGGTCCTCACACAGGCATATGCCATCAACGAGCAATTCGGCATCCAAAGAGAGACGCTTACCAGTATCAACCGTCGCATTGTGGGAGCCGCTAGCCAAGTTCCTGGAATCAATAGCCTGATCGGCAGGATAGGTAACAAGAAGCGACGAGACGGCATCATCATGGGCAGCTTCATCGCATTCTGCTTCCTAATATTCATGTACTTTTGGTAGACACATTTCAAGGCGCGGAGTCTAGGAGTTTGAGAGATGGAAGCGCTGGAATTGGGAGGGGAGAACATGTCTGATTGTTTTGACTGCTTTATGAAGAATCGACTATTGAGCTGCATGAGGTGCGGAATCAACGTCTGCCTCCAACACACTGTCGGCTCTCTCAGCTTTTGCTGATCCCGTTGGCTTTCGTGTCTCAGCGAGAACTCTCTTCAGGTTCCTGACCAGACTCTCCTGCTCAAGTTCATGGGCAATAGCACTGCCAGCCCAACGAATCTTGCACTCTGTGTCGATCAGGTAGACGTAGCCAACCTTGCTGTTCAACAGGCCGATGGCTTCTCTCATGTCATCGTCGATGCCACGTCTGATCAAGAAGTACTTGCTCCAGTCCTGCTTGGGGCGCATACTTCTCAATCTGCCCGCAAATGCCCGTAGAATCCACCACTTCAGCGCATTGGGTTCATGGTTGATCTCAACCAGCTGTGCGAGTCCTGCTTTGCCTCTAGATTTCTCTTGTTCCAGTACCTCATGCAGCTCTGGGTTCTTGTCTTTTGAGCAGAAAGTTGCGACTTGGTTCTCTGCCCATCCAGACGAGAAGATGCCAAGGACGCTGACCTTGCCTCTCAATGCATGTACCAGATCCTTCTTCTCTGCATTCTTGGTAGAGTCCTTTTCTATGGTGCGACCACGCAGGTTGGGGAACCAGAGGGCATGGTCGGCTTTGAAGACGGACTGCGGCGCAATGAATGTCTTTCCCTTGAAGTGGCGCATAGCACTGAAGTCGCGGAAGTAAGGACGGTACAGTGTATCGCTCAGCTTCTTGCGGCGCTTCAAATGCTTGTCGTAGTCCACAAAATCATCTCTGCGTTCTTTCCAGCTGCGATCGTCGATACCAGTATTTTCGCCAGCTCGAGGTGGACGCGGTACTCCGATTGGTCGGCCCAGGGGTTTTGGTACGGGATCCTCATCTGGATCCTTTTCCTCGCGCGGTTTGTATGTCGTGGGTCGGGTGGGCTTGGTGGGCGGAGGTGTTGGTTCGGTAGCATAATTGCGTGTTGCTGAGAGGCAGAGTGAATTGCTTTGCGGTGTGACTAGTGCACGAAGCACTCGCAAGCATGATAGCGATGGTGCTTTCATTGCCATATTGTCTATGTTGTTGGTGTATTGAAGATGATGGTCGGAGATGGATGTCAGAGCAGCAAGAAGATCCCCAGTCTCGAAATTTGGCCGCGGATCTGCGGAGTCGACGACCTCCGAGCCCTCATGCTCTCCTTCTACCATTCAACTTGCCATTTTGGAAAAGCAATCCGAGTCTACAATTATGAATGCATGTCTATAGCGTTATTCATACCCAGAGTACGCCTGTTTTAAACACTATACTGGAAACACGCCTTGATGTCTTCTTCGCCATGCAGCGCAATACTCAACATGATTGCGCCTCAGACTTCTCGAGATGCAGAAGCGAAGAAGAAGATCGGATTTGATGCTTTGTATGCGCTGGATAATGAGAGTGACGAAGCCGAAGACGATGGTCTGTTGGCCTCGTTACAGAAGGTGCAAGGCAAGACCCTCGGTGACCCGACCATTTCGCTTTCACGCTCGCGTCGTACGCCAGGCAGGCCTCCAGGCAGCCTTGTTCGCTCCAAATCTAACATCATTCCTGCTCTCTCATTATCGACTCAGCAACATCAAATGCCCAGAAACACTAAGAGTCCTCTCGAGCTTTTGAACGAACTCAGTGCTGCTGCTGCTGCTACTTCCACTTCTAATTCTATTGTCAAAGATACTCCTACCCTACAACACCATAACACAGTCACCGGAGTCCCATCACTCGAGAAGCCTGCTGATGATGGGAAGATGCCTCCTTCTTCTGCCCTACCTGCCTCTTCGGCAATACCTATGATCAAGAACAAAAAAGGCAAGGGCAAACAAGTCGTCGACATCAAACTTGTACCCGAGGATCAACGCATCTTTCAGGGCCTTCACTTTTGTAGGTGGCTTCTTGACCTCTATCTCGTACTTCATACTGAACATCCAGATTTCTTCCCGAACAGCGATACGCATCCTGGCCGCAGACAGAGAATCGTCAAGGCTATTGAGTACGGCGCATCATGGCAGGACAAGTTCAACGACACTGTCACACACATCATTGTTGATCGCGACTACGACTTTGAGCAACTCCTAAAATATCTCAAGCTGAAAGAACTACCGGTAAGTCTGTTGAATCTCAACGCTGGGCTCTACAGATACCTTCACTTCGATGGCAGTGACTGACAAAGCTAGGCTGGCATCGTAGTCGTCAACGAGAACTACACAGCAACATGTATGGATTTCTACAAGTTAGTGGACACGTCGACCATCGAGTTCAGAGTCAAGGGCTATGAGCCACCAGCCTCTTCGGCGACAATCGCTCAACCAAATCCTTCTCAAGCGTCCGAAGTGTCACTGCAACTCAAGCCTGTGAAAAGAAAGGCCGTGGTTCTTTCGTCGCAGGTGACGTCCGAAGCGAGCCTGAATCTGGTATCTTCTTCTGCTGCATCACTCTCGAACTCTCCTGCGCCTGGTGTTCTGGATCCGCAGCAAGTTCCCAACAAGGACGAGGATGAACTCGACACGGCTATTAGGCAGGCCAAAGAGTCACACCCCCTTGCTTCTGACGATGAGGACGACGTCGAAGGTCATAAGAGACGCAAGACAAACAATTGGCAAGATAAGTTTCAATGCATGCACAAACACACCGGCAAGAGCGGCGATCAAGGACCAAATGCCCACACACTGGTGGTCTTGCAGGAGCTGGCTGATCACTATGATCAAATTCGCGATCAATGGCGGTGCAAATCGTACCGTCAGGCCATATCTGCCTTGAGGAAACAAACGACCAAGATCAGTACTAAAGAAGCGGCAATGCGGGTCTACGGTATCGGCAGCTCGATCGCAGAGAAGATCGAGGAAATTGTTAGAACCACTCACCTCCGCAAACTTGACTTCGCAAAGCTGGATGAGCGCCAGCAGATTCTCAACAGGTTCATGAAGATATATGGCGTAGGCCTTCATGCAGCGGAGAATTTTGCGAGTGCAGGCTACAAGACCATCGACGACTTACTCCAGAAGGCCGAATTGACGGACAACCAGCGTATTGGTATTGACCATTACGATGACTTCAACAGTCGCGTGCCTCGCGCTGAGGTTGAGAAACACGCTGGCATCGTCAAAAAAGCACTCAAAGGGTTGGGAAAAAATTACATAGTCAACACCATGGGTTCTTACCGTCGCGGAGCCCAAGACTCTGGTGACATCGATCTGCTCATCACAAAACCTGGCGCTTCGATCGATGAGATCCGCACGACGGTTATGGACCGCCTTGTACCACTACTCACCAAGCACAAGTTTCTCGTTGCAGCGCTTGCTCAAACATCACAGGCAGATGGCACTAAATGGCACGGGGCCTCTTGTCTACCTGATAGCAGCACCTGGCGCCGCATTGACCTCCTGCTTGTGCCTGAAGAAGAGCTGGGCGCGGCTCTTCTCTACTTTACGGGCAACGACATCTTCAACCGCAGTATGAGGCTGCTAGCTAGCAAGAAGGGCATGCGTCTGAATCAGCGTGGTCTCTACAAAGATGTGCTGAGGGACTATGGCAGAGAGAAGCTGAGTGAGGGTACCCTTGTGGAAGGCAAAGATGAGCGAAAGATCTTTGAAGCATTAGGCGTACCTTGGAGGCCACCCGAGCACAGAATCTGTTAATCGAGAAGAACTGAGGAAGGATGATTATCGTGCTACATATCGGGTAACGAATTAATGACGAAAAACATTGCTTTTGGTCTGTTCTTCTTCAATAGTTTTACCTTCTGTCAGCCAGGAAAGTCCGATGCATGTGTGCTAAGATTATTTGCGTGTAGCCACCATGTCACTGTTTCCACACTCTGCGTGCCTGCCACGGCTATCCAAATGCAACAACTACTTGAAGACACGTTCATTGAAATGGAAAGCTCGGAATGGCAGCCATCTCAGTGGGTAAGTACTTGGATTCCATGTCCCTTCATGTAAGAGTAGCACAGCCAGTGCCTGGCGTTGGCGATGTCATGCAACCCGGTTTTTGGGCTCATATACGGTAGTTGTGACCATCTGTATCTTCGCTTCTTGTTGTTGGTCGATGTAGTATCGCTTGAGCTTTCGACATCAGCCGAGCATCGATGGGGTTTCCATGGTACATGTTGCTGGTGGCAGAAGAAGAGTATGAAGGTTTATGCTTTTTGATTTACATGGTGTTACTATACAGTGATGAAGAAGGAGAAGAAGAACATTAGGAAAACATGACTTAGTTCTTGCTTGTCCTTCTCTTTCCTTGGTTGCGGACGCGCTCCTGGACAACGTGCTTGTTGGGGTTGCGCTTTGCACGAGTCTTGTAACCACCCTTTGCTGGAGTTCCCCAGATGGACACGGGGTGAACGTTACCCTTCGATTTACCTCTACCACCACCGTGAGGATGGTCGGCTGTAGAAAGAGCGTTGTTAGAGAATGAGCATCAGCGCCAGAGAAAAGATCAAACTTACCAGCGTTCATAGCCAGACCACGGACGGTAGGACGGATGTTGAGCCATCTGCTGCGACCGGCCTTACCAAGCATTCTGAAATGGTGGTGAGGGTTGCTGGCAACACCGATAGTGGCGCAAGCATCAGGGCTGACTCTTCTGACTTCACCACTCTGCAGACGAACGGTGACCTCCTTGACCTTCTTGCCAACCTCCTCCTTTGAGACCACTGTAGCGAAAGTACCGGCACTGCGGCAGAAGACGGCACCCTTGCCTGTGGTGGATCCAACAGCGTAAACCTGAGTTCCGAGAGGGATCATGCGCAGAGGCAGACAGTTTCCACGGAAGGCAGTCTTTGCGGCAAGCATACCAGGATCCATAACACCTCCCATACTCTTTAAAAGCTCGCCGGGGATACCGGCACGGTAACTCTCAATGACATCGCCAGCACGCATACCATCTGCAGCCAAAACGTAGCTCTTCTCTCCAGTCTTTTGCCTCGTGAGGAGGGCCAAGTGGGTACTGCGGTTGGGGTCGTACTCGATGCGTTCGACTGTGTGCTTGCCTGGCTCCATGCGCTTGAAGTCGACGGTACGGATACGTCTTCTGTGACCACCACCGCGGTGTCGCACGGTCACGCGACCTGTGCAGTTACGTCCTCCCTTTCCATGACCGACTTTGGCGAATGTGAGCTTGGCCAGCGGCTTTCCCTTCCATAGATGGTCGTTGATGGGGCGGCGCAAGTGTCGTGTACCGGGAGTGCGAGGCTTGTATGTACGGAGTTCGAAACCACCACGTCTTCGGCTGGGGGCAGCGGTGGGAGGGTTGAAGGCAATGGCATCGGTCGTCGTTTCACGGGTCGTCGTCGCTACTGTGGAAGTCTCGGCGGCGGTGGCATATGTGCGGCGGGCGAAGGCGTTGGTAGAGGCGCGGAACAGACACTGAGCTTGCCTCCAGGGCTGCTGCTGCCATAGCCGTGGCTGTAACATCTTGTCTGCTGATTGAGTGAATGCACGGCGAGAGGAAATTATGAATTGCTCCAACGCCTTGTCCGACTCTCCAATCTAAACCCTAAGCTTGTGCCGCCAAGACGTGGAACTTTGAACATTTCTGGACGGACGGTTGAAGTCCGGCGCTTTCCTCTTCCTCCTTGCTGTTGCCTGCCCTTTCTTTCCCTCGACCGCGCTTTCCCTTGCAAGCAGCCGCGCTGGACGTGTGTTGTTTCCCCAGCGATGAGACCTCGAGTTAAAGTGGTTCCTTCTTGTGCTTCTGCCATTCAAGGCGTGCCGTGGCCTAATCAGTGTTTTACATGTCACGTATAATTCAGGAGTCAACTGCCAAACTCTGATGTGTAGTTGTAGAGGTGTACTGTTTTGCATTCATTTTATGTGATGTTGTGAAGACGTTTTAATAATAATGAGGCTGGGATTTGTGCTCTCATACACACGAAGCGTCATTCTGCAAGTCGCGAGACGTGGAGCGCGAGAAAGCCCGTGCATTTGATGTTCAAAGCCAAAGCAAACAACATCTCTTCCAGTTCTCTTCAAATCCCTTCCCTCAGCATCCGCCAACGTCGTCGACGTCTTCTATAATTCACCCATCGACCGGGAGACCGCCTCGAGCAGCCGTGACAGCAAGTCCCTGCCGAATTGACTGCAGCCGCCCTCCTCGACCTGGTCCCAAGTTCCCGCTCCCTCGCACGCAGCACTCCTACTCGGCGCGTCAATTGTTTCAAGAGCATCAGTATCCAGCAGACCGCCCGCTTTGCTCCAACTGCACTGCCATTGCTCTCATCTTATCCAACACGCACAGCTCGTGTCCGAAAGCCCTTGTTACGTGCGTTCTCTCGCGTGCCCAGAAGCCGATTACCCGATTCGGACGTGTTTGTTGTGCCCGCCCAGACTGACTCGACTTGACCAAAGCAGCCGCTCCACTACTTCTTCCTCACGCCTACCACTTTGTCTAACCATCTCATCCTCATATCAACATGCCTCCCGTACGTATACCTCTTGCTATACCCTCACTGTCGCTTCCTTCCTTCACTGCCAAGCCTCCCTTGCTGCTCACCTTGACGCGTCCACAACTAACACATCAGCTCTCAGGCCAGAGCAGTGAGACGCGCCGTGACGAACGAGAACGATGAGAACGCCGCCACCACTCGTCTGACACGCGCAAAGGCCGCTGCCTTGTCGCAACCCGACGCCATCGCCGGTGACCCACCTAAGAAGGCCGCTCTTGGCGTCAAGCGTGCTACTACCACCACCACTACCGCTGCTGCCACCCAGCCCACCAGAAGACGCGCTGCCCTCGGCGATGTCAGCAATGTTACCAAGAACGAGACCATCGACACAAAGGCTGCCCCTGCCAAGGGTGGTAAGTTGAGAGACGCACAGAAGCCTACTGGCATCACCAAGCCCTCAACTCGCACCGCTTCGACCCGCTCTGCCGCTTCCACCAAGACCGATGGTGCCGAACCCAAGGCTAAGAGGCCCATGCCTCTCTCTGGAACCTCTGGCAATGTCCCCAAGGCAAAGAGACACATGACAACCAAGATTCCCAAGGTGGAGGACGAGTTCGTGAAGGATGATGTCAAGATTGAGGCCATCGAGGAAGAGGAGGAGAGCACAACTCCCAAGGAGGAGGAGGACTTGGACGAGCCCCTGCACAAGACTTTGGAGCAGCTGGCTGCCGAGGCCAAGGACCTGGACTCCGAAGACCTTGACGACCCCCTCATGGTTGCCGAATACGTTCACGAAATCTTCGACTACATGAAGGAGCTTGAGATCACAACACTCCCTAACGCTGAGTACATGGACAGCCAGGGTGAGCTTGAGTGGAAGATGCGCGGTATCCTGGTCGACTGGTTGCTCGAGGTCCACACCCGCTTCCGCCTGTTGCCCGAGACTCTCTTCCTTGCTGTCAACATCATCGACCGCTTCCTCTCAACCAAGGTTGTCCAGCTCGACCGTCTCCAACTCGTTGGTGTTACTGCCATGTTCATCGCTTCCAAGTACGAGGAGGTTCTCTCTCCCCACGTCCAGAACTTCCGTCATGTCGCCGATGATGGCTTTACCGAGCAGGAGATCCTCAGCGCCGAGCGCTTCATCCTTGCTGCTCTTGACTACGACTTGAGCTACCCCAACCCCATGAACTTCCTCCGCAGAATCTCCAAGGCCGACAACTACGATATCCAGACCCGTACCCTTGGCAAGTACCTCCTTGAGATTGGTTGCCTCGACCACCGCTTCATCAAGTACCCTCCCAGCCATGTCGCCGCTGCCGCCATGTATCTCGCTCGCCTCGTCCTTGACCGTGGTGAATGGGTAAGCACAATCGTCTTCCACTTTCTCTTCTGTTATTTATACTAATCATGATATAGGATGCCACCCTCGCCACCTACGCTGGCTACACCGAGCAGGAGATCGAACCTGTCTTCAAGCTTATGGTCGATTACCTCCACGGTCCTGTCCAGCATGACGCCTTCTTCCGCAAGTACGCTAGCAAGAAATTCCTGAAGGGTATGTTTCACCACCATCTCGTATCAACATACATTGCTAACACGTTCCAGCCTCCATCGTCCTTCGCCAGTGGGCAAAGAAGTTCGCCCCCATGTACCTTCACGACTGCGATCGTGACGGAAGCGAGACCCCTCAAATCTAGTCGTTTGAAGGTCCACTTCTTCCCATGACTGCTTATGGCTGTCCTCGATGGCAGCCTCACCCAAGCACCAAATGATCATCTTTGTCTCTTTTCACACATGGTTTCGGCGTTCCTCGAATTGCGGCAATTTGCATCGCAACTGGCATGGCGTTCACGGCGTTCAAAGCGATTCTCCATTCTGGATAATGCCGTCATCCTGCACCAGCTTCATCACGTCCACACGCAACAACAAGACTCCCCATTCACATCATCGCCTGTGCTTCTTTTCTCTTTCTTTCTTCCACGAACTCAACCCCAGACATGGACGTTGTTCTTGGACACTATGGCTCTCATGCTGTTGCACTGCAAGATCCTCTTCCAGCAACATGTCGCCACCGTCAAGACATACAACGGACCTCTACGGTAAGAGGTCCTACTTGCTGATTTTTACACGACGGATGGCTTTTTGTGGCTGCTTTTTTCTACATTTCTGTTGCTCTGTTTGCTCTTCTTCTTACAAGTATCCACTAGCTTTTTATGCTACAGCTCCTCGTCGCTCATGCGTTGCTGGGAAACTGTAGAACGATATCCATGGGAAGCCCGGAGTGATGTACGGGAACAAGGGGAGGAACACTTGGATGAGAAGGAGTGGTCAAATTGTATTGGTTGTTCTTCTACTGTAGTCCTTGTTCTTTTCTTCCAGATTTGTACTAGTGCACAAGCAGTGACGAACTTGTTAAACTAAAGGGACAATTGCATCATCTCAATACCGCGTGCTCCAGTATGTGTTTTGCTCAAGTGCTGAGCGTTGTGAAGATGCGCATCTGTGAGACTGCAAATTGACGGTGGATTCCCGAAGACGCGTGGTGTAACACAAGAGGACGTGCGGTTTCCAGTGCCATCTACGTACCAATGTGAATAGCAGACATGATCCCCTGATTGAGCCGTCCTACTGTTCTCGAAGGTTACAACGATATGCTGGTGTTGGATTCATTCGGAGCCCACCAGGTAGCTTGCCTGGCGAGAGACATGACACGAGCGTAGAGACGGCGGAAAACCATAAAACCACAATTTGCTTCAACAGTTCCTACGAAAACGTCACCAAGACTCTTGCTGCATATAACAGGGACCTGAGAGATCTCTTGTATCGTTTGCGACATTTTTGATACCGAAGGAAGTGCGTTCAATATTTCTGTCAAGTGATCTTCTTCGCAATGCTTAGGCTAATCTGGTGACCCTGTCTCTGTGTCAGAGCTCTCGTCATGCTTCAACCCTCCTATATTCCGCGTCATCGCGAAGCAAGACCATAGTAGATCTGATTGCTTAGTTCCTGAGACCTCTGGGGGGTTCTCGAAATGACATGATTGGATCCATTCTCCAGAACTGGTGTAGTAATCGTATTTTGATTTGACCTGAACGCCGCGCCTTCCTCCATCTATCGTAGAACTTCATTGCCAAGTTTAGATTGGCTTGATCTGGGTTAATAGTGAGCAACAGTTACTTCATAGAGATGATATTCCATGGGTTGGACGTACCTTGAAGTGCAGAGCGATCAAAGAAAATACGAGTGCCTTCAAATCTTGCACAAGATAGTAGAAGACACGGAGGCCCTCAGGGTCTTCTGATTCGTTGACATCGACAAGAGATCCGATTTTGGCAGTCTGTGAAGAGGATCAGTATGGCGAACAGTACGAGTGGTTGGGAATGATGTTGACCTCGAAGGAAATATGCTCGTTGCCTAGGCGAATCTCAAGCTCCTGTCGACCGTCCTTGTTCTTTTGCGGCCATTTCGTGTCGTCTTCCCTGTGAATGTGTGAGGACCGTATCTCAAGGGGATCGGGAGCTAGGAAACATACTTCAAGATCTCGCTGTCCTTGATAATACGCTTGATCTCTTCAATCATGAGTGAGCTGACACACACTGTGACGGTCAGCCAGGCCCGCGGCAAGAAATGTGTTTCTTCACATACTCTCTTTTCGGATCAGGGAGTCATTGCGATAGTTAGAGTTGTTGGCATAACGCGCCGAAGCAGAGCGGCCATCACCCAGGGCGCGGAAGTCGAACTCTGTAGATGGTCAATAACCATGACAAAACTTGCCAGCTGGACAGTAAGTACCTAAAAACTCATGTCCGAATCTACCGGAATGACCTGAGCTGCAATAAAATTAGTAGGTGGAATTGGCAAACATGTGACTCTTGCGATATGAGAGAAGAAGCGAAAAAGCGCCATAGGCCACGATCGATTGCGAGACAAAGTAACAAGAGACTCACTAGTAGCGTAGGTAGAATGGCTCGTTGCTGGCCATGATGTGTTGAAGTTTTGATGCAATGCGCAAATGATCAAGACGCGATGCGGCGTTGGACGGCGATGGAGTAGTTCGCTTATTCGGGCCTAGGCGAAGTCGGGGGTGTAAACGTACAGCTTTCCAACAAGGAGGAGGAGCTCTCCTGACAACTAGGCCGCTTTGAAGACAACAATCCACATTTTCCTTCCATACGTCTTTCGCATCTACTCAATTGCCGACTGTCCGACACTTTTCCACCCCCTACCGTCGCTTCGTTCCAATCTCCTGGTCCCAGCCTTCACTGCGCCGCTCGACCCCGTCCACAGGACCAAAGGACAGGAGACCCGCAATACCACCAGGACCTACTCTAGAGCACCCCGCGTGCATGGTCCACTGATAGACTACATCAACAATGGCGACTTTCCTCGACAATGCATACAGCTTGGTCCACCAAGACAACACGGCCGACCAGCCGTCGTTGCAGGACCTCAAGAACCAACTGGAAAAGGGCACCGACGAGTCCAAGCAAGAGACGATGAAGCGCATCCTGACAATCATGCTCAACGGCGATCCTATGCCTCAACTGCTCATGCACATCATCCGCTTCGTCATGCCATCCAAGAGCAAAGCGCTGAAGAAGTTGTTGTACATGTACTACGAGGTCTGTCCCAAGCATGATGCTGGCGGCAAGTTGAAGCAGGAGATGATTCTGGTTTGGTATGTCTATGACTTTGATTGATGTGTGAGATCCCATCGCTGATCGCATTTCTTGCAGTAACGGTATTCGTATGGACTTGCAGCACGCCAACGAGTACATCCGCGGCAACACACTCCGTTTCCTCTGCAAGCTTCGCGACGCCGAGCTCATCGAGCCCCTTCTTGCGCCCGCACGTCAATGTCTCGAACACCGCCACTCATACGTCCGCAAGAACGCCGTCTTTGCGATTGCTTCCATTCACCAACACAACGAGGCTCTTATGCCCGACGCTCCCGAGCTTCTGCAGGCCTTCCTCGAGTCCGAGAGCGATGCCACGTGCAAGAGAAACGCCTTTGCCGCCCTGATCTCAATCAGCCACGACCAGGCCCTCGAGTACTTGAGTTCTGTATTTGAGGGTATCCCCAACGCGGATGAACTGCTTCAACTCGTCGAGCTGGAATTCATCCGCAAAGATGCTGTCACCAACTCCCAGAACAAGGTTGGTCAAACGGGAAATCTACACTCAAGCTCATGCTAACCCACATCTACTAGGCGCGCTACCTCCGTCTGATCTTCGACCTCCTCGAAGCCAAAGAATCTACCGTCGTATACGAGGCCGCATCTTCACTCACAGCACTTACCAGCAACCCTGTCGCAGTCAAGGCAGCTGCTGCCAAGTTCATTGAACTGAGCATCAAGGAGTCGGACAACAACGTCAAATTGATCGTCCTCGAGAAGGTCAACCAATTGCGCCGCGTCAATGAAGGCATCCTCGACGATCTGACCATGGAGATTCTACGCGTGCTTTCTAGTCCCGATCTTGACGTCCGTAGAAAGGCTCTCAGCATCGCCATGGACATGGTCTCAAGCAAGAATGTCGAGGAGGTCGTTCTTCTCTTGAAGAAGGAACTCTCCAAGACTGTTGACGAACAATACGAGAAGGTGGGTAAGCCCGAGCCGCTGTCAAGGGATGATACTGACAAAGCCTGCAGAACAACGAATATCGCTCTCTGCTCATCCACTCAATCCACCAATGTGCTATCAAGTTCTCCGAGGTCGCTGCCAGCGTCGTTGGCCTATTGATGGACTTCATCGCTGACTTCAACAACGCCTCCGCCGTCGATGTGATTCAATTCGTCAAGGAGGTTGTTGAGAAGTTCCCCAAGCTCAGAGGAACCATCGTCGGACGCCTCGTCTCAACCCTTAGTGAAGTCCGTGCTGGCAAGGTCTACCGTGGATCGCTCTGGATCATTGGTGAATACTCCCTGGAGGCCAACGACATCCGTGAAGCCTGGAAACACATTCGCGCCAGCTTGGGTGAAATTCCCATTCTCGCTTCTGAGCAGCGTCTTCTCGAGGAGCAACCCGATGGCGAACCCAACTTGGATGATCAAGTCAACGGTAACGCGAAGGCTGCCCCGACTGGCTCACGAAAGGTTCTCGCCGATGGCACATACGCTACCGAGAGCGCTCTAACCAGCCAATCTGCGGTCAAGGCCAAATTGGAAGCCGTCAAAGCTGCACAGAAGCCTCCATTGAGACAACTCATCCTCGACGGCGACTACTACCTGGCCACTGTTCTTGCCTCTACGCTGACCAAGCTTGTCATGCGCCACAGCGAGATCTCGGACGACGAGGCTAGAACCAATGCTCTTCGCGCCGAGGCCATGCTCATCATGATCTCGATCATCCGTGCTGGTCAATCACAATTCGTCAAGCACCCCATTGACGAGGACTCGATCGACCGTATCATGTCGTGTGTTAGATCGCTGGCAGAATTTGCTCAGAAGCGCGAGCTCGAGAACGCTTTCCTTGATGACACCAGAAAAGCTTTCAGGGACATGGTCAACGTTGAAGAGAAGAAACGCGCCGAAAAGGATGCCCTTAGCAAAGCCAAGAACGCCATCCAAGTTGATGATGTCGTGTCTATTCGTCAGCTCACAAAGAAAAACGCCGTTGATGGTGCAGATGAGATTCAGCTTGACTTGGAGAAGGCAACAGGTGGTGATTCTGCCACGGAAGACCTCAGCTCTAAGCTTAGCCGTGTGGTACAGCTCACTGGTTTCTCCGACCCTGTGTACGCTGAGGCATATGTTCAAGTTCACCAATTCGACATTATCCTCGACGTCTTGCTGGTTAACCAGACCCAGGATACTCTGCAAAACCTCTCGGTCGAATTTGCCACTCTTGGTGACCTCAAGGTTGTTGAGAGACCCACGACCCAGAACTTGTCACCATTGGATTTCCTGAATGTCCAGGCTACCATCAAAGTTTCTTCTACAGACACCGGCGTTATCTTCGGCAACGTTGTCTACGAAGGCGCTTCGTCAACGGACCAGAACGTGGTCATTTTGAACGACGTTCACGTTGATATTATGGACTACATTCAACCAGCTCACTGCACAGAAACACAATTCAGAACCATGTGGACAGAGTTTGAATGGGAGAACAAGGTCAACATTAACACTAAGATGCCAGGCGGCAAGGGCTTGCGTGACTTCCTCAAGGGATTGATGAAGGTCACCAACATGAGCTGCCTAACACCCGACGCAAGTCTTAGCGGAGATTGTCAGTTCTTGAGTGCCAACCTGTACGCCAGAAGTGTATTCGGTAAGTTCAGCATATCTCTCCTTTTCTTCTGGACCGAGACTAACGACCTGTAGGTGAGGATGCTCTGGCCAACTTGAGTGTCGAGCAAGAGGGTGACAATGTCACTGGCTTCGTGCGGATAAGAAGCAGGTCGCAGGGACTGGCTCTCAGTCTCGGCTCGCTCAAAGGATTAAGCAAGATTGGCGACTATGTTTGAGACGATTCAACGATGAAAGATAGACCCTGAATAAGTTGCTTATGGCAGCCAAGGATAGAGACCTTGGATGGACTTTAGCGCGAGGTAATGCTTGCGATTCATCGACCGTGACTGGGTCTGGGTGGGGTCATTACTGGCAGGCTACGGCGTAACAGAAAAGTAGAGCGGTAGCATGAAAGGATACTATTTGTTTTGTATTATGCAGAGACAATGAGTGCCCTCTATTGACTGCATCAAAGGTGACATTTGTTGAGCATCATGAGATGGCAAGAAGATATATATTGACTTGTGGAGACCGCTGGAGCAAGCAAAACATAGCGACCGACATTCGTTTCCAGCCAAAAAGATTGTTACCTCGAGGCACTAAAGTCTGCACAGCCGGAAATGGCAAAAGGAAAGCTCTCCATCGGGGAATCGAACCCCGGTCTCCCGCGCTTGACGAGATTACTCTTGACAAGCGGAAATCATGACCACTAGACCAATGAAGATGAGCCAGCTAAGCTGGTATTGGTTTATGGTTGCTCGAGAAACGCATTACAATTTATTGTTCAAACCTTTCGCTTCGACCTCCCGAGCGACATGCTAGCCGAAGTGGCATGTCGCGAGTCCAAGCTTGCACATCAACACCCCTGGATCGACCACGGTGATCACTACGCCAGGTCAGGTCTAATATTGTCAATGTGCCTTTGCGCAGATGCAGTGTGATACATCATAATCGGCCATGTACTGGCCCATTGGGGCACCCAAAACATACGCTGCTTCTAAGCATGTAGCTCGCAGCACCAATTCACCCATTCCCGAACACGATGATTCTGAGACGACTGCCATCACACCACTCTCGCCCGATGCTGGACAACTCACACCTCTCGTCTTGGAACACGAACAGACTCTCTTTGAACCCTCGACCACATCGCACGTTACTTCGGACGGCGCTAGCAACAGAGAAGAGCAGGAAATAGTGGACATCAAGACATCGCGCGCAGGCAGCATATTCACCACAATCACTGCATCGTCGCTTAGTGTATGGCAAACCAAGCCCACTGCGCTACTTGCCACCGTTGCAAGATCGAGCCATTCACTCGACACCTACGGTCCAAACACCTCTCTTCTGCTGCGCCCAGATGCCCTCATTGTCATTGTTCAGACCCAGAAAGGCTTCTTGGTTACATATTCTCTGGCCATTGATCCGGCTGCTAGGGTGTACCAGACTTCTATCTACACCCCCTCTGGATCTCACGTTCGGCGACCAAGCAATGAGGCATACAGCAAAAGGCCCAATCTTGCGCCTGAAGTTGGACCTGCAGAAGGAGAAGGCATAAAAGAAGTCAGCATCCGCTTCCGCATGGTCATTCGGATAGATGCTGGTATCTCGCGGGCTCTTGTTCTGGACGACGAGCTCGTCGTGACGACCGTCAAACCCGCAGCCGTTCAATGCATACGCTGGACACCGGACAGCTCGGGCTCATCACACAATACCGAACTTCTTAAGCGGATGACCTGGCTTATTGGAAAACCCGCGGTCACGGACATGGCATATGATCGTCCCATGAACCTGCACACTTGGGTGACTGACGACGGACGGGCATACGCAGTGCAAAGATTATCGGGAGCAACTGCGGATCCAGCAAATTCAAAGAGTCTGTTCAGGGGGTTCTGCTTTCATTCTCCCGAGCACCAAGGTCATTTCGCAACCAAGTCCGCAATCAATGCTCGTTTCTCCTTGATAGCCATCGGCTGCTCAAACGGCTCAATTCAAGTATACTCCGCAAAGGACTACATCGGTAACATTCCTCGATCGCATGAGCTTAAGTTGCCGGTTTCAGAAGCATCTTCTGGTGACCTGACTTTCCTGAGCTGGTCTCCGGATGGTTATTGTCTCTTTGCAGGATATGATCAAGGCTGGGCAATGTGGAGTGTCTACGGTAAGCTGGGTGCAAATTCTTTTGGCGCAGATAGGCCAATGTCAGAATCCAATGACGAAGAGTGGCTCTGTGGCGTGCGCGCAGGTTTCTGGGTCGGCGGTGGTGCAGAAATCTTGCTTCTTGGACCCAACAGGCACGAGTTTCATGTGGTCGAGATGATGCGCAGCAGCGTGACGGGCTGCTTTGCCATGCCGAACATCTCTCGATCGTTGCTACAAGGAAGTACCAGTCTGATGCTATACAAGGGATTTGAGACCTCGTACCACACTACCATCTCCGGCGACATCTCCCTGTGGCAGACCGTACAGGTTCCACAAGCCTATCTAGCATATCAGTGGCCGATCCGACTGAGCGTCGTCTCTTCTGATGCACGGTATCTTGCTGTAGCTGGAAGACGAGGGCTGGCACATTACAGCGTTGGTAGTGGGCGCTGGAAGACCTTTGATGACACCATTACCGAGAACAGTTTCACTGTAAGAGGTGGTATGTGTTGGTGGCAACACATTCTTGTGGCTGCCGTGGAATCTGGCAGTAGTTATGAGGTATGTTTGTTGCAATGTCCTCAATTATTGAATGCTTACCAACTAGGTCCGTCTATACTCGCGCGAGAAAAGCCTGAACAATTCTCAGGTGCTACACACCGAGACATTGGCATATCCAGTGGTTTGTATGTCCACATCTGGTGAAGATTCGCTCCTGGTATATACCTACGAGAACGTACTGTTGCACTACATCTTTGTCTCGTCCTCGAAGTCTGTCAAGCTGGTACAGGTTGGTCAGATCGCTTTTCATGGCATCATCAGGGCTCCTCCACGCGTTCGTGCTATCAGCTGGATTCTTCCTGAGGAGCAGCGAGGTATGTTTACAAGTCTTGCTTTCTCTCTGTTCTTCATGCTAATTATCTAGACAATGGTGATCCCTCACACGATGTCGCTACAGCCTCTGTGCTATTTCTAGTTGATGCCAAATTGGTCTTGTTGCAGCCATCAGCAAACGAACACGGCGAGCTCAAGTACGATATGCGCGTCATCGCTCACAACGTGGAATTCTATACACTATCAAGAGAGCAGCCAGCATCGAACCCACCATCAAGTCCATTAGACGACAATTCTGATAACAACTATCTCCCTATGGGTGCTCTTGGCCATAGCTTGCGAGATTCTTTATGGTATTTCGACGGCACATCGATGCACGCTTGGTCTGACGTCCTTGATGTGCTTTCTTCTGCCCTTACAGAACATGGGCGTGAGGTTGCGCCCACTGTCGCGATCGCGACTGACTTCTATCCACTGTCTGCCATCGTAGAGAAAGGGCTACTCACCGGTCTCGAATCAGACTTGGTTCAGCGTCGGGACATCAATTTCGCATTTTACCGCCTCAACCCTCGCACTCATTTGTCGATACCGTCTCTTTTACGACATCACTTGGCCCAATACGACTCGCCTGCTGCACTCCATCTCTCACATTCCTATCAAAAACTTCCATACTTCAACCACGCCCTAGAAGTGCTCTTGCATGATGTTCTAGACGATGAGGTCGACACGCCTCCCGAATCGTTAGAGACAGCCCTGCTTCCCGGTGTGCTTTCGTTTCTCTCATCATTCCCGACGTATCTCGATATCGTCGCAGGCTGCACACGAAAGACAGAATTGCGAAGCTGGAAGACCTTGTTCCGCTACTTGCCTCCTGTAGTTGAGTTGTTCGAAGAGTCATTGCAGAAAGACATGCTGAAGACAGCCGGAAGTTACTTGCTTATCCTGCATGCATTCGACGAGGGCAGTTTCAGCGCCCGGCAGATATCGACTTTACTCAAACGAGCTAGAGAAGAGGGGGATTGGGATCTATGCAAAGAACTGGCTCGATTCCTGGTGGGAATCGACGAGACTGGAAATCTTCTGAAAACTGTCCTCGTCCGAGCTGGACTGAGGGATGCCGAACCTAATAACAGCTACAGCTCGGATGAAGATGAGCACATGATGACCTCTAACGGAATCAGCACCTCCAATGGAGCGGCAGTACAGACTCCGGACAGATCTGACGGTAACAGTAGTGGCAGTATCATCCATGCCGGCCGACACTCCTCACAAGACTATTTCGCCGATTCGGCGAGATACTCATAAGAAAGGTTCCCCTGTCTGGTCAGTGGATGCCTGGTGGTAGCCTTATCGTAGGGCTGCATATAACGTCCCACGTATATTATTTGTTTTGATCGTGGCTGCCTTGTGCAGCAGGAGTCGGGCGCCTCTATACAAACTTAAGCAGGGGGAACCGCAGATGATGGTCCTGATATGACGCCAGAAAGCCGACAGGGAAGCTTCACGCGGGGTCGTCCCTTCTGTTTTGGGAAATGTAGACTGTTTTCTGCTTCAGGAAGGAACACAAGCTGGGGGCGCACCTCCCATCCTTCTCAAGTGCACCATATTTGAGCATTTCGAACGAAGAATGTTGAATTGAAATATTTAATGAAGCTCTTCTTGCTCACCGTTACTTAGTCGCATTGAATGCCGACATGGCGCAGTCAGTTGGGGCAGTGACAGGATGTAAAAAGGCCCCGAGTCTGACCCTCGCGTGGTTGGCATAGTGCATGCCAAAGCCGAAAGCTTGGTATGTAGCTATAGCCTGCATACACCGCCCACCTGCTTAGGAAAATGGAGAGGCTTCGGTCATCTTACCTTCCGTCTGCTCAGACTTCTTGCTCCAACCGATGTCCAGTATCATCATCGTCACCCCACATCAACCGGTGTGCCTTATATGCTTCTTCTTGGCCTTTCACTGCTTTTGGGATGCCCGAGGTGTCACGCAACATCGGGCTACGTACGTGGCAGAGCCGTATTGCCAAACATGCCTTTGAATCGAGGGGCCTCACCGTAGATTCGATACACATTGCGAAGGTTTACTGTTAAGTTCAAGAGGTGAGGAGAATGCTACCATATCCTGTCACAGTTGCAGCTTGAGGAAAGAGCGCTCCGTCATTTACTCCAGGCATCCTGGCTCCAATTCACAAACCGCTGGGGATGGTCCACGGACTGACGGTCGGGCGCTCGCATTCGTCTTGGGAATTTGTCTTCGGCGTCCCCGGTTATCGAAAAGACCTTTGCATATGACTGCGATAGCCTGAGGTGCTTCATTTAACGCTTCGGGTAACCTTTTTCTTTTCTAATGACCGCGTTTCTTCTTCTGCCACACAAAGTAGAAAGAGCCACACAGCCTCTTCGTTGCGCCCAAGCTTTGTTCCTGCCTTTAAATGACTATGGTGCGTACGTCAACTTTCTTCCTTCTCTGCTTTTATTCAGACTTGGCCTGTCTATCGTCAGCTCTTTGTTGTTGCTGTTGTTGATTACGAGCTAATACTAGAGGAAGATCAGGCATGCTGCACACCATATCTGGCTACCAAGATCTCTCAACAAGATACAACCTTGCGATTAAAAGACGCCGAAGAAGTTTAAAAGCCACTCTCTGCCCCGTCCCATTGTCAACAATCAATTCAAGCAGAGATCGATGCTACCGTCAATATGATGGTGAACGGCAGAAGATCTAGACCATCGCCTTCCCCTATGGACAACTCCAGCAGTCAAGAGGGCGAGCAAAAGCTTGCCAATCTCACCTGGATCATGATAACAGAGCCAAGCCAGTCTAAGGACAAGGAGATGATGCGAAACGTTCGTATCCAGGTTATGAACGACTATCTCACCAAGGAACGGCGCAACCCAAACAGTAAAGATGCCCGCGTACGACACAGTGGAAGAAGAGATCGTACACCAATCAACACAACACCAGAAGCGAGAAAGAGACCCGGACTGTCGACCATGAGGAGTCACTCTCCTCGAGCTAGGGATTCTGTGATCGACCTGACACTACCGTCAGAAGAGGAGGCCTACCAGGAAATCGAAGAAGAGTCCACAGAAGATGCACACATGGCCATATTGACGCGTGGCGTCGCTTCAAAGGTCCAGCTAGCAGGTATTGGTGCAAAATTGGACGTCTTCAGTGCCACCCCCAAGTTCGATGGGGAGCAGCACATTGATGTCTGCATGCTCAAGCACAACTGTAAGCGAACCCAGCCTTTATGTCTGACCTTGGCTGACACATAGTCGTAGGCACAACCTACTTTGGAAGCCAGGCCATGTGCAAGAGGTGGGCCCCACTGCTGTTCGCTGGCCGCGCAGCATTTCTCAGCACCTTGTGCATATCTTCTGCATATCTCGATATGATGCAGATGGACTTCTCGCATGTGACGACTTCGAACACAATTGAGTCTGTGAGGACACTCACCGTCAGGGAACACACTGTGAAGCTGATCGGTGAGCGTCTCTCTGATCCAGTCACCTGTTGTAACGATGGAAACATAGTCTCAGTCTTGCATTTCTTGTATGGTGAAATGATCGTGGCATGTGATCAAGCTTTACACTGGCACGAAGAGGGACTGCATACTATGGTGGAGTATCGAGGAGGTCTGGACCAATTAGGCGGCGACGGAGTGCTTGCTGCTATGGTCACAATGTAGGTGACCTGGATCAAAGTCGGACAACCAACGCTGACCACCTATGTAGTGAGGTCTTTGAACTGTCAATCTTCCGCGAAACACGTCCTCGCCAAGAATACCTCGACTACGCTCGCTACATCTCCAATTCATCCAAGCGTGGCTCAGCAATTCCCGAGTCACCTCTCTACTACCCTACAGGTCTCCACCATACCTTGGGTCGAACAAGACGCTGCGATGAAGAGACCTTGGACCTCATCAACTTCACACGAGACCTCACACAAGTCGTACTGGATCTGCAGAATGCATCTTCAACCGGAAGCTCGCCTCTTGGGAGATATGGTCCTCATACAGCAAGAAGAATATACACAGAACAAGAGATACGAGCGTTAAACCAGAAAAAGAGCAATGTCACAACACAGATTGTGGTACTGGAGGCGCGAGACGACCCTGTCTATGAAGCGACACGGTTATGCGCTCGACTCTATGCCACCGCCGTCCACTGTAACCAGCCCTTTTCGGTCACGGCTCGCAACTTTCCAACCCAGCGTGGAGTCTCGAGTATCGTGATACAGATCAGAAACTGTCTTCTCCGCACAGACATGTCAAACTGCTGGGACAGCATGGTAGGTATACTCTTCTGGTGCACTCTGGTGACCGGAGCCGCGTGCAACGACCCGGATGATCATGATGTGGAGGTTTTGGCCACAAAGAAATGGATGGTTGCTTTGGCAATCAGATGTTCAATTCTCTTGACCTTTCAACACACGGATGCCGTGATAAGGACATTGAGAACAGTACTGGCTGTGCAAGGAGTGCTAAGAGGCGCGGCTGGGGGGCAGGAGGTTTGGGCCAATACCCCTGGTGGGTTCTGAGCAAACCGGGAAGGTCGATGAGTCAACGGAATGTAATTTTACAGCAGATTATAGCAGACCTCCAGCGTAGAAACAGCTTATGCACTGATCTCAACTTCACTAATTGCGAGCTTTCACAAAATGCTACGATGCATGGCGATAAGCATGAATTTCCTGTAAGCCACCAACATGACTTGCATCAGGAGTGACAAATAGTACTTCTCCAGCCAACCGCGAGCGCCGATAGACTTTACTCAACTCCAACATACAGACGAAAAGCATATCTCAAGAAAGGACAGACTCAGAGCAACACCCCAAACGAAAGTCTTCTATTTTGATCGGATAACCCGCGTCTACAAACCGCCCCGGACACACACGTAAAGGAGCAAACTTGCAAATCGGCACGAAGGCGTCAGCAGAGGGAAGCCTAAACGGTGGCCATTCGGGTCTCTACGCTCCCCTGGGAGGGATCTCGAGTAAGGGCTGTCGCGTTATCGGCCGTCGCTGATAGAGAGCGCTGTGGCTTGATGGATGTCGGTTAGGTCTGCTCTTTTCTGAATATGCTCATTGAATGTATGGGAGTCAAGCAAGCCACCGTCGAATACGTTGCGCACGCCAGCATTGGAGTCGTTCGGTATGGAAGCTCGACCCAGATGGGACATACGAAGAAGAACGTCAAGAAGGGCGTGAGAGAAGAAGGAGGATAAGGAGGTTCACAGTGCTTTGTTGCTGCTGAGAAGAAGAGAATCATTTGGGTATCATAGAGGAAAAGCTGGTACAATAGACCGATGGATGGAACGTGGTCGGCAATCATGGTTTCTCGCGAGGTTCTGTGGCAACACCGTTACGGTCGCGGAGGTCTTTGATGACAGTCTATGGCGAAGCATTAGCCAAGGCCGTGTGTAAGATAACATGTCGATCGAGCAGGGGATGAGATTGATGTTGATGGCCATGTTGAAGTCGCTGTGTTGAGAGAAGCACTCACAGCCAAAGCGTCTGGATTGACGCCATTTTCGATAAGCGAGACACAGTAAGACAAGGATTGACGATCCAAATTGGTGTTCTATGGTTTCATCTGAACATCAGCATGATTTTCAAATAAATGGAGAGTCCGAGAGCAAGGTTTCCAAAGGGTTGATGATGTTCGATTCTGAAAAGGTGCATGGCGCTGTTGACCGCCGACGCGTTGACAAGCAGTGATCATAAGAGTCCATCGAACTTACGAGCAGGGAGGAAATCTCGTAGAGGATATCAATCGTTTCGCGCGCAGCTTTGCGCTTGTCTTCTGTAGGCGGCATCGTGATATTCTGATGGTGTTTGTAATGGGAGATCAAAGCTGGGTGAACGGAGATGGAATGTTTGGCTGTGGCGGGGCGCCGCTTCTGAAAATGCAAGCTTTGGCAACCATTGAAGGTGAAGAAGGTACGACAAATTCTTGACAAATTGGAAGAACAGAGACAATTCAATTGTGGGAACAAAACCGGTGGTATCATTAATCGTGACAAAACAGCAAGAAAGACACAAAGAGAATCAGGGCCTGATCGAGGCCGCGAACAAGGCACGCATTGCTTTCAGGAAGGATGCCAGATCCCTCGTCTCGTTCAGTCGCTCGACAACAGCATCCACAGCCTCGTCATCCAACGCAGGCTCGACTGCTACAACTTGATAGTCCTTGGTCTCCATGTTGAGCTCAAATGCGCATTGTCGGTCCCAATCCCTCTCGTCAATGTGAGTATAAACAAACTTGATCCTGTCATCAATGCCCAAGCCTTCAATACGCATGCATAGGTGCGACTCCCAGAATTGTAGCTCTGGTCGGTTGTGGCGTGCTTGGTTGTCGAGTTGTCGCTGATGATGGTGTTGTGCTTGACGGCGGGTATGAATAGCTTTTTGCAACGACGAAATTTGAGAGCGCAGGTCGTCGCGGTGGGCTTCGTGGTTTTGGCGTTGAATGTCGAGTTCTTCAATCTGCTGTTGCATCTCCTCATGCTCTTGCGCCTCCTTGGCCAGAGTGTTTTCGTGGGCGATTGATTTGTTGGAAATATCCTCGAGCTCTCTGCGTCTTGATCTTTGAGATTCTGTTGGATAGCGCACGTCAGCATAGCACTTGGGGTCTTTGTTCGGACAGGGGACGACTGACCTTGGATCTCAGACATGTTCATGCGGAAATGATTGCGCTCTTCGAGTACGCGCTTGCGACCCTGCTCGATGAAGTCATCGAAGCGCTGAGTAAAGCGAGCCATGCGATCGCGCAAGTCATCGAAGCCGAATTTGATGCTGGGCAGCTGGTCGACCATGGACGGTGGGTCGGGAGTGAGGTAGGGGCCTCGAAGGCCGCCTGCGCCGAAGGATGCATCGAAGCGCGCATGGCTAGGTGTGTTCATGACGGCTGCCATTTTTCTGGTGGTTTCCGACTTGGATGTGGTATAGAGAGACTGTGGTCAGAGCATGTGAATGTGTCGAGCTCGACAGAATTGTCGCCGAGAGTAAACACAACCTCCGCCAGCGTTGCCAGGGACTTAAGCACGGACGACGTCAGATCGCGTGTCGAAAATAGGGAAGCCCTTCCACCAACCACCCTCCAGCTTACAGACTCGAGAGAATTAGACAAAAGAAGACGGCATCAATGGGAAACCGCTAGGAACTTGTCATGTTTCTTCAAAGATCTGTTACGGAAAGGCAGAAACAACAGCCAGATGCACAGAACCAAGGCCGATAGGTTGTTGGTCGGTCGGCACGCCCCCGGCTAAGGAGCCGAGGGCTGGTCAAGTCCTGACGCGCTCCAATCTCGACAAGTTTTTGACGAATAATTTCTCCTCAACTCTCCTACCTCGACAATCATAATCTAGAGCTCTCATCTACCGCCGCCACCTGCGTTAATCACGATATTCCTTAGGTATCATAGGCAACAAGATTCCGCGACGACCTTCTCCCCGGCAATGATTCAGTCCGTCTCTGGCGCACCACCACGCATAGCTAGGAAGAAGCCGCATGGCTGACCAACTCACCACCGACCTGAAATATGGTCACTTTGGTCAAGCCATCTACAACTCCGAAGACCAGACCTGGTTGTTTCCTAGGAATTTCGAGTCTTCGTCCTCATTACAGCCTCTAGGCACATCGCAGCTCGTCTTTAAGTCGCAGCATGCTCAGTCAAGACCAGACTCTACCACCGAGAAGCCGAGCATCCACCTGAATCGCCAGATCGCTGAACTCGTCAACTTTGACCCAACTTTGGCTCCTGGCGCCCACCTACTTAGCGAGCCTGCAATCGTGTCTGGAGAAGTTCAAAAGACTGCCATCCGTTATGACCCGACTGTCGGCCATCTGCTAGCTTTCGGTCGTGTGCCCGATGACTCCACAAAGCGCTCAATGCCAATCGTCGCCTTCCCGGCAGCAGACCATACACACGTCTTGCGACTCGTTCAAGTCCAGCCTCAAAAGCATGGTTGGGAGCACAACAAATCCATCTGGATCGATGTTCCTCGAATCTATGGAGAGTCTGGCATCTGGCACGCTCCTCACCCTATCCGCCAAATATCTTTCGCCGACGCCGATGAAGACTCGAATCTTGCCCGCACTCTTGCTGTTCGCACTACTCTCGCCGTTCACATTTTGCGCATTGCTGCAAAAAGGCATGCCTCATCCTGGAACTCTCTTACCGATTCGCCATCACGTTTTGATACGCATCAGTTGTGTACACTGAGTCTGGATCTGTTTGGCGGCGTTGCACCTGCTCATGTAGCTTTTAATCGCTGGTATCCTAAGCAATTCGTGACCGTTGACCAACATGGCACGTGGCGTGTCTGGGATTCAAGTCTGCGACAGCTTCCATCTGATCAAGGCAAGCCGACAGAGCTTTGTCGCGGAGCTACTAACGATAAAGCTGTCTCGGACCACGAGGCCAATGCCACTCTTTTGGACGATGGCTGGGGAAGAGCAACCTGGGCTGGTAATGTTCAAACCATTGTTACCGCCAGCAGAAAGTGCTTAGCGATCTATGACATCCAGGGCAAGCCTGTAAGGTTACAGTCTCCTAATCTCGGCATCTCCGGAACGCCGCATTGGATTCTTGACGTTCTGCTCAATCCTGTGGATTCGACTCTCGTGTTCGTTCTGACTTCAACATCACTCTTCTGTTTACGTGTGCGATGTCTTGATGGATTCGATCCGGAAAGCTATAGCACGGCTGGTGCCGAGGTCGTATTGCAGTGCAGACATTTCCGAGATCCCGAAGATATTGGGCTAGGTCTCTCTAGTCACGTCGATAATGAAGGCAGGCTGCCCCCGCCCTGTCAAAGCGATTGGTTGCTAACCTTATACAGACGCCGTTGTACTGATCAAGTCGTCTTTGAGTCCACTTGCAACAAGCTACCGTTTCATCTCGGGTGATTCGTCTCCTCAATTCCTTACAGTCGCCGATGCTACCCAGACTGTTTTGCCCGAACTCCCCTCCACGGCCACTTCTGCGACAGCATTTCTCACTTTTGATCTCCAGGCTGCGGAGTATGGAGAGAGTTCTCACCACGAAACCTCATCTGGTCCAGGAAAGATATATCGAGACCTCTCAGTAAAATTCTTTGTTGCAACTGCCATCACAAGTGACATGGTCGTTGTGCAAAAGCTGTACTTCGCAATACCAAAACCAGAGACTGCGTCTTCATTCTCGAGTATTGTGCCCCCAGACTGGCGTGGTAGACTCGTACATAGTCGCCCGCGTCTGAACGAAACCAGTTTCGTCGAACACTCTGCAGTGCACCAGGGTGTGGCAAAGATCCAAAGAGAGGAAGAAGCAGCATTGTCATCTGGACTCGACATGTTGAAATCAGCGCGGGACAACTGGACAATGCTATACGAGCTATCGCATGCTCGAACTACTAGCGCAGCTTCTCAGACCGAAGACTTTTCGCGCATCCTTGTGCGAGTAGGGCAGGTCTTGGAAATACCCGACGCTGTTCCTGGCAGGCACAAATTGTTGTCGGAGTTCTGCGACAGTCAAATCCTCGTACCCGATATCGACCAGGTTGCTGCAGAGTTCAGGGATATGATTGCTTCCAGAGCACATTTCGGAGACGAAGCGGAAGAGATTGAACAGAGTTTACTACTTGCAAATATCGCTGGGATTGACGCCCTCGACCTTGGCCTCAAGGGTGACATCAATCCGATGGACGTGTACGACAATATCATAGCTCATTGGCTGACACCGCTGTCTCAAAACGTACCTGGTCGGGTTCGACTTGTCAAGGAGCAATTGGCACGAAGAATCTCTGCCGAGATTTGCCTGGCAAGCCACGTTCTCAGGCAACCGCCTGTAGAATCAGCTCGAACGGAGACACAGACCACGGAGACACAAGGCATAGAGCACTTCGCTTCCTCGCAACTACATTTCCCGCAGTCTTCTCTTCCAACGCCGTCGCCAACGGCCACACCATCGCTGACTACCATGACGTCTCTGTCTAGCCATCCATCAACTCTCGTGTCGTCCGAGTTTGCACGTCTCCAACGATACACTTCATTTTCATCGGAAAAGTCCACACCAGGTCCTCTGCCTAAGCCGTTGACGAACACACTTGCGCATTGGAGTCTTGGCGGCAATCCGGATGAATACGACTGGCTTGCCATACAAAGGGATCAGGAAAGAAGGGCCGAGGAAGAGGATGAGGACCTCACGCCGAAAGAGCGAGCGAGGTTGAAGCGTCGTGCCGAGAAGCACTTGCTCAAGCAGAGACGTGAGTCGCAAAAAGCATCCGCTATGGATCTCGCGAGTAGCCAAGTTCCTGGAATCATAAGTGCGAGTCAGCCTGCCTTCGTGACACCTTCTAGAAGCGAGGCGCCGAATCTCCCTCAGTCCGCTAGAGCAGCAAGCCAGGGCACTCAACTGCTAGCGAGCTCTCAAGTTCAGCCAAACATGTTCACTAGCCAAGTTCAGCCTGGACGGTATGGTGGAAAACCGGCAAAAAAGAAACAGAAACGCAGGGTTGGGTTCTAAGCAAAATCGAAATCCTTCCGTTCGCTCTATACTTCCACATATGTACAGCTAGAATGCATTTTATGGGGTCATGTGCCATCTCAAGTCTTGAACCCAGTTTCCTGGTTGTGTGCATCTGCGATCAAACCCATGTCGCGAATCCTGAGGTGCCGTTACCCGCATTGGAAAGCTAGGGTGTTGGCGCAGCAAAAGCCAGCAGAAGCAAGTGTGCTGTCATTGAGGCTTGGCCCGCGCTGGAGCTATCATGTGCCCCGAGGTTGATGGAGACACGGCACATGCGTGCAAGCGCCTTTTAGAATGATTGGACGTCTTCTCGAACAACATGCCAAGCCGGGCTACTGATACGGATTGTTACTTTGCGCGCATGTGTGGTCGTCTTTAAACTGCCTTCTTGACCCTGTCTATCAGGCCTCAATTGCACGTTTCGGCGGAGTCCGACAAAGGAGCGTGGGGGGCTGTGATGATGGAATTGTGTTTTGAGTGGTGGCAGGAGCTAATCGCAAAGGATTCCTCCCCCGAAACCCCGCGCAATGACATGGTCTAGCAAGGCTGAGTGAACACAAGTGTGCAGATAGGCTTGTGTGAGGAAAGAACCACCTTCGTGACTGTACACATTTAATATGACTCTGACCTGCCACTATGGTTTCCCCTGTTCTGACCAACCCAATTCTTTCCACCACGCACCCATTTTGCTTGCTATATATATCCTCTTCAGAAAGAGGGAGGACAAATCTACTTGAACATAACGATCAGGATCACTCGGATTCATCAACGTGTTATCATATACTATCGCTCCTCGAATGGCCTGGCACAAATCGACAGCACTATACGTGAGTGCCCATTGCGTGGTGACGATTGAGCAACGCCGCTGACTATAGACAGGAGTTTACCGAAGACCATCTGAACCAGGACTTCGAACTCTTCCCATCGACAACATCAATCGTCGGTCAAACCAATGGCAGTAAACTCTCTCCGGTAACGGCCAAACCCTTCGCCGAAGCGAGATCTTTCAGTAATGGATCAGACCCCATGGCTCAATCTATCGACAGCGAGCAAGCATGGCTGGCTTGGTGTCGTGCCAGTGCTGCTCAAGATATGCACACATTGCCTGTGATCAAGGCTAGAGCCATGCCTTCTATCAGTGATAGTGGTTACGGTTCTGTAGAGTATACTGACAAACATGAGCTCGACGCTGACCGGAGTGTAAAACCCGGCATCGTCGATCCCAGACACCAGCAAGTGCCGCAATACTGCGAGATTTGCTATGATGAGTCGGAGAAGAGGCGTTACTTCAGCAACAACGCAGACAGAAGGTGGGCATACTGGCCACTGATTCTTCTCATGACGCTGATCTTTGGTAGAAAACACATGCTAACACACACTCGTCCTTTCAAGTGTGATGTATCTGGATGCGATAACCACAACGGTTTCGCGTCTCCACACGATCTTGCACGACACAAGAAGACATGCCATAGTGTGTTGACCGTCAAAACCTCGAAGTTCTACTATCGTTGTGCTGCTCCGGCTTGCCAGAAGAAGGACAAGATTTGGCCACGCAAAGACAACTTTAAAGCTCACCTGGAGGGAACACACAAGTACGATGAGGTTGAGGTGGCTGAGCTCTTGATGAAGTAAGTCGAATGGTCGGACGACTGAAAGTGTTGCTAACAATGACAGATCTGAATGTACTCCCGACTCTGTACAGTTGACTACTGGGGGCAGCCGGCGCAGAGTCATCAAGACGTCCAAGGACAGGCGACCGTCTCGGAAAGGGCCGCTTGCAGACCATGAGGGCAGTATCAACTCAGAAAGTCCTTCTGAAGAGGTACAGCAAGAATTTGAAGCCATCAATTCTAAGACTGTGCCGTCTGGATTCTGGGCGTCTCCGAACATCCCCATGGAGTCTACAGATTTTATCCTGCAGCCTACTCAAATGGATCCTGCAGCTGAATATACTCATCCTCCATCTATCTTGATATCCGATGACTCTGAAGTCAATGCATACGCGCCAACATCTCCGATCGAGATGATGGATACTACAACAGACTTCATGGACAATTTGTACTCACCATACCTGATGGTATCTGCCTCTTCCTCTCCATATGCGATCGAGCATCCACCAACCCCATGCGCGTCAAGCACGTACGCAGATTCCTTGTTCGAGTCGGACATGGACGATGTGACCACAGACAACGAGTTTGATATCGATGTGTACGAGCAAGAAACGGTCTTCCAGCCACTGTTAGGGCCGGCAATCCAGCAGCTCCTTGCTGCTTATACCATGCATCGCCAGATTGCTGGTGGCGAGAGATCATCGCACACTAGCCACCCATCCAGTTTTGGCAGCAACTTCGCAGTCGAGTCTACATCCGGCGGATCATCACTGCCACCGGTGGGGAGTAAGCGGAGACGCACCGTGGATGACGATGGTGACGACAACGAAGACGAACAGCCTCCAAGGCGGAGGAGCAAGGTCACCAAGTCTGATGAAGACCTTGTCCCTCTGGCATGTCCTTTCAACAAACTCGACCCGATAAAGCACGACAAGTGCTATACATTCGTTCTGAAAGGCATCTCACGTGTCAAGTAAGTGGACCTTACATCTTCAGTCACGTCTAGTCCTGACCTAGTTTTCGCAAGGCAACATCTCGAACGTGTACATAGTGAGCCTGTGCACTGTCCCAAATGCTACTCGATTTTCCGCAACAGTCCGGAAGCCAGAGACAAGCATGTCAGACAAGGCGCGTGTCATAATGCTCCGGAGCGCCGTCTCGAAGGCATTGATGAAGCTACGATGCGAAAGCTCAAGCGTCGCGTAACAGGCAAATCTGTGGGAGAGAGCTGGTACTCGATCTTCACACTCTTGTTCCCAGGGGCAAGGAAGCCCGAGTCGCCTTGTAAGTCTACACTTGATCAATCGACTGCTAATCTTTTACTAATGATTAGCAGTCATGGACACCACACTCTCCGCAGAGCTTTCAGCCTTCCGAGACTTCTGGACTCAGGAAGGACAGAATATAGTCACAAGCATAGTGGACGCGAGCATGCCCTCATGGGGCCACCCACATGAACAACTCGAAGACTTTGCAAGACAGGTTTTCCAGACAGCTTCGGAGCACTTGTTCCACCAGTGGCAGAACCGATCCCGTTCTGCCGCAAGTGCGCCGGCTATGGCAAATCCGCCAGTGCTTCCACCCACTCCTACTTCTACCTTTATCCATGATCTGAACGACATGGGTATCGGTGGTGCTTTTTCCGGTATGAATGACGAGGAACCTTTACTGCCAGCGTCGCAGCAGCTCCAGGATGTTGATATGCAGTGGATGGGTAGCGAACCCCAGCAACAACTGCAGCAGATGATGTATTTTGGAGAGATACCCCATATGGATCAGCAGCAACAGTTCTGGAACGATCATGGTGTGTTGGATGGGATGGGAGGTTGGTCGCGTTGAAGATTATAGAAGGAGTTTTGTATGCGGCTGATTATGTTTTGATGACTGGTGACGATAACGCTTATGTATAGATAGCCTTGTTGTACATGTTCTTCGTCTTGGGTATACTAGAGGGCGTTATGAATATTTCATTAGAAAACCGGTTAGGATAGCTTTTGTCAAGCGGATTTACTTTAATCGTCTGTGAAGCGAATATCCAGATCGCCTGCTATAAGACCAGCTATCTTGCGCTGCAGACTGCGTTCGTGATGATCGACTGTCTTGTAACACAGTTCTTGTTACATACAGTCTTGTCGACACCTCAAAGATTAAAACTGTAATGCTCAATGCTAACAGAGATCTTGTAAGTCGCAGTGGTCAACAATGCCCTACCAGCCGAGTGTAGCTGGAACCACCCTGATGATAAGATGTTTGCTCATCGACATATTGTATGGTTGATAGTTTTACTACAAGATGCTAAGTCTTTGGCTTTTTCATCCTAAGCGTCAGCTCCCAAGACTTCGCGCTTTGAGGCGGTTGTATGGACGATACGCCTTCAGGTCGTCTGACAAAAGACCCTGGAACCATTGAATCACCTCGTGAAGTGAATTTGGTGAGGCGTCTCACCAACTGCCACGCAGCAGAACGAGCGGTCAAAAAGACCCCGGCCAGAGAAGAACCATACTGTGGCTCTCGTAAGAGCTCTGGCCGTAACGCAAGCATCAGAAGCGTATGCATGTTATAGAAAGCGTCGTTCCCGGCATTGTGAAAAGCATGATTACTCTTGTAATCCACATCTGCGGTTAGCTGTCTAGGAGAGAACAACTTGATAACGTCTCCTGGTGTGACATCGCCAGGGCTCGAATTCACAAGGAATCTCCAGAGCTCGGATAGCCGTCCAGGTAATTTCATGCGACATTGCTGTGCTAGAGTATATGTGTCCACAATAGCAACAACGTTGGGTTCATTGCGTAGCTGATGACCCAAGACGTGCGCAAGTTTTTCGATATCATGGCTTACAGCATGGCCGACAAGGATATACAGCCGATCAGAGCGCAGTTTGAGATATGGCTGTATGGCTGTCAGAGGCACTCGATGCTCGACAGCTCCAAAGAGGAATGGCTGACGCTGACCGGCTTGGAAGCGGAATTGACGAGGCTTGATCTGCTTCGACCATTCCAATGCTGAAGGGCCAGGATCGATGTTTTCAATATCTCGAGTGTCAAAAGTCGAGATACCTAGCTCGGTGAGATTGTCCCTGGTGCCCTCAGTATCAATTGCGATGAAGATGGCATCTTTGGACGCCCGATCCGTTTTTGATTTCAACCCAAGACTAGAACGAACGAAAGCAATACACTTGTTATTCAATCGCAGTTTAGTCTTGGGTGGAGGTATCGGTTGTGATTGTACATGGTCCTCATTACTTCAGAAAGGGTAAGCCAAAATCTGCTCACAGTGCTTGGAGGTTTGCGTGCACATGTTCACTTAGTCAGACACCTTTTGGGGGACCTACTTGGGATTGGTGTCAGATTTAGTGCCGTGGTTATCAAGACCTCGCCTGGGGCTATGAATGGTCCCACGGAGCCCCTCAGTGCTTCCCGGCTCTTCGCGAGGGCGGGTGAGGGAAGGACTTGACGGTGCCGAGTCGGAGGACGAGGCTGCCGATTGATGCCAAGAGTAGCCGAAACGAGACCTTTGTCGTACAAGAAGTCCTGAGACTCTTTGGCAGACGAGACTACAACGGCAGATAACCATCAGCAGTGACAGCGACCATCAACTACCGAGGCACTTGCGTGGCGAGCAGGAGACGACAAGCGGAAAGTGATCGGTAGAGGAATTGGGTGAAGCCGATGGGTTCGAGAATCGAGGCTGGAAAGCAAGATCAAGAGAGGCTCCGGAGAAGTACCGGCGCTTTGATGATTTCACGGTTGGGCGCGGAGAATGACGAGTGGGAGGATGGAGAATGGTGAGGTGATACGTTGGAGACGAGCGAGGGGAAAGGCGGAGGACAGGTGATGTGCAGTATCTGAGCAGGTCACTTGGTCGGCACCGCAAGGTGAAGGCTACCCTCGAGATGCAGAAGGAGTGCTTCACTGTGAAATCAACAAGGCGTTTGACAAAAGGCAAGAGGTCCATCGCACGTTTCTGTGACGTGGAGGCGTTCTGGACAAGACGTACCCCGCTACTTTTTGGCTCTTGAGTCTCATAAACGATGCAAAAGGTCAAGACGCATCACGGCGCCGTCAAAAATATCAGGTAATAGCAGGTTTAGGGCTGCTACTTAATTCCCTCTCGTCTCGCGTGCCCCTCCTGACTCCTGTCCCTCTTCTTTTAAATACACATCACCACCCTGGCGGTCCATCGACGCACCAGATCTCTCCCAACTCCCTCATCTCGCTCCTCATCCCCATCTCACGCGGCAGACCCACCCTTTCTCCGCGAGCTCCGATCTGAAAAAGGCTCGTTTCTCTCTCGCTCCTTGTACGCTGTCGTCCTCCTCGTACTCGTCCTCAGCGTCCAATTCCTGCTCGTGCCCCGCTTCGTAGCTTCACTTCGCAAGCCAAGTCAGCCACAGAACTTGGGCAATCCTGACTTTTGTCGCTACAACCCTTCGAATCCTTTCCTACAGGACTTGATCTGTCCTCACACCTTCGAGGACCGCGCAAGCACGCTCTACGACACATCAGCACCTCGCAACATGGGTCTCGCACAAGAAGCCGGCCGTGTGGCTGCCGAGTTTGAGTACTCGGACGCCCAGGTCAACAAGGCCGTCAAGGAGTTCATCCGCCAAATGGGTAAGTTTACTGTTCTCGCTCTCTCGTTCTGAGCCCTCGACTAACCATTGGACTCAGACGAGGGTCTCGAGAAGTCTGGCACCACCATGAGCCAAATTCCCACTTACGTGACCGCTGTCCCCAACGGTACCGAGAAGGTGAGCATGATCCTGCAAGAAGCCCACCTCTCAAATCTGACAACCACAGGGTCTCTACATGGCCGTTGATCTCGGTGGCACCAACTTCCGTGTCTGCTCCATCGACCTTCACGGAAACAGCACCTTCTCTCTCACTCAGTCCAAGGTCGCCATTCCCCGCGAGCTCATGGTCGCTCAGACCAGCAAAGAGCTATTCTCTTTCCTCGCAAAGCAGATTGCTACTTTCCTGCAAACCCACCACGGCGAGCACTACCACGCTACCATCCGCAGACGCGCCACAATCCACTCCGAAAGCGGTTTCGAAGAAAGAGAGATCTTCAACTTGGGCTTCACCTTCTCTTTCCCTGTGGAGCAGGTTGGCATCAACAAGGGTAAGTTGATCCGCTGGACAAAGGGCTTTGACATTGCCGATGCCGTTGGCAAGGATGTCTGCAAGCTTCTCCAAGACGAGATTGATGCTCTCCACCTACCCGTTCGCGTTGCCGCCCTGGTCAACGACACCGTCGGTACCCTCATGGCTCGCTCATACACTTCTCCTGGCAAGACTGGCACTCTCTTGGGTGCCATCTTTGGTACCGGCACCAACGGCGCTTATGTCGAGAAGCTCGACAAGGTCAAGAAGCTGAACGGTGCTGAGAACAGCGCCAACGTTGACCGCACCACTGGTGAGATGATCATCAACACCGAGTGGGGCTCATTCGACAACGAGCTCTCCGTCCTTCCCAACACTCCCTACGACAACTCACTCGACAAGGAGACCCCCAACCCTGGCATCCAGATGTTCGAAAAGCGCATCTCTGGTATGTTCTTGGGTGAGATATTGCGTCTTGCCATCGTCGACTTGATCAAGGAGCGCAAGACCGGTCTCTTCAGTGATGACAACAGCAGCAGCAACGATGTTCACAGCACCACCTGCGTCGCCGAAAACAGCCCCTTGTGGCAACCTTGGGGCCTTGACACCAGCTTCCTGTCCATCGCTCACGGCGACAACAGCAACGGCTTCAAGGTGACCCGCCAGACCCTGGACAAGGACTACGGCGTCCACGCCGCCAGCTCCGAAGATGCCGAGGCCGTCAAGCTCATCGCCGCTGCCATTGGCAAGCGTGCCGCTCGTCTCTCTGCCGTTGCCATTGCTGCCGTCGTTATCGCAACCGACAAGCTTTCAGCGCCCAAGGACATTGCCACTGCCGATGACACACCCGTCAACGAGGACGAGATGGTCGACATTGGTGTTGACGGCTCGCTCGTCGAATTCTACCCCGGCTTCGAGGACTACATCAGAGAGGCCCTTCAACAGATTGAGGGCATTGGCAAGCACGGTGAGAAGCGCATTCGCATCGGTATCGCCAAGGATGGTAGTGGTGTCGGTGCTGCCCTCATCGCTCTTGTCGCCGACAAGCTCGCTAAGCAGGAACAGCTCAAGGAGTACGACTAGAGAAGCTTTCGATGATTTGACCAGAAATTTCTTTTTGACGATTACAAAATCTTTACGCATTGAGCATGCGGCACAATCTTGGGAGGGCGTTTTCTTATTATCTTCAATCGTCACATATGTGTACATATATCCCAGTACATTGACATCTTCTTTTCTTTTTAAAATCATTATCTCATCGGTTTTCTCGTCTCATACGTGACTTCCTTCTATTGTGTCGCTCGAAATGAGGCTTGACCTCTAGGCTTCAGGCTCGTCCAAAGTCCAGTAGATCTCTGGGGCCAATTTCTCTTCTCAGCACATAAGCACCCTGCGGAGTAAGTCTACGGTAGTAACGCTCCTCCATGTGCGTCTCCCTGAATCCCCTCTTCCGATACCACTCCCTAGCATCCTGACTAGCCTCCCAAACATGGGCCCCAACAGCGTTGACCCCGTGTTTCCGTATGCCTCTCTCTATAACCGCGTGTAGCAGGTGGGTCGCAACACCATAGCTCCTGTACGGCGATAACACACCCAGTGTAGAGATGTATAAAATCCTGTCTTTGGGCTTGGCTTGTGTTGATGGATCTGGCAGGATGCGACAGCGTATTCCTCCTATTACTCTTCCTTGCACCCCTCCTATTACAGTGCCTTGTTGTGAAGAAGCGGTTGTGGGATCATCATGCCATATTGCGAGGATGGTGAGGTCGGCGGCTATCGGATCCGAGAGGATTTCCTTGTAAAAGGTTTGGGGGTAGGGGATTGGTAGGAGAAGGGTATTCAGGCGTTGAAAGGACGAAATGTTTGTTTCGTTGCAAGGGACTAGAGAGATGTTCTTCACTAGTTGTTTCTCTGGATGTGAGAATGGAAGGTTTGTTGTCGTCGTTGCTGAGGTTGGTTGTGAGGTCAGGGTGGGCTGTGGTGATGGTTGTTGCGGCGGTGACGATGAGGTCGAGACATGTTGGTCATTTGATGGAGATGGAACATCAGATGGTGTTTCCGGGGATTCTTGCTCCGTCAGTGAAGATGGAGCAATCGATTGCTTGACTGCAGCAGATTTCTTGAACCAGGTAGTAATTGATGTCTGCATGTTTTAGGTAAGTCGCTGGGAAGACGCGTACCGCGTTGGTTTGGAGTTTAATTGATTTTTTATTCTCGCAGCAGCTTCCTTCCGGAGGTGGGAAGTTCGGCTTGGCATCGACATCGCGGCAGCAGCAGCAGCGAGCATACAGCGACGACGACGATTTGACCTTCAGCGATTGAACATTTCCCACACTTCAGTCACATTCGCTCAACATGGGTTCCGGAGGATCCAAGCCGCAAGGCTCGCAATACGTCTTTGCTGCGTACGATGTACAGTCCAATCGCATGCGATAACATCTTTACTGACAAGCGCATCAGAGACAGCCCCGTCAGCTTCTCGCCGTCCGTCGTCGACTCGCTGCAAAACAGCTCCGAGGTACTAGGATAATACACATGACAAGGGAGAGTCAATTCTAACCGAATCCACAAGACCGACTCGACCCGCTCGCGCAACCTCGAACTTCAAATCCAACAGCGCGTAACAGCCGAGCTCGAGCGCATCCGCGACGAGGAAGCCCAACGTCTTGCTCAATACACTGAGCGCCTCACGCCATCTTCCGAAGAGCAATCCGACGACTCGTCTTCGCCCTCGCTCAAGGAAAAGATCTCCTCCGCTCTCACACCTTCGTCATCGCAAAACAAGGACCGCAGCAACGACAGTGTCTCGAAAGAGGTCGCCGAGTTGCGCAGCAAGCTCGAGCGTCGCAAGAAGCTCGATCAGACCGACGCTTCTGTCGAAAAGGCAAAAGATGGTCTTGTGCAGTGTTTGAGATTGAACGACCGCAGGCCTTTGGACTGCTGGGAGCAGGTTGAGGCTTTCAAGGCAGAGGTTGCTAAGCTCGAGCAAAAGTTCGTTGACAGAACTCTGCGATGAGCTACTTCATTGTTCCGCCTGTCTTTGATGTCCTAGGCTTCTTCAGGGAGTTTGAAGCACGCAAGCCTAGGAGATTCGACGACATTGGCAATTGCGAGTTCTAGGACGATTGTCGAAAGACACGATTATATTGCACTACAAAAAGCAACCACTACCTGAGCATATCCTGTTCTCTCATCTTGCCTCTACCTTAGAATCACCCTTATCTTCCCACATTTTACTCATGTATAAATTTCGTTTTGATGCTTGTACCGATTGATTCACACATATAAATAGCTACTCTTACAATCTGGTAGCCGCCCTTGCTCTAACGATCTATCGCAGAGCATGGATATCGCTTGTGATCATACCGCGTAGGGTCTTGATACAAGAATCGAATTGCCTCAGACGACTGACTGCTGCGATCATATCTCTGTACTTGTATGCGCCGAACCACTTGTCCTTCTCTTTCTGCCAAGGCAAGTCTTCAGCCATGTCAACAAGACCGCCAATTGACTTTTCTGCTACGTTGAAATATGTGAACAAATCGGAACCAACTTTTACCAACGCCTTCCGTAGGGTATTGAGATCGTTGATACTGGCCTCCAATTGCTTCTCGTCGGAATCGGGGTGGCGGTGAATGTGTAGTGCGCCTGCAGCCCGCTTGCGGATCGACATGTATTCGTTGAGTTTACTGTCTGGTTGTTAGTTTCTATGTGTACTAGATAGAGCAGAGATATAATCCTTACGCAGTGATAGCCGACTGTTCCGTGTGCAGGTGTTGAACACTGTCAAGAACAAGTTTCCTGCTTGAGAACTTCTCAGGCGACACTCTGGTATATTGGTTGACGAACTCGCGGTACAACCCTCCGCTCATACCCTCCAGATCCGAGACTAGCGAGGTGAAGGTGGTCATATTCCTTCCTCTTTTGATCACAAGATCCCAAGCACGGGTTCTGTGAGGATCATGTTTGCTTTCGTATTGGCCAGATTTACTACCAGACCAGAAATGACTCCAGAGTCCTGGAGCTGCAGCTGCACCAACACCCAAGCCATATTTGGCACCATGCTCGAGGCTATGCTTCACACCAAGGTCTGCAGCATTCACGCCGTAGTCTTTGACCTTGATGCCGTAGTCTTTAACTGCACTGACGACGTTTCGATGTGGTAAATATGCTGCTGAAGTCGGCTGCATAGCGGATGACGAACCAAGGTTTGTGATTTTTGCCGCGTTCACCTCTGAAGGCGATGAAGCAGGAGGACATGGCTCAGGGCAAACAGGGGTGAGGTAATTTATATATAACACCGCTGCAACACTGGCGAGCACAAGCTTAAGTAGAAAACGTAACACATCGTCTCCAAATATATCGGAAAGACTGGCTGTGGTTGCTTCTCCAAAGGTTCCGGTGTTGATCTTGGGAATACTGTCCGAGGCCTTCGTCTTGGGCGGCACACTGTCATCTCGGCGAGAGCCCTGGTTCGCTGCAGGGCCTCCGAGCCACACTGCACCTTCAGAAGCATTGCTGCCGGTATGACGGCGTTTGAACATTGTTTGATTCTCGGTTTCGTTCGGTGATAGATGTGAACAGCCTTCTCAGTGAGTTGTCGACAGATTTGAGAAGGAACAAAAGACATGGCTGCGCTGTTAACTAGAAGAAGAACCGAAGCCATGATGGTAGACAAAGCCATTGAAGCGTCCTGTTGTTCTCTTTGACAAGCTGCTTCCGCATCCGGCAAAAACTGTCCCCTGGTTGTTTCCGTCACACCTACCTTCTAGAAGGACTTCGAGTCAAAGACGAGAAGCGAATCAGATAAGAAATGTATGGGCTCAAAGAGGAGCAGAGTCATTACCAGCCTGCCAGCACTTACCGTGCCGCACACAGGGCTTACCTTTCCCAGATGTTGTATCCGGGTAAAATAGCAATCTACGTGACCACGAACAACGGGTATTTCCATGGTCAACTCTGATAGATGCCGATGCATATATGTTGCTAGGTAGGGTACTGTATTGCGGGTTGGCTGAGAAGGGTTGAAGTTGGGATCAAGGTCAACCCCGGACAAATCGGACTTTGTCGGCCGCAAGGGTCTCGCAAGGGCAAGAAATTCTGACCATCAAAAAATCCAAAGTAACTTTTGAAACTTACCATAATCAATCAACGACAGGATATAATGGCCAAAAAGAGAAAGGCATCCTCCGCTGGAGCGACCAAGGACGATGTACCAGATGACTCCAACAAGCGCACGCGCATGCGCATCAAGACGTACGAGGATGTGGCGGGCTCAGACGACGAGTTCCACATCAATCGCGACAAGATTATGCTCGACGATGGTCCGGAGGCAAAAAGGAGAAGAAAGGTCCAGGAAGATGGTACAGTCTCTCATATATATGCGCCAACATGAACAGTCGCTAATGCAGATTGTAGAGGAATTCCTCGAACTGTCCGACGAAGAAGTTCTAGGATACTCGAGCCCTTCGGAAGCCGAAGACGACGACGAGGACGAGGATTTGGAGCAAGCACCAGCCAAGAAGTCAAAGAAAGATGCACAGGATGAGGAGGATGATGACGAAGACATGGGCGCATGGGGTGAATCCAAGCAAGACTACTACAACGCCGACGCCATCGAGACGGAGCAAGATGCACTGGACGAAGAGAAGGAAGCTCTGCGCCTGCAGAAGAAACAGCTCCAGGCCATGAGCGCTGCCGACTTTGGATTCGACGAGGCCGACTGGCAACAAGATGAGGAGGAGGATGCACAAGACGGCGAGATTGTCACAGAAGTTCTACCTCAGCTCGAGCTGGACGAGAAGATGACCCCCAAGGAACGCCTGAAGCTTCTCAAGACACGCTACCCAGAGTTTGAGCCTTTGAGTAAGGAGTTGCTCGCCCTGCACCAGACATACCAGGACCTCTCCGCCGTCGAGACGCCATCACTCGCTGTTCACACCAAGCAGCAAGCAGCTGCCGCATATCTCGCCTCTCTGACCATGTACTTCGCTCTTCTTACGTCGACCGCCCAGGACTCGCAAACCAAGGGTCTCGCTCTTTCTGCAACCGCCATTCGCGACCACCCCGTTATGGAGAGTCTGATACAATGCCGCGACCTCTGGTCACGCCTGAAGGACTTGCCGGAGGATGATTCAGAAGACGAGTCCGCACTGAATGGAGCCGAAGAGGAAGAGATGAGCGAGTCAGAAGAGGAAGCCCCCGTCACCATCCTCCCCAAGAAGACCAAGAAAACCGCCGCCGAACGCGCAGCCGACACCGTCACAGCAGCAGCCGAAGCCCGCCGTGCCGAACGCCTACGCAAGACCGAAGCAGACTTTGGCGACCTCGACGCCCTCCTCACCTCCCGCCCCAAGAAATCCGCCTCCAAGAAGAAGTCAGCAGCAGCAATCGACGAGAACGACTCTGATCTTGGTGAAGACAATTCGCTCACCGCAGAAGAGCTGGCGGAAAAGGCCAAGCGCAAGAAGTCGCTCCGTTTCTACACTTCGCAAATCGCACAAAAGGCAAACAAGCGTGGTGCAAAGGTCCAGGGTGGAGACGAGGATGTACCGCATCGCGAGCGTCTGCGCGACAGACAGGCCCGTCTCAATGCCGAAGCAGAAGCAAGAGGCAAAAGCTTCGACCGGGACCAACTGGGCGAAGACAGCGAGGACGACAATGACCGTGCTGTTGCCCGTGAAGTACGCGGTGAGAAGGGCATCGACGACGAGGAAGACTACTACGACATGGTTGCCTCGAAAGCAGCCAAGAAGAAGTCAGACAAGGCTGCCGAAGCCGCTGCTTTCAGAGAAGCCGCAGCTCAAGGTGGTAGGGTTATCGAGAAGGAAGAGGTCGGCCCCGACGGCAAACGAGCCATCACATATGCGATTGAGAAGAACAAGGGTCTTACGCCGCACAGAAAGAAGGATGTACGCAACCCGCGTGTCAAGAAGCGCAAGAAGTTCGAGGAGAAGAAGAAGAAGCTTGCTTCCATCAAACCCGTGTACAAGGGTGGTGAAGGAAAGGGTGGTTACGGTGGTGAACTCACAGGTATCAAGAAGGGGTTGGTCAGGAGTACCAAGCTCTGATGAGATGTCTGATGAAAAGAATAGTTGTTTCTCTGTTGATAGCAACATTTTGCATATACTCAAATACTATTTGTTTCCCCTCTCTGGTCGTTCCTGCTGTTCCAGAAACGGAATCTAGCTTTCTCCTCGAGCCATTCGTTATCCTCCTGTTACGGCAAATTCTTTTCGGGTAATAGGAGACATCGACTCTAACCGGCGCCGCTGAGGCCCATGAGCGCACCGACGGCCATCATGTCTTCGTCTCTCTCCGCTTGTGAAGCACTTGCTTGTTGCGCATTTGCCGTGTGATTTGCGTCTTCAAGCACATCATCCACGCTCATATCTCCTGGGCTTGCAAGATGATCGATCTTATCGTGATCCTCCCTCGTCCACCAAGGAGTACCTGACCATTCCAGCTCCTTTGATTCAGGGCCCCATACCTCATCCTTCATTTCTCGTAGAGTTTCCTCGCCCAGTTGTGTATGTGCGAGCTCGCCTTGTAGTACACCCTCCAGCAAAGCTTCCTTTGCGGCCCATTCTTTGCAACGGAGGTCCTCGAGTGCTTCGACTTCTCTTTTTAGCGCATCGCCTTCGCTTTGAGCCCAATGAAGCTGACGTCTAAGTAGGCGCATGAGTTGGTTCGCGGGGATCTCGCTCTCAAACTGCGAGAAGTGGATGTCAGGAGGATATGTGATCATGAAGCCTGCCTGGCCTGTGATAGGATGACGAGCGGGTATGTATTGAATGTTGTCCATAGGTGGTGATGGGTCATTCGGGGCCTGTGTCGACATGGGAACGGGGACGTCTGGGGCGACGGGCTTGACTGTGGGCTTGCCATTCATTGAGAGCCGTAATTTGGGGCCCTTCTTGGGCTGTCCGGTAGCCGGATCAATGGGGTTGGCGTTTGTAATGGCAGCGCGTGGTGGTTCAGGCTCGTGGACGGTGCGCATGTGTTTGGCGAGGGCATCGGAGCGAGTAAAGGAGCGGTCGCATTCTGGCAGAGGTTAGCTGGATTGGTCCTTTTAGCAGGAGCGTGCAAGGTGGCATACCTGGAAGATGGCAGAAGAAAGGCTTCTCCTTGGTGTGACTCCTCATGTGGGCTTTGAGAGCATAGCCGCTGGGATGATTGGTGCCTTTGCGAGCGCAGTCTCCCCATTCGCAGGTATAGCGTGCTCGCTTCGGAGCAATGTGGTCGTTCTGGACGTGTGCAATAAGCTCGTCGCTATTGGCCAAATCTCCCACACTGCAGCCTTCCCATGCGCATGTCGTGACCTGGTCTGCTCTCATAGCGAACTCGTCTGCGCTTGGTGACCCTGGAGCCGATCCCTCGCTGTCGCAACTGATGTCTGCTTCGGATTCTTCCATCGCATCACCGCCGGTTGCCATTATTGTACCGCCATGTGGTGTACCAATGTGTGCCGGTCCGCCTCCGGTGCGTCGTTTCTTACTAGGTGGTCCTGCCGTGTCTGTGTCTATGCTGGGTCTGGCAGATCGGTTCGGTGTGCTGATGTGGTCGTCGGCTTCGTCCGACGACGATAGCGACGACAATGGTGATTCCGGAAGCATATCGCTCATGGTTGATAGTCTGGTGATGGTCTTTTGGAAGAATTACGACCAAGGTTGGTAGATGCTTCAATAGACTTGCGCAGGTCGCATCGAGCTGTCGGCCTTCTCGGCGTTTTGAGAAGGAACGCCAGGGTCGCGCCTGCCGTACTTGGTCAAATCATGTTGTTTATCTTGACTCTTCATTTTGACCAGGCTTGCATTCAATTCGATCAAATCCATTCCGATCGCTAGTTTTGCTTTATGACGCTTGCCCATATATTCTCACATGAACCAAAATCGATCCCTCGCGTAAAGACCTTAATGACATGCCTTCCCCCATCTCCTCAGCCTGTAATAGTTCCACGGTAAAGGTACCAAGTATCCAGCAGCAATGCTCACTATCGCAGCAGTCCAGAATCGCGGATCCTGGAGAGCTACCACACCACCCGTCAAGTGGTAGTCAACGACATTCTCGGCCATTTCCATCGCTAGCATTGAGATAAAACTCATTCCCATTGCTGTCTTGAATGCCATGTTGAGTGGGAACTTGTCTTTGCCCCATCGAAGAAGACCTGTTTCCAGTGCGACTGAGGTGCTAAGACCAGATGCCACTAGTGATTTTCATCAGCGTCTGTTGAAGTGCGCGGTATCGTGATTGCTGTGAGGCACTCTCAAATGGAAGTTTATTGGATCATAACTTACTAGATAGACCCATGATAGTACCCATTCCCAACTCTGGCGCATATGTTTGCAATGCCCATAAAGCAGAGAAGTCACCAACGGTGCATCCAACAAGACATCTAAAGGTATTGATACCTGCTCGTTTCCATGTCCCTCGGCAGGTCCAGAAGGCACGTTCGAATAACGATAATTGAGGCTTTGTAGGCGCCGGCTTCATTTCATTACTCTGCAGTGTACTCTTCTTCCTCCGATTGTAGGCTTCAGTGGTCTTTGGGCCGAATGTAAATGTCGAAGTATGCTTTGCTTTTAGGACACAATTGACAGGATAGCGGTGACCGAATCCTTGCAATCGGCATAAAGATGAGGTTGACACATTCATGTTCATTGATCTAAGACGGCAAGTTCTTAGGGTTTGATGGAAAGTGGTGATGATTGCTAGAAGAAAACGGTACTCTACTTGTACTGTAGTCGTCAACTTTGAAAGCCTGGCCGCAGAAACCACGCATGTCTTGGATCATAAGCTTCGGATTTCCAGGTCTCGTATTAACCAGAGTGAAGTGCTGTACATTTTTACACCAAATGTTGGTCTATACGCCTGAGTATCGCACGAACATGACATCGTCTGATGTGAGGTGAAATGGTTCAAGTAAGGAAGTCGAGTGTCAAACCGAAAGAGGAAGTGACAGACCGCCACCAGCAGAAGCGTCAGTGCGGCGATCATGAGAAACACTGCTTGACTCACGACGTCCTACTATCTATTTACAACCTATTACCACCTTGGAATAAAGTTATAATCAATCATGCCGTCTCAGTCGAAGTCCAACAATACCAACTCCAGAAAGTTGAAGATTCTTATGCTTCATGGTCAGAGAGATCACACATCTCATCATGACGAAACTCGCCACTAACTCACTCGAAGGCTATACACAATCTGGCCCCCTATTTCAAGCCAAGACCCAGCGTGTGAAGAAATTGCTCGAGAAATCACTTGCAAGCTCACCTATCAAGACCGAATCTCCAATCTCTGGTGTTGAACTCTTCTACCCAACCGGACCTTTCAAAGTCACCTCGGCGGATATGAATGGGGTAGAAGTCAGGGAAGAGGCCAACGGATGGTGGAAACTTCGAGAGCGAGGAGAGATGCAGGAGGGAGTGGAGGAAGGATTGGCTCGTGTGGCAGAAGTGCTCCGGGAACATGGACCAATGGATGGTGTCATGGGCTTCAGTCAAGGAGCCGCTCTCGCCGCTATGGTGACATCCCTACTCGAAACAGGAAGATCGGAAAGCTTTGCCAAAGTCACTGATGGTATGCCCTTCCCTCAGACCTTTGCCGAACTGCAACACCCACCGCTCAAGTTTGGCGTCTGCTTCTCAGGGTTGTTAAACAAGCATGCCAAGTATGCTGCATTCTACGAGCCAAAGATTCAGACGCCAGTGTTGCACGTTTTGGGTAGCATGGACACGATAGTGGAGGAGAGTGAATCACTGGCACTGGCAGATCGGTGTGAAGATGGCGGTGCTAGCATGGTCATCAGACATGCAGGCACGCATACTGTACCCACGAGCGAAAGGGACATTGCAGCAGTCATCCAGTTCATCCGTAACGTATACCCTGGCGGCAACACGACTGCAAAGAAAGAGGAGGAGGAAGACGTATTAGACATGGACATGCCATTTTAGAAGAAATGTGCTTGCTTCACCCGATGGAAATGATAGAGACGCTTCGATAGAGGTCATCAGAGGTGTATCCGGAAGACTGAAGAGAGACATTACATTTTTCGATCAGGTCTTTGCATTTCGTAAAACGTCGTGACTAAGAAAATATCCAGATCTTCCCGAACCGTCTCTCAACCCACCAAAATCCTCAAATAGCCAAAACACAAGACAGACATTAGAAAGACGAAAAAGCTGTATGCATCTAAAGGGAAAAGGAACAGAAGAGAAAATAAGAACGCACGCATGAACCAGCAGCTTGCAAGCAAGTATATCAAATCCGACCGTCGCCCGTACTTGATTTCTTTAATGGACAACACACAAGACATTTAGTGCTCGTCGTACCTGGCAGAATGGTAGTATGAGTAGTCTCCGTTGATGGCTTGAGCCCAAGCATCCCGGATGTGATCCTTGTCTCCACTCAACAGCATTTCGGCGATTTCTGTCAACAGTTCTCTGCTGACGTCTGGCACGAAGTTTTGCAGCACATCCGAGTGACTCCAGAGAACGATAAATGTCTCGACCACCAAGCCTCTTCCGATAGAGTCAGGAGGCAATGACGGGTAAAGTAGCTCGATAAGCGGTCGGACAATATTTTCTGATGAAGATGCTGAGGGTAGGTCGTCCTTGTTCTCGACCAGAGCAGATGTCTTTGGTGACTTGTTGTTGTGCATGTTTCCGATACATTGCAAAATGCGGTTCATGACCTCGTTCTGGAAATCCGAGTTTTGGACCTTTTCGCCAAAAATGTAGGCTTGCAGTAAGTCGATATATGTATCATAGCCGGCGGATCTTGAGTCCAGAGCTGCATTCGAAGCGGTAAGGTCCAGGGATGTGATGCTCTTCTTGTCATAGATGTAGTGGGCGTATAGTTGAAAGACGATGGGATCATCTTCGGGTAGTTCGAGTGGTGCGTCTTCTTCGATCTGCTTTTCTAATAGCTCGGTGAAGTACGGTGATGAGGCGGCAAGGCGGGCGGAATGAATGTGGAAGTCTTGACTGTTGGTCAAGCTGCCAACACGTACAAGAATAGGCTTCGAGAATGCGCTAAAGCAATTGAATCAGCTCCATACAATTTTTCCGTTGACGTGTATGTTTTTCCGCTAGACGAGTCCAAGTCTATTCACAACCAGTACTCTCACTGATAAGAACATCAAGATAGGTAAACAAGCAAATAATCACCTACCTTTTCTTAATCTGATCAGTCATGGCCAAAGAGAGTGCACTTTCACGTCCGCGACATATGCGCTTGTATGGCCGGCCACTGTCCTCATCATCGTCTTCAATAGCTTCTTCATCATCCATGTCCAAGTCGTCGGCGGAATCCATCAGAGCGTTCTCTCCTGAAGCGACAAGCTCGGCGATCTGTTTCTCGCTGGGACTGTCGATTTTCAAAGCCGCATCATCTCCGTGAACACTGCTGTTACTGCGTGGGCTGACGGGCATTTGAGCGCCTGCGGTCGTTGCATCTGCTGATCTCTTTGTCGCCATCTGCGATGGTGTGATTCGTTATCGGTGTCCGGTGGGAGGGAATCGCTCGTCGTCTGCGTATACAATCTTGACAGGTATGTGAAGAAGGCAGAAATATCAGTCTAATCAAAATAACAACACGGACGGACACGGCAGTCACGTCAGACGCTCGCGCACTCGACTAGCCCTGCGCATATTAACCCTTGTCCGTGGCAGAAAACGCCTACGCCCGCCCACCAAAAGGTCAAGAGGACGGGTTGGTGCTCTGCCGCGTCAACTCGCGGGGCAAGATTGCTATTCCGGCGCTAGGTGCGAATGTACATGCAGACATCCTTGTCCCAAGCATGCGCCGTGGTGGTTGGCAGCTGAAAACATGTGCAATTCACGAGACTCGTAAATCATGCGCACAAGCCTTGCGATTTTCACTGAACTTGTCGTTTATTCATATCTGAGCTGATCTCTATTGCGAAAAAAGAGCCTCGATCCCTGGATGTCGTGCAGAGTTACCTTGATTTCGAAACGCCCACCCACTTGGCGAACTCCGGAGCGTTGGGGTTTCATCGTATTAGGTTCAGCATCGCTTAAACCGTATCTCACAACGTCCGCCTAAAGTGCCTCTTTTTCTGCCTCTCCGGATCTCCATGTGCCTGTTCACATGGTAACAATGTGTTTTGCGAACTCTACTTTTGGACTTCTAATGCCACGCATACAATAAGAACATCGGGTATCGACACTCGGAAAGACAAACAGTGCTAGATGGCGGGAGCATCCCAGGCTTCGCGGCGGATCTTCATGAGGTTTGACTGCTTGTGCGGGAAACTGATCTCGCGTTCTTTGAAGAAGCCGACTTCTTCGCAATACTGTTTCAACCTGTGTTGGTAATTGTCAGTCTCGACTCATCCAGAAAAGAGGATAGATTCTCAACGCCACTCACTTGATGTTGTCGACCCTCGGCTCTAACATCACCGATTCTGTTCTGGCGTCTGCGAGGAAGCAGAAGTGTACCAATGCGCTCAGCCAGACCTTGACACGGTGAGGGCCTCTAAATTTCTGCTCACCAACCAGAACATGCAGCCCGCGATCATAATCCGCCACTTGATATCCCAGGTATGAGCCCAGTCTATCCTCCTTGACCCAATAGATCTCGAAGTAGCCGAAGGGCTTTCCGTCAAAGCAGCCAATCACTGGAATGGAGTGTTTGTTCGTCAATCCAGCCTTCAGAAACTCTTCCTGGTGGGAAAGAGGGCCTTGTTCGCCCCACGAGTATGCAACACGCTCATCATTCATCCACTTATGCAGAAGATCACCGTCGCTCATTTCATGGTTCAAAGTGCCAATGGTTGGGACGTGCGAATCGCTGGCACTGGCAGAAGCACGAAGCGGAGAAGCTCCCGGGGTCGGATCTGACACTGGACCGATGTGCTGCACAGGTCTTTTGGACAATGATGCAACGCGAAAAGAGAGATATTCGCCAAGGCTGGGGATGTATCTTGTGTAAAAAGTCTCGCCTTGACGAGGAGGTTTGGGACGCAAAGGATGGCGAACGTTGTCAGTGAATATGTACTGAGCTGGAGCGGGCGGGTAAAAGGTAGGAAGATGCGAAGATGACTTGAATTGGCCAGGAGGTGTCCAGAGACCATGGTTACCGCCAGTAGCAGCCACAGGGCCGGCATTGTCGACAATCGAATCGGGTCTACTACTAGGCACACCGAGAGCAGGCGAGTCTGGTCTCGAATCAAGGTGGGTATGCGAGACCAAGGCAGAGTTGACCTGCGGGTTGCTGGTGAAGAGATAGATGCGAGGGTCAAGCTGCCAGAAATGGCGTCTGGAAACAAACATGGCCGACCAACCATCCGGAGTATTGGGATCCAAAGAGGTTCCAACTGCAGAATCCTCGGTAGCGATCAAACCCATGCGCTCCAATTTTTGCATCAACTGTTTTCCGCGGAACACACCTTCGCGGTTGATGTTGATGCGCCATTCACCCTTGGGTCTTCCTGCCTCAGCGGTACCCTGAGAGGTAGAGTTGGTCATCTTTGCATCAGGCTCCGGCTGTTGAAAGTACCAGTACAAAGTAGCCCATAGCATCATAGCAATCTGTCGGGTTGGAGAGGATGCAGGGAATTGAGAAGGAGTGCGCTCATTAGGCGGGTTGGAAATACTGGATATGAACAAATGATCACTCTGTAGGGATGGCTGCCTGTAGCTGTGAACGCGGTACCTTGGTGCGCCAGGGAGTTCGGAATCAGCGCCCGGGGTGATTGGATGCTCATTGTCTTCGCTCTCAATGGTGATAGTCCAACCAGGAGGGAAAATGTTTTGGTGGTTGTGAGCATCGACCGACTTGAAATACAGACCGCCGAAGACAGGCGTGACGGACAGGTTATGGCCGTTGGGCAAATGCACAATGGCTGGTGGTGCCATGGTTGGGTTGTGTGTGTGAGTGGATCGTGGATGGTCTGCACGCGGTTGATGGATTTGATGTTGCTGACCAATGACCACCACAACGGCTTTGACTCGTGATAAGAATGCGAGATGAGAATGGAAGATGCCCGACCCTGGTCAATAAGAGTCCAAAATGGATTGCAGCAAGCAACGTGACGAATAAGCTGATGTGGAAGAAGTTCGCAAGCAACACACTACTAGATGCATCTATCAGGCGAGGTTGTTCGGCAGAAGTCACATCGAGGCAGGCGCGACTCGCACGAGTCATCTAGGTGGACGGTGACGAACGACAAGCTCGGGCCCGCACGACAACGAGACTCGGGAGTGGCTTGGGATGGACGGCGGGTGAGCCCAATGAGCGACGAATCTGCTCAAGCAAACCAACTCCGGTCGTATGTTTCCTGGCGGACAAGATTCTCGTTGCGGAATCCAACAACGGTGTTGCGCGTGCCCGTAGTCTTGCGGAGACGACCGTGAGAGTGACGCGAAGAGAAAGAGGACGGAACGTCGATTCTTCCCCAATCCCAAATTACGGTGATACGGCTTTGCTGAAACGAAGGCCCGCGGTCTTGCAAAAGCTTGTCTGTTTGATTGCCCGAGTGAACATCTTCTGTCGATAACTAGACATGATGCCTGTCGAGTGAGATCGCGACCAGACAAGATAGCGACTCCCCTCGACCGAGTCCATCACAGTAGCACCGATCCACGACGCTGCCGATCCATCGAGGATGGGCTCTTATTTTGGTCGAAACCACTCGCCAAAGCCGTCGAGCGAACGCGCCCACTCGTATACACACAGCTACACTTCGTCGTCGCCTGTATCGCAACTAGCCCCTGTCCTGCCGCCTATACCGAGCATTGCTGATGTCGCCGACGATGCACCTACAACGGGACTCGGACTCGATGGCGCCTTCAGCTTCAATCCCAGTCCACAACACTCTACGCCCTCTCCAGCATCAAACATCTCGACGCCATCGCCACTACGAGATGCTGCTGCAGCCCCCGCCGTGCGACCACGAAGTCTACTCCAGGGAAGGGCAGTGACAAGCCCAGTGGGTGCGTTGCCCAACTTTCAGCAGACAAACATGTCGCCCTCTTCCCCTTTGGCCGCTCTCTCCGTGCCCTACTCTTCGACGACCGCCCAGGCCAAACCTCGAGCTGGAAACCGTCCTCTACCCGCCGAGTCAACCGTGAATGGCGTCCCGCAGCATGCAAAGGCGTCTAAGCAGAGACCAGAATTACACTCGAACAAGTCGTCCAAGGGCAAGTTTAATCTACTCAACCCTGTCAATCTGCTTATGCGGAGGCGCTCTGCGCAGGCGGTTGAAACCCTCGAAAAGACGACATCCAAGAATTTGGCCGTACCTCCCATGGACCTTCCCGACGACTACGACCCACGTATCAGAGGCAAGGTCGTCCACGACTTCAGCGCCCCGAGGACTCGCCGTACGCCTTCATATGATCCCAGCTTAGCAGAGGCTTCACCCAAACCATCAACTGCAAATGATTCGATCAAATCACATCAAGACTCGATTGAGCGCGACCCCAAGAGGCAATCAGTCCAACATACTCCCGTCTTTGTCGAGCACATTGATAGTGCACCCGACGAGAACCGTGTTCATGCTGAAACATTGGCGAATAATGATTTCGTCGCTCGCAACTCGTGGCACCAAAGTGGAGAGTCTCTTGACATGCCTCCTTTCGGTCGCCGGAGCCAGCTCTTTGAGGAACAAAGTCATTCCGAACCTGCATCTGATTCTCCGCATTCTGCCATGAGCGCTACAAGTGGTCCTGGCTGGCAATATCATGAACCCGAACGTGTCTATTCTCCTGTGTCGCCCGAATTTGCTCCCGAGTCTTCGTCTGCACCTGAGCGCCACGAGCTCGAGTCTGATGGCTTCGATCAGCCGTCACCGTCGATTCAACAGCATCCCCAATCGTCGCCCAATCTCCTTCCAAATCCCTCCAATATCCCAAGACACATGGCCAGTACAGCTTCGCGTTTCAGCTTCCAGATTGCCAACGATTCGATAGCGGAAGAGAAGCTGTTGGAAGAAAGGCACAAGCTTCGGCAGTCGAATGTCGCTCAAGACCCTCCAACCTTTGAGCATGATGAATACGATGAAGAAGAAGAGGACACATTCGACGAGGACGCAATGTACGATCATGATGAGATGGAAGATACTTCACCAAATGGTCTTTACGGACACCCAAATTCTGGCTTGCCTGAAAGGCTTTCTGCCATGACTTTGGATTCCCATCAAGACCACATGTCGATGGCTTCTTCGAGCACTCTGTATTCAGTCACCGGCCCACAAACAACACAACCGGTTTTCCAGAACCCGCTTCGCTCGAACCCACCTCTAAACCCACTCCACCAGCATCCTCCTGGCGCCTCTCAAGACTCAATTTTGATTGAACCTCAACAACAACCGGCCAGTCCTTCTTCGGTCAACTCTTTCTATTTTGATGATGGTATGCTTGACCAACTTGACGATGTCCAAGAAGAGGAGGAACATGACGAAACCTTTGACGAAGGCAAGTTCGACGATCCATCATATCTGAAGAGGCCCAATCAACCAGCTCACCTTCACGAATCTCCCGCCACCTCGTCAAACCGTGCTTCTCCAGGAGCTCCTGTTCACAATGTTAATGGTTATCCATTCCTCATTCAAAACCCCGGAACCGGTCATTTTTCTGCTGATTCGCCTTTTTCTGAAGGCTCTTCTCAACCCGGTGATCACCAACTTGATTCACAAGAGGACGCAGCACGACACGACTCTCAACAAGGGCCACCTGGGTGTCAGAACCTTGCTGCATATCACAATGCTTTAGCAGAGGCGGCACACCGGGCTGCTGCTGATGGCAAATTTACGAGACAAAACAGCATCGCTGCCTCTGACTCTGTCTATTCTGAAGATCACGATGAGCAGGTCGAGAATAACGATTCTCGTCAAATGCAATATCCACAACAGATGTCTATGCCCATGCCCGCACCCATGCAGATGCAAATGCCGATGCAAATACCTCCTCAATCCCAGATGTCTCTTCAGTCGCAAATGCAGATGCAGCAACAGTTACAGCAACAATTTCAATTGCAACAACAGATGCAAATGCAGATGCAAATGCAAATGCAGCCTCAGATGCGTCAGAGCTACATGTCGGGCTCAAGTCATGTTTCTCGTGGCTCCTATTCAGCCTTCGACTTTGGCTTCAGCGATGGTGCAACCATCGAGGACACTTTCTCGTCTCCAGAATTTCCAAATGACGATTTTGCTTTCGACGACTCTGATCTGATCTCCGCTGCAAACTCGGAAGCACTTGCCAATGATGACGAGGGCTTTTATAGCCAGGAATTTGGATTTTATGCTAGAGCACGTCCAGGAGGCGATCCTGACACTGTTGAAGCCATCAATGGTGGCTACTTCGGTGCACCCGGCATCGAGATAGTACGACAAAAGAGTGTCAAAGAGCCAAATCTGACTCCCATTACCGAACGCAGTGAGTTCAGTACACGAAACTCATATATTGGTCCCTTCAGCCCTCTTGCCGCCGCTCTCCCTTCGCCCGGCTTCCCGCCCTCTCACATGGCAGCAGCACGCATGAGTCCTCTTGCCTGGCAACATCTACAAGAAGATGAAATGACCTTGGCCGATCTTCGAAGACTCAAGCAAGGCGCATTCGGTAGCAGCAGCAACAGTGTCAATTCGCAATCCTCGTCCTTTGGCATTCCAGCGCCCTACAGTCCCACTACTGCTGCACAAAATATGCCTGGTGGCTATTTTATGCCACGCGCTGGCTACGGCGGTGTTCCCATGGCATGGCAGCGTAGTAGTGACAGCAACTCGAACTACAACCCCTCCAATCATTCCTCCAGTCCGGCGCCCACCTCTCCTGTCCATGTGTCCATTCCCACCGGCATGAACTACAGTCAGACCCCACACTCGCCTTTACAACCACCGCATGCCTTCTTTGTCCCAGACAATGTTTCAACTCCCAAGAAGAGTTCTCCGACTCTACACGAATTGCCAGGAACACCAGTTACAGCAAAAAAGCCTTCAGCAAAGGACGTGGCCGCTGCCTCTGAACGACAGCCATATCAAGCACATTCGAGATCTGGTAGTGGTGCAGACAACATCACTTATGTTCGTGAAGAAGACTCTACAGGTGGCAAGCGTTGGGTTCTTGAAAGACGACGTACAAGCGAAGCAGGTCTACTCGAGCTTATTGGTAGAGAGGTCGTCGAGGGTGGCCGCATTTGATCCAGGTCTTGATATTTCACTTCTCTTCCTGCCACATTGATGGCATATGGTGGCCGATCTCTTTTTCTGGGTGTTGATACCATGATACTGCGTTTTAGCGATAACTTATAATATGTCCTGACCTTTTTTCGAATACCCCATGGCGGACACATCAAACTGCTTGTATAGAATGATTTTGAAATGAACATACGCTTCTAACTCGTGAACTCCACCTCATCAACATGCATTACTAAAGTCTTTCAGAGTATCAACAAACATCATAACATGTCAATCATCAAGAGTGTCACAAAGTGAGGTGTTTTGGATGCCAAGGAGCCACCACAGACACCCCACTCGTACGGTCTTTCCTCCTTCTGTCCTTTCGAATGCGGATTTCCTCTTGTTCATCTATCAACACTCATGCGAGTAAGTCTGTACTGTCTCCTGACATCTTGCATTCGGTAACAGAAGCCTCTCATGTCGTCGGAAAAAAGCCATCTGCAAGCATAGTAATGTTTACTCGTCTTCTCTAAGCGCCCAAGCTGGGCACCCATTAGCCCTGATGCAGGTGTCACAATCCTCTGCAAATCTCGGATTAGAATAGCAACCGTAAGCGCCCAGCGTATACTTGTATGCAAGCAACCAATCAAGGATAATCTCCAAAACAATGGCTTGCCGAATGTCGCGTTGGCCATGCAGACAAGCATCAATTTGGTCACTCCTGAAATGTCCAGAGCGGTTGTGGCTTTTCTCGACTTAGAGTCTCTTATGATCTACTCGCTGTCGCAGGTTGTGGTTCTATCTCCTTTTCTTGCAGCGTTCACAGCACATTTGCACTTTACATCCTCAGCGGTATGCACCAAAGAGGTGATATAGAATGAACCAACCGTATGGTGCACATCCGCCTTCTGGACAATTCTACCCGACTCGACGGCATAATGCTGAGCAGATATCAGTTCCTTCCATCGGCCAAGCACAACAGTCGCCACAAGACACGACAGGTGTGGGATCATCTTTTAGCACGCCTCTCAGTCCCATGTTCTCTCCCCTTGGAAGTGGGCACTCGACACACAGCAACTCGACAATGGGATCTAGGCCTTATAACCCTCAGCAATGGGGTCAGCCCAACGTTGTTGGAGGATCACATGTAGTTTTCTCTCCAACTCAAAGAGTTACCAGGGAAACAACCGGAATGGAAGGTGAGTAGCTTTATCTTGCAGTACACACATCACGATTTCCATCGTAGCCAGGGTATCTCCTTTTGTGCAAGTTGTGACCGAAATATAGCATCGATGCCATCTCCACCACCCCCGTATACACCCCCACCTGACAGTGCTACCCGCTTGATGCGATCGTCACATACCATGGGGTTCATACCTTCTCCCATCTCCATCGAACCATTATCGTCAAGCACGATAAGCCTACGTTCAACTCCGCCAAACGGGCCGACAGCACACTTTCCACCACCTCCAAACTCACATGCCCGTGATCGATCGAGTTCAGGGACAGGTAGAGCTAGATTCAGTATCTCTGGACTTGCCGCTCGTGTCAAGCGTTCCGACAGCTCTGATCAGATATCTACTTTGAATACCCAACACACTCAAACAATCCCCATCTCAGCGCGTACTGTCTCACGACCACCAGCTTCCCGTCGTGCTGCATCAACAGGTGCACTGCAAACACATACCGCCCATCAGGTTCCAAACGGTAGAGTCTCGCCCGAGTCATCACACTGGGAGCCTGGAATGCCATTGCCTCCCCCTCCACCAGGCCCACCACCTCCTGACAACAGATCTCAGAGTCTGAATCGTTATTCGAGACGAGCTCCCGAGACACGAGCTGCTCCCTTGAGTGTGGTCCCACCTCCACCGCCACCTCCAACGAGAAGGAGGCATGAGAACACACTCGGTATGATTCCGCCAACACCTTCTGACTGGCATCCTGACATGGACAACGAATCATCTGGCTTCATGGAGTTGCGTATTGACACTGGAATAAATGTTCATGAGGTCAAAAGTAGTCGAAGCAACACTCAAATAACCAGAGACATGACGACTGACAGCATACGTGAGAGAAGATCGCGAAGTCGAGCTAAGATGGAAGGTTGTGAATTCGAACACGATCATCAAACGAGTGCTCAAGAAAGGATTCAGAGCACTGTGTCCGAATTGTCGAAACCGACCAATCTTACCCTTGTGACTGCAGACAGTCTACTGCAGAGGAGACGTACCACAGTTGCCGAGGCCTCTTCGTCTCAATCGAGTCCGGCTCAAGCTTCTTCCCCCGAATACACTCGACGACAGAGACAGGGACGCAATAATTTGACGGTTCTGACGCCCCCATACACGCCTTCAATCGCTACTCCTTTGCAAAAAGGAACGTCACATGGTGCATCCGGTACTCATGAGCACGCATCAACCCAACCGGACTTCTCGCGATTGCCAAACGATGAACCCTACAAAGTGAGCAGCACCGTTGCCTCGAATACCAATGAGCTCTCCGCATTCACACAGTCAAGCTTGGAACGCTATCAAGTATTTGTTCATCAAGAAGCCACGGCCGAAAATGACAGGGAACGACTGGAACTCTTTGCTAGCTTTATGGTTCAAGAATCCAGAATCAGAAGAGGACGCTACTCCGAGGCTTTCAACACCATGGCTGGGGATATTATGGAACTGACTCGTGACATGTGGAGGCCTCTGGCTTTTTCGAATGAGCAGGACATCAATCCAACCAACAATCGTGATGCAAGTCCAGAAAGCGCAAACATCATGATTGATCTGGATGATAGCTTCCACACCTCTATCGCCTCAACTGCCGAGTTTACACCCACTACCGATACAGAGTCTTTGGCTGATGAGAGTCGTGATGCGGTGGAAAGAAGACCTGCCAATCCCTGGGGCGACAAGTTCCAGCCCTGTCTCTCACCAATCCCCAGCATGGCCGTCAGTACTGTCCCGGATGAGGAAAGTTCAAGAGGAAGGTCTGCCAGTCGATGGTGGGAAGAGAGTGTAGACGGCTCTATTGGAAATGGTGGACGTAGAGTTGAAAGGACCAGGCAAGAGTCGAAATACATGAGCCTGCATCCTCAAGAGTTGTATATCGCTGCACAGCCTTCACCAAATCAGGATACGCCAACGCCTAGTACCAGCAAGCAGACATTTCAGTATGGTCCAGACGAATACCCTTCAGAAAAGATCGGCTGGCATGAAGAGGAAAACGTGTTTACACCATCCAACCCACCCTCAGCAGCTTTGTTGTCACCTCGCAACAAAGCACCGGTAGGCCGTCCAGCAGGCAGTTCGGCTCTAGACGTCACAAGACTCGTCACGCTCCCGCCACCATATCCACGACACTACCCCGCTGTCAACAACAGCCATCCTGCTTTGAGTATACTCAGAGCAAACCATCGTTCTGTGGCAAATTTGTCGAGTATACGCGAACTCATTCAATCTCACGAATCCACTGAGGCAAGCCGCCGTCAAGCATGGAGGACTTCAGCTGGTGAGAGACTCCGCCACTTCCGTTCACAGACACAATCTTCCATCAATACAGGAAAGATATCCTACAATGATGCCACCCAAGCTGAATTGACATTTCGTCGATCCGAAGCTGCGAACGTGCTACAACAAGCTGAGACACAGTGCCAGGATTTTCGACAACGAGTCTATGAGCCTGTACATCGGATGCTTTCTGAGCATTCGCGAAGTTGTGATGAATGTATTGAACAGCTTATCAAAGCCCTAGATGCAGAGGCTGAATGCAATCAAAACTTGCTCGCTCAAACCGAGGGAGACGAAAGGCCTGAACTCGTCGAACAGCTGACGCTCTTGAAGTGGCTTTTCGAAAGTAAGGAGCACATCCACAAGGAGCGATTCGATATTGATACTGCTCTGATGGCAAGGGAATCTGCGGCCATCTTGACTAGCTATCAGCAAAATGGAAATGAAGTGCAGATACGCCAAGTCGAAAGACACTTTGAGTCTGAACGCCAAAGACGACAGCTTGAATATGCACAAGAGACAAATAAGAGGTTTGATCATCTGCGTAAGACCGTGGAACGTCATATCTCCAGAGGTGTAGAGATTCAACTATCGGCATTCTGGGACATAGCTCCAGGTCTGGTTGAGGTTGTGCACAGGGTGCCGGACGACTTGCGAAGGTTCGAGATGGCAATCCCTGCAAACGAGCTTGCAGAAAATGTCTCATACCAGGACTTTCCTCTGCAGTACATGTACACTATCTTGGTACACGCCAAGAAGTCGGCATACCAATTCATCGAAGCACAAACGAACCTGCTGTGTCTTTTGCATGAGGTACATACCGCGACGGAATCGGCTTCATTGCGGTTGCGAGAAATCGAGCGTAACATGGCAGGCGAGAACGCAGCTCTTGTACAAGCAGAGATGGCGCATCTCAAGAAGCAGAGAGAGTTGGAGCTGACTCATGATCTGCAAGGAAAAGTGCACGAGGTGGAGGAGCAGTGGAGAGAAGCTTTGGGAATGTCGATCGAGGATTGCATTGAGAGGGTCCGAACGTGGCTGCAGAATACTGGCGGGTGGGAGGAGAGTTTGGAAGTCTAGGACGCAATCAACGGGCAGGCGGTGTTGTGATTAGAGTAAGCGAATTTTATCAATTAATCAAGTATGATTGGATGGGCTTGTTTGTGCCTCGCTGGAGTTTGACAGCCAAACATACAAACGTGTGATTTCTCGAATGTGTTTGCTGACAGGTCGTCACTTCTTTGAGGATATTCAGACAAACAAGACCGCATGCGGAAACAAACATTCGTCCGTGTCTGCGTGGACGTGAGGAAAGAAAGAGTGAAGTGGTCCCGATAAAGAAGGAGGCTATCACATGACAGGCCGGGTGTTGCCGAGCGGTCGCTCATTTGGCAGGTGTGGGAAGCTTGTCAAAATCTCTTTGAAGAAGTTCTCTTTCACCGCACGCATCCATCATCTCCCACTCCAAACCCCTCGTGCTCTCGCACTTCCTTTCATAAAGACTCGTTCACTGGTACCAAAAAAATTTGAAAAATCCAAAAAAGCCCATATCGCGCCTTCTCAGCGTCTAGTTGCGAAGGTTCATCAATCACACACGAGTCTATCGAAAGGAATCTTTTTTCGTCTCTCTCAGAAAAAGGTGCGCATACACTGTCTCTGCCTCTGCGCGAGACCTATCTCGACCGTCGGATCTTCACGCCTACGCCCATCCCTCTTCAGTCGCTGCGAAAGTCGCATGCCCGAGCACAACCTTCAGTCGCGTATCAACAAGTCATTCGCAGACAAGCGACTTCCGCATCTGAAGACGCTCTTGCAACTTTCACATCGACTTACACTCTTTCCTGCTTTCTACCCTCTGACATCGCGCATCCGACCCCGCGACGAAGATTTCGTCAAATCAAAAACACCGTGTGGAGAAGCAGCGCTGACGTACATCTTGCAGAAAATCTAAAAGTCATACAACATGTCTGACGTTCAAGCTACCTCCCCTACCGGTGCCGCTGCGCAGCCCGCCTCTCCTTCTGCCGATGTCAACGGTGCCAACGCCCCCAGCGATGTCGCCGCTCCCCAGCAGGCCCACCAGAACCAGGCCTCCAACTCGGCTTCCCTCTACGTTGGTGAGCTCGACCCCTCCGTCACCGAAGCCATGCTCTTCGAGCTCTTCTCCTCCATCGGCCAGGTCGCTTCCATCCGTGTCTGCCGTGACGCTGTCACCCGCCGTTCGCTCGGTTACGCCTACGTCAACTACAACAGCAGCGACGATGGTGAGCGTGCTCTCGAGGAGCTGAACTACACTCTCATCAAGGGCAAGCCTTGCCGTATCATGTGGTCTCAGCGTGACCCCGCCCTCCGCAAGACTGGTCAGGGCAACGTCTTCATCAAGAACCTCGATGTCGCCATTGACAACAAGGCTCTCCACGACACTTTCGCCGCCTTTGGCAACATCCTTTCCTGCAAGGTCGCCCAGGATGAGCACGGCAACTCCAAGGGTTACGGTTTCGTCCACTACGAGACTGCCGAGGCCGCCAACGCTGCTATCAAGAGCGTCAACGGCATGCTTTTGAACGAGAAGAAGGTCTTCGTCGGCCACCACATCCCCAAGAAGGACCGCATGAGCAAGTTCGAGGAGATGAAGGCCAACTTCACCAACGTCTATGTCAAGAACATCGACACCGGCGTCACCGACGACGAGTTCCGCGTCCTGTTCGAGAAGTACGGAGATATCACCTCCGCTTCGCTCGCTCACGACAACGAGGGCAAGAGCCGTGGCTTCGGTTTCGTTAACTTCGCCAGACACGAGGATGCCTCCAAGGCCGTTGATGAGCTCCACGAGTCAGACTTCCACGGTCAGAAGCTGTACGTCGGCCGCGCCCAAAAGAAGCACGAGCGCGAGGAGGAGCTCCGCCGCCAGTACGAGGCCGCTCGTCAGGAGAAGGTCAACAAGTACCAGGGCGTCAACCTCTACGTCAAGAACCTTGCCGACGACATTGACGACGAGGAGCTCCGTAAGATCTTCGAGCCCTTCGGTTCCATCACCTCCGCCAAGGTCATGCGTGACACCCAGCCCGCTAAGGACGAGGCCAAGGAGGGTGAGGAGACCAAGGAGGAGTCTACCGAGGAGGAGGAGAAGAAGGAGGAGCAGCCCGTTGAGGCCGAGAAGAAGGAGGAGGAGCAGGAGGAGGGTGTCGACTCCGTCACCAAGGACCTCGAGAAGGTCAAGATTGGCGGCGAGCTCAAGATCCTCGGCAAGAGCAAGGGCTTCGGCTTCGTTTGCTTCAGCAACCCCGACGAGGCCACCAAGGCTGTCACCGAGCTCAACCAGAAGATGGTGCATAACAAGCCCCTCTACGTTGCCCTCGCCCAGCGCAAGGACGTCCGCAAGAGCCAGCTTGAGGCCAGCATCCAGGCCCGCAACCAGGTCCGCATGCAGCAGCAGGCCGCCGCCGCTGGTGGCATCCCCCCTCAGTTCATGCAGCCTCAGATGTTCTTCGGCCCTAACGGCCAGCCTATCATGCCCGCCCGTGGTCAGATGCCCTTCATCCAGGGTATGCCTCAGGGCCAGCGTGGTGGCTTCCCTCAGCAGGGTGGTCGCGGTGGTCCCAACGGCCAGCCCCCCATGGGTTACCCCGTTCCTCCCATGCAGGGCTTCCCTCCTGGTGCCTACGGCAACCCTGCCTTTGCTAACCAGATGATGATGGGTGGTCGCGGTGCCGGCCGTGGTGGTCCCATGCCCATGATGCCTGGTATGCCCCCTAACATGATGGGCGGCCCCAACATGGGTGGTCGTGGCCAGCAGTTCGGCCGTGGTGGTCCTCGCCAGATGGGTGGCTTCCCTCAGCAGCGTCCTCAGGCTCCTTCCGCCTCTCCCGCTCTTGACGTCAACGCTCTCAACGCTGCACCTCCTGCCCAGCAGAAGCAGATGCTCGGTGAGGCCCTCTACCCCAAGATTCACGAGCAGCAGCCCGAGCTTGCCGGCAAGATCACCGGTATGCTCCTCGAGATGGACAACGCTGAGCTCCTCGACCTGACCACCGACGACGCTGCTCTCCGCAACAAGGTTGACGAGGCCATGCGTGTCTACAACGACTACCTCAAGTCTCAGGGTGGTGATGACGCTGCTCCTGCCCCCAACGGCTCTGAGAACGTCGCTCCTGCTGCCGAGGCCGCCACTGAGGAGAAGGCTTAAGCGATTAACTTCGACTTACACGAACCCGCCTTTCTTTTTCAAAAAGTTTTCATGACACGCGCTGCATTCGATTTGGGCGCCCGGCGTCTTGATCATTCAGCTTCTTTCACCCCGGATACCCCACCTTAATGAAACGACTTTTTACTCTTTGTGACCATCATTATTTCCCCTCCCATCCACTGTGCATGAGAATCTTTATACACTCTATCGTTGCTCTACGGTTATCCTACACCAAGCTTTGTGCGTTATGGCTGCTCTCGATTATGGTCACTACCGATCGCAATGGTTCACGGCTGAACGAGTATGTCAGGCCTGCGCAAAAGAGCATCGACTACTTGAAACTCAGACTGAAACAGAAAGACGCGGCAACGCCAATGGTACGAATTTCTTTATTTGCTCGAGGAAGGTCCATATCTTCAGTGCGGACATGAATTGATGGGCTGATTTTTGGGGGTTATCTTTTTTTATTCTCTTTTCTTCTGGCGATCGGCGGAAAAAAGAGAGGGGTTAAAATCAAGGGCAGGTTTCTCTCTGATCACAGCGGAACGGCGCACATGGATATCTTTTATAGTCGTCAATCACACCGTGTTTATTATCATTTTATCCCGTGCTGTGCCTTGCTAATCTCTTCTTCTTGTATTTATTATGCGTAATATCTGATTGAAACATCTATTCCCTTGGTTGGTCTCGAAACACAACCTTCTAAGGGTGCTGCTGCTGTGTTGGAAATGATGTCAAACTTGTACCAGTTCTTTGTGTTTTGAGATTGAATTATATCACAAACCAATCGATCGGTTATAATATAGACACGACTGGACCAGACCTGATAAATTACATCTCAGAACGTTCGAAATAATATTACAGATGATTTAAGTACATCGAAGCAAAGAAAACTGCCATCGTCGTGTAGCGATGTCGTTGTCACTCTCTGGAATGATTGTCAAGGGTATCACCCTGTTCATGCAGCTCATCCCGCCACGATGACCAACCACCTCAACGACCTAAACAACTCTTGATGAATACAGCACTGTAGCTCTAAAATCCATCTTAGACAAATCATGATGCAATCAGTAGTCAATCTCATCGGTGAAGTGACACTGAAAAATGCCAACAACATAATAGAGTTTTGCAAGTTCAACACGTTTCCCCAAACCAACAATGACGAAGTCGACTCCACGAGAAATAGCGGGGCATGCATGTGTGGAGGAGTGAGGAGGGTTCAACAACATCTCTCACCAACTTGTCCCTTGAACTCCAAAACTTGTGTATAACTTCAGGATGTGTGAAAAGAGCAGTATCAACAAGCAGCGTTGGTGGAAGGAGGCAATTGTCTATCAGGTATGTTGTACGAGATCGGATGTTGGAGGCAAAATATAGCTGATGTTGGACAGGTGTACCCTGCTTCGTTCCTCGATTCGGGAGCGGGCAACAAGCCTGGTTGGGGTGATATTCCTGGTATCACGTCGAAACTTGATTACCTCAAGCATCTGGGTGTCGATGTGCTATGGCTTTCGCCTAGTGAGTTGTCATCATGGTTATTGAGTGTGCACGTTCATTGACGACATGCAGTTTACAAGAGCCCCCAGGCTGATATGGGATATGATATCGTGTGTTGAATCCGATCATCGGTGTACTGGAAATGGACTAACTTTTCGTAGGCCGACTACAAAGACATTGACCCCGTATACGGTAGTCTTGAGGATGTCGACCACTTGATCAGCGAGCTCAAGAAGAGAGATATGAGATTGATGATGGATCTTGTTGTCAACCATACCTCAGACCAGCACGCCTGGTTCTTGGACTCTCGCTCTTCGAAGCAAGCTAGCAAGCGCGACTGGTACATCTGGAAGCCTGCCAAGTATGACAAAGATGGCAACCGCCAACCACCCAACAACTGGTCCATGATTCTTGGCGAGGAGAACAGCGCCTGGACTTACGACGAAAAGACTGACGAGTACTATCTCTCTCTTTTCACCGCTGAACAGCCAGATCTGAATTGGGAGAACCCTGACGTTCGTGAAGCAGTTCACGATGTGCTGCGCTTCTGGCTGGACCGTGGATGCTCAGGCTTCCGCATGGATGTCATCAACCACATTTCCAAAGTTCAGACCTTCCCCGACGCAGATGTCATTGCCCCTGATCACAAGTATCAGCCTGGTTTCAAGTACTACTGCAATGGACCTCGCTTGCACGAGTGGCTCAAAACTATGAGAGCAGAGGTTCTCGACAAGTACGACACCATCACTGTTGGCGAGATGCCTTTCGTCAGAGATGAGAGTGAGATTCTCAAGATTGTCCGCGAGGATGAGAAGGAGTTGAACATGATCTTCATCTTCGAGCAGGTCGATATTGACAATGAACCTGGCAAATACAGAATGACTCTGCGCGACTGGGACGCCGATGAGATTCGCAAGATCTTCAGTCACTGGCAGCGTCTGATGATTGACAAGGACGGATGGAACAGTTTGTTTGTTGAGAACCACGACAACCCTCGTTCCGTGTCGAGGTACTGCAACGACAGCGATGAATTCCGTGAGTTGAGTGCCAAGCTACTCTGTCTCATGATGACCACACTTGCTGGTACGCTTTACGTGTATCAAGGCCAAGAGCTTGGTATGCGTAATGTACCACCAGAGTGGTCGGCTGAGGAGTACAAGGACGTCGAATCCATCAACTACTGGAAGAAGATGAACAACATGTATCCCAACGACAAGGAGAAGATCGACTTTGCACACCATTTGCTGCAAAGAAAGGCTCGTGATCATTCACGTACACCTGTGCAGTGGACCGCCGAAGCTCACGCCGGCTTCTGCAAGGAGGACGTAACACCTTGGATGCGTGTCAACGACGACTACAAGACGGTCAATGCCGAGGCACAGCGCAACCAGAACGATCCCGACAAGCTTTCTGTGTTGCAATTCTGGAAGCGCGGTCTCGCCAACAGGAAGGAACACAAGGACGTTTTCGTCTATGGCGACTTCCAAGTTCTCGACGAGAATGACAAGAAGGTGTTTGCGTACAAGAGAGCAAGCGAGACCGAGGCGTTCGTTCTTGCCTTGAACTTCTCCAAGGATGAAGTCAAGTGGGAGATTCCTGAGGCTGCCAAGGTGAAGAAGTGGGTTGCTGGAAACTACACTGCAGGCCAGCCAGACAAGCCCACGAGCGGCACCATCACACTTAAGCCGTATGAGGGCTTGTTGGCCACTTCAGAGATCTAGGATATTCGTAAAATGTAGATAGATTGCACAGAAACAATGATACAGATGAACAAGTCAAGCAGTGTACTCTAAAGTTGCCAAGAAATAGTGAAGATGGTCCGAGCGGCGAGTCATCGGCTTCGGGAGTTTGACGTCGCAGGCAGGTCGAAAGGTCGGTAGGTCAGCAACTGCAGCCATTGTGCAATCAACAAGAACACACATCACCCGTCACCATGCCTCTGATACGACCAACCGTCTTCTCCAGCCGCGCCATCCAGTCGGCCGTCGCCTCGACCCCTCGATCCATCGTCGCGCGCCGAGCTCTTTCCACCACACAACAACTGCGCGGCGGCGCCTCACACGACGACCACTTCGACCCCCCGGGCGGTGTCCTCTTCGGCGTCAAGCCCGGCGAGAAGTACCAAGAGGAGGGCTGGGAGAGAATCTTCTACTGGGGCTTCTTTGGCAGCATGGCCTTCGGCATCATCGGCTACGCATACAAGCCCGACACCAGGTTGGTAGCGTCCTTACACCTGGGAAAAAGACTGTGAAGCTGACGGCATACTTCTAGCATTCAAACATGGGCTCTTGAGGAGGCCAGGAGAAGACTCGAGGCCGAGGGCATCCTTGCCGACCCCGAGGACGAGTAAACGCACACAACCCCACCCACCCGCATCAGGACCAACCCCCTCTTCCATACCGAATACGCTGCAATGCAAGACATACCACAACAAACCTCTTTCGAAACCATGAATTTCCAAAAAATGGCGGGCCGCTCTCTCTCGACGACGCAGCCGGTCTGTACATAACAACACACCAGGGGAATTGCTTGCAACCGATAGACATTTTTGACTACTTTTTTTCCCTTTCTGCTGCTGCAACACCATCGGTACTTAACTCTCTAAACCTCGTTTCATAAGATATCCAAACAAGGACGTTTCAATTTCTTTCCTTTCGCATCTAGATTTGTGCCATTGCTTTTCTGAGACTATTCACGTTTAGGGAACAAAACACACACCAACGAGTTCTTCTTTATATGTGATTGAAAGCGACCTTTTGAGAATCACTTACCTTGCGACAAGTAGTGTTGACATACAAGCAGAAGCTATCCATCATCCTTCTGCAAATCCAGACTTCTCGGTGTCCGAACAACCACTTTCAGCAAAAATGGTAACCACATTATACACGCACCCTCCAGACATTCAATATAGGATCTTTGAGCAAACCTTCACCGACCTCATGAAAACTCTGTCGCACCTACTCTCCTCGGTCTCGGGAAGCACTCGACAAGAATGCCTGCCATATCTACTGCTATGCATGCGTTTCCGCTCTATATGCTATTACAGCGAACGCTATGATAGGGATGAATGGCGGCTAGCGCTGAATTCCAGCAAAGAACAGCCCTGCAGAGGAGTTGCAATTGTACGAGCAACGTGATACGTTCGAAACACGTCTTAAGATAATTGTTTGAGAGACATATTGATCTTCCTCTCCGCTCGAGCGACCAATAGCAATTAGAAAGGTAGTGATGCACGATTGCACCAATTTGGGTCTGGAGGGAAGCCTATATATCTGAATTGTCTGCTTAGATGCGAGTCTATACTCAATCAACACCGTTCCACCACGCTTAGGTTCTACACAACTATCTAAACCTAACCTGCTAGCAACTAAGTGAGGTATCACCAGATGAGATATGAGACACGAGATCGATGCACTTTCTCCAACAAATTCTTGGAGACACCATAATGTGACTGCCAGCACACACCAGAGCAGACAATACCAATGCCATCAGGACCCGATGTTCTACCGATGTCTGACTGAGAAAGTAAGTCACCAAAACGCCCTTTCCATCAAACCTTGGTGAACATTCATTTGGAAAGTACGACCGTTCATCGATATAGAAGTGTTTTCGTACCACGTCCCAAGAATGAGGTTGTATGTAAGTGCTGGTCGCTGGAGAATCTCTCGGGATACAAACCTCCGAAGGATGCAGTGCGAGTCAGCCTTGCGCAGATTAGACGCCGACCACTTGAAGTGAACGCCGATGAGAGCCTCAATAGCACAACGCTTCGCCATGACACCTGCAAATAATTTGCGGCCGTTTGTGCGTTGTGTGACAGTGCGACAACAATCAGGAACACTCTATCATTGATACGAGCCCCAGAAAGCTCAAGCCTTGCCAAACATGGACAACCCTGCTCGACCCTCTCCTTTAGCCTGCACGTCTTGTAGACAGAAGCATCTCAAGTGCGACGCCAGCGTCCCTGCTTGTACGCGGTGTATTACCGCAGGGCTACCATGCAATTATACGCCATCAAGGCGTGGGTACCGTGGAGCGAAACGGCCACGCGAAAATGACAGCCAGCCTGCAGCAGCCGAGTACCACCCGGTATATATCAGCCATGGCACGAGCGTAACCACCTTGCCCACTCAGAACCCTACCTGGACTTCGCCTACAGCTCCTAGCCTTACGGGCTCAAGCGTCCAGGGTGGCTCGAGCAATGGCCCTGGTAACACATATGGCTCGACGCCTGCAATGTCGCCAAATCAGCAGCAGCTGTACCCAACATCATTTCACTCCTCACCTAGCAGTGAGCTTGTAGATGAAGATGAGCTGGTAAATCTCTTCTACTCCAATTTCTTCTCTGCTCACCCGATTCTGGTGCCTGGAAGCCTTTATTATGTCCATCCATATCCGGAATACCTCCGACAAGTGGTGCGCTTGATCGGAAGTCACTATTCCTCATCAGTATCCAGCGACTCCCTGCGAGCAAGTATCGATCTTACTGGCCATGGAAATGCTGAACAAAAGGAATCCTCCATGGTACAGGCTCGGCTGTTGTTTGCAATCGCACTTCATGCGCGTGGTGAGGCCATGGAGGCTGCAGACATGATGCACGCGGCCGTCAGTCTGGCCATCGAGATTGGCATGAACTTGAGAAATTTTGCAACAGCACATGGCCAAGGCAATCTTGTTCAAGAGGAAAGTCTTCGAAGAACTTGGTGGGAGCTCTATGTCATGGACGGCTACATGGCTGCTCTCCACAAGCGTCCCTCATTCAAGAGCAACACCGTCCATTCAGGAGTCTTATTGCCATGCGAAGAAGTGATCTATGCGAGCTTAGGCTGCTTACCGCAACCATCCTCTCTTGAACAGTTCGATATGCGACTCTTTGCAGATGAAGAGATTCAATTCTCTTCATTTGCTTATCGTATCGAAGCTGCCAGAATTCTCGCAAGAGTATTGTCTGTTGCTGGAACTCAGTACGAAGATCAGGTCCAGGTGGTCGATAATGCTTTGGCTGGCTGGATACACGGCCTGCCGCAGATCAAGGCAGATGTTGTCAACAGCTATAACGTGGTCGATGAGATGCTTTTCCAAGGGCACATGATCATCCAATGCGCTACGATATACCTGCATCTTCCACGAAGCGATCTGCTCAACACACTTCCGGTGACAGCCAATATTGTATGCGCAGAGAGAGGCAGACACATGTCCCCTGCGTCGACCCAGCATATGCACTCTGTCAAAGCCACCAACGCGTCAAAAGAGCTCGCGAACCTGGCCGCTGTCCGTGTTCCGGTTCAAAAGCATACTCCTTTCTTCGTTTGTGGATTGGTCCTTGGCGCAATCGTCCAGCTGTCAGCTTGCAGCGCGAATGCTGGTAGTGAACAACATCGCGATCGAGTAACCTTGATCATCGGGCTGCTAAAGTCTTTGAGCCGCAATTGGGCGATATCCGGTCAGGTTCTGGTCCAAGTCAAGAAAGTGGCATCAGAAGTGTTGCAAACAAGCAATCTCTCGTCACCTAGTGCCAACCGGCAAGACAACACAGCATACGACAGTGGCATAAGTATAGGAAACAGTCCCAGCAATACTTCATGGCTCTCCATGCTGAACATGGTCGAGAACCAGGAATTTCATGGTCTCATGCACCTCGAATCCATCTACCCAGGCTCGGTCTAGCTCGCATGCATAATCTCACGCACAACCCCTTTTTATGCACCCAATACACCGGGTCCCAGGAGATCTACCCCAAGATCAGGCAGTTTTAGGCGATCCGCATACTCACTGCTGCAGCCAATCCAGCACTAAAAAATATTGGACGGCGACCTAAAGTCACCACATCAATCACTGGCAAGAAAAAGGTACCAATGCGACCAAGACGTTTTGGCTATCAGCATGCACCATGCACATACCCCTTGACAGGACATTTGATGATTGCCTCAAAGGTCCCTGCTTTAAGCCATTGGGTCCCGCTCCTCAATTTCTCTTTCCCTTCAGCTCCACACCGTTTGCTGTCAAGTTCATCATGTGCATGCGTGCTGATTGTCCCAAGTGCAGTGAGTTGAATTGGTCTACGACGTTTTTGGTCATTGCATTGCTAACGTCTCTTTGTAGAGAAGGTCTCCTGGTGGGGTTGTGGGAGACACATACCTGCTACCATGGATAAGGTCCCTAGAGATCAGAGATGCACCTGTGGGCCGCCACTGGAGATTGATGGCAAGATGTATCCTCCAAAGCCTCCAGGCTTGTTTACCGACTGCTCTGTGTCATGATCACACCAAATCCATCACGACTACACGGCCTGACAGGAAATACTCTCATTCTCATTCTCGTTTCCTCTGTACATTTGCTCTCACCAATTAACTTCTAATACTGGTCTGGATGTATCAACTTTGTTCATGCGATTAATTTACTACTGTTAAACTCTTTCTTCTGTACAAGAGAGGAAGAAAAGGAAGGAAACCTGGGTATCATTGTATAAAGACCGAGAACCGCCCAACACCAAGAAGACGATCGCAACATCTTTGACTTTCGACAAATTCATCTCAAAGCAGCAGTCAAGATACCGGCGGCAAACATGCTACCGACCGAGATCAGACTGGCCCAAGAGAAAGTCGCAAGGCCGCTGATACCATGGCCAGATGTGCATCCTCCTGCCAGCCTTGATCCAAACGCCATTACTGCACCACCAACAACTGCAACAGCTGGAGATACTAGATTCGACGATGCTTGTGCGGCGGCAGCAGGGAGCAAGAAGCGGGCGAGCAATGCGCTTGCGGACATGATGCCACAATCAAACATGACCGAGGCAGTGATTGGTCCTTTAGATGCATCACCAGAGAGCGCGTTGCGCAACCATCGACCGACATCTTCAAAGGCGCCAGAAGTGCCGACAGTGTGGCGAGTGAGTGCGATGGCACAAGCTTGAGCGGTGCCGATAAGAAGACCTCCGATGACAGGTGACACGAGACCTTGCTTTCCCGGACCCTCGAATCCAGAAAGCAGCTGCAGCATGCCGAAGCACAAAATTTCCCACATGGCGAGAACGAGCCAAGGGCTTACACCCATACTCTTTGGGATTGTCAACTCTGCTGTCGACTTACTATTGCTTCTGCCTTGACGTAGCTTTGCGATGCTAGGTTGCGCGGAGACGAAGAGCAGGCCGCCCAAGATGCCGCCGCCGAGCACAAAGATTCCGCTAGGAAGGCCTGCGCCAGCTTGGACGAAGACGGTGCCAGGACAGGCTCCAGTCAATGCCATGCCAACTCCAATCATCGCGCCACCGAGAATGTTGCCGTCGTAGGGGAAGTAGCCAACGGATTGGGGTGTGCGAGGTTTCATGGCCGAGAATCCTGTAGAGTCGGCCAGGTGTACGACTAGTCTATAGCGGATCGTCAGTCTGTGGTCTTGTAGATCAAAAGTGGAAGCTATCGGCAGGGTGATTCAGGATGCTCAAGAGTTCTTCATGGTAGTTGTGTATATTCAATAACATCTCATCTGGTTCCGTTCCATGCCTTCGGTGCTGTACTTACGCGCTTGTAGCACTTGCACCGAGCATCGCCTTTGCCATGGTGAAATCTTCAAGTCTCATCTGCGCAACAATTGTACTCGGCGCGAATACTCCTGCCGCAAAGAGGGCGCTGCCGAATAGTGTGCCGGCTGCATACTCTGAAACCAGTGATGACATTGTGTTGATGTTTCGAAAGTTTTGCGGAGGCTTGATGGGTTGTCGCAGATTGTTGAAAGAAAGCAGCCACGTGCGGGAAGTCTTTAACAAAGAGAATGCGCAAATGATGTTTTGGTGTGATGGTGAAAGAGGTGTAGAGAAGGGGCGATTCGAATATTTATCCTTCTTCACTCGTTCAATCTTCTGGTCGACAACGGTTTTCGTGGGGATAGAGTTCGAGATGGAGGCCGAGAAGATGTGTTCACCGTGTTTCTGGTCGGCGACATTCACAGAGTACGAGTACGATAGCAGTTCCCAAGAAAGCAGATTGGAGACTCGAGAGAGAGGGAAATCTAGTGCCCATAAAGCGGCTGGTCTCGATACCCAAGATTGTAATTTACCTAGCATTCGGTGTACAAGGCGCCGCAAATTCGCTTACGGGAGAGACCAACAGATCCTAGTCTCCCCCCTTTTGCTGCGGTATACTGCATAGAACATATGAGCCTGTTGCATGTTATAGTGTCACAACGATGTCGTTGTTGGTCATGTTAAACGCCTTGCCTATTGCCTTCTCTCAAAGGGGAGTGGACAGATCGGTCAAGGCTCGAGGCAAGCACGGTTCATCGTCGCCAAGGCCGAGATCCCCGAGAGGGTTCCGGAACTTGACGAGCCGGGACGATGAACTTGACTTCTTCTTCTCAGCAAAAGCTGGCACATGAAGTCAAAAGGCATGCATGTGACGGTATGAAGGTCGTTGAGGTGCAGGAAAGACAATGCATGTACAAGCATTAGATGCGGCATGCCCGGTAGAGACTGACAAGATTGAGACAACGCTTTCAGGCTGATCATCGTGTGAAACCGGCATACCAAGCCTCTTTCAGCGGCTACTTTGACAAGATTGGCCTTCGAGTGTTTCGCTGCTTTCCGAATTGGCGATTGCTCGATGTGCCATGAAGATAGCAAGCTATACAGGTCGTCGCTGCTTTGTATTATCAGCGTCAGAAGAAACGGTTGCAGACACAAAGAAACACCATGTTTCTGGAAGGAAAGAACGACGGGTAGGCCGCTGACTGCAGCCACGTGCAACGCGATGATTGATACGGGATGGCACCTTTTGCCCAAAACCTGCTGCATCCCTTGAGTCACTCTGGCTTAATGCCGGCCGGTATCACCGAGAAGGATTGCGACTTCCCAACCTCCCCTTGCTTTTAAATAAACACTCGTGACTGCATCACGTATCCATCTTACCACCTTTTGGATTTTGCAGCTAAAATGACTACGCCGTCTCCTTCATTGGCTCAGGCCATTACCAAGAAACAGCCCGAGGGTATTGACCTCTATGCTCGTTTCGCTCTTGCCGGTGCTTTGGGTTGCTCCATCACACATGGTGGCTTCACTCCCGTCGATGTGTATGCTATTTGTTTATGCTAGATTCTACAGCGACTCACATGGAACAGTGTCAAGACCAAGATTCAACTCGACCCTGCCACATACAACAGAGGCACCATTGCTACCTTCCGCCAAGTGATCGCTAATGAAGGTGCTGGTGCTCTTTTGACCGGCGCAGGCGCGACCTTCTCTGGTTACTTTGTCCAAGGAGCCTTCAAGTTCGGAGGTTACGAGTTCTTCAAGAAGCAGTCCATTGATTACCTCGGTCTTGAAAAGGCTAGAGCTAACCGTGGTCTGGTCTACGCCTTCTCCGCCGCCAGTGCCGAGTTCTTCGCTTCCGTTGCTCTGTGTCCTTTGGAAGCTACTCGCATCCGTCTCGTCTCTACTCCTGGATTTGCCAATGGCCTGATCGGTGGTTTCTCGAAAATCGCAAAGACCGAGGGCCTCGGTGGTTTCTACTCAGGTTTCGGTCCCATCCTCTTCAAGCAGTAAGTCCTCGCAATAAAACGAATGTGTATACAAGAGTATGGAAATTGCACCAAAATCGAGCTCTCAGCCTGGCGAGGCGCCTCACTTGCCAGCGGTCAAGAGGCACGATGTTTTGACGTGCATGGATCTGTTGAAGAGATCACGCAGAAGTACCGCTTTCACTGGACATGTACTTGATCATCAAAACATCCTGCCTTCCAAAGCTAGCCTGAATCTTGAGAGGGGAGCTCGGTGCCGACGCAATTGTTCTGCATCTATGTCTGCGCCGATGGATTATGAAACTGACATGTATGTGCAGAGTCCCCTACACCGTCACCAAATTCCTCGCCTTCGAAAAGTTCTCCGAAGCCATCCTCAGCACAATGGACAAGTCCACCATGAGCAGCGGCACAGCCACTACCGTCAACCTCGGCAGTGGTCTCCTTGCTGGATTCGCCGCCGCCATCGTCTCCCAACCTGCCGACACCATGCTCTCTAAGATCAACAAGTCAAAAAGTACTGGCGAGGGAACTGTTACTCGTCTCATAAAGATCGCAGGAGAGCTCGGCCTGCGCGGAAGTTTTGCTGGTCTGCCTACTAGATTGGTCATGGTTGGTGGTTTGACTGCTGGTCAATTCGCCATCTATGGTGATATCAAGAAGGCGCTTGGTGAGTTCTGATCGTTTTTCGATATCATATTGCTCCACAAAGACTGACCGTATGTTTCAGGTGCCGATAAGGGTATTGAGATTGCTAAGTAGAAGTACGAGTCAGGAGTGGAAGGACATGGTGTGTTGCGCTTGCTGATCTGAAAATTTGAGTGCGACTGAGTATAGAAGTGGTAAGATAAAGCATGTTTGATTTTTTCTTGCATACTACTTGCTTTGAAGCCGAAGGATGTCGGTGTACATGACCAAGCTGCACGTGTTCTCGCATTTTTGAGTGAACATCATCTCACTGTCTACTAATGGTCGCACCGCTCTCTGCTCTTCCTTCTATTGTCCCGTCTTTCCTTCTCTTCTCGATCATTAATATCGTGCTCGCTGGGATAAAAGATATCAGACTATCCTTGTTGAGTCTTGTCGGACACTATCTGAGCCATCGTATCAACAACATGGGTTGAAAGTCCAGAAGTGTTCGGCCCAGAACTTATCCTCAAATTCATCTATGAGCCCTGCGCGGTAACCCTCAGGATCCCCGATGAAGCAGCGACTGATGGAGCCAGTCCCGTGTCGGTCATAAGCATGAAGATAGACGAGCGGATTGGGTACTTGAGCCGATGTCGATTCTTCATCCACTGGCAAGGGACCTCCCATACGAAGATATCTGTCCATTGCATGTGTTCTCCAGCTAGAATGGCCATTGCAGGTATTGCCGAAGACCCACATTGATCCATCGATATCCCCGAGATGACCGTATATCATGAAATGCGCAAGCTTGGGCATCTTGGTCGACATGTCTTGTAGGAAATGGTTCCAGCCGTACCCGTCACCCGAGTCTTCGAAGTCAACGCTTTTGAATCTTATGAAGGTGAGCGTCTCTTTGCGAGCGAGTAGAAAGGTCTTCATGTTGTGGCCTTTGGTCCTGATACTTTCCAAGCTCAAGGTACGAAGTCCTGGAAAGACCTCTGGATGGATTCGTACGTCAAACAGCGACTGCAGAAGACAAGAGTCAACAATTCTGTCTTCTTCTCCATGTCCTACCACAAACCGTAGGTGAGCAAGATTAAATGCTGTGGCAACGAATCTGGAAAGATCCAACTCGAGCTCATCGGCTGCACTCGCGATACGAGAGACATCTTCTTCAGTATATCCAAAATGGCCTCTCAGATTGGCAGGGCCTGTCGGAGTCGATGGTCGATGGACTAGCTTGAGAACGAGAAATTTCAGCGAGCTCATGGCGTTTGTGATGATGGCAAAGTCGGGATTGGACTCTCTGATTGACTCAATAGGCAGGTAACCAACTGCTAAGCGTTCTAGCTGGATACCGGCCCGAACAACCGAGTACATGACTTCAGCAAGTTCGACAGTGCTATGGTGGTGTCGTTCGCCAAGAGAGATCTTGCCAAAGCTCTTCTCAAATGCTGTAGTGTAACTGCTCTCATCACTGGACTCCATAAGATTCCAAATGCCACTAGCGAGAGACATGGCGAGTGATTTGAGATTGGGACTGTTTTGGAAGAATGTCTGGAGACTCTGACGATGTATACCGTCTTGGATGATGTGCTCAATTTCCTTGTATGGTTGCTTGAAGGCAGAGTACTTCTCAAGTCTTTCTGCTTCGGAAGAAAATCTCAAGAATCTGCGACCTTTCTGATAGGTGTCTTCGCTGGCTATCCATTCGTCGTAGGTGAAGAATCCAGTAAGATGCTCCGTGATGAATGTCAGCGATCTGATTCGCTTGGAGAGTGCCGTGTTGGCAAGGGCTTCCAGATCCTGAAAGGCTTGCAGTGAGAAGGAAAGGTATGCTCCTTCAGCCAGGTATCCGATGCCGACAGTACCAAACAGACGGCATACCAGTCGAAACTTGGTCACTTCCCTGTGCGTCAAGCGGCGGCACACTAGATGGAGAACCTCCAATGGCAGTGCATCAAGACACAGTCCTTTGTCAACTGCGATTTCAGGCTCGGTGGAAGCGACCATGCCAGACGCATTGGTCTCGACATCGTCAACAACTTCTCCAATGATACGGCGCTTCATATCTGCGGGATCGAATTTGTTGATGTGGATGAGGAAGTTGATATGATGGGGTGAGATCTTCTGCACAGAGCTGACTGGCCGAGTTGAGTAAAGTGATGGTGAATTTGGGATGTGGTGCAGAAAGAATGCCTCTGATTGTTGTGAAGAGAGACGGGGCGCAAACAAACTGTTCAAGCGACTGTTCAGGCGAGGATGGAACAAGCGTACAGTGTAAACTGTGCGGCGGCAAGGAGAGAAACTTGCTGTCCAAGGGTGGGTGACAAGTCAGGATAACCAGACTGAGTGGCGCCGTGGAATAGATGAGAGGACGTAGTAAAGTCCCATGAGACAAGTGAAAAGAGAACAACAAAAATTCGCACGGTATCGGATGATATATTGAGTCTGCTGCTCTCAAGACCCTCGCTAGCCAGGAAAGCACCTCGGCGTAATGCAGAAAGTCAGACTTGATGAGCACGATCTCCTCCGAGATCCCGGTAACCTTTCGACTTGAAGAATTCGAAGGGTGATGCTCCTGAGTTCGAACAGCATTATTTCCTTTGATGGCTATAAAAAACTCCATGATCTCGACAGTATATGGGTAGGTAGCCCATGGAGCTGAATGTAAATCTACCTAGCTACAGATACAAGTTATGTTCTTCATGAGTCCATCTTTATGTGACCTTCATCTATCTTTATCATGTTCTTTCGATGCAAAGAACGCTGTGAATCTCACTGTTCACGTATTGAGTATCAAGAGAAGAACTGTGGGGAAATTTGGGTGTGCTTTTGATTGGTATAGAAAAGTGATGGTGCTCTCAATGGATGTTATGGTTTCGTCCTTTTTCTTGTTGGGATCTCGACCGTCAATGCTTGAATGCCTTGTCGTCTTCAAGGTATCTACATGTCCCAATGGTCATCGTCGTCTCCGTTGTCCTTGAAGGTCTCGACGTCGTCATCCTGGAGATCGGGGACAATCTCCTTGTGATGTCCCTGGAAAGACACTGTCAACATTTTTTCAAAGGTAGGGCCGATTGTTCAGTCTTACCTTCTTGACCTTGACAAAGCCAGAAGCACCGACTACGATGTTGGGGTCGCGGTAGGTGGAGCCGGTGTAAGTGGACCAGCTGATTGAGATGCGCGAAGAGGAAACAGTCTTGGTGGTGACCGAGGAGGTGGGAATGCGGGTAGAAGCGGCGGTGGTTCTGGTGAAGGTAGCAGCGGCGGGGAGAACGACGCCACCAGTCTCGGTAGTGACTGAGCCAGTGGTGCTGATCTTGCTGGCGTTGAGACGCTGTCGGCACTTTGTCAGTGAGAACCTTGAGGAGGTTCGCTGTGGGTAAGTACTCACGATCATGTAGTCATCGTCACTCTCGTCCCACTCCTGGCTCAGGTGTCCAGCCTTGACGTTCTGGATCTCGGGAATGCACTTCTTGCAGATGGCATCATCTCCCTTCTTGCGCTGGGTGTAAGAGAAGTCGGTGAGGCCGCGGAACTTGCTGCAGCCGGCGCATTCACGCTCAACCATCTGATTGGGTTGGGCCATGCTGGAGCTGTGGGCTTTGTTGGTGGGCGTTAGATAATGGTTGATGGAAGTGGAAGGGGAATGGTGGAAGGTAGAAGGTGGAGGTTTAAGTATGAGACCCGATGTTGGTTCGACGAACGACGAACGACGAACGACGAACGACGAACGACGGAAGGTGAAAGATAGTAAGTGATGTTTTGGTTGCTGTGTTGTGGCCGCTGTTGTCGATCGAAGTCGTAAAGGTGTTGTCGAATCTTTTCAAGCAAGTCGAAGGAGCGACTGGGTGTTTTCATGTGAAGCTGATGTCGATCTGTTGCGATGGAACAAGTAATGGGATGTAATCAAGATAGGAAGGTGGGTTGCTCTTTCACAAGTGCGCCTTCCAGAACTTCAAGTCTTCATCTTCGTCGTCGGACAACCACTCAGAATCAGAGTCGGGTTCGTCGATATACTCTGTGTGTTCTGATGCGTTCACAAGTCTACGAAAGCCTGGATGACCAGACCTCGAGGCAACATGAGGACTTCGAAGACTTCTCTCAACTACGCGGCAGTTGGGAATCTGCTGACGACACTTCTCGTCTGTTGTAGGCAGATCACCGCCCTTACGAATGTATCTGTTCATAGCATGAGTCCTCAACGATGACTTACCGTCAGACATATGACCAAAGCTCCAGCTTGCCCTGTTGCCACCTTTCCAGTCGCCATAAAGTAGGAACTTGCGGGCTTGGGGAAGCTGTTGACACATGACACTGAAAAAATCGTTCCAGTTATCGTTGTTGTTGACCATGTTGAAATTAGTGAGATGAACATATCTGAGCGTTTCTTTGTGCTCAATCAGGATCTTACTCAGGCCTTTCGAGTTGGTTGCAACACTCCTGAGGTGTAGGGCCCGAAGGCAGTGGAAAACATGCTTTCCGAAGATGTGATTGAGATACAGGGTCGCTATAGCGGGACTCCAAGAGTCACACGAGCGAACGGACAAGTACCGTACGTCCGATGCAGCTCCTAATAGCTTGGAAAGTGCCCCCTCGGACAGCTTAACCCAACTCGTGGCTTCAAAGTTCGTAGTAGGATGAGGCTCATCGATTTCGAGGGACAGACATTCCACTTTCTCAAGGCCGGTCTTGATGATTTCGGTGTCGACAGCCTCGAGATGGAACAGCGTCTGAGACAAGCGTCCAGCAAACAGTCGCTTCAAGCGAGTGCGGGTCTGATTGGCTGCTTGCATGACATCTTTGATAGCATGAACGCCATGTACGAAATTCCCTCTGCGGCTTCTGGGGGAGATCCCTGCGTCGGCGAACACAGGAACTGCCTTTTGCATAATGCGAAGGTTCTCGTAGGCTGACCAAATTTCTACAGTGTGTAGTTTGGGGCAGTTTCTGAGCAGAGTTGCGATACTCTCGACATGAAGGTCTTCCTGCACGATGGCGTCTTGATCTACGTAGTAATGTCTGAAGCGGTCGTACGCATCTTGATTCTCTTGGCTACGCCCGATATTGGATGTTACTCTGACCACTCTGCGCCATTTTTCGAATGTGAATTGTTCGTTGTAGCGGTTGGCGTCGAAGCAGAGCGAGCGGATGCTTTTCCGAAGATCGGAGGTCGAGAGACGCTGAAGCTCCTGGAACGACGTTCGTTTGAAACACACATGAGCTTGTGCATTGAGATGGTCGTTGCCAATCTTTCCGAAGATCCTACAGACGAGGCGAAAATTCTTGACGACGTCAAAAGGTAGGTTGCTGCAGATGTTATGAAGTACCTCATTTGGGCAGGGGGTGATACAATCAGGGCCGGTGTAGTCATCGAATTGTTTCCATATGGGTGCCATTGAAGATGTCGAAGATTGTTTGAGCGCAGCTGGTGGTTGTGCCGTGTGAAGGACGGCAGGTGGCTCGGTAGATCTTCCTGTCATGATTAGGAAGGAAGTTGTGTAAACGGATGAATGATTTTGCGAGAGTTGGTAATTGCTGTTGCGAGGCCAAACAAGCGATATCAGAGGAAGACTGATGATACGCGCACGACTTATATGGGTTTCAGAACAGGACTCAAGTAGAGTGTCTTGCGTCAAGACCACGACCGAAGTTGGACATTCCGTCGAGTCTCGTCTCAAGCACCACATGTTTCATGTAGCCAAGTCGTTCAAATTTCATGTTTGAGACATCGTTGCGCGACGAGAAAGGCGACGATGAGCAGACCACCACAAGTCAGAAAAACATTGTTACGATGTTGATCGCCTGAACTCGAGTTAGCAAAGACATAGCAATGTCTTAATTAGAAAACACGTACCTTCTTCCGCAAGACTATGTGCTGCAATAACAAAAAGATTGAGAGGTAACCTTAGGATGCCATATATCCTCCCACGATTGCCATCCTGAATCAATCTGCCTTTTAAAGAAGCCATGCTGGGAAAGTAGGCACCTACGCAAACTTCGAACAAGCAGAAAGCCCAGAAAACTAGTGCCTCATTCTTGAGCAGGATACTCGAGAGAAAGCAGACACTCGCACTGGTCAATACCATCTTGAGTATATAGTTGGCTTTGTCGTTTGAAGGTGGCACAAGTGTGAAGATGGTAGATCCTAGCATCATGGCACACATGTAGCAGCTGAAAACGACTCCGAATGGAAGAGGGCTGGCAAAATCTACAGCTGTGTGGACAGTCGAGAGAGCAGCTGACCAGAAGAAGACGAACATGTACATGCTGCCCTCGAAGAAGCACGAAGCAAGACCGACCGAAAGAATCCTTGTGTCTGAAGTCGTCAGTGTTCAGTTCAACCACGCAGTCCTAGTGTCAAACGTACCCATCAGGACGTTACTGAGGTCAGTAGATTCGCCGTCCTTGTCTTTGCTGTTCGCATTGTCTCCATAGTTCTCGTTCTAAGACAATCAGTAGATTTCAAGGCCCGCATAACGTATCGGACTTACCCAATTCTTTGACATGAAGAGAAACGCAAGTATCAAGCAAACAATACTGGCCATGAAAGGGCTAGTCTTCGAGTCTAAAGATCTGACCAGAAGGTCGCCCAGGACACCCGAGACGATTGCAACGACACCGCTCAAAGTTGTCATCTTGCCAAATATGCTTCCCAGGCTCAGCCCGTAAGCATCTAATGCTTGATCATGGTACTCGGCGATCATCCACGTCTCAAAGACGCTATACAACAACGTCGTACTGACGCCGCCGCAAGCTCTACCCGCGAACAAGATGAGTAAGTCATCGGAGAGCATCGAAAAGCATGACAGCGAGTAGATCACACAGTATAACAGACAGGCGTTCTTTCGACCGTGCTTGTCTGCCAACTGGCCGACAAAGGAGGCGCTGATGGCACCAGCGACAAACCCGCTCGCGTAGAGAGCAGCTACTGTTGTCTCCGGGAGATGTTTGTGATACTTGTAAAGGGCGTAGATATGAGGGCCCTCCTCAAGGTCAGTGGAGATTTTGCGTGTAGCTGGGGGACGCTCTTACCTGAAGCCAATCGGCCGCGCAGACCAGACCGTATGCTGGAAAGAAGGCTCTTTTGAACCTTCTGATGGCATCCTGACCAAGTGTACTCTTCACCCCACTCTCAGCGTCTGTCACCAAACTCTGCTTTTCGGACTGATGTTGTCGATAGAGCAGATAGGCGCTGACCGCAGCCAGTACTGCCAGATTGGTCTCGTAGAAAGCCATGAGTGAGATTGAAGATGCTAACCCACATCGATCCGCGATAAATGCATGGTATTGAGACAATTGAATGTTTTGATCATTGTTCGATCAGCATTTCTCACGACGCGGCCCGCGATGTTTGTCCTACGGGCCGACATTGAGGAATTCCGGCGGAAGGCACGATTGTACAAACCTTGATAGAATACCGACGCTGATAGGAGCGATACGAGAGGCGCATGTCTCTACCTCATGGCGGCGATGCAAGGGATGGAATCTAGACGACGCCAGGGCTGTGGAAGAACACATACCTTGGCACAATCTTAATCCTGCTACATGCTTCAGATGAAATATTAGCTCTCATCGAGTGCACCTCCTACATTCGGCACGCTTTTCCAACCGTCATGGCTGTCCATACTCCCCACCGATTGCCGATTGTTCTTGCGGTTGCTGCTTCTTTACTCTTCATAATCGCAGCTTTCCATCAACGTGGAGGCGTGCCGCACGCGAAGAAACTCTGGCAGTAAGTGTGACGTGTATTCCCGCCTGTTAGTCTCTCGCTGACTTCGTCTCTGCAGCCGTCCGAGCTTCTACGAAGTTGCCGCCAAATATGGAACCGACAAGGTCACAGCCCACAGCTACCACCACATGTACGAGAAATACTTGCCTGCAGTCCGGATGAAGCGCATCAAGATGCTTGAAATTGGTCTCGGGTGCGATATGGGGTACGGTCCAGGAGCTTCCTACAACTTGTGGCTCGAGTACTTTCCATACGTCGACCTCTACTTTATCGAGTACGACGAACGTTGCGCCAGGAAATGGGCCCGCAAGACTAGCGGAGCCACCATCTTCACTGGAGACCAAGCCGACGAAGCTTTCCTCGAGGAATTCATCACAGACAGTGGTGGAGACTTTGACATCATCATCGATGACGGCGGCCACACAATGAACCAGCAGATCAAGAGTCTTGAGCACTTGTGGAAGACAGTCAAGCCCGGTGGCTACTACTTTTGCGAAGATATGCAGACTAGTTATTGGGACAGTCATGGCGGCGGCCCGACCGCGTCCAAAGAGAATGGAAATCAGACCTTCGTCCAGTTGGTCAATGAGATGGTGGAAGATTTGAATTCGGGTAACCGGAGGGTCAACTTTGACGGAGCCGAAGAGGTCTTGGGTGTCGATTGTATGGCAGAGGTCTGCGGCTTTTGGAAAAGGCCAGAGGGACCAGATAAGCCTGTGAAGCTAGAAAAGTCTACGAAGACTGGAGCGCGATAGTATGCTACTAGCATTTCGTGAATGGCAACCTTCTTCATATCTGCTGTAGAGACGCAAGATACTTTCGAAATTCGTGCAGTCGTCCACTGAGAGTGGGTTGTCGACATGCTCTCACTGATTGCGATTATGATTCGCAAAGCATGTTTACAGCTACCAGCGAGTCAGACTTTGAGCATCTGAGAAGGAACATTTCGTGATCGGAAACCGAATTTCCTTTTGATGGATCCAGTACGATGTGATCGTTTTTGTGGTTGTGAGGGCCAATGGCTGTCTATCGTGACAGCTTCACTGGATGCGCATTGTGCAAAAAAATTCTGGACCAAGCTTCTGTCGATTGACATCTGCTTTTTGATCCCCGACTTCACAAATGGCGACGTTCCAGTGACTACATACGAACCGTCCCGAAAGACAGCCGCAGCGTATAACCTTTCCGCTGGGCGAGGTGATTGTGGGTTCCTAGGCCAACCGCTCGCTGAGTGCGTTGTTGCAAATTGACTGTAGGCGCACCCCCTCTGAGATGAATGTTGCAGAGCCAACATCCATTTTCCCCCTAGGCCACGAGAATTTGCACCTTCTGAATGAGATTGGAGAGTTCGCTTGTGAGTGTGCCAATAAGGATCTCAACCGCTCCTAATCAGATGACGCTGCCGGGGATCGAACAGGAGACTGCAAGGCCACCAACCATGCCACAGCGCGGAGTTTGATTGACCAGCCTTGGCACGAACTGAGTCTCTCCTTTTGCGCACTGCCACTCAGCCAAGTCACACGTTCGGTCGCCGACGGTGATGGCAGCTAGTTGGACATATGTAGTTTGGGATAATCACACGCTCCTGTTGGCAATCCAAGTGAAGGATAAGTATGTCAAGCAATGCTCGCACCACATTGTTTCTGCATAGTTGAGTTCCAACCGTAGAGTAGAAAGAGCATGTACCCTGCATACACAGACAACAAGCATGACGACAAGATGCTACCTCTGACAGGAGTAGATAGCCTGCAGCACCAGTGCCATATAGTAGACTCATCCATGTCATGAGATAGTAGCGGCACAGTCTGCTACAGGCTGTCCATCCCTTTCTTGAGCAGACGCTAGACTCTAGGAGAACAGCAATACACGCAAGTTTGGCAAACACCTAGTCTCTTTCTGCAAAGTAGACACTTCAAGCTCTTCCTTGAAAGCAAACGTTCCATGCTCTTGGTTGATGCAGAGGTAATTGAAATTGCACACTTACTAGACGAGATTGTAACACGACTTGACCTGTCTATATGACTGCATGAAACTGGGACCAGACGGCACACATCACTGCAGTCACGCGAGCCTAGACAGACAACGACACAAGGACATGTTTGGAAGTTGAGGAAGTGAAGTCAAGAAAGCAGTCTCGAGACCTGGGGAAGGAAGTATTCTAGCGAGGCCAAGATATTTGTCACAGACTACCACCGCAACCGAGTAGTATGTTCTTACAAGCAAGAGCCGAAAATTGGCATTCAAGGTATTCGGAATTGACTAGACTGGAGTCTATGTTCCAAGATTTCGATGTTCAGCAGATTTCGCAAGGGCATCCGTGGAGGTCAAGAAAGACCAAGAGTTTTGACCATCGGCTTCGCCAAAAGCTTCCTCCATGGCAAAGCAGCTGTCAATTACGTAGAGAAAGCATCGCAAAGAAAAATCACCCGTTCGGCGCAACGCAATTCATCATTCAACACCAGCTCCAATTTCGACTGTCGCAATTCCAAGTAACTCGATCGCCTAGCTACCAGTCTCAGAAAGGAATTCAGGGAGACAGAAGACAACAGTCACCACATGGCGCCGACAAGCGCAAACCTCTCGCCGGCCGAGCTGAGCTACCTACACAACTCCCTCTCACAAACACCGCCCATCCGCCCCGACGGCCGCAGCCCCACCCAATTCCGTCCTCTGGTCGCCGAATCCGAGATCCTACCTTCAGCAAACGGCTCAGCGCGTATTTGTTTCGCAGATGGCACCGAAGCAGTAGTCGGCATCAAGGCCGAAGTCGAAAAGAGCGCTGGTTTCGGTCGCGACATTGCTGGCGAGACAGAAGAGGCTGGTCTGGGTACAGCAGGAGGCAATGAGATTGAAATGGGAGGCATGGGCAAGGGAGACGAGGGAAAGCAAGGAAGAGATGCTTGGGTCGAGGTGCAGATTGAGATGCCTGGATACAGAGACGACGATGCATTGCCTGTCTTCTTGGGCGCCATGCTGCGTGAGAGTCTGCTGGCCACAGAGACGCTGAAGAATCGCTTATACATCAACCGCCGTTTCCACTGGCGCTTGTACATTGACGTACGGACACACTTCTACCCACCACTTTGAGGAGCTATGCTAACAAGACATACAGATCCTACTCCTCTCAGCACCGCTATCATACCCCCTTCCTCTCCTCTCGCTAACAACACATCTCGCCCTCCAACACACCAACCTGCCTGCCCTCATCTCAGAACAAGACGAAGACCCGCTATTCAACGACGACTGGGACGCCGCCGTACCCCTCTACCTCTCAGGCCAAAAGCCTCCCGTCACACTTCTCCTCGCCTCCGTAGGCCCAAACATCCTCTTCGACCCCAGCGGCGATGAGCTCGCCGTCGCAGATGCCGTTGTCGCCGTCAGTGTCGCACCATCAGCTGAGAAGCAACTTGCCGTCATGGCTGTACGAATGGTAGATCCGCCGTCAAGGTTGACAGGAGCTGGCACACCGGATGTGCTCAATACTGCTACAGGCGGTGCTGCGCCGGCTAAGGCTGAAGCCCTTGCAGTCAGAGAGACTGAGAGCGGCGTGTGGAGACCGCCCAGAGGTGGTGTGAGCCGCAGCCTTGTGGCTCGCATGATCAAGATGGTCGTCGAGAAGGGTGGTGTTGGCGAGGAAATCCTCGAGGCTCTGGACAAAGTCGAGACTTGAGGGATCCGAATGTTTTTCAGAGCTCAATGCTCAGAAATGATGTTTCTCAAGTGTGGCTACAAGCAATGAGTACCTTCAAGTTCGATCAGCATCTCGAAGACTTGCCAGGACCAAGCATACAGCGAGGCTTGCAAAACGAGATCGACCTCGGCGCAACTCGACAGCGATCGCCCAGAAAGATTTGGACACAAATAACGACTGTACATATGGTACGCGAGTCGTTGCGATGCATGATCGGCGTGTCTTCGACTCACACGCCAGATTCCATTAGACGCCAAAGATAGAAGAGAAAGGAACAACACCATGACATTCCGCCTCTCTAGCTCAGTGCTCGCATCGAGTACACTTCCGTGCTGTTTTCATAGAGACAAAAGACCAATATCAATACACTACAGAGGTAAATTTACAAATCATTAGCATCGTCCGTTTTCGTTTCAGCTCCTCCTTCGTCGTCATGCTGCGTTCCTTCTGCCTCCTTCATCTCGTCGAAGCGCTTCAATAGCAAACCCACAGGTGAACGTGCACCGAGGGCCATGAAAGCTAGTCCGCCATTGACCAATGATCCCAATGCTCGCGCTCCAATGTTCTTGGCCTTGTCAGACACCTCTCCATTGAGCGATGCAGTGTCTTTTTCGTCATCTGGCTCCCTCGAGCTACTGTTTGACGCATCGTTCTTTTCCTCGTCTAAGTTGTCTTGTTTTTCCTCATGCTCTTCATTCTCTTTCTCCCCATCTTTCATCTCTTGGTCAACTGCCACCTCCTTCGCATCTCCCTCATCTCTCGGGTCGCCTTCTCTCGTGATCACCCCATCCTCAGGCTCGCTCTGTAATTCAACTCCCCGCTTTCTCAGCACCGCCGGTCGCGTCGCCCTGCTGACTTCCAGCAGATCCAGACTTTGGTGTAGAAGTACCCTTGGCTCTAGACTCCAATTTACGAGGCTTCTTCTTTTCTCCAGTGGAAGAGTCAATCAGCTTCTTAGGCTTGCCCTTGGGCTTGGGAGTTGATTGACCAGTTGAAGAGGGTTTAGGTGTGGATTGACCAGTGGTGGAAGAAGACGAAGCAGGTGCAGGTGCGGGAGAGGCGGCAGACTCGGGCTTCTCGACGGCAGGTGTTTCGGGGAGGGGTGTCTTTTCAGCCTTTTTCTGTTCCTCATCAGCGAGCTTCTTTGGCTTGCCTTTGAGTTGCTTCGGGGGTGCTGGGGCAGGAGCGGCTGCAGCTTCTGATTTCTCGGTGGCAGGGGTCTCGGGGAGAGGTACCTTTTCTGCCTTCTTTTGTTCCTCGGGCTTGTCTTTCTTCGGCTGGCTCTTGGGCTTTGGTGCGGGAGAAGATGCGGCTTCTGATTTCTCGATTGCAGGGGTCGGGGGTAGGGAGATCTTCTCTGGCTTCTTCTTCTGCTCCTCGGGCTTCTTCTTTGGCTCCTCGGGCTTCTTCTTTGGCTCTTCGGGCTTCTTTTTTGGCTCCTCAGACTTTTCACTCTTCTCCTCATCAGGCTTGGTGTCATCCTTCTTGCCCAGCTTGCGAGGCTTCTTCTTGTCTGCCTTCTTGGCCTCTTCGGGAGTCTCTTCGTCCGAGTCGTCATCGGCGTGTTCGACGAGGAAATGTCCGTCCTTGGATTGGCCCTTGTTGATCTGCTGTACATCGTTGGGACAAGCAGACATGATGACCACGACATCCCTCTCCGCCTTGAAGCGTACATAATCGCCCTCCTTACACTTGGGAGCCTCAAATGAGAGGTCGCCTTTGTCACCTTTCCAAGGAATGTTCATGAACAGATTCAATGGCGCTGGAACCGAGTTGACGGTCACGGAAGCACCGACACCTTTGGGTCCCTTGAGACCAGCACGATCGTTGAGTTCCTTGAGCGCAAGAACCAAGTTCTCAGCACATGATCCATGCTGTTCCCAGTCCTCGATTTGGAGAGCCTTGTAGCGTTGAGGATCACAAGCGGGGATCAGCGTGTCATGCACACCCGAGCTGGTATCTTCCACAAGGGTCAACATGGGCTCTCTCAAGTTGGACACGAGTACGTCGTTGACACGGGGAACCATGTGGAGGGTTGAGGCACGGGTGTGAGGCATGCTGAGATATTCCATCTGGGCAGTGTCGCCGTGCATGGCGTTCCATGCACTGTATCCAGCGTAGAGCGAAGATACGGAGCCAGATCCCGTGATAGCTACCAAGTGTCAGCAACTACATCACAAAGCATTGTCACAAGCAAGACCAACCTGACAAAGATGCAGCGCCTACAGGCGTCCTCGAGAAGTCGGCCAATTGCTCAGCATAAGTCTTGTTGGGGTCACGAGCATGCTGTTCGTTGCTTCGAGTTAGTAGATGCCCAGACATGACAGCATTGACGAAACGCCTATAAAACATACACTCACCTGAGCAGCAAAAGCAGAGATGGCTCCCTTGCTAGGCAAGTAACTGGTGACGCCCTGACCCTTGAGCAGATAACTGCCCCATCGTCTCGAGTTCTCCTTTTCTTGACTCTTGTCCAGCACTTCTGTCGAGTCGGCAGGGTCCTCCTTCTGTTCGGAAGCCTTGCTGTCGTCTTTGGCGTTTCCATCGGTGATTTGCTTTCTACCGCGCAGGGAAGGAAGGTATGAAGACCAACTGCTCTTGGTGGGGGTAGATTGCTGCTTAGCTTCTGCTTCGGCGGCCTGCTGTTGCTGCGAGGTAGCCGCCTCGGCTTCCTCTTGCGAAGGCAAGTCCAAACCTCCTCGCGACTTTCTGTTGCCCTTCTTCTTACTGGCCTTGTCCTTTTCTTCTTGTTCCTTCTTCTTTTTCTCCTCCTCTTCCTGCTTCTTCTTTTCCTCTTCGCGCTGCTTCTTGTCTTCCTCTTCGGCGAGGTTTAGCTTCTCCTTCTCATCTTGCTCTTGGTAGCTTTTATCCTGTTCGTCTTGAGCGTCTTCTTGGGGTCCCTTCTTCTTGGGTGGAGTGGGCAGAGCAAAGGCCCATGTGTCGATGACTTGAGTACCAGAGGTATTCACAATCTTGATCGTGCTACCCTTTGGCACGAAAGTAGCTGTACCATGGCGCGCGGGAATGGTTTGAAGGTCGTCTGTGGACGACATGATTATCGAGTCGTCTTTTGTCGATTCAAAGCTGAAAACGAAGTTCAAGAATGTCTCGGATGAGTCACAAGGTCAAGGATCAACAAGAATGTATGCGAAACAACGGACGAGTGTATGGAAGGGTTCGAGAAAGCTGTTTGTAGTTCGACTATCAAAGGGTCGACCCTTACCATTTACACTACGCAATCATGCAGCTAGCTAATGCAACAGTTGCGGGTGATTTGCCGCCAGAAGACAGCTTGCAGGGATATTTCCTTGCTTACGGGTGACAGAAAGTGACACCAGGCGGCGTGTTTGTCGATTCACGTTTTGATGACGTACATCCTCACCCGTGTGGAGACGATGCGGGCTGGGGGCTGGGCCTGGATTCCAACCACTGCATCTGGAGACGAATATTCAGCAACACCTCGATACACAAGGTAAACAACGAAACAGGTAACAGGACATCACTGGATTGCTATCAACGCTATGCTGTATAAACAGTCGGGAAAAACAAATTGCTCAATGTTCAATGCGAAAGACTAAGATAACCTATTCATTACGTGACTTCCTTCTCTCAACCCTTGGCATTATATTTGTCGTTGTACGCATTGACAGCAATCGCAACTTGACGATACAGCCAGTTGCGACTCTGTTCATCTGCGACTGGAACAAATGGTCCATTGTTTCCTCCCTTGAGCACGATGCTCATACCTGTACGCTCCTTGGTGATGGTTTGAATATCCTTGAGGGGGACGTCCCACTCGGTAACGAGCTTCTTTGTCTGCACCAACATGATTCCGTTGTAGGTCAGCATGACCATACGAGGGCTTTCGGCGCTCGTGCTCTTGGTGCGAGTTTGGGTGGATTGCGACCCACTTCCGGAAGATAGCTCCATGTGTGCAATGTAGTCTTCGTGGAAGTACTTGCCGTTGTCCAGAGTCTTGAGCCAGAATTGACCCAAGGCTTCACGCTGGCTGTAAGGTCGGACAATGCCGTCCTGTCCAATAAAACGCGTCAAACGCACGCGATCCAGACCTTCTTGATCAAAGACGGTTGTCGTGTTGCGAACGCCTTCGGCCATGTTAGAAGCCAAATCGAAGGCTCCAATGGCAGGCTTGGTGGCTAGACCAAGGAAGCCTTTTCCTACACCCTTGACGAATCCAAGAGCACCTTCCTTTTCCGCACCTTGCAACGGGTGTCTAGCAAGGCCGCCAATTCCACTTGCCATACTGTTTGCAAAGGCGTTACCTCCGGAAGTGATACCATACAAGGCATGCTTTGGTCTATTGCGAGAACGAGACATGCGACGCTGGTCTTGGAATTCTTTATCCATCGAGGCGGCTGCAAGACCCTTGCTGATGCTGCCGGTGAACTTGGCCATACTGTCTGAGAAGCCAAAGACACTCTTCTTGACGAAGCTGCTAGCACCCTTGGCAATGCCAATACCAAGGTCCTGGGGTCTGTCAGTCATGACAAGACCCTGGTATGGTTCGTAAAAGATGTCTGCAACACCAGAACTGATGTTGTTGAATAGACCAACGGGGTTGCCCAAGAAGTCTGCAGAACCGAGCACGATGTGGACTTGACGAAGAGATTCTTGGACGTAGTGACTCTTAATCGCAGCGACCAAAGCACCAACAGACACTCTAGCATTCTCCAGCATAAGAGCATTGTAACGAATAGGTGCATCGTTGACGTTGCCAATGGACATGGTGAGAACATTGACTGCAAACATGAAGGGGTTGGATGAGGAACTGCCAGTATCCTCGGCGTTGATGCGCTCGGTTCGGACAAAGGACAGATCGAACTGCATGGGCTGTAGATGCAACAACTCGAAGTAAATGTCTTGACCTCCCTCTTCTTGCTTGGGTTCGGGAATGTCGAGGTTTTCGTCACAAAGTTGACCCTCCTTTTCTTCGGACCATGAAGCACCTGGAATCTTTGTGAAGTCGAGCATGGCGAAGATGAAATCCTCATCAATCTCTATAGTCATTTGCTGCATCAAGAATGTGAAGTACTTGATGTAAAGCACACCATACGAATCATCCTTAACACGTGTGATTGCGGCCTTGAAAATGGGGTGAGCTTCCATCTCCTTCCCAGTCTTGGGAACCACGCTGGGGTAGAAAATCAGTGGGAAGATGCCGCCATAGAGTTGATTGTCGACTTGAATCCACTTGATGGTGGAAGACACTGTCTGGTACAAGGGAGAGTCCTTGTAGGACAAGTCAATGTCGCGCAGTGTGACGTAGACAAGTTCTTTGAGTTGACGGTTGATGAGAGAAATGCCAAGTCCAGCAAATCTGATTTGTGCACTCAACGTGACGTGGTCGTCCAAGTCCTTGACCTCGAAGCCGGTCGAAGTCGACTGAGAGGCAGAACCAGCCTTTTGCTTGTACAAACTCTTTGATGGCTTGTAATTGGACAAGACGAGTGTCTGAGTAGGGCCATCGGCGGCAACATTGAGATCAATGATCTTCTGACGGTTGGTACCTTCAGCTGCAGGTAGTCTCATTGGGATGAGATTACCAATCTCTGCAAGCTTAACATGTCTCTCTTTGCCCTTAGCACTGAGTACAAGATTCTTGTTCTTGGTAGCTGGGTAATCCCAAGCGTATGGCATGATACTTCTAGGTGGCAGCCTGTATCTGATAGGCTTCCAACCTGAAGTACGTTCATCCTCGTCTTCGTCAACATTGGGGTTGGCTTGCCAAAAGATGAACTCAACATCACTCTCGTTGCGAATAGAAAAGGGCCAATGCTTTGTCTCGTGACTGATGTGGAGGAAAATTGTGGCGTCCTCCATCAAAATCTCCACTCTGATGAGCTTTTGTCTCTCACCAGCCTTGGCGAGTTTGACATGTACGCTACCAACATTGGCAATGTTGAAGGGAGACGACCAGTTGTTATTGACACCAGGGAAGCAAAGACACAACTGTTGTCCGCCTGATTGTCTCAAGAAACGCAACGGGTGGAGATCTTGTGGCTTCAAGGTTGTCACATCGGAAGAACCGGGCTCTCTGATGTTGAGATCCTCTCCAAGCTTGTTGCGAACCACGAATCGAGGGGCAATAGTGATCACCTTAGTAAGCTTGTACTTGCCTTCACCTTCTTCGACAGTCAGGCCAACATGCATTTCTGAGCGACCAGACTCTGCAGCGACAGTGACGTCCGTGGTTGAACCAATGGCCTCGAAACTGACTGGCTTGCTCCAGGTTGAACCATCAACCTTGATGAGCGCTCTGTTCTTCTGGTCATCCGTAGGGTAAGAGAACATAAATGGAACTGCCTTTCTTGCTTCGTCTGAATTGCTAAACGTAGTTTGCCCAGCAGCAGATTTGGCAGCACCAAAGTAGGTCTTGCTGCGAATGTCAAGTCCTAGACCTGTTCTGTTCAAGACCACGTAAGGACTGTAGATGGTGATTTTGAAAGCACCTCCGCTATCAGGAACGTTGTAGTAGTGCAATTTGAGTCTCAGAGTAAGGTCTTGATTATCCTTCACGACGAGCGTCTTCTCGCGGCGGAAGTCATCCCGACCAGTGGAATTGATGATTGCGAACTCGCTCTGCTTGAATGGGGTGTCTTGCATATCAACGCTCATCAACAGCAGATGAGAAAGCTCGACAACGTGCACAGGACTGACGCCTCCCTTGCGCAAGAAGTTTGTCCAGTCCTTCTTTGTGTTTTTGTCGTAGATACGGTACTTGAAATCAAATGGCAACAAGTTTTGAATCTCGACAGGAGCAGACAAACGAATGCGCATGTATGGGTATGTGGCAGAGATGGGATTGTTCTTGTCGTACACGGCTTGCATCTGGAAGTAGAATGGCGGGGATGAATCTTGCTGCTCTCCCTGACATGTGATTGTGTGTGTAGGACGCTTCAGCAAGTCCTTCCAGAACAGGCGCTCATTTGACCAAGTGTAGCCGAATCCTTGATCAGGACGAATGACCAAGGAATGCATAAAGGCAGCACCCACAGGTGCCGATCTTGCATCGCCAGGGGCAACCTTCTCAATCTTGAGCAAGTGACCTTCGTCTGGACTATACACGCCGACTTCAATCGGGATTTGTGTGTTGTTCTCTACCAACAAGGGTGAGCGGAACGTGATGTACTTGACGTTGTCTGCTCCAAGCTTCACTTCTACCAGAATGCGATGTTGAATCTTGTCTTTGCGTGGCTTGAGATTGTAGAGTGTCTCGCCCTCACGGCTGACCGGGATACGCTCGATACTATCGAACCCACTGCCTTCGAGCTTGATGCCAACAACACCAGTAGCACCTTCTGGAGAAAGAGTTTCTCTGGTGGTGCTGGGGTCTTCGAAGCGCCAAGGAGCTTCTTCTCCGTCACTCAGCTTCTCGGCAGCGCCTTCCTGGTTGTGCTCTGTTTGAGCCCAGACATTCAAATCAAACCCAGTCTGGTTGCGGATACGATAAGGTGCGTCTGTTCCACGAGGTTTCGAGAGAATATCCTCATCGTTGGACAAGAATTGAGCCGACTTGGATGCCAAAGCAATTGTCGAAGAAGTCATTGTGAGTTCCAAGGATTTACGCGAGTAGAGCTCGACCGAGAGCTTATCTGGGTTCATGCTCTTTGCCATGTGGAAACCGAGTGACCACGGCTCAACAAGCGGCTCCCAAGCAGATTTAGAGAAGTTGTAGACATTGAAGAATGTCTCGATGCTAGTGTCTGCCGTCATGGCACCGCTCCAATCGCGAACCTCTACGGCAAAGTTCTTGACACTCCAATCAAGCATTGGCAATTCGTGGAGGTCGCCAATAAGAACCACGCGAATACCTTGAAGGTTGATCTTCATCTCTTCGCGTTTCAACATAGCAGAGCCTTGGGGTTCGGCATGTGTCTTGGGTGCAGTAGTGGCATGCGACTTCTTGGTGGCAATAGTGTTGGCTCGAGGCTTCTGTGCCGATGATGCTGCCCGACCAGACTTTGGTCTGACAGAAGGAGCCTTTAGTTGATCAATCTTGGAAGGACCTTCCTTTGCTAGTTGCTTCTCGTCATCATTGGCAGACATGGCAGAAGCCTTGTTGACGATTTGCATGGCCAAAAGGATATCACGCAGGGACAAACGAAGCACCAATGGCTCAATTTCAACCATGATACTCATCAGTTGAGCCTGCTTGTTTTCGGAGCGCATGTCTACCGAAGTTTGGATACTGAAATCATCGAGAATTCGAAGCTGAGTAGAATCAAACTTGTCCATGCGGCAAAGGAACATGCCAAGCTTGTCAACCTGGAGTGCTGTGACGTGTTGTTGAGAAACGAGAATTTGCTTGCTTCCAAGTACAATGGCTTCTGAATTAGTGATGGCAGGGTTTGCAATGAGGATGATTTGTGCATCGACGATGTTAACGCGGAACGAGATGCTCATTGGGCTTTGCTCCTCGGTAGGCTTTGCATCGGGCTGTTGTGTGCCTGCAATATCGGTACCTGTAGAGATGCTGACTTCATCATCTCCAGCTGATGATTCTTCCTCTTCGTCAGAGATGATGAGAGGCTCGTCTGTAGCCAGACTCAGATTGACGAATCGTTGGATCGCAAACAAGTAATCAAGAGCCAAGATGATTCTTGGACTATCAATGGTTAGAAGAGCAATCAAATTACGCTCCTTGCCTCCAGAAATGGAGACGCTTGCCATGAATTGCTGCTTGACATCGGTATTGATGAGTGACATGATCTTCCTAAACTTGTTCTTCTCATGTGTGCGAGTGTCGGTAATGGTAAAGGATTGGACTAGAAGCTCAGACTCTAGTGATCCGTCGCTGACCATGCGCAGCTTGATGTGAGTCTCGTTGAGTGAGAATTTGGATAGACTGCAAGCTGCAAGGTCCTCGACGGGCTTTCCAGGCTTGCTTGAGATGAGTTCGAGGCCAATTGTACCAACCTTGAATACAAGATCAAGCTTGGTCCAAGTGTCATCGTCTGACCCGATTTCGGGACCGAGGTGAGTAGGGGATTGAGGTTGCTCTTCTTTTTGATCTTCAGAGCCATCAGTGATTGACTTGGCATCTTGGACAGTGGATGCTGGCAGCTCTTCCTTGACAGTCTCTTCAACATCATCATCGGAATCCGTAGCGAATGCCTCGGGGATTGATCGAGAGAGTTCGAGTATGAATTTGAGTTGAGCCTCTGTGATTCGCAGGTTGACATTAGACATGGAACCTTCAATCTCTGTATCAGGACGCTTATAGCCGGGCTTGTGCTCTGCGCTGGTGATTCTGAAATCAAGGTCAACCTTGTCAATGAGATCAAGCTCTTCAACCTTGTCGTCAGTGTAGTTGAATGTCGAAGTCAATCTAGTGTTGTGTACACCAGCCGTCAACTTGTTGGCAGTCTCAGAATCCTTGGCATCGTCCAAAGGAAGGAATTCATTGCTGGCATACAGCTCTCCCAAGTACGCAGTAAGAACATCACGCTCAGGAGAGTCGGTGATAACCATGCGAGGAAAGGCTATGATTGGTGTCTTGATGCGAATATCAAAGTGCATCTTGCTAGCACGCTCTTGAATGTTGTTGGCCTGATTTGCAGCAGCTTGTCTGGCAGCATTCATTATGGCCTGCATCTTTCCAAACTTGACGCCAAATTCCATGATTTTACGGAATGGTTCAGTGACAAAGTTGACTTTCAAAGAGCCAGATCGAAGGTAGATGGAGGTGTCATAGCCAGGATAGGCTTCAGATTCTGCATCAAATGTTTCGTAGCGGAAATCGGCAAGCTCATCGCCTTGAATGGAGACCAGTTGACGCAGAGAAGATTGCTCAGAAACACCTTGATTGACATCGTCGAGAAGAGACAAGTTACCGAGTCTAGCTCCTACTCTCATGGTCTTACCCATCAAGAAAATGCCCACCTCGGCAGATGTCAAACTCAGAGTAGCTAGACGGATTCCATCATTGTTGAGAATGATAGCAATGCGCTTCAGTTCGGCCTTGATACGAATCTTGTCGCCTGCAGGCTGTGCATTGGCAACTTCCACGGTCTCAGTCGACTCTACAGCCTGTGATTGGTTGGCCTGAGGCTCTCCCGGATTCGTAAAGGTGACCATGACAAAGTCAAGCAAGGTCAGGAGTGTCTTTCGAGTCACGAGCAGATTAATCGTTGATACTGATACATCTAGATTCGTGGCTATGCCTTCAAATGTCGACATGAATTCTGGATGTTCCGGATTGACCTTGACAAACTTGAGTGTGAAGAGGTCCTGCTGCTTGTTGGCATCTGAGTCTTCGGAAGAAATGAGATTCCTAAACTCGGGAGATGGATTTTCCTCGACGTGGTCTTCTACAGCAAGGGTGCGTAGACTGACCTCTGCTACCATGTCAAATTGACGCTGGTAGAAGAGCAAGTCGAAGTTCTCGGCGATGAGATCAACAAGCAACTGATCTTGTTTTTTGCCATCTGGGTCTGACCGATAAAGAGAACCTTGAAGCTTGTCAACCTTGAACTTGAACTCAAAGTTACGTTGATTGACGTCCTTTGCGGGTTCCTTGGTGGTTTGTTTGGCTTCCTTGAACTCTTCGTCTTCATTATCAGTCTCCTCTTCCATAACAAGCTCGTGCTTTTGGGCAGAGAATTGAAACGACTTGGATCTTGGCCTTCCAATCACATCCGAATCCATGATGCTCTTTTTTCTGGGACGCTGAGTCTGTTTCTGCGAAGGTTGCACGGGTTTCTGCGTCTTCTCTTCATCTGACCCAAATTTGGGAATCGCAACGTCAATGAGCTTCATCAGACTCTTGTATTTCGAATCGGAAATAGAAGCATGCAAGACTGGCAGATGGCCTCCAACTCGGAATTTGGTCAAGCCTGAAGCCTTGGGAACAATGCATGTCTCAACTGTGAAGTCGATGTTGATGCGATCCACAATGTGCAAGTGTCTGGATGTATTGTTTTCGTCCAGTTGCTTCTTGGTTTCCTCAATCGAAGGTCCAAGAAGAAGCTGAGTCGACTGTAGTTTGACCAGAAATTTGTCATACATCAACTGCTCAAGGCGTTTGAAGTCTTCCTCGGTGTACTGCTGTTTTTGCTTCGATTGCACCTCGTTCAATGTCTCCTTGTCGATCAACTCGCTTCGTACACTAATGTGACCTGCGTCGAGAATCATGCAGAGAGACTCCTTCTTGGTAACAGAGTCGGGTATGATGATGAGAGGAGCTTGCAAGTCGAGCTTGGCATCAATCGTCTTGTGCTCTTGTAGGGCATACTCGAGACCAGCACGAGTCTGTTGCCTAAGACCTTCGACTGTTGCACCTGCCGACTCCATGAGGGCGCCAATTGACTCCATGTGACGTTCCGGAGGCTTGAAGAAGTTTGCAACTTCGACGACAAACTTTGGGTTGTAGACAAATTCCATGCCTTTAAGCTTTACAACCAGGTCTGTATCGGCATGACCATCAAGAGGGTTGTTCTCGAATGTCAATGCAAAGAATGGATCTACTGCGGGCTCATCATCCTCTTCATCATCATCCTTGACTTCTTCAATTCGCTTGTCATCCGAGATTGATTGCTTGATATTGAGCATCTGAGGGAAGAGATTGCCCTCGGTGGTGCCATCGAAGAGTTTCATAGTCTCGAGACTGACTTCTGCAAGCATAGAGTCTGTGCGTTGCAAGAATTTGGTGTCGAAACCTTGGAAAACGAGCTGCAACATTTCGATGGCCTTGCCATGAGGGTCTCGTTTGAGAGTGAAACTACCTTCTCTAAGGCTCATGTCGACTTGCAACTTGATGGCTTCCTTGGGCATATCAACGGCATCGGCGATTTGCTTCTTCTCGTCGAAGTCGATGGCGTCGTACAATTCTTTGCGTTGTTCCTCGGTCAACTGGGTCTCGTCACCGGGATGCTCTTCCGTCTTCTTGCTTCCCCAGACCCAAGAAGACCACGTCTGCTTCTGCGGGGCCTTCGCGACACCAACATTCTCCTTGCGCAATTGATTACGAGCAAGGGATCTCCAGAATCGGAGGTCTTCATAACTCAGCTTGCGCTCGAGCTGATCAAGCTCGGTTCCTTCTTCTGGAGTAAGCTTCTCCTCCTTTTTCTTCTTTTTGAAGAGACTGATGTACTTGATACGATCGTCACGGCGTTCCTTGAAGTATGCCCATGTCCAGCGGCGGTTGCGTTCGTGGATCTTGTCATGGACTGATTTGGTTGCGAAACGGAGCCAGGCTCGAGGGTCCTCTTTGGGAGATGATTTCGGCTGGAACTTACGATATTCCTGGTGTCGGATGAAATAGTGGAAGAGATCGACCAACATGAGAGCATCGCGATATTGATCGTCGTCAATTACAAAGCCCAGCTCGTTGAAGAGGAGACGGGCCTTCATTTTGGGACGATCAATCTTTCCAGTTTTGTCAATTTCGAGACCAGCACGACCAGTGACTGGTTTGAGTATATACTGATGTGCGCCAAAGTCTGTATCGTCCTTCTTGGCAATCATGTCTCTAAACTTGTCGATGATTGTGCTATGATCTATTCCTTGCTCTTCTGCAGTTTGGGAACCCTTACCAGAGCCCAGCAGTTTGGCATCGGTGTCCCAGTATATGGCGAGGGCACCAAGAGTGGCGAGTTTATGAGTGGATCCTGCTGCCGTGCTCTGGATAAAGGTTGGTTTCCAGTTTTCGTCTGTACTGACGGCGCTCAGCTCTTGGAGGGTAAGACCGGCAGCAAAAGGATGTCCAGGGTCTGAGATGGAGTCCTCGTAGCGGATGTGGACGTTCTTGACTGAGATTTGCAAATTGTCTACAATGGCAGTGACAAGACTGGCAGTGAAGCTTTGATTCTTCTGCTGTTCTTCCTGGCTCATGCCTTCTGCGCTTCGCTCTTTGAGTAATTCCGCGCTGTCGAGCTTCTCCATCTTGACAGCATGATCGCGCTTGTCTTGGTCTTCCGGATTGTAGTCTTGGTCTTCTCTTGGAGCGGCCAGCAGGTATACGTCCTCAATCTTGACTTGTACGGGCTTGCCTCGAAGGTTGGACCAGGGGATCGAGAGGGTAAGGGAGCCCAGGTGACCTTCGACGACGTTGATGGGTAGATGGAGTTGGTCGAGGGCTTCACGACGGAGCTCGAGATCGCGTAGTTTGACATCGCCAGACCAGATACCGACATTTAGCTGCTTCGGATCAAAGTTTTGGACATACATGCCCAAGAACCTGTTGAGCAGATTCGATACGAGTCCTTCCAACATGACGGCGAACGTGTGCCGTTACCCAGGCAGGGAGTATGTGAAGGGTGGAAAGGACGAAGAGTGCTGAATTTGATTATCGTATACAGGTCATCAGGTCATGAGATGGCTGGGTTGGCGGTAAGCCGTGTGTAGGTACTTGTGCGAGTACCCTTGGTTGTGGTTGATTGGGCGCAAGGCGAGCGGTCGTCTCTAAGGCGGATGACAACTGAATCGTTGAACTGACGAAAACCTGAGAAAGCACAAATCACAGAAGAGATCGTGGTCGTCGTAACAGTTCGTGTGCACAGGGTTTGATGGATCGTGGAGAACGCGACGTTCGACTCTTTCCCACTTGTTGGCAGCTGCTTTCTTGGAAACAACGCCGCTGATCGTGCCCGCAGCCCGTCCACGCGGAACGTGGGAAAGGGAAGGTGCGATGAATGACGTCATCCTCCATCTTTTGAAGCTCCTCCGAGCTCACTGCCTACTCGAGTAGGTGCACACACTATTCCTAGCTCGACATAAACCGTAAAAGGCAGATAGTCCAAGCAGAAGCTTCTGGGAAGCAATCAATCAACTGGTCTCAGAGAATGGAATGTTTGGAATGATTTTTGCCAATTTTGTGGCAGTGATGGACAATCATAGCGGAATCGGAAGGAACGGTGACGACACAAAGTATGCGGTCGGGAGCTCCACATTGACGAGCACCTACGCAAGAGGATAAGCACAAGAGCTTGGTCGTACCTGCCCCCAAGAGTACCTCAGCTACGGAGGTACTTCCTGACAGCTTCTCCATCATTCCTCCTACTGCCCCTCCATCTGCGTCCACAGTCCGTTGAGGCCTTTTGCTTTCCTATTCCTCTCCTCTCCACTCCACTCAAACACACAATGTTCCGCGCCGGTACTGCTCGCCAATTGCGCGCCCTCAGTGGCCTCGCAGCGAGCGCCCCTCGTAGCTCTCAATTCTCGTCCAAGCTATGCACTCTCTCGCAAGTTACTCGCCCGCTCGCGGTTGGCAAGCCCATGACACTGGCCATGGCTCGCTATGCCACCCAGCCATCAGCAATGGACAAGATCAACAAAGAGGTGGAGTCAAAACTAGGAGAGCAAAAGCTCAAGGCGGATCCCGACACTGTTAGCACCACTTCGTCGACTCATCCTGTCTTTGGCGAAGTTGGCATGGCCGAGGACCCGCACAAGGACGCCGACATGATGGCCGGTGTCAAGAACGATTTGGTCAGTCTCGAATGCCGCCATAGCTCGTGTGATAGCATGCTAATGTTTGATCCAGAAAACCATCAAGGATACTTTCTCGCTCGAGGGCGTCCCTCATCAAGCCTACACCTTGGGAATGGCTGGTGTACTTCCCTACCTAGGAACCTCGCTTTCCACAGTCTACTGCGCTTGGGAAATCAACCATGCACACAACACCGGCTCTGGATTCTTGATGAGCGAGCAAACTGCTGAAGCAGCTCTCCACGTCTTGGAGCCCCTTCAAGTCGGATATGGCGCCGTCGTAAGTTTGCATTGAGATTATGCATCGTCCTAAGCAGCTTCTTACCCCCTCATTCGCAGATCATCTCATTCCTTGGCGCTATCCACTGGGGTCTGGAGTTTGCTGGCTACGGCGGATATCAAGGTTACAAGCGCTATGCAATCGGCGTCTGGACCCCCGCAGTCGCATGGCCCACAATCCTTCTCCCGGTTGAATACGCCCTGATCACCCAATTCGTCGCTTTCAACTTCCTCTACTACTCGGACAGCCGCGCTTGCAAGAGGGGCTGGACCCCTTCGTGGTATGCCGTATACCGCTTCGTCCTGACATTCATCGTCGGTGCCAGTATTGTCATCTCGTTGATTGGCAGAGGCCAGATCGCCGACCGTATCAACAAGCTGCCTGGTCCTGCCGACAGAGTCCGCGCTCTGCGTGAGGCCCAGGGCCAGCAGCGCGACGAGGAGGAGGCCGCCAAACGTGCCAAGGTCGTGAAGGACGAGGAGGATGATGAGGAGTAGAAATCCAAACATCACAAACACTCGTCTCACGCTACCAAGAAGCGCGCCTAGAACGACATGGGCTGTCTTCCAACGACAACATTTTCTTCCGGATGCTTTCCAATGTATGTACTCGAATGACTAGTTAATAATTAGCAAGCCAATGCTGCACGTTTTGATGAACCACGTGACATGTTCACAGCCTTTCTCCAGTCTTGGTGTTGTTCAGTCGTGCCTTCTTTTTCGTTGTCCTTCCATTTCTTTGCTTCTGCGTCGCTGGTATCTGGACCATTTTTATTTTGTTTCTTGTGAATCGCAATGGAAGTCCGTTAATTCACTGTCTCGTTGGAGGCCATGCATCTCAATTGGACAATTGGGCTCATGAGCTTCCTATCTGACCCGAGCTTCGAAGAAGATGGGCGTTTAGATATCGAAACTGCATCAGATCAAACCCCTTACCAATGATAGATCAGCAGTGTACGAGCCGCACACTAACGGGGGCACATCCGGACGTTTCTCAAGATGTTCTTCCTGCGCGGAGAAGCTTCTAGGAATCCGGTTGCAGAAATCATCCGGTATCCCTTTATATTGACAATCAATACGGAGGAGCAATTTCCATATCTCGAAGCTTACGAGGCCTGCATGCCGACCAGTACTCGTGACCCTTCAAACCGGGGCAGTTGATCTCGATTGACCGTGGCTGCAGACTGATCGGCACTCGAACTTTTTTCAAGTTTGTGCCTTGCGGCCGTGCATGGTAGGATCGTCGCTTCGACGTCTTAATTTCCAGCACGCGACAATACGCCGGAAGAACCAGATTGTTTATCTTGACCAATGGAGGAGATTATAACTGCAAACCTACTGCACGACACAAAAGATATGGCATGAAAAGGTAGAGCCTCAAGTATATCGAAAGTCGCCGGGTAAATAACCGCGGTGGAGTGCAGGACTCACTGCCCGGCATCCCCGTGGGATCGTAGAGGCACCGAGTGTAGCCCCGAGAGGCTGTTGTCCCGAAGGCGGAATGGTTGGTGGGGATGGTGGGGTTCGCCATGGACGTGTTGAAAGCGTGTGAAGTCATACTGCCCAGCGTTACCAGCACGTCCATCACTGAAAAACTCACTTAACTCTGGTTCCCTCACACTCCTCTTCCTCTCTTTTGCCATTCAGTCCATTGCTGTACCCTCTGATACCCCCTCGAATTATTCCGTCTTTTTCCGCTCACCGAGCGACCTTCACCCATCCACAAACACGCAACTTTGGTTTCACGCAGCTTCGACAGTCCGACGCCCACGCATTTTTATTTCTGCGTACTGCAAGCATACTAATAAGACTCTCTCGTCGTTCTACTCGGCGTGAAAGCAAGTACCACATCACAATGGACGGCTCAAAAGAAATTCCCGACATCGACCAGAACCCGCAACAACAAGCGGACCCTACCTTGACAAAGGCCTCTGGTTCCGCCGATGCGAAGCCCAAAGTCAGAACCGAGTCGAAGTCTGGCGCGCAGAGACCGCCGTTGAACAGATTCACCACCAGTCACGAAAATGTGCTCCAAGAGAATTTCATCGGTGCAATTGACCAGGGAACCACTTCCTCAAGATTTATCATCTTCAACGGAGTTGGTGAACCCGTGGCAATGCACCAGATTGAGTTCGAGCAGAAGTACCCTGAGTCTGGGTAAGTCCATACTTTGCTACACTGCACCCGCAGCAACAGTGTTAACACACATTTACAGTTGGCACGAGCACGACCCTTGGGAGCTCGTTCACTCGGTAGAAACTTGTATCGAAGAGGCTACCAAGAAGTTCATTGAGTTGGGCCACAAGGCCTCGGACATCAAGGCCATTGGTCTTACCAACCAGAGAGAAACAACTCTGGTTTGGGATGCCGAGACTGGAGAGCCTCTGCACAACGCCATCGCCTGGCCAGACACCAGAACAAAGGGTCTCGTCCGTGAGTTCAAGGAACGCAAGGGCGACCAAAACTTGTCCGAGATTTGTGGTATCCCTCTCTCGACATATCCCTCATGTCTCAAGCTCGTTTGGATGTTGCGTCACATCCCCGAGGTACAACAAGCCTACGATGAGGGTCGCTTGTGTTTCGGCACTGTCGACACCTGGTTGATCTACAACCTCAACGGTGGAAAGGAAAAGAACGTCTTCGTCACCGACTCTACAAATGCCTCGAGAACCATGTTCATGAACTTGCACACTTGTCAATACGACGACAATTTGTTGAGCTTCTTCGACCTCGATCGCAACAAGCTTAGGCTGCCCAAGATTGTTCCTTCGTCTTGTGCAGACGCATACGGTACCCTTGCCAAGGGAACCTTGAAGGGCATGAAGATTGCTGGATGTCTCGGCGATCAGTCTTCGGCCCTGGTCGGTCAGCAAGGCTTCACTCCTGGCTCTGCCAAGAACACATACGGTACTGGTTGTTTCTTGCTCTACAACGTTGGCGAGAAGCCCACCATTTCTACCCACGGTCTTCTTGCAACGGTTGCCTACGATTTCGGCCGCAACAGAAAGCCCGTATACGCCCTCGAGGGTTCGGTCGCTGTCGCTGGTTCCGGTGTCAAGTTCTTGATGAACAACATGGGTTTCATTGCACACGCCGAAAAGGTCTCAGAACTCGCCTCGACTGTCGACGACAACGGTGGTCTTGTCTTCGTTACCGCCTTTTCCGGTCTCTTCGCACCATACTGGATCGATGATGCAAAGGGCACCATTTTCGGTATCACCCAGCACACACAACGAGGACACATTGCACGTGCCACATTGGAAGCTACTTGCTTCCAGACAAAGGCTATCCTCGACGCCATGGAGAAGGACAGTGGACACGCTCTGTCAGACTTGGCTGTCGATGGTGGTATGAGTAACTCGAACATTTGCATGCAGGTAAGTCACACCAAGAAATCATCATTGTAAAAAACAAGACTGACTCTCAACAAAGACACAATCGAACATCATCGGTATCCCCGTCAACCGTCCTGCCATGCGCGAAACTACCGCCTTGGGTGCCGCCATCGCCGCCGGTTTTGCTGTCGACATCTGGAAAGAGTTTAGCGAGCTCAAGGCCATCAACCAAAAGAACCGCATGGTTTTCGAACCAGAGGTCACACCCGAAGAGAGTCAAAAGATGTTCAAGAAGTGGGATCGTGCAGTCAGCATGTGCCGTGGCTGGCTCGATGTTGACGAGGTCACGGAGACCTAAGTCACAGAACACTTTTAATGAGGAGGAACGTTACGATAATATCTTGTTCGATTTTTTGAGGATTTGCTTCGGATTGGCATATTGTTCGATACCCTTGTCATGGGTTCGCATTGTCGTAGGAAGTTTTGGAGTTGCATATATACATGATGATTGGTCGAAGTCTTTACGCACAATAGAAGAAAATAGATTGTCTTCTTTTCAATTGTGTTTCTTGTGCAGTCTCTATCGGTTTACCCGGGATGCTCGATGCTTCACATCTGAATGTTTTCAAGACATGACCAGCTTCACATTCAGGCCTGCCGATGTCGCCTGTAACGTGGCTGATCAGAGAGAAGAAGCTTTAGGATGATACCGCTGCGGGTCGACCTTCCCGGCGCCTCATCCGCAACTTTGGAGGGGAACACCGGCTTCGACTTCCACTCCAAACCTTAAAAACGCCCCCAGCTGCACTCGAGAAAAAACGACATGAACGGGTTCCTGAGTGGATCTATCTTGCATGTTAATATATCTCCAACCATATCAAACATAAGATCCCGCACACTGTACCCAGCTCGTGGGCTCAGATGGTTTACAACATGTCACACTGAGCTTCTTAATTCCAAGCATACCCATGCCGCTGCACTGCTGCCAAAGCCCGAGTTTCACCACATGACAATTCTACTCTCGTACGACTGCTACGTCAACACACGCAAGACACACTTGTCTTGACAAAGTGGTCACACCAGGTTCCCGCTCATTGTCATTGTCGAGTTACCTTGGCGCTTAGACATACGTCCGCGCGCCTGTTTCTGGCGGCTTTATCGCGAACCCAGGCTTGAGAACGACAGACGGTAGACTGACACGACAGGTTTCCCAATAACACGTCAATCATCCGTGGTTGGTTCGACGGTACGGCACGAAAACGGTAACACGATCTAGTACGCCATGCTTGCTCTCTTGCCCAAAAGCACGCTACATGCAGCAAAGGATCTCCAGGCCCGGGTTTCGGTGCAGCGGTCAGGGATGCATGATTTGCTTTGCATTGGCGTCAACCTGGTTGTCCCCTACCATCGGTTAACGGTGTAGTTGCGTCAAATTCCTCAATGTGTGATTGGAACAATCTCTCAAAGGAACAACTCACCTAGGCTAGTCTAGATTTCTTGCATCAGAGCAGCAGGGAACACAGGTTGGTTCCCTTCTTGCTTCTCGCTTCTCCGGGGCACATCGGTGGTACAGTCAAAAGATTTGAATGTTTCAAATTCTCTATCAGGAACAAGTTGGTGGGATTTTCTGCTTGCTACTCGTCTTTTTATCTTGCTTGCTTGGATCTCATGTGATTTTTATGATTTGAAACCAGTTGAAGCATCAAACTTGACTCGATCTGGGACAGAGGCTGGCAGCATATAGACATTCGACTGATTTGAATGTTCTGTTGTTGAACAGCTCAGAGGGTTCATATATCATCTTGCTGCTTCCCCTCTCATCATCATCATCGACATCGCTTCAGTCAACTCAATCTAATCAAGTCCTATTCCACATCTCATCACCAATCACGATTCAGACAACATGTGCGATTACACCAAGGTTGAATACTGTTGTGGCCATCTTCGATACACAGTTCGTGCCTGGTGTGTCAGATATCAAGAGTCACACAAACGCTGTCCTCCCAATGTCGTTGCTGTGTAAGTATCTCGATGATCACATAGCTTTTTGAGCTCCTCTAATTCCATGTTTGCAGAGAATACAGATTTGAAGAACCATGCGGTACGCCCAACCATGCTCAGTGTCAAACTCACTGCATATCATGTATGGAATATGCTGACAACAAACTCTGCACAGGTGACTGCAAACCACCTGCACCACGATATGGCCACAAGTCCAAGTCCAGCAGCAGGAAGTGAGACACGGCGGCTCATCGACACATTCTTCTTCAAACATCTCAGATTGTGCATATTTACACTCTCACATACTATTCGACAGCACCGGAAAAACAGAACACGGGTCTCTTTTCTTTGTTTTTGGTTTATCAAAGTTCTTACCAGCAGGACTGATTGGACATGGTCACTGGAGTTACAGGACAGAAACACGCCGATCTAGCATGTTAGATGGCAAGGTATACCCTTTCGCTTATGATTACATATTGAATGAAGGAAGATGCGAAAATCATGATCATCAAGACATGTTCAAACTTATCTATTTACATGTAGCGTTGAACAACTTTTTGCACCTCTCATCCTCAGCCCAAGACTGAAGTTCCGTGATCACTATCCTCATCTCGCAGACATTGAAAATCCGCGAACCTGGAAGCGGAGACATGATCGTCTCCTTCTCCAGGCCATCGATCTCCAAACATCGCACACGTCTACTCCCTAACTCATCCGGAGTATCTCGCACAGTCAGAAGGTCGGTCAATGTTCTGTGTAACGTGTTGCAAAAAGCCAAAGCCAACATCATGTGGCAAGTACGGTGTGTTTTGCCTCAATCTTGCAGGAGAGACAAGACCCACTCGGCGCATCGGCATGCGTGAGTAAAGTCGGCAGACAAGTCCGTTTTTGCCTTCTCGATTGATCAGGTATTGATTTGGAAGATGCACAGAATGAGGAAAGAACGACAAAGAAATGAAATCTATGGATTGTAGATGATAGGAAAGAACCACGAAACTTGCACAATTCTCAACAGTGAACCACAGGGAAAGAGCCAGAGAAAATTGCACCCACCGTCTTAGACAGCAACCACGTCCGGCACTTGAATTTACCTCATCATAACACCTGGTTGCTGGATGATCGATCTTCTGCGGAGTGCATAACCAATAGTCAACAGCGATCGAGTTTCTGCACAAGCCCGACACTACGATATCTGTACACAGTCTGGTGGCCTGTTTGTTACCTGTCAATTATGACCTGTCATCTGCCAGATCACCTAAATTGCATACCGATCTCATTCGCATTCGAGCCTCGAGGCATTACTTCCGGTATACCGGTCCATTACGATCTCCTCGCGCAACAGCATTCTTTTGAATGTTGACGGACAATATCGCAAGGCAGAAGTTTGATCTTGCGAAGAATCGATTGCAAGAACGTCTCAAAACAGCTCGGCCAAATACTCGAATTTCAAGGACGGCACATCATCTTCGAACCTCGAGCGGATACTCGCGGAAACGAGATGAAAGAATAATGTGTGAGAGTTGCGGTCTGCAATGACCCTTCAGTCTTCCCGCCAACCAAGTATCCGACTTCTGCACGAAGGATGAAAGAGGCGGCTGTAGTGCTGCTCTACCGGCCCAGGAAAAACATCATGCAATGTGGAACGTTCCATCCCGACTGCAAGGTCGTCGATCGTATATGCATGCACGTAATATGGCGTCTAGCGGTGTCGGCTTTCTTGGTGCGATTGGAAGTCTTTCCGTACTTTCGACTCGTCATCAGGATGCTGGAGATGCATGGTTTTCTTGTTACCTGTCTCAATTTGCTGGGAAGCGCAGATAGCTGTAGTGTGGTCGTTGTTAGGGTGTCCTAACAAGTGCATGCGTACCATACGAACGCACAATCATCTCAAGCCATCGACCATATCGCTTCTCGAGGAGATTGACAATAATTTGGCCGGCCTTTGACGACATCTTTGGTGTGGTGTGGATGGCATGAAATGGCGGCTGGTGCTTGGAATGTTGCAGACGTTCGAGACACCGGATGGGAATCGTAACCAATCTCCGGCATGATGGTCACGAATGCCAACAGCCAATGCTTCGATTGCAACGCGGTCGCGCTTTGTCATGTTGCCAACAGCAGTTTAGCCGCCGGCAGCACGTGATTGTCAGGCATGCCGAAGGGATGACCCTGCTAATGATCTCGAGATCACGTTTCACGGTCAACAACACTTCAGATTGGATCTTCAGGTGTCTGTAGATATGTGCGATTGCCCAGCATAATTCCTCGAGTGTGGTCTTATGATCTGAAGGGCGTCTACACGGCGTGGGGAGTCATTGAAATGCTTTGCAATCGTTTGTGTGAGGTAAGCTGTCTTCCATATGCTAGCCAACCGTGGGAAGCCGAAGTTAGAACAGATTCTCGTACAAAATCAAGTATCTCATCCAGTGCAACAACTTCCTATATACAGAAAGCTGTGGCACTCTAGGTACTGACTTCATTGTGTTGGTATCTCTGAGGTAAGATACACTGAGTATCATATCTGTTCGATGACGATTGTCGGAGTTATTCATTAAGTCCGCATCTCCATCATGCCCCTCCCTGTTTAGCCGCCGACCACAAAGACTACAAGTATCGATCAATGTCGCTCGAACCGGTGTTGTCTCTTGAAACATTTCACTAACCAACCGCAAAACTCATACACCAAAAATGTCGGACCAAAAGGATCCCGTACTCGAGAAGATCGAAAACACCAAGGCCATCTACAAACGCCTAGGCAAGAGTGGTCTGCGAGTTTCTGTACCTATCCTCGGTGCCATGTCATTCGGTGATGCAGCATGGCAACCTTGGATCTTGGACGAAGAAGCATCCCTTCCACTTCTCAAAGCTGCTTACGATAAGGGTATCAATACCTGGGACACGGCCAACATTTACAGCAATGGTGTGAGCGAGAAGATCATCGGCAAAGCCATCAAGAAGTACAACATTCCGCGTGAAAAGATTGTCATCTTGAGCAAGTGCTTTGCCTATGTCGGCGAAGAACCTGGAATCAAGACTATGACTTACGGTCAGAGGATCTCCGAGTCGCCCGACTACGTCAACCAAGGAGGACTCTCGCGAGCTGCCATTTTCAATGCCGTCAACGCATCCTTGAAGCGCCTGGATTTGGAGTACCTCGATTTGCTTCAAATTCATCGCTTCGACCCCAACACACCAACCGAAGAGACCATGGAGGCCTTGCATGATCTGATCAAAGCCGGAAAGGTCCATTATATCGGAGCAAGTTCCATGTGGACATATCAATTCTGCATGATGCAAGCTTGTGCCGATAAGAATGGTTGGACCAAATTCATCAGCATGCAGAATCAATACAGTCTTCTGTATCGCGAAGAAGAACGCGAGATGAACAAGTATTGCGACGCAACCGGTGTCGGACTCATTCCGGTAGGATGATCTAATCGCAAATACACATCAACCGCTAACAATGATCCAGTGGGCTCCTCTTTGCCGTGGACACCTCGCTCGCCCTGCATCGGCAGCTGGAAGCACAACAAGGTCTGCCAAGGAGGCTAGCGGTCTTGCAGGAACCTCTGAAGTCGATGTCAAGACCATCGGAAGAGTGCAAGAGCTTGCCGAGAAGAAGGATTGGAAGATGGCACATGTCGCACTCGCTTGGATCAACAAACGGATTTCAAGTCCAATCATTGGATTCTCGAGTGAAGAACGCATGGATGAAGCCCTAGGTGCAAATGATAAGACGCTGACTGAGGAAGAGGAGAAGTATCTTGAAGAGCTTTATGAGCCCAGGAATGTCGTCGGTCATAATTGAGAAGGATTCAAAGCGGGAAGGCGGTGTCCAATTCTGTTGCGACACGGAAATAAGATCAGCATTCCTTCGAGACATAACTCAGACATGACAACTCACACCTTTAGTACATACTTTACCCCTCTGTGCACTTCCAAATAATCTCACAACCTCTTCACTCCAAGCATGGCTCGAGTTCGTAGCAAGTCCAAGGATGCGGAAGTTCGGGCAAAACCACTCACTAAAAGCGGCGTCGTGAAGAAAACGCCAGTCAAACCTACCGCGAAGCGAGGAAGGACTACGTCCACACCGCCGCCACCACCACCACCAACAACAACCAGATCGTCTCGGTCGCAGTCAAGAACCCGCCGTCCAAGCTACCAAATCCAGGAGGCACAATTCAGTGACAACAAATCCAAGTCCGTTAGCAAGGATGACGATCAACTCGTCCCCCTAGACAAGAACATTTCGTCGGATGAGCTGGTTCAAACGGCTGTGCCGGCCACGAAACTGCCGCGCATCTACTGGATCACAAACTATCGAGAGCTGTCGCCTCCATGGATAGGATGCTCGGATTTTGTACCACCTGTGTATGTTGAGTATTTGATGCGCTCCAAGAAGAGACTAGCACTGGGCAGAAAATGGGAGGAGGGGAAGAATGATAAGATCACAAACATGGAGGGTGCTCTGCACACCTTTGTTACCTCCATCGAGCTGGCCTGGCTGCATGGCGAGAGGGGTTATAACAAAGGTCACACCTTCACCCCCTACCCGCACAGCGGCAAGTTCAGAAGTGGGCGACAAGTCCTGGTGAGCAACATGATACATCAGGACTTTGAAAATGGTGCAGTTATGATGGTACTGTCCGCCTTGACGACCGAGGAGACGACTTTGGGCGGGGACTTCAATGTCCCTTCTACCAAGGAGAAGCAATCTCGCAATATCCGGAACGAGTATGATGATGCATTGCGCCGGCTGATGGTGCATCACTTGACTCTGGACGGCCAGCTTCCGAGTATCGAAGAAGGCAGCACCACAGCCATGTCGCGCGTCCAAGCCAAGGCTTTCCTTGCCAACAAGGTGCTCAAAGTCGCTTGCACCAATGTTCTGGAACAAGTCAAGAACAAGTTGTTTTGGCTACGCAATGCTACCCTCAAGTCCAAGACGGACCGGCCACTGCTCTCGCTCGAGATCCTTGTTGCAACTGCGTTCCATCAATTCCGGAATGAGATGGAAACCCTGGAGAAGGTTTGTCCCCAGGGCTACGTTTACACCTTTTCTGCACCGAAGATTTTCATTGGGGCGTTCGGTCCAGATGATGGCCTCATGGCATGCATCTACGCCGCTGGACTCAAGCACTACATCCAGACCACGAAGCTCAAGAATATGCGAGTCTTCCAGGTCCCTGATATTCCAGGAGAATGGACTTCCTGGATGAAAATGGCAATGTCGGAGGCAGCAGGAGTGCAGATAATGACAAGACCAGAGTTGTACAGCAACAAGAAGACCCCTCTTGACAGCTACAGCCCACCATCTGCAGGTACCATGCTTGTGTTGCACAATTGCTCAGATGCATTTGGGCAGAACATTCGGTACGAATCAGGAGTTGGAAGTCTGGATGCCATCATTGGACGATTCACGAGTGCGGCAGGAAGCCTGATCAGTAGTCGCGAGGACCTCGTCAGTAGAGTCGCAGTGTTTGGCGAGTAATGAAGGTGCTCGAGGGGCCGAGGACGAGAATGTTTGCTTTGTGTTTGCTTCCATTTGCGGCCGTGAGATAGGGTCACATGCCTGTAGAAGTACCTTTGATAGTCATTGCCCCGTTATGCGAGATTTAATGCCTCGTCAGCGCACGTCTCTTGACTCCGTACTTCCGAAGGTTTGCGTTGCTCTCAGATTGGCGTGTTTTGGGCGTCATTCGATGCAAGCTTCCCCGACAAAGCTCGTGATTTCGAGCCGGGAAGCTCCAGACGCGAGTTACGATTTGCCAACACCTCCAAATGGTATTTCCAAGAACTGAATTGTACCACAATCCCCCTGGAGATCCATCCATAATTGCTTTTCGACAGTGTTTCAAGACCTTGCAGGTACACATGTAGTATAAGGTTTCCCCGCATCCTGTATTCGTTTAGCGTGACTACCCCGGATTGGTGGCAAGACGTTTGGCATGCCTTAGGGACCGTCGGATGCCGTGGTCTCGTGCTCAGTGGGATGATCTCCTCAGAGCTCCGTACACAGCTCTCCCAGCTTGGCTCAGAGCTTGAGCAAGGACGACCTGTGGTGGTCCAGTGGCATGCAACAGTCTTATGACCCCGCACGGCGTGACTGCTGTTTAGGTATTTCTACAGTCGACTCCCTCTGCTCTTGCTCTTCTTCTTTCTCTTCTCAAGATTGCCTTGTATCATCAACAAGTCGGTCTTTTTACGCTCTCATCAATTGCCTAACACCCTGTATCAGCTTCTAAGCTTCTCCCAAGCTTAAACACCTCCAGTTCCAACCATGTCTGCCGAGATTGAACACCCCCTTACCAGACTCGACTCTGCCGTCTCTGACACCACTTACGAACCTGGCCATGAGAAGAAGATCAGCCACCGTAGAACCAGCAGTACCGTCTCGGGAGTATTCAGGATTGAAGACCTAGGTAAGTTGAAGCTCGAGGGCCTTTCCTCCGAGGCTCACATGTGTCTGACTGTACGTCCAGAACATGAACAGGTTGAGCTGCAAATAGCACCGGAAACGCAAAAACTTGGATGGTAAGTCTCCCTGACCCTAATGTGATGCTGTTGCCTTGACCCCTTATCAAAGTAGTGTTGGGGTCGGGTTGACTGTGTGCCTTAGCTTGAGATGCTAACAACGTCCAGGAAGCTGAACAAGAACCCAAACACAATCGACGACAAGGACATGTTGAAAAAGTACCTGGTGACGCCGCCAGTCAAGAAGATCGACCTCCACTTCCCATTAGGGCTCAACATCACAGCCCGAAACCTCAAAGGAGTGACCATCAAGGATGCAGTAGATGCAATCTACAAGCAATTCAAGAAGAAGGTATGTCTTGCTGGATTCATGTGCTGTTCTTCGATCTTGTATGGTATCGAGGCTAACCACTGCTGTGATATAGGAAGACGATGACATGGGTGAGAACCCCTACCTCGCTGGTTTCGAGTGGGACAAAGAAGAGTGCTACACCCGCTTCATCGTTCATCAAAAGAAGACGGCCGGCACCAATGATGGAGCCCCTAGCAGCGGCGGCAAGAAGAAGGGCAAGAAGGACAAGAAGGAAGAGGCCGACCCTCTATTGATCTAATCGGCATCAGTGATGTCCGTCTCCTTCAGTCTCTTCTTGCTCCGCTTCACACTCCTTTCAAGCGATCAACCGCGGGCCGGATATTGAGAGGCATGTTGTGGTTGTTGAGTCGCTCCGAGAGCGCAGGTATATCGTTGTATTCATCAAGACCATCGGGTTTGGGCCATCTGCTGGTGTATGCCGCTAGATTTCTGACTCGTGTATTATTCTTTTCCGATAACAGCTCTTGCTCGTGAATGTGCTGCGCTCTTGCGTCTAGTGTTCGTGTATTGCGCCTGGTGGTAGTCGACAGAGTTGAGCACGTAAAACCTGGCGCGTCGCTGCTTGGGACTTCCCTCATCCAAGGTCCATGGCCAACGCCCGAAGTTTTACCCAACAGCTTTGACCATCTCAAACACAACCGAGGAACCCTTCCTCAGGCCTCAACCAACAATACCTCATTGCATCTGTCAGAATTTACCCACCATAATGATGGAATTGTCGTTTACCAGCCACCTGCAACACTGCTGCAGTGCCTCTGGGTAGTAGAATATTCTATCATGACTTAGACTATTCGACATGCTAGGCAATTCTCCAAAGCACTCCACAAGGCGGTCCGTCGGTGAGCGGCCGAGTCTCATGTTGATGTATTGAATCTTGTGAACATGTAGAAAACAAGAAGGACTGGGAGAGTTTGTGAATCTCGTCAATCTTCATCATCCTCTCACTAGACTGTTCCTTGTACCAGCATCAGCAGCCATGCATTTCTCTGCCACAACTCTTTTCCTTCCAATGCTCTTAGCATGCCATCAAATATTGGTATCAGGCCTTTCGTTCAGCCCTCACCAATACACCTCAGTACCAACCGCACGAGTCACATGTCCTAGGGCATGGTTTAAAGGCTTTAACCTCGTATTTGTGTTGTCCGATTGTCTACCGTAGCCTCTTATATATCTCGAGCTCGCAGAGCGAAACACATGTTCTTACCAGAAACTCGATGGTATTTGAAGGCTTGCTCATACTTGACATTCAGGTCGATGTTTGGGAGAAGATCGACAACCACCGAGGTCTTTGGTCGTACTTTCCCAGCTTGACAGCCCTGACCTCTTACTCCGCTTTGCTTATCTTTGACATCGCATCAACTTGCCTGAACGAGACAACATAGGTCAACATCTATAAAAACAGCACGACTCGACCTCTTGATTCTTTGGTGCACATCGCAGTCATAGTTGTAACTTGAATATATCTTGACACCATGGAGGAAAGAGCTCGTATTCCCGTCAGCTTGCCTCGACCCAACCCCACCACTTCATATTGGCAAGAATCACCAGACGAAATAGCGAATCTGCAAAGTACAAAAGCATTGCCAAAATATGCCGACTATGTCATTATTGGCAGTGGCATCAGTGGTGCGGCAATTGCCTATAATCTACTTGAGAAGAAACCAAACAGCTCTGTCCTCATGCTAGAAGCAAGACAAGCCTGCAGCGGTGCCACAGGTCGCAATGGTAAACCAACACTGTTGACCTAGCAGAACCAAGTTGCATTTTCGCTGACAAGAAATCAAGGCGGTCATACGAAAGCAGCAAGCTATCGCAGTTTCCTCGACCATGAAGCCGAGCACGGCATCGATGAAGCAATCAAGATAGCACGACTCGAATACGCCAACATCAGACAAACTCATGCTCTAGCTCGAGAACTGAATATTGACTGTGCATCCACACCTTGCGACACTGTAGACATCATCTACGATGCTGCAAATCTGGCTCGAGGCAAAGAAGCCATTGCTCGCATGCAAGAAACCATGGGCCTCGATGACCCAGCAGCAAAGTATACCGTCTTGTCTGCCGAGGAAGCAAAAGAACAATTCTACACTCCTGATGCTCTGGGAGCGTTTGTGTACGAGGCTGGAAGCGTCAGCTCCTATCGCTTCACCATAGGGCTGCTGAAGCATTGTATCGAGAAAGGATTGAATCTGCAAACGAACACGCCGGTGGAAGCGATCGTGTCAGATGACGACTTCGATTCGCAGTCGCCGAGATGGATTGCGCAGACACCGAGAGGGAGTGTTGAGACTGCAAATCTGGTTGTTGCCACCAATGGGTATACCGCGCATCTGTTGCCGCAGATGCAAGGCATCATTGTTCCTTTGCGTGGGCAAATCACTGCGCAGAGACCAGGATCAAAGTTGCCAGGCTTGGACACGACCTACTCTTTCATCTATGCCAGTGGTTACGAGTACATGATCAGTCGACCGCCAGGCACGTCGGACGCTGGCACCATCATCATTGGTGGTGGACTGGGACGACAGAGGGACGCAGGTGCATCGGAGTTTGGAAACACTCTGGACGCCGAATTGAACCGGGAGATCTCAACCTACCTTTATGATTGCACAGCAGGCTACTTTGGCGATAACTGGGGAGAGGACGCGAAGGGAGGGAGAATCGTCAAGGAGTGGTCAGGGGTGATGGGTACGAGTTCGGATGGCCTTCCATATGTCGGAGCCATGCCAGATATGCCGGGCGTCTTTATAAGTGCCAGCTTCAATGGCCATGGCATGGTCATGTGTCTCAAGTCTGGAGAAGCGTTGGTTGACATCATAGTTGAAGGCGGAGAACAGGAGTGGTTTCCAAAGGCGCTTGTGGTGAGTGCTGAGAGATTCGAGAGGAAGTTCCAGGGGAGGTTGGACATGCGTGCGCCTGGCGAGGCGTTGTTCGACGATCGTATGGAGAGACTGTAATCTGTAGACAAGTGACGAATGAAACTGAGAGAAGAAGTTATGGAAATTAGAAAAAAGGTCGTTGCGGCACTATGCGCGCCTCGGACATGATATTTTGGAAGCCTTTGAGCAATGATTTTCATGTTTTTATAAGAAAGTCGCAGTGCTTTGTAGCGGGGGGAGGAAAAAAGAACAAGCCCATGTCCGATTTTTGGTGTAACATCAAAGCGCCGCAGTAATATTGCTCACCACGCGCCCTTTCCATTCATTGACCGCGCAACCAAGTCCATTTGTGTGTCGTGTCAAATCGCTTAGAAGACCATCTCGTGGGGCTTGTCGCCCGATCTAAGGCTGAAGGTGGAGCCGAGGTAGGAGATGAGGAAAGGCTCCTTCTTGAGGCTGGCAAGGATGGCACGGTCGACGGACTTCTGGTCCTCGGCGCGGCCAGAGGCAACCTTCTTGGCCTGTGGGAATGTATCAGTATTTGGAGTGTCGCAATCCTTCTTTTGATGGTGTAATCGTACCTCAGGCTTCTCGCCCTGCTTGAAGAAAGCCTCCTCGCCCTTGGCCTTTGACTTCTTCTCTCTGGCGAAGTAGGCGTCGCCACCGACCTTCTCAACGACCGATGAGTCGATGCCGGAGATGTCAACCTTGGTGGATGTTGCGATAACGTAGCGGGCGTTGACGCGTCTGAGGGGGACACCGTTGACCTTGAAGGGGCCGGTGACGAGGAGAACACCCTGGGGGAGGTTCTTGAGGAGCACAACACGCTTGCCACGGAAACGGCCAGCGAGGAGGATCAAGACGGTACCGGGCTGGAGGGAAGCGCGAGGCTTGCAAGGGTGCTGGGTCTTGCGGACCTGAAGGAGGAGGAAATCATGTCAGCGGACTTTGTTCGCTGAAGCATCGAAACACGGCCTGAGCGAGAGAAAGAGCGCAATGTTGGCCGGATCGATCGAGTGCGCATATGTGTGTATCCTGTGCAAAATCCGTCTCTTTCTGCTCATTCTCTCGGGCGTGTAGCGTGCGGTGGTTGCAGAAAGTCGCATACCTTCTTAGCCTGGCTGTCGTCCTCGGCCAAGTAGTACTTGGGGGCCTTCTCGGAGGCAGCAGGGATGACCCGCTCACCCTGTTGGAACTGCTTGGTCTGCTGGGCGGACATTTTGGCGGGTTTGGCGACGGTAAGGGTGGTGTCGTGGATTTGTCGTGTCTCGTCTTCACAGAACGGAATTCAAACTCGGTGCGAATCCATGATCAAAATGCGGGAAGCGAGACTGTGCGCCAAGCCAACTCCCCCGACCAATCACCGTCCGTGCTGAGCGTCGACCTTTGCCTTTGCATTGATAAAATAGTCTCCCATTCTGCTATCAATTCCTGCTCACTCCCATATATAATCATAGTAGAAGATACAATGAGCTCAAATGGCCTTCTTGCTGCAGTTCACTGTCTTCGAAGGACATCAGGAGTCACAGGCATGTTTGAGACGTGAATTCAAGGCTTTTTTACCAGCATTCCACATGTGCCCGTTTCTTTGCTCTTCTGTTCACTTGTCTGTATCTAATCATCATGTCTTCTCTGATATTAAAGTATTGGGAAATATTGCTGCCATTTCCTTCTCAAAGGCAAATAACTTTGGACTCCAAAACAGTGAAGGGAAAGTGCTTGGCGAGATCGGCGGTTAGCAAGACCGACGGTTGTTGAAGCTCCAGCACGGCGGCGTCATCGTCAAGTCCGTTGTCTTGAGCAATTCCAAACACTCCAGCACTTTGATATCAACCTTCGACCGCATCAACTCCATAATCCATCATCACACAAACACATTATGGCTACCGACGCTCTCATCACATTCAAGGCTGGCCAGTGCGACGTAAATGTATGCTGAACTTCTGTAACAATGTTTCGTCGTCCTTCAGAGCTAATGCGCATCGTAGGGCAAGAAGGTCAAGCCTGATGCCACTCCTGGCTATGTCTACCTGTACGAAGAAGATGGTGCGCCTCTTCCGATCCTATTCACCATTGGACACCTACTAACTCCATCCTACAGAGCTTGTACACTTCTGCTGGCGCGCTCGTTCCGCCCCACCGACCAGCCCCGAGCTCGACTTGATCATGTTCCCTGGCGATGCTACCTTCACACCTTACACCGGCAACACCTCATCAGCCGACACGAAATCCCCTACCAACGGCCGTATCTACATGCTCAAGTTCTCATCGTCCTCTCAACGCCACTTCTTCTGGCTTCAATCCAAATCACAACACCCTAGTGGCGACGCAAGCTGGTTCAGCTCAAGAGACAAGCGCTATGGCGAGATTATCAACCAAGTCCTTGCTGGTGAAGAAGTCGATGTTGGTTTCGAGGTTCAGCGTCTGAGAGGTGGTGAAGACGATGATGATGAGGGCGATGATGTTGACATGGAGGATGCACAACCCGAACACCACAGACAGGGAAGCGGCGGTGCTGGTGCAGACGCTACTGGTGCAGATGCCAGAGATGAGGGTGAAGCCAGCCGCGAGGGTGGTGCCGACGGCGGTAGAGCGTAGGTTCTCCCTTTTTCTTTACGATTCTGCTCTGATATAGGACATTCGTTGTGCTCTGCTCGTAGACGAGCGACCACTATTGAAGCGATTTGGAGCTGGGAAAAGGCGTTGCAGGGGTTCAATACCAGCAAAGTTGCATGAACAAGGGGTATTTTCGCATTACGACGATAGCATGTATCTCACCATCAGACAACATTGTGTCATTGTGGTATCTCAAAACTTTCCAAGAACCAATCAGCTGATGTTTTGTGTCTCCGTAGTGCTCCTCCCGGCGATGCAAACGATGCTGTTCAAAATTTCCTGAGATCCCTCCAAGGTTCATCAGTTGGCTCGCAACAACAGCAACAGCAACATTCATCTTACGATCGCCCATTCACCACTCTCTCGGAGCTTCTCTCGACCGGCAACACTATCCCTTGGCTGTCATCAACCTCGCCTCAGCAAATCGACGCACTTTGCATGCACCTGCCTCCGTCCCTCTTCCTGCTAGCACAGGAGTCCGCTGCAACCACTTCCTCGGCCGAGCCCAGTGAAGAGACCGCACGCGCAGCAATCGAAGCCATGGCTACTGAACAGAAGCGCGAGTTGCTGCAGCGAGTCCTCCGCTCGCCTCAATTGAACCAGAGTTTGGGCAGCTTGACATTTGCTCTGAGAGACGGCGGTCTTCCTATGGTCTCGGAGGCTCTCGGCGTCAAGGTTCAGAACGGTGGTATGGTCAAGGGCGGCAGCGTGCCCCTTGGAGGTGGTGAGGCTGTGGAGGCCTTTGTGGAGGGCGTCAAGAAGGGTGTCCAGGACAAGAAGTCATCTTGATTCTACGTCTAGACACGCTTGATCCAGCAAGATTGTTCATTCACAGCTTGCTACTATGTGTTGATAATACGAATATATGTTGAAACGCATGGCCTCCAGACGTTGTGCGAATCCCTATCGGCTTCTGATTATCCGCGAACACTTCTTCGCATTTCGTCCTTACCACTCTCAACAGGCTAAACTCTTCATCTTCCATTAGGTGAGAAATCACATAGCTAGAACAATATTTGGCATCCTCGCTGACTCATCTAGTGTCCCGCATTCTAGTCCCACCATTCGGTACAGCCAATCTGCGAGCTTATCTCGTGGCGTCTGTACCTCTTGATATGCCACTGATACGCTGATAACAACTCCCGTCGCACTCCATAACACAAGGCCAAAGGAGCACACATGCTTTTTTGTCATGACGCGCTTGTGCATTGCTCCGCGCTGCTCAGGATAACAAGTACCGATAATTACAAGAAGAGCTGTAAGTCCATTCGAATCGGTAGGTCTGGATTTTGGTTTCCTCATACAACTTTGTCTTGTCAGATAAAATGTCACATACTGATGAGAACACCCCTCTTCTTGACTCTGAACAAGCGCCCAATCGTCGTCTTAGCAGGCTGATTCAACGAGATGATGAAGCGAGTTCGATGGTCAAAAGCCATGTTAGTGTCGAAGAGCAAGCCATGGCTAACAGCACGATTGGCGAAAGATTGGCCTATAACGACTACACCACCATTGACTGGCTACACGATCTCGTGAGCGTGTTCCCTCTGTTCCTTCGAGATCTTGGATACTGATAAAAGAGGTAACATAGGTCAAAGACTCCTACCGTCTCCGCACCATCCACGACAAGAAAAGCATACGCGGAAAAGCCATCGCTGCCTTCGACTCCTCCTCAGGCTGGATAGCCGCAGCGGTGATTGGAGCCCTAACGGCATGTGTGGCCTACATCGTCGACATCTGCGCCGCCACAGTCAGTGATTGGAAACTAGGACATTGCACATCCAACCCCTTTCTCACCCGCGAAGCCTGCTGTTCCTCCCAAACCTCTATTTCAGAACCCCCCATCACCGAATGCGAGCTATTCAAACCATGGGGAAGCAGTTATGTGGCTAGTTTTAGCATCTATGTCGCTTTTGCACTGTTGTTCGGTATAACGAGTGCGAGTTTGACTATGCTGACAAAGGGTGAATTGCCATCTGCCGGTTCGCCGGATGCCAAAGATGAAGATGGTGTTGAGAAAACTGCACCTGCGGGAAAAATAATGTATATGGCTGCTGGCTCCGGTATCCCAGAGATCAAAACTATACTCGGTGGCTTTGTGATTCCTGATTTCTTGTCATTGAAGGTTCTGTTGGTCAAGGCTGCTGGTGCTGTGTTTGCTGTTTCTACAGGTGAGTTACCACTTCTTGATATCTGGGGTTGAAGACAGGATGATGCTGATCTTTGGTGTATTTGAACAGGCATGTGTCTTGGTAAAGAAGGACCATTCGTTCACATCTCAACTTGCATGGGCTACCTCGTCGCCTCTCTGTTTCCCAAATACCGCGACAACGGTCGAAAAATGCGAGAAATGTTGAGTGCGGCTTGTGCTGCTGGTCTCTCTGTGGCTTTCGGTGCACCCATTGGTGGTGTGTTGTTCAGCTACGAAGAAATCAGTACCTACTTTCCAAGGAAAGTGCTGTGGAGAGCATTCTTGTGTAGTGCTGTTGCTGCTATGGTCTTGAAGGGGCTGAATCCGACTGGAACGGGAAAGTTGGTCTTGTTTGAGACGAATTATGGAACAAGCTATGGCGCTGTGCATTATCTGGTTTTTGTCGTACTTGGTAAGCACAAGGAAGCCCACGTTGAACAGAAGATGACGACACTGACAATCACACAGGCATAGCAGGAGGTATCTTCGGCGGTGTATTCTGCAAGTTGAACTTCCTTTGGGGCAAGTCCTTTCGCAAATACGCCATCATCAAGAATTATCCGGTGTTCGAAGTCTTCCTCATCGTCCTCGCCACAGCTTTACTCCAATACCCCAACCCTCTGATCCGCGAGCCCGGCGACATGATCATCAAGAACCTGCTTGTCGACTGCAAGACCGAAGACTCCGCAGAATCATGGGTCTGTCAGAATGAAGCTCGCACAGATGGAAATTGGGAATATATTGGCTGGTTGGCATATGGCACGCTTGCCAAACTCGCACTCACGATCATCACATTCGGCATCAAAGTCCCTTCAGGTGTCATCATCCCAGCTCTTGACGCCGGTGCGCTGTTCGGACGTCTCCTAGGCCAATGGGTCGGCGGCATCTCTCCAGGCATCTTCGCCATGGTTGGAGCCGCGGCCTTCCTCGCAGGCGTCTCAAGAATGACAATCTCATTATGTGTCATCATGTTCGAGCTCACCGGCGAACTCGAGTATGTGATCCCACATATGATAGCCATCCTGGTAGCCAAATGGGTGGCCGACGCCTTGGGCAAAGAAGGAGTCTACGATTTAGCGCAGAATGTTCTGGGCCATCCATTTCTGGACCTCGATCACAGTATGGGTTATATCCAGCTGGAAGATGTTTTGGTCGAGGAACTCCTTCCGCCACAACACACGATGGAGCAGATTACTATTCATGTACCTGCTAGCAATAAAGTCAGGAGAGAACTGTTGGAGGAGAAGTTGGTGCAGCTGGAGAGTAGAGGGTTGATGGACGCAGGACTTGTGCTCGTTCAGAATGGCCAAATGTTGCAAGGTTATCTGGCGGAAGGCGAGCTCGAATTTGGACTCAGAGAGTTGGGTAAGTTGTATCCTGCTGATGCAGAGGTGAGACTGTTGGGTGATGCGGAAGAAGGCGAGTTCGACCTGTCGAGTTTCGTCGATCGCACACCTATGGTTGTCTGTGCCAAGGCACCGATGGAGTACGCGGTTGAGATGTTTGGAAAGCTGGGGTTGAGGCATTTGATGGTGACTGAGGAAGGTACGGGAAAGTTGATTGGTGTCATCATCAAGAAGAGACTGGTGGCATATCTGGATGCACTGAAACACAGAGGCTGAAGGAAGTAACGAACCACATGAACCTGCTTCCTGCACCTACACATCGTCTAAATTCGTCAGGTTCATCAATGCCTGCCTCAGAAGGCCAAGTAAAAATAGTCTCCCAGGAGTTGTTCGAAACTGTCCTGCTGCTATGAAATCTCAAAGTGTGGTCTGATCAGTACCTGAAGTTGAAAAAGAATTCATTAATCACTCATGTGCCTGCGTCGTCTAGAAGCCTACAGAAATGCCCAGTATCCGCGCTTTTTGTGTCACAGATTTCGATGTCTTCTTTTGGATTTCGCTCCGTAAAACGCCGTTTCTTTTGTGTGCCAAAAAGAGAAAAAAAAGGGGAACCACAAATCATGCCCACATCATTGCCCGGATATCTTTCTTGCAGAAAAAAATGCTTTTCCTCGCTTCTTCTTCTTCTCTCTTTAGATGATGTCCGTTTTTATCTACAACCAAAGAACGTAACAAGAAGTTTAGTCGTCGCTGGGGACGAGGTTCGACTTGACAGCGAACATCTTTGCGGAAATGGAGGCGGTGAAGGCATCGACCTGGCGGGCGTACTGTTCGACTTGACGGCTGTTGACGAGAGTCTCGAGTCTTGAGGGCTCCTGGGGGAGCTTGAAAAGCTTCTGCCACTCATCCTCGGGCAAAAGGGGCTGCTTTGTGGCGGTACGGCTGGCGTTCTCGGCCTTGCGCTTTGTCTGCCATTGGGTGATCTTGGCTTGCTCACGGGCGAGCGAACGTTGGTAGAATTGGTAGTTGTTAAGCTCGGTGTGGTGGGTCTCTATGCTGTCGAGGAGGAGGTCGCAGGTCTTCTCGAGGAAGGGGTCGATTGAGAGATCGAGCGAGTCGAAGTTGGGTGCCAGGGGCAGAGAGGTAAGAGAGGGGTCCTGCTCGAGGGTGGCGAGGCTGGGAGGGAAGTTAAGGGCCTTGCTCGGGGGAGGGGTAGGCAGTTGGTGGAGGAAAGAGGTGAGGAGGTGCGAGTTGTAGACGACGACGGGCAACTCGGTGAAGATGTCCTGGTAGCGGAGACCGCTCTTTTGCAGGCTGTGATTGCCACGTCAGTATAACAGCTCTGGAGTGCTGAAACGTCTTGTATGCTCACCTCTCAGTGGTGAACTTGCCCTCCTTGTAGGCGGCGATGAACTGGGGAGAAAGGCGGTATGCGCGGAGGTTGAGGCTGCCCTGGGAGCTACGGCTGACGTCGTGGACGAGGGTGATGGTGCGCTCGTTGGCCTCCTTCTGGTAGTAGAACTGGTTCTCGATGGCGGCGAGGCTGACGAAGTTGCCCATGCTGGCGCTCATGTACCAACCAACGCTCTGGGCGTCAACGTTGACTTCGCGAAGCATGCGGATCATCTCGCTCTGGTATGCGATGTTGGCCTTTGCGCGGGGAGCGGCGATCTGAGCAGCCAGTTGTGCGTCGTTGGCATCACCGACAGTGGCGCCTCCGTCGACTTGGGGCATGTTGAAAGAGTTGGTGACCTGCAATTGGCCCTCGATGTCCAGACCGACCAGGGATCCAGTTACGATGCTGGGGAAGACCTGCGAGCTGTGCTTGATGATGCGCATCACCACCTGTTCCTCGTGTTAACCATCTTCTTCTTTCGCACTCTGTCGCTTTCGTGGTCGCATACCAAAGCGTCGACGCGCACTTCGCGCAGGGTTGTCTCGTTGCTGCTCCTCTGTCAGTACTGGGTCCGTAGAAATCGCAGTCGAACAGTCGTCTCTTACACTGCAGTCTCTGCCATTTTTGCGATTTGGAGATGTGTATTGCGTACGAAGCGGTGCACTATGTTCTCTGCTCCCCAACTTTCCCGTCGTTGTCAATATGAAAAGTCTCGACGACCCGCCGGCTGAATTTCGGCTTGGCACTCCAGCTCAACTCAATCTCCAGCTGTTCCTGTTCCTGTTCGAGGGTCACGCAACCAACACTTTTCCCTTTCTCTGCTCGAGTACTTAGGTACTATCAAACTATAACCACATTACTAGGACTATCTACACTCGGATTTGCCCATGAGTGAAAGCAAGAAAATTATCAAAAATGATTGCACAAAGTGGCCACCTATTCGGGAGCACCTTCCCTTTCGAGCCACGATACATCCATATCAACCTCGCATGTAAATCCGAAAAGCAAGTAAGTGGTGGCATAAAGAGCAGGCGCAATCCGCGTTTCAATTTCTTTTCCCATTCTTGATCCTGTCTTCAAACACACCCACCAAAACTTCAACATGGCTTCCTCAACCTCATCCCCTCACACCACCAATTCAAAGCAAAAGATCAGGATCGCCCTCTCCATTGACTTCGACGCGATCTCCGGTTGGCTGGGGACATCCCAACATCCAGATAACAACATGGCCGACCACTCCTCTGGCTATTTCAGTGGCTACGTCGGTGTGCCCCGTCTCCTGAAAGTCTTCTCCCGCCTCGGCATCTCGAACAAAGTGACTTGGTGCATCCCTGGCCACTCGATAGAGACTTTTCCAGCACAGGCGAAAGTAATTGCAGAGTCAGGGGCTGAGATTGCATTGCATGGTTATGCTCATGAGGGCAGTACGCAGATGACGGCGAAACAAGAGAGGGATGTTTTGGTAAAGACGATGGGGTTGGTTAAGGAGTTGACGGGGAAGCAGCCGAGAGGCTATAGAGCGCCATTGTATCAGATTCAAGAAAGGACGGTCAAATTGTTGCAGGAGTTTGACTTCCTTTGGGATTCCAGTCTGGCTCATCTGGATAGCTCGCCATATTTCTTGCCCAAGGAGATAGAGAAGTTGGAGACTATTGAGTTTTCCCCTGACAAGGAGGCAAAGGATTGGATGAAACCTTCCGAGGACTTTATGAGATTGGAGAAGAGTGGTTTGGTGGAGATCCCGTGTAACTGGTACATGGAGGTCTGTATACTGTTGCTTCAAATCAACGATATCTTTACTGATTTTTGCAGGACATGACACCGATGCAATTCTTCCCCAACGTGCCAAACTCTCAAGGATTTGTGGATGTTCGTCTAATCGAACGTATGTGGATGGATCGCTTCGAGTGGCTGAGGAGTGAAGTTCAAGATGGAGAGGAGGAAATGACGATCTTTGCTCTTGTCCTTCACCCCGACACAAGCGGAATGGCACATGTGATTGGAATGATCCAAAGATTTTTAGGATGGGTTCAGTCGTTTGGTGACGAAGTCGAATTCTGCACCTACGAGCAGATTGCAACTGATTTTGGTAAAAAGTAATCAATGCCCGATGTATCTGTTGGCCACCACACGAGTCTCTCACTTGGAATTGTATCACTGCAATGAGTTGTTCTTGAAGGATATCGAAATTCTTTTTTGCCCGATATATAAGGCACAGATCTGTAGAGAAAAGGTAAAGTAACAAGGGGGTGTATTTTTACAGGAGAAAAACCAAAACGCCGCATGGATGCAAACCACGTGTAATCAATAATACAAGCAACGAGCTTATTGCTGAGAGAGCTTGTTGATGGCGTTTTGCTTCTCCTGAGCCATGACCTCTCCGATTCTTGCGAGCTGTTCCTCGGACAGTTCGACGGGGTTTGCGAGTCTCTCCTGTCGCCTTTGCTCCTTGAGCTCGGCAAGAGGGGTGGAGACGAGACTGGCGAGGTTCTCTCTGTGCTTGGCGGCGCGATCTTGGTCCTCCTTTTTGGCGATGTATTCGGGCTCGTGACGGCTGCGGAAAATGGAGTACTTGTTTCTCAGCTCGTCAATGACTGACGGGGGCATAGGGGGTTGGAGCAAGTAAGGACGGTGTGTGGTTTCGTCGACGGAGATACGCAAAGTGTCGTCGTCGTAGCCCTCTGCTTTTTCGGCTTCGTCGTTTTTGGGCCATGGTAGAGGAGTCTTGACACCAGGAAGGAAACGTTGACCCTTGTTGTATTCGCGGAGACCGGACCTGCGCTCTACCCATCCAGCATTGCGCACGTCGACTTTGTCCAGAACGACATCTTCGAAGTGGCCGGTTGTTTGATCGCGAAGAGGGAAAACGAGCCTGACGTGGTCCCAGGGAACGGGCATTGACTGTTGCAGAATCGAACGGTTGTCCTTGTTCTCCTTGCGTACGTATTCGGGTACGTGAAAGTCGGCCTGCGATAGTGGTTAGCATGTTTCTCGCAGTGGCGTTCGCAATTGAGCATGTGTACCTTTCTCAACTCGATGATACGCAGGAAGCCAGACTCAGCCGAGACTTCCGAAACGTTTCCGACCTTTCCAGCATCCTTGCCCTTGATGACCAGGACTCTGTCGCCGACAGCAAAGTCGGACTTGAAGTTCTTGTACTGGGTCCAGTGGAGCTTGGGGACCTGGATGACATTGGGGTCGACGGTTCCGTAGGTTTCCTTGTGTTGGCCAGTATCGCGTCTGGGGGCGAGTTGAGGGCCGACTTCATATTCCTCGCGTCTGCGGTGCTTCTCGGCCTTGAAGTAGATGCCCTCCTGCTTGCCTCTGCTCATGGCCTGCCAGCGCGCATTCCATTCCTTTGCATTGTCGACCTTGCTCTTTTGCTTTGCGGCACGGCGCAAAGCCTGGTGCTCGGCAGCTATCCTTCGCTGTACCACCTTCTGCATTGCGACTCGAACTGAATATAATGGACAATTGTGGGCGAAAGTCGAGCGTCTTGGAAGCGGGCTTGCGGGCTTGCGGGCTTCGAAAGTTGCGGTCGACTTTGACTGTGATTGGCTGGAAGCGGGGGAGAGAGTCCATATTCGCGCCAAGAAGGCGTTGCTCTCTTTAATAAAGATGGCGGATGGTTGCTAGCCGAGGGTTCGAGAATCTAGTCTAGACATAAACAACTCGGCCAACTTTCTCCAACCATCACCAGTATCCTGCAGCTAGTCAGTGGCATCGCATCAACAACCATGCCGCCATCTCCCACTTGAAGACCAACCCACGCGCCAGCCTTCTGAATTCCGAAACACGACACAGGCTCGTTCCTTCCTCAACTGGATCCATCGCGGATAGAAGTCCCCGGTCTTCAGCATGCCGAGTCTACTTGCACCACGGCTGAGCTGCTTCTACTGTGGTTCGCGATCTCCACATGTCAAAGACGGACGTACGCGACAGTTCACTTGCACTGTATGCGATGCAACAAACCACCTGGACTCTGTATGCTAAACACCCATTCTCAACTATGGACAAGACTGACGTCGTGCCAGAAAGGCGAAATTACCGACCCTCCAGCGACTTCGAACCTGAATCAAAACACATCATTCGCTCACCCTCCTCCGCGACCGACATCACCAATACAATCCGAGTCCACCGAACACTTCTGCAAGACATGCCTCAAGAACCAACAAATTGTCGCAAACCTCCTCGCAGAGTATCTGCCGGCCGATGACGATCCGCAATACAACAAGTTCGTCGCAGAATACCCTCAGTACAGGAAGAACCTCGAACGTCGCTATCCCCAAGTCTGTCCTAGATGCGCCCCGAAAGTGCAGCAACAGTTGAAGAAGACGGTATACGGCGCACGAGCTGACTTCCTTTCGAGGAAGATTGAGCAATCAAAGTCTCAGTTTGTGAACAACCTCTCTACTCCGGCCTCTCTTGGCATATCCGCCTTGAATGTCGTTGCTCTAGCTTGGTGGGGAAGTGCTCTCTTTCAGGCTTACTGGCATACCTTGGCCTTCTTGGGCATTCCGGGAGATTGTGAGGAAGTCGCAGGTTTGACCCCTCTCATGGTCGTTGGCTGCTCCGTTAATGGCTTCCGCTCACATATGCTACCCGCTGGTTGTGCTCACCTCTTTGTCGATCTCGTGAGGAAGTCGCTGTATGTGAGCTTCTGGCTAGTGTGGTGGAACCCAACATTCAAGGACAGACTCAGGTTTCCTTACAGAACCCATCATGCTCTCGGTCTTGCCGACTTCTATCGTTACCAACTTGTCATTCTCGCCCTAAGAGCTACCGCCTGGTTCTACCTGAGTGGCCCGTGGATTGAGGGCTCGGCTAGTGATCTCAACAAGGGAATGCATGGATGTGCTATTTTGTTCATTGTCCTAAGCACAGTCGCTTCTTTGCGCACCATTGTCTACAGCACTGGGCCTAGAGTCTCATGGAAGACTAGCAATGAGCCTCTTATTGAGCCCGGCAGCTTCCATCCTCCTACTGACGACTTCACTAGTCAAGCATCACCACATCTTCCCACCATGTCTCCTTCACGTCAGCCATTTCCTCTAGAAAATCTGGGTACTCGTTCGGCCGCCCGATCAGCTACGCGAGCTGCATCGCCACTGCTGTCGCGCTTTGGGCCCCTTTCGCCGTCTCCTGCTCCATCTCAAGATATGGGCGACAGCATGGACTGGGAACCTATCGGTCAACCTTCACCGATAAGACCCAGTCACGCTGCGCAAAGCAATGCTGCATCCGCCATCCCTGCATTTCTGCGTCCTGCCGCTAGTATGGCAACCGGCGAGAAATCTCCCTTTACCGGACGCCTGCCACCAGCTCCTATGTCTCCTGCACACCGCCTGCGAAACCCTCCGGCGCCACCACAGTTCAAACCAACCCCTCTGTCACAACAACGCGACTTTTTCAAGAAGATGGGTCTCTCCAACAACATCCCTTCACTATCCAAGAAGTCTGCTATGACAGAAGATCACGACGACGAAGACTCGCCAAGAAAGCCCGCCGCGTACATGTCCAGTCTGGACAGAAACAGAACAAAAGACCACTTCGAACTGCACCCACCGAAATGGACATTACAATCCGACATGGAGGCCGCAACCAAAGGCACAGGACTGGAAGACATGTTCACCTCAAGCTTTAACATTGCCGATGAGCACGACCCCATGACCCCGAGATCTGCACGTCGTACTGCTGCTCGTGCATCCGCCAATAATACACCTAATGGCTATGAGAGTCGTGGTATCTTTGACAGAGCCCCTGTTGAACCTATTATGCCAGAAACGACTGCGGAGATTGTGAAGCGAAATGCTAGGGAGATGGCACTACCGGTTGGACTGGCAGTCGGTGCTGCATTCTTTGCTTGGGCTAGAGATCCTGGTGCTAGAGAGTGGATGGGGTGGTAAAATCGATGATTGGTGTTTATTCCTTGTTCCAAAAGCGTTGGTGTGGTTTGGTGACTGGCGTCTATTCTGACTCTTGTGATGGACAGTGATTGCCGTATTCACGATTGAAATGAAATGTAAAAATCCGTCTTGCTCATTGAGGTGATGCGTTCCGTCGAAAGTGATTGTGGTGAATTCCTTTGATCAATGACTTGATTTGATTCATCATGTCATCTCAAGACCGAAACAACCTTGAAGAATCAACACGAAGGACTCTTCCGTAAGATAGCTCTATCTCTTGGACTTCACATTGGCAAACAAATGCAGAATATATCGTCGTCAGAAAATGCCAAATTCACGACAGGGTGGCCCTGCTAACAGCACTCAGGATCCATGACAAAAACGCCTCACCCTCCTTACCTTACTCGAGCCATATAATTCCTTGCGTTATTGATACAGATCAGCAAGCATTGGAAAAGTATGATGAAACACTCTTCCGCGTTACTTTCTCTCGAATCGATTTCATACGATTCAATGCCGATTTCTGAAAAACCCAAGCAGGTAAATGCATGACTTGAATGTCCGCGGAAGTTCAGATGGGAAAAACGCATCGGTAAACATATGTAGTAGAGAGCTCAAAGGCAGGAGAAGAGAAGCAAAGTAAAGAGTACATCAAGTAAAGATTGATTTCTTACGGCAAAGACTCCGTGTGCCTGAATTACCAGTATTATCCACTGGTCGGAGAAGAAAAAAGAACGCCGTCCCTTATGCGTCCGTCATTGCGCCTGTCCACCCAACCCAGATCGCTAAGAAACGCAAAAAGTCAAACAAAATCCACAGCCGGAGAAAGGCCAAGCGGAGGTGGGGTGAAAGGAGGAGATGGTGAGGCGGAGGGAGGAGAGACTCCCATGGGAGAAGGAGATGAAAGCAAGGGCGGAGACGAAAGCGAGGATGGATGAGAAGAGACAGATTCCAGTTCGGCAACGAGATCATCGACAAATGCATATCGCCAGGCGAGTTCGGTTTGGTGGTCTTGAGGATCCTATTCGGTGTTGAAGCCGCTATGCGTTTCGCTCCTTTCGCGCACAGAATGTTGCCTGACTAGAGTACCCTCGCCTCCGTTCTCAAGATCGATGTTGTAGATCAAGAAATCGCCTTCGCTAGTGGCGACCATGACCTCGGGAGCAGCTTCTGCCATGGCGACAACGCTCTTCACAGGACTACCATTACGGCCCTTGGGAATCCTCACCCATGCAAAATCTCGAGTCGGCTCCCAGATCTCGGTGACTCCCTTGGGCAAGTATCCTGCGGCACGAGACACGAAGGATGTGGAAACGTTTTGAGAGGTACGTCGGACCATGGACATCCAGCCAGGAGAGCGTAGGGGTTTTGCAGACGGATCAGCAGGAGAGTCTCCGAGGTTAGTGCTAGATGAAGGATCAGAGGATCCAGTGGGACTATCACTGCGATCACGCTGGTAGCGTCGCGGTGTTGAGGGGGCGTTTTCAGAGGGAGATTCCAGACCTTGTGGCATGGTGTTGTCGCCAGAAAGACGGAAGATGTGGATGGTCTCGGTAGCACTGGAAACACAGAGTAATGTACTTCTTTCGTTGAAAGACATGCTGTGGATTCTGGCAGGCATGCTGCCTCTGCGGAACTGGTAGAGCTTCTGGGCGGAAGGAATGGCGAAGACACGGATGACAGTGCCCTTTTCAGAAGCTGTAGCCAGCAATGTACCTTCCTTGTTCATGGCTATGCAAGACAGAGGGGCCTGGTGTGCGGGAATGACCTTGACTTCTTGCATGTCATTCGCATCGAAAAGCATGACATCTCCACCCATGGGTTCTGGTTGTCTGGGGCCTGCCGGAGGGACGTGTGTCGGGGCAGGCTGAGCCATGTATTCCTTCTTACGCATGGGGTAGGCGATGTAGTTGTTCGTACTGTCTGGCGAGAGAGCGCAAATGGCATACGGGTTCGAGGGAGTGACGAGCTCGCTAAGCAGCTTCATGGACGAAACATCGTAGACGAAGATGAGGTCCTCCATGACGACGAGAAGACGTTTACGGTTGAGCTTGAGGGCGCCGACCCTCGCAGGGAAGGTGAGCTCGCATACGGTGGTCTGGCGTTTTGTGTTGACGATGCGCAAATGGCGCGGCGACAGGATCATGGCAACGAGCGAGGTCGAGAAGAGCATCTCGAGGATGGCAATGTCGCCGGATGCGCCATTCTCGGTGAGTGGGGTCTGGAACAGGAGGGCGAAGGGATTGGTCGAGTAGACACGCATGCCATCCGAGGTCGCGACGGCCAGGAAGCTATGGTCCTGGTTGAAGGTGATGTAGTTCAGCGCCATGGCGGGCGGGGTGCCAGATGGTGGGTACGTCTAGTAATGAGTCGAGATACGGCAGAGTGCTGCGCCCATGGTCTGTGGGGGAGTAGTGATGCGAGATGGTGGGTGGGTAGGTACAAGTATGCACGTCAGTTGTTCGTGATGCACGTCAGTTTGGCGGGTGAGGCAGTTTCACAGGCAGCTTGCAGCACTAGAGACATGCATGTCATTGCAACATCAGCTTTTGGAAGGTCGGTCTTGTAAATGACTCGCCGGGCTGCGCGGATACTTAGCCCTGCTCGCTGCCCTCGTGCTGTTCGTGAGCCTAAATGATGATGCCCTCATTAGGGTTTATACGCAGTTAGGGTACGGAGTATATGTGTGTGCTACTAAGATAGTGTAAAATCGTGCCCTGTCTGCGAACCTCTTCTGTTGCTGCGTGCAGACAAACATTGGACATGGAGAAAAGGCGTGGCCATGGGCAGAAAGCGAGAATACGACGGGGAATCGAGGCATACGACGGCTAGTGGTCGTAGTTGCCGGCTGTGCGCCTCTCTGTCCCAGGGTGCCTTCTTCGCTCGCTCGTTCAGCCTCAGCCCTTGATTCAGAAGGAGTGTCACCAGCACCTTCCTGCCTTCGCAACCGTCGCCAGGTACTTTCCAAAATCCCAGGGCTTCGTTAGGGCTCCTCGGTAATCGTTTTCCACAGCCCTAGACGCAGGTTGATGAGATCCGCCCAGAAACATGAGTTCGACGTGTGAGTTCGGGTGAGATTCCTTCCCTGCCAGAAACCATCGCTAATGCCCTCGCGCGCCATAAAGCCCTCAATAATGCCTTCTACCAAGGCCATGGAATCAAGCGGTCCAGAGACGACGTCTCGCAGCCCTTTTTCGACCAAGAAGTCTTCGCCGCCCAGAAACGCGCCCGTCCCGACGTCGACTATACCAACGACCTGAACCCCTCACAGTACCTGCAATCTGCCTACGACCCTCTGGCTGTGTACAACAGACATCCGGACACCGACTTTGCCCTATATCACCAGCCTTCCCATCTCGCATCCGCCCACCCCCACCCACAATTCGAAGCCGTCCACCCGCACATTGCAGCCCAGCCCGTCCAGCATCACCAACACCAGCAGCAGCAGCACCCCTCTTACTGGGGTCTGCCCGTCCAGCGCGTGCCTCAGCATCAGCCGCTCCCCCAGCTGCCCTCTCAGCCTCAATTGCAGCCTGCATTCCAGCCTCAGCCTCAACCACAGTCGCTACCCCAGACTCCCCAGCAATACTACAACATGCCCACCGAGCACGCGCCCAATGCCTCATATCCTGGCATGAGTGATTGGTGGCAACCACGCCCGAGTCCGAGCAACAGCGCTGTTGAAAGCTGGAACTATGGAATTGAAGAGCCGTGTGTCTATGGCACTGATGCCAGCCAACATCTCAAATTGCAGAGTCTAGCCACTCTCGACAATCTAGTACGTTGGAAACAGAGACAGATAGCCACCTAAAACCATCCCTGCTAACGTACCCCGCAGTCTACGCAGATCATCCTTAACCTGGCCAAAGGCTCGTTGAATGACATCTTATTGCTCACCGCAGGCCGGGATCATGAGGGAAGTCAAGCATACTTCACCAGGCGGACTCTGTTCGACCAAACACGCAAGGTCTATGCAAAGAATGCAGTCTTCATTGACATGCATACTTTGCCTGCCTTTACGGCTTCACAGCAGGAAGTCGTGCGTAAAGCGAACCGTGCAATTTTCATTTCAAGTATCCTTGAAGGCCACGACATTAGCTTCTTCGACCTAGACTCTCGCTTCCTGGAAACCTTCATTTGTCCTGGCCAGCGCCTGCTCAAGTGGCAAGGCACCATTTTTCTGGAGCTGAAGACACAAGCCTACATTGCCGCCCTAATGAATAACGATGGCCCGGCCGAGTCTCTGCTTGACGAGTTATTCCCTAACGACTTGGCCGACCAACTTTTGTCACGCCATCCAGATGCCCCAAACCTTGCCCCCAGTGAACAGGATTTCCTTGACAGGGCTCGCGCAAGAAAGCAATATCTCTTTGACGAACCCTCATACGACGCATATAGCACTTTACCCAGGAAATACGGCTGGCACGACTTCTTGCGAGAGTTTGCAGTATCACTCAGCAAGAACGTCGAGGCTGTCATAAACAATCCTGTAAGCCAATCTCGCGTGCAACTATCCGGCTTCTTGCTAATCACTGTCTAGGCACGAACCCCCGTCAGCCAGCCTGGCATCATTTCACCATCATTTAGAGCCGGGAGTCGTGGAACACCATCATCGGGCAGATTTGGAAGCTTGAGCAGTCCCATAGCAGGACAGCAGGATCTACCTAGCGGTCTCGCAGGCCAGTATGGGCCAACCTCGGAGAGTGCACAGCGACAACCAACACCCTTACGACCGAGTCAAAGAACGCCAGATATTGGCCAGTCCAATACATCACCAAAGGCACGATCAAAGCCAACCAAAACAGGCGGCAGTGCCACACAACGTCAGCCTTGGAAACAAGAAGAGGAGGATGCACTTATGGCTGGCCTTGCTGAAGTCAAAGGCCCCCATTGGTCACAGATTCTCAGCTTGTACGGTCGAGGCGGTAGTGTCAGCGAGGTGCTCAAGGACAGGAACCAAATCCAACTCAAAGATAAGGCACGCAACCTCAAGCTGTACTACCTCAAGATGGGCAAAGAGGTCCCCGAATGCCTACGAGGTGTTACCGGAGAACTACGCAAGAGAGGCGGTGCGCGAGTACGTGCTGCGTTAGGTCTCACAGACGACGACAACGCTACGTCGAAGAAAGCTTCAAGATCTGGTACGCCGCTCGATCCGTCACTAAAAGCATGAGTATGGCCTTGATGGTCATGCGAACTCAGTACACATACCATTTTTTCAATTTGTCGATAATTACTCTACAACCTTGTCAGCTTCAATCGCTCGACAGCATTTTGTTTGCTCAATTCTTCGATCAACCCCAATTTCCGCTTCAAACTCTCTCATCGATCCGGTATCGATCACAACCATCAGCGACTACAAAACGATTACCAGCACTCGAACTCCAATGTTGCGCGAAAGCCTAGCCTATGGCTGTCTCTTACACATCTTGCCTGTTCCATGCTTTACGCCAATGTTATGGCCACCACACTTCTCGTCCATCCAGGTAGCCCATTCTGGAGATCATCATTAGCCACTGGCACCCAAGACAACATCCGCTAATTCGTGTACTTACTTCCCATTATTATCCTGTTCTCTTGCCACGAGAAGTGATTGCGCGCGCATACTTAAGTACAGTCAGTAGAGTTCTGTAGAGAGATTGGGGTGGTACCATACCACATGGGAAGACACCCCCAACCCACCAGGCCTTTGTTTCTGTCCTAGGATAAACATTGTCGATTTTGCAGAATTCCTCGTCTGAAAGATTCTCCCAATGGTATGAACCAATCCAGGTCCAGTCCAGGTCGTGGTTGCCTATCATGCACTCTTGCTATATCATTGTTAGTACATCTTAACCAGTGTACGAGTAGGACAAGCCAGAGTTTACAATTTGTCGAGGTAGGCCGGATATGTCGGGCACAGCGAAAGCAGCCGAAGCAGCAGCCAGGAAGCCAACAAGATAAGTGGCTGGGCGCATCTTGTGTGTCGTGTGAGTTGTATGAGGTGTCTGGCTTTTTCTTTTTCAGTCGGTGAATAACGAATCTTGCAAGAGTAGGTAAATGTTGCAGACAAAAGAAGGTAGAACTCTGCTCGAATAGTTCGATGACTCAGGATGAGTCGGGTCGAGTTCATTCATGAGACTTCAACTCCTTCAACTCTCACACTTTTGAGGCTGTTGCTCGAGTATGAGAACCAACAGGTCCCTCCACAATTCAACTCAAACACGACCAACCAAGGAAACTCTATTCGTGCAGGGTGTGGGCACACATAAGGGTGGGACCTGTCACTACAAACATATTCTTTGTTTCTCACGCCTCTTCCATGTCAGTAGAGAAAAACATGTCTCGATCGCCATTAAACACCATCGCCGAGGAAACCTCTCCTCTGCTCCCCCAAAATCAGGAGCCGACTGAAAAGACCACCGCAAACAATCAACCACCACGTCCAACCTTATACACACTCTCATCGTTCCCGAATCTTTCTCCTCAAACCTCCGCATCATCCTCTACTAATTCAACCCACGACATCGAAAGCCTTCTCACCCAAGTATCCTTGAACAAAACCAAGGACAGAAACAACGACTCCGATTCTCTTCACGGACCCGGGTTTTGGTTTCCCGAGATCATCTTTGGCGCGTTTCTTCTTCTGGGTGGCATAGCTGTTGTGGGATTTCTTTCTGTGTTTTTTGTTTGGTGTGTGCAGGTTATGGCGGGTTGGTTCGGTGTGGGACCGTATTGAAGGATGTCATTTGTTGGTTTCCTTGGGTCCTTCCAATAAACCAGGAAGGGTCAGATCTGCTCGTGCAAACCGCTTGTTGAGATGTGGTGCTCGAGTGTGTGAGAAGCAGAGACAGGAACATAGACACAAGTGTAAACAAAACCCAATACTCAACATTAGATTCGTCAATCAGTGTGAGAATACCCAATACATCCAGTGGTGTGCGTCTGTCTATCACTGCTGTATGCATATCTGCTCCTCAGGTGATTACATGGTCAGTCACTTCTCACTTTTCATTGTACAAATAAGAATTGGAGGATTGTGTTTTGCATTGCAATGTTGTCTCCAACTGATGTAGCTCGGCATTAAACAAAAACCGTAACCAGAGATATGATGATGTGGAGGAGTCTCTAGACCTTGAAGTTATCGCCCTGCTCATGCATCCTCACCATGCCGGATGTGAAAGACAGATAAGCAGGGTGACATGGGTCCGGAGACTGCAAATGACCTCCCTTATACACATCAGCAAAAGTCCCTTTCATTCCTGCCAACCACCAGGGTTGGAGAAAGGGAGATTCATTACGCAACCCAAAGACCAAAATCTCAATCCCAAGTCCGAACTAGCGGTACTTGAGACATGACTGAGGAAGGGATGGTGCTGGATTCCCATGCGAACCTTCTCAAACCGAACTAGCAGTGTTGAGATGATAGGCAGAAATATTCAGCACTTGCGCATGCTGCATGCAGCTGACAATCTAGAGGACGATGAGCATGCCAGACACTCTTCGCAAACCAGGTGTGTCAGCCCAGTCTTCCTCGGAGGACGAACCTTCACCACCAGGGCTGAAGGCGCCCTTCCGAGTCCTGCCGTGTCAACGAACATCAAATCTCAAGACCCGACTAGCAGGTGACAAATGAATAGTCCAATTGACGAAGCAGGTCGAATCCCGGAAAGGGAAGGTCGAATACGTCCAGCGTATTCCTGTGAGATGTGTAAGGAAAAACCAAAGAGTCCTGCCCTTTCGAAGCCGTGAGGCCTGTGATGTCTCCCGTTTTTGCTTTCCCGTGCAATCGTGACCTGCGTTTGCATAACAATCATGACAAGAAAAGAAGAAAAGAAAATGGCGCAGTCGACCAGCAACGTGCGAAACATCAGTAAAAACAAACAAATAACAAAAAAAGCAAACGCTTGCTCAACAAGACCCAACAAAAGCAAAAAGAAAATGCAAAGTCGCTCGCTCAAATGACATGGAGAGTTGAGTTGGAAAAAGATAAAACACCGCCCTTATGCGCTGTGAGAAGATGAGCCGGGAGAGGCTCTGGCTTGTACCAGGATGTAGAGATCGCATCGCATCGCATCTAGATGAGGTTAATTTGTCGACAGTCCATATAATTGCCGGTACCAGGTTGGGGACATGGCAGCCTGCAGTCTCCGAGGGAAAAGGTTGGGATGGGCCAGATCACCAAACTAAGAGGCATGCAGTCAGTGCCATCGACCGACGTGCTGTGTCTAGCAACATGTGCTTAAGCCGTAGTACTAGATGGTAGCATACTGGGGAGCGAAGACATTGAAGCTCCAGCCGAGGCCGTCGAAGCCAGTGTTTGCCATGCTTGTGCCACATGAAGGCAAGGCGCTCGGCAAAGGTACCATGGGCATAGACATGACGGGTATGCCACTGGCTGCCTGTGCCGCGGTGTAGAATGGCGGCTCAGAGACGTGAACAGGTGACTGGCTGTACGAAGGCGTCGGCGAAGGGAGCTGCACAGGGTCCATACCAAGAGACGACCAGTATTGAGCAGGCGGGTTGTTGGCAGTAGAGGTCCCTGGATTTGACGGCAGAACTTGCCATGGGTCTACAGGGTTGGGCACTAGAGCGTATGGCTGAGCAGGCTGCCACCACTGACCGTTTACGAAACACGTGTCCGGCATGATGGGGGCAGGAGCGATCAGATCGACGATACGCGGAGGAGGCGGAAGAAGAGGCAAGAACAGGTTCATAACAGCAGTCTTGACGTCGTTACTGCGGCCTTCGAGCAGCTCGCCGGCGCCTTCCTCTTCCAGACCCTCCAGAGCTCGGGCGCCTGTGCGGTAGACGAAGCGGTTGACGGCTTGTACAAAGGCTTCTTGCATCTTCTTGATCTGATCAACCTTCTCGGGCCAAGCATACGTACTAGCAGCAATATCGACAGAGTAGATATCGTTGTGGTAGTCGATCAGAGCGTCGATGGTGTCTCGGGTCAACTTGAAAGCGACCTCGTGCTGTGAAATCATGTCGACATGGACAACATATGCTTGGATCGGGGTGAGATTGTAGTTGGCGATGGCTTCCTGTAGAGGATCGGCGTCTTTGCGTAGCTCCGAGTCGGGAGCGTTTGGCAGCATGAGCGAAGACAGCAACCAAATGGCAGAATCGGCGCCGAGTGTTTCGGTCAAGAAGCGATAGTGTTGCGGCACGCTATTGAGAGGACGTTTGACTCGACTGATGCGCTTCAGTGTCTGGGTAAGCCATGTCTCGACCCTGGAGCCTAGTACAATGGTGGGATTCGACCGAGGTGCGAAGGCTGCTGCCGATGCAGGAAGAAGCTGTAGAGGCATTGCTACTACCAGCAGTAGCGATGAACCTGGCGAGGTGACCGAGATAGGGGGCCTCGGTATATGGACGTGGTAGATGCGATGCGATGCGATGGTATCCGGCGGGGTTTATCTTTTTCCGAGCGGTATTGGGCCTGCTGGCCGGCGGTGGTCGCGCGAACAGGGCGATATGCTTTTGTACTGTGAGGGTTAGTAGACTCGTAATTAGTAAGGTAAGAGAGAAACAAGGAAAATGAAGAGTGTGTTGAGCAAAGGACTCTTTTGCGAGGATGGTCGAAGAAAAGCTTCTTTGGAAGGCGGGGCTTTTCAGTATTTGAGGACGACGACAAGACTCGATGCAGATGCAGATGCACACGGCTGATGGTGGCTATGCCGCGGCACGCTTTCACGCTGCTTCATGCATCTCTCCGCTTAGTGCGTGCGTGCTGAGAGACTCGCTCCATCAGCTTCCCTCAGACTGCCTTCTATTTTCGTGCAGTCGAGCTTCCTGCAAACTGCTTGTACTCGTCAGTCTAAAAGTCCCTTTGCTGGACACTTGCTCTCCACGCGCCCTTCGTCCCGAGAGAGTACCGAAGTCTTCGTCAGCAGCGCCATGCTGTGTTTGAGCACTAGCACTGCCATCTTGACATAGACTTGCCATCGTGTCTTGCTTCTTCCTGTCGCTGAACCATCATCATCTTGAGCCCTTTGCAGGCGACTGCTCGCACAGGGCTCATGCATACTGAGTACGCCGAACCTCTATCGTCCTGCAGGTTCGGATTATCCTTGCCCTCGGAACCCTTCTAGCTCATCCAAGCCCGCCTATTTCGCTCGCAACAGGACAGTGGTGTGAAGTAAGACCATTTCCCCGACCAATGACATCCAAAAGCTGCCATTTCAGCACTGTCAGCCCTGACCACCTCCATCAGGCTTGTGTTCAGGGAACAGGAACTTGTACCTCTCTCGCCTCGGAAATAGGCGCTTACTGAAACTTGATAGACTTCATCGACTGTCACCTTTTTCAACTCTCTTGTTCTACTGCTTTTCCTCGCTGATCAGCCTTCCACTTTGCTCAAAATCATTGACCGTCATTCTTCCAACTCGTACCCTCAGATTACACCCGAGGCGTCGGGGTCCGCGATAAATAGTCGCTTTAATTGCGGCTGTGTTCTGTGGCGTTCGGTCAAGGCCGACCACGGAATATCTGTTTCTGCTTCCAGCTGTCAAATCTCAATTCAGAGACTATGTTGCCTTCTCGAAAACTGCCAACACACAAGACTAATGGATATCCAGCTTTAGCGATGGACCTCTTTCCTAGTTGAGCCCAGTCGATGCACTTCGCCTCTGCAAGAGAATCTTCCCATGTGATGGTCATACATTTGCGCGAAAGTTGATCTGATATTCTAAATGATAGAGCACTATAGACCATATGGCTACCAACGGGCTCGATCTGTAAGACAGGTATATTCACTCGTACTGTCTGAATGTATAGAGCATGGTTCGACGTCTATTCACGCTTGAAGGCCCTCACACACCACAACGGATCGCTTCCACTCATTCCCATCATTTGCATGAATCCATGCAGACCCCCGTCATCCTGTCGCGGAGCATTTGCGACATCGCCTGCCTTGATGTCGACAATCTCGATGTCCTTCCAACCAGCGAAGTGTAGATAATCCCCTACCATCTGCAACCGCTGTTCTGGTGTTCTCTTGATCCATGCGCTGGTCGCTTTGGTTGGGAACATCCTGGAAGATACAATGATCTGGCAACTTCCTCCTGGTTTTGTCAATTCCCTGACGCTCGAGAGAACTTCTTTTGGACGAGTCAGGTAATCCAGGCTCACAACGCAAGTCGTACAGTCTAGTAGACCGCTGTCGCCATCGGCAGTGTCTGCGCTTTGCAATCCGCTTACGGCATGCTCATCACACACCGTGAGCGGAATGTTCGGATCTTCGTTCAAGTCTTGGAGTATTCTCTTGGAGAGCACTTGGTTCTTCTTGAGTTCGGCGTTGTTCATACCCATGCCAACAACTTTCAGCTCCCCTTGTGCGGCTGCCTTTTCGACGGCTTGGGGATAATGGCTGATCCAAGATGAGCAAAGGTCCAAGATTCGGCCTTTCCGTGGCAAGACGGTATCATAGTATCTTCTCAGGCTTGCTATAGCGGCATCGTCGATATGAGTAACGAATCTACTATCGCTATAGAATGAGTTGTCGGGACTCTCATCCATACGTTTGAAATCTGCCTGAACGTATGGCCATTCTTGGTATTGAGGTCGATATGGGACAGCGGAGCCACTCCATGGTTTCTCAGAGCTGCTAGATTGGCTGACGCTTGACATCCCGGCGGCGAAATACGATGTCGTTGATATAGCGATTGCTGACACGCCTGCAACTTGAAGCCGGCGACTAGCTGATGTGATAGGTATCATGTGCTTTTCTGCTTAGATTTGGTGTCTAGCAATTTGGTTCTTGCGTTGCATGAGACATGTTGTACTCCAAAGAGGTGACTTTCTATGACGAAACCACGCCCGGCTATAATTACATCAGTCGGGTGGAGCTGCCCATCTGGGATCCGTGGCTGCCGAGGGGACCACCCTGGACATCAAGAGACTAACACTTCTTGCACTCACTGAGCTCCTTCAACATTCAGAATTACCTCGAAAATGACGCGAAGAACTTGCAACATATCATGAAAGCTGAACACGGGCTATTTCGCTTTCGCATCCGTCTTCCAGTACACGATCCGAAGTGATGCTAGCCCAAAAGATGATTGCTATTCGCATGGTGACTGCTTGCCACGAACGATGAGGTTGCCAGCATAAGAATCCTGACATGCTATCTCGAAAGTCTCATGTATTCCTCCTGTCCATCAAGACACTCTATCATCGTTTGGATGCTCCACTGAACTCAAATTAAGCGTCCAACCAGTCGAAGACGCGACTCCGAAATCGTGCGTCAGTTTTCCTCCGACTAGAGTGCGCTTACGGCAATCAGTCTTTTCTCCAAAGTTCTACAGACTGTCGAGTCTAGACAGCGTTATGGATCCCAGAAATGCGTGGCTCTACCCGTTTACCAGGGTTATTGGATGGAAGTTTGCCCATGATATGACCACGATCACGCGCCTAGATGGCTAATGGGAAGTTACATTGGTCCATCTAATGCCTTGATATGTGGCCTCGCGGCTCTCATTACAGATTCTCTGCATTGGAGTCATCTCTACTGGAAACTGCGGAAATGTCGGCCTCAAGGATGTATGGAAGCAAAATATATGAAGAGAAGTTGGATGCACTCTCGCTTCAGCTCTCGAACACCTCGACACTGGTTGAAAACAGCCTGGATATTGCAGCTCCTCATAAGTTATTCGAGGGTGGCGAATACTATGATCCTCTAGCCACCTGGACGCCCGAGGAAGAGTCAAAGGTGAAGATGAAGACTGACGTTAGGCTTCTTGGTTGGCTCTCGGTCATGTATTTTGGTAAGGCAGAAAATTCACGAAGCTGAAACGACACTGACATATGTATCAAGGCATGCAACTAGATAGCACAAGTATGGCCAATGCTCTCGCTGACAACTTTCTTCACGACCTCGGATTCGACATGACAGAATACGGCAACGTGTGTTTCGTTGTAGTCAAGCTCCTCAACATTCGGCTAAAGTCGGCAGGGCATAATGATACATCGAATCTGCTACTTGATTGGAGGACTGCCTGGACAGCTCATTGCGACCAGGTTTGGATACAGATATCTCTTCTCTGGATTAATGTGTGCATGGGGGCTAGTTGGTGAGTGAGGTGTGCTCTCGTTTACAAATTATGCTGACGAAGAGCAATCGAGCCTGGACTCAAGCGTGGATGCAAAACGAGGCTGGGTTCTACGTTACCAGAGCCCTGATCGGCCTATGCGAAGGTGCTTTCGCACCGTTGACTGTCATGTGTCTGTCCGGCTTCTACACAAATATTGAGTTAGGCTTTCGAATCGCGATCCTAAGTTCTGGTATCAATGTACGCTTAGCATCCATTAAAAGAATGGATACTGTCTCATAGATTGACAATAACAGATTGCAAAAGCTTTATCGTCGTTGATTGCAGCCGGAATACTCAACATGAGAGGTATTGGTGGCAAGCCAGGTATGTTTCGAAGCTGTGATAACCGGGTCAGTGTGTTTGCTGAACTAGTTTGTGCAGGTTGGTTCTACTTGCTATTGATCAACGGACTCGTGGTTTTCGTGATCGGTATTATCGTATGAACCACAAATTCCAAACACTTAGTGCCCACCGGTCTAACATGCCACAGAGTTTACTATATCTACCAGCTGGACCAACCAGGACACAGAGTGTCCTTTATAGGAAGCCTTGGTTTTCTGAGAGGGAGAAAGGTAACACTTGTAACGCATCGTATCTGCAGGACATACTAATGTTGGTAGTGATCGTGATCAATAGACTACTGAGGGATGATGTCTCGAAGGGGAAGACGAGTACTAAAGAAAAAACAAGCCTACGTGACATCTGGAACACTCTGAAGGATCCGGCTCTCATCGGTAAGGTCATTGTGGGTAATCTTTTCCTCACATCAGCTTACCAATGAACGGACAGGATTCTGGTTCTTGGCTCTGATAATCTATATGGGAAAAAGCCCAGTTTCACAGTATCTTGTTCTCAATCTACGACAGCTTGGGTTTACGAGATTCGAAAGTACCGTTTTGACCATACCATCTGACTTCCTACGCACTGTCACGGTCCTTGCCTTAACCTGGAGCAGTGGCCACTTCAAGGAGAAAGTGTTCCATTGTATCATTCCAGGATGCATAGAGATACCACTATTTGCTGCACTGTTAATCTTACCTCCACATGGCTACTCCTGGGTCAGGTTTGCCATCATAACGCTCATCATTGGCTCGCCCAGCTCTCATCCAATCATGGCAAGTTGGATCAGTGTCAATAGCTTCGACCCCAAGAAACGTGGTATCACCATTGCTCTATTTGGCACATTTCACGAAATCGGCAGTATTGCAGCAGCACGTAAGTTCAGCTCTGACATGGAATTGAGACGAGTCACGGCTGATTTAGTTGCAAAGAAATTTACAGAGATGATGACAAGCCGTACTACTATACGGGAAACAAGGTTCTCATATCTATATGTGCAGTCTCTATCGTGGGCCTTTTGATTCATCGAGAAGTGCTCAAGCACATCAATCGCAAGAAACAAAGGGCATGGGAGAGCTTGAGTGAAGTTGAGCAAAGAGAATATTCCAAAAACCAGGAACACAGTATCGGAAACAAGAGTCTTACCTTCAGATTCTGCTATTGAATGGAAGGTGGGCAACATGGAGACAGGGCATCGAGTCTTACAGGTTTGATTGTGATGAGGTAGCAAACTTCAGAGAATCGTGAACAGTCGTGAGAAGCTTTTGAGGTATACATGCCACCGTACTAGTGTATTCACGATCATGGTTCGGATGCCCTATTTACTCGAGCGAATTACGATGACGTGAACTTAAGGAAAGAGAGATCGTGGCAGAACTGAGTGTTAACCTCAGCATCCCAAAATCCCAAACACAGACTGGTCCTCGATATAGCTATTGAAAGGCAAGATCATTTTGGTTATCAGCGAAGGTCCACTCCTCTTACCTGATCTCACCTTGAAAGCAAGTGCCTTTGCTTTTGTTGAGTTCGAAGCCTTGAGAAGGAAGCTACGAGCCAGCTGCGTTGGCGTTTCGATAACTCCTTCCTTGTACAAGAAAACTTGTTGTCCGTCCATCGCGACAGGTTTGGAAATATCTCAACCATTGCATCTGGTAATCGTCACTCTATAACCGTTATTATTCGCACACTTCATCAATTGCATCAGCGACATAACGATTGAACTCTCTCAAGCTCGAGTGGTCTTCGTCAACCGATCGTCCACCGAAGCATGAATCAACAGAACAATCTACCCATACCCCGACGAAACATGGCGACAACTCGCTTTGTGCTAATTTCGGACACCTACGGCTACCACCCAGCCCTCCCCAAAGGCGATGTTCTCTGCCATGCTAGAGGCTTGTCAAACACTGGGAGTATTTCTGAACTGCGCAAAGCCCTGGATTGGATAGACAAAGCAGATTTCGAAGTCAAGATCATCATTGCAGGTCAGTCATGGAAGAAAAACGGCAGACAGAACAAGATATTGACATTGATAAGGAAGCAAGGATATTACACTTGACGAAAAGTACTACCAAAAACACAGACGCGATTCCGATAAAGAGTTTCATGACCCAGCCGAGTGCATTCGCCTAGTGGCTACGTATCCCAACATAAAGTACCTACATCATCAAGCAACCACGATTCATCTCAAGTCCGGACCAAAGACAACTTTCAAGATATTCGGCAGCCCGTTGGTACCCGATCACTCTGAAAGGGCATTTGGCTACAATCGCAGCGATGATACCACAATCGAACGACACTGGTCAAATATCCCACTTGATGTCGACGTGGTTCTCACTCATACACCAGCCTACAACCATCGCGACGCGAGTACCAAGTGGCAGGCCGCAGGCTGTGAAGGATTGCGAAAGGCATTGTGGCAGGTAAGACCGCGGATAGCGGTTTGTGGTCGTATAGCTGAGGCCAGGGGTGCCGAGACAGTCGAATGGAACCTGGACCTTCCTCTTTCGCCATTCCTGGAGAAACAAACGATACAGTGGACGGATCCGGGCGCCAATCGCATGGCGATGAGCCTAGTGGATCTTACAAGAGCGAGTGGCAATCCACTACATAACGACGGAGCACCCGGACCGCGAGCGCATGGGAGTGATGTTTTCTTTTCTCCTGCAGAACGAGCGAAGCCGACTGCACCATCGCGAGTGTTTGAAGATTACGACGAAGCTCCGTCAAGCGGAGTAACAACGGTATCGTCTTTCAGCGATATGACAGCTCATACAGTCGTGCCCCAAGACTTTTGGAACGCTGCAAATACCGCTTACCCATCTGAACCAATCTTGGACCCCCAACCTGTTGTGTCAAGGCTTCATCATCGCAATGCAGCCGCCCTGAATGGTCGATCTGGTAGGCAGGAAACACTGATTGTGAATGCAAGCATTGTAATCACCAACAATCTCAATCGTCTCACATACAACCAGCCTATTGTGGTGGATATTGAGCTACCGGTTGGAAATGAAGCTGTGTAGATAGATGACGTCGAACATCCAGGGAAACCCGACCACGTTGTCAGGAGACGGCCCAAGAGATGCTTTCGTCAACTCCCTGTGGAAAAGGATTAGTTAGACTGACAGATTCGTTATGAGAAAGCCTACTTTCAAGCCGCCTACCCTCGACGATGAGTGGCTACTCGCGTGCATACCCGATGATGCATAGGTCCTTCGAATTGACCGCTTAGTGTATCGAAAGGATGAGTCTCGTCGTTGGGCAGCAAGACAGGTGCTTCTTGTACGCAAACGAGGAGACTTGTTGCAGTGACAACGCAGGATGCATCGGCAGTCATGCTTGGAATAACGTGAACTTGCTGATGAAGTTCCCCTCGCGATCTGCCGATCTGTGGCTATCGAAAGGCACATTGCTTCTGGATTAGTAGACTTCGCTATTGGAAGCGCCGTCATCACGAGCTCTGTCAGAACTTGAGTCCAAACATCAATGTGTACTAGCACTGTGACGGCACACTGTTTGAGAAGTTGAACGCGGTGGAATCTGTTTGTCGGTGCATCCCAAATGTAGGATGATGGCATGACGAGTCTTGTGAACCCAGAGGTCTGGTGATGGCTCTTCAAATGGAAGAAGACAGGTGATTGGTGTCTCTGAGTTAGTCTGTGCCAGATTGGTGTCGAAGCGCCGGGCCGCCGCAACTCCAAAGCACGGGTGGATCGTGATTGTGACTTGTGGGGTGCGGAGTCGCATGAACGTGCACGTATCCAGCAGTGATGAGATATGAGTACAGTAGACTGATGCAAAAGATAGGGGATGGAGTCGTTTCATGGAGGAAGAAGTAGAAGCGCTCATCTAGCGATGTCGCAGAGCCGATCTCCAGCTCCCTCAGGGCATAAAGACCCTCGAGGTTGTACAGACAGAAGATCTTTATTCCAGAATGTGAAGATCGGTGACTCTCTGTTGCCGGGCCAAGCATGCAGCAAGGTGATGATTGACATGCAAGCGGACAGACGGAGATAGGACTGACTAGCTACCTGTCTCTTACGGACGAGCGCTGACGTGAAGGGCAAAGAATAGCTTCCGCTATCTATCAATATATCTACACCGCCAGGCCTGAGCAGTGTGTGGTTTGCAACTTGCAGGCTTGCCAGGGTCTAGAAAGACTCGCTTCTCGAGCGACGGGACAACGGCCGGCTGGCGCACGTGCGGACAGCAAAGTCAAAAACGGCTGCTGGGGAATGAACGTCGAAACGTGCCAAACAACAGCTCTAAAATGAAGAAGGCAGGAACAGGAAAAACACCCTGTAGCTCTGTTTGACAGAGGATCTTGTCGCAAGTACAGGTACTGCGCTAGGTTACGTGGGTTACATGTTAGAGCAAGGAGTAGTTGATGATCGGCGGAGGGTCAAATGAGAGCAAATTAGCCAATTGGTTGCATCATCGGCACGAGTTTCTGACGCGCGAACGCTAAATTCTGCGGCTTGTAGAAAGCAGGAAAGGGCTGGAGCGAGTCGGGTCAGGTCGCGAAAACCGATGCGCCTGCGCGGCCAACGATGGGCAGAACTGCGAGAGAGACTGAACAGCTCACCATCCTGGCTCGCATTTCATCTACCGGCCCGGCCCTCTCTCGCTGGGTCGATTCCTTTTTCCACCTGTTTTGACTCTTGATTTCAGACTCGACGCCTGCCCATCTCGACTCGCTCTTTCCACCTGCGTCTGCTTTTGCTGCTTCGTTCCTTCTGTTTCTGTTGCACCCTGTCACCTGTGCAACCCATCAGACTCAGCAACTGGATTTATCACCCTCTGCACGACCAATCGCCACGCTTACCGACAGCTTCCATCTCGACTTTTGACTTTTATATAATCGCCCATCTCTGCTTCTTCCTATTCATGTCAAGCCGCTCTTGACACGCCTCGATCCATCATGTCCACGCCTTTACCTCCGGATCCATATGTCGCCCTAGGTCTGGCTAAAGATGCCACCGCTGCACAAATAAAGACAACCTACCGCAAACTCGTCCTCAAATGCCATCCGGACAAGGTCACAGACGAATCGAAAAAGGCAGAAGCGTCTGACCAGTTCCACCGTATACAGCAGGCCTACGAGATCCTTAGCGATGAAGGACGAAAGTCACGTTACGATGCCCACGTCAAGCTGGCCGAGCAGCGGAAACAGAGCATGAACAGCCGACCCCCAGTCGAAGTCAGAACTGCTGCATATGAGATGCCCACATCTGGCCCAGGCCGAGCCACATTCACTGCTCGAGGACCCGAACGAGTATACGAGGAACGCAGACCCGAGAGATCAGACTCGGACGACTACTTCGGTAGCGGAACACGAACAGCATCACGCAAGCACGACGATTACGAAAGACAAGCGAAGAAGGCAGCAGCACCACCGCCGAGAGACGACAGAGATCGTGCCAGAGTGGTGGAACGCGAGAGACGCGAAAGCGAAAGACTATCACGCACAGACAAGAGGAGGACGCGCGATCAAGACACGAAGCGTGATCGAGACAGAAAGTACTCGACCTACGATGAGGATAACGATGCAGACTTGAGGCATGAAGCCGAGAGACGAAGGAAAGCCGCCGAAGAAGCAGCAAGAGACAAGGAGCTCAGAGAACGAGAGAGGGCCAAGGTGGAGCGCGAAAGAGAACGAGAGCGAGGCTTCAGGGAGGAGAGGGGACGCGACAAGGACGACTATGAGCGTGAACGCGAAAGGCCATCACGCCGAGGCTACGATGACAGCGCACAGTATTACTCCCGACTCGAGGACGACGTCATGGCATACCAGGGAAGGGACAAACGACCCTCCCTCTCACGCAGTGCCTCGACAGCAACCAAGACCGAAACGTATGTCGACCGCTCATCAAGTCGCCCGACGCCCGTCTTTGTACGCCGTCATTCGACCAAACCTGCAGCTCCTTCTCCTCAGCCTCGTCGTGACCGCGACAGGAAGATGAGCGTGCCTGACATCCTCGAGTCGGATGAACGCCGCCCTGCAACCCGCCCGACGACGCTATATACCTCGACCTCATCACCATCTTCCATCAAGCTCCCTCGAGGCGTTGAGAGAGGTCCACCCATTCGCAGTGCCAGCATGAAGGTCGACGAACGCGATGTACCTCCCATGCCTGTGCCCATCCGCCGCTCCGAGACGATGCCCAACATCTCTCCCAAGCGCGCTAAGGACTCGAAGCCCTCGAACTTGAGAGAAACCGAGTTCTCCGGTGGGTACCCTACACCTTCGGCAAGTCCTGACTACGCACCCTCGCCCACCACTCACAAGACGTACCACTATCCTCGTCGTGAGCCTTCGACTTCTCGTGAAGACCTGGACTATCGCCGTCCTCTTGAACGTGATTACGACCGCGAACGTGATCGTCGCATCCATCACTCACCTGAGCCGATACGTCCGTCCAAATCCTCTGCTACTCCTCGCTACGCCGCTGCTCCACAACCTCCTCCGATCCGGACGAATCCAAGCTACAGTAGTAGCAGCTATACTACCGAATCCCCAACCTCATATACAAACCCGCGTCCCTCGCCAACCCGTCGCGAGACACATCGGGACTACGAAGCGGGCCCCAAGGTCAGCACACCAAAGGCCAACTCGAGCGCACGCTATGAGTACCCTTTTGAGCGCATCGTGACGGACAACCTCCGCAGTGACTACGAGAAGGAACGTCGTAGAGGCAGTCCCATCGATATCGACAGTGGCTACAAGAAGGCACCCCTTCCGGAAGACCCACGACTGAGTGGTTACTCAAGTCATCGTGCTTCTGCCTCTGCCCAACGTCCTCGTATGCATCGCGAACGTACAAGCGAGTATGCATACCCGCGAACTCAGGCCGTCTAGTCGAGTTTGCACTGTAAACCTCATCTCTTCCTTCCTCATTTGTCCTCTTCACGATCTCTGCATCTTCTCTTTTCGGATGCACGCTACGCCAACCATATTTTTGGTCACTCATCTCTACGGCGCACAAAGGCATATCACGGCTTCTCATGTTGCTCCATTGCATTTTCTTTCTTACAACACCAACTTTTCTACTACCACCATACATGCCGTTTACCTCAATGCAGGGTCAACGAGCGGACGATTACTGTTTTACTCTATTCTAGGGCATCAATGTTCGCAACAAAAGACATGGCATGGAAAGCTATGCCCTTTTTCATGTCTAAGCTGCATTTTTGTTGTTTTACTCTTTTCCCTTTTTCTTCTTCTATCAAGATATAGCTTTACGATTTCATCACAACCAGATAACGAAATGAATTTATGACTCAACTTGACCACTCTTCTTCTTCTTTGACACCTTCGATCCAGTGCCATCTGTGATTTTGTTTCATTTCGCTTTACATACGTACAGGGGACATGAGGACTAGAAAAAGCAGCAAAAAAAAAGCAAAACAGAGAATACCAAAAGGGGACAGACAATATGAGACATTATCGTCAACATCAACAGCGTCGTATGCATGCATGTATCATTTTCCTCTTCTTCATTGATCAATCAACTTCCACCATGGTTTACATCAAATTCAAAGGCTGAAATGCTTGTATCCCTCAACCAAACCATCGCTGTTCTTGGTAACAGCACTCCACACGGGCATGAAATGCTTGACTTCATCGAAAGCAGGCACATTGCCAACCTGGTTAGCATCACTCCAGACGCACATGACCTTGCCCTCGGTTTTGCCATATGTCTTTTCAATCTCATGATCAAAGGTAACATTGACACTCCACCTGGCATCCCAATCTCTGCTGTACAGGTACACACGCTGCTCTCGAGCTGGGAACCTACCGGGTTTCATGACCTCTGCTTTGGCTCCTGCGTTACTGACGGTCAGGTTTGCGAAAGGAGTGGAGAAGTAGAGGCGGCAGGCGCGGGTGTTGGAGCCGCGGATGTCGAAGGTGTAGTTTCGTGTCGAGGTGTTTGTGGTGGGGCGGGTGATGTTGAAGTCGAGCCAGGTGGCGTATTTGGCTGCTTGAGCTTGTCTGCGCGCAAGGGCGAGCGAGACCGTGCTGTTGGGGTATGGCATGCTGGGGTTGTGGGGTTTGTAGGCGGTAGGCACGACGTTGGGGGCTGGGCCTGACCACGAACAACTGTCAAGGCCTGCTCTAAAGGCCCAGAAGGCGTAGTCGGGGCCAGCGCAGTGGTAACCACTGTCTGCGGCCGATGGCATTTGGGAGACGATGGACTCAAGGTAGGGGGACAGGCCAGTGAGGGCGACGGTGTTGTTGCCGTGGTCGAGATCGATCTGTTGGAGGAAGAAGACCTTGAGGCGAGAGGCGCGAGAGAAGGGGAAGGCTACGAGGTTGTAGATGAGAGTACCGATGAAGACGAACATGAGGAAGGTTGGAATGTGGTAGGTCATGCGATGGATGAAAGGTGTCAAGGGCAATAGCAACAACACAGATGTTGCAGCAATCAGTAGGTAGACGATCAGAACAGGACTGCCATCCGCAGGTGTCTGATGCAGAGCCGAAGTCATGAGCAAACCCAATTGGCCGATCAGGATCAGGTTGATGGGTGCCAAAATCAGGAACTGGAGAAGCCAGGCCCAGCTTGGAAGGCTACCGGACCAACCTTGCTCACCCTCGTAAGCCTGGCTAGTCGAGGGAACATGTGCAGAGGTTGCAGCATCATCGTTCTCATCGGGACGACGAGTCTCACGACCATAGCGAGTGAAGGTCTGTCTCGAGCCGAGCAGCGACGTACGCTCGTCCGCATCTTCGTTGTCATTGGCAGCTGGTGCCCTGCCTCTGGAAGCATCGTCATGGTCTACGACGTTGTGAGAAACAAGACTGCCGCTACGAGCGGGACTGGGAAGAGCGGTTCCGGATGCGTAGGTCACCTGCTCGACGTAAACACTCTTCTTGGGAAGTGCGAAGAACTCGAGGTACGAGATGAGCAACGCCAAGAACACAGATGCGTTGTAAATGATGAGGAAGTAACCAGATCCCAAACGCATGCGTTGCTCTCCGATGGTCGCAGCTACCAAGCCGAGCCAGGAAAGAGCATAGAGCCAAATCAAAACGTAAGCGCGGGAAAGTGCGGATGGGCGAACGGCGTCTCCAAGACGGAAGAAGAACCATGCAGTCGAAAGCCATGCGGTGAGCATCATACTCCAAACAGCATACTCCGAGCTGTAAATTATGTGAGGGTTGACTTTGGTAATCAGATATGCGAGTGCTACAACAATAGCGCTTGCAACGGCGAAGATCAAAGGGAATCTGAAAAATCCGCGCCAGCCGTACATCTTGACAGGCTCATCATCATCTGAAGAATGGAGATATCCCTTTCTAGCGAACAGATACCACTTGTCGGTCTTGTGGAGAATAACATCGAAGAGGATCAAGAAGATGGGACCGGCAACGAGCAGAGTCACGGAGAGAGCAAACAAAGTGTGCAACTGAAAGACAGCAAAAACACGTCCGAAAAGGTCGAACCAGACACCAGTGCTGCCAGAGGTTTTGTCGTGCTTGCCATACTCATGGCCCGAAGGACGTTCGAACTGGTCACTGGTGTCGCTCGAAAGACCTTGCACAGTGGTCAAGGCAGAAGAGAGCATGTGCCACAAACTCTCGACACTGGTTTCTCTAGCATTGTCTTGGTTAGTATGGTATCTTGCACGAGGCTCCATGAAAGCGACGTCCAGGCCGCGCATGCCCAGATCATCGACGAAGATGGAGTAATCGGTGCCACTCTTCACTAAACCTCTCTTGAAGCCATCACCACTGACGACACTGCCAAAGGGATGAGGACTCTTGGAGTAGAACCTTGTTACCTCGGTGTCAGTGCTTCTGAACAAGGTAGCTCTGCCACCAGCACCGGCACCCTCAAGATTGAGGAAGGTACGGGGAAACTGGGCAAGAGGATGACGTGTAAAAGCCTTTGCGCCATATAGACCATCCTCTTCGCCATTGTTCAGCAAGAACAGAATTCCACGATGCGGCTGGTTCTCTTGTTTGGTGAAGTGGGAAAGTAGCTGCAGTACCGAAATGACACCAACACCGTCGTCGGTCGCACCAAAGCCAGTGCTAACAGAGTCAAAGTGAGCGTTGACCAGAACGCCGCCAGGACCATCGTACTTCGTCTTGTTGAGCCACCATTCGTCCTGCGAGTCTTGGGCGCCTCGGACATAGACCATTATATTGTTACTCTCATAGTAGACGGTGTAACCCCTCGGGTCGGTGTATGTGATATTGCTCGTATCCTTGTCAAAGACAGTGACAGGCAGAGCAGTCTTGGTGGCCTCGGCGGCCTCTTTCCATTCAACCTTGTTGGCATCAAGTATGTTTCCAACACGGGCTAGCAGCCACTTGCGAACAGCGACATTGTCTCTGCTGTTGAAAGGGTGGAAGCCACTGCTAAGGCGCTCGAGATCGTGCCAGGCTTGAGTTATGTTGACGCCGGGCCAGCTGCTCGGGGTGGGAGTGCTTGGGGCTGGCGGCAGGACATGATGGGTGACAATGAGGGCGGCGAGCAGGCCTGCGTAGATGACAACGGTGAAGAAGGTGACGACGTAGGGACCGAAGCCAAAGGGATTGCGCGAACTCCGAGCCATCCTTGTCTTGATTCAGAGGTACACTCCAGAGCACCTCGACCAGACACGAGAAGGTTGGGACTTTAGACTTCCAACATGATCGCGCTCGTCACCGATACCATTAGAGCTTGGACCACCTTGTTCGTATCGTATCGCATCGTATCTTCCATCTATTACCAAGGCACGCAGATGTGTATAACAACAAAATTGATTCAATTACTGTCTCCGCTTACATCTCGAGGTACCTGCCTACTCGTACTGCTAAACTCAAAACAAGCATTTTATGCGCCGGGGGGTATCGAGCTGACCATCGTATCAACGTCCTGCGTTCTTCTCACCTTCATGCCTCTGCCTCTGCCTCTCAAATTCCAGGGCCCCTGTATCCTTGATCCATGAGCATACCGCCACCGAATATGTCGTTCTCTCCTCCAAACATGTCATTCAAATTTATATTAGGAAATCCTGCTCCTTGTCCAAGCGGTTGTTGCTGTCCAGCCCACCCACCAGACACTTGGCGCAAGTTCGCCATCTGTGCTTGCTGCTGTTGCTGTTGCTGCTGTTGTTGCTGCTGTTGCATCATACCCATTTCCCACCTACTCTGCTGTTGCTGCTGCTGTCGCTGTTGCTGCTGTTGCTGCATCATGTATGGAGGCAAAGCATAGAATTGAGCCTCGAGATTGTCTGCCTCCGTTGCATTGCTCTGTCCTGGCATCATGACCGGAACCTTTGACTCGTTGAAATTGTTGAACATGTTTGGATCCTTGGCAAATTGGTTGTTTTCGAAGGTCGTCAAGGGTTGATTGGGGTATGTGAAGGGCTCTGCAGACGGGAACATCATTGCTGACAGATCTGGCAAATTGGGGTTTGTCATATCCAGTGGAAGGTTGTAGGGGAGCAAACCATTGGAAGGGCTGCTGGTCTCCATGGGTCCACTGACCAGGGACTGCTGGTTGAAGTCTGGACTGGTAGGCGTGTATGGACCACTTCCTGAGCTCATTGAGGGTGTAGGGAAGGACATGCGTTGATCATACGCCGATGCGAGTGACACATTAGAGCCCTGGTTTGGGAATGTGCTGGCTCGCTGCACTGAGCCGGGCTGAGGTGGTGGCGGCTCCTTAGCAGTAACCGAGATGTCTGGGTGGCTTCGTGCACTCTGCGGCGGAGGAGCGATGGTCGAGCTTTGCCGACGCTTACGCGAGGGAACAGGATTCGTACGACCTTCGCGTGCCCAAGCTGGCAATGCTTTGAAGATTCCCTTATCGTTTGTAAGCATACGATCAGAAAGATTGATCTCAAGAAGACATACCTCAAGTGTGGTAGCACATCGATCTGCCGCCATGCTGCGTTTGGCCAATGACGCCAACACCTCCTTACCTTGGATAGCGTCCTTCAAAACAGCTTCAGTGGTGATGTTTTGTGGATTCTCGGCCGCAAAGTATATCAATGAAACAACAGCAAAGAAGGTTGTGTACATCACGAACCAATGTGCCCCGTTCAACAACCCCTTTTGCTTCATCTGTACGCACAGATGGATATGGTTTCTTGAAAGGTTTACGTACGAAGCTGCGCATGTGTAGGCACGTTGGTCAATGTTATGTGATCGCTTGTCGGTCGCAACGAAATGCAGGAAAGGTCTGTAAAGCATCGCTTGAGCATGAGCGTATGCGATACGAAGGAGTTGTTGCGCCCTGTAAAATGGTCAGTGTTGAACACAAGACTGGCACTGTTGTACACATACCGTGTGAGTTTGGGGTTCGAGTTATTGCATGGGTCCAGCCCAGCAGGCAAATTACTCTTCCAAGTTTCGAGATCGTTCTCAATGTCACGAATGACCGAAAACGGCACAGTGTAGGAGCGGTCAGTGTTGCTCTGCACGTTCTTCGCCCTAATAGGATACACGTTTCTGACAATCTTGATCAAGAGTTCCACTAGTCGGCTGTGCGCATTGAAGACTGTAGTGAGTGGCGTGGTTCCTTCTGGCATGGGGAGTATACCTTCCTCGGTGATATACTCGTCGTCAATCTCGAGGGGGTATTCCTGGTCAATATCCTCTTCGCTCAATGTCTGTGGCAAGCCCAGCATTGCGCCGACATAAATATCCATCTTGCGAATGGTCCAGAAGACGCGTTTTCTGGTTTCAGCCTCGATAGGATTAAACGTGCGACTGAACGATGGGTTGGATCTGTGCAGTCCCATGCGAAGAGCTGAGCGCAGCGCCACGCCTACATATGCATAGCACTGAGATAGTTTGGCGGAGCACTGTAAGAATGAAATCATGTAGAGAACTGCTTGAATCGAAGTCAAGTCTCGGCAGTCTGCTATATCGAGCAATTGACGTGCTGTTCTGAAGTATTTGAAACTATGTCGCGTTAGCTTTGAATCCGTCCAGGCTTCGCTGAACTACTCACCCTTGGTCGATTGCACTTTCGTAACCAGCCTGGTTCAAAGGACTCTGTTCATCACTACCAAACAAACAGCCTACTGACATGGCACTGTACAGTAGTGGAAGAAACTTGTGGTCCTGGTTGGTGTAGTTTTCGTATGGTGTGTTGTACATGCGCTCGAAGGATGCCCAGAAAGTCGGAACATGAATAGCTCTCATGAGAACAGAAGCATCGTTGATGGCAGTCTCACAAAGATCTCGAGCGACGGCTCTGGATGGAAGGTCTGTGCCAGGAACTGCGCCCTCCATGCCCATGCCAGGCGAATCCGGATTCAACGATCTTGGAGAATCGAATACCTGTGACATTGGTCTCGATTTAACGAATGGAGTAGTCTTGGCGTCGGGTCCTAGTAGATCTCCCAGCTGCTCCCGCATTCGCCGCACGAAACTAAGACCAGAAGAATGACCATGGTAATCCCAGTTTCCTTGTTCGTCGAGTTCTAACTGTCCAATAGCACGAACCATTGATTCTAGGTTAGTATCTTTTGCTTCTGCACTTGGAGCAGATGTAAGAGTGGTAGGTGGAAGAGTCGCGGGCTTCGTGGCTGGACTGCCATTGGTGACGGGCTTGTTGGAGAAGCCGGGTATGTATCCTTGTGCCACAGCGACATCGATGCTAGGGTCATTCAAGTTGAGGTCTGGCATGAGCATTCGCAGCAACGTCTCGGCGCGGTGGACTCGATGCTCCAGACCCTCGATGTACTGGGGCGCGGGGTTGCGACGGCGATTAGACGGCTGATCGTAGGTACATTCTATATCGGGTCAGAACCCACGTCTTTGCGCAATGACACAACTCGGACAAGGGGCTTACCATAGCTATAGACTGTACAATGCGTGCAAGGCTGCTTGCCGTCGCACTTGATCTTCTTTCTTCTGCACTCGTCGCAAGCTCGAGTCACTCGCCGACGCTTCTGCATGGGCAGCTGGGGTTTGGAATGCGATGATGATCCGGTCGCGCCTGCGGGAGACGTCTGTGACTCATGCTTGATGTCCGTCTCCCAATGCTCGCCTTCACTATTGTCGTCGTACATGTCGGGCGAAGTCGCCTCCATGACCATGGAGATGCGGGGCTGTATTTGAGTAAGTGCGTGGTATAGAGCGAACAGACGGAGGGTCGAAAAACGAAGTGCACTCTCTATGGGAACCCGGGGTTTGTAATACGGTGCGGAACGATGCACTTTTGTCAAACGACACAGGACGATGACCTAGCGATTCGAACTGGATCCAATATGCCGCTAGTTTTAAGTCCGAGTCTCTCGGCCGCCGCGGCGGTTAAACACTGCGTGACTGGCAGGGTTACAGCGTACCGCTCCCTGGAGTATCGACCGACTATTACGTTTCTGGACTGTCCAATCAGTCGCCAAGCGCAATTTTTGTTCTTGTGCTCTCTTGGCCTGTTGGCAAAATCGACTTTTGAGCGAGAGAAGGGCGTCTCTGCAGAAGGATTTCGCGCTTCTACAGACCATAAATGGGGCAGAAAACTCTCGCGACCAGAATAGCTGGTCCTAGCTCCTGCCCTTATTCCCACATGTTCCCGCCTGTTGTTTCCTGACTCGCCTATCTTGACCTTGGATCCTGATAACCTTGTGGTATGTGGAGCTTCTAGAGTATTTGTTTACTCAAGTCTCGTTTGTGCCCTCGTTTCGGGCCACCTTGTGTTGCTCTAGACGATGTCTTATACGCCTTACGAAGCTGCAATTCTTCCAATCGTTCCTAAGTTGGATCTATCTGGTTGATCTACACCTGAGCACATGTGGCGCAAAGCTTGTATCAAAGTCGCTCTTTCATATCGCCGAGGACCGACACTCCGGCCTTCTTTCTCTCTGCCTGAATGTCCACATCAACCAGTCGCATTCTTGCGTAGATTGCGTGGATAACAGAAGCTTGTCGTAGCACAAGCACCAGATAGCCTGTACGAACTTCGGAGACGCGCCATGCTAATTCTAGCTACATACCTTATCTTGAAAACGAGGTGACGAATTCAATCTGGACTCGATCAGAGGAGCCACCGTGTCATCACGTTTGTATGCGCCAGGAGAGAAAGGCCGCGTGGCCAAGCCTAACCAAGGCAAGCCTTCGAGAAGCTGCTGTGCGACTGCATTTTCAGAATGCTCCTTAGTGCTTACGCATGCGACTACTCTCGCTTCGAAAGGTATGGCGGTCATTCCGCTGGTTGACAAGGCTCGGCAGTTTTTGTCGGTAGGGCGTAAGGTGCGAGATAAAGTGTCTCAGGGGAACAAGTAGAGAGAGGACGGCAGCCATGGATGAAGTGAAGCAGCTCGAGGCTCAAGGGCATAGTCTGCGTAGGCAATAAAAGTACGGAGTAGTGAATGTCGAGACCTTGGCAAGCAAGTGTGGCTACATGTCCCAACTAGCCACAGCTTGTAGTAGTTGGTATGTGCGGCGACCCCTCGTGCTCCTGAGGTGCGTCACGGAAAGTTCTGACGACGATCGCACATTCAAACAAGACCACAGACTTGAGTGTTTGGTAGGTCGCAATAACCACCGTCAAACTGGCTGCATCTCTCGTCGGCGCCTTGCAGGATAATATCCGCCAGGCCTTCTCAAGCGCCTCCACCACCCTGGAAAAGCTCACCACTCAACCTATTCAACCCGCCGATACTCCCACCGACCTCTGGCAGCGTGCCCAATTCTGGTTCAGCCAACAGGACTCCTCTGTCCTTGCCGCCCTTACTCTGACCGCCATCGCTTTAGTCATGTCGTGGTCATCTCGATTCGGCTCCTGGTCTGGACGCTTCTCGCCTTTTGGTCGTTCTGGTGGCTCGGCGCAGGTCAAAGACTCGGACTACAGCTACATTACATCTGACGATCTGAAGAATGCCGAACAAAGAGAAGCCTCGCCCACCCCATCTGGTCCGCCCAGAGATACCGACGTGCTGGTTCTCAAGAGCAAGCGCATCAGCTATCCGGTGCATTTCCCTGCCTACACGATTGAAAGAGGCGAGCTGAAGATTGGGTCTGTCAGAGAGCAGGCAGCCAAGAAGACTGGCGCAGATGCACGTCGCATCAAGCTCTTCTTCAGGGGCAAGAACATGAAGGAGGATGCCAACTCTTGTCGCACCGAAGGCCTGCGACACAACAGCGAGATTATGTGTGTTGTTGGAGACAATGTCCCCGAGTCCATGAGTTCGAGCGATTCCGAGGCCGAGGATGCGTCTGTTGATGGTGGGGACGTTCCCAAGAGGAAGCGCAATCGCAACAAGAACAAGAAGAAGAAGTCCAAGAAGTCGGCAACACCTTCTGGCACCCCTCTAAACGATACTTCGAGAACGCAGTCCCCCCGCCCACCGCCCGCTCCGGTCACCCCTATGGACAAATTGAACGCCGTCAACTCAACCCTCCAGACCCTACTGCCTCAATGTGTTCAGTTCTTGGCCAACCCACCACCGGAGCAAGCAAAAAGGGAGTTCGAGCACAAGCGTCTCAGCGAGACTGTTCTCGCACAGGTTCTCCTAAAGCTGGATGCCGTTGAAACCGAGGGCGAACCAGAGGCTAGAGCAAGAAGGAAGGAGCTGGTCAGAGAAGCACAGAATGTTCTCAACAGCCTGGATGACTCTATGAAGTCGTGATTGAAGAATTGGCTAGGCACCTGGATCACTACAGGCGACCTATTACGCGGTTTCCATTCGTTGACGCAAGACAGAGGCGTTCATGCATTCTCTCATTTTTTGACGCCCTGGTTCCTACCTGGAGACTCCTTAGCAGGCCCAGAATCAAAAAGGCGAAACGAACCAGGAATTTTTGCATCGACAAGTAGAAGTAATTGAATGGACCATCCAAGAAGGAATGAACTTATGTCTACGGATTGTTAGTCAAGAGCGTTGCTGCTGTTGCTTGCGTGAACATGAGAAGTAATCAATATGCATAACGTCTTCGTAAATCGAAGTACCCATCAAGGTACATCTATAGCAAGATTACTGATTAGAACTTCTGTATTGTTTGTTGTGGCGTCTTCTTCAGCCGGTCTCGAGGGCGCGCCATGTCTGCCGGATCTCTCTTTTCAGACGAGCCAACAAGTATTGGCTCTACGTGAAGAACTTCTAGAAGGGTTGCATATCTGGCCATGTTGTTCACACCCTGCGGGAGGAGAGTTCAAGTCTGACAATGATAAACCAGACAAGCAATGTTACCACAACTCTGCAGGTATTGTCGAATCCGCCGCCTTTGATTCCCTCGACCTCCTTTATCGAGGCAAAAAAAGTGCTTGTCAAGATTATACAAGTTTCATGATCGGCTCAATGGCATGCCCAAACCCAGGCCGACTGGGGCAAAATTATCGAAAAGCTGAAGATGCTCAGAAGTCGACGAAACACGCAGCATGGTGATATTGAGTACATGCCAGATGTTTTCGAAAAAACGACAGAGGGTGAGCAGGTAAGATTGAACGTAGCCAACTTCGACATGCTGTCTGGGTAAGTCTCACATGCCGTCTCTTCGAATTTCTCTTGTAATAGGTCTCGGCAAACGCTGATAGGTCCACTGACAGGCCTGACTTTGGATAGTGAAGAGACGAGGTTATCATAGCGAACAAAGTGCGACGCAAGATCAAGAAGAGACTGCTGCAAGTAGGTCAGGCTTGTAACACTGATGCTTAATTCTGATACTGTATTCTTGTTATATCATCTCCGAAGATGAATTAAGGAAGTGGTAACGTGCAGGCTTGTCTGATCGCCATCGGTATACACTGCAATTGTGAGTGGTGGCATTTGATCTGGCTAACTTTCGACTGGCTCTGCTGGCGACTGAGAACTTGATCAGAAGAATCGCCATACGAATATCGCGAAAGCGCTGCTCCGAAGGTCGAAACGAGTAAAGTTGCCAACGGGTTAGTTGTCGCTTGTTGCACTTTAAAGACCAGGCTTGATCGCTTTTTACGAACGTAGACATTGCTATCGATGACTTTGCCGAGTAGTTTGGAAGTGTTGTCGTGTGAGGCAGTGCCTAAAGCGCCCAGCCAAGTCATAGATGTAGTTGAAGAATAGCGAGAATTCCACAGTGCTTACGAGATTTCTCGTCGTCATGCAAAAAAAGTCCCCAGCCTTCGATCTCTTCTTTTGAGTCGGCGACGATTACGACTACAGTACTACTCGCCGGATATTTTCATAAAGCAATCGAGCAAGGAAGTCCAGAGCGTCGAGGGTGAACCGAAAGCACTAGCCGCGCTAGCGGATTATTGTCGGCAGCGCGCCAAGCAATTCGGTCCACGCACCGTCGCGCTTTCCATTTTTGCACACTCACTGGGATTTGTGCTTTTCGACCACCCGCGACTTTTACACCCATCGACACCCCATCACAGACCAGCAACGATGTCGGAATTTCAGCCTGTCGTATGTGACATCCCTCCACCGCAGTGAGCAGAGAAAGAGAAGGAATCGGAAACTGGAAATGCGACGGCTAGAAGCGCGCACACACACACACCTGCTGCACACGCAAGCGAAACACCAGTCATAGGAGCAATGGCTGACAATACGGGTGTATACAGATCGTCATTGACGGCAAGGGACACTTGCTCGGTCGCCTGGCCAGCACTGTCGCCAAGCAGCTCTTGAACGGCCAGAAGATCGTTGTCGTCCGCTGCGAGGCCCTCAACATCTCTGGAGAGTTCTTCCGCGCTAAGCGTACGTCCAAACACCGCACCGCATAAACCGCCGCCAGTCGCTATCGCACACCGAACACTTCCTCGAACATCGATCTGGCGGCAATTGTGCAACGAAATCAAGAAAGAGCTAGGCTAACATAATACACAACAGTGAAGTACCAGGCTTTCCTGCGCAAGCAGACGCGTTACAACGCTTCCCGTGGTGGTATGTAAACCATAAATCCACGAGGTCTCCTCTGCCTGAGGGCATGAGACTCTTTTTATATTTGCCTGGTCACTGACTTGGACTATAGGTCCCTGGCACTACCGCGCTCCCTCCAAGATGTTCTGGCGCACCGTCCGTGGTATGATCCCTCACAAGACTGCCCGTGGTGCCGCCGCTCTTGAGCGCCTGAAGACCTTCGATGGTGTTCCTCCCCCATACGACCACAAGAAGCGCATGGTCGTCCCCCAGGCCCTCCGTGTCCTCCGCCTCAAGCCCGGCCGCAAGTACTGCACCGTCGGCAGACTCGGCCACGAGTTCGGCTGGAAGTACCAGGATGTTGTTGCCAGGTACGGGAATTCCTGCTGCTGCAGTCAACTTTCGGATGCTAACACAGTACACATAGACTCGAGGAGAGAAGAAAGGTCAAGGGTGCTGCCTACTACGAGCGCAAGAAGGCCGCTCGCCGTTCGCTCGCCGAGGCCCAGAAGACCGCCAAGGTCGACGACAAGGTCAAGACCGAGCTCGCTTCTTACGGTTACTAAATGTGGCTGGAGAGTCGAAGTTCTTTGTCGCGTCCAACCTGCTCCCTTTGAGCACTCATAACGTCGGTGTAGTGCTTAGGGGAGCGTCAAGCCCACACCCATAATGGCTTGCTTTGTTTCTATGTTCAGCGATTTGGGGCTAGGGAAAACAAAAACGAAACGCTTTTCAGAAATGGCACAAGCCGAAAAAGTCATGGCACTCTCAACAATACCCAATTTCACGCGCAAACGTCTTACAAGTGTACTGTGATTCCTATTCAAATCGCGAGTGCTGATTGATTCATCGTGACTTGGTTAAACCTTCCCAGTTATGTCTACTTGGCGTGCGTTAAACCACCTCGGTCCCCCACCTCGAACCCCCGCATTCTGGTCTTCCCTTCCTCCACCCGCAATTATAGTATCGTTGGAACCTCATCTATTGCTAGAGTACTTACTCCTTGTACTATACGCTTGTTCCTGCTCCATATCATCTACCGTCCATCAACCAGGTCTGCGGTTCGTCTTCCCACCTCAGTGGTTCTCGTCGATCCTTCAATATGTCATCTGCCGCTGGCAGATTGTCTGCTCTCGCATCTCAACTCTTACCTTCGGCATTCTCTTCGCAAAAGACTGTTCCAGAGACCCAAAGCTGTAATACACATCAACTATCTCCCACCTTCTTTCTGCCACGTGCAGCGACAATCGAACCAAATGTATGAACTGGCATGCTATCCTGAAAAGAACATCGTTAACCATGCCTTCAGGCTCCTGCCATCTACCATGTTACTGCAAACAAGAAGATTCTGCGGAGAAGCTATCAAGAATTTGCGGATCGTGCCAGAGGTCTTGCATACTATCTGAGACGCCATAACTATAAGCGAGTTGGCATCTTGTGTCCCAATACACCTGCTTTTCTGGAAGCCATTTTTGGGATTGCGGCTGCAGGATCAGTCAATGTTGGTGAGTAGCGTCATGAACAGTTACTTGTATTCACAAAAGCCTAATCTCCGAACAGGAGTCAACTACCGATTGCAACCGGTAGACATTACTTACATCTTTGAGCACTCTGAGGTGGATAGCATTATTGTGGATGCCGAGTTTGTTCAACTGCTGGATGGTTTCCGGAAAGCGCATCCTGACATTAAGATCATCATCGACACCGATACTGATGCGACCGAGGGACAGCTCTCGGGGCCCTTCGATGAAGCAGTCCTTGAGGGGTTGAAGTACGACATTGAGACTGGGTCTAAAGGATGGGAGAATCTCGAACATACTACTCCTGACGAAAACTCGCTACTCGCATTGGCCTACACTTCTGGAACCACTGCGCGGCCAAAAGGAGTGATGTACTCGCATAGAGGTGCTTACCTCGCGGCCATGGGCAATATTATTGAATCTGGTCTAAATTATCATGGGTCGCAACGTGCCCACTATCTCTGGACATTGCCGTAAGTCACGCAGCACTGTACCGAGATTGTCACTAATGCTGTGGTAGGCTGTTCCATGCAATGGGTTGGACGTTCCCATGGTCAGTCACAGCGGTCCGTGGCACACATTACTGTTTGAGAAAGATCGATTATCCAGAGATCTGGCGACTCATGAAGGAAGAAGGCATCACTCACATGAATTCGGCCCCAACGGTAAACACACTTCTGTGCAATGATCCTGGAGCTGAACGATTACAACAACCCGTTCGTGTAACAGTGGCAGCGAGCCCACCCTCGGCTCATCTGTTCAAGACCATGGAGAACTTGAATCTGTATCCCGTAAGATGAATAGTGTCCTTGTCTTGAATAAAACCTGACTGTTTCGTAGGTTCATGTTTATGGAATGACAGAAACGTACGGACCCATAACCAAAGGCTACCACATGCAAACATGGAACCAGCTACCAGGAGACGAGAAGTATGCAAAGATGGCTCGTCAAGGACACGGCTTCGTCACATCTCTGCCTGTGCGTGTGATCAAGACTGACCTTCCAGACGATCACATCGAAGATGTCGAAAAGAATGGCAAGGAGATTGGCGAAATCGTCTTTTTAGGCAACATCACCTGTCTCGCTTATTACAAGGATGAGGAGGCGACCAGAAAGTTATTTGCCGGAGGAGTCTTGCACAGCGGCGACCTTGCTGTTGTGCATGAAGATAGTGCCATCCAGATTCTCGATCGAGCCAAGGATATTATCATCTCAGGTATGTGTCGCTCTGTGGGTTCGATGGTTGCACTTTGGCTTACAGGATAACAGGAGGAGAAAACATCTCAAGTGTCGCCTTGGAGTCTATGCTGGTTACCCATCCGGATATTCTCGAAGCAGCATGTGTAGCAGTGCCTGATAGTCATTGGGGAGAGCGCCCACATGCCTTCGTCACTGCAAAGAAGGAGAGCCTCAAAGGCGAGGAAGTGATTGAGTGGGCCAGGAACCAGAGCAACATCAGCCGCTTCATGGTCCCTAGAGAAGTGACCATAGTGGCTGAGCTCCCAAAGACGAGTACCGGAAAGCTACAAAAGAATGTGTTGCGAGACTGGGCCAAGAAGGGGGAGAAGGGGGTGTAAACGGATGTGGAACTTCCGCAGCCGGACGGGATTGCGGATCATGTTGATCGACGTTGGCTACAGAAATATACGACGCATCTATGCGTACGGATATTCTGACCAAACAGACATGCTTAAAAACTCCTGTAGAATATATGTTGTGCTAAAATCTGTCATTTTTAGCCATCTCCCACGACCACACCTGGGGTTATACAGCCGGCCTGTAGCAATACACGGTATTTTCGAGATCAGTGCAGTCGTCCGCAGAAGAGTATAAACCGTTCTGCTCTCGGTGGAGGCTACGCATAATGTTCACAGAAATCGTGCATTTCTATAGCGATGTTCAGCACAAGGGGAGGCAGTGATGTTGATAGGATACGCGAATCACGTCAAACAGCCATAGAGTGAAAAAAGAAGACAGGTGGTTGGTAGAAGTTTGTATAGAACATGGACCAGCCTCAATAAAGAACGTTTTCTTGCGCAGCGCATGCATGCCATAACAACCATCAAAGGGGATCCTTGTCGCGCGTTCCTGCTCCTATTTCATGACGATCGCACTTGCAAGCAGACTTCACTCACTTCCGTGGGTCAATCCGAATGTGTTTATACCGTGAGCCTTCAAGCTCGAGAATTTGACCAACATGAGATGTGGAAGCGTCAGAGGTGTGCCTAAAAACCCTTTCGTGCACGAGCCATATAGTTGCCCAAGCGCTTAGCGTGCCTTCCCAAAGGCGTCGTTCTTTCCTTCGACGAGACTTTAAAGAGGCATTTGACGCCGCCATCGAAAAGCCGGAGACCTCCTTCATAGCGGCCTCGGCTGACGCGTGACGAAGCAACCATACCATTTCATTTACTCTTCGTTTTCCACGCGACATTTTATCATGCTAATGAACCACTAATTCGGCTTCACTAAAATTCACTCTTTGCGTTGGAAGAGGGCGTTGATGGGAATTTGATTACTTTGCACTAAAGATTTGACTACAACATGAGTGCCACAAGGTAAGTGCATATACAGCGGCAATCTCCGAAGGATTCATCTTTGCTAACCATACACGTGATGCTTGCAGACTTGACCGTATGTTTACATTATTGAATGACTGATGTGGGGTCTTCTAACTTTCGTGCAGGATTGGTCATTCTTCTAGACACTGGTAGCACACAACTCATTCGCAACACGGCTGCTACACAGCTTGCGGATGTTCAAAAGAACCATCCAGATGAACTTTTCAACCTACTAACCAGAGTCGTTCCCTTCCTTCGCTCATCCTCCTGGGACACGCGAACAGCAGCTGCAAAGGCTTTGGGTGGTATCGTCGAGCATGCACCAAAGTTCGATCCCAATGAAGACGATGTCAAGAACGAGAACGGAGTCAAGGAAGAGCTCAAACATGAGAATGGACTGTCCACACCTCTAGTGTCCGAGGATCAACTGCAACTCGCAACTCTGGACGTCGAAGCCATCCTTACCAATGGAAAAGAGCTGCTCGGAAGTGCCGGACGTCAATACGACTTCAAGTTGGCTGGAATGGACCCTGCTCAAAGGCTTGCACACCAAAAGAAGACTCTCACCAACCGACTCGGACTAGGTGGAGAGTACATGGAAGATGAACTCGTCACCGAAACAGACATTGCCGTTCGCACCAGCTTCCCAACACCAGGCTTGCCGAGTGCAGATTCATCCATCTCCCGGGCCAATAGCGTGTCTGAAACTGCTGTCGTTTCTCCCAGCGAACAGCAAGCTGCTTCTGAGGCTATGAGCAAGAGACAGCTAAACATGCTCAAGCGACGCAGAAAGGAGGAGCTGAAACGCGACAACAAGAAGTTCAAATACGACCTTACCAGCATGAGACGCGAGAGCACTACGATACCAACACCAGCCGAATCGGAAACCATTATCAAAGACGAAAAGGCGGAGAGCACCGTTCCCGATTATTTCTCGCTTGAAAGAAAGGGTGGTGACGATGATGCAAAGGTGGTTTCGGAATTCAAAGGTGCACCAGTGCCCGAAAAGTCCGCGTTCCAAACCGAAGTCGAGGAAGCCGGTAACGGATGGCCCTTTGAGCGCCTATGCGAGTTCCTTACCGTGGACATGTTTGATCCTGCTTGGGAGATTCGTCACGGTGCTGCAATGGGACTTCGAGAGATCGTCCGTGTCCATGGCGGTGGAGCTGGCCGTGTGCTAAACAAGTCCCATTCTGAGAACGAACGACTCAACCAGGCATGGCTCGATGATCTTGCTTGCCGCATCTGCTGCGTGTTCATGCTCGATCGATTTGCAGACTACGTCTCAGACAATGCCATTGCACCAATCAGAGAGACCGCTGGCCAGACTCTGGGCGCACTCTTGCAATATTTACCTGCATCCTCGGTACACGCTGTTAACCGCATCCTCTACCGATTGGTCATGCAAAAAGACCTCAAAGTCAACAGACGCATCTGGCATGCTTGTCATGGTGGTATGATTGGTATGAGATATCTTGTGGCAGTCAGGAACGACTTGTTGCTCCAAGACAATCTTTTGATGGATGGCGTTCTCGAGTGTGTTATTAAAGGACTCGGAGACAGCGACGACGACGTCCGAGCGGTCAGCGCAGCCACATTGATTCCTGTTGCCAAAGAGTTTGTCAACATGCGTCATGCTGCACTCAACCATCTTATCAGCGTCGTTTGGGAATGTCTGTCAAACCTGAGCGACGACCTCAGTGCCAGTACAGGATCTGTCATGGATCTACTCGCAAAGCTTTGCAGCTTCCCCGAGGTTCTCGACGCTATGAAGAAGAATGCTGCAGAGAACCCAGAGCAATCGTTTGCGGAGTTGGTACCTCGTTTGTATCCCTTCTTGCGCCACACCATCAGTACTGTGCGTTCTGCCGTTCTCCGCGCCCTCCTCACCTTTGTCAATATCGATGGCGAAGACGCCAAGAGCTGGGTCGATGGCAGAGCTCTGCGCCTCGTCTATCAGAACCTGCTCGTGGAGCGCAATGAAACTGTTCTCAAGTTGTCCCTCCAAGTCTGGTATGCATTGGTGGATGTTCTGGCCAAGGACCCCAACAAGTTTGCCAATGAATTTGAGCCTCATGTCTCGCCATTGGTCGCTCTCACTCTGCATCCCATTGGTGTATCCCGTCACCCCATTCCAATGGATGCGACACTTTTCATACGCCCATCGGGTTTCAGCTATGCTCCGCTAAGCAGTGCTACACGTAAATCCTCACCCGTCAACGGAACTTCTGAACCTGCCAGAAAGAGAAGAAGATCGGACAAGAAGGAGAAGGATATGCCACCACCAACCTCCTCATCAGCCCACAACGTTGATGGACACATGATGCAGGGCGATGTCGATCTTGTTGGAGCAGACATTATGATCAGATCCAGAACTCACGCAGCTCAAGCTCTTGCAAAGGCTTGTCAGGTCTGGCCGGCAGAGACGAGACGTGACATGTTCTCTTCAAAGATTTTACCAGGCCTCAAGTCCACTTTCTCAACCACACAACTCTTCACCGCCGTCTTCATTGAGGAGTACGCCAAAACCTTGACCGCCAAGGACGATCTTGTCTCTTCCTTCGCTGAAAATCTCCGTCCACTGGTGGAAGAAGATAGGCCTACCTGGTACAGTGATCTCACCAGCTATCTTCAGATCGTACGTGCACAGTGCCAGAGTCTTCTCAACGCTTTCCGTGAGAAGGCACATGTGCCTCCAGGCAAGCTTCCCACAATCGCCGTCGTGGTTCAAGGAGAGCCAGAAGCCGGTAAGAGCGCCTTCTCGCTTGCCGATGGAGAGCGCATCGCAGTGCAAGACTATGCAAGATTGCACAAGACACTTTCACCTGCTCAGCGCGTCACTGCAACCGAAATGCTGTCTAGCGCAAAGCAAGATGTTGATTCTGTCATTGCCGAGGCAACCCTCATCAAGAAACAACGCGATGTCCGCATTAAGTCCGCTGCGGCTGCTGCCATTGTGGCGCTCAAGGAGATTCCAAAGAAGCCTCAGGCCACCATCAAAGCTCTCATGGACAGTGTCAAGGATGAAGAAAACTTCGAGCTTCAGAAACGCTCTGCAGCTGCCATCACCAACTTGGTCGATCAGTTGGTCGCCAGTGGTCGCATGAAGGTTGTCGACAAGGTTGTTGGTAACTTGGTTAAGTTTTGTTGCATGGAGACTGGAGAGACGCCAGAGTTCCATCCGAACGCAGACAAAGAATCTGGCATTCTTTCGTTGCAAAAAGACGAAGACATACAAGACCGACCAGATGCTGCCACATACGAAAAAGAGGTCCGCCAAGCTCGCATCACAAGACGTGGTACCAAGGATGCATTGGAGCAACTCTGTATCAAGTTCGGAAGTGAATTGTTCGAAAAGGTTCCCATGCTTCGTACTCTCATCGAAGATCCAATTCGCAATTGCTTTTCTGGAGAATTACCTGCCAACATCACGGATCCAGAACAAAATGTTGGTCAAGAAGTCGTGGATGCCATGTCTACGCTCCGCGCATTGGTGCCATCGTTCCACTCTGATTTGCATCAATTCGTTCTCGACCTCATGGGCCTCGTCGCCAGAGCTCTTCAGACACGACTTGCTGTTCTCCGGTACACTGCTGCCAAGTGCTTCGCAAGCATGTGCAGTGTGATTACTGTCAAGGGTTTCACCATGCTAGTTGAACGAGTGTTACCACCAATCAACAACCCAACCGACGTTCATTGCAGACAGGGCGCTATAGAGTGCATCTACCATCTCATCCAAGTCATGGAAGACCGCATTCTGCCCTATGTCATCTTCCTCCTGGTCCCAGTACTTGGACGCATGAGTGATTCGGACAATGGTGTACGTTTGATTGCGACTACAGCATTTGCTACATTGGTCAAGCTGGTACCCCTCGAAGCCGGTATTCCAGACCCACCGGGCCTCTCCGAAGAGCTCCTCAAGGGACGTGAAAAGGAACGCAAATTCATTGCGCAGATGCTTGATCCCAAAAAGGTCGAGTCGTTCGAGATTCCAGTCGCAATCAAGGCCGATCTTCGTTCGTACCAACAGGATGGTGTTAACTGGCTGGCGTTCCTCAATCGCTACCATCTCCATGGAGTGCTCTGTGACGACATGGGTCTCGGCAAGACATTGCAAACAATCTGCATTGTGGCAAGTGACCACCACATGCGCGCCGAGGAATTTGCTAAGACTCAAGCACCCGACCAACGCAAGATGCCCTCTTTGATCGTTTGTCCCCCGACTCTTTCTGGACATTGGCAGCAAGAGATTCGTACATATGCACCCTTCCTCAACGCTGTCGCCTATGTCGGACCACCCTCTGAGCGCAACAAACACCGCGCCAAACTCACCGAGGCCGACATTGTCATTACCTCATATGATATCTGCAGAAATGATGTCGAAGTCTTTGCACCTTACACTTGGAACTATTGTGTCCTTGATGAAGGCCATCTCATCAAGAACCCCAAAGCCAAGGTCACTCAAGCCGTCAAACGTATTGCAAGCAACCATCGTCTCATCCTTTCTGGCACGCCTATTCAAAACAACGTACTCGAACTTTGGTCACTCTTTGACTTCTTGATGCCCGGCTTCCTTGGCACAGAAAAGATGTTCCAAGATCGCTTCGCCAAGCCCATTGCAGCTTCACGTTTCAGCAAGTCTTCATCCAAAGAACAAGAGGCTGGTGCATTGGCCATCGAAGCCTTGCACAAGCAAGTTCTGCCATTCTTGTTACGTCGTCTCAAGGAAGAGGTGTTGGATGATTTACCGCCCAAGATTCTGCAGAACTACTACTGCGATTTGAGTGACTTGCAAAAGAAGCTCTTCGAAGACTTCACTCGCAAGGAGTCAAAGACGATTGCGGAGAAGGCTGGCTCGGCCGACAAGGAGGCCAAGCAACATATCTTCCAAGCTCTGCAGTACATGCGTAAACTTTGCAACTCGCCAGCTTTGGTAATGAAAGAAAGCCACAAGCAATACGCATCCATTCAAGCGCAGTTGGCGCGTCAAAACTCTAGTTTGACCGATCCAGTTCACGCTCCCAAACTTACAGCTCTCAGGGATCTTCTCGTTGACTGTGGTATCGGTGTCGACTCTGCCGCGGCCGGTGAGGTACCCTCTGCAGATCAAGCTGTCTCGCAGCACAGAGCTCTCATCTTCTGTCAAATGAAGGAGATGCTCGATATGGTTGAATCAACTGTCTTCAAGCGTATGCTACCATCGATCACCTTTTCCCGACTTGACGGAAGTGTCGAGGCATCCAAACGTCAAGACATCGTTAACCGCTTCAACTCTGACCCATCCATCGATTGCTTGTTGCTTACAACTAGTGTTGGTGGACTTGGTCTCAACTTGACTGGAGCAGACACCGTCATCTTTGTTGAGCACGATTGGAACCCTCAGAAGGATCTCCAAGCCATGGACCGTGCTCATCGTATCGGTCAGAAGAAGGTTGTCAATGTTTATCGACTCATCACTAGAGGCACTCTCGAAGAGAAGATTCTCAGCTTGCAGAGATTCAAGATCGATGTGGCTAGCACCGTTGTCAATCAGCAGAACGCTGGCTTGGGAAGCATGCAGACAGATCAAATCCTGGACTTGTTCAACATGGGCGACACAGAAGGCGCACCATCACTTGAAGATAAACCCAGAGATCCCAATTCGATCGACGAAGCAGACGCCGTGGATGCTGAAGGTAACGTGCGCGAGAAAGGCAAGAAGGGCATTCTTGATGAGCTCTCCGAGCTCTGGGATGAAAAGCAGTACGAAGAGGAGTTCAACTTGGATGGTTTCTTGTCGACCATGAAGGCATGATCTTCCGCTTGAGGAGCAGCTTCCTATTCTTAATGAGGCATGACTGGAAGGCAATGGAAAAGGAAGGAATATCGGGGCGTTTCTTTGTACGATTAGCAAAGGGAAGGAAGAGGGTCAAACGGGCGGTCGTCCTAAATGGAGGGAAGGCATATTCGACCTTAGCTAGAGCGTCTTTCGACGCTTCCTTGACAACATGAAATAAAAGCAGTTTATTACAAGATTTGGTCGTACTTACCCGATAACCGAGATCTGCGAGTGACGTTTGGTGGGGTCTCGCTCGGGGAAGCAAGACGCGAGTCGGCATTCTTTCCGTGCACCATCTTGCATATCAAACAGCAACCACGTCTACCTTTGATCGCGCCTTACTCTCATACTCAGCCAAGACTGAATCCCTTAGGCGACTGAATTTGTTCATATACCAATTTACTTCCACGATGGCACCAATCAAGACAATCGAGTACTTTCGCGTCAAGCCCCGCTGGCTGTTCGTCAAGATAGCCGATGCAGAGGGTCATGTTGGATGGGGAGAAGCAACTTTGGAAGGACACACTCAAGCTGTAGAAGGCACTCTTCTTGGATACATCGACCGCTTCCTCAGCCTCGAGGCTGATGACATCGAAGAGATTTGGCAACAGGCGTGGAGAAAGAGTATGTTATTACACGTGATGTTCCAATTCAGCAATTCCGGACCATGACAGTCATTCGTCACACGAGCATACTTAGAGGCAATTCGATATTTCGTGCTAACGAGGACTCTAGGCTTTTACCGCGGTGGTCCCGTCTTCATGAGTGCTCTCGCCGGCATCGATATTGCACTATGGGACCTCAAAGCTCGAAAGCTTGGTGTGCCAATCCATCAATTACTCGGAGGTAAAGTGAGACAGAAGGTCCAAGTCTATGCTTGGATCGGAGGCGATCGTCCGTCTTCGGTGGCAGAAGCTGGTAAAGAACGACTCGCTCAAGGCTTCCGAGCAGTCAAGATGAATGCAACGGAGGATGTCGGGTGGCTGGACTCGCCATCCAGACTAGACTCGGCTGTTGAGAGAGTCAAGACTGTGAAGAGTTTGGGACTTGATGTCGCTGTCGACTTCCATGGCAGAATTCACAAGGCTATGGCCAAGCAGTTGGCGTGAGTTTGAACAGACTCCATGGGTTGACGAGCGTTCTCTCATGATTTATGTATTATTCTCTGGACACACCGTGCTGACTGGCTACCTTAGGCGTAAGTTGGAGGGCTGCGACGTTCTTTTCTTGGAGGAACCGCTACTCAGCGAGCACCCAGAGGGCATAAAACAGCTGTCGAATCTCACGAGCTCACCCATCGCTCTCGGTGAGAGACTATACAGTCGATGGGATTTCAAGAGATTCTTCGAAGGTGAGTCATCGACTGCGCTTTCATACGCATAGAGAGTTACAAGGCTGAATATGTACAGATGCTTCGGTTGATATCATTCAGCCCGATATCTCGCATTGTGGAGGTATCTCTGAGATCAGAAGAATTGCAGCCATGGCCGAAACATATGATGGTGAGCAATCGTCTCACGTCTAGATCGATGAAGACTAGTCATGCTTACAAAATAACCGCAGTTGCTATCGCGCCCCACTGCCCTCTAGGAGTAAGTCTTTCTAATATCCTTACCAAGACGCAGCACTGACCATATTCTCCAGCCCATCGCCCTTGCAGCATGCTTACAGATCGGTCTTTGCACACCCAATCATATGATCCAAGAAATGTCCGTGGTAAGTAACGAATTAACCATTTATTGTTTACATCACGTGTAATATGCTAAACTGAATCAAAAGGGCATTCATTACAATGTTCAGGCTGGTGAACACGACATCCACAGCTATGTACTCAATCCAGAAGTATTCAAAGTCAAGGATGGATATCTGGATGCCTTGACAGGACCTGGTTTGGGCATTGAGGTTGATGAAGAGGCCGTCAGGAGAGTAGCCGAGAACACAGAGCCGTGGCCATTACAAGGATTTGTCGGTGTCGACGGCGCCCTCAGAGAGTGGTGATGAGAAATCCGAATCTGGTCGGATGAGGAAGCGGCGACGCGAGAAATTTCTTGGTCTCACCTTCCGTTTCTGCTCATTGGTAAGTTCATCGTTATGAGAATGCAGGGGCGGCCGGTTTTCTATTACCAAGATCTATTATGCTTTAATACAGATATGTTGTAAGCTACGATTCTAAGAGATGCTGTTATATCCTCTCTCCGTCACATTTCATACCAGAAATCATCATCCAGTCCAGCTCTACTCGGAACAGGCAACTGCTTGTCGTCCTGAGCTCTTTCCCAATCCACGTCTTCCCACCGCAGATTCAACATTCGAATTGTCAAACTCCACTGCTCGAGCAAGTCGACCAATTTGTTGGTGTCTGCAGTGATAGGCTGTTGGTTCAGAAGCATGAGAAGGCCATCTAGCCATTCTGATGCCAGTGACGAGCTGCTGGTGTTTAACTCAAGCAATACTGCTTCCCCAGACTGGACTTTTGCAAAGGCGTTCGGAGCGCCGAAGATCGTCAAACGTGTGATTGTTCCTGCAGATGAGGCATGCTTGTCGGTTGAAGGTCTGCTCGCGTCTTCGCCGATCAATACATCTGATCTGGCCACACTCGAATCAACAGAGCTGATGGTCTCGAGATCGAGTCTCTCGTTAAGCTCATGAAGTTGTGGTGTTTTGTCTAGTTTTTTGGTGTGTGAAGCGTGATGTAGGTATTTCCTGTCGTTCGAAAGGCGGACAAAGCGCCATGCGGTGACTCGCGGTTTTTGCGAATCTGAAGAGGTGATAGATATGTCCGAGGGAGATGTCGCTGAGGAGATGATGGGAAACCAGGAGCCTTGGAGTAGACACTTGATACGTTGCTCACGCATGAACAAAAGTGCATCCGTATGGGTTTGCTCGCGGAGTTTTCTGAGGGTCTAAATTAGCAAGTGACAAGCGGGGTGCGATTGTCCACAGTAGCTCTTACCTCAAGTCTTGTCCCCAAGCATATTCGTAGATTTGTGAAACGTCCTGCAATTGCCATTCTCTGACTTTGCCTAGAGTTGTGCTTCCAAGCTGCTCCTCGATCTGATCCATGGATGCTCTTCTATCGACTTGTCCGAGGACGGTTCTGATGAGGAGTCGCGAAAGGTCTTCAATCTTGCGGTAATCGTTAGTGGTGGCACCTGCCTCCTTCCAAAGTCGAATAAAGGCGTTAAGCGATGCCGCGTGGACGTCCTCCCACCTCAACAGGAGTGGCTTTGCAAGTCTCTCGGCATCTCTAATGTCGTCCGGAGTGGTGGTGTTCGTTGTAGGATCTTGACCATCCATCTTGGCTATCTCGAAATGCTCGTAAAGGACCATGGTAACACTCAGACTTGCCTTTGCAATGGGACAGCGCTGCTCCACTGGCATTACACTCTGCTCTAGGAGTTCCCTTTGAAACGTGTCTCGGTTCCTGCGGACGTATTCGGTCAGGTTCATCATGCCCAAAAACCTGGCATCTTCGAGGTCTGCTGCTGGGTTGTCGGATGAGAAGCCTAGACGCTGCCATTTGTCTGAATCAAGATCTTGGAAGTATTAGCTCGAAATTCAAGACTTGAACTACTCCCAACATACCTTGTTGACTTGCTTGGTAGTTTGAAGGAAAGCTAGATACTTGAAGCTCCTTGAGAGCTTTGCGATGCTCGGTCTTTTCAAGATCCACCAAGATGTGTCTCCAGCGAGCGAAGAGAATTTTCATCAAACTTTGGAACTCAAGGATTGGGCTAGCAATCTCTTGAAGCGAGTCACCGCGCATGAGATTTTCAACACCACTGATGACCCCTAGTTCCTGCAGCCTGTTGATGAATTTGGGCCATTCGGTTTCTCCTCCATTAGCAACAGAGTCTCGCATCAATGCATTCACCAAATGTAAAGCATTTGCGCAGAGTGCATGATCAGCAGATGCCAGCTTATCAACCAGACAGTCGAGAAAGTTTGAGTGGACCTGCAAAAGCGGAACCAGAGCCTTGAATCCAAATTCATCCTCGGAAGGTTGTTGCAACTTGTAAGGGTCGAACGGTCGTGATACCACCAGAACCAAGAGAAGCAGCGCATTGCGGAGGACATTGATAACAGGGCGAGTGACGACAACTTGGACAGCCTAATTGATCACAACAAATCTAAGAATTTACATCTCTCAAAGGGTAGGTTTCTGAATTAATTCTTACACGTTCTATCACATCTGAGCTCAAATGGTCCCATCCCAGGTCCATCTCCAGCAGACGCGTCAAGCTACCCAGCGCATAGGCAAGAGCATTTCCATTCTCTTCAAGGACAACCTGCTTCAACGCAGGTACGCCCTGAGCCTGCACAAAGGCACGCGCAAACGAAGGATCAACGACAAGTGACTGTAGATGATAGGCGGATAGCTTGCGCGAAGATTCGGAGTCGCTCGCTATGCCAGCGATAATGGATCGGACATCGTGTGGACCGGCCATGGATCCGACTTGCATGCGGCCAGAATGCCGAATTTTTGTTCACTGGTCAGCGTGCGAAAAGGAGTGGCATGGGTGGGATTGACTCCAGAACATGTTCTGCGAGGGCTGGACAAGAGCAGCCCCTCGGGCGCTAGCTGGATCCGCGCTCAAGCCGAGCCTGGGGACGTGCGGAACCAGAATGGCACTGAATCAGTGAAGCCATGCACCACCACACGGTGCTTCGTCGTCTGTGTCACGAGACGAGAACGAGATGAAGGTTGCCTGGACAAATGGAATTGCCCGTCCGGATGGTGGGAAGAGACAACAGCCAGGTAGACCTGTCGACAACTTTGGACGGAATCCTACTGCGCAGGAATACCGTAGAGCTCCATCGCCAGACCAATGCTTGGCCATGCACGAAGCTTGGTGAGCATCTCTCATGATACCTGGTTTGCGAGATAGGAATCAACGATACCAGCCTCTTGGCTTATCAAGGTCTCATGCGTGTCTTGCCACCTCTGATTGATGGGTTTATCGTATCTGCAGGCTATATATGCATGGAGGCAAGTCACTGTTGTATCTTGCGTGCCACTGGATTGGTGTACACAGGTACAGTAGTAGGTAGATGCTACCAGGCAGGAACCGTTTCCAACACGTTGTGGCATGATCGTAAAGGACGCAGCTCTGGCTATCACTGCTGTTGAGCCTGTTAAAAAACACAGTATAAGTACATGAATGAAGGCATCTGAATTTGCAAGAAGGAGAGAGAAAAAAGAAGACAAAAGATCGCTCAATGCTGGAAGAAAAAAAAGGTCGTCGCTTCGGAAACCCAAGAGACCACTGTATAGCCACCACCTTCCATAATGCGCCTTTACTCAAAATCAATCAAATGCAAGATTCCAGTCCCAACCGTCCCCCTCTGTTATTTAATGTTGCGCCTTCCGTATTAAGAAAAAAGCCCAACACGTGAAAAAAAAACTCATTTTCTCCACCCGACGTTCCAGATTACATGGGCTATGTCTTTTGCAGTATTGAGAGTGTCACTCACCTTGCCGAAGAGGCCAGCAGCGACAATATCATCTTCGTCCTCCTCATAAGGCATGAACATTCCCGAAGCACTGCGGCGCATTCCAGGAGTTTCATCTTCGTCTTCGGAGGGTGTTGTAGAAGGCGAACCTGACGTCCGTGATCTGTGCACGGCTACACTGTCTCGTCGATTCGCGAATGCACTTAGTCTAAGTGATTCTGTATCATCTGAATCCAATTCTTCGCTCTCTTCGTCATCCGGAGGTAGAATGTGATTTTTGGAAGGATTTGACGGCTTGAGGGTCTCTTGTGAGGCCGACTGTGGCAGCTTGCTAGAGCTCCATGAGCGAGTCAGAGATGCGGCTGGCTGTGGAGGAGGCTCGACGAGCTCCGTCTTGTTTTTGAGGGTAGTCGATGGAAGCTTTTCAATGGTCCTGCTAGAGGATGTACTCCTGGATAAAGGCTTTCGAGCTGGTCGTTTTCTCTTAGGACGTCTCATCATGACAATACCGTCGTCAGAGGAGTCGGAATCGGAGTCGTTGTTTGGTCTCTCGTCTTCAGAACTCTCGTCTCCAAACTCGCCATCTTTACCTTCAACTGCAATGCACTGCTCGACCTTCTCATCGAAACGAATGTGGCGTTTGGGATACTCGAATGGTGACCTATCGCCAGATGAAGGACGTGGGGAGAAGCAGCCCAGATCTAAAAAGTCAAGTTGGTCTCTGCCGCTAGGCACCATCAGACTGGCGGTGGGGAGGTATGCAGACGAGCGGCCAAGAGGAGGTCGCTTAGATGGAGGCAAAGACTGTTGGGCTTGTACAGCAGCGGCGGCTTGCTTGACGAGAGACGAGGTTGATAGCGAGCGCTGTAGCATGACTTCAGACATGCTTCGCTTTTTGAGAATTGGCTTCTTCTGGGCGAATGAATTTGAATTCGAGAACTGAGGACTGGGGTCGGGTGAGAACTGGGTTACGGGATGGGTCGAGGCGGGCTGCAGCGGGCCATAGAGCCAGGTCACGTCGCTTTCTTTGAGCCAATTGAGCGTCTCGGGGGAGACGGTTGGTAGGTGGTATTTCGACTTGGCCCACGTTCTCCATGACGCATTTTCGAGGCGCGACCTTTGACCATAGACCTTGCGCTGTGACACAATGTGCCGCCATGAGGACCAAATGTCTTCCTCTCGCCAGTCGTGCGAGAGGTAGTCGACATGTCTCGATGGCTCGTGTTTGATGGCCGTGTCGTCGGCCACTGTGGGAGTTGGTAACGGCGAGTCGGAACGGGTGGTGTCGGTAGTGCTGCCGGCGTCGTCTTCGTCGTCTCGGTCGCATCTGCCATCGTTGGAGTCGGCGTCGGAAGTTTCATCCTCGGGCCGAGGGCTGGGAGGGAGGTCCAGCGGTTCGTCTTCGTGGAAGAATTGAACCTCGTCGTAGGCGGGGAAGGCCAGGCCGGTGTCTTGTTGGCCTCCGATCTCGAAGGAGAGCTTTGGCTGCTGGCTGTAGAAGTTGTTGTTCGAGTTGGATTGGGGTTGGGAAAAGTCCGAGTAGGATTGGCGAGAGGCAGCGAGTGAGCCAGAAGAAGCTAGGGAGCGTTTGAGAGAGCCGATGTGCTCAAACGAAGGCTCGGAAGCGGTGCGGTGCGAAGTCGAAGGCGGCGAGCCGACCAGCAGCGAGGTCCTGGAGGAGTGGGAGCGTTTGAGCGAAGAAGAGGTCGGGTTTGACTGAACATAGTAGGATTGGGATTGGTCGTCTCGCGACCTGGACAAAACCTCTGCCATGTTGTTGGTCGTGGCGCACGGCGAGGCGGGGAAATGAAGCGAAAGGTCGTGGTGGAAGAGAAGCGTGGGTGCAGTCGACGGCTACAATTGAACAAGCTGCGGCATCCTGGGAGCTGGCAGAGACGACGGGGTCAGTGGAGGTGATGCTGGGGGAGCTGCAAGAGCAAGAGCAAGAGCAGGAAAGGATGGAGAGGGATTATTCACCTTCAAAGCATCAATTCCTGATCAAAGCGCGCGCTGCTTCGTTTCCTCCTTGGCGGGGCTAGACCGGCTGCCCTTCTTCGGCCTTTTTGGAGAAGCTTATTTCCCACACGGCCCGGGAACTGTGCGTGTACGGCCTACGAACAATAGAAAGACGAGAGAGCACGGGAGAGTGTCGCCAGTCTACGCCTCCCAAGCACAGAGGAGCAACAGACGTAATTGGTGATGATTCGTACGCAGAACAGTACGACGACGGGGCAATATAGGGTCAACGGCGACACATCGGATCAGAACAACCATGCACGGCTTGCATAAGGGGGGCCGCCTGCAATCCCCTGGGGAACTCAAGTCAGTCAAGATCGTGCGGTCCTGCGTGCCTGCCAGCGCGAAAAGAAGCAACGTCCAGTAGCTGGCGCTGCTGTCGTCCTCCATCGAACATGCCATGGCCCATCTGGGGATATTTTGGGGAACTCCTCTGGGGTTGTGAACCTTGAAGATCCCGACGCCAACCGAATAAACATCTGTCTCTTTTTACTCTCTCTCAACCGCATCCCATGCCACTGTTTCCTCCACACTGTCCCCTAAATCTCTCTCATTCCACTCGTCCACTGGTCAGCGAGTGATGTTTCTCTATGCCTATCGATTATTCACCCCAAGATCGAGAATGAGAAAACCGTGTTTGGGGAAAAGCTACCCCCCACATTGCGTCACATCTCACGCGCCCTCGATCTTTTGGTAACCACCTCTGCGCCGTCGTGCCGATCATGCCTAGACAATCGACTCGAATCTATCCGAACGAGCCCAGCTCGCCCGGATTGCTGCTTCTTGGTGCTCGTCTGCGTACTTGGACCCTGCCGCCATGCTGTCGTTGGATTTTACTTCCACCGAGTTCGTCAATTCATCCCACATTACGGCACTTTGGATGAGAACACTGCATGCGCCATACTGCATTAGCTGCTTGGGGTGACAGAACTGACAGCGGCCACGCTCTAATCCGACAGGGGACCCTTTGAGCTCGTAATTGCGTGCCCCAGGCAAGTCGCTCCTTCGCCTCCACCTCCCAGCATGCATACAAGCAACCCAGGTTCAACGACCCACTTCTTTAATGCATCTTCTACTGCAGGTAACCGATACCCTGATAGCTGCCAATTCGCGCACGATATGCAAGGTCGCTCCGGCAGTGCTGTACAGCAGACTGGTTTGATTGATTGCTTACTGCTACAGCTATTCGGAGAACAGCCAGAGCATCACAACGCCTGGCTGATTCAATCACCTCAGGGGCTCCCTGTGTCCCACAGCTTTGTGCTCAGTTTCTTGACGAATTAACCCCATTACCAGGTGTCGGTCAAGAAGCCTACAAGCCCCTAGCCAACCAACAGCAATGGGAGCAGTATGTAGTCTGTACCTGATAAGCCCCCCGCTTGGGCGGCCCTAATTGCCTGTCTGCCGGAGAGTCGGAGAGTCGGAAGGCGTGATGCAGCAGCCCAAAAGTACAAAGATGACATTGCCTACCCGTGCTCCACTTTGTCACGAATTATCACGATATCACACAGAAACTCCATCTAACCTCTGAAGAGTTGACAACCACCTCCAGACAGATGACTGGCTCGGTTATTGACTAATAAATCACTATCAGTAACCATGCTCGGCTTATCACAACTCTAACTGAACTTGGCAATTGCAACACATGTTGTTCTCACCGACTATAGTACGCCATATGTTCGTTATACAAGCCGACGGCAGGAACATTAGAGCTTCCAGCCTCAGACACACCCCGCCGCAACATTTGGTCCGATCACTCTGAAGCAGTTACGATTATGAGCAGAATAAGCAACGGATGCCTGCAACAGCCGTCTTTTTTGTTCTCCAGGCAAGCCAAGAGGTCCTGTGCAACCGTGGTCAGAAGTCAGTCATTTTACAGACTCGATGTTCTTCGCGCAGTGTGTGCGGACGTCTGCTTCCGTGTTACACCGAGAAAGGTCCAGCGATATGGCCAATAAGAACACTGGCGGCTCGAGTCCAGTGTGGCACAGACATACTTATCCGGTTCGACAACATTCAACGCAGTGCGACCATGCTGGCCGATGAACAAAGTAAGATGGTCAAAGGATTCAGGATTTCCCATGTGCGCAAGAAGTCACCAATCTACATGCAACCAGGTTGCTCGGTCTTATGCTTTATGATCGCCAACTGACCAGTCTCAAAGATAAAGGAGGGCTTTGGCCGACGGCAAGTCTGCTTCGTCTTCCGTTTCATCCATACATGCAGCGGACCATCGCATAGCAGGATGCTATACTGATGAGAGGCAAAGAGTGCTGAAGGGACCATGGGTCGCATAGACGCTCAAGTCCGAATCGACTACTGCTTGTGTCTCGTCAGATTCTGCATAATCCTTCAGCTTTCTGAATACTGTACGTTCGGCTCGACTATTCTTGGGTGGTGCTCGACGTAGAGTCTTCTGAGGGAAGGTGTGTGAACCCATCGTTCAGGTTGCAAAACTGAGGTGAAGACAAGCAATCGATTGACCACGGGTAATGGTCTCGGGCTACCAGCCCATTGCTACACCCGATTGGACTGCAGGATATGAGTTGCGTCTTCTCGTCCTGGGCAGTCGTAGGTATGCTCGAACGAAAACGTCCGTGTCAGCAAATCGTTCCGATCCAGAGGCAGTTTTTGAAGCAATTGTTCAATGGTCACGAACTTCATGTCCATCACCTCTCGTGCTTACTTCTCATGGTCGAGATGTGTCATTGGGATTCCCGAATTTTGACCATCTCCTTTGGTGCCTGGGTGACCCTGTTCATGGCGAACCACGCTCTCTACTCTACCAACCACGGATGTATTGATCTATATATCTCTTCTGAGCGACTCTAAGGCATTCAAGACTGGCGATACGTCCGACAGCGATGGGTTATGGCCGTGTTTGGCCATGAGACTCGACTTTCTCCTCTTGACGATCTCTTGACCAGAGAAATCAACTGAACACACCCCAACAGCTAGACTTGGCACAAAATAGCAGAACCCAGTTTACAAACACCACTGTGCGGACAATGAGAAAGATCACTGAGGTTACCGTGATTGCTTGACAAGATATCCAGACTCTTAAGTCTCATCATACCCATGCAGACTGCATGACAATTGGCCGAGCTGTAGAGAAGGCAAATCTGCCAATACCATGAACTGCAGGATATACACAGAAACACCACGAACGAAGACAGCATTTATAAAACAATGTATAACAGTACGATGATATGTTGGTACAATGATGACGAGGGATAGATGCATTAGATGACTACTGCTATGATATTTTGCTCAATCACTACCAAGTCTACGGCCAGGTCCTCTTGATCCCCATGAGCCCGAAGTGAAGCCACTGGTCCAGCCGCCGCCACCACCAGAGCTGCTTGTCTGAGACTGGGCGCCGACAGAGCCAGCAGGACGACTCTGAAAGGCGGTGCCATACGCACGTGTGGTGCTTGCGCCGGCAGGCCTGGCAAACCAACGCTGCACAACCAGTGGTGTGCTGATAGGGTTGGTGCCACCTCCATACGATGGCCAAATTCTGGTCAAGAAGTCGTAGAGGTGTGCAGCAGCGAGACCAAAGGCTTGCTTGATAGCCTCATTGGGACCTGCCATGAGGAAGGCTGCCAGCAACATACATCCGGGCAGATACTTGCGGCGAATGGTGAAGAAGAAGAAAGTCATCATGCCATCGGGAGCATCTTGCACATGCAAATAGGCGAGGGCAAGTAGAAGCGGACCCAAGAGCAAGCCTCCGCCAAAGACGATGCCTGTGAGAAGCTTTGAGTAGTCATCAGTACTGTAATAGTCGCAAATAGATCAAGACAGCACGAGAGGAGCTTCAGGTGAAGAGATGTAGGGTGCCAAAACCACTGATTCGACCAAGGAATCGCCGAGCAGCTTTCTCAATGGGCAATCCCACCACGGTCATACTCCATCATGGCCCTTTTGGATTTTGCGAATGACGGACCATGACACAGTACAACGGTAATTTACCCTCCTTCCAGGAACCGCTTCAGCTATGTATTTGGCTGGGCGGGCAGATATAGGAGGGGTAGTGATGTGTGCAAAGGGAGAGATGAAAAGAAAAACAGCGACGCGTCTTACCAAGATGACACTACAGATGAAGACCAGAGCGACAAACAGGTCGCCTGGCTGAGAGAAGCGGCTGGAATCAACTTCCAATGCCTTGCAGTATGTGAACAGGAAGTATGGATCCATGATCAAACCCAGCGAAGGGCCAGTGATAAAGAAGGCAGTCACAAGTCTCCAGATTTGAGGGACCCATAGCTTCAACACCAACTGGGGAACGAAGACAAAGTAGTAGGAACTGATGATGGGGATGAGCCAAAAGTTGACGGAGAGAACAAGCGTAGCTGCTGTGAGGGTTCTGTGAAAGAAGAGTCAGAAGATTGAACGCGTGAGAGATGGAGTGCGCGTGTTACCTAGCAATGGGCGGTGCTGCCCAGAACGCGTCTGCGATTGAAGGCGACGACATTGCGACGGCAGTGTTGATGAAGACGGTTGAGACAGCACCGGCTAGATAGAGGAAAGAGAGAAAGAAGAAGCTTTGGATGAAAGTTGTCAAGAAAGGAAAGCGCGCTGTGGATACGGAGCGGCAGAATATCGGCCGTCGGCCCCCACCTTCCTTCCAAAACTGTTTCGTCATGGGCAGCTCAGGCCGAGCATCGGAGGTGCTTTTGGTTGACCGTCCCTAACCGCTGCAATCAGTCATTCACGCAGGCCGTGTTTTCTAAATCTTTGCATCTTTTTGTATACCTCTCAATTGATACCCTCTGATCACATATTCACAATGGATGCTATGCTGCCGTCTCTCGGAAGCTCCAAGTAAGAATGTCGAGCTCAGGCCTCACAGCTCTTGTCAAAGAGTGGACACATGCTAACTCTGCCACAGGAAGGCTCTCCTTCTTGGAGCTGGTTTCGTCACCCGCCCTACTGCTGAGATCTTGAGCGACGCCGACATCTCGGTCACTGTTGGTATCTACGCACCTCGTACGCATCGTCCCGTACACGACAGTCATTGACATGCCATTCCAGCCTGCCGTACCCTCGAGTCGGCCAAGAAGCTCTGTGAGGGCCTCAAGAACTGCAGCCCCATCTCTCTCGATGTCAACGACTCGGCTGCCCTCGAGCACGAGGTTGGCAAGAACGGCGTTGTCATCAGTTTGATTCCCTACACCTACCACGCCACCGTCATCAAGGCTGCCATCAACCAGAAGAAGCACGTTGTCACCACCTCATACGTGAGTCAACCCCACATCTCTCGTTGTTTCCGCTCCTCTAACTCGTCCAGGTCTCTCCTGCCATGCTCGAGCTCGACGCCGAGGCCAAGGAGGCTGGCATCACCGTCATGAACGAGATCGGTCTTGACCCCGGTATCGACCACCTGTACGCCGTCAAGACCATCGACGAGGTTCACAAGGCCGGTGGCAAGATCACCAGCTTCCTCAGCTACTGTGGTGGTCTGCCCGCTCCCGAGTGCAGTGACAATCCTCTCGGCTACAAGTTCTCATGGAGCAGCCGTGGTGTCCTTCTTGCCCTCCGCAACCAGGCCAAGTACTTCCAGGATGATAAGATCGTCGAAGTTGCTGGCCCCGAGCTCATGGCTACTGCTAAGCCCTACTTCATCTACCCCGGCTACGCCTTCGTCGCCTACCCCAACCGTGACTCGACCCCTTACAGAGAGCGCTACGCTATCCCCGAGGCTGAGACCATCATCCGTGGTACCCTTCGTTACCAGGGCTTCCCCGAGTTCATCAAGGCCCTTGTCGACATGGGCTTCTTGGAAGACGCCGAGAAGGAGTTCCTCAAGCCTCTCGCCGACGCTCCTACCCTCACGTGGAAGGAGGCTACTGCCCAGGTTCTGGGCAGCAGCGGCCACACCGAGGAGGACCTCGTCTGGGCCATTAGCTCCAAGACCAGCTTCGCCGACAACGAGCAGAAGGACCGTATCATCAACGGTCTTAAGTGGATCGGTCTCTTCTCGGATGAGAAGATTGAGCCCCGCGGCAACCCTCTCGACACCCTCTGCGCCACCCTCGAGAAGAAGATGCAGTACGAAGAGGGCGAGCGTGATCTTGTCATGCTCCAGCACCGCTTCGGCATCACCCACGCCAACGGTGCCAAGGAGACTCGCACCTCTACCCTGGTCGAGTACGGTGACCCCAAGGGCTACAGCGCCATGGCCAAGCTCGTCGGTGTCCCTTGTGCCGTCGCCGTTCAGCAGGTCCTTGACGGCAAGATTACACAGAAGGGTGTCCTTGCTCCCATGAGCCCCGAGATCGTTGAGCCTTTGAGACTCGAGCTCAAGGAGAAGTACGGCATTGAGATGAAGGAAAAGACTCTGTAAATGTCGGATTGAAGAAAGATGTATATTCGACAGAATATAGAACCATGAATGTCATGACAAAATTACGTTTCGAGCTATATCCCACTGACCTCCTTGCTCTTCACTGTGTAGTCAAAGTGTTACTCTTGGCTGCTCCATTCTCTTGGTCAGTTTGGAGGGAATCTCGAATCGTGCCGAACAGGTCAGTGACAAAGCCCAAAGATGCCGATTCTTCCTTGCTTGCTTGATTCTTCCTTCCTCCCAGTCTCTATCTAGTTGATACTGATTTATGACCCTCGCCAGCTGCGCTTACAGGTCCGGAAACAAAAGAACGACGACACAGAAGGCAAAAGAATTGGAGCGAGCGGCTACTACTGCGTACCAGAAGAGCAAAACAAAAAGGATGAGAGCAAAACGTACAGCAGCAGGGATTCCCACGTGGTCACCCACCGTAGTACTAATCTGCCGTTCAACTGCTTATGTATGGCAGAGCGGACGGGATGCCCGGTTTTCAGCTGACTGTGGCCGTACGTGATGAATGTGGAAAACCTAGCGTCTAAGAAGCGGTCGAGTCAATTGGCTCTACTCAGACAAAAAGGTGCAATTACATGAGAAGGTTGTGCACAGCACAAGTACATTCGAAGGAAGTTTCTGCCGTCGAGTTCTATGGATAGTTGAGAGGAGGAAGGAGAAGAGGCAGAAGCGCGAAGCACCGCTTGCTCTAGCTTTTGAATTGCCGTGATATCGGATCGTGTTCGACGATTGGTAGAGCATGCATAAAACTACCTGTGGACCAACTCTCCAAAAAGGCTGGGGGCAGCTTGGGATGCCACTTCAGCTGATCGTAGCGAACAGCATAGGATCCGAAGGCTTCTGGCCTGGTGCCTTCCTGATGGGCCTTCATGGTCTTGTTTGCTCCGCCATATCGTGCGAGCCATCGCAAAGATTGTTTCCTACAATCTGCCTTGATGCCGCACCGATCATGGGGTATTCGTTTCCAATGGCGAAATCGCTTCCTTGGTATGACAAGAACAGTTCTTGAGGCATCGAGGCGCAGTGGCCGTAGTCTCTGGCGCAAGACGAGGACCAAGCATAGCAGAAGAGTGATGCTGGTTGTAGCTCAATCCCACTCATCGTCGTCGTAGTCCTCGGTAACGCTTGCCGAACGAAGAGCGCCCGATCTCATAGCATGTTCATCCTCGTCAACCATCTTGCTTCTGAGCAAAACATTTGCAGACAAGAGGCGGGCCTCAAGCTCTTGCAGTGTGAAGGAGTCCGGCTTGTAGCCGATACCCTCGAAGCCGACTATTCTATCGCTGCTAACGCCGTCGATGAAGGAAAGGACGCAAGGCAAGACTTGAATCTTGAGTTTGACGACGAGGAAAGGGGCATTCTCGACGTTGATGCTGAGGAAGCGGGTATCGAAGTGTTTGGGCGCAAGTGCCTATTATGAGGGTTAGAGAGTAGGGTTTAATGGTAGGAGAAGGGAGACACGTACGGCAAGTCTTTGGTCCATGATTCTGCAGCGGTTGAAGTCGGGCTTCATGAAGTGGACGACGCACAGCTTGGCCGAGGTGGTAATATCCATGAGCTGCTTCTCATCCTTGATCTCGGTGTAGGTACCGTAGTCGGAGTTGCGCTGGGCCTTTGCGCGGGCCAATTCGCCGTGCAACTGCAGCAATCGCTGTTCACGGAAAGCAGCCAGAGAGGACTCGTCTTCTTCGAGCTCAGCAATGAGGGCATCTTCGTCGTCAGAGTTGTCGTATTGGTTGCTGCGATCTAGCACGGCGGCTACCTTGGGATCGACTGAGGCCATGGCAAGTGTGTGTGTATTGAGTTGAAAACAGGTCTCGTGTAGGAAATACGTTTCGATGTTTTGTCCAGGATCAAGTCGAGATGGGTTTACTAGTGGTAGGGCTAGGGTCGTGGTTGCGGCAGAGATCCGACCAAAGTTTCCCGGAGTGCCAAGCCGGGCGTGAGCATGCTTCGAGATATTTCTCCATGAAACATGGCACTTTGGATGGGGAACGGTCCAAGAAGATGACACGAGCAGTAACTACTGGAGCGAGAGCTGAAAGGGGCACGGCGGCGCGGTCGTGGTTGAGAGCGGTGGCTTCTTCCTAGGCACCTGAATGGCAGGTGGGAAGGAGTCGATACGGAAATCTTATTTTATAATAATAGCAGTAAGGGTTCAGTAGACAGGGGTCGAGTGTGGACGCGCATCCCACCCGTTAAAGGACACAGGCAGCCTTTCTTCTTTTTCGTCAAAGTCTCCTTGTCCACACCACAACCTCCCACGAGTGCTCGCAACAATGTCCGACGACAAGAAGAACGAAGACTACACAATCGAGCTCGGCGAGCAAAAGCCCAATGGCGCCTTCGACGCTGCCCCGAGGATGCCTGCAGCTGCTCCCCCAGCTGCACAATTGAACAGCCCCGTCATTGCTATCCTCGCATACTGCGGTAGTTCGATTCTCATGACCACGACCAACAAATACGTTCTGAGCGGTCTCGATTTCAACCTCAACTTTTTCCTCCTCGCCGTACAGGTAAGCGCAAGCTCGAGAGCCCCTGCTTGAACTGCTCTAACACGTCGAGCAGAGTGTCGTCTGTATTGTAGCCATCCAATCATGCAAATCCGCCGGCATCATCACCTACAGAGACTTCAACAGCGATGAAGCGAAGAAGTGGTTCCCCATCTCGCTCCTCCTCATCGGCATGATCTACACCTCGACCAAGGCCCTGCAATACCTGTCCATTCCCGTCTACACCATTTTCAAGAACTTGACCATCATCCTGATCGCATACGGCGAGGTTCTGTGGTTCGGCGGCAACGTCACCGGAATCGCCCTCTTCTCCTTTGGTCTCATGGTTCTCTCGTCCGTCATTGCCGCGTGGGCAGACATCCAGCACGCTCTTACCAGCCACTCCGGCTCGGCTGCCAGCGACAAGATCTCGACCCTCAACTCTGGCTACATCTGGATGGCCATGAACTGCTTCTGCAGTGCTGCCTACGTCCTCGGCATGCGCAAGCGCATCAAGCTGACCAACTTCAAGGACTTTGACAGTGCGTTTTCCTGCTCTTCTGCTTTCCTCATGCTTCAATCGCTAATCTGACATTCGAAACAGCCATGTACTACAACAACCTCCTCTCCATCCCCATCCTCCTCATCTGCTCCCTCTTCATGGAGAACTGGTCCAGCGCAAACCTCGCCCTCAACTTCCCCGCTCCCCAGCGCAACTCCATCATCACCGCCATGGTCTTCTCCGGTCTCTCCTCCGTCTTCATCTCCTACACCTCCGCCTGGTGCGTTCGTGTCACCTCCTCGACCACATACTCCATGGTTGGTGCCCTCAACAAGCTCCCCATTGCCATTTCCGGTCTCGTCTTCTTCGACGCCCCCGTCACTTTCGCTTCCGTCAGCGCCATCGGTGTCGGTTTCATTTCCGGTATCGTCTACGCTCTCGCAAAGGTCTGGCAGGGCAAGGGTAACAAGCCCACTCTTCCCACCAGCATTACTAGCGCTAGCAGCCAGAGCATGAAGGACAGCTTCAAGTCATAGATCAGACACGAGAGCAAGTTTTCCATGATCCCAGGACCTTTGCGCTTGGACGAGCCAATAGCTAGAGCAAACGACTCCGAGAAAAAGCAAGAGAAAGAAGAGAATGCCGAAAAGAATAGACACGGCTCAATAATGCCCGCATGAGACAGCTGCGAGAGGCGGAACAAAAAGGACTTTTGCATGTCTGGCGTTAGAGGAGCTTTTAGAAAGGGAAAGGAGGCTGTGGGTTTTGATGTTGTCGATGATGATGTGTCTGTTGGTCGTCTCCTTGAAATCACATATCATACTTTTTGTAAAGTCGTTTACCCCTTCAGAATATATATATTTTCTACACTTACTCACGCTATCGCTACGAGTGAAAAGAAAATGACTTCTTCTCGAGTATACAACACTACTGGTATCTGTTCAGGGAAGGCTAAAGTCAAAAGAGCTCAAGCGAGAAGCACGCAACAGTGGCTGGACAGCTTACTCAACCGTGATGGCCACAACATCACAAATCTCCACACCCCACAGGAGCCTACCCACTCAGGAGAAGACAACAGTCACGACGCAAGCAAATCACTGTAGAAGGGGTAAAGGCAAAAGCGTGTGAAAGAAAACTGTTGATATTTGTATTTCGACGAGCCTCATTCCGAGTATAGAAAAAATGGGTGTGCTGGTAATAATTTATGCACCACCCATATCGTGTTCTGAAAGAAAGCAACTCATCGCCGATTGCTCTTTTGCTCTTTTTCATCAATGTCGCATGAACCAGCAAGTTGTAAGAAAAACTCCAGAGAACGCCAGACCATTGTATCGACTCTTGATTAAAGAGCGACACGTCATGCAATCCATAAGTGTTGAGAAAGGCAAAGGGTGGGTATGTAAGGGGGGGCAGTAGACGAGCGTGGGTGGGTGGTCGGTCTTCATGTCATTGCGTGGGTGCAGACGACATGTTGGAGGCGGTGGGAGGTGTTTAGCGGCTGAAGGAGGTTAGTGTGCTGTATCTCGAGAAAGGGAATTTGACAAGCACTTACTCCTCGGCCCACTCGTTCTCACGGCGGATCTGCTCCTCCTCCTCGGGGGTGAAGTCGTTCTGGATGTTGAAGGTCTTACGAATCTCCTCAGGCGACTTGCCCTTGATCATGTTTGCGACGGTCTTGCAGCCGACGTCGAGAAGAGCCTTGATGTCCATGTAGTTGGCAGCGAGGATGATCTCGAAGAGCATCTCCTGATCAACCTGCATGAACTTTTGGTCCCACTCCTCGATGTCAGTGGTCTTCTTGCGGGACTCGGCGTCCTCATCCTTCTCTGGGGGAGCATCCTTCTTGTGGTGGTCGCACCACTCAAGCACCTTACGCAGAACTGCCTCGGAGACCTAGAGTAAAGAGTCAGTTCTGTTCAAAGCATGACGCGACAGTGAGGTCGAGACTCACGTTCATGATGGGAATGGGCTCCTCGCCAGGGTTGCCGAGATCGTCAATCATGTTCTTGATGAGCATGGAGCGCTCGGCGATGATGCGGGCTGGAGACAGGCATTAGCTTGAGAATCAGACAAGAGGAAAGAGCGAGAGCGCATACCAGTCTCGATGTTAACGCCATCGGAGCTAACAAGGATGATCTTCTGTTCGTCGGTAGAAGACATGTTGTTGTCTGTGGGGGGTGTGGTTGGGTTTGGGCGTATGGATAGATATAAGTTTTGCTGGAGGGAGGAAGTTGTCGATGAAGGACGACAAGTGTGGTAGAAGTGCTTTGGTTATGTAGGCGCTTCAGTGAGAGTCAAAGACAGCTCGCGGGGTGTTGGTACAGTCGGTCGCGCTTGGTGCCTGGGGCACGGACCATTTCCGCAGTTTGCACCTGCCTCACTTGCAATTGAGGCCAATAATTTGCACGCTTCTGGCTGTTTTCTGCTCTAATCAGTGCAGGTTTCTGCCTGATCCATGGTTTCACTCTTCTTTCACTGCAATTGTCTTTGCCAACTAGGTGTTGCGTTCGTCACTGCTATATCATCAATAATCTTTTGACTCAAATACCAAGCTCTGAAGCAAGTGATGCAGGCGACGCAGGCGCTTGCCTAACCGATTGCTTCACCGGCACTGGCGTTCACCCACACCGTCCATTGGAAAGACATGACAAACGCGAATGAAAGAAATCAAGAACTACTCATGACATTTCATACATGTATCTCATGCGCCTTTCCATCTTTCATTATCATCACGTGACCGTGCACGACTCTGAAACCAAATTAGGGGCGGTCAGAAATGAGCCCATGACACGTCGGGTTCTCTGACAGCAAGAGATGTTGTCCCTGTCTTGTAATCCGCTTTTGGTGAGAACTTTGTAGGCCTCCAACTATGTGGAGACGAACCTACCTCTTTCTGGTTGTTCTGCGCCTCTACTTGGCTCTGTCTCCCAGCTACATCCACCCGGATGAGCACTTCCAAGGACCAGAGGTTATCGCAGGTGTGTTGCCCCCTGTAGACGTCTAATCCTTCAGAATCGCTCATCATCTGTGCAGGTCGCGTCTTTGGATATGCCTCTCACTTGACCTGGGAATTTACTTCCGATAGTCCAATTCGCAGCGTGTTCCCCCTTTGGATCTTCTATGGCCTGCCCTTGACTTTGCTACGATGGATTTGCGACGGCATCGGATATCAGAGCATCTCTCCCGCCACTGTATACTACACTCTACGTGCTTTGATGTTTGTCTTGAGTTTCGTGCTTGAGGATTGGGCTCTTGATGAACTCATCCATGTCCCCAGACAGCGTCGTGCTGCCCAAATGCTGGTGGCCTCTTCTTATGTTACTTGGACCTTCCAGAACCATACCTTCTCGAACTCAGTCGAGACTTTGATTGTGCTATGGTGCTTGGTGTTGATCAATCGCATTAAAGAGGATAAGGTATGTTCATCTGCGACATGGCTGAAGGTCCGTATTGATCTCAATCCAGGCACATACGAGAGTCCTACCATCTGCTCTGCTCGCCTTCCTTTGCGTGTTGGGCACTTTCAACCGCATCACTTTTCCACCTTTTGTTATGATACCCCTTTTGCAGTTGGTTCCGCATTTCCGCCATAGGTAAGCTATCTTCTTTTGTCAAGTGGAATGAAATAAGGTTCTAATCAAAGAGCAGACCTGTCTCCCTTCTGGTGATGATTCTATCAGCAGCCGCGACACTGCTCTTCGCTGTTATCACAGACACCGAGTGGTTCCTCCAGAAGCCGGTCCACTTGTCACAGCTGCGTGAAATTGCTATCGTCACACCTCTCAACAACTTGCTTTACAATATGGACAGCAGCAATCTCGCCAAACATGGTCTTCATCCTTACTACCAGCATGTAGTTGCAAACCTGCCTCAACTGCTTGGTCCCGCACTGCCCCTGATATTCTTCTCATGCAGAATGGGTATGCCAATGTACTCGGCAGGCTTCGGCATATTCGCCTTGTCTTGCCTCAAACATCAGGAAGCACGCTTCTTGCTACCAGCAGTCCCTTTGATCTTGTCCAGTATCACTATACCACGACGCATGCGCAACGTCTGGATAAGTGTCTGGATCATCTTCAATGTCTGCCTCGGTCTGCTGATGGGTGTCTTCCATCAAGGTGGTGTCGTGCCAGCGCAGCTCTGGGTTGGCAAGCAGGAAGGTATTCAGCAAGCCTTCTGGTGGAAGACGTACAGTCCTCCAACCTACCTTCTCGGCGATAACCACCAAGGCCTGGTGACCAGAGACTTGATGGGCATGCGTGGCGACAGCCTTATCGAAGAGCTCAAAGCCGAGGTGGAATGCGATGCCAAATCTACAACACTCTTGCTCGCACCACTGAGCGCAACATTCCTCGACACGTTCACCAGCAATAACACTACTTCTGAAATTGCCCTTGAAGAAGTATGGCGGTACAGAAACCATCTCAATCTTGACGACATGGACTTTGGCGACGATGGTGTTTTGCCGACTCTGAAGCGTATGATTGGAAGGAGAGGAATCGGCGCATGGAAGGTGACAAGGAGATGTTAATGTTCTACTACAAAGTGCAAGAAGTCGATAGTCACAGACGAGAGAGGCAAACAGAACCGTAAGGGTAATTAATGTCAATGCTGTTGGTCAACCTCCTTCTCTTCTTGACATTGTTGTGATCTGTCATATACTGCATATCGTAAATCATGATGGTATAGTCGTTGATTCGGTGATGCAAAGAGGTTCCGCTCCGTACGGCAAGCACGTCGAAAATGACGTGCTTCGCTGACCACCCATCTTCAAATTTCCAAGCAGCCCCGCCGCGATCGCTCCTGCAACCCACCACTATCCCTACATACCACCAATACAACACTCCAGCAATCATGAAGGCATACTGGTACGACAACATCGAGGTAAGCACTTCTCCCACCACCACACGCCCATCCATCCATCTAACCACACCACACCACACAGGGCGACCAACGCCTCCCCCACGACTCCGGCCGCCCAGTCACCCCCTCCGACCTCTCCAAACTCGGCATAATCTGCCACAACTTCCCCTCTCTCGACGACGTAAACGAACTCGCATCCTCTCGCAACTACAAGAACCGCGACGAAGTCACAATCTCCCCCACCACTCTCCCAAACTACGAGGAAAAAGTAAAGGTCTTTTTCCACGAACATCTTCACGAAGATGAGGAGATTAGATATATCTTGGATGGTGCGGGTTACTTTGACGTGAGGAGCGAGGGTGACGATTGGATCAGATTGAGATTGGAAAAGGGGGATTTGGCTATTATGCCTGCGGGAATCTACCACAGATTTACTGTTGATGATAAGAACGTGAGTACATTGCAAAGGGAGAGTGCAGAGGTGGAAGACGAGTGGGACAGCAATGCTGACTAAGAGACTACAGTACACAAAGGCCATGCGATTGTTCAAGGATGAGCCCAAGTGGACACCACTGCAGCGCGGTGCCGAGACCGACGAGAACAACTTCAGGAAGGAATACCTCAAGAGCCGTGAGGAGGGTACTATTCTCTCTGCCTAAATCACACACGCTCCCAACTCTGACACGAACCAAGAATAGTTTGAGTCAACACGCCCCATCCCGGCTCTATTCATGATGTACACGATGGAAAGAAAGATGAGGAAGAAGAAGCTGGTTAGAACAAAATGGACATATCATGCAGGAAAAGTAAGAGAAAAGGCTTGTAGAATAATAAAACAGAAAAACGCCTATCCATTGTTTCTATAACTAGATCCACGCCTTGAAAAATGCCCACTAGGAAGCCTTGACGGGATGTAGTAAACAATCTTCTATGCTTTTTCGGCAGGAAAAAAAGGCCCGACGGACAAAGATGTCCATGACAAACACACTCTATGTTGCGAGTCCGTATAATCCCCCTTTCCCACCACCTCATCAGTCTTCCCCATATCTTTGGCATCAAAACATTCGTGACGAGGTAAACCAACACCGGGTCGGGTATCTTTCTTTTTGATCGTAGAGAAAAACTGTCATGCACCACCTTAGACAGAGTTGCTGGCCAACATCTTCTTGCGCAAGTAGTTCTTGTACTCGCCGATGCTGCCCTCCCATCGTCTAACGGTCTTGTGCTCGCAGACCATGATGTCCTTGGCAATCTTGTCGAGGAGTCTGTGATGTTGTTAGTCGAGTATTCATGTGCAAGAAGATCAGCGGATAAATCATACCTGAAGTCGTGAGAAACGACGACGACACCACCGGAGAAGGCGTTGATGGCATCGGCAAGCGAGTCAATGGTGGGGATATCGAGACCGTTGGTAGGCTCGTCCAACAAGATCATGTTGGGCGACTCAATGGCCAAGAGAGCGAAGACGATTCTGCTCTTCTGTCCTTCGGAAAGGGTACCCATGAGGGCGGTTTGGGCCTCACCGGTGAGACCGTACTTGCCGAGCTGCTGTCTCCAGTACTGGAGATCCTGGGAAACGTGGGGGAACTTGTCGCGGACGAAGTCGAGGGAAGACTTGGTCAGGATGAGCTGCTCAGCAGAGTGCTGCGAGTAGACACCGAGCTTCAAGTGGGTGTGACGAGAGACAACACCGCTGGTGGGTCTGAGCTTGCCAGTGAAGATGTTGAGGAGAGTAGACTTGCCAACACCGTTGGGGCCGACAAGGGCGGTACGCGAGTCCATGTCGACACCGAAGTCGAGGTGCTCGTACAGGTTGTCCTCGGTGTTGCCAGAGTAGGAGAAGGTGACGTCGTCGAGCGACAGGACGGGAGGAGGGAGCTTCTCGACATCGGCGAAGCGGAAGGAGAAGACTCTGTCCTGGTGGACGGGCTGGATGAAGCCATCGGCCTCCATCTTGTCGAGAATCTTCTGGCGCGACTTGGCCTGACGCACCAAGTTGGCGTAGGTACCGGCGGAAGCGATGAACTTCTTGATGTGCTTGATTTCGTCCTGCTGCTTCTCGTATGCCTTCTGCTGGTTGACCTCCTGCTCGGTTCTGGTCTTGGCGTATGAGTCGTAGTTACCTCCGTAGTAGAGAAGTTGCTTCTGACGCATGTCGATCATGGTTGTGCAGACACCGTTCAAGAAATCCATAGAGTGAGAGACGAGGATGAGGGTGCGGTCCCACTTCTTCATGTACTCCTCGAGCCACACACAGGCCTCGAGATCCAAATGGGCAGTGGGGTCGTCGAGCAACAAGAGCGAGGGCTTGACGAAGAGAGCCTTGGCCAAGGCGACACGCATACGCCAACCACCAGACATGTCTCTGGTCTTCTTGTGGATGGTCTTCTTGTTGAAACCGAGACCAGTCAGGATGAGGGATGCACGAGTCTGGAAGGTGGAGGGGTCCATGCCGTCCATGCGCTGTTTGGTGTGAGTGTCTCTGTTCTGTCTTTAGTTCTTCAATATTTGCTTACCTCGTAGATCTCCTCAAGTCTGGGGTCCTCGGGACCGTGCTCCTCGAGGATGGTCTCGACGAGCTTCTCGAGACGGGCGAGTTCCTCCTCGGCCTGTCTGACGACCCACTCAAGGGCGCCAAGGTCGGTGAGAGGAGCACCCTCGTTCAGAAGGTAGATGTCGATGTGGTCGGGGAAGGGGAATTCGCGGGCGTTGATGGCCTTGAGAAGGGTCGACTTTCCGCAACCGTTCTCACCCAACAGACCGTAACGACGGCCGTAGTTGACTTCGATGGTGGTGTCGTTGAACAGGACCTTTCCGTGGAAGACGAGCGAGGCGGAGGTGATCTTGACGTCTCTGCTGGCCTCCTGCGATGCAAGAACACCAGTTGTGACTCTGTCCGAGATACCGTCGTCGTCCTCCTGGAGTTCAAGCTTCTTGATTCTCTCCATGGCCTTGACACCTTCGGCGTCGAGCTCCTGGCCGTCGGCATCGATCAGAGGGGTGCTGGTGCCCGACTTCTCGGCCTTCTTCTGAGCAAGAGTCTTCTTGGGAGCCTTGCCGGTCTCGGCGCGCTTTGCGTCACGGGCGGCTTTGGATGCAGAAACCATGTTGGATGCTGCTAAGTATGATTTTCAAAGGGAGGGTGGTGTTGGGCGAGGAGAGGAAAAAAGTCGAAGTTGGGATTTTGGTCTCCGTTAGGTGGGGGCGGCCGCTCGTACGTCAGATCCTTTGTTGATTTCGACGCTTCTGCTGCTATCACACCGCCAACAATATCAAACGAAATAAATCAAAGGTATTGAAAAGAAGATAGGAATGGTTATTATCTTGGATTCCACACTTATCTCTTTATGTACACAGCTGCCAGTGGCGGTTGCTGCTTCTCTTTGCAAAAATCTTTTGCGGTTTCAGCCAATCACCAGTCCGCTGACGCTCAACAACAGCGGTCGCCGAGTCGCCGCTCCTGCCTCCAACTTCCAAGACTCTCACCAGCGCTTGCTCTTGCTTTGCCCTGAGGCTCACCGGATCCTGCTGCCCGACATGGCTCCCTTGGCTCGCTCCGACACTGCGAGTAATTGTGCAATGCTCGAAATCAAGCTGCAACTTCAGGCCGCCATCATACCATGGTCCAAGCATCCTGCATTTGTGCACGTTGAAATTGCTACGTGCTTGCGCAGCCACTTCCCAGCCACGTCAAAAACGTCAAGTCTTGTAACTTCTTAAAATAAAGTCAGCCACTCCACTCAAGTAGGCAAACAATGTAGGTCGTGTATATCAGACTCGAACTTTGTCTTTGATTTCTTCTATCTATTATTTATCCTGTGTGTTTGACCGAACATGTCGTTCCAGAACCGCACACCCGAGTCGCTCGTACAAAGATCGGACTCGAAGAACCCGGCAACCACTTGTAGAGGTATCACTTCTGGTGGAAAGCCATGTAGACGATCACTTGCTTCCTCACCAAAGGCATCACCTAAATCGTCTCCGACGGCTGCCCGTCACTCCGCCTCAAGAGGCGTGGTTGCTGTTCTTGAAGATGATCAAGGAAATCTGGACGCGGCTGCTTTCTACTGCTGGCAACACAAAGCTCAGGCCCAATCATTTACTAAAGACAACACCACCTCGCCACAAGCTGCAAACCCGAAATTGATTCCAGTCCAGGAAAGAACAAGCATCGACAGTCTTGTTGCCAGACTAGGAGTTGCGTCAATTCAAGATCAACCAAAGCCCCCGAGAAATCCTCGTGAGGAAAGAAGACGACCGACACAACATGCACAGCAACAATACTCGAGGACGGACGAAAGACCGTCAGCAAGACCTCAGGCTCACAAAAAGCCCAAGCCGAAGCAGGGATTCTGGGCATCGTTATGCTGTGCAGGCACTGCAGACGACGACGAGGACGCTCCACAACCCAGCTACCAGCCTCGACCACAAAAACCTCAACCAGAGACAACACAAGTCTCTAATCCTCAAACACCAGCGTACCCTCTACCCACTCACTCTCGCCCAATGCCTTACAAACAAAACACCCAACCTCCACAACCAAGACCTCTTCCTCACTCAGCATCGACGACTGGTCTACCTGCACGGAAGCCCTTGCTAGACGTACCAAGCAACGCCTTGAACAAACGTCGTGCAGCATCAGCACCAACCAGTACGACCGAGCTCCTCCCATACATTCCAGGCCACCTCCCACCGCAAACAACCTCTCTCCTCCTAACCGAACTCTCAAAGCCCATCTCGCCACACGACGAGGCCGGCTACATATACATTTTCTGGCTAACAGAAACCTCCTCCACCCCCTCCAACGACACAGCCGCCTCATTACTCGCACCTCCCAGACCAACATCCAGACGTCCCAGCGATGTAATGAACGCCTACTCTGGCAACACCGGCACCACAAAAACCATCAAACTCAAAATCGGCAGAGCGAACAACGTCCACCGCCGCATGAACGAATGGAACCGCCAATGCGGCTATTCCCTCAGTCTCGTCCGCTTCTACCCCTACATTTCCTCTTCCTCCTCTCCCTCTGCTTCCCCTTCCCGCCCAACACCAAATAGCAGGACACCCTCCGACAATCAAGTCCACAAAGTCCCCCACGCCCACCGTGTAGAAAGACTAGTACACTTGGAATTAGGAGATAAGAGGATAAAAAGAGATTGCAAAGCTTGCGGGAGGGAACACAAAGAGTGGTTTGAGATTGAGGCGACGGCGGATGGGGTGAGTAAGGTTGATGAGGTTGTTAGGAGGTGGGTTAGGTGGGCCGAGGAGAATCCTTAGTTTGACCTAATTATATCAATCATCATGTTATGCAAACGTTAACTCAAGGACTGAAGTGGAGCAGAGTGATGATTTGAAGGTGCAAAGACTTGAGATACAGAGAGAGCAAAATGTCGTGGAGATGTGCCCTGAACCTTTGCAGAAAAACTACGTGTATTCTCTTTTGAAAAGCATCGTTGCACGTATCATCCACATATATATGATGGGATGAATGTATTTGTTCGCAACCGAAGTCTTTCAATCCAACATCCAGGCGAGCCATAGCCCCTAACAGATGTCGATGGAAGTGTTCATCTCTGCTAATCTCATGAGTGCATAGCCATGTTATTTATCACACAGCGCAAGCACGACGAATAATGGCGAGTAAAATGGGTTGAAAAATTGTATTCCGAATACCATTCAAGCATATGCTCTGAACAGTTGATGAATTAAAGCTGTGCCCTTCAATACCCATGTGGTAAAAGTTCCACTATCCACCTTGAACGCCGTCGCTAAATGTAAAACTGGCAGGACATTGGACTCCTCATGAAGAGTTCTGACGAATGAGAAAAAATGTGATATGCATTAAAAAGGTTGTGTGTGAGAATGCTGGGGACGGCCGAGTGTTTATGTTTACATGGCGTCCTCCTCGTCACGTCGTACTAGCTCATAAGATTGTCGTCGCTTTGAGGTAACGTTGCCGCTGCTGAGGCGTCTGAAGAGGCCCATTGGGAAGCGCTTTCGGACAGACATGGCCCAGGGTCTATGAGAGACGAAGAAGCGGTTGTAGGCGTAGTAGGAGATGGCGAAGACGACACCAGCCGTCAGGAAGCCGGCGACAGTGAGCATGACCCAATGTTTCAGCATCTGTTTTTCAATGTTAGCAATTGGTCGGAAAGTAGTGATGGATCAGAAGATTGACATACCCAGAAAATAAGCTTGACGTCGCTGCTATGCCACGAGTTGCCAAGGTGGTGGGTGAAGAAACTCCAGGGGTGGTAGTTGTACTCGTCGGGGAACAAGATGCGGACTCTGCCACCATCTAGGCCATCGCCAACGTTAAGGCCTTCGGAGCTCCAGTGACGCCAGATGATGCTCAAGAACAGAGGACCGGTGGAAGCCATGACTGTAATGTAGGGGAGAACCCACTTGCGGTTGTAGCGAGGAAGGTCGTCGATAACTCGGAGGAAGAAGGGGTGACGAGGAACCGAGCCCATTGCATCGTTGGAGATACCGGTGGGCAGAGTACGACGCAACCAAGCAGGGTAGGAGAGAAGAGGGTCCAAACGGCGGTTGCAACCATCGTCCATGTCAATGTAAACACCACCAAAGTGGGCAAGAACAAAGTAACGGATCGAGTCTGCACGCTGGATGGGGTATTCGTAGTTGTCGAAAGTCTCGAGGAACCAAGGGTACTCGGTAGCGATGAACTCGCGTGACAGAGCATCGGTCCAAAGCTTGTATTCCCAATCCTTGTGCAGTTCAATGCAGCTCTTTTGCGGCTCCTGCCAGACTTCGGGGATGCTCTCGTTGATGTATGTTTGGTGGATGATTTTGGGGATCAATTGGGGGCGGCCATCAATCAAGTCTGAGCCAGGAGCAGGCAGCTCTGCGCGAGAGATTGCATCTTCCGAGCCATCAACTACGAGGAGCGATAATAGTGTCCAGACCGAGTGTATGAGGAAGCCGACAATTGCCAGGTTGAGAATGAGGAACAGAAGCACAGGGCGACGCATGATTGTGGTAGGGGATCGAGGTCAACTGCAACCAAGCAAGAGGAGACGACGAGCTTTTGTTGCTTGGTGTTGGTGTTTGTCGGTGCTGCGCCTTTTCGTTGGCTAACCCCGGATTGGCAAGGGCAAGCAGCTCGAGTCTCGGCCTCGAGTCAAGATGTTGTGCGGTGAAGAGATGATATCCAAGAATTGGGTAGGGCTGATGCGCGGTATAACAGAGGCTGAGAAAGGAGGGGACGTAGGGAAAAGGAAGAATCAGGCTGAAGTTTGAAGGAGTGACAGGATTGAAATTATCAGCAAGTGAGCAGCACGCTAGGAAGAACAAGCAGGCCGACGTTAAGGAGAGTTGCGCTTTCTTGTTGCCTTTGATTGTCACTGCCAAATGGCGCAGCCGTGCTTTGCCCACTGGCTGGCCGCTGGTCCACTATCCCACCTATTGTTCCATCCTTTCACGCAAGTCTAGCCTTGTGAAGTAATTTCGTGCTTCGTTTGCAGCTAGTCAGATGCCCCGTGCGCTGTCATGAGATTGCAGGCCTTCTGCTCCGCCGGCGCCGGCATCCAAGTACGCCGACCGAGATACGACTTGAATACGGAGACCTGGTCGAGACATAATTTGTTCAACACCCGTATCCAACACGCACCTCATTCTATCAACCTTTTGCATAATTGCCTTCGAGCAGAAGTGAGACCTAGACAGTCGCATCGCACCCAGGAACCCAAGACTACGCCGAGAAGCAAAGGATCTAATGACGGCGCGTGTCTTGCTCTGCCGCAGCTTGTCACGTTCTCGAGAGAAACGTTCTTTTCTGACATCGTGACAATGCATGCTTCCTTTGCCTTGGCTTTGACTTCACAGCCTCTGCTGTCATCCGTCACTAGACACCTTGCCCACCGATTTACACCTCGGTTTTGTACACCTTGCGACTTTTTACACCTCCCCGATCGGCATTTTGAAACGTGTGCGGGACTGATGTAATAGGGTCTAAACCCACATATTTTGGCGAATAGGAGAGGTCGCTCCTACGAAGCCGCCAAGTGATGAACATCGATTTCCCAATTAGGCCATTTTCAAAGGTGGAAGCCATAATACAGCATCTGTACCACCGCGATACAGGTTGCTGTCTCCACCTTCCCGATCGGGCCATTTTTAGGTGTACAATCGAGGTGTACAACGGTTGGGCAAGGTGTCTACTGCCACCTGCGTCGTTTGCACGCCATGCCCGTTTGCCTCTCTCTTCCCGCCACCATGACTTTCTATATCGCTGCCTTGCACGTGAGCTGTCGCAGTGTACGGCAAGCGGCATGATTTCATGTTCTTCACTGGTGAAGAACGATGTTCGCAATCAAATATTCAAGTGGAGGCTGTGGAGCATTCTGGAGAACAGGGTTGCTTGAAGCTTCTTTCTGGCTCCGCTCTCCACTTGTTTCTTTTCGTTCCGACTTTTTTGCTGTTCAACGGTTTTCGGCTTGCTGTTCTGCTGTAGATTTGGTCCTGACTCCTGAACTGTTGGACAAGGCAAATTGGCAACAAGCCTGTACGGTGGTGGTGATGGTTATCAAGGTTATCGAGAAAACACTCCAGAAGTGCAGTGACGCCGTGCAAGATATGAAGCGTGAATATCTATCACGAGAGCATTTGCACTCGTATGTGCAGGTCTGTTCTGCACAAAAGAACAACGAAATGTCCTGGTGTACGAGTACTCGAGCAGAGATATACGGACAGCACTGAGACCGAAGCCTCGCAAGATTACATTCTTATCCTCTCTGTTCAGTCTCGTACTATGCAAAAGTCGCTGCGTGGATGAGTGGTATTTGAAAAGGTTTTAGACATTCTATACCCAGATTTGTAACTTTTGCGTTGGCATCGAACTCCAATCCATGCAACGCCCTGTAGACATCATTTCGCTTGCTCCGTCATGCCAAAGATAATGTACTGTGTAAATCGACTAAACAATGTGGCAGAGAATCGAAAGGGTCGAATGAGCGGCGTGCGGATGAAGTGTCGTAGGGACTGGCCAGTCCCTTTCTGAAAAAAGTCCAATGATTCGAAGGAGAGTCTGTTCGATGAAAGCGAGCAAAGAGCCCTTTCAACCAAAGTGGAAGCCGCCAGGGAAGCCACCACCACCTCCTCTGCGACCACCACCACCCATACCACCACCTCCGAAGCCGCCACCGCCCATCTGTCCACCAAACATCTGGAAAAGGACTTCGGGGTCGATTTGCGAGCCCATGCCGCCCATACCACCGCCGAAGCCACCACCGCCAAACTGTTCTGAAGGGTCGATGAGGTCTTCGCCACTGTCGTAGCGAGCACGCTTTTCAGAATCCGAAAGGGTCTCATAGGCTTCACCAATGTCCTTGAACCGGTCTGCTGCTGCTTCGTCTCCTTGGTTCTATTTACGAGGTTAGCTTTTGCAGTAGACTAAAATGGTCATGGCGAGTGACAAACCTTGTCAGGATGATGGATAATAGCCAATTTCCTGTAAGCCTTCTTGATCTGACCATCATCGGCGTCCTTTTCAACACCCAGAATCTTGTAGTAATCCTTGCGCTTGCTCTTCTTGAGTTCGAGCTCAGCATTACGGACTTCTTTTGCGATTCCCGGTTCCTCGGGGTTGCTCTCGGCAATGGCCTTGAGTTCCTTGACAGCCTCTTCCCAGTTTCCAGACTCGCCCAATGCCTTGGCCTTTGTCTTGCGTGCCTTGGTGTAACTGGGGTCAAGCTTCAATGCACGCTCGCAGTCCTCGATTGCTTTTTGCCATTCCTTGAGCTGCAAAACTTGTTAGATATAAAGACTTGGATGGAGATGACAGCACAACATACTTTAGTATAGCAAAGCGCTCTATTTTGGAGAATCTTCGAGTTTGTGCCGCGGTTTTGAGGATCAATTTCAAGCGCAGAGGTGTATGTATCAACAGCTTGTTGGTACTTTCCAGTCTTGAAGTAGCCGTTTCCTTCCTCCTTTGTGCGATCAAGCTTTTGGACCATACGCAAGTATTTGACGGCATCTTTGAAGTCGGGGTCGCAACTAATGGCCTGTCTGAAATGTTGCAAGGCCTTGTCGTTCTCACCCTGAGCGTAAAGAGCGCGACCTCTGAGTACGAGAGCCTCAGGATCGGCACTGTTGTTGCGCAGCAAGGACATGGCAATGTTTTGTGCGTCACCCAGAGCATTGACATTTCCCATCTTCAGATAGGCCTCACCCCTGAGCAGAGCCCACTTTCGCGGCCTGGTGACGGAGGATCCAAGACCCTTCTCGGCTTGATCAAGGGCGAAAATAGCCATGGAACCAGAGGTAGAATTGCGGATTTGTTCTTCGGCTTCGGAGACGTGGTGGTTCATGGTGACGGCTGGCTGACGGTCCTTCTGAGTCGCAGGAGGGTCTATATGGTCAAAGGTTTCCAGAGCCTCCTTGGGGCGGCCCAGTGATGTGTAGATGCGAGCCATTCTGAGTAGGATTTTGGCATTGTTGGGGTCCAGCTCGTCGGCCTCTCTGCAGTCGTCTAACGCTTGGATGTATTTACCAGCAGACATGTAAGCCGCAGCGCGGTTGGACTTGTATGTCGGCGACTTGGGGTCTGCCTCGACGGCTAAAGTGAAAGAGTGTCAGCATGCGCGCGGGCGAAAGACGAATCAAGAGTCTCAACCTTTTGTGTACTCTTGGATAGCCTTGGAGTAGTCGCCAGCCTTGAAGTACTTGTTTCCGGCAGCCTTGAAGGCCTCAGCATCCTCGGTGCTTGGTGGAGGGGTCGAAGGAGTCTTGTGCGGTGGTGGAGCCGGGGCGCCGTCACCGTTCTGGACAGGCTTGTCGGCAGTGCCGTTGCCATTGGTCTGTTGCTTTTCCTGATCCATCCTGGCGGAGAGTCGAGAGAGGCGAGCGCGTTGCTCTGGAGGAAGGTTGAGAGGGTGAGTGTCGGGGTCGAGTGGCTTGTCCTTCTTCTTGGGCGATAGCGACAAAGACGACTTTTTGGAGTGTTTGGCGCTCGCTTTTTTCTCTGGGGAGCGGGACAACGGTCTGCTCGTGCTACGGCTCGGGGTTGGGCGCTGAGAGGCCGGAGACGACGGGCGCGGATCGGGAGAGGTTCTGCCTGTTGGTTTCGAGTGGTCGGCGGCACTGGCACTGCTGCTGGCTCTAGTCGTAGTCGACGGCGATGAGGTTGTGCGGCCAAAGACTTTTGGCAGCACCATTTGGCTCTAGCTGCGACAAATGACTCTTGTCAAACCGTTCCCGAAACCTTGAATTTCACAACTCCTTCAACAATTCGCTGTGCCTCGACCCGCGCTTTCTGGAATCTTCCATCCACCGGATGCCCGACTTCACCCACTTTCACCCACTTTGACCGACACACCCGACTTCTATCACAGCTTCTGTCACTTCATATCTTGACTATGCATGCCATCTCAACAGGAACACAATTGATATTGCAGACACCTTGTGTCTTATGCATTTTGAAAACATAAACTACATCAGCGCTGCCTCCCTTCATAATCCTTATCATCATGTCCCGTGAGCCATCACTTTCTTTCGCCTTTCCATGCTGTACTGCCCAAATTCCGTCCAGGGGTATCATTATCCATGGCTCGATCCTTCTGACAACCCTCTCGAAACGCCAATTCCTTTGTCCTCTTTTTTCTCGTCCATCCATTACTCCATTAACATCATGACCTTGAGAGAAAATGACTGTGACCATGTGACAAGGAAAACTTGTCCATCAGAAGGAAGCTGCCATGAACAAAAGAGAAAAGATAAAGAAACCAACCCATACCATGGACCCCTTTTGACACTCCGTCTCATACACATCTTGCCTATGTCTGTTTGCAATTTTGTGCATCTCGCCTCAAAACCCAGTGGTGCTAAATGCTGGGTAGTACCCTCTGCTGCTTTCGACTCCCTGGAAGCGATTGCAACCTCCAATGCTCCATTGTGTTCCGGGCATCGCTTCAGGGTATTCTTCTCGGATCGAGTACTTCTTGTCGCTGACCTGTACGGCTCCAGACATCGAAGTCGGACTCTCAGCTTTGCCTTGCACTGATGTGCCATCGTACAAGGGGGCGGGGATGTATTGATAACCGGCAAAGTCCTGCATGGCGATGTCCTCGTCGTGTGTGGGCTCCGCTTCGAGCGTATGCTTGGTGTCAACGGGCTCGGCCACGCTTGATCCGGCACTGGAAGAGTATCCTTGTTCTGGCGACGCTGCTGACTGATACTGTTGGCTGGCACGGAATCCTCCAGTGTTTCCGGGACCGGTGGCGTAACCGGCTCCACTGAAACTGCCACGACTCAAGCCACCATAGCTTCCGCCAGAGTTTCCATAGCCTCCAGTGCTTCCACCTCGACCGGTAGATGATGAACCACCACCCTGGTTTTCTGCTTTGTAATGACTGGGACTTCGGCCGCGTACCACAACCTTGTCGCTAATCGCGCAAGCAATCTTGACCCATTTCGGCTTTCTGGTCTCATCTTCGCGGACGTCGACCCAAAGCTCAACCATGAGGTGGAAGTACTGCTGAGATGCTCTTCGCTTGCCGTTGTTAGCAGTTGCTGACTTGAATTGCACGCGTTCGAAAGTGTGTTGTATGTTTTGGCCTGGCATTGGCAATTGGTTGCTAGCCAGATGGCCAAAGGAGGAATATTCATGTCTTCGGCCTGCCGGAGATGTTGATCGACTTGATGCCGGAGATTCATCTCGAGTGTTCTGGAAAGGAAGATGAGGACCAGTAGGAACACCTGTGGCGTGGAAAGAAGACATTGGCACATGGTAGACGCCATGCGGGCTGAGAGTCGACTCGGCAGGGCGGCCATTGGGTGGAGTGGGAGATATCTTGATGATAGGAATAGCGTTCTTGGGTCCCCTGTCTCTCTTTGGTGTGTGTTGGATGAGTTCGACGCCTTTGCCAGTTTGTCCGTCCACGGCTGCAGTAAGTTTCATGCCCATGGCCTGGACTCTTTGACCATTGAGGCATAGTCTTCCATTACCGATGTGTGGTGTCAATTCGAACGAGCAGGTGACTGAAAAGTAGTTGCGACGGTAGCATGTCCAAGATCTATCAGGCGACAAGAAGAAGCCTTTCTCCATCTTGGCGTGAATCCTAGGGACAACTTCCTGGCCTTCACATTCGAGATTGTGGAACGCTTCGTGTTGTACCCAGGGAAAGTTTTGACATTCGCTGCGATGCGTTCCATATCCAGTAGTACTCAATGAAGCCATTTGCGCGGACAAGAGTGGATTTGAAGAAGGAGAGAGGGGAGTTGTAATACCAGTCAACAATGAACGAGGGGTCTCCGAGTAACCAGTATAGGTGGATGTTGGAGGAGAAGACAGATGGCTGGGCGTAGGAAGGTTACCTGAGTGGATGTTGTAGTCGCGTGTGGCGATACTGGTTGTAGAGGGTGACAACGAATGACCTATGGGAGATCGCCAGGACGCAAGACCTTGGGATGGGTCATCCAGGCTACAATGTCTTTGTGTCAGCGAACAGTGAACTCTTGATCAATAATGAATAATTGACGCCGGTCAAGGCATGTCAGATAACAAGAAAAGGGTCCAGACTCACATGCGTCCGCTCAGCCCAGGTTGATTGACAAAGTGTTGGACAGGTGCGACAGGCGCCGCATACGTTGTGTAATGGTTTGGGTAGTTTGCAGTGTAGGCCAATGAAGACGTGGCAGAACTGGGACTGGTTGAAATTGAACCAGTACTATCCCCAGCAGCAGCGGCAAAGCTTGTCGCACTTGGGTGATACCTTTCGCTGCGAGAATGTCAGTCATTGTTTCTAGGGAGTTTCATGTCGATAGGAAAATAAGAATTTCTTGAGGTACGCAGTGCAGGAAAAGGCTTGCATGTGCAACATCAGGCTGACAACGCGAGCGCGCGAAGTATAATGTTGGGAATGAAACGTGCATGAGCAACCGCAGGTCTGTAACAGCAGCGCCAGGCTTGTGATTCACGGAAAAGTGCTGGCACGTTGCCGGCCAAGATGTGGGTGATTTACAAAGGACTGAAGGGTAGATTCATATCGCAAGAAAATGAACCACGCCAGACCAATCATTTTTAGGCTGGGAAAATACCCAACCATTACGGCGGCACGAAATGAGGGGTTGAAGGTGCACAACTCATGTGACTGCGAAACGAAAAGTAAAAGAGACTTACTGGTCAGTATTAGTTACCGATCGATCTGAGATGTAATTGTTGGATAGCGAGAACATGCTCGCACTCGAATGTCCCAGGCCGTCGTCACGTCGGAGAGGATCGACGCTTCCGGTATTGTGGTAGCTAGGCTGATGTGCATGAACTCCGAGTTGCTCAAGACATTCTTGGTCCGGTGGCAGAGAATAATCGTGCCGTAGGTGCAGGAATGCTGTCCCTGACAAGACGAAGTGTTAGCAGTAGCTCTGGTTCAAATTAGATGGTCCGAACGAAACCAAGACAATCGGATATTGTCGAGGCCTGTAAGTTCTTGGCCAACAATGCATTGCGATTTATCCGTCGTACAACGGACGGACTCAACACCATAAAACTCGCAATATGCGGCTTCGTGTTGGGTTGAGAAATCGAGAAAAATCTTGAATGGCCTCTTACAATAGCAATGTGAGAATGTGAGACTTTCTTCCGGGTAAAGGCAGACGGGATAACAGTAAAGCCATCAGATAAAAATGAAAAGGGGAAATGCATACCAGAATTCATCGACGCGACCAGATTCATGTGAACAGATTGACGATGCTATCTTCGTGCAGGAAGTGGGGCTGGCTGTGCCGCAGCTGCTAATCAGCGCCAGATCGAACTGCATGGTGAGGATTTGAGGGAAGGAACGTCGCACCACCACGAGAAACATTCGTTGCATCGGGATAAACACAACTGTAGATATAGTGAAGCGAAAACTTACGACTCGTTATCAAAAGCTTGTCAGCTTTAGACTTCGCTGTTTTCTGAACTCTGCCCTGAGTTGTTGGTGATCTATCGACCGAAGAGGCTGGTTCAGCGGATGGGTCCGAGGTGCATCAGACTACTGCGATCCTGGTGAATGGCGATTCAGATTCAGATCCAAGGCTCAAACGACGCCACAGATGAAAAAGAGGATATCTGCTTTAAGCAAGCAAGATATATTGCGTGTTTGCCGAAGACCGGATACGATGTTCTTGTATTCTTGCGTTGAACTAGCGAAGGCGGTTATTGTAGGTCGGAAAGGCAGTTGACATGCGACGTGGGAAGCCAGTATGTATAGGACCTGCACAGATGCCATGGTAAGCAATGGTCTTGTTTCTTTCCGAGACAGATAATGACTTGTCATAGAGGATACGAGTCGGCTCGGTATGCTGCAGACCGAAACCAGAAGGAAAAAGGGAAAAATGAAAAAGCCCCGACATGATTCGAGATGGCGGTGAGGAAGGATGCATTCCTGCTTCTCGGCATCTGTCATGCATAAGAGAGACTTACAAGGATCTTCTTCTCCACACAAGATGTTAAATGGTCTGAGCGTGAGCAGCTGGATCTGCAAGCGCCTGTATGCACCTTGATAGATGTCAGTTTCAGGATTGATTGCGAGATCAACAGAAGATGACAAGACGCACAGTGAGGAAATGATGTGTCGGCACAGAAGGTTGGCGCAGAAGGTAAGTGAACGTCGATGCAAGTTTGTGACTTTTCCTTGAAGGCTCAGGTTTGAAGCTGTTGATTGTCCTCTTGATGATGGTTCGTGTGTGTTGTTGTGAGACTGCGAGGAAGTTAATAAGAGACGATGACGGCGACGATGAACACAAGATATAGTGTTCATTGTAGAAGATCCTGTGCCTACTCGAGACCAGCGATGATGTAGTAGTGGACTACTTACAAGAAAGAGATGAATAGTTTCAAAAAGACCAACAAAATCCAAAACTCGTCTGGCTTTTGAGAAGGATCTGACGCTTCTTTTCTACCACAAGGGTACCAGGCGACCTGACCGAAGAAGTTGCGTATTCGAGGCAACCGCGAACCCAATCGACGGGGACTAGTTCAGCCTCAGTTATGATCATAGCCATGGAGAGCTTAGACTATTCTAATTGCCTCTTGCGAAGAGAGAAGCGTAACACGGGAAAGCTGCAGTAGCCTTGTTGCCGAATTTGGTCTACCTACCTAACCCCGAAGCCAGGGAGGATGATTCGACTCAAATGCAACAGAGGCCCTTTCGGCCTTGATCACGCAGACGCGGAGCTCCTTGCTCTGGGAGGTGCAAAGGTTCATCATTAGGGACTCGATCATGAGCCGACAAATGCAGGTGATCCCTTCATACACATGCAGGAACAACAACTCGACTACTTGGCAGCGCTTGGGTCGTCGGCAGAACTTAGCGTGGTATACAACCAATTGGGCTACTGCCGGTACGTCTTGCTTGAACGGAAGTGGGCTGGATCTAAGTGGGGAGTGCTGACGATCGTCTCTACTTACTGACATGTCCCTGTTGTTTTACCGTAGGCGGCATATAATCCAAAACAAAAAAAGAGGATAGAATGTTTGTCAGGTCAGCACAGTAACTCGATCCGAGACAAAGGCCCGTAACAAACCGCTCGGCCCGGTAGATCCGGAAAGAGATCCAATGCAGACATTTGCAGGGCAGCTCTGCACTTGTCTCTTCTGGGTCGGTCGCTGGACCAGCCGTTTCCTGTCAGTTAACCCCGTAACCGGGCTGATACAGAAGATGCGCGAGAGGGTGCATCTTGCGGCGGCGGCAAGCAACGCCACGACCCGCGTCAAGTTGCATGCCATGCGGAGTGGGTCCTGATCATTTCAGCAGCATCGTCGACATACCAAGGCGTGGTTCCAACAAGAACCCGACCGCAAACAAACATGTACATTGGAGAGAATTGGTTGCCGCGTACTGACCATGTCTCGAGCGCGCGGCATCGGCTCCGTCGAGGGGATGACGAATGACTCAGATGTTTTGCTTCCCCTTGCTCCGATCTGAACTACGCCTCCCGCCCCTGGTGGATGTTCAAGCCACACGAATTGTGACGTGCAGGCGTCCCGGAGATGTCTTGATGGAGGATTGAGAGGAGAGGTGGTTGGAGCTGCTCATTTGTGAGCGCTCACTGTGATTGGCTGGTAAGCGACATGACTATACCCATGCAGGATTGGCACCGCTCGCCTTGCATGCCTTAGCTTGGTTTTCACTACCTCTCACCTCACATTCCTCCAAGAGCCTACTGTCTACTCTATATTCAGAACAAAGAAGTGCAAAAAGTATAGCTTTACAACCACCTTGACCCGACGGTTCTTGAAAATAGGCATCGAGTCAGATGGGTCGACGACTGGACAAACCACTGCTCTGGCCTTTTTTGAATCCAAGATTTGTCAAGGCCTTGGAGCTCAACGAATTCCTTGGTCCAGCGACGGCCTCCAGCATCCAACCCATATCAGTCTGACATACGGGTCATTTTGAAAGTTATCTCACTGCTACACACCTCTGTCGCCTTTTGCAGCTCAATCATGCACCCTACCGCATCCTTCATCCCCCGGCTCGGCTCGTTTCATGAGCGTTGGTTTCGTCCGTATCTACGAAAAGAATTTCGGCCAAGCGCCTGATGTCGGAAAGGTTTCTTTGTCTCAACAAAGCGCTGTCCGGTCTTCTGGCAAACTCTCGAGAATGGTCTATTCTTATCGAAAAACGACAATCTGGTGACTCGATATTCGCGTCACGACTGCTTCTCACAACTCGGTCCAGCAGATCGGTTCTTTGTGATGCAACGACTGCACTCTGGCTGACATATAGCGCACGCCGATCAGATGGCTTCTTGTGCAATTGTGGCTTCGACGTCAAAGATGAGAATACTCCGCCAAATATCCTAATGCCCAATTGACTCTGCATGTTGAACAGCATCCAGAGACAAACGCATGTCTCTTGAACACCGCAGCCTGGAATAAAGGTCAGAACATCTTGTTTGGTATCTACTATGCGGATTGATCACTCGCTCCGGTTCTCGATGCGCCGATTTGTCATTGCCCTGGTTGATTCGGTTGACTCGTCAAGTTTCGCTCTTCTCCAAACGCACGATGTCGGTGAGTCCCAGCCTTCTGGGTGCGTTCCAGGAGGATAACAACGAGTGTACAGTACTGTAATGTACATGTGCCCGTGCTGTGGCCAGTTCTGATACTGTAGGCAAGCGCTGCCGCAGCACTTTGCCGCAGATCTCGTGAACAATTCGAGGACGAACGTGCGTGCTATATCCATCTTACTGCGGGGCTCCATAGATCCAGGCACATCCGGCGGCTTCATTGGGGGAGCTTCCGTCGTTGAGAGTAGGCGCTGAAAGAGACCTGCCAAAACCCGCGCCGGTCCGTATTCCGCACGGGGCGACTTACGGATCTAAAGAGTCTATGGAGCGGCGACCTGCAGCATCTCAACCAGGGAAATATTCACGCACAATACATGGGCATAACTTGATTGTGCTTCGAGGATCTGGCGCGGCATGGCCTGACTAGAAACGTGCTATACTCCTGCAGCTGTGTTGCTCCCAACGAAAGATCATGACTATAAGTCGAATCTGCAGGAAATGTAACAGGTATTTGTCAAGAAGCCAATCATTGTATGGAGAGCTCTCCAGGTGAGCAAAGCACTTGACAACACCCAGGTGATCGGACTTGACCCACTTCCCCTAAACCTCTACCTCGGTGTCGGATTAGAACAAAGTATACCCAATCGACCTTCTTTCTACCATGCTCATGCCATACTCGATACTCCAACATGGTGTGGGCAGGGATTCAATCCACGGTGCACGACGGAGATTTGAGGCTTCCGTGTCACGAACTGACGCTGAGCAGCGCGGGAAAGCACCATTAGCTCTGCACAACACCGAAGACGCAATTCTGGCCTTGTTTTTCATAACACCACTTCCGCCTTATAGCAGTCTCCACGACTTCGTCAGCCCCTTTGATGAAGCGAACTGCTGGCCTGTGCTGTTCAAAGAAAGAACATGGACAACCACAACCTCAGGGTGGCTTGAAAGCTTGACGACCAAGCAGTTTCATCTCCATCTCACAAAGCTTTGAGACATTGCTTCTGATGGTCCAGTGACTTTGGCATGTGGGGATCGCGTCTTTCTATGGTCCGTCAGCGCTGCCTGATAGACTTCCTTCCCCCATCCAGTTCCTGAGCAGCTTTGCATCACACACGTTGCCTGATGTATTTAACGCTAGCAGACTTTTGAAAGTATCGAAGTCTCCACAGTCTTTCGGGTTTGTCAATCAACTACGCGTCATGTCGTCGTCGTGATGTTGGAAAGTACCGATCAAAGGATGAATTCAATAGTGCTGTATATGCAATGCGCATACGGTCAAGCTGGAGAAGGCAAGTGAACCATGGACCCGATGCTTTCCGCGACGCTTAGCTGCCTGCCAGAACTTTTGCCTGCTCTCCGACGCGTAGCTGCTTTCCATAACTCATCCTGCGCACTTCGGTATCTAGATGAGCAAGTCTGGCCTTGCCTGCCTCTCATGCCGATCTCGAGGTCCTGAACTTCCCCTCTCGCTCAGCCACCAACCTGTCTGCCAGAAGATCAACACGCTTTGTAATTGAGAGAGACTTTGAGAGAAGCGCCGCGGTCGGAAGGACGGCGCATGCAATAAGCCGCAAGTGTTGAGAATCGAGTCGGGGGTGGAAAGCGTTGCTCTTGAGTGTAACTCCCTCTTTGGTCTTTGCAGTGAGCGCGGCGACTATCCACGTCTGCTTTTTCTCTACTTGCTTTGCTTGACGATCAATTCCTTTGTTCGTGAACCTCGTTGATGCGTTGTAAGCATGTGCATCTAGGCAATGACGACTTGAGATGATGCGGTACCGAGGAGGCTCGTTGATGACTGCGTTGAAGCAAGACGCGTACCAGAACGCGTTGGCTTTGTTCAAGAGACCTGATAGCACATGCATGGCTTGTCCGTCTTTGTCGCTGCTGGATGGGAACAGACATCTACCCCTCTTCCGAAACCACGGTCTAGCTGTAGTCGAGGCGATGCGCAGTAGCAGTGTCGAACATCTACCCTGGTGGGGTCAGGGTGGTCCACGGATAACATGCCAAAATCCTCATTCGAACCACATGACCTGGTTGACATCCTGTTATAGCAATAAGCTGATGGTGTGGACTGATACTATTGCCGTGACGAAGCTGTATGTCAGGTTTCGTGCCTGTTTTTGCGTGTTTGGTAAATTCAACCCGTCAACTGCGAACATGCCAAGTTCAGAGGCAAAGAGCTCTCACTGACCATTTGCATCGATATCAAAACCTTGTTGCATCTTGACACGTTTTTTGTACCAGCACTGGCACACGGAGAGAGAGCTCGATTTTGGTGCAGAACTAGGGACTCCTGTAAGTCGCAATGGCATGTGGCATCTCAGAAGCACAATAGTGCCGGGTGTGTGCACATCAAAATGTACAATAATTTTTGATAACGTGCAAATGCCCAAAGAAAGCGAAGAAAGCGATCGCTTTCACAGGATATTTGCAACAAACACAAGATCAATTTGTAGTTTGACATGGGTTTTGCACTGGTAGTCGGACGAGGAGAGAGCTCGATTTTGACGCAGGTCTGGGGGCTACTGTACATTGAATCAATGCCCACTGTTCCAAATGTTTTTTTTTCTCCGGAAAAGGCGAGATGTCCAGTGAGGGCATCTGATGTTACCACTCTCTTTTGGACAAACACTCTGATTCCAATTGCCTCTTGCCTTTTGGCATGTATAATCAAGTATGGGTGTGCAGCTAAATCTCGCAGAGGCACACACAATCCAGAAGCTTCCGATGCCGATCGCGCACCTCAAGCAGTAGCTTAAAATCACAAGCAATCACAGGCCTCACTTACCGCCGTGCCCATGTTCATCAGACTCGTGAAGCCGATGCTCTCGACCGCTCGTTGAGGCACCCCGCGAAGGACGATCTTAATGTTGATGTCGAAGAAGCCCCTATCGTCGTTTACCAAAACCTGAACAGAGCTGGGAAGTTGAAGCGAGCCGAGGAGAACGACGATAGAGAGTATGAAGGGGAGGAAGACGAGGAAGACGAAGAAGACGAGGAAGACGAGGAAGACGAGGAAGACGATGGAGACGAGGGATGCTCAATGGGCTCGAAGCAATTGCTTTCTAACTGCTTAGTCGGTCGTAAATGGTTTTGTGGTGATGAAATGTTTGGATATCATTACTTCATGTCAAGCTGATACTGTAAACCTCTACTGAGCATACTGAAGCTTGTAGGGGACAGAAGAGCCCAGTCTGTCCACAATGATCTTCTCGGTCAACTTCCATAGATTCTCACCAAGCTGCTGATCACGAGCCTCACTAGATGGGGTGGTGACCTTGCGGTCAGGCACGATCTGGTGCACTTATTAGTGACTGTGTCTCCAGTAGATTGTTTGCCAGGACTTACGTATTGTCCTTGAACACCCTCCTTGACAATGTCCTCGCTTGTTGCTGCAAAGAGTGCTGGGCGACATCCATCATCAACAGGATCCTTCAGGAGGGGCTTCACCACTGCAACACCAATTTTTCCCAGAGTACCGTACGCGTCTTCTGCTTGCTTTTGCTGGTCTGTCTGAATACCTCCGGGATGAGTAGCATTCATGTACGGTCCAACCTTTGCATCGGCGTCGAAACCCAGCTGAGCCTTCTCCTTGCGGTCTTGCAAAGCACGAATATACAGAACTTGTGCAAGTTTGGTTCTGTTGTATAACTTCATAGCGCCGATGTCCTTGTTGAGCTCTTCTAGCGACTCGAACTTGACATCACTAATACCGCGATGAAGGTCCGAGGATTGAAGAACCAAACGACTGCCAGGAGTCTTTTGTAGCAAGGGGAGCAGAGTCTGGGTCAAGTGGAACTGTGAAATGTGGTTGACCTGCATGTGCGAGTCAATGCCGTCCTTGGTCAAATTGAAGACACCAACACCTAGGCCAGCATTGCAAACGAGTCCGTCCAGTCTGTCGAGCTTCGAAGTCAGTTCCTTGGCTACCTGGTCAGTCTGCTTCAAATCTTCGAGCTCGATCTGAACAGAGTGGATTTTGGAGACATCTCCGAACTTCTTCAATCGTTCTTCGGCTTCTTGAATGTGTTCCTCCTTCTTGCCGAGGAGGTACAAGGCAGCAGGGTTGTGCTGTAGGATGTGGGCACAGATACCGAATCCAATACCAGCCGAGCCCCCCGTCACGACGAAGACCTGCGATGTCTTAGTAGAGGACCAAAGCATTCTCGTTGCTATATGTACCTTGCCTGAGAGATCAGGGATGTCCTTGTTAGGGTCGAATGTGTTGCTGCTTCCGAACATATTGATATTATGGAATATACTGGATTGTGGATGAAGGAGAGATAACACGATGTTGTTTAGTTATAGAAATTGCACTCATGACCATCGAGGAGTTGCTCCGCATATCGTTTGCTTAGGCTGACGTCAATACCTTGGATGACGATGTGACCACTTGGGTAACGTGAAGACGTGCCAGATTTATCGGAAGCGTAGGTACATATCACACGACATCTTGAGGAGAACACGCACCGAATATATCTTGACCAAGAATGATTGGGCTTGCCTGTTTTCAGCAACGTAGGCTCAAGACCAGTGCGGTCAATGTCACTGTGCATGAAAATGCACAATGTAGTTAAGAGTTGAGAAGGGTGCCAGTTGAGGGGCCAGTAATTCTAGCTCTCAGCAGAGCCTCCCTCAATGTTGAATAACATTGTGCATCGGATATTGAAAGCGAACGAGTCCAGGTTCATGGAAGAATAGAGTTGATGATGTCGGCAGTGCCCCAGATTTCGGCAGGTGCGTCCAGCGTGGTCGGGCCGCAGGCTGGAAAAGCAGCAGCGTGATCGGGAAGCCAGCGACGGGAGTTTACAGTGGATACCTTAGCTTCTCGTGCATCTTCACACTTGCTGTTACAAGCAGAGACAACAATGGCAGTAGACATGGATACTGTGAGGGAGTGGCTCACATGGAGCTTCAGCCCATCGCTCGGAGCAATTGTCTTCACGCTGCTGCTGTCGCTGTCGCTGCCCATCATCTTCCACCTGTTCCTGTACCGTCAGCGCGCCGCTGTCGTTGTACCATCTTTTGTCCTGCTCGGCCCCAGTGGCGCTGGCAAGACGACGCTTCTCACTCTGGTGCGATTGTTCAAGCTACACCTGAGCGACACAGACACTAACAGCACGTACAGTTCGAGCGCGGCACACCCACTGCTACCCACACTTCGCAAGCTCCTCAGACCGTCACCTGCAATCTTCCAGCTGGCGTTACCGCCGAATCGCACAAATACCGCGCTTCTGATGACCCCTCGACCAAGAAGGAGCGTCAGATCGATGTGACCGACACACCTGGCCATGGCAAACTTCGCCAGCACGCCTACGATGCCATTACTTCGGCTACCTCTCTCAAGGGTCTGATCTTCGTCGTCGATGCGGCCGCCATCTCCAGCCCCCAAGGACTTGCCGAAGCAGCTACCTATCTTCACGACATTCTACTTGCATTGCAAAAGCGACACACTGGAGCAAAGACCAGCAAAGGCCCTGCAGGAATCCCCGTCTTGATTGCAGCAAACAAGCTGGATCTATTTACTGCACTTCCTGCTCAGCTGGTCAAGAAGCGCTTGGAAGAGGAAATCACAAAGATCAGATCGACCAGGGCAAAGGGACTGCTTGACAGTGCAGTAGACATTGAGGGAGACGATGAGGACAGGGAATGGCTAGGTGAAGGCGGTGAGGGCAACTTTAACTTTGGGCAGATGAAAGAGGCCGAGATTGAAGTGAGCGTAATTGGAGGCAACGCCAGCGCAAAGGGCGAGGAAAAGACACAGGTCGAGCAGTGGTGGGGTTGGATCGCACAGCAAATGTGAGCTGTAGGTATGTATCAGGCCATATTCACTTATGCGACAAATGAGAAGAATCATACGAGGCTGATTGTGATGGCGTTATGCGCAGGATTCATTGCGTCTCGGCGTTACTAAAGAAATCAAACAAGCTTTGAAGGGTCCAGCAGCTCGCCTTCACAGGGCGTCGACGGGCGTCCAAGCAGCAGACTGCCTGTTTTTTCACTGCGACCATCCTTTCACTTTGCGAGCCTTTGCTTTCTTTACTTATCTTACTCTTCCTCTCTCTTACTCCTTCCTCCCTCCTCCGTACTTACCACCCAACATTACACTCTACCACAACTTCGATCAACATCCACCATGTCGATCAAGTCACACCCCAGACACCCCCCGGTCGTCATGTCGACCATCACCGAGCAGATCGGCAACACCCCCCTCGTTCGTCTGAACAAGATCCCTCAGTCGCTCGGTCTCAAGCCCACCATCTACGCAAAGCTTGAGTTCTTCAATGCTGGCGGCAGTGTCAAGGATCGCATCGCCCTGCGCATGATCGAAGCTGCCGAGGCCTCTGGCCGCATCCACCCCGACAAGACCACCTTGATCGAACCCACCTCCGGAAACACTGGCATTGGTCTTGCCCTCGTCGGCGCCGTCAAGGGTTACAAGGTCATCATCACTCTCCCTGAGAAGATGTCGCAAGAGAAGGTCGCCGTCCTCAAGGCTCTGGGTGCCGAGATCATCAGAACCCCCACACAGGCTGCCTACGACAGTCCCGAGAGTCACATTGGTGTCGCCAGAAGACTGGAAAAGGAGATCCCTGGCGCCGTCATCCTGGACCAATACATCAACCCCGACAACCCCAGAGCCCACGAGCTCGGCACAGCTGAAGAGATTTGGAAGCAGACCGATGGCAAGATCACTGCACTCGTCGCCGGTGCTGGCACTGGTGGCACCATCACTGGTCTGGCCAGAGGAATCAGAAAGCACAACAAGGACGTCAAGATCATCGCTGCCGACCCCCACGGCAGTATCCTTGCTATGCCCGCTGCCTTGAACGATGACTTCAAGGACCAGCCCTACAAGGTCGAGGGTATCGGCTACGACTTCATTCCTGACGTCCTGGACCAGTCGGGTGTTGACACCTGGTTCAAGACCGACGACCGCACAAGTTTCGAGTACTCGAGAAAGCTGATCAGAGAGGAGGGTCTCCTGGTTGGAGGAAGCAGTGGTAGTGCTATGGCCGCCTGTGTCAAGGCCTGCACTGAACTCAATCTCACCGAAGACGATGTCGTTGTTGTCATTCTGCCTGACAGCATCAGAAGCTACTTGAGCAAGGTATGTCTTCAGACTGTCATTGTCATGTTTGCCGTCTTACTAACCGCGTCAACAGTTTGTCGACGATGATTGGTTGGCCGCCAACGACCTCCTCCCTCCTACTCCCCCGCTTTCCGCCCCTACCACACCTGTCGCAAAGTCCGAGGACGGCAAGAATAAGGATGGCTACGGTGATGCCACCATCAGAGATCTGCGCTTGAAGCCCGTTACCACCATCTCCGCAGACTCGCCATGTGGAGACGCCATTGAGACCATGCGCGAGAAGGGCTTCGATCAGCTCCCCGTCTCGGCCGGTACTGGCTCTCGTCTTGTCGGTCTTGTCACTCTCGGAAACCTTCTCTCATACCTGTCATCTGGTCGTGCAACTGGCAGCTCTCGCGTTAGCGATGTCATGTTCGACTTCACAAAGATCAACGAGGTCGTGACTAACACTCAGGACATCAGCATCAAGACTCCTGAGGAGCGCAAGAAGGCAGCCACCAGCAGCGAGACTGAGAGCCACCCTCAACGCAGACAGTTTGTCGAGATCACAAAGGACACCAAGCTGAGTGCCTTGAGTCGCTTCTTCGAGTGGAACAGCGCCGCCATTGTCACCGAAAAGACATCCGAGAAGGGTGGCTACAAGGCTATGGCAGTTGTGACCAAGGTTGATCTCCTTACTTGGTTGGTCAAGTCGTCGAAGAAGGATTGAACTGATTGAGAAGGGGTTAATACGGGGGCGTTCAGGAGAGATGGGACAGGATCTTAGCATCTGACATGCTAGGGAGTCCAGCTTTTGCATGCACATCAGGAGGTAATTTGATGGCACAAGGACCTATAGGTCCTTTTTAGATAAGTATACCCATGCATTTTCGTTTATCCAGCAAGGTGTTCAGTCATGTGTTTTTGATTTAGAGAAAGGGAAGTTGCGATGGTGGAAGTCTTCGCTAGTTGGTCATGGTGCTTGCCGCAGTAGGACTGGACTGTCTCTTTCCCTTTATTTTCGTCTGCTAACAAGATTTGCGTCGACTGTACCAGATCTCGTCCCAGACAGACATTCCTTTATTTTGTACTCGGTGCATCGAAAAACAGTTGGCATCATCCAAGAAGCCGACAATCGAGATTGTCTGGAAGCAGAGAGCAGAAGGTCTCAGCAGGTACGTGATGGAGGTCGTGAAGCTTTGTGCTGGTGCCTGATTAACATGGCAGATACAGTTCCATGGACGTCTCCAAAGCGGCACATGGGCATCGACAAGACCAGCACCGCCGCCGAGCCCTCCTGACGTTGCGTACAATCCGCTCTCTGTTCCAACGCGTCCACCAAAGTGTCCGCTCACGTCTACATTTCCATCGCTCGCCACAAAACCACACCACAGACAACACCGCCATTGTCATCCCACCTGTCTCCGAATCTCCTGGAATCAATCCCCCCAGCACCCCAGTACAAAGTCCATTTGCTATCGACACTTTGATCATGTCGTCTGTCCATATCACAAGACGTGCGACGCGTCAACTACGCAGACGTGAAGAGAGCCCGCTCCAACACGCACTTCGTAGATCTCGTCGTGTTGCTGGAGAGCGACCAGAAACCGGTCCCTACCAACCTCCCCCTCGTCGTCCGCCCCGCCAGGAGCCAGCATACCAGGAACTTGCTCATCCTCGCTCGCCAACTCATCCTTCTCCACCGTCTTCGGATTTCACTTTTTCGCGACCCGATCCACCTGTGCCCGACCCTGGTTTCTCTCCCAACACCACGCTTCACAATCTGCGTCAGCATCTTAACACCCGTTACCCTCTGGTTGACAACATGTCTTACCTCCGTACACGTCGAGACTCGGCCTCTGACACGCGCCCACAGAGCCCACCAGCTCCCATCAAGAGTGAAGAAGATGCCACTCTGCCAGAGGAGAAAGAGCTTGAGAGAGTTTGTGATATTTGCTGTGAGGCTGCCGATGCGGTACTCCAGCCATGCCGCACATGTCCTACCTCGTACTGCGGAGACTGTATCAGGTCCATGTTCCTTGCTGCCACTCATGATTCAACCTCGATGCCGCCGAGGTGCTGTAATATCCTTCAAACCACAGTCGCTCTTGACTTCCTCACCACTACTGAAGCCGATGATTACCGCCTCAAGTTTGAGGAATGGGTCTCGATTAACAAGACGTATTGCCCTGTTCCACAATGCTCCAGATTCATCCCGGATCGTGCTGTTCTGTCACCACCTTCAGCAGATCCTATCAATCTTTGGGGCCTTTTGAAGCGAGAACTTCCTCGCATCATGGCATCCCTCAAGGCTACCGATTGCGCTAAATTCTTCCGAGGACCATCGGACCCTGCCGCTCATGGACATGATTGGAAGCCTTCCAAGAGGCCCATGGTTTGGCTCAACGACATCTCTGCAAGGTTATCACGATACGCCGACCTCAATGACTTCATGTCCGACTTCAATCGCCTAATCTTGAACGCACGCTCCTTGCCACCAAATCATCCCATCGCCGTGAGTGGCGAAGAACTACGAAAGCGCATGTGGCAGGAGGTCAGTAACATCAAAGCTCGACCCAATAGCAACTTCTCGACTCTACCTGCTGGTGCTTGCTTTTCTTGTCCTGGCTGCCACATCGGTATATGCGCCAGCTGCAAGCAAGTTGCTCATTTTGGTACACCATGTGATACTAGTGCCCAGGACCACGAGGTAGCAATGCTCGCAACATACGGTTACAAAAAGTGCCCACGATGTGGGCATGGAGTGAAAAGAATGTATGGTTGTCGCCACATGCAATGCCGCTGTGGTGCTCACTGGTGTTGGGGTTGTCTGCTCCCTATAGAGGATTGTGATGGAGGTTGCGCGCCTCCTAGCCCTGACAGTGAGGACGGGTATTTCAGTGATGAAGACGAAGACGAAGAGCCTGACACTCCGACTGAAGTCATGCCACAGGCGGGTCCAAACGGTGATACGAACGCTGGGGCCCCTACGCCCGCAGCTCCCGCTCCAGCAACCACCTTCCCTCCGGCAATCCTTACATCCAATGTCTCCACAGATGCAGCTCCATCCACTTCCTTCGCTGAGCGTCCAGTCAATCTTGACGGTGGTGGCCATCGTGTTTGGGAGGCTACCGGCGCTGATTTTGGCGGAGAGCCTGATGATAGTTATCACGATCCCATCTGGTCGTGCGAGCATGTTTTCTATCCCACTCAACTGCCCGAACCGGCATTCTATAGAGGTGTGCCACTTGGTACCGAGTGCTTTCGCTGTTTCTCCAGGACTTATGCGACCATTCAGAGAAGATATCCTGGTACTCCTCCTCCACTTGAGAGCCTTGAAGACAGATACAAGCATACCCCAGAAGCAGACGTGGCATGGCAGTGTGCGAACTGCGAAATGTCGCTCTGTGGAGTCTGCAAGAATGACATGAGATGGGAGAGAGGTTTGTGATTTGATTCAGCATCATCATATCCTAGCAGCATATGCACAGGATGAGAAGGAATGGGATTGAAGAGATCAGCAACGGAGACCCATGACGTTGCACAGTCAGATCATTGAGATCAATTGCTTCCTTGCTGTACATTAGAAAGGGATATTTTTGGGTCCGGCAGCATTCGTTTCTTGTTCTTGTACTTCTACAGCGAGCGGTGTCGAGGACATTTGCAAGCATTCCTACTGTTTCTATATTCTAATTCTAAAGTTTTTGCTTCACTTGCAATTTTCTTGTCCTCCCCCGAAGTACGGCTGATGTTGACCGGTGTCACCCTCTCCTGAACTTCGACATCATGCATCGTGCCATTCACCACTCTCCTCCCTGTTCTAGTGATAGGGGGGCGAGTACCGGATGTTCGTCTACACCGATCAAGTCAAGATTAGGCCATCTGGTACTCTGTTTGATCGTTCGGATTTACGCTGCTTTCCTGATCCGTTCACCAAATCGCGGTGGAATCATTGACAGCTTTCCCAAACATTGAATACTGTAAATGTCAGCAAGCAACGCAAAAACGTGTCAGTTGGTACGGAAAGGGCTCAATGTAGGCTAATAAGAGTTATATGAATGATCGATCGAAGTATGTGGATGCTTGATGGTTGGCGAGACTCGAGAATATGTGTGTGGCAGGGTTACCCTGCGGACATGTGGACTTGATGCGTGAGTTTTGGGATTGAGGGTCAGCTGTGGATAGCGTGTTTTCGCATTTCGAACGTACGGAGAAGAAAGTTGGTGCTCGGACACTGTCAAGGTGGTACTCTAGTGAACTGATCCACAAGTCACTTGTGGATCGGTGGACTCGTTGTGCTTGGTCGCAGTGCGACATGCTCGATGGCCGTACTCGTACTCGAACTCGGACTCGACATTGACGGGGATATTGACAGCACACAGGAACAAGATCGCGTAGGAACATGGGAAGGACGTTTGATAGAGTTACAAGAGTTTGTGAATTGTAAACCGAGGCAGAACAGGACCGCTGCGCCCATTCCACCTGCATTAACTAAAAAAAGAGTTTGTCGTCTCATATCGTAGCATGAAAAGGTATTGTCGTCAAGAACAAGGGAAAACAAGTGTCTGAGGTGTTAAAGAACACTTTACATCTTTCCCTTGACCTCTTCAGCCTTGCCCTTGGCCTGACCCGAGAGCTCGTTGGCCTTGCCCTTGGCCTCACCCATCAATTCCGAAGCCTTGCCCTTGACTTCACCGGTGGTGGGTGATGAGCTGGACATCTCGTTGACCTTGCCCTTGGCTTGTCCGGCGAGCTCGTTGGCCTTGCCTTGTGCTTGGCCGGCGATGTTGCTGGCCTCACCCTTGGCCTCACCGGCGCTTACGTTTGCGGCCGACTTGAGGGATGCGGCGGCTTGCTCTGTGAGAAAACATGTCAGTAAAGGTTCATGAGAGAAAGATGGATAGAGGTAGAAGATCACATACCACCCTTCTCGATACCCTTGACGGCGGCATCAGAGATGGTTCTGTCGACTGCTTGGGCCGTCTCCTTGATGGTCTCAGTGGCAGACTTCTGGAAGCGCGCGTTGGTGCTGAAGAGGCGGGCGTTGCGGATGATGGTAGAGCGGAACATCGTGGCGGTGTTTATGTGGATTGAGTAGAAAGCTGAGTGTAGAGGTAGTGTTTCTTGGGTTTGAAAAGTAGATGGAGTGTCAAGATGCAAGAGCGACCAAGTGTTTATAAGGTGGAAGTTATTTTGCCTTGGTGGAGACAGTTCACAGCTGAGGTAGCCATGACATCACTTGCATCCGGCCACTTTCGTGGATTTTGTGGGGTAGCTAGAGCTCGGTCCTTCTTTTCGCACGTTCGAGTCGTCTCCAGATGATTGACGTTTCTCTGAGGACATTCATCGTGATCCTGCTTGGAAAGAGGATGCTAATGATTTGAGATGATGAGTGGGCATTGAGATCCTGCATTTCAAGTCTCTCTCAGAGATAGGATGTTCATGGCATCTACAACTCTAGATGTCAAAGTAAACTTCTGCAGCCTCGATACGCGTGGAAAGCCACACGAAGAAGGAAACGGCCACTTTGCTGTTCCGATCAAGCCCGTAACTTTGCCATGGAAACAGGTTCCTGCTTTACCTTTTGTATTGGCTGGATCGATCTGTCGAGTATGTTTTACGAATGAAGAATTGCTCGGAAGCATCTGTACCCGATGCTTTAAGTCTATCTGAAATATGATATTTTGAATACGCTTCTAAGGAGTTGCCCGCAATACCTTCTATGTGTCCAATTTCTTTCTATGCAATATCTGTAGTTTGGTCGATCTAAGACGACTTGACCTGCTCCTTTTTTGCTCTGTCCTTGGCAAGTTTTTCTTGCTTCGAGAGCTGTGCCTCGACAAAGACACCTCCAAATACAAGACCAACACCAACCCACTGCATCGAAGTGAGACGGTGACCGAACCAAACCACTGACAATATCATGGTAAGCATCTTTCTGGTTACAGTGACGGTAACCAAAAGAAGTGATCCGAATGTCGACAGAGTGTAGACTGCCAGACGAGTTAGCTCTTGATTATCCTTGTACGCCGAGGAATGATAACTCACAAATGAACATTTGACCCAGAGCACCACAAGCTGCGAAAGCGAAGATGTCCCATCCGACACTAGGGTGTCTTGAGATGAAGTTAATGGCATAACTCAGCTCGCCTCCAGAACTGGCACTCATGCCAAGGTATGCTCCGACGGGTGTTGTGGCGATGTAAGGCGAGATCAACAGATAAACCGAAGTCAACAAAGTACTGATGAGGTTGAGTGCGCACATCATCTGCTGTCCAGTGTAAGGTCTGTATGATTTGTAAATATGGTCCTGAGTCGAGTTGGTTAGACCGTCGAAAAGTAGGTTGATGCCGAGAAGCAGAAGTCCCCATGCACTGCTACCATCGGCACCCTTCTTCTTGGAAGAGGTGGGATGGTGCAGAGTGAAAACAGCTACACCAGCTGTCACAAGTGCCACGACGCAGTACTTGTAAAGAGGGTACTTGCGGCGGAAGAGAGTAACGTGCAAAGCCATAACAGGGAGAAGCTTGCATGATTTGGCCAGGATGAAGGTGATGTAGTCGACGTGCTTGAGAGAAGCGTAGCCAAAAGGAGAGGCCAGAGAAGACGTGACCGCTACCATGAACATGGGGAAAACAATGTTGCTGGTAGGGAAGATAGGCAGGTCATTCGACGTTTTGCGGGTGAACAGAACGTAGAGATATCCAAGTAGTGCCGCAAAAGTCGATTGCACTGTGTTGATGAAGACCGGAGAGTTGAACTTTTCCGGAGCCAGAGAACTTCCATACACGGACGTCGTGATGCGTTCCTGCAGGAAACCCCATGCTAGGCTGAAATTTCGTTAGTCCGCAATTCTGATGTTTTTGTATGTGGGCAGGACTTACAAACTTGCGTAGATTCCTCCTACGCAAACCAAAAGTTGCGAGGTTGTCTGCGCACTCCCAGATGATGATCGATCGGTCGACAATCCATCGACCTGCCTTTGCAACAGGTCCTTCTCTTTCAATTCTCCATTTGCACTCCTCTGCTTTAACACGCCATTGTTCGCCATCCTGATGTCGTCGCTTGCTGGAAAGTCGAAAGGCGAGGATCGGGATCCAGGGTTCAGTGACGAAGTTGTCAAAATATTCAAGGTCGAAGGAGAAGAGAAACAACTTCGAAATTATATTAGATGGGTCGTCGTTCTATTGATTTTGGTTTCAAAAAAAATGCTCAGGGTCAACAACCAGCTGTCCTTCTCATTGTCAATCGAGGCTAAATTTGGAAAAGGCTAAGCCGAACTGGGCCAAAATTGACCTCGGCCTTGCGCTCATGACGATTCGAAGGCTCCAACAGCGAAGACAATTCGACTATAAAGCTCTAGGGCATCATCATTTGTGCTCGCATCGTGCCTAGAGGGCTTTAAGTATAGCTGCAAGAGTTCGATGACAATAGGAAGCCTGCTTTCACCGTCACCCGCTACTCGCAGTAATTACTAATAGTGGCTTCCCTAAGAATCGTCGTGGCTCGTAATAGAGAAGCACTGCTCCGAGTTAAAAGGCTAGTAGCTACATCTCTCTAGACGCTCAGAAGTTGCTTTAACTAAAGTCATTCCTTTCTTCAGTTACAAATATGTATTAGCATTATTATTCTTATCCAAAGTGCTGTCTCTACTTCTTGGTCACTTAACCTCTTGACCGTGCTTTAGGGTCTTTGAAGAATGAGCCGTTGATTGTTCAAGTCTGGATCACCTTCACCCTCCGGAGTTCTGGAGATGTCACCAAACGACTGCGGAGGATGGAGTGTCTGGAACCTCAATGGTGGTCATTGGGGGCCATCCAACTGCCAGAAAGCCGACCAGGAGCTCGCAAAGGTAAACAGTGCTTCTCAGCCGTGGCAAGGTATGGAGTTCTTCAATTTCGGGTATTGTCCATCCAAAGGTTCTCCGGCATATAAACATCAATAGGGGTCAGCCAGGATAGCCGCCATATCAGCAGTCGGGCGGCTATCAAATGTTGTAGAGTAAGCGCCCACCGGTAGAATGCAAAAGCCGGAGATGTTCAACTCGGCAACCTGAGAGGCCGACACCGCTCAAGTTTTGCCAAAATGGGGAGAGGGGTGTTTCGAGGAAGAAACATGTTGGAAGGACATGACAAAGAAGGTGCAAATGATTATTTGTCGGTGTATATTTCTATTGAGTCAATTCATCCGTGCAGCTTGCCTCGTTTCATCCGCAGCCTTCCATTGACAGAAGATTGTTAAGCTTCTCGGTCTTAATGTGAGAGGAAAGATGGCAGTATGCACGGATGTTCCGATTCTACCGGCCCTCTCTCGGCTCTCTGGCGTCATTGGTGGGACGCTCTCAGACTCAACGTAGACAACACTTTTCTCTGGAGATCAACAGCGTTCTTTCTTCTCTTCTATCATCACATACCTCTGTCAAATCATTCAAAATGGGTTACGGAGAAGTTGACCAGACCGCCATCAACACCATCAGACTGCTCGCAGTAAGTCTCACCCCACCCACCGCTCAACTACCCCTCCATGGAGCTTCAAGGAGTCGTGACCGCTTGTTGAGTCGCCACATCCACGTTGCCTGCCATGCCAAAGCGTAGTCAATGATGGACCAGACTGACATGAGATACTCCCACAGGTCGATGCGACCGCCAAAGCCAACTCGGGTCACCCCGGTGCCCCTATGGGCATGGCCCCCGTCTCGCACGTTCTTTTTAACAAGTTCATGCGTTTCAACCCCAAGAACCCCGACTGGGTCAACAGAGACAGATTCGTTCTCTCGTAAGTCTCTTCCTCACCAATCGATTGGGCTGGCTGTCGGGTCGTATCTGATACAATGATTGTTTTTTTGTTATCATGGGATCCGGTGGGGGAGCTTCTCCACAAAGCTCAGCCCGACATCAAATGCCGATAACACGAATATGAGTTCTCGAGAAGACTGCTAACAGCATTGGCTCACAGGAACGGTCACGGTTGCATGCTCCAGTATGCTCTCCTCCACTTGTTCGGCTATGCCTTGAGCATGGACGACATCAAGGCTTTCAGAGTGAGTTCTCGAGAGACTGCCGAAACCAACGGATCGCTTCTAACATGAAAACAGACCATTGACAGCATCACCCCCGGTCACCCCGAGGCTCACGACACCCCCGGTGTCGAGGTCACCACTGGTCCTCTTGGTCAGGGTTTCGCCAACGCTGTTGGTCTTGCCATGGCCCAGGCCCAGACCGCTGGTACCTTCAACAAGCCCGGCTTTGACCTCATCAACAACTACACCTACTGCTTCTTCGGTGACGGTTGCGCCATGGAGGGTATTGCCTCTGAGGCTGCCTCCACCGCTGGTCACTTGCAGCTCGGCAACCTGATTGCCATCTACGACGACAACCACATTTCCATTGGTGAGTACTTAATCAATACGCATTTGCCCGGGCCTCGCTGACAAGCAATCAGACGGCGACACCAAGTGCGCCTTCACTGAGGATGTCATGAAGCGTTTCGATGCCTACGGCTGGCACTGCGAGTACGTCGAGAAGGGTGACACCGACCTCCAGGGTATTGAGGATGCCATCAAGAGATGCCAGGACGTCAAGGACAAGCCCTCAGTCATCAAGCTCACCACTACTATCGGTTTCGGTTCCCAGCTCCAGGGTACTGGTGGTGTCCACGGTAACCCCCTCAAGGCCGACGACATCAAGCACGTCAAGAAGCAGTTCGGCTTCGACCCCGAGAAGTCCTTCGTCGTTCCCCAGGAGGTCTACGACATGTACCACAAGACCGCTGATGCCGGTGCCGCCGCCGAGGCTGAGTGGAACAAGCTCTTCGAGAAGTACGCTTCCGAGCACAAGGAGGCCCACACCGACCTCGCCCGCCGTCTTACCGGCAAGCTCCCCGAGGGCTGGCAGAAGTCCCTCCCTACCTACAAGCCCACCGACGACGCCATTGCCTCAAGAAAGCTCTCCGAGTCCGTTCTCGAGGCCATCTACGAGGCTGTTCCCGAGCTGGTCTCTGGTTCCGCCGATTTGACTGGCTCCAACAACACCCGCTGGAAGAAGGCCGTCGACTTCCAGCCCCCCAACACTGGCATCGGTCAGTGGAACGGTCGCTACATGCGTTACGGTGTCCGTGAGCACGCCATGGCCGCCATCATGAACGGTCTTGCTGCCTACGGTACCCTCATCCCCGCCGGTGGTACTTTCCTCAACTTCGTCTCATACGCCGCCGGTGCCGTCCGTCTTTCCGCTCTGTCCCACCAGCGCGTTCTCTACATCGCCACCCACGACTCCATCGGTCTTGGTGAGGACGGTCCCACTCACCAGCCTATTGAGACTCTTGCTCACTTCCGCGCTCTGCCCAACATCATGGTCTGGCGCCCTGCTGACGGTAACGAGTGCTCTGCTGCCTACTACGTTGCCCTGACCAGCAAGGAGACCCCCTCTCTCCTCGCCCTCACCCGTCAGAACCTTCCCCAGCTCGAGGGCTCCACCATCGAGAAGGCTTCCAAGGGTGGTTACGTTGCTCTCGAGCAGGAGAAGGCCGATGTCACCCTCGTTTCCACCGGTTCCGAGGTCGGCATCTGTCTCGAGGCTGTCAAGACCCTCAAGGACGAGCACAACCTCACTGCCCGTGTTGTCTCTATGCCCTGCATGGAGGTCTTCGACGCACAAGACAAGGACTACCGCCTGTCGGTCATCCCCGACGGTATCCCCACCATGTCCGTTGAGGTCATGTCGACTCTCGGCTGGGAGAAGTACTCTCACGAGCAGTTCGGTCTCAACAGATTCGGTGCCTCGGGTGCCTACAAGGACGTCTACAAGAAGTTCGAGTTCACCCCCGAGGGTATCGCCAAGCGTGCCAAGAAGACTGTCGACTTCTACAAGGACGTCAAGCCTCTTCGCTCTCCCATCAACCGCGCCTTCCTCCAGCTCATCTAAGCTATGGATGAAAGCTATGGTTACGGCCGCGTGTTGACATGACTTATTTCCTTATTTTAACCCTTTCATAAAATGTATACCCCTCCTTTGAAAATGGGGCCATGGATACATAGAACGAAGAGAATGATACCAAAGTTTGTTAATATTGATATGAACCAATCTTGAATGTGATGTGATGTGCAAATGTTGAGCACTGAGACTGCTTCTCTCTAGGTCGTGTCTGTGTATCGATACAATTCATGAGGTTTCTGATGCTCAGACGCAAGTTATCTGAGAGAATCTCTTTAAGCACCCATCTAACCACCAAATATCGTCTCCTTGGTAGATCATCCATGTTGACAGAAAGCAAGGATATACGGTTTCATAAATCATCTCAATCGTGAAGATGAATGTACTTTTGCATGTCTAAATTTAAATCGACGCTACTCTACTTAAGCTGACCCTTCTCCCTAACCGTCTTTGCAATATAATCACCAGTCTCTGTCTTCATATCCTCAAACCCTTGAGCCACACCTTCTCTATCTTCCTTACCCATCTCTTGACTCATCTTGTGTTTACCACCCAAATGTTGGACCTTGATCTCAATACCAATGATATTCTTCCTCAACAATTCGATGTATTTTTCCGGCGCATCGTCTACTTCCCAGGGTTTCTCATGTTTTGATATTTCCGTCTCTGCTTTGTTTGATAGATCGCGGATCTGTTTGTTCAGGAAAGCGATCGTGCTGTCGGCTTTTGAGTCCGTGTAGACGGTTGCTGTGCCGTAGATTTGAGCGGCCGAGTAGTTCCATGTGGGCACCACTTTTCCCGACTCTGGTTTTGTCTTGACGTAGAGTTTTGGGGAGACGTAGCTGTGGTGTGGGGAGTTGAATAGTACCATTACTTCTTGTTGGAATGTGAATGGTTTTCCGGGGTTTGCGGCGGCGTGTTCGATGAAGACTTTGGCGTGGGGGTTTTGACGTGCGATGTGGCCGCGGAGGATGGGGAGGTCGTCGGTGTCTGGTGAGGGGTCGTCGAGGACCCAGGGGATGTGTGAGGTTTGGATGAAGTGGTGGGATGGGTCTGTCGAGGGGAGGGCGGTTGTGAGGAGGCCTAGTGGGTTTGCGGCGATGAAAGCCTCGAGGGCTGGGATTGAGGGTTCGGCATGAATGGCGCGGAGATACATGGTGAGTATCTGTTGGTGTTTTGACAGAGAGTGTGTGTAGATTGGTATGCGCAATTGTGTAGAATGAACTTCGGTCTCCCTGGTCTGGTTTGTAGAAAGTGTGAAGTTATGTCAAAGTGTGTTTCCTGCCTGGTAGGTCAATAGAGAAGTGAGTCACGGTGTAAAGTTATAGACAAATGGTCATCACGCTTCTAGATGTCAACGATAGGGCGCTGCAGTGGAAATGTTGTGCTCGAGACGGGGACACCGAAGGTCAAAATCGCATAGACTTGCCTCCAAAGGCTAGTAGAGCCAGCGATGAGTAACGGGCTATTCAGGGTTCCTGAATGGTCGCCGCAGTAGCCGCAATTGCCTGTGACATGGCCTATCATTTGACAACTGATTTCGCTGTGTCTTGTGGATTCTTGCACATGCTCGCGGGAAGTTTTGCTCTTTGCGATGTGAAAGGAAGGTGCGCTGGAAAATCGATTGCGGCTTGTCAAAAGATCTCCGCCTTTTGTTGGGAACGTCATCAGGTGCGAGCTGTGCACGACCTCGTACTCTTGACGCCAGATAAAATCATTGGACCGGCCATACATCATCACTTTTTGAGCATAGCACTGCTGCATACTCACGCATCTTGTTCCATAGGAAGTCCAGTATGGATAACACGGAGAGAGGCCTAGATGTGCCACATCTGCCACCCGAGATTCTGCAAATGATCATCAAGTGCCTTGCAGACACTCATGATGATAAAACATTGCTGCGTGCTGCTCTGGTCAACAAAGAGTGGCTTGACCCGGCAACTGACTTTCTCTGGCGATCACCACCTCCAGGAGCGTTGGCTGCTTTGCCTCGTCCTCGCCGACAGTACTATGCTGCCAAGATTACAGAACTCTACTTTCGGCACATTGATGAGGGCAAGTACCACTCACAGTATAAGAACCTACAGTTCACACGCTTGACTTGTATTGGACTTGATCAAGTCCGCCTTCGCAAGAACCAGAAGCTTTTCTTGAGCCAGTACATACAGCCTCGCCTGGAGTCCTTTTCTTATTGGGGTGGTCATCCATGCGAAGATGCACTTGAACGTCTGGAGTCCGATTGCCCTCGCTTGAATGACTTCCATGCCATCGAGCCTCTCGAGTTGATATTTGATGCCGAAAAGCTAAACAAGTTCCTGCGAAACCGCACTTCTCTAGTGAACGTCGAGTTTGGTCGAGGATGGGAGTATTCCTTGCCCAAGGAAGTACTTGCACAGCTTTCGGAACTTGAGAACATACAGAGACTGGATATAGTGCCTTTCTTGAAACCACTCATGGTTCGAGAAGTCTGGTCGGACCCCGAGAACAAGTTCAAGAATCTGAGAATCCTTCACATTCGACTTCCATCTGTGTCCGTTGGAGTTTTGGCAGCTTGTACGCCTTTGGTTGACACATTGTTCCTTGAGGTCAAAGGCTCTGAGCAAGATGTCCTCCAAGCACTGGAACCAATGCAGCACCTACGCCACCTCGAGCTAGAGTTCCACAATTACGACGGAGGTGTCCAGCTGTCAGTCGAAGGTATTAAAACGCTAGGAAAGCTTCCAGACCTCGAGATCCTCCTCATTCGTCCCTGGACAAGAACGCGGGCTTATTACAACAATCTCAAGGCTTCATGGCTAGGAGACGACGAATTCGCTGACATGATGTCGAGCTTGCCAAAGCTCAAGAGTCTGGTGTTCCATGTGGAATGTAGCATCACACTCAAATCAATCACCTCGCTTGGCAAAACACATCCAGACATGTATTGCTGTGACCTGCATGGCGTTTTCGTACTTGATGACTGGTCAGTAGCCCCGGGACCAGTATTGCCGAACTTGAGGAGACTTGCAATGGATGCACCAGACCTACGAGGCCGCACGAGGTGAGCCTAGCCGATAGAGATTTATTATATACTCTGCTAACTCACGACTAGAGCCTCGAGCACTCCTCTTCCCGCGAAAGTCGATCGAATCATCGACATACTTCTACGACAAGTACCTATGATCGAACAATTAGGCTTCCACGATTTCGAACGAAATGTGCTGGCCGATCAGGTGCTTGAGAGATTTGCTGTACGAATAGACGGTGCTTTCAACGAGAAAGAGGCAGCTGCATTCCGCCCATGGTCTTGGTTACAAAAGAATGGCAAGAAGGTTTCGCGGACGGGTGCAGATCATGCTAATGATATGGAATTGTTCCGAAGAACTGCATTTGGCCATATCATGGATCTCATGCATGAATGAGGGATGCACATAAAGGACAATACAAACCGATTAAGTCCCGATGGGAGAGCTGTGAGTTCACAATCAGACCCATGATTGCGGAGGGGTTGACAGCAGGAGTGGGCCTCGAGGTTCCAAGAAGAAGATCAGAGGTCGATGGTTGCCAGATCACACCTTAGAGACACTGGCCCTCCTCTGCCGAGTACTCCAACCGACTTCATACATTTGGTGTTCACAATATCGAGGCGGCAATATGAAAATGGTCGACTCGTTAGGGTGAAGGGAAAGCTCAGACTCGAGAAGTTCTAGCATACCAGTCTCCTGGGAACATGAGCCCTGAAGGAAGCGTCCTCTTGACTCTTGCCGTGCATACCTCTGCGACGAGTGGCTATATCTAGCCTCAGCGAAGGCTCGCCTGATGAAAAATTTGAATAGCTCTAGCTTTAATCTGACCAAGACAAGTAGAAGGGTTGCTAAATACGAACAAGATCAAGTCTTGACCGTCCAAGCTTGTTGTATACATAGAAGTTCAGCCGACGAGTGAGAGTATCCACAAGGGTTGTTACGCGATAGTGATCGACATAGAGTGCATGGCGTGCGTGCGTCCTTGCAGCATGGCCCAGATTCGAAAAAGCGGGACTCGGGAGGATTGCACGAAACATTAGTTATCTTTTTTCTTCCACTCCTTCTCAACTCCTGATCTACCGGAACAATTGGAAGTGAAGAGAACAGGTCCTGATAAGCCATCAAACAAGCTTGTAAACTGAATGTGAGAAAGTTGATGTTGGTAGCGAGAAGGAGGGTATTTTCGGGATGAACGAAGTCCGTCGCGCAAATTATCCATCCCCTGATCGACACCCTTCTTTTTCACGTGGAGAAGGCTTTGGGGAAAAAAACAAGCTTGCTTGCACTCTGTCTCGGCTAAGACAAATAAGATCTTCCACCTGCATCCACGGGAAAAGCAGAAAGCAAAGATAGACGAGTCGAAAGAACAATCCATTATGCAAGAGAATGAGACTAAAGAAGGCACGATGGATGCAAGAAGTTAAGGCATTGTCATTGTGCATATAAGACGGCATCACTTCTCCACCGCATACGCCTTTGGAGTTCGAATGGCAGCAGCTTCGGCAAAAACAACATGTGGAGGAAGCTCATATATTGCTTCGAGCGGGTCCTTTCGCGAGCTAATTGTTTTGGTCTGGGTATCACGCCGTCTGGCCTGGGCTCTGTTTCTTCGTATCGTGGTTGAGTGATTTAGGAAGTCTATATAAGTGTATGAGAGTCCCTCGAGTACCTTGCAAGTAGACGCTTCCACCGACACCATAATGAGAGTTTCTACGTATCTCGCTGCACTTGCAACAGCTGCTTGTGCTAGTGCCAAAGTCTGGGGCAACTCTACCACTGCTGGCTCAGTCACTTTTGACAACAACAGAAAATTGCTGTTTGATACCGATGGCAATCAGATCGATGCTGTTGGAGCTAAGATCAATGAATTCGGTGGCAGATATTATCTCTATGGCAATTCTGTTTCTCAAAAAGATGCCTTTTATGGAATCAAGAGCTACTCTTCTAACGACTTGCTGAACTGGTTAGTCAGAGATGCAACACAGACCTAATGAAAGATTGACTTTGATGCAGGCAATACGAGGGCTACCTCTTCGATATCGATGATGGAAAGAACCCATGCACTGGATCAGGAGGCTGTGGTCGTCCTCATATCATCTACAACCAGAATGCCTCTACTTACATTCTATGGGCAAATGCCGGCTCTGTAGGCTACCAAGTCGCAACCTCGGACTCGCCAACCGGACCTTTCGTCTTCCAATCATCTCCTGCGATGATTGACCCTCAATTCGATGGCTTGCAACCTGCAGATCATGCCGTCGAGATTATCGACGGAAAGGGCTACCTTGTCTTCTCAGCCCTGAATTTCCGCGACCCTAGAGCTGGCAGCTTGTTCCCTCAAGTCTACCAGACCCTCCATATCAGCGAATTGACAGACGATTTCCTCAATACCACTGGTGTCAGTTATCCGGTCGCTTCCAACGCCACTGCAGAGCTGGACTTTGTCGACCAACAAGCCGAATCGCCTGATATCTTCAAGCGTGGAGACTACTTTTATATTGGCGGTAGCAACACCTGCGGTTACTGCAATGGCACTTTGGCATTGCTTTACCGCAGTGAATCGATCCAGGGACCTTGGACTCGTCAGATTCTGGCTGGGTATGGATGTAACAGTCAATTCGAGGGTGTTACTCCTCTTACTGATCCTAATACCGGAGAGACCACGTATTTGTGGTCTGGCACTTCTGTGCCTGGAGGAGATCCGCGTGTTGGATTCAGTGGTCATATTTACCAGCCTCTTGAATTCAATGCCGATGGTAGTGTCCAAGATCTGGATTGTTCCATTGATGCTGAGTTTACTGTTGCGTTCCCGAAGAGTAACAGCACGACTGCTACTGGCAACGCGACGGAAGCTGGTGATGCATCGCCCGCTCTTGCTGTTTACAGCCCTGTTTGCGACTCTGACTTCTTCACTCTTTACCAGACTTGGCCTGCTTCCCAAGACGGCACTATCGAGAGTGTTTCGCTCAATGTGGCTCGTGGGCACCAGGAAGCTGCTCTCTCGTTGACTTTGTTCAAGTTCAGCTCTCACGAGGACCTTTTGACTCCTGGATACAAGTGGACGCAGCTGGGCACGGCATCCTTCTTTGCCAACCAGACGACATGGGTATTCGATACCGTTACTGTGCCCGTAAGCACCAATGGTACTGTTTCCAAGGGAGAATTCCTCGGCGTCTCTATCGCAGGCTTCGATGTTTCACCATGGTGTCATCTCGAGTACGATGGTGCTGATGAAGATTACATCTTGTATGCCCAAGGAGGTGGCCAGTACTCTCTGCGTGGCGCACAAGGCAAGACGTCGCCTGTTTACCAGCGCGTCGGCAAGAGTGTCAAGTTCTTCGCAACTTACGCGTAAACGGTCAAAGGAATAGAGAGTCTGTTATGGCACATAGAAGGCGAGCCCTGTAAATGATATCGCCTAAAAAGATATGTTCAATCCTCCTGATCCAGTTCGAAATTGGAAGTAATGTTTCAGTCTCCTCGGACCAAATCGATTTGTTGAATGAAGACGCGGCATGCGGCTCAAGATTCAAGATGGAGTTGATGATTTGTTTGGCACACGACATGTTGATGTGGCTGTGCAAGAACAAAAGGAGGAAGTGATGTCATAATTCTCGAATGCGCCAGACAACTTGATTCCAGAAGCCTTGTTGTTTCGCGTTCTCACAAGACCAATACAATATCATGCAAAGTCGATAGCATACAGATCGAACACAGCAAATGGAGCCTTCAATACTAAGGTCACTGGCTCAGGCCGGCCGTAGCAGCAAGTCTTGGGCTCAGTCGACGCGGATCAACCATCAATGTACTAGGACCTTCAGCAACAGCCCGCGATGTGGATTGAGGGAGCAATCGAAGGGTGTGACGGCCGAGAACTCGACGTCGCAAGGACAGCCGGCGGCGAATCTGAGTCAGGAGGTTACTGAGGAAGAGAAGAATCACTATGATAAAGTAGTGGAGCACAGCAAGAAGAGCCAGATGCGGTCGCCATGGATGCACGAGGGCAGCGACAAGCCTCCGGTTGCTAGGATGAGGTCTGCTGGAGCTATGGTCAAAGGTACCGATGTCCAGTCGTTCGATGTGATACTGAGACTAACGCAATGGACAGGCAAGCTTCTAACAACGCCCTCCCGCATGCTCAAGCTCATCCTCCCTCTCACCACCCGAGACGCCAACAAAGATCGCAAGAACGTCGAACCTCTAGCTCTCCTCGTACACCCACAACAGCCTCTTAGCTATCTCGAACGCCTAATCCAATCCGAGCTACCCGTCATAAAGAACGACAATGGAGAAGACAAGATCCCAGCCGTCCACTTCCGCGCACAAGACCTAGGAGAAGAAGCCATCAACCCAGACCGCCACGAACCCGACGAGGACTCTGAAGAATACAAGTTCGAACACTCCGAAGACTTTAAGATTGATGGAAAGACCGAACGTACTGGAAAACTCAACGAGTCTGGAGATAACGCCGTGAAGCCTGTTCAACCTGCCAATCCTGTCAAGGAGCCCGACCCGGAGCACCCCGACTTTGTGCGTTGGTCACCCAGTACCGAGATTGGCGATTTCATCAGAGATGCCGCTCGTGGTAAAGAGTTCAGTGTTGATATCGAGGGTGCTCCTGAGCCCATCTTTGTCGCTGTACCATCCTTCGCCGACCGCACATACTATCTTCGCATGCGCCTTCGCAAGACGGCCAAGCAGATCTCCTCATTGGCGGACATCAAGACAGAGTGTGACAGATTGGCCCACAAGAGTGCTCAACGTGTTGCTCAGGGAGGTTTCGCCGTCTTGGTCGGTTGGTGGGGCAGTGTCTACGTCCTCACTTTTCAGACTGATCTCGGCTGGGATGTTATGGAGCCTGTCACCTATCTCGTCGGTCTGTCTACTTTGATTGGCGGTTACATGTGGTTCTTGTACCACAACCGTGAAGTCAGCTACCGCTCTGCCATGAACTTCACCGTCAGCAAGAGACAGGATAAGCTTTACCAGGCCAAGGGGTTCGATGTCTCGAAGTGGGACGCTCTTGTTGAGGAGGGTAACCGTCTGAGAAGAGAGATCAAGATGGTCGCCGAGGAGTACGATGTTGATTGGGATGAAGCCAGAGAAGAGGGCGACGAGAAGGTCGCAAAGGCGCTGCGTGACGAGCGTAGAAAGAAGCAGATCTCCAAGGACGGAGAGGATGAAGAGGGCAAGAAGCGCAAGAAGTCAAAGGAGGATGACGAAGACGATGATTGATCTGGAAGATGAAGATTCTCTCGTATGTCTATTTCTCTTTCGCTGCAAGGCATAGCAAGGCGTTCCTTCCATAAATCGTGTAGCATACTTAATTTCAGCCATTTCTCAGATCAAAGCTCCTTGGTTGTATCTGCGTTCAGCAGCAAGTCGTCTCTTCTCTTGCTCCTCTTCCCTGGCTTGTCTCTTTGCAGCACGCTGCTCTTCTCGTTTCTGGAGAGCTCTTTGACTGCGTCGTTCTCTTCGCTCCTCTTCTTGCTCTTGCACAGCTTCCTCGTAGATTTGCATGTCCAACTTGGCTTGCTCAGCAGTGCTCAAGATCCACAGTCTAGCCAGCACATCCCTCTTGAATTCCGACATGGACTGCCACGCCGCAATCTCCTCAGTGGTATCCTTGATGACCCCACACCTCTTCAGCTCCAATTGCATCACGCCCCTGAACTTTCCGATCGTACACTTGACTTTGACCACACTTGCAATGTCCACCTTTTGCCCGTCAATGGTGACTTCGACATCATAGCCGATCGCAGTGTTGATGTTCAAGTTCTCGACCACGGTATTTGAGGTGTTGGGTTCGACTTTTGCGGGATCTTTGCGCTCGATTTTGACATCGATGCATACACCGCTGCTATCGTCGAGGGTCAAGAGAAGGAATTTCGTATTCGGGATCTCGTGGATGGCCACAATGGGTGCGACGAGGTAAACGAAGCGAACAGGATGATTCAAGTGGAAGTATACGTTTTGGCCTATTGAATGGTGAGTATGGTCTGCTTATGACATTGTTGGAGGCGAGGATGGGCGCTCACCTTCAAATCCAGGCACCTCACGCAATGCGTGGACATCGGCAGCAGTGAGCTTCACCCATTTGTTGTATGTCGGCGAAGCAGAGAAGTATTTTGCGTTGTGAACAGGCGCTGATGCCTGCCACGTTCGATGATTGTTCATGTCATCGTTCTGGCTGGTATGCAGAGTGGGGGTTGTTGGAAAGCAAATCTAGGTGGGGGACGCGTTGGAGAAAGCACCATATCATGTGATTGCGCTTGGAGTCGATCAATCCCAATCAAGTCATTGCACCTTCCTACTTACTCAGTATCGTCCGAACATCACAAAGTCACTTTGGCGACTTACCTTGACCTTTGTGCAATCTGATTCCAAATTGCCATGATTGCGGGCTACGATTTGCAGCTATCACGGACCTTGCTCCACTGATAGTTCGCAGGAGCGATCAGGGATATGGCCGTGTCTATCATGTAAAAGAAAGCACAGTCTTCGAGCCGTGCATGAAAACTCGCTTCTCAAACAATAGACTTGTCGTTCTCTGCTTACTCTAGTCCAGTGTTTTAGGAGGTGGAGTTGTCAAATGTCATAAGAAGTCAAGAGTGCTGATCTTCTGTCAATAGCTCGACAATTCCCAGTTTCACACTGCCTACACAAAAGGGGGTCCAAGGAATATAGGTGGATTGAATCAGATTAAGAATAGTAATTCATATTGCTTGAGTCGCAAAGGTGAGGATCAGTGCAAGGAAAGAGAACTACTCCGTGCCGCAGTGACCATCACCACATACTCGGCCGAGTTTGATATCCCAAAAGCAGATCCCCCACATGGCGTAACCTCCTAGCCAAAAACTCCAAAAGCGATCATTAGGAAAATCAAATAGTTACAGGCCGTTAAGGTGTCTCTACCACTTCTGGTTGTGGTGCGAGTTGTGGTGACCGTGGTGCTGGCCTTGTTGACCGTAGCCGCCTTGCTGGTACTGTTGCTCGTACTGCTTCTCATGGCGGCTTTCCTTGAGCTTGTCCTCAGCTTTGCTACCCATGAAGGCGCCGGCAAGAGTACCGATGATGCCGTGACCGGCCTTGTGTCCAAGCAGACCACCGCCGAGTCCCCCGGCTACCGCACCCATAAGACCGCGATCGCCCTCTTGGCCTGCAGCTGGGTCGGTGGGGCCATATTGGTTATGTTGCTGAGCTGCGTAAGGGTTGTTGGGATCTTGAGGTGGGGGGTTCTGGTTGTAGGCTCCTTGTTGAGGGAACTGGTGAGATGGGTCGCTCTGAGGGTATTGACCGCTGTGCGATTGTCAGCTCACTATTTGATATATCATATAACTGAAACGCGGGATCCCTTACTATGCTTGGTGCTGAGGCGGGGCAGGTCCACCGTACTGCGACTCGCCATACTGGCCGTGCTGGAATCCACCGTGGGCTGGAGCACCATACTGCTGGTTGTATTGGTTGTCGCCATACTGGTTGTTGCCGTATTGAGGTGGAGGAGGTCCTTGCTGGTAGCCGCCTTGCTGGTAGCCTCCATATCCTTGCTGTGGGGGTTGGTAGCCGTATTGGCCTTGGTTCTGGTTTTGATATCCGTAAGGGTCTGACATGATGTTGATGGTGTAGATGAGTGGTAAGCTTCGATGGGTAGGTACGATGAAAGTGTTCGAAGTGTATCAAGCTGACGAGTGAGTGCCTATATATGGAGAGGGTCAGATGGCGAATGGAAAGCGCGGAAGAGCCCTTGGCGCGCTGACGTGTTCATCAATATTGGATACGGTGATTTATACGATCCTTTGCACAGCAAAATCCAGCGGTATAATGTATGTCAGCTGGCCAGATTTACCGTGAGCAAGTTGACATTCGTCAGAAGTCGAACTTGCGCAGTCACCTTGGTGGCAGAGCATACCTTATCCACCGGCGCAGCCCTATGGCGGTGTCTATTTTAGCAACACAGCCTCGACGCTATTGAAGACGCCCATCGATCGTCCACAATGCGTTCTGAATCCGGGCGACTTGATGAAGTGGCCTATCTTATCATGCAGAGGAGCACATTCGGCAGCAGCATCGAAGAGATACTCGTAGAATGCTGCTCTCTCGAGTTTGTGTTTCAAAGATTCCACTTCATCGCACTTTGGGTCACGGATGTGGCTGATTCAGGGACTTTCTCCGCATGGACCACCATTCCTCTTTGTCTGTAATAATAATTGATGCATCCATCTCGTGGGCGCTTAACCAGAATGTGCGCGTCCGGAGATTGCTTCATCCTCCGAGTCAGCAACATGGCGAGAATAGTAAGCACATCGAGCTGGGTTCTTTGGTCCGACAAAGTCATCTCATATGTGCAGCTGGCAGTCGCAGATGCTAAGAAATCGCAACTGCCGTTGTTGATGCTCTTCGTCTAGGTTTTCCAAAATGGAACAACATTCAACTCGCCTGTCAACCCAACTGCCGGAGGACCACGGCTGAGTTTCACAGAACTTAGGACCAAAAGGTGATCGCTCTTGGGAGAAGGTTGGTTGCACACACCAGGAAAGCCTAGGCTTGAACGATCCTTCTTCGGTGCTCTGCTCACGAACCTCGATGCTTCATGCTTAAATTCTTGCCGTGTCAAACCCAAGATCAACCACACTACTGCAGGTCACCCGCGGATGGAAGGCATCGTCGCATCACGTTTCGACGAAGGAACTGCTCCGTCATGTTGGTAAGACGCACAGGCTTTGAGGCGTCAGAGCGTGTTTCACAATCTAACCCACACGACTCTTTTGCACGACGCCGTTAATGCCAAACTCCCCGAGTTTGATCACGTCGAGAGCAAACTGTCTCAAAGGTGACCATAGTCCCTTATTCATGACAGAAGCACGGTGGTCTTGTCGGACCCATAGCCGGACCTTGCGCAAAGAATCTGATCATCGAGGCACAGAGGGCTGGCATGCAGGATCGAAAGCCCCAGATTAACAATGGGAGCTACTCATTGAGTTGAAACGTGAGAAGCCTTATTACCCCAGTTGCTATATCAGTATCCATAGGCCTCGCAATCCTCGCCAGGATTTCCTCCCCTTTGTTGTTTCCCTTCTTCTCGATCTCCGATCAAGGTAATACTTCCTTCTGCTGGACAGAATCACTCTCGTTTGTCGACTATCTTCATATATTGCAACAACTCCAGGCGGCCGGCTGCTATTGCTTCACGTTTCGGGATCACTACTCAGTCGTATTCCACCGCGGATCAAGCCCACTACTCGGTTGCATCTCACAACTCGGACTAGGCTCACTCGGAGTGTACTCGATGACAATGGACAGCTCGGACTCGACTTCATTTTCAGTGGCGGGTGAGACATCGTCAGCTGCACAGGAAAGCAGTCTACCGACTGGCTCCAAGATCCTGGTCATCGTCACCTCTTCAATAGGTATGATAGTATAGCAATGCAAGACAGATCATGTACTAATAACCATAGGTGGAGTTATACTTTTCCTGTTCCTGATATACGTGATACATCGAATGCGCAAAGGAGCTGCCCTGGTCGATGTCCTCAAGCTTCGCCCTCGAGGCCACTCCACACCTTATATGGCTCGTCCGGAAGAGTATCCTATTTACTTTGAGCAACGGTACTCAGTGCGATCGTCGAGGTATCCTTTATCACTCAAGAGCAAGCACAAGACCAAGAATCTGCCAGGTCTTCCTGGACCCGTTACCCAGCCAGGAGCGGAGATGGCCGACAAACCTCCTAGTGTAATCATGGAACCACACATGGCCTACCTGAAAAGTTCGGACAAGAGATTTCTCAACCGTGCCGGAACCAAGAAGTCTCAAGCATCGAACGTTCCGAGTATTTCAGTGCGCAGTGTTGGAGATGAGCCCTTGTCACCAACTTCGTCAAGTCATCGACACACACGTTGGAGCTGGACCAACTCGGAGGCTCCGTCAACACCTCGCCTGAATATTGAAAGGAAGAGGACGTCAAACGGTTCTCTTGCCCCCAACTACAAACCTGTCGGCTTCGGAAACGATTATCAATTGACCGCTATTCAAGAAGACAGTCTCTCGCCAGGGTTACCAGTAGTACACGGAATGCCTAGAATGGGAGGAGTGCCCGACAAAGCACAAGAACTCCTGGAAACAGGTGGCGCTGGTTACCTTCCTCCAAGAGTACCGTCTAAGTCCAAATCCTCGGCTCCGTGGAAATCAGTCTTTCGTGGATGAGGGCACAACGACCCATCAACGAACCTCACGCTCCTTTGCTTTGGCAGACCTCAGACACTCCTTTGACGATTGAACGCTTTGATTACCAACATTAATACACTCCTTCTCCGCCAAAAGCCACTCACCCGGGCCGCGGATCTCTCATCATACAGTATAGAGTGATAGCATCGCCCTGATCATCACACTTCATCTCCTTCGCCAGCTCGAAGCCCATCTTGCGGTAGATGGCCATATTTGGCTCTGCTCTGGAACTCTCCAGATAACACTTTCGCCCTTCCACATCTGCTTGACGCATGACGACACCAAAAAGTTCCTTTCCTATACCCATACCTTGCGCTTCTGGAAGGACAGTCACAATATTACAGAAGTAGTAACCTCGGTCATCTGTCCAGAGCTGACGCTGGGCGTCACTCTGGGCAGCTTTCCTACAAGTGCGATGGTTAGAACCAGTCGAACATCGTAAAAGCTCGAACACCAACCAAATATAGTATCTTGTTGTACTCAACCCGCCGCGCCCATAAACAGAATTCATCCAGAGTTGGTTGAACCACAATGACCAGTCGCCGAACCAGCTTTTCCAAGACTGTGGAGCGGAGGGATCCGTTGGAGCCAGCCAACAAGCAACACCAAGGATGCGCGAAGGAGTAGAAGATGAAGGGTCTTTGGCAACGTAAAACAGAGCGTGCTCAAGGCCCCATCTACAGCGGATACCAAGCGAGACGCGATTCCGTGCCGGAGAGAACTTGTGATATGATTAGAACAGACCAAACAGAGTCGAAAAATGCCTTCATGTAACCAAAATTGTAGACAGACAGATGTACATAACCTTACATCTTTTGGAAAGACCCATGCAAAGTATGGGTCCTCAGCAAAGGCTTTTTGAATACAGTCGACAGCGCCGTCGATGTCATTTTCGACCATACGAGTGATTTCGACAGGCATCTTGCAAGTGTTCAACCAAGAAAAGGGTAATGAGAGTGAGAAAGCAAGAAGAACAAGTCTGGGTGGTTTGTACTTGAGTACGCGACCTTCGATAAGATGATTAGCAGTAACTAGGTCCAAATTGGGCAGTTCCACGCGAGCAACAACTCTGACGCGGGACCTGATAGGTAATTTTTCTGACGCCGACAAATAAATCCACCAGACGCACATTTTCACCTCGACCCACGGAGAGATAAAGAGGAGGAACAAAACTGGGATACAAAGATCAGACGTGGCGCCCTCTCCTCGAATCATAGCGTTTTTGGCGCGGCGCGGAAAACTGCCTACGACCATGGCCTTGACGACCGTCGACAAAGGTGTCAAGCCTGCCACAAAACCAAACACTATGGAAGAACCACCGGACGTGATCATCACACCTTGCGACCCGTGGCCACGGCCATACTATCTCGAAGGCGGCCTACGAAGAGTCGCGCCGTATCACTACACATACAACACTTGGTGCAAGCAGCGATGGAGAGGCCGCGAGATCCTCGAGATCTTTGCCGACGAATTTCGCGACCGTCCGATCGAATACTATACAAATGCTGTCAAAACTGGCGCTGTGCTTATCAACGGTAAGCCTGCGACTGGTGCAGACCACAGAGTCAAGAACGGCGACCTTGTTTCGCATACCCTCCACCGCCACGAACCGCCAGTCACTCAGCAAAATATTGGCATTGTCCACGAGGATGAGGATATGATTGTTATCAACAAGCCTGCAGGCATTCCGGTACATCCTTCAGGACGCTACAACTACAACAGTGTGACTGAGGTTATGCGTGCAGAGCGTGGTCATGGCTTCAACCCCATGCCCTGCAACCGTCTGGATCGCCTGACAAGCGGTGTCATGTTTATCGCCAAACACCGCAAGGCCGCCGACGAACTCACTGAACAGATCATGGCCCGCACTGTAAAGAAAGAATACGTCGCCCGTGTGAAGGGCGAATTCCCCGAAGGAGAGATTGTCTGCGAGCAGCCCATCATGCAAATCAGCCCGAAACTTGGTCTCAACCGCGTGCGCGCAGATGGCAAGGACGCCAGAACAGTATTCAAGAGACTGGCATACTACCCGCCCGAGGCTGGCGATGGAGAAGCCGAGAAAGGCGAAGCAACACCAGGAATGGAATGGAAGGAAAAGGAGGGATACTCGATTGTGCGCTGCAGGCCTTTGACAGGACGCACGCATCAACTGCGTGTACATCTGCAATACCTAGGCCATCCCATCCTGAATGACCCTATTTATGCCAACCAGCGTGTCTGGGGCTTCAACCTAGGCAAGGGTGAGTCAAAAGCTGATAACGATGAGGACATCATGTCGCGTCTAGCGCGCATGGGCAAGTCCGAAGTAGCCGATGCCGTCGCCTACCACGACGAGATGCTCGAGCGATACAACAAGACCAAGGGAGAAAAGCTCACCGGCGAGAAATGCGAACTCTGTGGAACAGATTTGTACAGCGACCCTGGGCCGCACGAATTGGGCATTTATCTCCACGCTCGGAAGTATGCTGCCGGCGATGGTAGATGGTCCTACGAGACTGCATTGCCCGAATGGGCTCTGCCACCGGCCGGTTATGCTGGTCCAACAGAATCGACTGAAGATTCGGATCCTTTGGCTATCGATCTTAGCAAGCTGGGACTTGAGGCAGAAGGAGCAGACGCGAAATAGAATTGCGCTTGCTCTGGCGTGCTTATAGATCGTGCTGTTTAGTCCTCACATTGACTGATCTCAAACTCAACTCGGATTCATCATCCTGCAACAATATATGCACAACAATCATACGAACATGCTCTACTGGAGTGGCCTTTCCAACATAGACTGTTCTACCTAACGCTCACATACACACTCGTGTTTTCATGGTCAAGATGTCACCTTTGGATCATTCTCCGCGACGACAATTTACTGATGGTGATGACTCTACTGCCAGACGACTCTTGTCTCTGTGTTTAGCCTATCTCTTCGCCGCTGCATGTATGCTTTTCTCTGCGTCTCTCACAGGCTAAAGAGTGTATAGAACATATGCAGAGGTACAGGCTAAAGAAGGGCAAGGCGAAGCGGGGCAGAGCCGCAAACGCCGGGCAGGGTGGGGCCGTTCACAGTGACGCAGTAGTGTAAATAGAAACACGCTTCAGCACATTTGGCAAGAGCAGCAAAACTTTGGAGCAAGTAGCAGACTGCCGAAAAGACAACAGACAGACATATCAACATGACGATCGGAATTGCAGTCATTGGAAGCGGTAGGCTACTACGAAGACGGGTAGAAACGACCAGCAGCTGAGAACAGCTCCACGTGAACAGGCATCTTCATCCAAGAAGCTCATCTTGTATGCTTCTCCTTCCCGGGCATATCCATCTTGTACTGACATTAAATGACAGCCCGGCATCAAAGCCAACGGCGACCTCTTCTCCCTCAATGCCATCTACTCTCGCAGTCTTGCGTCGGCCCAGAAGTTGTCCAAGGAAGTTGAGTCGACCACTCCAGATCTCTATGCCGAAGACGCTGGCTCCGACAAGTCATACGCCAAACTCCTCGAACGCTCAGATGTCGAAGCCGTAGTCATCGCTCTGCCCATTCTCGCCCAACCCGAATTTATCAAGAAGGCTTTGTCGGCAGGCAAGCATGTGCTTTCCGAGAAGCCTGTCGCAAAAGATCTGGCCACAGCCCACGAGCTGATTGACTGGTACCACACGAACATCGATACCAAGAAGACCATCTGGGCTGTTGCTGAGAACTTCCGTTACCTTGGTCGTTTCCAATATGGTGCTGAGCAGGTGAAAGAGCTGGGTGACATTTTGGGCTTCCGTCTTCGTATGCATGCCTTCGTCAAACCTGGAGCCAAGTACTACGAGACCGAATGGCGCAAGACCCCTGAATACCAGGTAAGTCTCGATCTGTCCTGATCTGGAAAGAACTGGTGCTGATGATCCACTACAGGGAGGCTTCCTCCTCGACGGAGGCGTTCACTTCATCGCCGCCATGAGACAGTTACTAGGCCAAGAAGCCAAGATGTCGCAAGTCGCTGCCTTCACAGCACAGCTACAGCCTCATCTTCCTCCTATCGATACCATTAACGCTACCGTCAAGCTCGCAAACGGCACCTCCGGAACATTCAGTGTTAGCTTCGGTACCACTTTCTCCGGTGCCGAATACATCGTTGCCTGTCAGAACGGAACCGTCGACGTTGGCTTCGACAAGACTATCGTAAAGAAAGATGGCAATGAGTCCACTAAGGACTTCACAGAGGATAAGAACGGCGTGAGACAAGAGCTCAAGGCTTGGGGTGAGAGCATTGCTCAGGGCAAAGCTCATCCTCTGCAGACTCCCGAGGAGGCTCTAGCAGACTTGGAAGTGGTAAGTTTGCTTCTTTGTTGACTATCATCTATGTTTTTCTGACTGTGCCTACAGCTCGAGGCGATGATCAAGAGCGGTGAAGCTGATGGCAAGGCCATCGAGCTCAAGTTACAATAGACATACACCGTTACTTATGACCGAAATTTGGCTCTGCTCACCCTTCTCTAGAATCCTCGCAAGAATACATACGGCTTTGATTAAAGCGTGTTCCTTTCCATTCGATCAAGCAGTCACTTCTATCGTTCAACCTTGCATTTCTGGCCTCTATCGTCCCTGTTCGTGGTTCTATGTGATCTTGTCTGTCTGAAATCTCACGCAGGCACAGACTACAAGCTACGTCTCTCACCGAGCTCGGAGCCTTCTGACCACTAAAACTGCCTCATCCAAGCTTCCCTCCCGCTTCCAACCACTGTTGCACACAACCCTTTATATACGAAGTTCTTTAAGATCTTCCAACAAGTCAAAACAGCCGTGGTAGTGTAGTGGTTTAACACACCCGTGGTCTTAACACGTGCGCAGTCATTCGTTGTTACTCAACGCCGTGTCAGTCTAGATCCGAGGAGGTCGCGGGTTCGATTCCTGCTCATGGTGCTACTTATCTTTTTCTTTTGTCCATGTACTACGTTGGAATTCTTTCTTTTTGTGCAGCGCATCCTCGTCGTCGTCCTCCTCGACCTTGTTGGTAAGGGATATGCACTCGTTATAGTGACCATTTCTTTTGTACCTGCGGCCGTACTACTCATATCCTTCCGACTATTGTTCGTGTTCCATCATGTGGACTCTGTTCTTTGTTCTCATGTTTAAATGCCCACCACTCTTGTCTTCTTTTCAGTATTCCTTCGCTTTTTGCTTCTTCGTTCACTAGATTTTTCACGGTCGCACCTGCTCTACCGACTCTATCGCTCCTTCCTCGATGATTCGATCGTGATTCCCTCATCTACCAAGTTATCCCCTGTCGATTCTATATTTCTTCTGATATTGCTGTAGTTCTTCCTTTGCTTAACCGCTACTTCTCTACCTGTGCCTCATCGCATCCGAAAGTACTCGACTGCGTCTCCCTCCATTGCTTTGTAAGATGTTCTTTTCTTTCCGTTGCCTCTTCCTCTCATTCAGATGCTCTCTCTTTGACTGATGCGTTTTGCTATCTGGAGCAGCTCGTGCTTCTTTCCTGTGCGCTTGTAGTTTGTTATTCTGCAACCATCAGTGCAATGTTAATTGTTTTTGTCCTGTTGCTTTTTGGAAGGCTCTGCTGTTTCTTGGGGCATGGGGAATGTGTTCGATGAGGATTCTGCTAGTGCTTCTGTGGTTGTCTGATTGACCGTCTATACATAAATGTACTTGTAACGTCTGTTTACAGTAGTCGGTTCATAGGTCATTCATCAAATGACTAATCGCTCCTGCCTTTCTTTGGTGACCGGTCGCTCCTTCCTTCTACATGTGATCGATCGCTCCTTCTGTTCATGCCTGATCGTTCCTTCCTTTTTCGTTTACTAACCGGTCGTTCTTTCCTCTTTTTCGGTAGCTTGTTCCTTCCTTTTACGATCCAAGTCTGGTAGATCGCTACTTCCGTACATTGGTTTTCTGTTGTATCCTTGATAGTGACCTCCTCGTTATATCGTCACTTCCTCATCCAGTGAATTCGGATCCAATGGTCGCTCTTTCCGTTCTTGTAGCGCATATCGTGACTTCCCGTTTTGGTTTACTTCCCTGATTCGCTCCTTCCACTTTGGGAACGCTAAATCGCTCCTGCCTTCTGGTCTGATTTTTTCGCACCGTTATTGGTTCATTATAAAGCGTATCATGATCAGTGTTGCATAGAAACAGTTGTCTTCATACTGGTATGGATTGCATGGAAGAGCGGGAAACGAGACACTTTGGCATTGATTCACTCGGATGAGATTAACGAGATGGGTGTATATGATTATTGATGGCTTTCACCATCAGGAGATACAAGAGGCTCGTATTGATGTTCTGAGAGAAATCGAAGTAAGGTCGAGTAAATTGAATGCGAGCAGAATGAATGAGTAAATTGAATGGAGTAATTGATTCCGATTTTCTTTGGCTGCGAGCTGCTCTTGCCATGAACGATACTCTTAGTTGTTTCAATCATTCGTCAATCGCTGCTTCAAATATGCTTTTCTTGATCGTTCCTTCCTTCCTTCCATGGATATCGTGCTTTCCTGACTACTCGGTCGCAACTTCTGTTCCGGTATCCGCCTACATCTTTCTGTATGTTGAGGCTGCAGCCTTAATCCACTCTGCCCACATTCTAGTTGCTCTTCGCCTTGCCAGCTCTAAACACATTGTAGAACACGGCCGCAGAGCTCTCCTCAACCCCATCACTGACAATCCTCATCCCCTTGCCCCTACCCACTGCATCCTTAGCAGCAACCACCTCAACACTGCTGCTCTCATCGCTCGAGCCCCAAAACTCAGAGATGGAAGAGATAGATCTCAGACCATCGAGCCATTTGGCCACCTTACTTTCCTGTTGCCTCATTTCCCCTTGGCCGCTGTTATTGTTTGTGGTCTTGGGATTTGCGAGGGACTTGGATGGTGAGATGCGGAGGCGTTCGCGTGGTTTGTTGGCGAGTTCGATAAGACGGGAGCGGAAGGTGCGGTCTTTGGTTGCGTGTCGTTCTTGTTCGGACTGGGCCTGTTGATGGAGTGTACTGACGCGGCGAGCGTGGCGTGCATCTTCGGACCATATGCGTTGGCGGATGGCAACGACTTGTTGGGATGGAGGTCGATCTTGTGTGCCCGAAGTGACAGTGTCTTCGTGGGGGCTGGTGACAGACTCGTTGACTAGATTTCGGTGATTTCTCTAATGTCGTGGTCAGTTTCGAGCTTACTGGTGTTTGTTACGGGTGATTTACGGAAGATGATCGAGAGCGATTGCGAGATTGACTTCTCTTTCTGTTTCGAGGGCTTTCTCGGTGTCTTTCTCTGTGATGAGAGTGTCTTCGGGAGACGCGGCGCCCATCTTGTATTGCTCTGGTGGTCGCTTTTGGTCTTGATACTGGACCATGGTGATCGTCTGATATCTCGTAGTGGCAGCAAATGTACACACAGGGCATTCTGAGAGTCAATGATATTATCAGAACAAAAATTCTCGTCCCATATGCTTCTCTTGTAGCCAGCGGCACGGCGACATTGTGTTTGTTCACACCAAGACATTAGAGCATCCAACACCAGACATGGACAACACCCTGGCTCCCTGCGTGCTGTTTCTCCAGAGCACATGCGGGTCTGCTTCAAGGTCTGAGACATACAATCGCAGTGAGGTTACATGGAAAATTAAATCTTGATATTCTTTCTTCGTACATATGTAGAATAGATGGCTGATGAATTGCTAAGAGCATTCATGTTGATGAGTATAGATTTGTTTCAGACTCGGTCGTCGAAGGTGTCATCGTCGGCGGTGAGATCGTATCCGGGCTCCTTGACGTAGGGAGGCCTGCGACGAGTGTCAGACACAGAGTCCACAATGGCCGCTTCGTAAACAAGGACGCTTCGTTTGAAAGCAAAGAAACGCACTTTAACGCTGACCTACATAAAGTAGTTTCTGAGGCCAACAATGCCAGCAGTGGCGACAGCAAATCCACCCAACATCTTGCTCCAATCGGGGTTATTGAGTTGGGCCTGGCCAACGCTCAGAGCGACCAGGTCATACACCAGGCATCCACCAAAGATCCAGTCGCTGCATGCCGCAAGACCGGCGAATCCGGCACCAGTGACGACCTTAACGGCGGTGGTGGGGAGAACATCCTTGTAGTATGCAACACTGAGGTTGTGGACGAAGTCGAGGACACCAATACCAGCGAAGGTCTTAGCGTTGATGTGGGTGAGGATGGACGAGGTGGAGGACGTGTTCATGGGACCGAGCTTGGTGAAGATGAAGTAAAGTTGGCTGAGGGAGTTGACGACGACGAATACATTGGAGAGCTTGAGCTGGCTTGAGTTCCACGCAAACATCCACCTTTCCGATGTTAGTATGGTACAATGCATGTACGGAGGGAGGGTGTTGGCCAAATTCGTGCACGTCCAGACAAATTTGGAAAATTCGGCGCCACCAAGCGCGAACTCGACCCGTGGTAGTTGGGAATTGACTTACGTGCCAATGCAGAGATTTCCGAGGATATAAAATGGCACTTTTCGTAGAGAGTACAGTTAGCGAAGCTCTATAGAAGGACCGGATGTGGTAATGGTCCAACGAGCCAGCTCACAGCCTGAATTTGGTGTAGACAAGATGGTATCCCGAATGAAGGTCTGTTCAACATGCGAACGTGGGCTGTTGTGTTTGTACCTCTGCTCACTTACCGAAGTTGACAATTTGATCGAGCTCTGCACGCTCCTTGGGCTTGTTGGGGTCAAGCTTCCAGAGACGGTACAACCAGGCAAGCTGCACAATCTGCTGGGGAGCGAAGAAAGCTCCAATGAAGTAAGGCTGAGGAGACCAGAAAGAGGTGTTTGCATCGTTGATGTCCTTCATCGAAGGTGTGCTGTTGAGTCCATACTGCTGAGCAGCAAAGTCGTAGATGAACGAGGCTGGTGCGAGCCACTTGGCGGTGCTGTATTCAATGCCCATATTGACGGTGTAGCCGGGTAGATTTGGGATGTGTTGAAGGTTGAAAGATGGATTGGTATGAAGGAGAGAAGAAGTAACCTACCTGATAAACGTCTACTTGCAGAAGGAATGCTTGCAAAGTCATGAACTCATCAAGCTCTAAGACGAGTGATGACGTTGGAATACCAGGAGCTCGGTGTTTGATTCACCCCGACTCCGATCATCTGATTGATCTTCGGACTTAGAACCTACTTTCTGAGCCTCGCATGAGCCTCAAAACATCTCTGACAAACTTGCTTTAAGAGTGTATATCTCAACGAGGTATGCATGAAGCAGAGACGAGCAGTGGACGTTGATTCCTAGAAAGTGCTTACTCGAGTGATCATCACATCCACGACAGCTCCGCCCTTTTTGAGAGCGAGCTCTGACGATGCCAAGGCTTCAGCAGCTGTCAGCTGTCTCTGTTAGACACCCCGCAGTTCATGTCGCTCAACTTGTATGGAGCTCCTCATGTCTGAAGTTGGCCATTTGAAAACAGCTGAACAAAAACACAATGATGTTCAGAAGCAGAGCTAGATCCAAAGAGATGGCCTCAAGTCGTTGCTCTCTGCGGACGAAGAGCCCGGGCTCAATTGCATCGTGCATTTTGACAGGTGGATAAACGAGCATTGCTATAGCTGGCGAGTGAAAGGGGCGAAATGAAGCACACTTGGAAAATCGTGAGTTGGTATTGGAAGACGAAGTCGAGTTTACAACGAGAGCTCAATATTTGTTCCCAGCCGATGCATCGACGCGCACTATTACTTCACTCGGGCTTGCGGCATCACTTCACTCGCACTTTCACTGCCACTTCACTTGCACTTGTACTCTCATCACTGCGATGGCGGATTATGATCTCTTATAACACTGACTTCTCTCTCTCCTCCCTTCTTCTCTCAACCCTCAATCCTTAGCTATTATCCTACAACACTCATAACACAAACACAAACTCAAACAAGACAAGATGGCATCTCAAGGCTCGTCTGACCCGATTGACTACGAGAAACTGGTCCGCGAGCAGCAGGTCCAGATCAAGGAACTTGATCAGGAGCTTCGCGACAAGATGCAGGAGATTCAAGACCTGATCGAAGCCAGAAAGACGAGATCAAAGGGTATGGACAAGATCTACGCTATTACTGATCACGATGGCGATGAACTTCAGCGCGCCGCAGTAAGACATGACTGCAGATGGACACTTGGACGTATTGCTAATGGAAGCAGGAAACAATCACCCGCGACGACGTGTTCGAGAAGCTCCGCAATGGCTACATGGCCGCTCTCCACTTCAAAGGCAAGGGACAAGACCCCATTGAGTTTCAGCAGCTCCGCGATGGCTACATTGCCGCTCTACACCTCAGAGAGGAGGGACAAGATCCCGGCAAGATTGCCGAAACCCGGAACCTGATTGCTTCCAGAAAGGAAGAGGTCACCGAGCTGATCAAGTCACAAGGACTGTCGGAGCTGTACGAAGGAGACAAGACCAAGATTCTTGAGCACCCCGCCATCAAGCAAGCCATGGCTGCCCTTGCTCTTACCGTCGACATGGATGAGTCCGCTCTTCCTAAGGATTCATCAGAGTGTGAGCGCAAGCCCAACAACTAGGCCAGCAAATCCAACACTGGATACATACTGGTTGCATACCGGATGGGCAAACACGATGGAAACTATTAGGGAGAATGGGGAACATGATATCATGACGGGAAATGAGAAACACGAATTCAGCACGGGACATGAGAAACTTGAGGGAAAAAAGATTCATAACGAAGAATCAAATAACACAAAAAAGGAACATGTCTTTTTTGTCCACTTACCGCTATCTTTCATCAATCATAAGTAAACGTGACTCTTCCGCGGATGCAAGATGCAAAACCAAGCAAAAGAAACAAGACTCGGTCAGCAACCCACGAAACGAACAAACAAACCCAGGCCTCCCGTTTCAAGTATCAACAACCACCAGTCAAAAAAAATGTCAATGTCATTTCGGAAAGAAAACCTGCCCTAACCAACACATCGCAATAAGCAGATCAAACAAATCTCTCCGATGCGATCGCGAAACATCTGCTTGAACGAACGAGTCGTGTTTTTTTTCTGCCCTGTTGATGATCGAGACCAAAACGTCGTGGGGGGGTCGTGTAGCAACAAGATTTGACAAAAACAAGCAAAGGAGAGTCGTGTTCCGTTTTGAGTGTCGCGCATCTCGCGCTTGCTCCATCATTTTGGTCGGCTCTGGATGCCAACGCGAGTGAATCGATCTTGGTCTTGATCTTAAGAAAAGGAGAATTGTGGTTGCCAAGTGTGGGTTTCTTATATAACAGAAATGGCTGACTGAATATCGGTCGAGTCGGTCCGGGATCATTGGACGTCGATTCGATGTCCAAGCAAAACTTAAAGCAAGAGAAATGTGGATATCAGGAGCAAAACGAAGAGGCTGATCACAGAACAGAATTGTACCGACAGAATGAGAAAATTTAAGGGTCAAAAAATTCGAGTTTTGAAGGGTTGAAAGAAAGTAGTCATAACAATTCGGATATGTACATTATAAAGATCTCAATGAGAATAAGCCTCCCAAACGTTCAAGAATACAAAGAAGGAATATGCGCCTTTTTGTCCACCCATGCACCAATGCTATGCCAAAAGAATGAGAGCTTGAACCTTTCGTCGGAGCATCAATCACTCGTGAAAAGACTTCCTGAAGTCTGAAGCAATCTACTTCTCCTCGTCAACCTTAGAGGCGGTACGCTCGACAGGGAAGTTACCCTGCTCGGCAATGCCAGAGGCGTAGGCATCCTCGGGAACCTTGGAGCCGTCCCACTTGGAGGAGGTGATGGGGTTGACGTGGAGAATGTACATGGTGTCGATCTCCTCGAGCGAACGGTCCTTGGACTCGATGACGAAGAAGTAGACGATGATGGCAAGACCAAGACAGCAGCCACCGAAGACGAGACCGAAGAACCAGTGGATCTCGTCGACGATAACAGTGGAGAAGAGCGAGATCAGGAAGTTCCAGATCCAGTTGGAAGCAGTGGCAAGACCCATGCAGGTGGCACGGTAGCGGGCAGGGTAGAGCTCAGCAACGACGGCCCAGACGAGGGGACCCCAGGTGGTGGCGAAAGAGACGATGAACAAGCAAGTGAAGACGATCAGAACACTTCCGGCGGCGGAGTCGTTGTGGTCAGCGAAAGGAGGAAGCTTGAAGTAACCGACAAAGGCGTAGATCATGAAACAGACGAAAGCCCAGAGAGCACCGACAATGAGGGCCTTGCGGCGACCACACTTGGCAACAACGTAAAGACCACCGAAAGTGCAGACAACGTTGACGGTACCGAGAATGATCTGGGTGACGTAGGAGTCGCTGAGACCAGTGGCCTGGAAAATGGTTGTACCGTAGTAGAAGAAGAAGTTGGCACCGGTAAGCTGCTGACCAGCCTGGAGAGTCATACCGAGAATAGTACGGTAGGCCATACGGGGACCAGTGAAGCACTCGTACCACTTGGCACCGATAGCGGCTCTCTCCTCGTCAAGCTTGACACGAATGTCGTTGATCTGGTCGCTGACTTCCTTGTGTTCGGGATCGATACCGGCGTAGCGGGCAATGACGTTGCGGGCCTCGTCCTCACGACCGGCACGGTAGGCGAAACGGGGAGACTCGGGGAGGAAGAGGATACCGACACCGAGGATGAAGGCCCAGAGGAAAGAGATACCGTTGGGGATTCTCCACTGAGCGCTGTTTGAGTAGGCGTCGTGAGTTCCGAAGTCGATCATGTAAGAGGTCCAGATACCGAGAGTAACGAAGAGTTGGTAGCAAGCAATAAGGACACCACGGATGGCGCGAGGAGCGGACTCTCCCTGGTACATGGGGACGACGACGGAAAGAGCACCAATACCGATACCATCGACGAAACGACCGGCAGCGAACTGACCCCAAGAGGTGCTGGAAGAGATCTCGATGATGACACCGATGGCAGTCCAGAAGGCGAAGAGGGAGATAGAGAACTTGCGTCCGATGACATCGGCGAGTCTACCAGCGATAAGAGAGCCGACGGCGGCACCACCACAGAGAAGAGCAGTGATGGCACCCTGGCGGTAGGCGCTGAAGTAGTAGGTACCGTCGGGGTTTTGCTGACCGAAACGTCTGAGGTAGTCGGACATTTGGAAGTAACCTTGAAAGGGGTTAGTAAACAGCTTTCGAGAGCTCTCTCAGGAGAGTGAAACGTACCAGAGATTTGACCAGAGGCATAACCGAACATGAAACCACCGATGGAGGCAACAAGACCCATGAAGCAGGCCATGAAGGTGACCTTGCCAGCAGGGACAGGAAGCTCATGGTTGCCAGCGGTCGATTCGACCTGACCGGCGGTCATGGCCTCGGTCTCAGTACGCTTTGAGAAGAGACCCATGGTGATGATGGGTGAGGGGGGTTGGATTGATGTTGTTGGGAGGATGAATGGAAGAAGGGAACCGATGGATGGATGGCGGAAGGAGAGGTCTTATGACAGCCAGGCGAGGTCTGCTGGGGGAGTCGAGAGAGAAAATGAGGAGAATCGGTCTTATAAAGGATGGAGCAGGAGCGTGGGACGGTAATAGATCGGGGTTGCTCTGGAGTGCTCCGGATGCAACACGGCACTTAACGCGGGCGGCGTGCGAAGGGTGTGGGTAGAGAGTCGGTTGGAAATGATGGAGCACGAGACACTTTGGGGTCTGTTGATGGAGGTTTGGTTTCGATGTTCTACGCTCTGCACGGAGGATATATATGGGTCTAGTAAATGGTCGAGCCACTAATCGGAATCATGCAGCCGAACAGCGACGTCAAACCATGACCACGGTCCGGTGATGGTTCAGGTCACCTGTGAGCAACTTCGAGCCCTGAGCTACGAGAAGCTCTCGGGACCGTCTGCGAGCAGAATTTTTGCTTTACCGTGCCGAAGCCGATCAAACCATCACGAATCGGAAGGCGTTGACTGTTGGCAACGGAAGTCGCAGTCGACATCTCGCTCAAACGCCCAGCAAAAGTGCATCAGCCCATAGCGAATGACGTCGAGCTTCAAGAGCTAATTGCGCGCCCACGTAACGGTAACACAAGAGAGATTTTTTTCCTTGGAGATGGAGGGTTAGGCTGGGGCCCATTTGGGGTTTGATTGCTCCAGGATCACGCGAATGTTCGCTTCGCAAGTCAGTAGTGGGAGAGTCTGGGACAGCTCCGGGGCCTGATGCAACTTCGCAAGAGCACGATGTGGGCCGTAGAAGGCGGCCAGAAAATGCATCGAAGGACGTCGGCCGAGCATGCCAAGCTTCAAAAGGGCGTCGGAAGACAATCTCGAAAAAGTCAATATCGGCCCTTTGATGGCGTTTCTCGGCCCGTCTCGCACACCCGGCGGCCTTGTCAAGCCACGGCTTGAAAGTCTTTTTTAACGTCCGTCAAGGGAACAAGGACGTCATTCGACTTCTGGAAGCTACAGCTACACGACTCGAAAGTCGAGATCCCAAAAACTGGCGATGGCACTGTTCAAGGCCTCGAAGATGAAAGATCTCGTTCTATTTTGCTTCTCCAAAACGAACAGAAGATTCTGTGGACCGCAATATCCTGAGCCGACCGGCGAAGGACCGACCTCGGTGGGCATACAAAGCAGGTAGTGGTCTTACTTCGGTTCTCCTCCGTCCAACAGGTTCTTCTTCGGAGGAAGTTGGGAAACAGATGAAATTTTATACACGGGTAGCCAATAGCACACTGCAAAGACTACGGGGAACGGACTTAAGGGCAGTCGTAGTCTCGCAGACACGCTTCAGCACGCGTCTGAGTGCAGATTGGGACATGTTGTGTGATGATCCTCCGAGACGTGCGGCCACGCGCAGACGATGGGACATTTCAAACAGACCCACAGTTACAGCTCAAGGTGGGATGAGGGTGGTGAGAGACGTTACGGGGGAAGATGTGGTGGAAATGCGGATGTCGCGGAGTGGTTGTGGTGTTGCTGTATGCACCCATGGGCGGGAAAAGTAGGAGCAGAGTGGAGGATGTGGCGCCCCATGGAGCAAACCTGAGGTGATGAGAAAAGTCTGCACATGGCGAACCAAATGGAATGATCTGCGGTTAATCAGGTGTTGTCGTGGTCTACTGGACATGATAGCTCAGCAGGCTGAAAAGTGCTCAGTCCATGTGTTCATATCATGTTATTGCTGTGCACCAACTCTTACGGGAGCTGATCACTTGGACAGTTCGTGGAAGGAGCGACAAGGCTATCTTATCGCGGATCTATCCAGGATCGACGCTCGGATCATGCTCTAGCACGTAACTTCTCATAGGCGCGTCAAATGGACAGCTGCTTGCAAGCAATACCATCATCATGTCGGGTTCACAGTCGCCAGCTCCGACGACGGAGGCGCATCGGTTGATGCAGGAGAATGCGCCGACAGTGCCATCGCCGTTGAACCCCGAGGTGAGAGGACGGTCGCAACGAGAGCGCAAAGAGACGGCCAAGAAGCGCGAGGCCACACGGGGCACGACACCGACCGTAGCAGCCAAGCGCAAGGCGACTGGCTCGTCGAACAGCCGTCATGCGGGCCCTCAGTCGGCGCCATCGCCTATGCGGTATCAGATCCCTGCGCCGAAGACGTCCGATTACGACCCACCCAAGCCTCCCGTTTTCACCTCGCACGAACCTACACCTTACATGACGCCGGATGCAAAGATGGAGCTCAAGAAAGTCACGGACCAGGCTGAGAACAAACGAGCATACCGATACACGTTAGCGGTGGCCGACCCCAACTTCCGTCACAAGCAATTCTATCGCCAGTCAGATGGGCTGCCCTATGGTGCACGCATGTCCTTCGAGGACGCCGACCGATCCATACACTACGACACCAGTGGATCTCGTATGACCAACGGAAGAGGATGGCGCATGGCGAGAGCCAATGTCTGCGCGCGCGAGGGGTCGCTCTATTACGAAGTGCGTGTCGTACGTGGTGTGCCTGCTGTCCACTCTGAGAGTGTCACGGTTGGCGCGAGCCAAGGTCCTCAGCCACATGTCCGTATGGGATGGGCTCGTCGAGAAGCCCCGTTGGACGCGCCTGTTGGTTTTGACGGCTATAGCTACGGCATCACCGACCTCCGCTTCGAGCCCATGCATCGCAGCCGCCCGTCAAAGTTCTTCCACCCTAGGACGTCAAAAGCAAAGGCCAACACGCCTATCCAGCTCAACGACAGCATCCGTGAAGGCGACATTGTTGGTCTTGAGATCACCCTCCCTTCACTTTCGTTGCACCAAAAGGTCGTTGAAGGCCACTACAACCCGGCCGTCGATCTTGGCGATGGCTTTGAAGACCAACCACCACGTCCCGATCCTTCCCTCGAACCTCACCACATCATCCGCGACCGTATTCCCGTGCCGTACAAAGGCAATGTCTACTTCGAGACCATGGACTATGTCTCGACAAAGGCTGTTGAAACCTATGCAGACCGTACCTTGTCCTTGACATCTCTGTCCACTCCTGCTCCTGGCGCTCCGACATCTATCAAATCGCAACCTGGCCCTCACCACCAAGATCCGCCGCTGCGTACCCTGCCACACAGTAACATCCGCGTCTACAAGAACGGCCAGTTGATCGGCACCGCCTTTGAAAACTTACTGGCTTTCTTACCACCTGCCAGTCAGACCAGCAAGTCGCAAGGTGCTCGAGAAGGCTTCGATGACGGTATGCTCGGCTACTTTCCCGCCATAGCATGTTTCAGCGGTGGCATCGCCGAACTCAACTTTGGCGAAAACGGCTTCTGGATGCCGCCCACCCACTTGAAGCCTGCCCCCCCTCTCTCTGACACCTCAGATCCAGACCAGAGATTCTATCCTGGTCGTTCTCTCCGTCCCATCTCTGAGAGATTCAAGGAGCAAATTGCAGAAGATGTGGTTTGGGATGTCCTCGACGAAGTAGACTTCTTCATGCAGGACGGTGGATTTGGAGGAAAGGTCGGCGCCGGTGCTAATGCTGTCAAGAAGGGCGTTGCCAGCTTGAAGGAGGAAATGGACTAGGATTCTACTTCACCACGAAAGCTCCGCCCTTCTCGTCACGTTGCTGCTCAGACCCCTGTTCGTAAGATCGCTTGGACAGGCGCTTCCAATGCTTGTTCGCCGCCTTCGCCGCCCAAAGCCCCTTCTCTCACTCCTCCTTCTCCTAGGCTGAAGTTGAAGTTTCCACCTCGCGCTGACGTTTAGTTTGCGCCTCTCAATGGCTGTTCCCCAAAACTCGACTTTAAAGGTCCTTGAAAGTGGAGGAATCCCAAGAGAGGGCATCGGCAGTAGTTACTCGGTGTCTTAAGATGTATCAAACTATGCGATTTGTACCTTTGCCCTTTCTTTTTCCGTGTACATACATACATCATAAGGTGACCTGGCCCTGGTACTCCCAATTCTGTCCAGCTACCTACCTCTCAAGCACTCGGTACTCGTGAGAACATCCCTATCAAAATGCACAAAGTTATTGAGAACCGAGTGGGGGTCCAGTGAGAGTGAGTTTGTGACTAGTAGGACCAGACATGATATACTTTCCTAAGGCATAGCGCGAGATGGTCCCAGACCTGTCTACTTCTTCTTTTCTTTCTTTTTATTTTCTCCCTCTGCCCTTTTCTTGCTCTTCCAGATCCGATCATTTCGTTCATCTTGATTTTTCCAGTTTCTGATCATGTTTCTTCTTCTACATTCAGGTCCTCCAGTTACCAAGGATGAAGGATATGCCAATGAACATCATAGGTAGTCTAGCTTCAGTCAGTATCTCAATCTACTCAACGTTGCACCAAGTTGACCTTTTTGGGTGCGTCAATCATGATTCTTGAACTACATCATTCACAGTAGTCGTGCAGTCTCGAGGCCCTGTAGAGGTGCATTCGTATTTACATAAGATGGCAAAAGCAGGTCATACCAAGTTCAGTCTTGATGCCGACCTGATTTCTCGGTCAGGGTGGCACCGTCAACCACAACTTCTGACAAGCAAATGCCATCCACTCACCACACTTTGGCTCAGATACGTCGTTCGGCTCTAAATAGACTCTTGGTGTAATATAGAAGCTTTCTAATATAGTAATCTGGTCATTGGGCTGTTGACGTGGCCTAGAGCTCATAAATTTCGCATCTCACAACCCATCGTCAAAGGAACAACACTTATCCCATCTACTTGACCCACAGAAGTTGTTGTCATCCACGGAAAGCAGACAAAAACCTGTGATGGATGTTGTTCATAAACAAGAATGATCATGTTGTATAAGAGAAGATGCTTGAATATGGAAGAAAAGGACGAACAAGTTGGCCCGGAAGGAATTATGTCCAACAACCCCTCCACTGTACTAAACGCTATCACGCGTGTAATTGTAGAAATGTACGATTTTTGCTACTTCAGAGGCGCCAATGAGGCAAATTTAAGCTGGGGTTGTCATTCTGAAACCTGACCTGCTATAGGCAAAGGATACGCCTTTCGTTTTCTAGGGAGCAGTAATAGTCATCTTCCATCGTCATGTCATTCAATCATCAATGGCCGTCAATCGTTGATCTGATCGTCGCCCTCGCTTAACCTATACTCCTTCGACTCGACCCTGCCACTCCGGACGGCCCAATCTCCACTCCGAGAATTCAACTTCTCCAGGCATCTCCTGACCGTTTGCAAGCCTCAGACGAGGGAACGAGTCTTGAGACCAGACATATGCACGACCATCCTCAGCTACGGCGCCGTGGTTCTGCGGATTGACAAAGGCATCTGGGTTGTTAGGGTCGCGGAAGCCAGGTCCTTCGGTATCTGTACGAGGTGAGCCATTGAACCAATTTATGATATCGCCTGCGTAGTCGAATGCGCGGTTGAGAAACCCACGATTGTTAGCTTGCTCTTCCTGACCAGATGCCTTTTCGCCCATAGCGGTTTTACCCTCAGGTGCTTCGACGGGATCCTGCAGACATGCCTCACGAATCTTGTTCGCCTTGTTCTCGTTGACAAGCACCAGAGCGCCAGAGTGCCACCCGGCCGCGGTGACACTGAGCGCAAAGTATGTGCCAAGGTCGTCCTCACTCTGCGTGTTGTCACCACCGAACCTTTGCTCCCAAGCGTTGCCTTCTTGTTCAAACCATTCACTGACCTCGCCTTGGACGTTGACTTCCGAGAGCATGCGCATACGTTCCTTGGCCTCTTCAGGGTCTCGACCTCCGCTTGTAATGAAAGCAATCCACTTCTGCTTCTCCTTCTCAAACCAAATCCTGCGCCCATGAAGGGACGCGTGTGGAACCAGGCGTCCATCTCCAGATACGCCCTGGTAGCGAAGTCCACGAATCTGTCCTTCAGGATTTCCGTGACCACCAAGGCCTAGACTACCGCAGCTTTGAGGCTCGGTACCATAAGACGTGATATAGCCGGGTGCATGAAGTGCGTGGAAGTGGTAGTCGCCGAATGCAATGGAGATGACCTGAGTCTGCTGGAGGGCATGTATGCGATCGAGAGGCCTCATTGTGGTTCGGAAAAGGCCATGCAAATGTTCGCCCAGATCACCGGTGTAGACAGTACCATCATTTGTGAAGATTGCGAACGACCGGAACGACCCTTGGACGTCTGTAGCAAACTTGGTTTCACCGTCTGTTCCAAGGGGGACCTCTCTGACATCGGACACTGCCTTGCTTTGTGCGTTCCAGACAATACTGGCGGCGTACACTTTACCAAGGTGCGTGTTGAACAGGATGTACTCCTCGAGACAGATAAAGTTCTGGACTTCACCGATGTCGATACTTGCAGGCGACGGTTCGAATGATGTGACGGATCGCTGGAAGTCGGTACCAGGGCAGATTGCGGTTTCCATAACGAGCACAGCGTCCTCTTCGCCTTCTGGCTGGCGCGCATTACGTTTGATAGGTTCCCAGACAACGATACCGCTACCGACTATCAAAGCAGCACTCTTTGACCAGCCGGCAACGACTTTTTTGACGTAGCCGGGAGTCGATGAAGAATGGTTCTCTCTCACTGTCAATTCAAAATTAAGAAACTTGACTTGGAGTGCAGGCATGTTCATGTGGCTCCAAGACCAGATGTATCCAGCATCGGACAGAGCGAGGACATGGTAACGTCCGGCAGAGAACTGCTTGATGGCAGATGCTGGCTCGTAGCGTTCACTAGGATGAGGCAAGCCTGCAGGATAACGAAGTGGTGAGGGTCTCGGCTTTGCAGGCTGGTTGCGTGCCTGACCGTCCATAACTCCAACGCCGTACAAGCCGCCCTTGGATGTCAGCAGGTTGGTGGACCAACCACCGCATTGCATGTCGGCGATGATGCCCAGCTTCTCGATACCCTCCATCTCAGTAGGCCATGATACATGCTGTCTCGCACGAACGATGGGTCTTCGGCGTCCGGCAGGTCCAATACCACCTCGGCCGAAAGGTGATCCCATATGCTGCTGGTGTCCATGGCCAAGACAGGTCTCGTCATTGTTGCCCCAGGTGAAGCAGCGAGACTCCGTCAGTAGGCGACGATACATCTTTTGCCATCTCACACCGTCATTCTCGACGACTGGTTGATTTGGCACGCGGAAAGTGCTGCGCGCGGCTGAGCTCCAGTATGGGGCATATTGCGCAATGTCAGGTTGGTGCAGTGCTGTGCAAGTTGATGTTAATGCCACGAAGCTGGTGACATCGAGATAGGGAAAAATCAGATACAGAATGTCTACTGGGAGATCCAGCAATTGCGTTTCTGACATGATGACGATGTTTGTAGATGTGAGCAGAGACGTGTTAGGTGTAAGAGAGTTGACCACCGAGGCAGGCAGGGTGAGGCAGCTGCACAGCCTCAAGCTTGGACCCCCAGCCTCCGATTAAGCAGGTCCGCAGCAGTCAGCCGCCGGAGGAGACAGTGAAGAGACTCACTTCTCATGTGTTACTGGGAGAGATCTGCTCACAGAAGACCATATTGAACGCACAGCATGGGACCATCACATGTAGATAAATACACCATTCTCTACCTTCCTGACATCACGTCGAGGGCATGTTGTTGCTATCGTTAGTGACAACTGGAGTTCGGGTAGCGGGCCGGTGACTTGTGGAGGAGCTTGGCAGAGGAACCCGTGTCATTCTGTTATTTGGGGCTATTCTACGGTTAGAATCGCAGCAAGCTGCTCAATAAAAGGGTCCAATCCGGGGTACGAGATGCGATGATTGGTCGAATTCAATGAGCGTTGAAAGCTCGGGCGCGCGCGTCGAAAGTTCGGGGAAGCTCGGGCGACGCGGCGAAAATTCTGGGCAACCCGCTCCCGCGACGCGACACACAACACCAAATTCACCAATTCAACACACAACCATCCACTCCAACATCACAACCACAACGCGCAGAGCACCAATTCAGCGTATACAGATTCAATTCAAGGTACGCGCATACAAGGTAGGTGCCCCCTCTCTCTCAATTCAATACACGAAGAACAAGCACCCGCAGGGGAACGGCCTCCACGGCAGTGGTCTCCATAAAATGGTCTCCATGAAATGGCCCTCGGAGAGCCTCCGGAGGACCGCCGGAGGCCAGCACCACGCAGTGGATAGCTCCATGCAATGGTTCGCCCGCCGAACGGCGGAATACCCTTCTTTAATTCAATTGTACAACAAAAGCACCCGCAAGGGAAGAGCCTCTACGGCAGTGGCCCTCGGAGAGCCCTCGGAGAGCCGCCGGAGGCAAACACCGCGCCCCCTTTAATACAGATTAAGTCTACCATCGCTTCAATTCACTGCTAACCTTCTACTTCAGATGGCCGCTGTTCTTCCCGCTCCTACTAGTGGAGGAGGCAATGACCCGAACCGCCTACCCCTCGACCTATCCTTACCCGCCGACGCTCCCGACATTCCCGACCACCACGTCTGTACAAAATGTGGTCTATCTAAACCCGCCACCGAATTTGTCGCCAAGTACGCTAACCGACCTCCTACTAAGTAGTGCCTTACCTGTCGTAGCGGTTTATAGGGTGTTAAGCGTAGAAGAGGAGCATTACCCCTCCCTACACCTGTACCTATATAACGTCCTCCTCGCCTACAACTACGTCCATCTATATACCCTTACACTCCTAATATAGGCCGTCCTCCTGTCCGTAATCCCTTCTTCGGTAGCGGTACTCTACCTGCTAGTGCACTGTCTAGCTCTAAAGTTTAAGACCCGTATAGCACCGGCTACAATCCTACTAACATAAACGCTCCTACGCCTTCTTCCCTAGTCTAACCCTGAGCTGCTACTTCCGCTCTTCCTCGTATAGCTATACGTAATAACCCGGAACCTACACCTCCTCTTTAGTTTAAATGCGAGGTTTATTCTTACCCTCGTGCTATAATGTAGAAGAGCTTAAACACTCCTTATCTAGACTTCTGTTAATTCTATGAACTTAGCTATTCTTAAGGTAAGATTGAAGGTTAGTTTAAGTGGTGTATCTAGAGCGACTATGACTTAGAGAGAATTAACTTCCTTAACGAGCTTAATGTCGAATCTCCTAACTACTGTAACGGCTGTCGCGAGGCCTTAAACCTTAGTCCTCTTATTAGCACGCCTGTCTATGTTACTACTCCGCTTAATAAGGCCACTCCCTTAAGTGCATATAACCCTTTAGGTAAACCTTTTCCCTTAACAGATAAGGAAGACATTATAAGCTTAGGTAGTACACGCCTTCCTACTTAGCTTATACTAGTTCCCCCTACTACCATGTTTAGTCCTCCCGACCCTACTAACCCTCCCCTCCATCCCGATAACCCTTAATTCTTACTTTAAGATGCTACTTTAACCGCTCTAGACCTAGTACGCCTTATAGACTTCCATTACCGCATTAGTCGTTAGCGTATAGAGCTATGTCGTCGTTGCAATAAGAGATGGTTTAATCTGGACCTTAATAAACATAATGTTTGTTTTCGTTATGTCCGAGTTAACCGTAGCTATGACGGTTCCGCTAAAGACCCCTACCTCTTTAATGAGCTAAACCTTATAGATCCTAGTAAGTACCCTACCTAACTACCTAAGCCTACTTAAATCGAAGAACAACTCTTTACCGCTATCTATATTTACGTCGAAGTTCGTTATGTCCGCGGTCTTTAATACTTATATAAGGGTTATGTCTGCTACTTCCTTCGCAATGTAGCTAAGGTATACGAATAGCTACCTCTTATCCCTAAGAACCTAGATATCATCATCCTTAAGCCTTCGAACTCTACCGACAACCCTCGCCTTAACCGCTAATTCCGTCGTATCTTTAGGGTTCGCCGTAACGTCGTTCGTTAATAGCTTAACTTCCTTCGTACTAACTACCCCGGCTACCGCGACATTAAGATTAGTAACGCTGCATTAGCTGCCTTACCTAAGGATAGTAATGTCCTTAATCGTCTTCCTATATAACACACTGCTGCTAAAGACCCTAATCCTAAAGCTTAAGTTAACCTTAGTGACGAAGATAAAGACCCTACATCTGCCGCTATTCCTAACTTCCTTACTAAGGAGTCTAAGATAGATCAACTTCGAGGTTAAGTAGATCCTAATGCTATTAAACGTCCTTAATAAGACTTCATCGTTATGCCGGATTACTATACTGTTCCCCTCTCTAAATTCAACAAATTAGAAGCCCTCCTTAGTCGCGCCTTCCCTTTACTCTTTCTATATAGTAGAGTAGAGTACGTCCTCTTAAGACCTCGAGACGTTAAGTACCCTGCCTATATTAACTATCTTATAAAGTACCGTAACGGCCGCTTCGCTTCTTACCCTCGCTTCCCCTACGTCGCGTTTAATACCCTTATAAGAAGCTAAGTTAATACTAAGTCCTCCTTCTTCGTTAAGCGTAGGGGTAACTAAGCTATATATATAGCTAACGACCTACGCGCTACATTTACCTCCGAGTCTACCGAAGGAAACGCTCTACTTTAAAGCATTATTAATTACTCTAGTACTCTTCGCGGCAGTCGTCCCTTCTAGAACGGCTAACGTTAAAAGCTCGAAGCCATAGTTAGAATACTAGGCGTTCCTGCCCTCTTCCTTACATTTAGTGCTGCCGATTACTAGTAGGACTCTCTTATACGCTACATGCCTCGCTATAAAGAGTAGAGAGCCGCTAACACCGATAGAAAGATTAAGATAGCTCGAGACAACATCCGTAATAACCCTTACATCGCTACCTACTATTACGTTACACGTTTTACGTCTTTTATAGAAGTAGTCATTATGCCGAAGTTCCGCGTTGTCGACTTCTTTAACCGCTATAAATGGCAAGCTCGTGGTTTACCTTATAGCTACGGATTCGTCTAGCTCTAAGGCTAACCTTCCCTTAATCTTAATGACCTTAATACCTTCGCTTAACAATAGGGACTCTATGTCTCTATAGTCAACCCCGAGGTATTCCGCTAGGCACTACCTAATGAACAACCTCCTATGCTACTACGCTACGAGGATTAAGCCTTTAACTTCTTAAACCTCGCTTAACTACTCTAACGTGTTTAACTCTATAAGTGTAGCGAGACCTACTACTAACGCAAGAATAAGAGAACTAGGGTCGTTAGCTGTCGCTTCCACTTCCCTTATAATATTAGAGATTAATCTGTTGTTATAAAGGACCCTTAGAGGAGTGCCGCTCATCTTATGTTCTATCCTAAGCGTAATGACCCTCGCCTTAACCGTTATAATAGAACCATGAGCTTAGGATAGTTAGCTAACACTAACATCACCCCTTGCACCTTACTCTAAGCTGTCATTAATTACCTCTCTAAGTATTGCACGAAAGCTAAGGTTAAGTCTCCTTAATATAGAGACATGCTCTAAGAGGTGCTGCTAAAGGTTTCTAGTTCCCGTCCCCTTCTCTTACTTACTACTAAGTTAATGAACAAGCTTATTGCTAAACGTGACTACTCTAGCTAGGAGATTACGCACATGCTCTTCGACCTTCCCTTAGTTAACATCTCTCGCACCGTCGTCCCTATTAACTGTCGCCCTAAGTCCTAGTAGAACTAATCCTTCTCCGTCGAAGGTTAAAACTTTGTAGCCGGTCGAAGTGTTCTCTAAAAGTACATGTAACGCAACAACATCTACTTTAATGATAGTTATTATTAAGTCCTTACTCGCTTTAATACTGCCGCAAGACAAATCTACCGCCTAGCTAGAGTAGACACTAAGGATAGAGTACTCCGCTACTTCCCTATCTACTCGCCTAACCCTTAAGGAGATGACTACGAAAACTACTGTCGTGTTAAGCTTATACTCTACTACCCTTTCCGCTCTATAGATAACCTTAAATTCATTAGAGATATTAGTAAGGCCGGCATAACCTACACTACTTACTTAGAAGCTTATGCTAACTGTTTAGTCTTCTATACTTACCCCGACGACTACTATAACGTCGACATAAACCCCGCTAACGACGAGGAGTTCGAAGATGATCTATAAGATAAGCTAGAGGAAGGCCGCTTATAGGAAGACCTTGCTGCCAATAGAGCTAAGATTAATGAAGAAGACCCTAATGCCCTTAGTTAACGCGATATTGACCGCCAATACGACTAGACCCCTTATGTTAGCCTTTACCCTACCCTCGCCGTTAGTAAAGACTAGTAGAACTAACACAGAAATACTAAAGCTAAACTCCTCGTCGCCGACACCCCTTAGACTAATATAGACCTCCTCACTCTAAAGTAGGCCATCATATACGACAAGGTCCTTAACCACTTCCGCCTTATCATTAATGGCTAAACCCCCCTATCCTTCCGTGTTTAAGTTAATGGTCGTAGTAGTACTAGCAAATCCTTCGTCATTAAGACCATATCTTCCTACATCTAGAAGCTCTGCGTTTAACATAACCTTCCTATCCCCGTCCTTCGTGCCGCTCCTATAGGTATAGCTACATATGGAATCGCTAGTAGAACCTTATATGCTTTGCTCCGTCTCCCCTTTAACAGTTAGTCTAATCTTACTGCCGGAAACCGCACTGCCATCTAAAACAGGTTTAAAGACGTTAAGTACCTTATCATTAATGAGAAGTCTATAGTTTCTCTTATCGGTCTAGCCTACGTTAATAAGCGCCTTCGCAAGGCCATTCCTAATATAGCTAATGAATGGTTCGGTAGACTTAGTGTGCTTCTATGCGGAGACTTCTTCTAGCTACCTCCTGTCTCTAAACGCGCCCTCTACACCTCTAGCGTCTTAATTAAGGAGTTCGAGATCGCTAGCCGTAACGCCTACTACTCTTTTAATAAGACTATTGTCCTAGATGTCATTATGCGCTAATAAGGTGATAACTAGGAATCTATTAACTTCCGCAACGCGCTAGACAATCTACGCATAGACAAAGTCTTATTCCCTAACTATTAACTCTTAAGCACTCGCACTAGTTCCTCTATTACCCTTTAAGACTACCGCTCCTTCGCTAGCGCTATCCGTTTCCTCCCTAAGAAGAACGCTGTTACGGCCTGCAACGAAGAACGTATCGCTAGTCTTAATAAGCCTATTATCATCTATAAGGCCTTACATGACCCTAAGGAAGCCGCTTCTACTTCTAAACGTAAAGGCGCTAACCTCGTCCCCGAGCTTCCTCTCTACCTTAACGCTCGTGTCATGCTTACTAAGAACCTTTAGACTAAACAAGGCCTAGTTAATGGCGCCCTTAGAACAATCTACGACATCTCTTAGGACGCCGACAAGGATCCTCTCTAAGACCCTCCCGACTACGTCCTCGTTATCTTCGACGACTACTACGGCCCCTCTCTCTTTAATACACCTACTAGCGACAAGGTTATCCCTATCTTCATATCTAATAGAGAGTTTACTCGTAGTTCTAAGATCTGCTACCGCAAGCAATTCCCTCTATTAAACGCCTTCGTAGTCACCGTTCATAAGGCTTAAGGCTTAACAGTTAATTAGGCCGTGCTTAACATCTCTAAGAAAGACTTCGCTTAAGGACTTAGCTATGTCGCTGTCTCGCGCGTTAGAACCCTTAGGGGCATTATGTTCGAATAACTATTCGACTTCTGCACTCGCTTTGTTCGCCCTTAACCTACCGACACTATGGTGCAGCGCCTTGCTAATGCCATTAGACGCCGCCCTTAAGAGTTGTGAACAACTAACAAACAACTACAGGATTTGGTGGTTCATGGGGGGGTGTATACAGCTATTAGATAGATGACAATAACACTCCGAAGTTTAACCGATATTGCGTGTAATTAGCTTCAAACGAATCGCTAGCAAGCTGCTCACTCCAACGATCGATCCTTCGAGCGTCAACGTATTTTTTCCGACTGCCGCAATTCAAGCAATGAGCAAGATACAGGAATCGTTAAGCATATTGAAGTTCAGGAATATGATGGCTCAAAGTGTCTAGTGCGAGTTGCACAGCCTCCGGTCTTCAAAGCGAACTCATTGCGCTTATGATGATCTGTAGGCTGTGCATAGGCCTCCAACAATCTTTCTCGAATCCTTAGGCTGAGAGCTTGTAAGACTGCGCCAAGTCTGAATCCTTCGAACCAAATGGTATGGCTCGTCGAGTCCGCCTGACGCGCACTGATCATGTTTGAGAGGATTATAGGATTTATATAAGGAGAACGCATCCCCACGCTAGCCGCTCCACTGTATCCAGTAATTCGTCACGATGGGTAACTTTTCACCACAGCATATCGATATCATCGTGGACACTGCTCCTCAAGGAGTCCTCGGCACATTCGTCCCCGGCCAAACCATCTCAGGAAAGGTAGTCTATACTCCTCAGGCCCAAGTCGACATAGACAGTATTATCATCATCTGCAAAGGCACCTGCTTCACAAAAATCAGAGAGCGACATTCCAATGGCAACGGTGGGCAACACACCAAGAGCTATCCTGAGAAGATTACTCTTTTCCGTGATATGGATACAATCTTTCGAGGCCCTCATACTATCCAGTCAGGCAGATACGAATGGCCTTTCCGTTTCCAACTGCCACTTGGAGCAATCTTTCATCGAAAGAGTTCCTCAAAGGACAACCTGTTCCAGCTAGGCGAGCAAGGACTACCTCCATCTTTCAAACTTGTTAGCGAAAAGATCTCCACTCCTCCAGAAGCAGAAGTCTCGTATAAGCTCAAGGTGAAAATCAACCCTGGCAGGATGATGCATTCAACCGAATGTGTACGTGAGCTCCCGATCTGGCCTGCTTCTTCAACACCCCTCAAAGCGCCATTACCACTGGATGGCCCCTGTCAAGGCGATGGACGTTTCAAGAGCAAAGCACTACGTCCAACCCAGCATTCATTCAGGGAAAAGATGAGCCATGTGTTTACCAGCGATCCCTCCTTGAAGACGCCAGAGATCAACATTGCGGTCTCCTTCAAGATGCCTCGAAGTGTGGGTGCAACACAATTGTTGCCACTCGACGTTTCTTGCAAATACACCAAGACAGGAGCGAACGACCCCGATACTCCAAGCTTTGTCGTCGACGACTGTCACATATATGTCAAAGCATATGTGGAAGCCAGAGCCATGGGTAGCCTAAGGGATCATCTCAAGGATGGAAAGCAGACCATAATCAGCCACAATATACCGGGCAAAAACTCGCTACTGCCACTGGATGGTACCTTTGTCCCGCTTACGGCACCTCTTACTCTAGCAGACATGACAAGACACGTCCATAACCTTGTTCCGAGTTTCAAGACGTTCACCATTTTCTTGTACTACAAGATGGTCGTCAAGGTGAACGTTCGCCATATCGAAACCGGACATCGATTCCAGTTTGAAAGCAAGTACCCATTCGAGATCTTGTCTTCAGAGCTTCCAACGCCTGCATACACCGAACCCGGACCGTCAGCCCTCTATCCTCCACAGCTCGCAGCTAGTGATCAAGCGTCATCAAGCCTCACAGCTCCTCCAGAATTTCGGGATGAATTAGCGCCACCATCATACAATTCTGGAGATGTATGGAGAAGTGAACCGGACGCAAAGAGAGTGTATTGAGCAGACAATATGCCCACAAGTCGTTTTATAAGTCTACAGGTGGTTTCATGCCAGTCATGCTTGTCGTTATGGATCATGGCGCAGTGATTTTGGCAGTCGGTACCAGGTCGACATGGGTCATTATTTGTTTTAAGATACCAATTAGTTATGTTGCAATTCGACCAAGTCTTTCATAAAGAATGCACCCTTGCACGGCTCTAACTGTTCACATTGAGCGGTGTTGGAGGCGGTGTAACGCGTTTTGGAAAAGAAGAAGGTCAAATTTGATTCCTGAGCGACATTGGAGGTTGCAGTCAAATGAGAAGGTAAAAAGACAATTACCTCACCATGACAGGTTGTCAACGCCTACTCGACGCCGTTTGATAAAGAAGGCATCACCATCTTCAAACTTCACAGAATCCTGACGTCCTGATGACCTTCACAAATAGTCGCTTCTGCAAAGCTGAACAATAAACGACATGAAAAGGAGTCATCTATCTCAAATGTCGGCAAACTTATCCATTAACGGAGTCGAGGTGTGTTGACAGCAAGATCGGGAGTGCTCGGATGCGATGATCGTGGTCTCGGCACCAGATCTGTTAAACCAAGATCTCGGTAGACGGCCGTGCCGCCGAGAGTGTGACCCTTGGAACAGCCACCACTGCGCATGGACTATTCTAATACATAGCCATTGACAAACCCATTATTCCCCGCATGCTGGTGTCTAGAAAATAGATAGAGCAGTGCTCGAGTTTGGAATAGCAAGAAATAAAAAAGTTGTCAGTTCATGAGTCGATTACATGGACTGGGCTCTCTGTAGCAATTATCGTCGCGATTAATGGCTCGATGTTTATGTCGATTTCGATGCCCGATGAGTGTGTTATCGCAAAAAGAGGGGGATCACCTGGACCTTTTTAAAAATAAACAAGAAATGACTTGGTCCTTGGCATCTATCCTTTCGTTTTTCGGCGCGGCGACCGACCTCCGAATAACGAAAACTAGAGAGATGGTCAGAATGACGAGGACACCCACGGGAACAAGATTAGCGTTTTCTCTTTGAGTGTGGGTGCCCAACACTTTGCCTCTTTTTGCCCAAACGACCTTTTGTGAGTTCCTTTCTTCTTATCTTCTTAATACTGTTCATTTTGCATCGAGGATTATCGCTTACAGACCTGGAAAATTTGGGCTGGCTGGTCGTCAAGTTGGTGGGAGAGAACTGCTCGCAGAAAAACAGAAAAAGTATACATGGCGAGGTGGCGGGGTATGATTGAGAGGGAACATGGCCACAGGATCCAGGACTCGTTTTCAAACACGCTGTTCGACCATCAACAAGGACGTCGACAAACCCAAAAATGATAAGGATGCAATGCTCAAGTGGCATGCATGTCTATACGAATTGGTCGTCATAACGGACTTCTGAGCATCATGAGGACGATTTATCCACCACCGCGACACAACGAGGACTGCTTGAAGCTCCACGATCTTCTATTTCAGCTGCAAACCAACTGCTCCGAAATAGGTGATGTACGTCGACGGGCGTCTGACCGCATCCCCGAATTTCTTCTTCGTCGGCATTCAAGCCGACTCCGCCGTCACTACAGCATCATTCATCTATCACAGCTCTGGTTTGCACGCTCATGGTGACGAAAGACTTTGCTCATCTTCCCACGAGGACAAGAGGGGGTGGCACTTCCATCTTCAATAAGAACACAACTCATCCTTCGCTTCGACTTTTTTTTGTCGTACACCCTCAAGTCATCGACATCGCCGACAACCCATCGATGCTCGAACTTTCAGGACTAGACGACTTGCAAGAGTATCTGATGAGCCAAAAAAAAAAGTTTTGATATGATGCTGTCTCGTTGCTTGGCAGACCAACATGTCGCGATAAAGTCGCAACACTAACAGAAAAATTTGGAGAACTGATTGTACAGGAAGAAAAGAAGATACCATGAATACACCGGACTGTTCGTGTGCTTCGTTCGTCGACCAGAAACGCCTTCGTTCATAACGCCATCTCGTCGCAGATTCTTTGGAGAAAAAAAAAGAAGAAACACCCATGCTACCGCAGCCGCTGTGCTGGATTCCGCCCCCTGCTTACAACACAATTCTCAGAATTTTAAGAATCATTAAGAGAAAAGGAAGTCTCTGGTCTTATTGATTAGCTTCCTTGAGGTCCGATTCAGACAGTGTCGAAAAGGGAGCCACTGGAGAGGTCTTGTGAAGACCTTTGGTCATACCGCCATATACGAAAGAGTTGCTCTGCGACGCTTCGCTCATCACGGGAGAGACCATATCGGCGATCGATGACGAACGAAGATGGTTGCGACCGGACGAACCCGATGGACTGTTCATGAGGACGGGTGAGGGTGCTGCACCATTGTTTGTGCCAAAAGCCATGCTCTGAGCCTTCCTCATGTTGTATTCTTGGAGGTCGACGCAATCGCAGAAGGAGTGGTGGAGTGCTTGCGTACGCCAGTACGACAATTCATCTCGAAGAGACTTCTCAGTCTGCCTCAGAGCAGTGTTCATGGCGCTCTGAGTACGATATGTGTCCTCAAGGCTGTCTGTGTGTTCCTTCTTCTTGGCACGACATTTTGCCGCTGCGACACGGTTCTTCTCTCGGTATTTGTCCTTTTTGTCACCGGTCGAACCGTCCTCCGATGCCCTGCTCTCTTTCCGGCTCTTTTGTGACGACCTCACCGAAGGTCTCTTTGAATTACGAGGAGACATGCTTGAGGAGGCGCCAACTTCGAAGCCCGAGGCACCGGAATCAGCTCGCTTGCCAAACGCTTTCGTCATGCCGTGCATGTCGGCGTCGTCTGGCGGTGTGACTTGGCCATATTGATCCATGGCTGCTGGATAGCTGTGCAGAAGCTTTTCCAATCCACCGTCGACTATGGGTTGTGGTGGGCCATTCCACATATTATTTGGGTTCATGTGTATTTGCGGCGACATGCCATGGTCTCTGAACATATTTTCGGGCTCTGGGGTGGTCGGGCTGAGGGCATTGAAGTCGTAAGTCGTGCTGGAGGGGTCCATGCTGGTGTTCTGTGGCGAAGCTCGCTCGAATTGGAAGAAGTCCATATCTGGATGATGCGATGAGGTTGGTGATCTTATCGTGAGGCAAACAACTATGTAGGTGGACGAATGGTTGATGAGGATGGATGCAGTAAGATGTGGCTGGTGTCTTGAAGTGTCGTCAGAACGCGAGAACCTCAGGCGAAGCTACTGCAGCAGTCGCTTGTTTGTCGATTGAACAGGCCACAACCAGGGTGTAACAGGTGAGCGTGAATTGAGTGTGGGAGAAGGTTTGATGAAACGCGACGAGTGTGAGGCTGAGTCAATGGTCGAAGACTGTTTCGAGCTTGATAGCTTGAGAGTCTCACGAACGGCGTTGCGGTTCGAGGGAGTTTGAGAAAGAGCTTGTCGATAATGCTTGATCGTGGACGAAAGAAGAACAGGAGTTTATGCTCGATGATAGGAAGCTGCAGTCGAACGATGAAAGCAAGTCAATGGTTGGGTTTGGGCAAAGGGAGATTGTGCTGTGGGCGAGAAGAATGCAGCCTCAAACGAGGAAGCTGGGGGCGAGGATTGAAATGGATGCGGCTCTGCGGCTGTACCGTACGTCGGCGGGGTAGGCTAGCTTTGGCTGAGAAAATCCAAGGTACGATGATCGAGCTTTCAACGATGCTGGTTTTTCGGTTGACACAAGATTGGGAATTTCTGCTTTGACACGCGCGAGGTTCAAAGGTGGATACTGTGGTTATTTGGTACAGCTTTTCTTTCTTCGCCCTCGCTTTTAGAACAGCAGAAACAGAGATCCGGACGGCAAGACCGACCAGGGGGGCGTTTTCAAATCGACGTCAGACGCATCTTCCTCCGGTGTGCAAGCCGCTTCGCGCGAAAGAGCCGCATCATTTTTACTTCTGATGCTCGACGATCGCTCGATGCAGGAGCCGCACCGATCGTTACCACATACAGAGATAACCGGGGCTCGTCGGCCCAATCACAAGCTCGCTGTGACGGACATCAGATTCCGTCTTTTCCATCACGAATCCTTGCACTTGGAAGCTGTGTATCTCTTTGATCCTCTCATTTGATCAATTGTCTCTCAATTTCACCAATCCAAAGGTCATACCTATCGTTCAAGCATACCCTGTCGACAGAAGCTGCGTTTGGTTGAAGCAGTGGGGAAAAGCGGGGCGACAGCAGCGCCACAGAGCCGCCGTTCATTTGGCAAGAACTGCCTTGTTTCCAAACCAAGCCTACGGTCAGCCCCAACCATGTCACCATGCAACTCGCAAAAACCACACACGGAAGCACGCCCCGAAGATCAGGACATATAACGGACTTGCTCCCGTAAGGGTCATACTCCGTCAAGCAAGCAGCGTCGAGGTGAGGCTTTTGTTACCTATTACTCCCTTGCTTGACATTACCAGAGTGAGACAAACTCCGTTTAGCCGTTAAGCGCAAGGACAACCTCACCTGTTCCTTGTCCCATCACAGACAACAATATGGTTATCGCGCAGCGCTCCAATCGCATATCTTTGCACCTCACCTGCAACTGTTCGATCGTCGAGGCCACCACCTACACCGGCGTAATTACCAGGTAGGCTTGGGTTTAGCGGGCAATGATGAGTGTGGAGCCCTCTGTCTAATCTCAGCACCTATCGTGTTTAGATGAGCATGGGCTCAATGTTCTAATAGTTTGCCTCTATTGGAGTAATTGGACGGATAGAGAACAGCTGCTACATTCCCAGAAGAAGCATTCTTGCACTCGAACTGAAAGACACTGCCATACAAACAGTATCGATGCCGAACGTGTCCCGCGCATTCTCCTCTAATCACTTAACCAACCAATCGACGCATGATAAACACGCAAGCCTATGACATGCCCACCACACCACCCTCAAACATCCTACCACGATTGAGTGCAGTATCTCGCAGCATCGCGAAACTTCTCGATTGCAAGATTTGCCATATCTGGCAGGCATGCCGAAGCAGCCCTATTTCCCAGTCCGCGTACACGGTTGCACCTTCCCTATATTTTCCAACCATCACGACACATCAAAAACACTATGATGCCATAGCTTCCCTGCCCACGACCCTGTCCATCTTTCGATCACTCTCACTCGATCAGCAGAAACCATTGATGCCGCAGAGATTTTCTTTCGTTTACGCACCGCATCGCTCGCGATCGCCCAACAAAACTCAGACCTATCTTGTCTCTGAACAGTGAGGGAAAACCCTGCATGTGTGATGTTCAGCTTTGCTTCTCAGCTTCCTTCAGAAAAAAAAGGGTTTCGGAGAAAAGGTCCGTGGCTGCATGTGTCATCGCTGCTCAGGCTAAGCGGCTTCAAGAAGATCAACCGGCTTGCCGCTCCGCTCGCTTGTTCTTTGATCTCCGTCCGCATCACGAGATGAACAGAGGAGCTGCAAAATGATGTCGAAGTTTCAACCTTCTTTTGATTTGATTCCTCCGAATGAACACTTAAACTAATTCACGAAACTCTATGCACTATTTGTGATCTTGGACTTCGTATGTGGTACTTCTAGACCTGTTAATTTAGAGTGGGAGATGGGGTTGGGCAGTCAGGCATCTACTTGCAGAAGTGCTCAGCTGTAACGAGCGAGGAAATCTGCTTAGAAATCAATGTTGGAAGAGTGCTCGAAGGTATGAGACAGAAACATTTGATCGAGGAGCTCAATCCTCATCTTAGTGAGTGAATTCATCATAGCTCTATGGAACGACAGCTTGTGCATCGCCGAACTGTAGCCAGCACGGTGGAACGCTAATCCACTTTCATCATCATCCTCAGCATTCTGCGTCCTCAACTAGAATGGACTCCATCATTAATCAAGACTCGCCTGTTCAAGTGCTTCCTGATACTTGTCTGGAGGATGTGCACCGCCTGCATCGAACGCAAACCGCGAAGCACGTGTGATCCTCCGGTGCGCCTCGTTCCGGGATGCACGTGACAGCTGTAAAGCTGCTGTCAGAGCTGGATCCTCTTCCTGGTGGTCGCTTGTCTGGGTCATACCACCGACAGGTATATTAAATGCCGGAAAGTACGACATCTGCTGTGAACCCGGTCTCTGGAACGAGACCGATGGCGGGTAACTTTCCAATTGAGCTAGGTCTGGAGCTGGATCTTCTTGCTCGTGTCCGCTCATTTGAGCATCACCTGCTAACAGGAGCATATGAGACGGAACAGTCGCTCTCGAAGGCCCGGGGGGAGTTGGACCTGTTTGCTGATGGCCATATACATGGGAAAGGTTTGGTTGTTGAGCATTTGCAACCAAAGACGTGGCTGATAGCTGGAGCTCCCCTGTCTGGTCTAGGTCTTCGGGCTGGTGAACACGTGTCTGAGTAGGATCGCCTAGATGAGACGGAACCGAATGCGACAAGATTTCAGGCGAAATCGGATCTAGTTGCGTTCGGCCGTCAATCTGGGAAGGACTTGCTTGCTGGTGTCCTTCAACTTGAGATGAATCTGCTTGTGGGAGCCCGCTGGTCTGGGTCGAGATGGCTGGCTGAAATGGACCTTCAGCACCGCTACTAAAGATGTACATCTGATCGAGACCTGCGCGGACGGGTTGTGTCCCAGATAAAGTTGCTTGCTGAAAAGGACGGGTAGAGTATTGCATCGCTTGCTGAGGAGTTCCAAGCATATATGTGTTTGCTTGATAGCCTCCAAAGTGAATGAAGCCTGCGTGATAGTGTCCACCCAGCTGAGAGTAATTGGCAGGCTGAGGATAGTTGACATGGGAGGAATCTGCCTGTGGATAAGGATACACACCCGCCTAGGACGGTAACAAATCCTGATGACGATTGATCAAAGTCGGATCAGCTTGCTGGTCACCAGTCTGGACCAGAGTGTCCTGTTGTCCCCTCGCGGGAAGGATCATATTCAAAGAATTGTGCTAATATCCATTGTTGTTCTCCGTGTAGTAAGGACCTTCCTGATATAGTGGCCAAGGCCATTCCAGGTTGAGATCTGTAGGTAGCTGCACAACACCGCCGTCCATACCAGACACGGGTTGAATCGCGGGCATAGCCATGTGGTTTTCGATTGGAAGTTGTGGTGGCTCAACAACGGTTTGTTGAGGTACTGGTTGAGGGTGGGTGACATTTCTCGGAGACCGCATGTACTGGTCGATCTTCTCGACCTGGGCCAGAAGACCTTGGCTGGCACCGGCTGAGCGATGTAAGTTAGACTCGAGCGTCTCCAGCAGTTCGGCCATAAGCACAAGGGAACTACGAACTCGCTCGTACATCTTCTGCTGGAGGGGCTGCTCGAACACGGAACCGAGGACGCCACCTATGCTTCCCAGTTGGTAGATAAGGGGCGTACTAATGGCCCGCAGATACCTTGTAGGAATAGTCTGGAAAACGGACAAGACCTCGTTAGCTACGTCGCACTTCCTCTCGACACTAGGTCCGTCTTCAGTGGAAAACAACATCATACGAAGCAATTGTAAGGTTGCTTGAATGTTCGCGGCCTGGAAGGCGTAGATGTCCTGAGCTGGATCACCAGTCATTGGAGGAGTGGACTTGAACTGTGGTGGCAGGGCGTAGTACATGTTGAGCATGGTAGCCATGACGCTCTTCTCGGAAAAAGCGTCACCGAACACGAGACTGTCAACACTGCGACGGTCGTCGTGGTTGAAGCGTTTGGCACGGGCTTTGTTTACGACGTGCTCCAAAACGCGGTACAGGTCGATGGTAAAGTTCCATCCTACAAGCCAGCTGACACGATGCTGGCCGGGGGGTGCTTCGATGTTGGTGTTCGCCATGGTGCCGTCATCGTACTCGTTGGGATAACGCACATTCAAGTGGACCTCTTGAGTGCGAATGAAGCAGTTCCAGACAACAGCCGTGTAGACCTCCAAGGTATAGCTACCCCAATACAGACGCCTGTATGTTTCTTTCTGAGAGTCATCCAAGCCACTGGGCCAATACTTCTCGTCGTAGAAGCGTTGCATAGCGATAAGGGTCATGGCGAGACCCTGGTATTGCTGGACGTCGAGAGACTGGCCGTACTGGATGCTGGTCAAGGAGAGAAGGGTACAGGCTCGGATGTAGTCGGCACCGCGGAGCTTGTCAAGGTCGGCAGAGAAGACGGACTTTGCGGCAGCGAAAAATATCTCGGACGAGGCTTCGGGGTTCCTGGCAGCTTCGGGCATTCTTGAAGGGATGGCACCGTCGCGAATACGGGCTGAGGACAGAGCACACATGGCCATGATAGAGGCGAAGAAGCCTGTACGCTGTTAGAAGGGGCGTGAAAGAGGTGTGTAGTTCGGACGTGACGTACCCTTGTCGGTCAAGTGGTCCCTATTCCTCAGTTTGGCTCTCTCGGTGGCCTCGTGAAAGAAGGGATACAGCGGGTAGACGACCTCCATGTAAACGTCGAACAGCTCGAAGATGGTCGTCTCGCTGGACAGAGCGAAAGCCTTCCATGACAGCTCGAGCTCGCCAGGGTCGGCGCTGGCAACGAGTGGTGGCAGGGGACCAAACTCATTGGCCTTACCCATGGAATCATTGCGCGTCGAAGTCGAATTGGCCTGCAAGTCGGGGACGGGGACCAGGTCCGAGGGCAGGGTGGTGCGCGACTGCGAGGAGCGTGTCGAGGGCTGTGAGGGAGCAGCGGGAGCCTGCGGGTGCTTCCTGCGCTTCGAAGGGCGTTCGTAGGTGCAGGCCACGTCAAAGTCGTAGCAGTTCTGGCATCGCTCCTGGTCCTCGTTGCTGGGCCGGCAGCGGATGGAGCGTCGGTGACAGAGATCACATGCTTGCGAGATGCGCTGCAACTTGCGTGGCCGGTCTTGTTGCATCGGAGCAAGGGAAGAAGGTTGCAAGGGCGTGGAGATGGTGCTTCGGTTATGGCGGCTTATCTAGTCGTATTCGAGGCTCATGGAAGAATGGAAGTGTCAATGGAAAGAAACAGATAATAAGCTCAAAGGACGAGTCGGGGCAGTCAAAGTGTCTCCATTGAACTTGGTCTGGAAAGTCAAATGCCTCTGGGAGCCACAACTCGCACGTCGGTCGCTCCTTCCTCAGCCAGACCGGACCCAAAGCCGCCTAACCAGTGCCAGCCAGTGCCAGCCAGTGCCATCGAGACCCTGCAAAAAGGACATCATACCACCGCCCAATCCCTTGTTGCTTTGCCTGAGTGACCCGGGTCCAGCCTGCCCTCCAAAACGGGTGTGCGCCAATCAGACTCTGGTGCAAAATCTTGCTCCCCATGCCCATCTTCGACTGATCGCAAACATTCGATGCGACAGCACAATCCCGTCGCATGAGGTGGCGAGTAGATGACCTCGCCAATTTGACTTTCACTAGCCTCCACATGTCCCCGCCTGCCTCAAGAAACACTCTCGCCCTCGTCATCGTCTGTCTGCGTCAATTGCTTCCTGACCTGGTTATTCGCCGGCAACTCCATATTTCTCTCTTGCTTCGACACGTCTAATCAGCCCGCGTCTCGAACCGACGCACTCGAAACGGCCTTTAGATCTCTCGAATCTTTCTGCAAGACTTGGGCGTAGATGATCAGCACCCCTACACTTCCGCCATCTCCTGTTTGGACGCATGCACTTGTAGAAACGCATGTGCGTGCCTCGTCAGCTTCCACAAGCTGACATGAGGAGGGGCCGCTCGACTTCGAACAAAGACGCTACGCACGTAGGCTTGCGTGCATTGCAGCCCACTCACCCACCCCTCGGAGAAGGACACCAACCGACAAAGACGGGACTTGATACCAAATGCATGGGGTGCATCGGCCATTATGAACATATGTCAATCCTACCTATGACTCTACACAATCCAACTATAGACACGGGGTTCATCTTGGACTGAAAGAGTGCGTTGTGAGCTACAGCCTTTTGAGCAGACAGCGGACAATAGCAACCTTTGGTCTACCTTGTCCCTTTCTACAGCTTTGCTGGAACGACAACATGCCTATTCAAGATGCATCTACGATGGGTAGAAATCTCTGGACGCTCGAAATCAACTTACACCAAGTACAGAATGAATAGCACAGTCCTATCGTATCATCCAAAACCTGCTGTGCGGTATCACAATGCCACTCAACTCTTGACACATGATACCGGCCGTCCATTGTGCTGATGGCGCAATGATAGGATGCCTGGTTTTCTTGCGAACACACTCTGACCGGGACATCTGTGAGTGAGACATTGGTCACCGACCTCTCTTGCCTACACCGCATGAGATGAGCGAGCGCTTCAGCAGGTCCTTTCAACCGCAGATCTTCAGCCATAGTATGGCAAAGACTCTTGTTCAAACGCAGCACACAGGCACCACATGTATTGTCTAGACGGGGTGCATGCTGGAGACAGGTAACCGCAAGCACAAGTAAGAAAATGTCAGCTGCGTGACCTCTGACGGGCCATGAAGAAGAGTGGAGGAGGTAGTAGACGTATGTGCATTCGCGTGTGCAAGCACCAACAAGAGTCGGGGAACCTCCAAGATTTTCAGACTTGCACATGCATCACTAGGACTCCCACCAAATTGCGTAAAGTCTTGTTCAGCTGGCACGAGGTCTGTTGAGAGTCCAAAGTGATGCGACGATTTCTAGACTCCCGGCGAAAAAAGACACACCGCCGAAGATTACCGCGCATTAGATCAAGGATGTGGCTGAATGTCGTTTCGTTATTGCAGCACCTCTATGGAAACCGTAATGCGGAATGCTGATTCAGCTCCCATCTTTTCTTCTTTTGGTCTAATGCTTGGAGTTCACTCCGGACTTGAATATAGAGGATTGATTGTGATGGCCGAGACTTTGGCATCGTTCCAAAGAGCCCCTGAATGATGCTTACAGTGGCCTCTGTTGTCTCTCCGGCAGAAACCCCTTTTCTGCTTTTCGATCTCTGACGGAGATCAAGAAGATGATCGGACGAGTGACTTCCGTTTAGGGGCCAGCACACTCATTCTTCTTGCCCCGGTCCTTCTTGTCACCATAGCTCTACTTCTTTCCTCCCTTCTCCTTCCTCTCAGCACCAACCGTCTCCTCGTTCTTCTTAGTACTCTCCTCCATATCATCCTTGCTGTCCAGCTCATGTTTTTCACGGCAAGCTCTGCAGTCGCCCTCGACGGTCTCGACGGTCTCTACTTCGAAGCATTCTTCACCGGCCATGGCTTCTCTACATGTGTAGCTGAGGAGACTGAACTGATGCCCGCAGCCTTTGTCGTACTTGAAAAGCGTGCGTTTGCACATTGCTGGACAGGAGAAGTAGTGTTGGTAGTGAGAAGAGTCAGGGGTAAGGATGTTGGCGGCTTACTTTGTTTGAAGTGTAAGTGTGGTTTTTATGAACGGGTAGGTAGTGTGTGAGTTCAGAGACCTTGCTGTTATGGGTCGCGGTGTCTGTTGTCCCGTGGTAGGAAGAGTGAGAGGTAGGTTCATGTCCAACACGAATAACACCACTTCCATATATATCGATGTCTTCAGCACCGGAACATTCTATGTCATCATTCAGTGTTCGATTGCTGGTGCGCTGTCTAGGCGAGTCAAAGCTGTCTCGGGTCTTTCTTGAATCTAGAAAACATCTTCACCTCTGGTAGTGTCTCTCCGATTGATTTCTTTGTGGTGTACAGAAGACGCTACAATGTCATGGAACATCCCACACAGTGCTTTGCTCAGGAAATAGCACACACCACTCTTTTCCTCCATCGACCTGCGTATGTGTCATCAGAGGTCCGAAACACCGACACCCACAATCGTCCGGAAACCCCTCGGTCGAGTACTCGACTGACCCTGACTATACTCAACAAGATCTACCAAACGCACACCCTGGCCTTGAGAGCCGAGCAGTACGAATAGGGTTCACGGACGTCGTTCGCTCCTTCCTCTTCCCTGTCCGAAGCGTATGCTGCGTCAAAGCATCCGAAGCAGCGCAGGTTCCTTTGGTGTATGTCATTGGTGTTAGACAACACGATCCTGAGATGGCGGTCCTCTTGACTGATGGTCAAGGATTCTGGACAGTGTTGGATGGTTTATATAGTTTACAGTCAGCAGTCAACGAATGTCGGCCGGGTAGAGATTTGGCATCTCATGACCATGGTGCAGTTGATATGCAATCTATCGAAAGACAAGATGGTTTTGAGGTCTGGAGATATGTCCAGTGAGAGCGAGTATTTCGAGGACTTTCAATGGATGTTCATGGTGGTCCGAAAAACATTGTGCATTTTGATGGCTATCTTTATAGAAGCGGCTAAAACAGTTGGGATGAAACAGCGTCGCGGTAACCGTACTTTCATATCCAGTCAGAGCAAATGATTCTGTCCGAAATTTGACTTGTTCGTCTCTGAATGCCCGTTCGTACACGACTGCTCGAAAGATTGCTCTCATCAAAGCCCGGCGACGTCAAGTCTTGGCAATGGTATGTAACTTTCCAACCTTTTGTTCACAACATACTTCCTCTTCACATATCTTCCTTCTACGCGACTGATCTGTATCAAGATGCTTTCTTTCTGGCTCAAGTCTGCCTTTTCACTCACGCAGCCACTGCACAACTTCACAGCTATACGCTTTTTCTCCCGCACCCCAATCAGCCTCGTCCTGCCTAAGAATGACGACCATCTGAGCTCCGAGACCTCGGATGAGGTGAGGCGTGAGAAGAAACGTCTAGCTAATAAGCGATACAAAGAAGCACAAAATCTGAGGATGGAAGAGAATGCAGACTACGTTGCAAAGGTGAAGGAGATGAGACAATTGGCGAAAGAAAAACGCCGGAAGCTGGAGCGAGAGAACCCGGGATATCTTACGAGGCGATACGAATTGGAAAACGCTCGGTAAAGCAGACTGTACCGCGACGAAAGCGGCAAGGAACACCGGCTGGCTCGCAGAGAATACAACCGCCAGAGACCGAGAGATCCGAAAGTCCTGCTCCGTATGAGGATGTATGAACGAGAGCGCGGACAGGACGACGAAAAGTACCACAAAATGCGCTTCCCAACCTGGGTAAAACGTCGTACCAAAACACTTAAACTTCAATGGAAGACACATCAACCAGTGGAGTTTGATGAAAAGGTCGAGAAACAGTGCGTTACGTGCCAACGTTTTAGAGATATGAAGTTTTGGTGCGTAATCGTGTCATTGTTTCCTTTGTTTGCTGCATCTTCTATCATTTCTCGTGCAAACTGTGCTAATCCTATCCTCAAACGCAGGTGGTTGCGCAAGCTTGAGCCTGAGCGAAAGCCTGACACGGAGAAGTCCAGTACAGAAGAGCAGAAATCTGATCTAGAGAATGCTAGCACAGAGCAGCAGTGGGACTGCAACTCATGTTTTTACGACAATGCCGGGCCAGATCTTATGCCTATAGGCTACGAAGGGCATAGTTTGAGAAGACCCAAGTCATGAGTCGTTGCTTACTTCGTCTTTACGAACCGACTCGCAGCATCACTGGCATTGCACCGAATCATCCTGCTCCCGCGATTGATCATCATTAGTGTACAAGGACCGCCACGGGGAGCTATCCTTCATTGCCTATGAGGGGCGTCGATCTGCGAAATTCAACTTTCCTACACCCCTCGTCCCAAGAGATACCACCAAGTATAAGCCCAAAATCGTCCAGCTAACCGCCTAAACTCCCTTATCCCGCCTCTCTTACCAACTATCTCTCTCCCTACCCACCCATCCACACAGACTTCCTATCACTTTATGTATCATAAAAGTCTTTGGCACCAACCTCCGAAAGCGTCTACGTAACACAGCATTTAGCACACATCACTCTAGCTACATATGCTACTTTCCCATCCCCGTCGATCGTCATTGATCATGCCCATTCATCATGCCCATGAAGGTCTTGTTACGGTACATGATCGATCACTTAAATCGGCAACAGCTAGGAAAGCAAAATGATGATGCTCATACGTCTATCTGTGAGTGAATTCCTTAGTAATCAAGTATTTCGGCGCTGAAGAAGCTAGGACAAAGACTGCAAATGACAAGACAAGACCTCATGTTCGATAACCTCTGCCATGCAAAAGGATCTACGGCCGCCTCCTCCAGACAACGATTCTGAGATGTCACCAGGAAAGCATGTATGGAACGAGATATCCAGGTGACATGCACACGATCTCCCCTCAAGATGTTCTGATGTGTAGCGATCAGGTTTCTATTTCCATAACCGGCTCGCTGGGCCTTGTATATCAACCAATCGAGCATGAACAATTTTGATCTTAAGCAAAGAGTGAAACGCCAACGCTATGCTTTCCTCCATCCTTTAAAACACCCGGTCCAGACCATCTCTTTTCCAAAAGCGACTGTGTTACACTCGTAGTAGTCCTTACCCTTAATCATCTCCCCTCAAACCACACATGTCAGTCCCCAACCAATAATCCAACCATGCAAAGATCAACCAATACAAACTAGCATTCTTCCAATCAAAGTTTCCATCGTCGGTACGCGGGACGGCGGATCCTATCACATCGCCCTTTGTACCGACAAACAAGTTGATCAGAGGCCAGGATGCCAGTGATGATGATACGCTCTTGGAAGGTTCCGCGAAAGCCAGATCTGCAGGTTTGAGGACTGCGCGAGTGGCGCCAGGGATGCGCATGGGGCGGTTTTGGATGGGTGCAGTCGGCTCGAGAGCGGTTGTATTGGAAGAGGTTGTGGCAAGTGTTTGATTTGAGGTTGGCTGGGCTGTGATAGTCGCTGAGGACATTGTGCCTGTGGAGTCGGTGGGTGTGAGAGTGTCGCGGGTGCTGAAGGTGGAGGGAAGAGCTGGACCGTCGATCTGAGCGCCGGCATTCGAGTATGGGATGGGCGCGTCGTTGGGAGGGCCGGTGCCGCGGAAAGGTTCGGCATAGACTAGAAAGCCGTGGACGGGGTGTGGAGAGCAGTGGCAGGCCAGGTCGGCGGCCTCGGGACTATCGAAGGTGACTTTGATCCAGTGATCTCCGCCGCGGTAGGCGTTGCGTTTGCGAAGAGCGGCTTGCGAGAGTGAGCGTTGGGCTAGCTTTGCGCGGCTATATGTCAAGCTGTGATCGTAGCGCTGATGAGGAGGGTGACGGTCGTAGTCTTCGTAGACGATGCCGCCTGAGATGCGCTCGTAGTATTCGATGGCAGCCCATTGCGAGTCTGGGCCGAAGCCGTACAGGATGACTTCTGTGGCTTCCTTTGCTGATGCAGCGTCGATTGCAGCTTGTGTGGTTGCTGCTTCAGTGGGCTTTTGTGTAGGCTGTACGGGGTCCTTGGCCTTGAGTTCATCTTTGTACTTAGCGAAGATGAAGTCCTCAGTCTGCATGTTCTCTTGTCGCACGACATCCTCTTTACGGGCCGGAGTTGCTGTCTTACTACGTGAGAAACCGCGACGGCGTACGGAGCGTCCGAATGGACCTTTCTCCTCGGGTTCTCTTCTGCGGCCGATTTCTGCGCTGGATGGCATTAGTGTGGGTGGTTGTTGATGCAAGTCGAGGCCAACGTACTCGGCGAACTCGTAGCCCCATGGCAGCCTTCTGCCTGATGCATCCAGAGCTCTTTCACTTTCAGGAACAGCATGGACTTGCATGCCCCCGCGTATCGAGTTCATGGTGCGGCTACCGTGTGGAAGATGCGGGTTGAAGGTGAGATAATAACGTAGCGAGGGTGTTGGTGATTCAGAATCGGATTCCTAAGCTTCTCCTATGCTGACTGAGACACGACCGAGTTGTGATTGTGGTGAAAAATGTTCTAGAAATGGGGGACAAACAATCGAACTGCTTTCTCACATGCGCCTACCAAAAACCGTCACCTCGCGACCTAGCAACGCCCGGCCCGAGCTTCTACCATTTCTCTTGGCAGGCATTTCGTCACTGAACCCATACTCGAGCACACCAATGCACTTTCCAAAACTGACAAAATCTCTACACAGATCAATCGCTATGGAGGGAAATCGTGAACGACAAGCTGCAGAGCTGACTCTGCTCACCACAATGTATCCCTCAGAGTTCAGCTGGCGATCCAATCCACCTCCAGATCTCGAAACACCGACCATAACCACCGACCCCAACTTTACTTTGACCATTCACCGTACTTGACTTCAACCTTCTTGTCGCCAAAACCCTGGCTGATTTCAACAATACAGCCAGCTACGCCCTCGAGTTCACTCTACCAGACACCTATCCCGATACACAAAAGCCGCATGTATACCTTTCTTGCGGCGGTGACGTAGACACCTCAACGCGGAAACGTGCAAGAGCAAAGTTGGCAGGAATAGTGGAAGAGCAGGAACCAGGAATGGAGATGCTAGATCTGATTGTTACATTATTCACCGAGTACTTGCCAGAGTTGACCGAAGTCGATGGCTCGACTGCGGATCAAAGCCAAGAGAGTGGCCAAGGTCAGCACCAACACGCCTCGAAGATCAAGCGTGTGGTGATATGGTCGCATCATCTACTGGCAACCTCGAAGCGGAAGGACATACAGGCTTGGTCAAAAGAGCTGTCTCTAAGTGGCTATAGTCGACCGGGCCATCCAGGCAGTATCTTCGTAGAAGGCGACGAGGACCAAGTAGACGAGTTCATTCGTCGATTGAAGCAACTGCGCTGGCAGGCATTGCAAGTCAGAGGCGAAGAGACGGCCGAGAAGCGCATATGTGGTCCTGGAGATGGTGTACTTGAAGTCGAAGGTTTGGGAGAAATTGCAGAAGCACTCAAGAAGATTGATGCCGACACTGCTGATCTATTCCTTCAAGCCATGAAGATTGCAAAGACAGATTGATATCAGATTATGGAAACGATCAGATGACTTGAAAATGAGAATCTTCGATATGAAAAAGAGTACGAAAATGGACAAGACGCTATGCTGACTGTCTTGTGTGAGCGTGAGGCAGGTTGAGGGGGATGCGAGAATAAAAAAAAACAAGAAACAAGAAAAAGAGGTCGTGTCCGCCTCTTCCAACCCTTGCCAAGAGAAAAATCAACCAGATACTCCATCATGAGAACAAAACTCCAAAGCAAGAAACAAGCGGACAAAAGATCCCGGAGGTGTTCGTAACTCCATCAATGCCCGTATTATGCCGCCAAATCCTGGTTCCAGACCCCCTTTGAACGGACAAATGAAACAATTGGTATCGCTGTTTTTTCTTCATCCACAATTTCGAAACAATACGAGAAGGTATTTCTGCTGGTGTGCCCGTTTATCGAGGCATGATTCCGACTCTGCGAGTCTTGATCAGGAAAGGCGAGGGCATCTCATCACGTTCAGGGTCCCACAGAGGCTCTCTGTCCAGAGTGGCTTTTGAGGAGACCTTGGGCACTTCAATGCTAGAGGACGGGCTGGGGATACCTCTGGCCTGTGCGAGCTCTACCAGGGTGCGGCCCTGAATGCCTTGTTGAAGGTTGTTGCGGTGGACAGTCTTGATCATGTCTTCACTCTTGGCGCCCTTCTTTGTTGCCAGCGCGGTCTTAGAAGGCTGGGATGGTATGGCAGGTGCTCTTCTGCTCGGGCTGATTGGCAAACCCTTGTTCATGGGAGAGCGGCTGGGCGATGCTGCGGCTCGTCGCGTGCTGGGCGCGAGGTTAGGCACCGACTTTAAGCGCGACTGGAGCTGTGTTGGCATCGTCTTCTGTCTTGACACTGCAGGTCTCGAAGGCTGAGCAAGAACCTTGAAGGGGTCATTCTCTCTGCTGTTAGGTCTGGATCTGATGGGAGAACCGCCATCTGAGCCGAAAGCATCGTCGTCGTCGGCATCCTCGGGGAAAAGGGCAAGGTTGCTCTCACGAGTTGCGCGGTCAAACATGTTGGGTCCCTTGAAAGCAGGCTGTCTCAACTTGCTTCCCTCAAGAGGCGCGTTTCTACGCGGTGACAAGGAAAGCGAAGCAATGCTCATAGGGCTGGGATCAGCCATTTGGATGTCCATGGGGCTGGGAGCAACCTCGTTGGTGCCGGCAAATGTCTTTGCGCGGGTGAAGGGAGTGCGGTTGGATGACCTGGATGACTTGAGAGGTTTGTGTCTTTGCATAAGCGGCGAGTCCTCTAGAGAGAGGGCGTTGAGACTGGGACCATCCTCGTCGGCCTCTCCTATGGTGACGAGCGAGGAAGAATCTTCCAGTGATTGCGTTGGTGTTGATGAGCGTTTTGGTGGCTCGACAGTGTCCGAAGTCGAGTTCATTGAGCTGGTACGTGATGAGGGCAGCGAGGCGAGTCTTCTCTCAACTTCTTCCTCGACCTGCTGCTCAAACATCAATTTGTAATGCTCTCGCAGCCTGTCTCCTACAACATCCACCTGACGGTTGATCTCGAGGTGTGCCTTTGTCTCCCATTCCAGTCTGAGCTGTTTATCGAGTTGGTCATGCATTGCTTGTTGTTCGGCTTCCAATCGTGCAATCTTGTCCTGTGCCGACTTTAGGGCCGCAATTGCATTCTCCTTTGCGGTGATGTGTTGTTGCAGAACCATGACGCCTTCTTGTGTCTTTCGTACGAGCTTGACTCTGGGTAGGTTCAAAAGGCTGGCTGTGTCGGGTCTTGAGTTGGGGTTGACCTGAAGACATGCAGAAATGACATCCGAGAGCTCTTTCGAGTATGCACGTGGTAGCGGCGCGACCTTGCCGAGCTTGATCTTTTGAATGAGTTCAAGGTGAGTGCGGGCGTTGAATGGAGGTTCCCTCGAGCAAAGCTCGTAGACGATGCATCCGAGTGACCAGATGTCGGAGTACAGGGAGTAGCGTTCGGCAGCGCAGATTTCAGGCGACATGTAGAAGGGAGTGCCGACGTAGGTAGAAGCGAAGTCGTGAGAAAGGATGATCTTGGAAAGGCCAAAGTCGCCGAGCTTGACCGCGTTACCCTCACCAAGGAAGACTAGAAACCGTGTCAGTTGACTTGCAAATACAGAAGGAAAAGAAAAACACACCATTCTCAGGCTTCAAATCACGGTGGAGGATCATCTTGTGTGCTTGCTTGCTCTTGAGAGGTAGAGCATTCTTCGTCAGGCCCAGAGCGTTGCTGTTGACATCCGGTGGGTCCTCGCCGTAGTGGCAGCGATATAGAGCGCTGACGAGTTGTGCAAAGATGGTCCATACAAACTCTTCGTCGGCATATTCGTTGCGGGCCTTGAGATCCTTAATCATCATGCCCAGGTCTCCATTGCCGCAGTATTCCATGTATAGATGTAGGTCGTGCGAAGCCTTAAGGTGCTCCTTCTCGTAGTAGGCGACGATGTTGGGATGGCGGAGGCCTCGTAGAATGTCGAGTTCGGCCGAGAGCTGCTCGCGCTCCTTCTGTGACATGCGAGTGTAACATATTTCTTTGCGACAAAGAATCTGAGTCGAGTGTCAGTAAGGCGTGGGCGAGGACATGGTCGAGGAACATACAAGGCCGTCATTCTTTCTGCGAACCTTTCTGATGATGCCGAACGAACCTTGACCTGGAGTGTGTCAGCAAGCTGCATGAGTGCGGAGGATAGACAGAGTTCCATACCGATCTTGGTCAGGACCTCATACTTCTCGGCCTCAGTCTCGGCCATTGTAGATGCTGGATGGAGGATGTTGTGTAGGATGAAACAGAGCGAGATGGATGCCGGATTGTACTAGTAGCGACAGGGCGACAGAAGAGAAATGACGACGAAAACCTAGGCGCTAGACATGACCAGTCAGAGGGTAAGTGGGAACTTGGAAGCAATGTGGGAGAGCTGAGCTGAGGCTGGGAGCGGGAAGCATGAACAAAAGGCAGAGCGGACTTGGGTGTTTGCAAAAGTCAACACTAAGATCCACCGGGCAACCGCTGCCAAACTTGGCTTTGCGGCTCGTGCGCTGAGGCGTCAGGGTCTGCAGGAATGACGTTCTGATTTGTACAGTGGGGCGACGCCACTCGAACTCGTATGCCGGCCATCAGATCGAGTCAAAAGAAAATATACATAATTTCCAAGGCACAGAGGCCATGGTCTGTGGTCGTGTCCGAGTCCGAGTCCGAGTCGCTAGAACATCCATATCGCCATGGTGATCAAGAAGTATGAACTCGAGGCCGCATTGCATGCTGAGAAGCAGCAAATCTCCAGCGGCCAGTTGAAAGAGGACAATCCACTTGATACGAGCGATGAGTTCCGTATCTTTTGTGAGGCTTGCAGAAGGTAAAACATCTGTTGCGCCGCGTTAGCTGTTCGCGTATGAACTAACAGTAGTTCAGGGGTGACTTGAAGGTGTGCCAGGAGCAGATCTCTGCTGGTGTCAACATCAACGCGAGAGACAGATATGATTACACTCCGCTCATCTTGGTAGGTGCAGCAAGGTGTTGGCACAGACTGGCCGCGACTAATCGACTTCCTGAATAGGCCAGCTTGTGTGGTCACTACGAGGTTTGCCAACACCTGCTCGAATCCGGAGCCCTTTGTGAGCGTGATACCTTCCAAGGTGAACGTTGTCTGTATAATGCTCTGAATGATCGCATTCGCAACTTGCTGCTGCAGTACGACTTCTCCAAGTCGACCGACCCTCTGCAGCCACTTGCTGCCCATACCACTTCACTACTCTCGAGACCGGATCCGAAGACGGCTGACATTACTGTCACGACTTACGACCAGGAGTTCGCTTTGCACAAGTTCATTCTTGCTGCTCGCTCGCCCTACTTCGCCGAGAAGCTCGCCCAACAACCAGATACTGCGTCGTGGAAGCTGCCACCGAAAATACCCTCGCAATCCTTCAACTCGGTTGTCCGCTATCTGTACTTGGGTGAAGCCTCAGCTGAGCTGAGTGAGGATGAGGAAGAGCAAAAGGCAATCCTGGCTGGCATCGACAAGCTAGGCAAGCAACTAGAGGTTCCTACTCTCTTCGAAAGCATCATCGATGCTGGAGACAGAAGATTGGCAAGACAGCGTAGGACAGAAGAGATGGCTCGTGGTCGAGACCAGTTCGCGACTTGGTTCCGAGCGAACGTGTTGCGACACAAGGTTCACACCGACACTGAGAAAGCCGACAAGGTCAAATGGGACAAGAACAATGCCATCTTCGCTGATGTCTTGCTCAGAGCCGATGAGCCTGAAGATGAGGAGAAAGATGACATCCCGTCGACTCAAAAACAGGTTCGTGGTACTGAAGGACCCTTGAATGGTATTCCCATCGGAAGTTTCTCCTCAGAACAGGCAAAGGCGCCGGCCGCTCTGCGCAAGTCTGTCCTCTTTCCTGTACACCGCGCCATGTTGCTGCGATCCGAGTTCTTCAGTGCCATGTTCTCGTCGAGTTTCCGAGAGGCACAAGACTCGCCACACCTACACATCATCCCTATCGACTGTTCGCCCCAAGTCCTGGAGATTGTCTTGACTTATCTCTACACTGAAAAAGCCGACTTTTCGTTAGAGATAGCTGTCGATGTTCTTTTCGCTGCTGATCTCTTGTTCATCGAGAAGCTGAAACAACGGGCTGCCATTATCATATCCACCTTGGGTAACGGCGGTGCTTCTGTCGTTGAATCCGAGAATCCACGAGGCGAGACTGCTATTGAGGACGTAGTAGACATCTACGATGTTATTCGCGCCGGCTGGGACACCCGCGTCCACCGCCTTGAAGAGTTCGGTGCTCGATACATCGCCTACAGATTAGAACGTTTTATCGATGATCCAGAGTTTGCAGAGCTGGTCAAGGAGAGTGCTATGAGAATTCAGGGACGTCAGGAAACTGATACAGTCGAACTCATCGACGAGTAAGTGCTGGCAGCTGCATGATTTCCTACGACTATTTGCTAACATGGTCCACAGTATTCGATACTATCTATCCGATCGATTCCGTTTGAGAATGGAAGATTCTGGCATTGAGCAGATGACTGATGAGACTTTGGATCCCTCTCAGTTGCCGGGCAAGGACGTCTTCGACCCAAGCGAAGTCATGTTCGCGGAGGATGACGGCGTTGATGTCCACTCGGGTACAGCATTACAAGACTCTCATGACCATGACAATCTTGTTATTCGTACGTTGGATGGTGAGATTGCTGGTGACGAGTTTGCGCAGGATGCCATTAATTACCAAATTCTTCTTGGTAAGATAGATAACTTGCTGGACACTCTGACGTTAGACGCGTAAATATGGACGCCTAAAATAAACAACGTAGACAATGGTTATATCGTGTCAATTACAACACTTCAAAGAATTGTTATTTGTTCCTGTGGTGGATCAACAAACAAGCTTTAGGCCCACCGAGGTGACTACCCACGGCACGCCGGGTGGGTGAAGAGCCCGATCACAGATGGTCGTCATTAGTTTGAGGAACTACGTTTTAGATTCCTGAATGGCTCAACAGGCCTTCCCACGAGTTTGACGGGATTGCGAATGGTTGAAGGTGACGGGCAGGGTCATCCGGCTACCACAGCGCGCTTGGCGATGTTTGCTTTGTTTGCAACCGCGGACTTCCACATTCGCACCTTCTAACCTGGATGACCGTTCCATCATCAAGATAAGACATCGAGTCGACCAATTTATCCAACTCTACGAAGATGAAGTGACTCTTACTCAATTGACATGGGCCGATGATATGCGCCCAACCAATATTCGCCAAAAACTACAATAATGTCAGCTGCCGGACAGCATCACTTCTGCTTGCTCTGGATCCACGATGACAGCTTCTCTGAAGAGACCGTGATCTTCAACTCGGATCGTGTGGCTTTGAACGAAGACTCGCTATGTAAACTTGCGGCTTTGAAGAACACAGTCTCAACGCATGACTTCTCTATCAGCACGCCAGCACTCTCAGCTACTAGACCCGAGAATACGCCAGGGAAGACATCTCTGCGCCATGGCAGTAGAAAATCTGCCAAACATGTCTCGGATATGGAGAAGCATGCGGACTCCTCCAGATCCCTGATCTTTGTGGCCCGCGACATGACTCCTGAGCAGAAGCGAAAACAGCCTAGGCTTCAAGTCTCCGTCCATACAAACGCGGCGGCCAAATTTGGCTTCCGCAACAACATGCAGGCTATAGTACTTCCGGTAAACACAGTATACTATTCAAATGTACCTGACCATGACTGACTCTACTGCAGGCGCTTGAAGATGTACATTCTGCGTCTCACGTGGAAATAGTGTTCCGCGACCAGTATCTAGCACGCTCAGACATGTGGAGACTGACAGTAGCAGAGTTGAGTGAAAAGTCAGTCTACCAAGGGCAAAAGTTGCTATTCTTGGGTAGCATCAAAGCCACGGTGAAGAACATCTTTGTTGATGGACAGAAAGTAACTTCGGCCTTTTTCTCATCTTCGACGAAACCCATCTTCCGCAGCGAATCTGCAAAGTATGTCATTTTTGTGCAGATGTCTCGCGAGATGTGGGACTTCGATGCGGAAGGATCAGGCGAAATCATGTTCAACAAAGTCATCAACGGTTTTTTGCCCGATCTCTTCAAACGGTGGCAAAGACTCAACGTGCACCATCTGGTCAGCATCATCATGTTCACTCGACTCGAGTATGATCAAGGTGTGCTTGTACGACGTGAAGAGGATTCGGATCCACCGGGAAGCAACGGGCGGTCCTACAATCACGGGTCTGAGTTCAGAGACTATTATCGGGTCGTAACCACGGATGCAGCAAGTAGTCGATGGGTTGACATCCTGTACAAACTCAAAAAGGAGTTCAAGGTCTTCTTGAAGGATGTTTCTATCGTGGGTGGTAACGATGCTTACGGGCCACCTCCAGAGACACTAGCATCGGTGAAAGCCCGAACCGAAACCGAGTCTGTGATAGCCGGACAACCTACTACATCGGCAAGAGGCAACATATTGGAAGCGATCAATCTTGCTGCATCTCAATTTTCGAAGGACTACATCGACCGCGATCTGGTTCACACAGGAATTTCACTCTGCATTGTTACCGCTGGCACGGGTATATTCGAAGTCGATTACAACATACTGAAATTGACAACCGATGCTCTCGTTGCAAGCGGCATGGGTGTTGATCTTGTTTCCTTGGCGAGAATGCCCCTTCATTCTGTTCCTCTTTTCAGGTACAGAAGTCCTCACGTACTTCCAGGTCTTCCCGTCGTGTCTGATGTGTATACCTTTGAAGGGGGCAGCACACCGCGACAAGCAGGCTATCTGGAGAACCACATGTTTGGCACTCCTAGGAGTGGTGGCAAATTCATGCGCAGAGCCAGTAGTCATAACAGGGAACAAGTGCCGGGCACACTGATGGAATCTGGAGTTCAGTGGAGCTATGCTCTGCCGCACTGGATCGATGTTTCGTTTTGGACCGGTCACTCTGACGAGGAGCAGCTGCGCACTCAGTACGGCTTGAACTCGAAGAAGAAGAAAGGGTCGAAGAGAAAGGACCCTTTCACAACAAGCTGCCGAATGTACGAGTTGCAGATGATGGGTCTCATGGAGACTGAAATGAGCGATATTGCGATCCCTCTGCTGCCTGGGACTGCGAACACAGATAAGTCTCGCCAAGGAAGACACCATCTTGAGCCTGCACCTAGTGAGGACCTTCCAGGAAGCTATGGCTCAACACGGTCTTTTCATGGATACATCAGCGGCTCACCTCAGCACGTTGACGATGAATCGATCACCAAGATGGATATGCCTACGCGCAAAGAGCTGATTGACTGGATGGCTGCCTATGACAAGCAAGTGCCATTCAGAACGCAAGATTCTCCACCAGTCAAGACAATACTAGATCAGACGCCTATAGAGTCGTCCAGGGGTAGTCTAGACGCTACCGTGAGATTCAGTTCATCACCTACAAGACCAAGAAACAGCCTGGCTTCGAACCAGTTCAAGCCTGGAGAGAGCCCGCGGAGCACCGGATACCTTGGCAATAGGTCACCTCCGAAACGAGCCATGCCGCCAGCGAGGCTGGACAAGCCAAACCCACCTTCAATACGTACCACTAAAGCAACTCCTAAAAGAACTCCTATGCCACGTCAGATCAGTCTGGTTGGAGGATTGGGGACGGCGAAGTCCGCAGCCAGTATAAGTGTCAGTAATCATACAGCAGAGCTTAGTACACCTACGACAGAGTCTCCTCCAACACCGACTGCTCCCAAAGGAGGAGGTGGCCTGTTCTCCAGCCTGACACAACAACTTTTGAGCACGCTGCAGCGTAAACCATCACAAGCGAGCCTTACACGAACTGATGTCAGTGACCTTAGTGATCGAGCAGATTCGGACAGAGCAAGCCTGGTCCAACGTAGCAATCCAATCGCCATTAGGTCCAATTCTGTAGTCTCGGGACCCGAAGAGGAGGAAGAGCCAGGCCAGCCAGGCACTTATCGTGGGTCGGTGTCGAAGATGTCCGAGGATATCGTCATTCGAGATGCTTCAGTAGTAGGTCGACAAGCCGCGACAGTGTCCGACTCTGCACCAGACACTATTGCGGACAAAGCCGACTACAATCGAGTACTATCGCCGTTGACTGCAATCTCACCCTGGCTGACGATGCTCAATCCTTCGAACCCGAAGAAGCACAATATGAGTATAGCCAGTCAATTCCGCCGTTGGCAGCACATCTTTCCAAAGCCGGTACCTACCTCGGTGATGAAGTGGAAGTCTTTGTGTTCACCAGCGTCTCTACCTTTGACTGCTGAGTACTTCCCCACAGCCGAGCAACTGCGTAATGAGTACTCGGAATCACCTTATAGGATATTGCCTCTGGAAGATGAAGAGTCCTCCGAGGCCCCAAAGACACGAGAAGCATTGATCAGAGAACTCATTGCCTGTAGACTGTCGCATGGCTTCCAGATAGTGGTCGGCCCAGCAGCTACAGAGTTTGCAGGTACAAAAGCCGCTTCTCTAGTCAAAGTGTTCGACAAGAATTACATGGCAGAAGATGGTGCCACGGTGCTGATGACTGTGGGGAATAACATTCACTTGCTCGTTTGTACCGAGAACGGCGAGATAGAAGTACGGAGGTACAACAGAAAGCCAGTGGCGGAAGTCGAATACACTGGTGCCGTGGATCCCACTGTGGCGTATCACCCATACATCCGTACATATCTTGCCAAGGGTTATGAGATGCGTCCCGTGATATTCAAGAACCCGCGACCGACATACAACTGGAACGCAATCGATCACCATCTTGCTGGTTACAAACAAGAGCACAACTCACAAGACCTTCGTTTCTGGAGAGCTCGATTTGTCCTAATACCCGTCGACCATAAGATCAGAAGCGGGCAACTAGGCTTTGTCTCTGAAAACTCAGAGGAGGAGATTCGGTTGGAGGGAATCCAAAAGCTTACGCAAATATGGCAAAGACATCGCTACATTCCGCCAGAAGAGCGCCGCTTCCAGCAATCCCTGCAGCAAAGGCGTAAAGATCCGAATCCTCTGGCCATCGAATACCACACACATGATCCTTCGATGATTGTGCGAAACCATGCAACAGGATTGGCCGAAGCCTTATCTCAGGAAGAACCAGGCCATGAGCTCTTCGCAGAATCTGAACAATACCACACTAACGACTTCGATATGCAGAAGCTGGCGCAACATCTGCAGGCAGACCCGCCGAAAGGCATACCAGTGGCCGACCGTAGGTGGCATTTCAAGGTTCACTACAAATGCTTCCGAGGAGATCATCTTACGAGCTTTCTTCTTATCAACTTCAAGGACATTGAAACGAGAGAGGATGCGGTCAAGCTTGGAAATGCTCTGATGAAGAAAGGCTTGTTCACGCACGCTGTGCACAAACATCAGTTCCGAGATGGAAACTACTTTTACCAGATCGCTCCTGAGTACCGGACTACGCCTTATCCAGAAAATAAGTCAGGGTGGTTTGGTATAGCTGGTAGATCAATCCCCACCACACCTATGCACGAAGGATCGAAAGCGTCACCCAAGTTTCTGCCAGTAGACAAGATACGTTCGCCAAGGATAGGACCTGTGGACAAAGCGCGTTCACCACTGATAGGACCAACCGATACCGCCCGTCCTCGATCAGGCACAGACGAGACGAAAGACTCTGCTAGAAGCACGCCGAAACCAGACTCGAACAACAGGCCAAGATTAGAGCTCAGTCGCAGTTTGCGTTATGATGTGGATCATCGCAAGAACTCTTATCGTCCCGAGATCATCACGCTGCATTATGATCGCATACACAATCCTGATAACTGCTACCACATCCGCCTAGAATGGATCAATGTGACAGCCAAGCTCATTGAAGATGCTCTGGTATCTTGGGCAACTAGTGTAGAGCGGTACGGCTTGAAGCTAGTTGAGTTGCCTATCGCCGAGGGTCACGCCATTATCACTCAACACCCCTTTAGAAGGCCCTACATCATCAAGCTTGCCTTACAACCTCCAAAGGGAACACCTAAGCAGTACCTGGAGGCAGGCACTAGTGCATACGAGGAGACTTACCCCTACCAAAGAGCGCTTGTCCGAAAATTCGATTTCGTATTAGACTACGAGGCGGCCAGTACCTTTGATCCCGGAGTCGACGTGAGCTACTCTTGGGGAAAGCCAGAGTACCAGTACACGCAATTCATACACAAGTCTGGCGGTTTACTCATACAAATCGACGGCGATGGTAATCTTATGCTCGTCGCGAACAGACTTTGCGTCAATCGCTCAGGAGGCGCTCGAGAAGCCTCCAAGTATGAGGTGCCTAGACGCGAGAAACGGAACTTCTCAGCACCAGCACCACCGCCACATGCCTCTCCTTTCTTGAGCGCCTTCAAAATTTCAGAGCCGCAAAGCATGCTCCAGAAAAACTCGTTTACTGAAGCTCCGGTTGAGCCTGAGATCGTAGCCGAGAAGCTAGAGGCATTCTGCTCCGATCCAGAGAAATTGAGAATGTTCTATGAAGATGCGCTAAGACCTACAGCGAGTCCTAGCCCGCACTTGACGCCCAGACAGACTCCTAGGCAGACACCGGTGCTGGGTGCGACTAGTGCCATACCACCATTAGGACTGCCGCCGAGTATTAGCCTTAGGAATGCTAGTTTTGTGGAGAGCAGCCCGAGGATGGGGTTGTCGCAGTCGAGGAGGGCGAGTGTACAAGGACTCAAGTCCTTCTTGACGGAGTCAGGAAGTCACCGTGACTTGAACTGAGCTTGGCGATTGGTTGGTATTTGGCGCTTCGAAGTTGGATTGGAGGTTTGTGGCTCGGTGGTGTTGAGTGAATCTTACTCATGCGCACAAGAAAGGCGCCCATCTATCTCGGTGAGGAGATCAGAGGCTTGTTTGGAGTAGATAGACATGTGAAGTCGAATGTTCTTGATTCACACTACCAATGCAATTCTCCCTAATTTCAGACGCTTTCACATGTCCGAGATACAAGCATTCAGGTTTGGAGCCTCCCGTCAGCCGAAGGTTCCTATCTTACGACCCCTCAGACTGCCGGGCTGGTCGGCTCCAGAAATTCGGTTAAGCAATATCGAGCCGTCTCGGCACTCCAAACTCGTCTCTCCTGAGTATTGGCCCGCCGAGTACCATGTATAGAGAGATGAAGTCGATCGCTTGCGGAGGAGCTGTACTCCGTCAACACCGGCAGCGCTTACTCTCTAGATAGCCTGATCGTGGGTTAACAGCCACCGTGATACCTCCCAACAAATCTGACCGTATTGAAATGGATGTAAGACGCCTTTTTGCAGCAGTCAATACCCAAAGTGCAAACAGAACAGCCTCCGGGTGTTGGCAAATTTGCTTCTAGGCAGATCAAACCGGCAATTTGCATGGGGCTGTCGTACAAGGGAACCGCACAAGGAAGGCATCTCGAAAACAGGCGCCGAAGCCTGGAGGGCAGGTGACCCTTCCCTTGCAACGTGGCCGAGGAGATATGGATATGTTTGAAGCAAGATGGCGGGCGCGTGGAAGCGAGTCAATCAAAAAGAGATGCCAGCGATCTCATCTCATCCGTACGTACTGTGCCACTGTTGGCTGTTCGGTTCGTTGCGGCCATGCGACGGGATGTGTGCCCGTCACACGGCATGCGAGATGCCCTGCATTCTATTTGCTTTGAAGAGAAGAGGCAGGAGACTGATACCTTGCCTGATGGCGCGAGTGCAATGTAACATTGATTTGTCCACTTCTGATCAGGAGAGATAAGAGAAGTGCTTGGAAGTCGGAAAGTTCTCCAAACTGTCATGCTTCTTTTTGCTCTGTCAGGAGAGTTTGGAGCTTTCAAGCCTCTTTCTCTGTTCCGCGAAAGTCAAACTCGCGACGTCACTCGGCCTGCGCTTCCCCGGAAACAGCGACATCGGAAGCTGCGAACGCGTAAAACAAGTGTCGGGATCGTTGGAATTTGGACATCCGGACAGCAAGATCGGCTTGAAATTCCACAAAGACGGTTAAACATCAGCCGCTAGATATCACCTCGTGTTTGCCAGAAGTTCAGGTGGTCGAAGTGGATCAATATCGATTCGCACAGGGCTGCATCTCTGCATTGAATGACAGCAGAAAGGAACAACCATTGAGCGGTTCGAACAAAAGGACGGCACACCGCAATCCTGCATCAAGCGTCATCCCTGTCAAGCCACGCCCAAGCAGTTGGGATGCGCAGCGCAGGAGAAGAGGTTAGGAAAAAAGAATAAACATCAAGTAACGCGACGCGAGCGATCTCCCTTTTAATCATCCCTCTCCACATATCGACAGGATCTGGCAGCAATCGTCGCATTGAATAAAGTCAATTCCAAGGCCTGGCTTGTTCTCCTGACAATCCTCTTATCTTTGCAGGTTGTTGTTTGCAGTGAAGGCGTGAGAGTTTCCCTTCTTCCATACGAGAGTACATCACCCCCAACAACCCCAAATTTCTTCAAAGTTCAACCCGCGGTCTACAACGGTTGCCGGCTCGCCAGCGTTTTTTCCGGGGTATACCACTCTTTCTGGGCCTTTCTTTCCCCAACAATCATCACGCGACACCAAGGTACTGTCGCCTAGCATGTGCTTCTACGCCCGCCAGTTCCAGTCAATGATCAAGTTCTGGTTGGATCCTCAGACACCCGTCTTCAATTGAAGCGTAGCAACTTGTCGATCAAACAATTGCCGTGACCAACAAGATGCATCGCTTCTCGCGCTCTCGTGGAGAATCCCAGGAGCCCGAACGCAACGAGGCTCCCATACCCTCAACCCGTAGTCTCTCACTTCTCTTTCCACCCCGAGAGTCTTTCGATCGTGCCAACAAGAATACAAAGACTTCTCCGAACACGCCCAACGAGCCCTTGTACGATCAAGCCACGACCACTACCTTCCCACTCTCGCCGGACGAGGAGCCTAGAATTATAATAGCCCAAGATGACACTGGTGTCTCGATCGACCGCCTTCTCTTCGACTCCAACTGGTCACGCAAGGCCAACAGAGCCACCACCAACGACTTGAACGGCGAGTCGAAGAGTTTTTCTTTTAGGCCATCCTCGTCGGCTGGCCCGACATCTCCAACCAGCAGTGGCTTTCTGCGCACCCAGCCTTCTCGCGGTCACAGATCTACCATCTCGGTCGTGTCAGACCGCAATGCCTCCCCTCCGACTCGTCCGTCCATGCCGCGCCTGGACTCAACTTTCGTCCCGTCTACCCAATTCCGTCGCACGACCACGCCAGCCTCCCTCGCCGACACTCGCAAAGATCCCAATACTCCTGTTGAGAACACCGCTGAAGAGATGGATTCATGGTTAGACTGCATGTTTGGAAAGGCTCCAATGCGATACAAGGGTCCCGTCACAAAGCTCCATCATGTTCAACGTCAACCGCCTGACGAGTCACACGACCTCCGCCCAAGGTCATCACCCCGGGGAGGATTTGGTTCATATTCAGCAAAGGACAGTTCCCCACTACGACCTAGCTCCAAAGGATCGAGCAAGCGGAAAAAAGATGCCTTGCTCGTGTGCACGACTTTTTGTGTCAACATACACGATGAAGACCTCCCCGAACAGTTGCAACAATCTAGCTCTGTTCATGGAGGCCGTCGGTCATGTACAAGGAAGAAGCGCTTCAGCACGCCTATGTTCGGCGTAGCCATTCTCCTCCCACTCGCAAGCCCAAATCAATCCTCGGATGTAAACGGATCACAGGGTCAGCTTTTGGACGAGCAAAACCCCGTACAGGCTATCCTGAATGATTGGCATGTATACGCCAGAGCTCTGGATGCTCTGAGAACCACTGCTCTGGTACAGATCCAACAGAGACTTCGCTTGAAGGTTGAGGCCCTGGCTCGCTCCAAAGTCGCCATGTCGCCTGCTGTTCCTCGCCTAGTCAAACTTGAACCGAGTGCTTTTGAGCATACTCCGCAGATTGTTGAGATGTCTTCTGCAGTCATAGATCGCATCTCGCGTAGCTACCAAGTGCTACAAGCCGGGCCACAACGCGATTGGAGTATATGGCGAGACGAGTTGCGAGATTACACACGCGTTTCGCAGGACGCAGATTCAAAACGAGGCTTCTTCAATCTGCACAAAATCAACTTCATGCAAGCAGCACTGACGGCAGCCCTGAGTGTGGATCTCGGCTGGCTGAACATCTTTGCCCCTCCCCAACACCAAGCTCGTCTGCGTGAAGAACGCCAGAAGGCCCAAAAGACTTTTGATGCGGCTCAAAATCGCACCGTCATCGTGAGCATGGATCAGAACAAGGCTCGCAATCTTGTCTTCATTTTCTCAAAGCTGTTTCCTTGCCCGGCATCAGAAGCACACTTTGATGGCTTGAGACGCAATTCTTCGAACAGCCTGACTTCACCCAGCAGTCGTGTTTCTGCACTCACCCAAGGCTTAAAAGGTGCAGAGTATGCCCCGCAAGAAAGCAAGACTAACGGTCATGCCAATGGCCACATGAATGGGCACAACATGGACGATGCACCTCGCACTCCCACGATCTTCGAGCCAGTCATTCAAGATTCACCAAGTACGTCTCCAGCGAAGACACTGGCCATCAATAACTCGGTGTCGAAATCGACACGCAAGCCCAGTCTTGTAAGCACTTCCGGCAAGATCGATATACCAAGCAAAGCTACTATGGCAGTGCCAATCAGTGCACCAGCGTCGAGTCGCAACACGCCTTCTGGCTCACCAGAAACGCGTCCGAGTAGTAGTCTGAATGCACAGGGAGATCTTATGCGCCATTTGCAACGCGCAAGCAGTACCACCACCAGCAACGGCAGTACTACCGATAACACCAGCTTGTGGAACAGCTTCAGAAGCAGCACGTGGAGTCTGAAGCCTCGGCGTGAATCGTTTCTGACCGAAAGAAGTGACAGCTTTGCCAGCAGCGGACAGCGTGAACAACCCGCAGGCATCCTGAAGACCAGCAAAAGCTTCGCAGCTCGTCAGAGTCAGAACAAGTTAGTGCGCATGGTAGAGGAAGTGCACGGCATGGAGGACTCGGACGAGAGCAACAGTCAACAAGCTTCAAGAAGAAGGAAAGCCCCCCCGCGCATTTCACCAATCACCATGGCTCATAAGACTTCTGCTCTGCAGTTTGACCCACCTGACTCTGACTATGCCGAAATAGCTTACACGTACAACCAGGATGAAGGTATTGTCGATGTTGACTTCCCTGGATGCACCCCCATGGTTGGTGCGATCCGCAGCAACTCTCCAAAAGTACCTAGATTCAAGGTCCCTAGCAGCAAACGCCAATTTCCCCTCCATCGGGCCCCCTTGCAAGAAAGCGGCAAGGATCAAGGATCGCACAACTCCCAAGGATTCGCTCGCTACGACAGAGTTGCCGGGTATCTTGGAAAGTTCCATCCCGACTTTGCTTTGCAAGCCACAAGACCTTATGCGGAGCTGATCGATGAGATCAAATGTGCAATGCGAGCGGAGCCGTCGCCAATGGTCGAGCCTTCGGAAAATCTCAGGGTCTTCAGCCAAGAAACATTGATCGACGTTTGTTCGACAGTCATCATGGATGCCGAGGCTCTGACAGTGAAGAGGTTGACGTTGCGTAGACGTGTTCGGTACAAGCTGATCGTGCCTGACGAGTCGCCCAACCTTCCGAGACACCTCACCACTGCCAATGGAAGGAAACAGTCCATCAGTTCTTCTAATGGAAGTGGATCGGACCACGATAGTCAGATCAAGGTCATCAAGTCGGACGATATGGACTCGATCAAACGTACCTACAAGCGCAATGACGACGGAAAGAAGACTGGGTTCCGCGACCAGAGAATCCTCAAAACAGACCTTCCAAACGGTGGTGATCCCAACGGAGAAGTCAATAACCACGTCGCTGGCCGACATTCGATCGACGCTCTGGGCAACGCTTCGTCCGTGGTTCCAAATGGCTCAGAAACTCGGTCTTCCAGCGCCCAGTCATCGCGTACTAACGGCAGCCGGGTTGACTCACCTATGATGGTGAAAGACCAGTCTACGCTGCTTGACCATCGTCCTAGCGGCTCTGTCGTTGTCGGGGAGGATCTGTCTGAGTTTATTGACCATCGCAAGACCAACAGCTGTCCGGATAAAGAAGCACCAGCGGTGATGACAGCCACAAAGCGAGTTCCTATCCACAACAAGGAAGGTAAAATCAGTGGCTGGAAAGAGGTTTGTACCAATGGGCCCGTCGAGCCCGGCGTGAATGACCTTCCAACCAGTTTTGTGGAAAAGCGCCGCGACAAAGCAGCAGCAGTCGTTGAATGCCAGACTCTTTCCGAGAAGTTCGATGAAGAAACCATCAGTAAGCCTGATTCTGCTGTGGTCGGTCTTTTGCAACAGATGCTCGCTACAAGTGAGACGCGTTCGCGTGGCCACTCTCGCGCAAATTCGGTCCACAGTCGTGCTCCTAGTCGCTCAAACTCCATCAGTGGATCAGGCCTTACTGAGCTCCAATACGAGAGCAAGAAGATCATCGAAGACGCGCTAGAGGGTCTTGTCAGTACTGTGGCTTCCGACAAATACACCTCGCACAACGCTTCTTCCGGCGGCATCTTCAGCTTTGCCCGAAGTGCTGTTTCTACGCCTGAACCTTCTGTCCTCCGTCAGAGCATCTCCAAGTGGATGTACGAAGAGGCTTGAGGCGTGCACTATTACACCCCCTCTCACACCAACCCAAATTTGGTGCTCTATTTTCCTGCTATGCTGTGCGTAGCTTTATTAACTTCTTCGCATTGCGGGCAACATGTATTATATCATTTTCTCCATTTTCCTTTATCTTTTCCGCATATCTTTTGAGCGTATTTTGTTCTCGAATTATGTTGTACTACAGCTCAATCGGCTGGTCTCGAATTAGCTATCTATCACATCTTTGCATCCTTTTATTGCACCAGTTTCCATTGTCCTTAGAATGTGACTCGAGGTTTCCAATAGCATTTGAATGTGCTCGGCTTGCCTGCCTGTTTTGTATCGTTCTTCGCTATACCTTCTATTTCTGTCCACAGAGATAGGTGCTCAGTCGGCGTGGTCCGTATGCGATAAGCGGCTCCGACGTATGTGCCTGCCTCTTCGTGTTCCTCCACCAACATTGACGGATACCCTTTTCCGCCAAATTGAAGCATGGGAAGATGAGAGCTTCACTCATAATGTTGGATCTGAGCGGTGTATACACCTTCAAACTGAGTGTGATGAATTAGCTCGACTGCTGCGTGCAGAGCTTCAGGAAACAGACACACCAACTTCGCTCCCCGCATCAAGAGCGTGAGGAAGTTGCGAAGTGAGCTTAAACACCGTTCGTAGAAGCAAAGCATGTTCATGTAGAGTAAGCTTCAGATGGAATCAGGCAGGAGTCAAAACGCCTCATGATGCTTTTTTCATCGCGTCTTTTGCCTAATAACCCCGAGAATGGAAAGAATGCCCTTCGTGACGCTGGTGACTCAAAAAAAATCGCATGTGCTTGTGTAATACAGAATTTGTAAGCTGTGCTTGTGTACTGCAATATTTGTAAGCTGTGCTTGACGTCTTTCTCTTCTTGTAGTCGCATATACAGCACAATCGTTTGCGCTGGCGAGCGCTCGATATCTCGCTGTTCGACACCATGTCAGCCTATACATTTGGCGCTGCATTGCAGCCCACCACCTCACCCAAAATCACCTCTCCACCCGCGGTCAAGAAAAAGGGAAATTCAGCAGCACCACTGGAATCAGCGATTGAGCTTCAAGATTACATGCAACAAGTACAAACACAGCATTCTGGACACGAAAATGGAACCACCCCGAAGACTCCGAATGAACTCGAGATGAGCAGACCATCGAGTCCGACAGAGGCCGCGGAATTCGTTCCTAGTTGGAGCTTTCCGGCTAAGAACAAGTATCGTGTTTCGGCGATTTGTCTCGTCTATCTTGCCAATGGACTGACTGATGCTTGTGAGTAGAGATGCGGAGTGCTTCTTTGACTTCAAGTTTGTATACTAACGGGAGTGTAGCCGCCGGAGCCTTGATCCCGTACATGGGAAAGCAATATGGCATCGGATATGCTATCGTGTCGCTGATCTTCATTACGAATGCTATCGGCTTCATCACTGCGGCTTTCTTTACTGATCTTACCCTGGAGAAGTTAGGTAGAGCAAAAGCTTGTATGCTCTCGGAGGTCTTGCTTATAGTTGGATATGTGATCCTGGTGTGTACGCCTCCGTTCCCGGTAGTTGTTGTCGCGTAAGTACATTATCGCAAGCTTCTGGAGACAGAATACTGACTTGCGGACAGTTTTTTGTTTCTCGGATTAGGCGTGGCACTCAACCTGGCTTTGAACAACGTGTTCTGTGCCAACCTCGCAAACTCGACAGTCATTCTCGGAGCAGTGCATGGCTCTTACGGTCTGGGAGGTGTCATAGGTCCCATCATGGCTACAGTTCTGGTATCTCGGGGCATCCTCTGGAGTCGTTTCTACCTTATCGTTCTCGGTCTTCACGCCATCTGCTTCTTCGCCACTGGCTGGGCTTTCTGGAAGTATGAGGACGAGCCCTCTAGCTTGAAGACTGGCAATCTCATACCACGCCGTGCGGGCGAGATCCAGCCAACCAAGCTACAGATGATGAAGCGTGCTCTCAACAGTAGAGTCACCATCTTTGCCGCGCTCTTCATCTTCGCATACCAAGGCTCTGAAGTCAGCACTTCCGGCTGGGTCATTTCTTTCCTCATTCAAGCTCGTGGAGGTGATCCTGCGAAGGTCGGTTATGTCACTGCTGGGTTCTGGGGCGGCATTACCCTAGGACGTTTCGTGCTGTCTCATCTGGCTCCCCGTATCGGCGAGAAGAGATTTGTCTACATCCTCACGGCTCTGTCGATTGTCTTTCAGCTCTTGGTCTGGCTCATTCCTAACATTATCGGCGAGGCCGTTGCTGTGTCGCTCTTGGGCTTGTTGCTCGGACCGGTGTACTCTTGTGCGACGACCATCTTCACGAGATTGATGGGTAGGGACGTACAGATGACGGCGTTGAGCTTCGTCTCGAGTGCCGGCAGCAGTGGTGGTGCAGTTGCACCCTTCTTGACAGGTCTATTGGCACAGGCGGTGGGAACGTTCGTCTTGCATCCAATCTGCATTGGCTTGTTCGTGGTAATGGCAGGATGTTGGTACGGCTTGCCAAACGTGGTCAAGAGAACCGAGTAAACACCAATCCTATACAACGAATCAGCTTAGCTCATCATAAAATACAATCGCTCTATACAAGCCAATCTTTGCATCGTCGTCCCAACAACACTATCAAAAGCCGAGCACCCCCATTTTGATAGACCAACTCGCATCTCCACGTATCCGACAAGTTTGACAGCGTAAAGGAGCAAACTTAGAACAGAGACTTTGAGGGGAAAGCACGAGGCAGGGGGAAGCCTAAACGGTACACTCGTGGTCCCTGACAGCTCCCGTGGGTAATTTGAGTCAAAACATGTCGCGTGGCGGATCGTCGCTGATGAGTGGCGCTATATTGATTGATGGTGATGCTGAATGGGTTGTGGTGATGGGAAGAGAGAGGATGCGGCTAGTGGTATTGATCGAAGCTTCGCATTGTTTGATTTTGGTAGACATGTTTGAGGAAGGTGCCATACATGTGATCAGAACTTTGAAGAAGCGGTCTCGAGTTGTGATTATTTGCGAACATGTGCAGCCAATTCAGCTTGTGTGGGCACGTTACACTACAGTAACTCCTAAAAATACTCATACTACAATTCTTTCGACGGGAGTAGCAAGGCGATCGAAATAGGCAGCATATTTGCCGCTGTCCAAGATCGAGAGAAGAGCTCTTCTGGCACTTCGACCACACCGAAAAGTGTTGCTGATCTTACCAGTACAATTGAAATGGCAGCAGTTACCGGCTCTCTAGCTATGACCAGCTCGCGAGAGGCTTCGAGCCCGCAACCGCTTTGTCCACGACGATCATTCTCTCAGTCGACACTATTTCTTCCATCTCTATCCCAAAGATACCACTAAGCTGCATTGATCCCTGCAACAACAGGAATCCCATTGTCGAATGCGTTATCGATCATGCGGACGGCGATATCTCCATGGTCTACGTATCCAACTTGGTAAGTCGTGTTGCAATTTCGCTATCGTTTCGATTGGGCTAGATCTCATTGTGGCACTGTCTATCTTTGAAGACGCTCTATAGCTCGCTTGCGATCGATGTATTGTCCTCAACCATGCCATGCTTCCAGAGTCCCCAAATCTGGAAGCTGCATCTATCTACATAGACATACGTGTATAATGAGTACGTGCTCATAAGAATGGCAAGTTTCGACGAATTAAGCGGCAGTATCGATGCGATTTGACCGGAATCAATGACCCGATCAAGCACTGATCAAGCAATTACATGGAACGGCTATCTGGCGACTCGAGGGCCATTCTTGAGGGCCTGGATGTTGCCCAAGGCTGGAACTCGTTTGATGCATTGTCCTCAGTATCTGTCTCTATTTAACTTCTGTCAATCGACTCCATACAAACGGCAGGTGACCTAGAAAGAGGGATTAGCCCGGACTCACAGTATCTAGTGTTCTTCTGCATTGAACCATTCGGATCGATCAGACTGGGGGGTACTTGACTCCAGGACTGCGCAAGACACACCCGTGATCTCAGCCCCGCTTTCAAGTAAAAGATCGACCACCTCGGTGTGTCCTTGCGCTTCTGCAAGACGGAGAGGTATACTCTCATCAGAATTTTGAGGGTTTGGATTGGCGCCAAAATTGAGCAGCATGCGGACCATGTCTATATGGCCCCCCTCCGCTGCGTAGGTGAGCGATGTCCTTTTGGCTCCACCGACGGCATCAGGAACGACCCCCCTTCTGAGCAATATGCGCACCCTCTTAGTATCACCACTAGATGCGGCGTCCACGAGAGGCGGACTACCATATAGGTTCTCGTAAAACGTAAAAGACATTCCATACTCCAACAACAGGGTGACTTTTGGCGCTGAATAGAATTTGCCATCAGCCATGTTTAGACGGCCGTATCGGCGGCCTACGTTTGGGTTGGCGCCGTAGCTCAATAAAAGGCGCACAGTCCTCAGAGAATTTGAGCCATTCAAGGCCATCTCGAGCGGACTAAGTCGGTATTCAGACGTAGTTTTGATAGGCGCCCCGAGATCAAGAAGTAGTTTGATCCGATCGTAATGTAAGTCCGCTTCGGAGAACTTGGTTCTTTTCAACAAATGTTCCAGTGTGTCAGAAGGGATGGCCTCTGCGGTATGATACCGGAGGATGAGTTTAAGCAGGTCAAGTTGTCCTAGTGATGCTGCTCTCCAGAGCAGTTTTCGGTCTGGCACAGAAAATTGATTCCCTAACGTGACCATCCTCCAAGACCATGTCCATGGGAAGTATGAAGATAATCCGTATTGCATTGCTTCTGAATCTTCATCGGATATCGTGGCTTGTCCAGCTACGATCAGATCTTGGGGGTTGAGCAAGCCGAATCCACGTTGTTGCCACGAGCTGTGTACACTTTGCCTCTTTCCGACTGCCTGAAGCTTATGACGAATGCGAGCATCTACGAGGGGTGCGCAATCTTCAGCAATCTGGCACTGATGTAACAGATATTTGTAAACTTCGATCGCGGCCTGAAAGTGGCCAGCATGATTGTGGCAGTCACCAAGATCCTCGAGAAGGACACGTGAAGCTTCATCTCTAGGCCATCTGGACTCTTGCATGGTCTTGTCGTATTCGATAAGCATTTTCAGTATATCGTGTGACTCGGTGAACTTTTTCATAGTGACAAGATGTCTACCAAGCCAATACGCGGATCCTCTCCAGACGTGTAGAAGCTCCTGATGTCCACCCGACTGCAAAGCGGGCCTAAGGTATTTTTCGAACTTTGTGGCGACATTCTGTACAGTGAGATTGAGATCGTGTTGGAAGACCAAAGGCATGGCCGCTGCTTGTAGACCCTTGAGGCTCTGACCAAGTATGTGAGCCGAGAAGCAGATGACATGGTGACGTTCTGTTTCGGTAACTCGAGTCAGTGCCCATTTTTGTATAGTATTGTGTAACAGAATACTCGGTATCTTGTCTTTGGACTCCTCGCGAATCGTCAGCATACAAGAGTCTTCCAATAAACGAATGGATTCCCATAAGATCATTGGCTCACACGAGGCGTCTGCTAGATGGAAAGAGAGCTCGGATAAACCTGTAACGCCATGAACCATCTGCTTCCAGAGCTCCCGAGAAGAGATTGTGCCTTGATTGGGCACGGAACCGAACGGAAGTAGAGCGTGCTGGGAAATCTCGCCAGGTCCAAGACAAGAAAGCCATGTAAAGATACTTGCAGCTATAGGATCATCCCTGATCAGTTGTACCGCAAGATGCTCCAAGATGGCATATAGCGGTTTATTCTTGCTGTAGGCCCACTCGTTCGTACTAGGCTTCTTTGCAAGCACCAAGGGTAGTTTTGCTTCATCATCTATGATTCTTTGGAGATCTTCAATCGAAAATCTGCGCCTCAGTGCTACTGCGGCATGTTCGATCGCTAAAGGCAGTCCATGGAGTGCAGTGACCACTTTGATTGCCTTTTCGCGCGCTGTAAACATACAATTCACCTCAGCCATATCCGAAAGATTTTGGTAAAATTAACTTACACGGATAGTGAGTACTTTTCAGTTTCGAGAAAAGAAGATCCACACCAGCTGCTTCGCCAAGTGCTTCTAGCGCAATCCCCTGAGAGATACCCCATAGTTTGCCAGGGTCAGATTTGCTGCTCGTAATCAGGATCGCTCCGCGGTTACACTCTGGTAGAAGCTTCAGCACGTTCGGTTCTTCGAGATCGTCAACGCTATCGACTACGAGGAGCCACTGCTCTCGAGTCTCCTGTAGCCATTGATTAACTGTGCGAAGATGATTGGAGCTGGCAGCCTTCTCGTGATTATGAGTCATCGCAACGATGGAGTCTGCAGCTTCCGCAAGAGATCTCTCAATCGTTTGCTGAGTCAGAGCGTTGATCCAAATTACTGCGCTGTAGTATTGCTTGAATTCCTGAATATACCTCAGCGCAATAGAGGTCTTACCAGAGCCAGGAAACCCCCAGATCACTATACGCCTGTCCACCTCCTTCTGCGCCGATAGTGCCGTACGGAGGTTCTCAAGAACATCTCTTCGTCCGAAGAACTGTTTTGTGAGGGGAGGTGATTGCGAGAGCTCACGAAAGTTGGGAAAAATTGTGGAGTGTGCTGCATTGTTGAGGATAGGAACTTCGCAGGGATATCAGTCAGAGGAGGAACTAATATGTTTGTCTATCAACATTACCTAAATCGGTTATCAAACAGAGTCCTCGATCTTCGATAGCAAGAACTTTGGCGGCTTGTTTCAATTTCTCCTGCTGAGAATCTTTGTCGAGATATCCTTCAGTCTTGGCGATTATAACATTCAGCTTCTCATGCCTATCCATCTCCACGTCTTGGAGTCCTTGCTCGACGTTGAAGCGAAAGTACACATTAGGAGTGGCTTTGAACCACGCAGCCACTTCTTCATTAATCGCTTCGCAGTCGGTCGCCATGCCAGATAGTGTCTTGACCACATCGCGTAACCAACTAAACCCAATGCCATTCAGCTCTGAGATACCAATATTTTTCGGCATCCCGGAACCTATGCTGATGATACAGCTGACTGTGCAACCAGGTTTCTTTCTATAGATCTGTTGGCATTCTTTCAGGAGCACCCTGCAAGGGTTATTGGAGCCCAGACCGCCATCGATGAACTGGTGGTTCCCGATCACAAGCTGCTTGAAGAAGGTCGGAGCGGCGCTAGTTGCTCGAGCAGCTTGCCAAATGGTGAGATCATCCAGAGGCGAATAACCTTCGAACGATCGCATGATAAAGGGGTGCGACGTGTCCGGATTCAAAGCTGGTTGCGCGCACACAAACCTGAGAACTGATTAATTGACGCACAACAGTCGTAGAATCAGACGAACTTACACCTTGCAAACCTCATCCGCCGAAGCCAGTAGCGTATTCTCATCCCCTGTGTGCTTTTTCACCAGCTTCTTGATGACCGTTTCGAAATTTGTTGCAGAGTACTTCGCTTCCCTGCCAGGCATCTTCGACTTTGGTGCTCCAAACTGGCGGAGACAACATCAATGTCAATTATCCATCGAATCTGAACTTGCGAGATACTGACGATTTCCTTCGAGAGACGTTCGTATTCCACGATTGCTTCTCTAACACTCAATTTCAGGCGACCGAGGAGAATTGCTATCAAGCCACCAGTGCTGGTCCCACAGATGATGTCGAAAATCTCGCAGGGTTTGGGTATTGTTGTATAAGTAGCCGACTCTTCCTTGAGAACATACATCAACCGTTCGAGTATAAGGAGCTCGCTCAGGCCTTTTACCCCACCACCGTCCAGGGATAACAGCCGGAGGCCTCTGGGAGAGGCTGCCATGTCGTTTGAATAAAGCTTCAAAGCCGACAAATGTTAGGGTTAGACAGTTGCAGTGAAGGGGAGTCAAGTCGCGGGGATCAAATTGGAGATGGCGACTGGCGAGTCGTTGGTGATCCTGTCCACCTCGAGGTTGGGCAGTCACGCGGCAATCAGCCAGCCACCATTTCATGCAGGCTGCTTACACCCCCACTTCCGGGTGTGTTGCTTCGATTGCGATAGAACCGAAATATCTGTATTCTTAGGTGATCGAGGTCACCCTCAGGAAAGAGAGTAGGCAATTGTGCAATTTCGATGGAGCGACTTATTACAACCAAAGAAGGAAGCTCATGAACAGGCAAGAGTAAGGCCGCTCGAGTCCGGCATTTGATTGCGCCGTCCCTGCAAGGAGACACTTGATAGGCTATTGAACAGGGCGTAGACACAACTGTCAAGACCGCCTGCGCGGCCTTGCGTCTGTACGGAATGAAATCGCAGCCAGTCGATGCTGACATGGTGAGTTAGTCCAGCTACACTACACATCAAGCGTGGAACCTCCAAGTTCATTTTCGAGACGCCGTACGTCCATGGAGCTGCCTGGCTGCATCTTTCGCTCCAGTCTTCCCGCGATCTTCAGTATACGCTTGCTGAAATTGCCGCCCGATACAATAAGCCAAGGTGACTCGCTCTCTTCTTGAATCAGCGCATCTGCGATGTCTTGCACAGCATAGCCCATCTCTATCAATTCTCCAAGCCACTCGAAATCAAAGGCTAACTCAGATGCCTGTATCTCGAGCTGATCGCGCACCGAGTCTTCATCCTGGCTTATGATGGACTTGATCAAGGGGTCATTTGCAGCATCGAGGGTGATGTCTTGAGATATGGATGACGAAGAGCGTTGGTGTCGAGATTTGTCGTGTTTACTCAAGACACTTGCGATACTAGCATGATCATCAGCTCCGTTTGAGCTGCTAGCAAAAGACTTGAGTGAGTCGAGACTTCTGGTCGGCGCAGGCTCAAGTCGAAGTGGTATAGAGCCGTTCTTTGGACTGCTGGTTGCGCCACCGACCCAGAGTATGGCTTTCTTCTCGTCAGCGTTCGCTGTGTAGTTTTTCCACGCCTTCCAGTCTTCATAAGTTCTGGAGGGATAGCTCTGAGGGTCGATTTTTGCCAGGTCGGCTAGGCTCTTCTCGTCGCCTGGTTGATTCGACATGTCAAATCTCATGACGTTGGCTGCACCGTCAGATATCCTTCGGTCCCTCAGTGGGATGATAAATGAAGCTTTGTCGGCAATTCTGGACACCAGAGGGAGCCGACTGAGCACTCGGCCGAACGGCGCGTACTGGAGTGTTCTTGCAGGTCCATACGCATCGCCAGATCCAGTGCGCGTGGAGGCTGTTCGAATCGACTTCTTGAGGAAGGAGATCTGCCAATGAAGGTCCTGGAAGACTCCCTGAGAACGAAACTCTCGGGCAATGAACCGTAGAATCCAGCATATGACTACATTGCTGAGCACGTGATTAGGTTCCACATTGCCAGTCAACATGCTCGGAATACAGTACAGCCAGCTCCCAGAGAAAAATTGACAGTGTTGTCTTCCAATGTCGTAATGACAGCCTGGGAACCAAACCTCATGTACCTCAGGCAAGGCTCTGTGCTCTGCCTTCGTAGCCAGGCAGGGCTGAAAGAGAGAAAAGCGGTCGTGAATAGAACAAGCATGAAGGACTTTGTCTACAGTGCTTGGGATGACTTCATCCCGTAAGGTGGGAGATTTGGTGGCATATCCAGTAGTGTCAGGGTCGATGGTGCCGAGCGTGTCTAGCAGAACCAAAAGCTTTATGGGGGTGACAACGTCCCAGCTGGCCCTTTTGCGGAAGTCTATACTCTGTGCTGAAGACGGCTTGTCATTCTTGCAAGGTGATAGGTAAGTCCGATGGACCAAGTTGCAAAGGTCGTCATTGGGATCTTTCACGATGCCGCAATTGTTGATCATGCCGACCACGCAGCGCAACGCGTATGCTCCTCGTCCGAGACCGAAAAGCCATATTTCGGTTTCTTGTTTGTACCATTGTGCGATGTAGCGGTAGATATCCAGGCAGAGTCGTTCAATGTTGTCGGCCGGTCCGCCCATGCCATAAGACAGGTAGTTGCAAGCTATTCCATTGAAATACTTGGCTTTTAACTGCCGTGAAAGATCCGTGATTTCTCGTGGACCTTTTGCTGACTCCACGTCAATACCGGTCATCTCAGCTAGTAGCTGAATGTTAGTTCGCGTGCCATGCTCTGGACCACACCAAGTGCCGTCGCAGAATACGATGAGCCTTCCTGGTGACGAATTTGACTTTGGAACGATGTTCGAATCCATTGATACTTGGTTCTAGATGTTGGAAGAGTGAGGAGAAGGCATGTCCTAGTCTTGTGTCAAGATGATGCACAAGAAGCCTCGAATCATGTAACCCTCAAGCCGTGGACATTAAGGTACATGCACGACCATCTGCCTCGTGCCGCAGATGCATAGCTTGTTAGGGTGACGCGATACACCTGAGGGTGCTACCCACGAGCTGACAGATCAGCTCAAGCATATCTGAAGAACAAAAATGGGGTATCAAAATCACGCAAGCGATTATCGTGATGTGCTTGAAGCTGGGGGAAGTCGGGAGGTACGGAGTAGGAACTACTGTACAACGGCAAGCGCAGCCGGCCGCCACGATCCTCGGCTGCACTTTCCTTCGCTCCGTTAGCATGAATGACGTTCTAGAAAGCTCCAAAAAGTTGACCCGCATCTCCAGCTTTGGCGATCACGACAGGAAGCTGTGTTTGTTCTTTCAATTCAAGTTTCCATCCTTCATCAACACCATACAAGATGCCTGGAAAGTGTGTGCACAAGGGCTGCGGCAAGACATTCGCCGACGATAACGAAGAGTGCGTCTATCATCCTGGTCCAGTAAGAAACCCAATTGGTCGAGCATTGGACATTGGCTAATCCTGGTATAGCCCGTCTTCCATGAGGGTCAGAAAGGTATCCAGTCCACGTCCCCTCGCGTGCCCAACTACACATTTGACTAACACCAAGCTTCATCAGGATGGAAATGCTGCAAGCCCCGTGTCTTGACCTTTGACGAGTTCATGACCATCCCACCATGCACGACCGGCAAGCACAGCACCGTCGACGACACACCCGCCGAAGAACCCAAGACCGCTCCAGCCGATGCACCTACCCTCCAAACTCCCTCCGAGCCGGCAGCACCAAACCCCGGTCGCGCTCCCACAGCACAAGCAGCCGCCCCACAACCACCATCCTCACCTGCGCCCCCAGAGGACGAAGACGATGATCCGAACACGCCCGTTCCTGAAAATGCGACTTGCAAACGTAAAGCTTGCGGTGTGACCCACAAAGGCTCTCCTCGCAGCGATGACGAGAACTGCCAACACCACCCTGGCGCCCCAATCTTCCACGAAGGCAGCAAAGGCTGGTCATGCTGTAAGCGTCGCGTGCTAGAATTCGACGAGTTCCTGCGAATCCCCGGCTGCAAGACCAAGTCCCGTCATCTGTTCGTGGGAGCAAAGAAAGATGACGGAGAGGAGAAGTTGGAGAGTGTGAGACATGATTTCTACCAGACTCCGGATAAAGTCATGGCCAGCTTGTACCTGAAGAAGATTGACAAGACTTTGTCGAAGATCGAATTCCAGGACAAGTCTGTGGACTTGGACTTGAGAACGAGCGACCGTAAGAGGTTCCAGCAGGTTGTGCCGCTGTTTGGTGCTATCGACAAGGAGAAGAGCGAGTTTAGCATCATGGGCACCAAGCTGGAGTTGAGACTGGCCAAGGCAGATGGTGCTTCATGGCCTGTATTGCGTGGCGATGAGAGACACACTGGCGAGATCATCCAGATGGGCCGTGCTGGCAGAGCATAGAGGATGGTCCGTTACAGCATTTGGACAGAACATGGCACTTTGGAAGCAAAAACATAACATTATTGGAAGCAATGCAAGCTTATAATTGAACCCCATAGCAGATTGGAAGCAATGTGCCACAGAATCGATGATGCAGAAAGTGACGAAGTCCTCCCTAACCTAGAAGTGATGCCTTTGTAGGAGAGCAGCGACAGAGGAAACGATCAAGGCAATCATGCCTCTTTCCTCCTGTCCTTCTTCAGGTAGGCAACCCATGCAGCGAACAGCTCCAACTGAGCCATCTGTCCGACCGCACCATCCTACTGCACAGGCGCGACGGGTGCCTCGAACATATCATCGATGCCGTCCTTGCTCTCGTCACCCTCCTCAGAGTCCTCCTCCTCCAACTCCTCATCTTCCTCCTCAAAGCCCGTCTCCAGACCTCCCTTTCTGAGTCTATCCTTCATCTCCTCTCTCTTCTCCTCCTGCCATCTCATCAAGGCAGCGGCAGCATGAACTCTGAAGCCGTAGATACGGGGTTCATAGCGTCTCTGGGTCTTAGGTGGCAGCATGGCGGGGTAGACCTGAAAGAGGATGTTGTGAAAGGAGGTGCCGAAGTAGGCGCCGTCGATGGCGTTGTGGCGGGATGACTTTGGGTTGTAGATGTCTTCGCATTTGGCGCAGTAGAGTTTTACGGTTGAAGTGCCGGGGACGTCGTGGAGACCCATGGGGAGGAGATGTTGTTGGTCGCAGATGACGCGGGGGCATTTGCCAAAGACTCCGGACTTGTACTTGTCGAGCTTTATATATTGTTAGTTTTCTAGGCTTCAGGTAGGAATATGGACGATCCGATGTCAAGAAATGGAGGAAATAGGAAGGCTTACCATCTTTGCGAGACCTCTAGTTGTCACAATGTAGCGTGCATGCACAAGACCGTAGAGGTGTCTAGCGCTCTTCTCGATTTGCTCGCGCATGTCATCGTCGACCTCCATGTCGAACACGTCGGTGACGAGGTCGAGCGCATATTGATAGTATTGGACTTCCGTGTTAAGGCCGGTCAAGTTGAAGCGATCGGTCAGATAGTCTTCATCGATCTCGCAGTAGTACTCATTGCCGCGAGACGAGATGAACTGTGTTCAATAAAAGTCAGCATTCTGTGATTTTCTGATGAGAAACAAATGCGGTAAGGAAGGTGTAAGGAAAGCGTCAAGACAGCAGAAGAGGTGATGCTGTAATCGTGATAGCAGTTGCGCGCCCCATGCGAACCAGCGCAGCGCTTTTCGCTATCTTCCATGGCCACAACATCTCTCATCTTGACGCTCTCTGTCGAAAGGACAGGCATAGGCTCAAAGGATCAAACGCGCCTGTGGGATCATCTTCGTGGGTCGTGGGTTCCACGCTATGCGAGACTCGGGGCCGGCCATGTCGTTGCGTATATGCAAGAATCGTGACACAAACTTTTTCCCACAACATCTTGATTGTGGCATTCCACGACTTTTCACTGAACATGAGGGCAGGCCGTCCAGCGCTCACGCCAGATGCACGGCAAGCCGCAGGTGTAATTCTTTTCAAGGTAATATGACTTCTCTTGCGCGAGTGATGAAAAGGAAATGATGACAGCAATACAACGAAAAATGAACTCACCCAATCCCGCCAATAACTGGTGTAGTCGCTGTCGGTCTCACTAGCAAAGTTATCCATCGTTCCTGTTCTTCTCCCCGGACGCGGCCGCGAAAATGCTAGAGATGGCTGAATTCGCGAGTTCGAGGTTCTTTCTGCTCAGCTCCGATGTGTCCGATTATATGAAGAGTAGCGCTCCGGTGAGTAAGGTTGATGCAAGTGGCTGATGGTTGTTGTGGTTGTGGCTGTGTGTTGCAAGAATGGGCTTGAGTGCGATGTTGTTTGGCTTTGGCTTCGGCGTCGAGGCTTTCAGGAAAGAGATGAGGCGGGTTGGGCGTTGCTACAAATGCTTGACGGCGACAATCATGATTTTCTGGACAATTCTGGTTGTTCGATCGATAATCGATGTCAATCTACGCGGGATCGGTGAAACATCACTTTGAAAAGATATTGCTCTATCCAAAATCTCAATTTTCGAGATTGACGAACAGTTCCTTCCTCCCCGTGTGCTAAATTCTGACACTTCTAGCCATATCCCACGGCCATGCCCGGGTTTATTTAGTCTGTAGAAATGCACAATGTTTTTAAGATCAATGCAGCCCTCCACTGAGAGTGTGATACTCAGCGCCTCTCTGCGGACGACTAGAGAGATATTGAAAACATTGTGCATTTCTACAAGGTGCGCGTGACAAAGTTTAGCACACGGGCAGATTGGAGCAGCAGATACACAAAGGTAGTAAGTACCTCGGGTGAATACGATGTCCAACGATTAAAGAGTCACCGTGAACCATCACATTCAGAACAGAAAGAAGTATAGAGAGCGTGTCCGCCACGAACTCTGTATTCATGAGTTGATTCATATCATGCAACTTTTAGCCTAGGTATCTTATGCAGTCATGTCAAAATTGCAATGCCTCTGTTGTCTAGAGAGACAGGTTCCACAAACCATCGCCAAGGTAGTGGCCGTTCTCAAGACCAACACCCTTCTTCTTCTCCTTCATGTCCTTAGTGCTCATCTTCAGTACACCGACCAGACAGGCATTCTCTTTGCCCTCAGCCTCAACGACAACGATATCACCAGCTTGCAGCTCTTTTCCTCCATAGCCATCGTTAGCCTCCTTATCGTCCTCCTTGACTGAAGGATCAGGCAGACGACCACCAGGAGATGTCAGACCGGGTACCATGAGAGCAGCGCCGGAAAGAACGAAACGAATGGCACCACGGTCGATGCGTATCCTGTCGAAACATTGAGGGTATTTGTGGACGAGGGAGAGGTGAGGTATCAGAGGGTCGTCCATGTGTTGCCAGAACAGAGGAGTGGATCCGAGGACGTAGAGAGACACACGGTCAGGTCTGTGATAAGCATTGTTAGCAAGATCCAACTCCAAGAAAGGCTGGCCGTCGTTCTGGCTTAACAAATTCAAGTCGACTGAGAAGACGATTGCTCGTCAACCGAGAGTTGAATGTTCAAGACAGGCCAGCTCTTTCTGTGATCCAACGTACACCTTGACAAGATCGATCTGTTCCTTCTTGGGCATAATCTCATCCATGTAGGGCTCAAGGCGGGGGTAGGTCTCAATGGCCTTTGCGCGGATGGCGCGCTGGGCCGATGACTTGACCTTGCTTTTGGCGCCGGGTGTCAAACTGATTATGCGTAAGTCACAGAACCTGGAAGTGCAAGAAGTGACCTACAGACTCTTTCTTGAACATGGTGGTGGTTATATGAGAAGAAGATTGAACGACAACAATTCAGCAGGGTCGTCACCGACTCGCGCCGCTGCTTGCTGCCCCACCACCGAGCAGTCGAACCCCGCGAAATGCCAAGGAAACTGCGCATTGTTGCCGCCTGCCACTTTCGAACCTTCTGGGCCGCCGACTCGCCGACGCCATGCTGTCCTCGACACAATTGTTATCCCTGCCTCTAAGTTACCCTCCTCTTAAATCATCACATCTCCAACATCATGTCTGACTCAAGAAAAAAGCTGGCTCTGGCCATTATCGACTTCCTCAACACCTCCCTCAAGGACGGCACCCTGCAATCAGATGACGCCGAATCTATCGAGATCGCAACCTCCTGCATCGCTGAAGCTTTCCATGTCGATGCCAATGACAAGACCGCCATGACCGCTGCTCTGGGAGGTCAGAACCTCCTCAGTATTTACGGTGTCTATGAGAAGCTGAAGGGCAAGAGCACTGCCAGCACCGAAGGCCCCAGCAGCGCTCAGGAAGGCCGCCCTGCCACCCCCACCGGTTCCACCAAGGGCGCCAACGAGAAGTCGAACGCTCCTACCAGTGAATCCGAGTCGCTCAAGGCTCAGGGCAACGCCGCCATGCAGAAGAAGGACTACGCTACCGCCATCGACTACTACACCAAGGCTCTTGAGATCGCCCCTTTGAACACCATCTACCTCTCGAACCGTGCCGCTGCCTACTCTGGTGCTAGCCAGCACGAATTCGCCAAGAACGACGCTGAGCTCGCTACTGCTGCCGACCCCAAGTACACCAAGGCCTGGAGCAGACTTGGGCTCGCCCGCTTCGCTCTCGGAGATGCCCAGGGAAGCATGGAAGCTTACAAGGCCGGCATTGACGCTGAAGGCAATGGAGGTAGCGATGCTATGAAGCGTGGCTACGAGACTGCCAAGAGAAGAGTCGAAGAGGAGGGCGGTCTCACTGAGGAATCTTCCCGTGGTGCCCCTGGCGGTGGTGCTGGCGGTATGCCTGACCTCTCGGCTCTCGCTGGCATGTTCGGTGGTGGTGGTGCAGGAGGTGCTGGCGGTCAGGGTGGCGGCATGCCCGACTTTGCTAGTCTGATGCAGAACCCCATGATGCAGCAGATGGCCCAGAACCTTATGAAGGATCCCAACATGATGAACAACCTCATGAGCAACCCTCGTGTGAGAGAGATGGCCGACAGATTTGGTGGCGGTGGTGCCGGTGGTGCCGGCGGTGCTGGCGGTGCCGGTGGCCAAGGTGGTGGCATGCCCGATCTTTCGTCTTTGATGAACGACCCCAGCATTGCTGAGATGTGAGTACAAGTACTCTTTTGTAACTGCGAACACACGACTGACAACAATTACAGGGCAAAGAACTTCATGGGAGGTGCTGGCGGTGCCGGCGGCGCAGGCCGTGGTGGCAGATAAGCAATTTTCTTTGACATATTTCAGAAAGCGAGCAATGATTATTCAGTACGCGCCATGATAGACGCAAATGATACCAGTCCAGGCATGACCTTCATACGATGCATGCGTGCGACACTCGGGGATGTGTAGTACAATGAGTTAATATACAAGAGGCGTAACAAAGCCCTCCAACCAACGCCGTGCCGATCCTTTTGTGGCCATGATAAATTGGAAGAAGATGAGCGACCTGGAGAAGCAGCTCCGAGAAGAAAGCGCAGAAGAAAATACAAGATGAGATGAATCGATCAACCCAATCTTCTGGGCTTGGGACTTCTGGAACCACCGAACTTCAATCTGGTGGCATCCTTGACCGAGCTAATCTTGTTCCTGACCAAGTAGCCCTCAGAACCCAACAAGGCCTTTGTGACAGCCTCTCTTCCCTTTCCAAAACCACGCAGCACGACTTCCAGACTGTGTAGGTCACGCATGAGACCACGTTCTTGAATCTGCTTAAGGACGAAGGCGGCAAGTTGGTAGCCAGCATCATAACTACCACGGCCAGCCTTCTTGAAACCAATGTTGCCAGCGGACAAAGACATCAAGACATCGATCTGCTTGCCGGGGTTTGCGGGGTCCTTTCTCGGGGGCTGGGTGAAGGTGATGTGTGTGTTGTGCTTTGTCGCGTAGACATGCATGCGATGCGGTTGAGGTTTGCTCAGTTCCATAGGGCCATTGACATCCGGAGGACCAGAACGGTTGCTTTGGCGGTCGAGCCAGTCGCCGAAGTTGATTGAAGGTGTGTCCCGTCTGGCCAGAGGACTGGCCGTGAGTGGTGTGGAAGAAGAGATGGCACGGGTGAACGGCGACGGGAGGATCGAAGAAGGGCGACCGACCAGCTTGGTCAGTGGCCGGAAGATGTTCATGACTGCGATGTGGACTGGCGGCAGCGAGATGATTTGACTGGCGTAACTAATTGTATCGATATCGAGCACTTGGAATTCTTTGGACGGAGGAGAGATGCGGCGGATGTCGGGGCTTGAGGGCTTGGCGGCCTTTTTTGATCTCGTCGCCGCTGTCGCTCGCCGAATGTGCGAGTAGCTCGACTGCTCGACTTGTCGCCTTTCGCCTCTCACAAACCACACACAACAGCATGAGCTCGTTAAGTCGACAAGTGCTCTTGCCCAGAGCCCCTGCGAATGTCGCCCGCAATGCGCCTTCGTTCCATGGCCGAACGGCTGCATACCGCCGGATATCCACACATGTCTTGAACCGCTCGCATGCCGTCAACTCGCCTTTGATCTCCTCCGCCGCCTCTTCGCCTTCAAGGCTGTCGTCGCCTTTTCTCCCTGCCTCTGTCGCTACTAGCTTCGTCCGCTCAGTCTCCTTCAAGGAAATGCAGGCTGAGCGCAAGCGTCAACGCGCTGCTCAAGGATCCGCTCCCAAGGAAGAACCGAAGCCAGCGCCCGCTGCTAAGCAGTCAAAAGATGCAGAGGCAAAGTCTGAGCCTGCGCAGAAGGCAAAGAAGGCCGACGAGCCTATGAGCGAAGCTGAGAGAATCTACCAGGCAACCGCTGCCCGCGATGCTGGTGCTTACCAACCTGAGCCTGACGCCGAGTCAGAGCCCAAGAAAGAGAAGGAGGCTGAGGGCGAAGCTGCTGAAGGCGAGGCTGAGGGTGAGGGTGCCGAGAAGAAAGAGAAGAAGGACAAGAAGCCTCCCCCACCAAAGCACGGCAATAAGACCCCATGGCAGGTCTTCACCGAGACTCTCTCGAGCGAATTCAAAGAAAGCAAGGAGTGGAACGAAGGCACCAAGCAACTGTCTGGTAGCATCCACGACTTCACCGAGAACCCCAATGTGCAAAAGGCCCGCGCCGCATACGAGAAGAGTACCGGGGCTCTCTCATCCGCCGCTGGAAGCACCATCAAGACCACCGCTGGAGCCATTGGTAAGAGTGCCGCTTGGACTTGGGACACCAGTGTTGTAAAGGGCATCAGATACGGTGCTGGTGCTGTCGGTTCCGGACTCGAGAAGGCCACTCGTCCTGTGCGAGAGACCGAGGCCTTCAAGAACGTCAAGGAGGTCATTGATGACGGCAGCTCTATGCGCTATGGTGGCTGGGTCGAGAAGGAAGAGCGCAGAAAGCGCAGAGAAGCAAGAGAAGCAAAGGACATCGCAGAAGGTCGCAGGCCTTCGGGTGAGCCTCTAGTTGAGGATCCCGAGTAAGTGTGAATCCTGGCTGAGAATCTAACTTATGCTAACATCACATTTAGTGCCGGAGTCAACGTCACTGTTCACAAGGATGCCGCCTGGAAGGAGTCATGGCGCGAGTTCCGCGACAACAGCAAGACTATGCAACGCCTGTTCGCCTTCAAGTCGACATACGCCGAATCAGAGAACCCTTTGATCTCGACCGCTCGTAGCATTAGCGACCGTGTTGCTGGCTTCTTCGCTGAGAACGAGACTGCCAAGGTCATCAAGAAGTTCCGCGAGATGGACCCCAGCTTCCAGATGGAGCCTTGGTTGCAGGAGATGCGCGAATACATTCTTCCCGAAGTCCTCGACGCCTACGTCAAGGGTGATACTGAGGTCCTCAAGCAGTGGTTGAGTGCAGCACAGTACCAGGTTTACGCCGCTCTGATGCAGCAGTACACCCAGCACGGTCTCGTCTCTGATGGCCGCATCCTGGATATCCGCAACGTCGACGTACTCAACGCTCGTCTACTTGAGCCCGGTGATATTCCCGTCTTCGTCATCATGTGCCGTACACAGGAGGTGCACGTTTACAAGAACAAGAAGACCGGCCAGCTGGCTTCTGGCATGGAAGACAAGGTTCAGCAAGTCACATACGCGATTGGTGTCACTAGACTTCCTGAGGATGTCCACAACCCCGAGACCCGCGGATGGAGACTTATCGAGCTTCAAAAGAGCGCGAGAGAGTATATCTAATCTCGTCTCCGCTCTTCTATTTTTCACCTTCGCATTGCGCTCAACCACATCTCAGCTTTGCATATTCTCTCCGGACAAGCCACATCTTCTGTATGAACTATTTGCAACGGCGTTTCCTGGTTCACACTCTCCATACTAAAAAGCGCTTCTCGGGGGAAATCTGTTGTATCATTTTCCCGGTCGAAGGAGAATATCCTCGTGTACTCTTAAAGCATTTCCATGCGCCTGCCTACCCTGTATTATACATTTACGCTTTCGATGTATTCATTTTTCCTTTATTAATGTGCTCATCTCGTATTCTTTGGTTCGAGGTCGTGAGTGCACCAATGTCAATAAACCCCTTGAAATGACTTCGTTGGCATCCAGGGCCTCCAGGGCCTCAGCGGAGAGCAAGACCGCATCTTGAAGGTTCGGCGGAGTCAAGTCCCGGGGGTGCAACCAAGGCAAACATCTCGGAACCTCGGGAGAAACGATCAAATCAATGACATCAACCTTCCTGAGGATCTGCCTTTCTGAGAGTGCATACCATAGCTTTTCCAAGCGAGCGACACAACCATTCCATTATTACAACATGTACTCGACGCCTTGAAGACATCTCAGAACCATCATCTTCTGGAATTATTAAACATAAAGGGACATGACAAATGGCGGCCAGAAACACAAGTCGTCTGCGGGTAAGCTTTAATTCAATCATCCTCTTCGCCTTGTTACTCTATGCTTCCTCCCCGCCGCTCAGTCGCTAATGCTTTACTCTCAGCATTCCACTTCGCAGCCGGCCTGGGCTCCGGTGTGACTAGCGCATTCCTTCTCCAACCTGCCGACCTTCTCAAAACCCGCGTCCAACAATCCTCCAGCGCATCACTCTCAGTCGCCCTCAAGACCATTCTCGCAGGACCCTCTCCCATTCAATCGCTATGGCGAGGCACTACACCCTCAGTCATCCGCACAGGCGCAGGCTCAGCTCTGTACTTCGGCATGCTAAACCAATTGCGACGGGCCACTTCAACCACAACGTTAGGAGCTGACGGCACGTCAAAAACGAAACTCAGTAATTCCGCAAACTTGGCTACAGGAGCTGCGGCAAGAGCATTGGCTGGCTTCATCATGAGTCCAGTCACTGTCTTGAAGGTGAGGTATGAAAGCAGCTTATACGCCTATACCTCACTAGCCTCGGCCGCAAAGGATATCTTCAAGACAAATGGAGCAAAAGGATTTTTCGCAGGATTTGGCGCGACGGCTATAAGAGATGCACCATACGCTGGCTTATACGTCCTTTTCTACGAGCAAAGCAAGGCTTCATTATTCGGGCATCTGGACATCGCTGCACCGCTAGCGAATTTTGGATCTGGAGTCCTGGCTGCGGCAGCAGCGACAGCGGTCACGAATCCCTTCGATGCCGTCAAGACGCGATTACAATTACAACCTGAGAAATACAGGAATGCGATCAGTGCTGCGAAGAAGATGATTGGTGAAGAGGGGGCTATGTGTCTCTTTGACGGTTTGGGCATCAGGATGGCGAGAAAAGCCATTAGTTCTGCATTGGCGTGGACGGTTTATGAAGAGTTGATTCGCAGGGCAGAGGATAAAATCGTCACATAGAGCATACGACGAATCTCCACTCATCTCCGACCATCCCACTCTTCGCGCTGCATGGAATTTCACAAACCTTCGTTCGGCAGGCAGGTGTGAAGAGCACTGTTCTTTCCGAATCTGCTCGATGAAGTCTTGTCGGGTTCCCGCACGCTCCGACCTCCTCTTCTGGTGGCTTCTGGTGGCTGCTGTTTCCTGGCTCCTTCTCCACTCAGTGTACTGAGCATACACTTTATCTCTCAACACGTCTTCCTCGTATTTCTTTCTCAACTGAATCTTCATTGGCAATTGCCTGTGTTGCGTCCTGTTCTTCGTCGTCAATCATGCTTCGAGCTACTGACCATCAGCGTCCATCTCAGATCCGCCATCTCAGAACTCTATCAAGAATCTCATCAAATACGTTGCACTTCTCTCGATTAGTCCTGTGAGCTTGAACAAATCAATAGAGCTTGAACCTCTAAGGTCGTATGTTCATACAATCTTCAAAGAGAAGCTTTGTTGACAGAAATGAGCTAGGACGCAAACTCCCTCTGCCCCGCCCAAGCATCCGCTTCAGGACATGTTCCACTCCATGCTTGCAGTATCAAGTCGACCCCTCTTCGAGCCATCTTACCTCGAACAAACCTTCCACACTACCCCAACACTACCGACAACTGAGTTGTATCTATGAGAAACCCCGCTCGTCGATCGCAACACAGAGAGCATGATCCGACAACCAAAACCACCGAACAAGTCCATTGGCCAAGATTTCGAACCAGGGATTTCTTAGATTGAAGTCTAGTCTCTAGCAACAATTGATCACCGGCTGGACACCACGATGGACCTTTATAGGAAGCGGGTTGCCCACACTCCTCGGGCTCTGCTTCCACACACGTCAAGTCAGAATGCATTTCAATCCTGTTGCTATACTCGTCGGGTGGGCAGTCACTCTTAGTGTTGCCGTACCCCTCGACTCTCCTGTCAACCACGAGTTCGTAATTCCCGCTGTTGAGCATGCGGACCTTGCTACAATGGCTGCGATCACCTTCAACAATGACCAAGCCCTCAACCTCACAGCGATGTTCCCTGCGGCTCTGGTAAGTCTCCTGTTCAAGTCACAAAAGCTCCTCAACTGACAAATCCTGTCTTACAGGAAGAGTGCCTCGCTTCAGAATACCCAGTGATATCTTGCTCAAACTGTCCGCGTCGCTATAATGCCACAGGATATCAGATACGGGGCAAAACTGTCAATCAGATCTGCAGGCAACGCAGAAGACCCAAAATGTCCTCATCGAGGCCTTTCAGGACATTCGATAAATACACGTATCACAAGATTCGCGAATGCGGCCAAGTCGTTGAAGGCGTCGACACAGAACGTAAGTGTTACTTCCACGGGTTTACCAATCGACAGTTGTGCTTATGCGAGTTGCGTGTAGCGCTGGAGCACCTTTTCTGGAAGATCAATCACCGTTGCCATAAGATTTGGCAGAAGGGCACGAACCAGACCTTGTCCGCCGAGGAAACCGCCCAGGCAGACTTCGCCGCGGAAACAGATCACGCGAGAAGGATGAAGGCTACAAACGGACTCACTGCATGGAACGGAATGACCTTGATGTCTGACGACGAGAAAATCAATACATCAATGTTCCCTGAGGCTGTTGTAAGTCGCTTTGGTCATTCGTGGTGAATTCACAACTAATTCGCGTCTTTTCCTAGCATGGATGTCTACAATCTAGGTTTGGTATCGACCAGATGGAAAAGTATGACCAGCGTAACCTGAAGCATTTCAACCTACAAGACAAGACCATCAAAAGGATCTGTGGAACCAGAAACCAATACCAAAGTGGCCGAAAACGTGGCAGATTCGCAAAGTTTGAGGGGTTCACCTTTAGTAAAATCAAGCAGTGCGGTGCTATTAATATGGAACGTAAGTACAGCCCTGGCGATAGGCTAAGCAATGTCACTGACTTCGATTCTTGCAGCTCTGGAGCACTTTTTCTGGCAGGTGAACCATCGTTGCCACGAGCGCTGGTCTGAAGATGAACAGCGACTCCATGGACCTGCTACCGTAGCAGATGGAGCAGTTGATGCAGCTGAGAAAGCAGAAATTGCTGCTGAAGAAGCAGCTGAGGAAGCAGAAGATGCAGAATTCGCCGCAGACGGAGCAGAGGCGGATGACTCTGATATGTCTGACGACGAATAGTCGACGGACTAAGGCCAGACAGTGACATCTGCTCTTACGCAGACAGTCCTGGCCCACCTTCGAGCGACCAACTAGGGTATGCTCGCTCACAATCTCTTTTGTAGCTTTCCTTTGTCAACGTCTTTTGATCTGATATGTAGTCCAATAGTTTGGTCCAGTAATGTATTCTGTAATCTTTGTACCATTCCATCACCATTCACTAACTTAGATGCTTGTTCAACAGTCCAAAATAATGTTTTCAGTTGGTAAGCAAGTTATCTCATTAATCAGAAGCTAGAACTCTCACGTGAGTATCGGAAGCAAGCTTCACGCTACTTGTATTAGTCCCCTATTAGCTGCCGGTAAATTCTACCGACCAATCAGGGGGCTAGAAACGACGTGTCGTTCTAGCGTCTAAGGGCTAAATGAACGTCTTTTAGTGACGGTGTACAAGTTCTCAAATTTTGAAATGGCTAAGTCCCCTTCTATAACTTATCTTTCGTCTATACTACCCGCCACCTATATATTTAACCAAAAATGCCGTCGGTAGAACACACCGACGCGCTGTCGGCATTAGAAAATCCAATTATTAATTCTCTTTTTTACGATACTAATACGCAATCGGTAATAAGCGACGAATCTAATAGCGATCTATCTAATATCTTAGACGCCGCGCTTCTCGCCCTTAACGACGACACTATTACGACCCCCTACGTATAGTCTACGGGCAACTCTAATCCTAATATACGAGGAGCTCATCTTTATTATCTGTATGCTATACCTAGCTAGCCTCGTCCTCGCCGTCGCTACCTAAACATATGCCCTACGCTATCGGTAGAATCTACTACCTCTTAAAACTAGCGCCTAACCCTAAGCAGTTAGCGGCTAGTTTCTACGCGCCGCCCTAATGCCTTTCCTACGCTATCGGTAGAATCTACTGCCCCCTAAACCTAGCCCTCTATTAGGAGCAGTTANATGCTATTACAACTAATGGCATATAATAGAGCCTATTAACAGAGCTTTATAGCTATAGATAGCGTCCGTAAGAACGCACTTATCTAGCGTAGCATTATTAGCGTTACTACTAACATATTACACTAGCGACACGAAAGATTATCTAACTTCTTTCTAAAGAGTCTCGGCCTTTTACTCTATAGTAGCGGTACTAAACGCAGTGTTATCTAGCTTCTTGCTCGCCTTAGTCTCTATAAGGGGTATAAGGCTACGTATAACAACATTAATAAGGTCGCACGGAATGAAATAGTAAGCGATTTGCCTAATATGTAGACTCCGCTAATGCTAATATCCTAGTCGGTAGAATAAGAGAAAGGCTGTTATAGCTAGGCCTTAGACTATGTTATGTTATAATAACTATAACTTTAAGAATAACACCCGCGAACAGATCCGTAGCGACTCTAGTAAAATGATTAACATTATAACTGCTATAAGTATTTACAATCCGCTACTACCCCCTAAAGGCCTTAAGCAATCCGACTTCTTACGTAATAAAGGAATTAATATAAGAACTCTCGAGGCCGCTATTATAGAACCGAGCGATAAGAACTTAAAGCTCGATAAAGATATCTCCTTATTTTTCATCGGCGAGGCTATCCGACATATCTACCCTTAGGCGTATACGACTATTTTTCTAAAGAAGAAGTCGTCGGTAGAACCTACCGCGTTATATAACGATTATTCTACCGCCCCTAACCCCCTTTACGATTAGACGTCTTCGATACCTTTCGCTAAGTCGGTTAGTTAGGCCTTATGTTACATGTTAGTAGAACCTACCGCTTAACAATTACCGAGCAATCTAGCCGCGTTAGATAGAATAGTTAACACCGAGATAGCCGTAACTGCTATAGATTATATAGCTTTACTGCCCCTATTAACTCCCTACGCTTCGGTAGGTTCTACCGACGATATCTCCTTACCCTTTACTCTATAATCTAGCTCCTATCCGCATTCCCGGCCGTAATTGCCGTTACCTTAATCCGTCTCTACGCCTACCGCTATACCTCCTCCTCGCTACGTCCTATTAATACCCCTACCTACCGCATACGTAGCGTCTACCGCTACGGTTAAGGTTAGATCTTTTTTGTCTCTCGATTCGTAATTGTCGCTATAGGATCTCTCTATACTGCACCCTACGCTGCTATTCTCGTCGGTAGATCCTACCGACGATGTCTTTACTTAGCCTAAGTTATCTACGTCTATCCCTACCCCTCTCGTAGCGGTTTCCGGCTTAACTCGACCTCCTCTTATGCCTTCTGTCGATCGACTACCGCCTATAGAGACGCCTCTTAGTTAGCTTAGTGCTATCTAGGAGAACGAAGGTACTATTAAAGGCATAGTAGCCGTTCTTAATTAGCTCTTTACTAACAAATTAGGTCTAAAAAACACAAACGGCGCCTTTAATCGTCGTCTTTAGGTTATATATAGAGACTAACTTACTATATCTAACATACGCTTAGTCTAGGGGCGTTTTATAGAGTCGAGGCTTCCCTTCGACCGAGGTAACTATATCGTTACTAGTCTCGGTTAGTTCTATGTTATGTAGTCCCTTCTATTTATAATTATCCGTACCTATTTCTCTGCTCCTAATAATGAGCAGACTAAGTGTATACTTAAACACGACATCGATTACTAGGATCGGAAGGGACTAACTCGTAAGAACGCAAAGTTCTATTAGTTTAAGCCCTTATTCTCTAGGGCTTCTATACTCGTATCGCGGCCTTATAGTACGAAGAGCTACATAAAGAAGGCTTCCTTACTAGACTAGATAAGAGTCTACCTAAAAGAGAGCGCTTCTTAAAGGCTATCGTAGTTCTTAAACCCGAGCAATTTAACGCAATTACGGAAAAAATCTATACGAGTGCGTTCTCCTTTAAGGCATAGAACTCTAGATCTAATAGCGAGTGCGACAAGGAGTTCTAAAGCATATGTCGTCTCCTCCGAGAGTATTAGGTTTTTGTAACATTAAAACATGCTATTAAGCACGGAGATATTAGTTTACTACGCTATATAATCCCTAAGCTTGTAGTCATGTTTTACGGAGCTTAACAGTATAAATACGGATACGAAATGCTACACCTCTATTAGTAGCTCTCGGACGACACGTCGAGTAAGACGTTCTAGCGGTCTCTATTAGCTAGGAGTCTAGTTAATATTCGAGGTTTACCTAATACGTAGAAGCTAGTTAACCTTGCTAATGAACACATTAATCGCCTATATTTAGACGATATAAAACTGCATAAGAACTCTACTTACGGCATTCGACATACATTCGAAACTATGTCTACCGTTAGCCCTTTTATTAGTAAGCTACGTAGTAAAATGAACGAAGACTATAGAGAGATAATGTCTAGACGCCATTCTATAAAGGACGTAACCTCTAACATGTTCTCTCTTACTATTTTCTTATAGGAAGAGGGATTTATAACGCCGTATTAACGAGGTAACCGTAGATTCGAATTAGAAGATATCCTTAAAGCTAGCATAGAGGTACTTAGAGAGAAGGTTATAGTGTTTAACAACAAGGAGGTTAGAGTTCGCTAGGCAATGCGAGATAGTCCTCTAATATAAGTAGGGGCTAGCGATGTCCCTAACTAACATACCTTATCTAATGCTACCGACTATGCTATCTAGGTTAACGAAAATGAAGAGGACTAGGTAGACGTTAATGATTTAGCTAGCTTTAATAAGATCGATCTATCTTAGCTTTAGGGAACGTTGTCGGTAGAACATCCCGACGGCTTCTAGACATAGTATCTCGCTTACCTTTTAGTACAGGTAATTAGTGCTATTCTAGATACCCCCTACCGCCGGCAAAAGCTCTCTAATTAGTGCCATTCTANAGTAAGGAACTCGATTTTAGCGGCAAACTTATTAGTTTAATTAGCAAAACCCTTACGATAACAGAAATTCTGTCGGTAGAATATACTAATAGTTAACTTCGGTCTATTACGATAAAGGCGAAGGTCCTACGTCTAGTCCCTCTAGTTCTTACTTTAGAAAGAGGAATAGAATCTAAGTAGGATTTGTGTCGGTAGACTCTACCGACGGTTAAACCTACCCCGAACGTCGTAACGCTTAGCCTTATAGGGGCATATACGTTATAATATTAGCGCTAATGCTATTAGCCGAGTCTACCGACGGTTAAACCTACTATTACGTCCCGCGATTTGTTAGATATCCTTCGTCTAGTTAGCGTCGGTATATTCTACCGACGCGAATTTCGTCGAGGTAGGCGACTACACTATAAACTCTACCTCGGTCGCTCTACGCTAAGATAGCAACTTATAGTAGCATAATAACATCTAAATCGTCCAAATCTGCAATAATAACGGTAGCATTTAACTATTAATGTGTTTGTTCTATTTAGCTATATTAATGGCGAGACCCTAGGCCCTATCGCATTACGTAGTCGGTATTATCCTTCTTAACTATTACCCCTTCCTCCTTCTTAACTAACACTATTACCCCTTCCTCCTTCTTAACTAACACCCTTCCTCTCTCTCTTAAAGGCGCGGCCCTTACTAATGCCGATAGGCTTAA